ATATACGTAGATAACTACCTATATAAGTAAAACTAGAAAAAATAGGAGGTAACTAAGCCTATATACTACTAGAGAGCTAATACTTAAAAGAGGTATAACTATAGGGATAAATAGAATAAAGATAGTAATATAATTATAGGGGATAAAGCGTAAACTAAGAAGGAATATACCCTATAGTAGAGGAAGTAGAATAAGATTTACTAATAATACTTTAAAAATAGGGCTTACCTAGGCTATAGAAAGTAAGGGTATTTTAAAGCTAATTACCCTAACTATAAGGAGTAAGGTAAAAAAGCTAATATAATTAAAATAGCTATAGTAACACTATAACCTAAAATACTAGAATTAGGTAAGGTTCCTAATAATACTATAATACTAGATTTTAAGGAGGAATCTTAGGAAACCTAACTAACTAATTCTAAAGAGTATCTAGATAAAGACGGCTACTAAGTTACTAAGGAAGATATAGTAGTATATAGGGTAACTAAGTAGTAATACTAGGTTTATAGGGAACTTAAGCACTAGACTAGGTAATACTATAAAAAAATTAAGATTATAGGACTAGATATATACTAAATATATAAATAGGTAGTAACCTATTAAGGGAAGTTACTAAACCCTATCTAGTAACTTAAGATAATTAATATATATATATAGAAAGAGTTCTAGTAATACTATATAATAGATTATTCCTACTACTAGAATAAAAGGGACTAGGTATAAAAAAACCTAGGAGATAGGAAATACTATAAGTTAGATAAAAATAAGTATAGAGATAGAAACTATTATATATATTAATTTAATATCTAGAAAAGGGACTATAGGCCTCTAGTATAGAAGGTATATTATATAGATAACTACCCTATCTATTAGAACTAGAAGCACCTAATAGATAATTAGCCTAAGGGCCCTAACTAATATAATAAAACCCTATAGTATAAATGCATAGATATGTGTCTAAAGTAAAAAGATATAGACTATATAGAAACCTAAGAATAAATAGACTATAGAAGGTAAGAATATTTTAGATACCTTAGTAAAAAGGAATCTATAGTAGTAGATTTATTAGATCTAAACTATAAGTTTATACTATACTAGAAGTATATAATAATAGGCTATTAGCTATATAAAGAAATAGTTAAGGAATCTAAATACTTATATATACTTATATATACTTATAGTAAGCTAACACTAGAGAAAAGTAATAGTAGAATACCTAAGGGACGCCTTAGAGGTAAGATCTAAAGTATATTACCTAAGAGGAAAGGTATTTAACCCCTTTAGAATAGTACTCTAATAACTAAGAACTAACTATTCTATATATAAATAATACTACTATAAAGATATATATAATAAAGAATAAAAGTAATTAAAAAACTAGTACACTACTAGGTAGAAAGCTAAGCTAGTAAGGGTATTCTAAAGGCTTATAGAATAGAAGCTAAAGGCACTATAAAGCTATAAATAATAAAGTAGATTATAATTAGAGAATTCTAGATAAAGGCTTTAATAGACCCTAGTAAAATAAAATATTTAATATTACTAGAAATAGTAGAGAAATATAATCTACTATATAGAAATAAAGAGATACTAGTATAATTAAAAATAGTAGATAGTACACTCTCTTAAGGATATAGTAGAGGCTAGCTATACCTAGAAATAACACTACTACCTATTAGAATTAAGAGATTTAAGAGCTAATATAGTTTTACTATAATAGATTTAGAAAGCTTAGAAGCTATTATAGAATATAACTAGCTAGTTATATATAACTTAGATATAGATTAGGTAAAATAGTCTATAAGGAGTTAAGGGGTAACCTTAAAGGTTACTAGTACCTAATATACTAAGTAGGTATAACCTATAACCCTAAAAGCTCTAAATAAGTAGGTTAAAAGATAGATAGAGGGAATCTTAGCTATCTAGATAGCTAAAATTCTAAAAGAAAACCTAGAATAAGTAAGAACTATCTAGGTATAATACTTAGATCTCTAAGAAAAAATAAAAGAAATAATAATTCTACTAGAATATAAAGAGTATATAGAACTCTTTAAAGAAATTAAAGGAAAAAAGCTCCCTAACTACTAAGAGTAAAATTATAAAATACTACTAGAAAAAGGTATAAAGCTATAACTAGAATAGCTAAAACTAATATCTATAGATTAGGAATAAGAACTAAGGGAATACTTAAGGAAAAACCTAGTAAGAGGTTATATCTAAGATAGTTAGAGCCCTATAGTATTCCCTATCCTATAGGTACCTAAGAAGAATAGTAAGCTATAACTCTATATAGACTATAAATAGCTAAATAATACTACTATTAAGAACTAGTACCCTCTACTACTAATAATAGAGCTAATAGATAGGCTCTATAGAACTAAGTAGTTTACTAAATTTAATATATATAATAGTTATTATTATATATACATAGCTAAAGGCTATAAGTAGAAAACTATATTTAGGACCTAATTTAGTCTTTATAAATATATAGTTATACCTTTTAGACTAATAAACGCGCCTATAATATTTTAGGCTATAGTAAATAAGATGCTATATAAATACTTAGATATATTCTATATAGCCTATCTTAATAATATACTTATCTATTCTAGTAGAATACTAGAGGAGTATATAGGATATATAAAGAATATACTTAAGAAAATAAAGAAGTATAAATTACTCCTATACCTAGATAAATATAAGTTTTATATTATAAAAATAGAGTACCTAGAATTTATTATTTTAAGAGAAGAAGTATCTATAGACCCTAAGAAAATAGCTACTATATAGAAATAGCTAGTTTCTAAGTTAGTAAAGGATATCTAATTCTTTCTAGGGTTTACTAACTTTTACTAGAAGTTTATTAAGAATTATTCTAAGATAATAGCACTACTAATAGATCTTATAAAGAAAAAGAATAATAAGATTATCTAGCTAATATTTAGTAGACCCCTAGAGGCGTTTAAGAGGTTAAAGGGAATATTTCTTATAGTACCTCTACTCTAAATATTTAACCTAAGGAAGCCTATAAGGGTAGAAATAGATATATCTAACTATATAATAGAAGTAATCCTCTTATAGCTAGATAAAGATAAGAAATAGAAACTAGTATTTTACTATTTATAAAAGTTCTTAGGGGTAGAACTTAATTATAATATTTATAATAAGGAACTACTAGGGGTAGCTTAGTATATCTCTATTTTATAGTAATTCTAGTTATTATATCTTTTACCTTTATAAATACCTAAATCCCTCTACTATTATCTCGTTTATAATATTAGGCTAGAAGTCTAGTTTAAATTTTTAAATTAGGTAATTTTTATCTTAATAGTATAAAGTTATTATAATTAGTAGAATTTATAGCTATAATATACTTTTTAATTATAGTAGGTATATTTATACTATATTTAACCTACTCTCTAACTATATTAATATTATTAGAAAGTATAAATAAGGCTTAGCCTTTACTAGCTACTTTTCTATCTTTTAGAGCCATTCTTAAACTATCTAAATAAAAAGTATTATTATATAAAATTTAGTTATAGGTAATAGTATTTACTTTATAATAAAAAGAATAGTAAAAGAATAACTTAGATATATTAAATAAATAATATTTATTATTTTTAAAATAGGTACTAACTATAAATTTTATATAGCTTACTTAGTTACTTAGTTAATACCTTTAGTACTCTAGTTTAGAAAAGATATAATACTATACTAAAAGTTATAATCTACCTATTATAATAGAAATAAGAATAAGAATTTTATATTTATATTTAATTTATTTTTTAATTTATTATTTAGATTTACTTAGGCCCTTTTTATTAACTTATTATACTTTATAAAATACTTTTATATTAATAAAAACCTCTTTTTTCTTTTTTTTATAAGTTTTACCTAAAAACTAATCTTAACCTATTTAGAATTAGCTATTCTTTCTAGATTTAATAGTTTCTTACGTCTAGAAATAAAAGAATATAGTAGAAATAAATATACTATATACTTTAATAGTATTAAAAAAGCTCTATTATAATAAAATTAGAATATAATTTAGTATTAAATTAAACATTATTCTAGACTTAATATTAAGTCTAGTATATTTATATATATACCTATTTTTTCTAAAATATAGAATTTGTATTCTTTATTCTAATACTACTAGAGAGTTACTAAAGCTATAAAGTGCCCTATTAATTCGTATGTATAGGCTTTAGCCCTTCGCTCCTTAAGCCCGCTAAATATACCTCTTTCCACCACCATAATCTAATAATCGCAGCTCCCGGCCCAATTACCGGCTGAGCACCTAAGAACGCACCACAAGCTATGCACGCTTGTCTGGTGCTAATTAGACCTTTATAGCGAAGCTGATACACGTTGTAAGCTCCGTAGAGGACAACACTAATGAAAACAAACAGAAAGTCACACTTTAGCATGGTGAACATGTACGCCTGTTGCGATCTGGGGAAGTGTTCAGGGTGGTTTTCGAGAGGGAGAATGAGCCGAGCGAGGGATAGCACCGGGTGGCCGGTGGCGAGGAGAACGAATACGAGGAATGCGATGTGGTACAGAAACGAGAAGACGAACATGGCTCTGTACGCGGCGACGAGGTGAGGGACATCGCGGAGAGAATAGATGTCGAATTCCGACGTCCGTTGGCCCTGTGAGAACATTGCAGCGAAGGTGCGAACAAGGGTGCTCACCAAGACGGCTGCGAACGGCCAAGCGAGCACCAAATACCGCTTGACAGAGCCTGGAATATTGGGAAAGAACATCAGCGCAGTCGGTAGGACGTAGCCAAGGAAGATTGATGGCGCGATGGCCCTGGCGATAGCCCTCGGGATGTAGCGACCCACAGTCGAGTGCGAGCCGCCCATGGACCATATGCTGAGGACGAAGGATAACGGCCCGACGACAGCTATGCCGTTGATATTCATAAGAACTCCAAATACACTCGGACTACCACATGTTAGTTGCGCTAGCTCTTAGTCAGCGCGAATAACTCACCGCGAGATGAGCGTTCCACGGCTTTCATGTCGATTCGCTTCGATGTACCAGATAAGCATGACGGGTGTGAGGAATAAGAGTAGATAGAGGAGTTGTAGCGTGTGACCGACGTCCACCCAACCAGTTCCACCAGCAAGCTTAAGGAAGACGAGGTTCAGAGTGTGTCGGAATGATTGGACACCGGTCGAGTATGCTTTCGGTGCAACTTCCAAGGTAATCCGAGACAGAGGGTAGGCGGTCCAGTTCATCGTTAGGAACGCAATACCTATCAGACATGCAAACACTCCGTATGTAAAGAAGCGCGGCATCGCAGAGCTTAGCGGTTCTGCAGGACGCTCGTCGTTATACAGATCAGCGTGTTGCCGATCCGGAACAGGTACCATGTTCAGACGCGGGGCCGGACGCATGTTTGTGGAAAGCATCTCGAGTACCGAGTCTGCGGATGACCCAGGGATGAGCCATTTAGCCACTAGCCTCGTGAGGAAGGTTTCCTTAGCTTGGAGACTCTGCAAGTCATGAGAGGCCTTCATGAGAGATGCTGCGCGGCCGTGTCGAAGCGAGTGCAGCTTTTCAAAAATGCACGCCAAGTTCGCATCGGTGAGACTAAAGACAGAGCCTTGAGACTTGTTGACTTCGTGAATGAGGTTCGCAAGTACTGCACTGTCTTCAATAGCACTGTTTCCGCCCTGTCCGCCGATTGGATTGAACTGGACTACCGTTAGCGAAATTTTGATGGGTTCACTGCAGGCGAAATACCTTGTGCGCAGCGTCGCCGATGGTTATGATACGGCCATAATGCCACTTCGAGAACACGACCTCTGGTAAAGCCTGTAGAGTTGCAGTCGTCCTACTTTCATACAGGTCGCCAAAACGTAGGGTATCATTCAACGGGTCGTCGGCATGCTCCGCAGCCAGGGCATCCCTCTCCGTTTCTGTATAGCGTGGAACCTTCTCGTATAGACCATGCACTGTTGTAGACAGCTTCTTGAAAAGAAACCAGTAGATGCGGTGATTGGGGCCAGTGCTGATAAGGTAAGAGCAGCCATTGCCCATGACGTTCTGTGATGAGTATTTTGGAAATCTCTCATTTGGCTTGGAGATGCCAAATATGCAGCGATAGCCTGTTGGTGTTGCGGTGCGCTCGCTCAGCGGAAAGTGTCCCGGGTGAACCTCATCTGCGATCCTCCACATCTCGCGCCTGACGGTACTATGGATACCGTCAGCGCCCACTAGAATAGCCCCTTCGTAGACGCTGCCGTCACCTGTCGTGACCTGAACTCGACCAGAAGGTTGCTGTTGCTGGACGTGTACGACCCCCTTGTCTGTGAGGACCTTGCTTTTGTCGGACAGATTATCGTATAGAATCTGGATGATCATCTGCCGGTCTACAAAGATAGGCTCGTATGCTAGCCTTCAGCTAGTCAGTCCATGATCGTTTCCATTCATTGAGCTCGCGGGTTTGGCCAACGTACCGGTTCTTGAAGTGCTGTGAGGCATCCGCGATGTCTTGCACCTTGTTTCCACGCTCGTCATACATCCTCATATGCTCGAATGAATCTGCGCCATCTACTAACGCCTTGATTGTATCATGACAACCAAGTTGGTCGAGAATGCGGAAGCCATTTGGAAAGATTCCAATGCTAGCTCCGACATCTGGAGCAATTGCCTTGTACTTCTCAAGGACAAGGAAGTCGATACCAATTTGTTCGAGAATATTCGCGAGTGTAAGTCCAGCAATACTCCCACCAGCTATGAGGACTCGTGCATTCTTTGGTGACGACATATCAGAAGTGCACGGAGAGGTAGATGCGAGCGGGATGAGGACTATGGACTGTCGGCTCTGCACCGCCTCATCGCACCATATATATATGCATGTTCTCTTATCGTCATCTCGTCCGTGGATGTGTCGTGCTGTGGGTCTTGACGAGCCTAATCTCCCTTGCCAAGGCACCTACCAACCCATAATAAGAATTGCAAGTGTGCACGCGTGTACAAAGGTACTTTACCACTGTTGGGTGCCGAGTTCGAATCGGTCCGGCGCAGTCGGAGTATCGGGACCACCGAATCTTCCGAACCCTTCTGGAGCTTCACGAAAATATCTGGTAACTGGGCTCGGATGAGAGGGCTTTCCGGAAGCCGTTGCTACACGGGTAGATGCCGGCGAACTCTGGGCATCAATAGTAATGCTGAGACGTTGGCCAGGTGGAACAGGTTCACCGTGCGCGAGCCGCCCTCCAACGCTTTGTAAAATATTGGCACTTTCGACTGGTGTCCAACAATTTAGAGGTGCAGACCGTGTTTTCTCAGTCACGCCTAGCATAATAAAGACATCTGACGTGGAAATGCAGACGCTACAGGTATAGGGATCTCTATCAGGTCGAGCATAGGTGGCAGAGCGGTACGGAATTGGTGAATCATGGCCATCAAGGTTTTAGATTGAGATGGGAAGTGACAATAAACTAACCAGAAGAATATCTGAGAAACTAGCACTACTGTAGACGCTACTTGTGAATACATTCGCATGGTGATGTCAATAATTTTCCGAACCCCAGTTGATCTCCTTCTCACTGTTTCGCGCGCGGCTTCATGTACACATCCAGCGGTGGCTTTTCCCAGAAGAAGAACACTTTCTGGTGTTGCGTCCAATTCTTGCACTCTTCGGACAGCTCCGGATCGAAGCTCCAGATGATACGCGCGAGAATACACTGCATTTCGAGAAGTGCAAGGCTGGAGTTGTCTTAGCTTGATTGTACGAAGGAACGATTACCTGGAACATACTTTTGACCAATGCAGTTTCTTGGTCCATAAGAGAAAGGCTGGAGCAGTTCTTTGCGGTCCTCGTCGTACCGCTCATCGCCCAACCATCGTTCGGGAACAAAGGCATCCGGTTCTCTGAAGCTTGCAGGGCTGTGGTACACTGCATGCTTTATCAATGGATGATTCTCTCTGGAGACTGTATGTACTAACCGGCGTATTGCCAAATTCCAAGCAGAGTTCCCCCAGGGATATACCGGTCAGCCACTGTGGTGCCACAAGGAGGCGCTACGCGCGGCAACGAGATAGGCACCGGTGGGAACACCCGCATTGACTCCCGAAGGACTGCAAGCATGTAAGACAAGTTCTTGACGCTATTCATGGTGATTTCCGATTCGTCCCTGAAAGACGAGCGGACTTCAACTTTCAGCTTCTCCAAAACTTCAGGATGAACCAATAACAGGTATGTGGTTCCAGCAAGTACTGTTGCTGTCGTTTCCGAGCCTGCTGTTGTGAGGAGAAGGGAGGTATCTCTGATTTCCCTCTGTGTCATGTTCTAAGGACCCCAGGGTTAGAGGCTGCCTAGTAGCACAGAACAAATTTGGTAAAGCTCACATAGTCGGCTCTCTTCTTTAGCATATGCTCTACGAAGTCCGGTCGTGCAACACCGAGGTCAATCCGCTTGTTCACGGTCGCGTCCGCGAATTCTTGGCTCGTTGCGAGTGTTTTGCCCGCCGATAGGAGTGGAGGATAGAGCACCATGTAAAGGGGCTTCAATGCTTTGAAGAAAGGCAGGTCCTGAAGAGATTGGAGCAGAGGTATGAACTTCTGCGCATTTGATAAGAGGCTCACCCAAGGATGAGCTTTGCCTCTGTCGAGGCAGCCGAATGGTTCTCCGAAGGCCAGGTCTCCAACAATGTCAAAGGTGGTCCAGTCAAACCAGTGGACCATGTTTAGGGGTTTCCTGCCATATTCCCCGTGTTCGTGCAGTTTCTGCATAAGCAAGTCGATGTACTGGTTGATCAAAGGCATCTGCTCAGCCATAGCCTTGGCTGAGAAGGCGTGCGCCAGCGTACGCCGAAGTGGACCATGCCTCTCGCGTGAAGCACTTATCAGGCTTGCATCTTGCACCTCGCTAGCAAATCTCTGATCCTTCCCGTTCTCGGCTTGGCCGTGCTTCATGTGGCCACAAATATCCTTCCACGCTCCTTCATGACTGAAAGACAACTCGTTGGGACCAAGACGGACTACCTCACCATGTTTCTTGTGTAGTTCCAGTACATTCTCGTGTGGTTTACCGATTACGACACTCAAGGCTTGCCGCATCGATGTCGCGGCATGCAGTTTTGGACCGGGGAACATGCGCAGTGGGTGGAAGAAGACGTTGTATATGGCTTTAGCTACGCCATAGCCGACTAGCTGCGGAAGGTCAGGTTGCTAAGACGTATCTGTAGTTTGTATGCGAGACGTACCACAACAGTAAACAGTCCAAGGGCCTCAGGCACAGAAATCCAATGGGAAGCTGGTACCTTCGGATCAGTCAGAATCGGCATCTTGCAACAAGTGATGAGAACAGCCTGTGAAGGAAGGTATGGTATCGTCTTTCAAATTGTATGGGTTTTACTGTCATCACTCACAAGTCATTAGGGTTTGTAGCTCTGTGTGGCTCTCAAAGTGGCTCGGAAACAGGCAGGCTAGGCTCCGTGCCGATCGTGGACTTGTACGCCAGCTGTGCCATTCGCGTCAGTTCCAGACGAGTACTATGGTAACGTCGGAAGCCGTTCACCCGATCCGAAATGACATTCCTATACCAACGATCATCAGATCTATGCCATGGGCCAGCGCATTGCGACATTAATGCAGTGCTATGGTGCGCACCTCGCAGATATAGGCTCCAAGTTCCGAGATCCGATGCACGGATCTCATCATCCGGCAATCTGTGTCTGGAACCAGACTAGTCTGGTTTTTTTCCTTGGGACGAACTCGGTCGTACAAATGTCGCACAACAAAGAGATGCCAAGGCGGAGTAAGTACGAGACTTGGAGACTGAACAAGCGGACCCCATACGGGCAGCCAATAGCTTAAAGCTTGGTGCTTCTCTTGTGCCTTGCTAGAGATGCGTGCGCAAAGGAAAAGGCTAGATAATTAGGCTACTGAGTGAGTACTTGCTCAGCAAGCTCATAATGGAAGACATGAAAGCAACTCCATAGTAGTATCAAATCAACCAAAAGGGATGTCTGTGCGCCGATTTCTCGACGTTCACGAGGCCACTTCAGACTGCGGGGGTGACCGAAACATAGCTCTATCATGATATTCATTAGGCTCTTCAACAGGTAGAGGTCTGTCTCGCTTTACACGTCTCCATTAGATTTGTAGAGCTTCTCGTAGACTTTCAATCTGCCGTAGGAGTTGCTTTTGTACAGAGGGTGAGTGTATCGTTCAATCAACCTTTCGGGACTCCTCACTTGCCAGATCCTCCACGGCAGCGCGCAGCAGTCGCTCAATTTCTTCCCAATTTAATATGCTGAGTAATGAAGTTGATATTCCTGGTGACTTCTGCTCTGCTGGCTGGCTGGCTGTGCCAAAACTCTTTCTGGATGTCTTCTGGTCACTGAAGCTTTAGGTTGACTGATAGAGCGAGTTCAGGAGCTCTAGCATATAGCTGATGAGGTCTTGAACGCACAGACATTAAGCAGAAGGGGTGCGTGGGACAAGGACGAAGTATGGCTAAGAGGATCTTGTGCTACTCGCAGTAGTTGATAAAATCTTTGAAAACGTGGTTCTCATAGCGATCTACATTTGAAAGTCGGTCGGCACGTCGAGCTTTCCCTCTCGTGCGACGATCGAACACTTCTTCAAGCCAGGTCCAGCCAGAGGTAGATGAATTGACAAATGCCGTCTCGTGGTCGTGTTTATCTCTTCAACCCAGTTTGATTGTAGGTAAGAGAGGTGACCTGCTATGTGAGAGCTCGCTAACCATTAGCAAGTACACAGCCTATGCGCAATTGGGACACAGCCGGCATTGGCAGCCATATCTGGAGGGTATCGGTCTTGGCGACTTGAGGATAATGAAATAGAAAAAAGGAGTTAATTAAAGCGAGGGAGGAGTACGTCTTTAGCTCCGCAGCTAACATGCTTACTCGGTTGTCATTGGCCAGGTTGCTGATCGGACAGTCGGCTATCGGGGGTTATCAAGCACCGACAAAAGCTTAGGTCAGGAATTTCCACGCGAAACATTTCCTCGATGGCTGTTGTACAACTTGCCCAGCCAGCAGCCCTTGTACGTTCGTCGACCGTTATTGGACATAGTTTCGCGGGTGTCAGTCTGTCCGCTCCGGTCTGATACTTTGATCGTTCAACTGCCAAATCACGATTGTCATAACTTGCACGGCCCGGACCCCTTTGCAAACGTGGCGTAATATTGCTTTGCATCATTGGTAGCGGGTGCTTACCCAGGGGCATAAGGCCCGATGACTTTCACAGCGAACCCAGGTCCAATGCGTTGAAGACGAATAACCGTTGCTCCATCTGAAGTAAGCTTAGATAAATTGGAGCCCGAGAACAAGTATTGGAAAGCCGAGAATCTTTTTTTGGGAGGCACGAATTGTCCGTCATTAGCTCTGCGATATCTTGACCGCCTCTATAAAACACCCATGCTCCGTCTCTACCGTCAACGCAACTACTTCACACCAATCCTCGACTCTGCAACAACTCACACAGCAACGGACGATGCGGACCTCGACGCAAAATCCCGATGAGGGTACGTTTGCCTTGACCATCGATCAGGACGGGTCGGTGGAGAGAAAAGGGACATCCGCAAGTGGCGCGCAACCACACAACGTTTCTGTGTCAGGTCTAATGAAGGCCCTCATTCCCGCATCAATCATCATCCTGGTGGTCTTCTGGATTAACGCGTCTCAAGTGAACGGTATTTTCCTTAATCAAGGAAAGTATGTGAAGAGAGCGAAAGTCGCCTTGGCAGACTTTGATGGCGGCGACTTTGGCGAGGCCTTGAGGTTCGCAGCATCATCGAATAACCAGTCCTACGGATATCCAACCTTCGTCAATATCGATACTTCGCGAGTGTTGCCCGAGCAAATAAGGCACGATGTCTTCGAGGGGAAGTACTGGGCAGCGATTGTTGTGCAACCTGGAGCTTCGACTCGGTTTGAGGAAGCGATAAACGGCACGGCCTCTTCGTATAACGCCAGCGATGTCTACACTTGCTATTCGATGACGAGCAGATACTACAGCTTGTACGCTTCAGGCATTCAATCATCGGCAATCACTGTCACATCCACAGCAGCCGGTATTTTCAGCGCTCAATTTGTCACACAGGTGATTGCCAGTGGGCATTACTCAAACACTAGCGCGGCAGCAAGCGCTCTTGCAGGGCCAGCACAGCTTGTTCTTACCAGCGCGGCATCACAGGAGTTCGAACACTTTGATGGCAAGCCCATCGTCAACACCATCGGTGCGGTGTTTCCCGTTCTTATGCAATTCTTTTTCATCATGGCATGGAACGGAATTTGCAACAGCATGCATATCTACGCCGCATACAATCTACGGAAGCACATTGTCGCCCGCCTTATCTATAGCACCATTTGGCCTATATTCACCAGCCTTTGCTCCGCAGGATGGACCTTCGGATTCAGAGGCCAATTCGACTCCGATGCGAAGATGTTCTTCGCCTTCTGGGCTGTCACATGGGTGTACAGCATGATCAACTTTGACGCGTTGGACATTATGACTGGCTTCGTTCCCATGGCCTTTACTCCATTCGTATTTCTGACGTGGGTAATCTTCAACATGGCAGCATCTCTCGGACCTCCAACCATTCTTAACCCTTGGTACCGCCTAAACTATTTTTTTCCCTCGTTACACTGGTATCAAACCTTCGTTACGATTATCTCAGAGGGCGGTGTGAGTCGGCTTCACTACACTCTGCCGACGCTTGCAGGGTGGCTTATCCTCCTTAAAGCTATTTCTCCTTTGGCTACGAAATACCGGGTGAAGAAAGCTCAAAGAGTTTTCCGTTATTATAATGAGCGGGATGCTCTTGATGCGCCTCATTAATCTATTTATCTATCTCTTAGTTAGAACTCTTACTTATAAGTACTATATAGTATATAAATATAATATAATTACCTTATATATATACCTCTACTCTTTACCCTATTTTTTTAATAGCTTCCTTTTAATAATAACTAGCTTATATTCTACTAATTATATTCTCTTTAAGAGTAAGTCTCTTACTAACCTACTTAGCCCCTTATATACTTATATGGCTAGAAAGGGTTTTAGTATAACTCTAAAATTCTAATAATATTATAATAGGGCCTTCTTAATACTATAGTAAGTGGCGGCCTAGTTAGAATTCTAGTAAGAAATAAGTAGTATATAGGGTTATATTAGTTATATAAAATAAATATTAATTAACTACTATAAAAATATATTACTAAAGACTTAAAAGTAATTTTTCTTAGAGAAACTAAATATAGTAAACTATATTATAAAATAATAATAAAAACTTATTTAGTAGTAATTTATTATTTCTATATACTACTATTTAATTATAACTCTATAGGCTCTATTTATAGATTCTATAAATTTTATAGATTTAGACTCTATATATTACGGCTGCTACGCCGTAACAGAATTATAGGACTTACGATAGTAATAGTAGCGACTAATTAGATTATATAGGAGAAAAGTATAATTATAGGTTAGATACTAAGTATAATATAGATACATAAGAAAGTTACGTAATTAGATCTATAGATCTATAAGATAGAGCCATAGAGCCTAGATCTATAGGATCTATAAATAGAGCCTATAGAGCCATTATTAGATAGTAGTATATAGAGATAATAAATTACTATAGGGTAAGCCTTTATTATTAATCTATAATATAGTTCTCTGCATCTAGTTTCCTTACAGAAGATTACTATTAAGTCCTTAGTAATATATTCTTATAGTAGTAATTAATTAATATTTATACTACACGTAATTTATACTACCCTATACGCTACTCATCTCTTACCAGAAACCTAATAGGGCCACGGCTAGTAATAGAGTCCTAGAGGCCCTATTACACTATAGCTCTATACTTTTTAATATTATAAATTTATAGATCTAATTATATAACCTTATTATATATTTATATTATATTTAGTATTTAATTTATAATTATAATACTTTTTTTTAATTTAATTAGTTACTACTATTATTAGGTTTATTTCTATAATTCTATTATAGTATAGTAGCCGTAATAAATATACCTTATAAGTAAGTATCTAATATAAGTAAGTATCTAATATAAGTAAGTATCTAATATAAATTAGTATCTAAAATACTAAGCCCCTATTAGAATATACTATTACCTATAGTATAATATAATATTTTAACTACCTAATAAGCTACTAGAATCTAAAAATACTTAACTATAGCTTATACTTTATACTATTAAATAAGATATAATACTTTTAATTCTATATACTATAGTAATCTATAGTATATTAGAAAGAGTAATAAAATAAAAATATACTAAAATTATCTTTTAATCTAATTATATACCTAACTTAATAAAGCTACTAAAAATAGAGAACTAGATAATTATTTAGTATATATTTAATCTAGATATATAAAAATTTCTATTCTAACTTACTACTATTAAAAATATAGCTAATTTTTTATTAGCTAAGTAGTATAGTAGTATAATTTTATACTAAAAGGTTATTAGATAGAGATTCTAATTATATAGCTATTCTAGGTTTTATTTTTACTATATTAATATTTTATTATTCCCTTTTTCTACTCTTAATAAACTCTAAGAGCTTATTAGCCTCTTATTCTACTACTCTACTCTATATAATTCCCTATTAGAATAGATATTTACTTTACCTAATACACTCTACTATAGTAGTACTATAATTTTTTTAGCTAGAACTAGACTATATATTTTATTAAGTATTAGCTAGAGCTTATATTTAAGTTTAATTAAAAGTATAATTATAAAAGAGCCCTTTATAAGAATTTTAAAATTATATAAGACTAGTTTATAAAGGTAGAATATATTTAAATTTTTAGTTTTAATATACTAATATATAAAGTAAGGGTATATAAATTAAATATACTTTTTAATTTTTAATTAAGGTTATAGTTATAGAAGTATCTATATTAGAAATAGTAAGGTACTAGAGTAAGATTCTAATTTAGTAAAATATATAAAATAAGGTACTAAACTAGAAATAAATAAATTAGTAATATACTAATTCTAAAATAAGTAAATTAGTAATAATATATAAATTTTATAATATAAATATAAAACTTTTTAAGAGTATTTTTATATAGTTTATTATATTATAAGATTAATATAGAAAGTACTAAAATAGAAATAAAACTATAAAAGCTATAAAATAGTTTTACTAATAGTAATACTAATACTAGTACTAGACTTAGGTACCCCTAGATTTATTACCTATATACTTTTAATTTTAGGTACCCTAACCTCTATTAAGCTCTTAAAGGGTAGATAGTTCTAGAGAAATTAGATTAGTTCTTAGGTAGAAATACTAGTTAGAATAAAAAGAAATTTTATTAATATAGTAGTATTTTATAAAATATATTAAGTTAATAATATAGCCTTAGTAAATCTAAATAATAAATTAATAAATAGGTTAAATAAAAGTATAAAGGATTATACTTAAGTTTCTATATAATAGATATAATAGATATAATAGATACTATTATATCTATTAATAAACTTAATAGATATTACTAGGTTTATTAGTTATATAACTTTATTTAGGTACTACTCTAGTCTAGCTATTTTAATAGGTACCTCTTATAAAAAATAATTATATATAATTAGATTTCTAAAGTAGATTTTAATATTAGCTTCTTTCTTTTAGAATTTATTCTTAAATTATATAACTATTTATAGACTTAGCTAAAATCTAGCTTATTTTACTACTTATATACTAGTCTATTACTATATCTAATTCTAAAATCTAAGCCTCTTAAGCTATAAGAAAAATCTATTAATATAGTATTATTTCTTCTATTTTATATAACTATTACCTATTAAATCTAGGAAGGGTAGCTAATCCTAATTAGGTTAAGGTTAGTTCTTAGGTAAGACTTATAGAGGGAGAAGAAGAGGTTCTTATTAATATAAAAATATCTTATAAAGTATAATAAGTTAATAAGGGAGGCCTAAGTAAATCTAAATAATAGATTAAGAAATAGGTTAAATATAAGTATAAGAGCTTATTTTTATATTTCTATATACTTAGTTAAGTAATAGTTAACTATTACTTATAGACTATTACTTATTAACTATTAGTTATATATTTAATAGTTAACTATTACTTATTAACTATTAGTTATATAACGTCTTCCTTAGTATCTAGTAGTATAGTTAATATATACTCTACCTAGGTAAGCTATTAGTAAGCTTTATTATAATATAAAATAAGGTTCTAACCCTTACTTAGGTCTAGATCTTAATATTACCTAACTATAGATATTATCTATATTATTATACCTTTCTCTAATTCTAAGGCTTATTTTTACTATACTAAATATATAGATACCTATAAGCCTTATATTAATCTATTTTAGACCTCTCTAGATAAAACTTATAAAAAGTACTAGTAAATAAAAATAAAAAGTTATTAAGTAAAATATTAATTTATCTAATATAAAATAAGAAGATATTAAAGTATATAGTATTTATCTATACTATCTCTTTTTATCTCTAGGAAGCTAGAAACCTATTATAAGGTTATATTATAATATTACTAAGTAGAGAATATAGGTATAAAAAGGTATAGTATAAAGATAATATAATTCTAGAAGTAAAGCTATTTACTACTAGAGTAAAGTCCTTTTCTCTTTTTATTATATATAAGACTATATATCTTAGAAGCTAATTACCTAACTAATTAGGTATTCTATAGACTATTATATAGGTAGCGCCTACCTATAGTATAATATTAAAGTAGGTTAAGGAGTATACTAAAATAAAGACTAAGTATTTACTAAATAAGATTAAAAAGTCTAGTAAAATTATTAAAAATAAGAATTTTATAAACACGTCTATAAATTATTCTACTATTAATTCAATAGTAGGTTATTCTAATATAATATAAATATTAGAGAATTTTACTAATTTTTTATTTTTATAGTTCTAGGTATTAATTTTTCTTTTCTTATAAGTTTCTTCTCCTTTAAAGCTTACTTAGGGTATACCTATATAGTAGTAGTAGTTAAATATTTTTTTTAACTATCTAAAAGTAGTTTCTTTAGAGTTTATTCTTTAGTTTCTATATATTTTCTAAGTATAGATATTCTTTCTACTTAACTAACTATTTTTATAGAAATCTATTATCTTAAAAGTTTATTTATTCTACTTTATAGTATATAAGTAGTTTCTTAACTTTAAGTTTAGTTTCTTTTTATAGTTTATAGTAGAACTTAGTTTTAACTAGTATTTTAGAGTCTACTAGTTTTAATAAGAATATATAGAATACTAGATATATTTTTATATCTAGTAGTAATTCTAATTTATAGTTTACTAGTAATACTTATTTAGATATAAAAAATAGTCTAATTTTAATATAATCTAATTTCTTATATTTTTTCTTTTAGGTTTAAAAATTCTTTATAAGTAGTAAAGTATATAGTATTTACCTATACTATTTCTTTTTATCTCTAGAAAGCTAAAAACCTATTATAAGATAATACTATAATATTACTAAGTAGAGGATATAGCTATAAAGAAGTATAGTATAAAGATAATATAATTCTAAAAGTAATACTATTTACTACTAGAGTAAAGTAATCTCCTCTCTCTATTATATATAGAATTATATATCTTAGAAGCTAATTACCTAATTAATTAGATATTTTCTAGATTATTATATAGGTAGTACCTACCTATAGTATAGTAGATATATTTTATCTCTCCTTTTTAGCTAAAATACTATTTTATATTTTTAGTTTATATAAGAAATTACTTACTATTAAGTTTTTTAAGCTTTTTAAAATTCTTTTAGAATTTTTTATATATTTTCTACTATATTTTCTACTATATTAATGGCTTCTTTTATTTTAATATTTATATAAAATACTTAATTAAAAAGATATAAATATTTTTTATAATTTATATAGAATAGTATATATTTTATTAATATAGATATTTTATTATTATATACTAACTATACTATTAGTAGTAATAAAATCTAGTTATTCTTTTAGTTATTATAATAAATATATAGATATATTTCTACTATCTAGTTTATATATTCTATTTATCTATCTATTTATAAATAATAAGCTATTAGTAATTATCTTTTATTCTAATAAGTACTATAAAAATTATTTAGTAGTTTAATATAAAGAGCTTATCTCTATTACTAATAATTATCTTTAGAATTCTATAGTATTTAATAAGTTAATCTAGAATAAAGAAAGCTAGTTTATTAGCTATAGTTATTTTTAGGTATAGTATTAACTTAGTATACTTAGTAAGTTAATATATAATAACTAGTATAGTATTATATTTAATTTCTATAACTAGTGTTACGATTACGGCAGGACTAAGTAAGGTAAGTGGGGAGGATTACACTTAGAATATTAGTAATAGAGGTAAGCTAGATTAAGCCCTATAGGCTAGCTAGATAGGTAGCTTATGTTATCTATTATATAACGAGGTCTAGTATAAGTAGGAGACCCTAGGGACCTTAAAGACCCTAGGGACCTTAGGAGGTCCTAGGACCTTAGAGTCTAGGTGGGATCTCCTAGATAATTATTATAGCTACTACGCCGTAATAGAATTATGGGACTTACGTTAATAATAGCAGCAACTAATTAGATTATATAGGAGAAGAATACGATTACGGGTTAGATGCTAAGCATAATATAGGTATATAAGGGAGTTACGTAATTAGATCTATAGATTTGTAGAATAGAGCTATAGAGCCTAGATCTATAGGATCTATATATAGAGCCTATAGAGCCACTATTAGATAGTAGTATATAGAGATAATAGATTACTACTAGGTAAGCCTTTATTATTAATTTATAATATAGTTCTCTATATCTAGTTTCCTTATAGAAGATTACTATTAAGTCTTTAGTAATATATTCTTATAGTAGTAATTAATTAACGTTTACATAATATATAATCTATACTACCCTATACGCTACTTATCTCTTACAAGAACCCTAATAGGGCCACGGCTAGTTATAGAGTCCTAGAGGCCCCATTATAATAATAAAGAATAGTATATAGTCTAAAGGGACTTTAGAATCTTTCCTATTCTTTATAGTTAAAATTCTATAGTTAAAATTAGAGTATATCTTCTATACTAAGATCTATTAGTCTTTTTATATAATTGTTACCTTACCTTTTATAGTAAGGCTAGGATATTCTTTTACTCCCTCTTTATTATCTATTCGCTCTCGTCTACTAAATACCCATAAGGCCGGCCTAGGTTAGGTACGTGGAAACCCCTTATAATAACTAGGTTTTTAGATTTTAGTATTTTTATTATAAAATCTATTATAATATTTTTCTATAGTACTATTAGTAATTTAATAGCTTATATATCTCTATATTTAAGGTATATTATATATTTATTTTTCTAATAGTCTATATATTAGTATATAAATTTTATTACTATTTTCTTAATTACTATAAAGCTATAGTTTCTTTAGATAAGTTTTATAGTTTTCTTAATACCTAGATATTTATATACAGAGTTATTATAGTACTATCTAATAGTTTTATTTATAGTTCTTTTAGTACTTCTCTAGTAATAGCTAGAAGTTAATTAAGCTCTAGTATTAGTTCTAGAAATCTATCTTTAGTTTTTTAAAAAATTATAAAGAATATCTTAACCTTTTCTTTTACTAGATTACTTTATTAGCTAAGTATATTTACTTATCTATTTTCTTTTCTACTATATAGATAATTTTAAACTTATATTAGCTAGTAGTCTATAACTATTATTATTATTATAGTATAAGTTCTTTTACTATAGTAAACTATAAAAGGTTTTTATAATCTATATAGATTTCTATTATAAACTAGATAATGGTAGGGAAGTTCGGGCGCTTATAAAGGTAGAAGATATAATAACTAGGGTTATAATAAGATAAAGATACGCTAAGTTACTTAGATAGTAGTTACGTAACTTACTTAGCTACTTAGGTGTTATAATTACGGTAGGACTAAGTAAGGTAAGTAGGGAGGATTATACTTAGAATATTAATAATAGAGGTAAGCTAGATTAAGCCCTATAGGCTAGCTAGATAAGTAGCTTATATTATCTATTATATAATAAGGTCTAGTATAAGTAGGAGACCCTAGGGACCTTAAAGGCCCTAGGGACCTTAGGAGGTCCTAGGACCTTAGAGTCTAGGTAGAATCTCCTAGATAATAAAGAATAGTATATAGTCTAAAGGAACTTTAGAATCTTTCCTATTCTTTATAGTTAAAATTCTATAGTTAAAATTAGAGTATATCTTCTATACTAAGATCTATTAGTCTTCTTATATAATTATTACCTTACCTTTTATAGTAAGGTTAGAATATTCTCTTACCCTATTATTATTTATCTACTCTCGTCCACTAAATACCTATAAGGTCTAATCTAGGTTAGGTTAAGTACGTAGAAACCCCTTATAACATTAGGGTTCCTAAATACCTAAGTAGCTAAGAGCTATTATATAACCTACTTAGTTATTTAGGGCCCCTAAGTAACTAAGTAAAATCCCTATATAGAAATATAAGGATAAACCTTTATACTTATATTTAACCTAAGTTTTAATCTATTATTTAGATTTACTTAGGCCTCCCTTATTAACTTATTACACTTTATAAGATACTTCTATATTAATAAGAACCCCCTTTCTCCTTCCCTTAGTAAGTCTTGCCTAAGAACTAACCTTAACCTATTTAGGACTAGCTACCCTTCCTAGATTTAATAATTTCTAGTATTAAATAGCTAAGAGTATAAATTCTCGAGTATTTTAGTACTTTTATAATTACGTAGAGTTCTTTATTATATATATTATATTATATTTCTATATTATTAAATTTATATAAATAGTATATAATAGGATACTATTACTTATTTCTTTCTTTTCTATTAAAAGGGATAGAAAACGTTTACCAAAAATAGGGCAAGGGAGAATTTAGAGTAATACTAACTAGAAATATTATAAGTCTCCTCGCGAGCGCTATAGTACTATTAATATAGTTGCTAAACTAAGTATAATTAAAAAGGTTACTAAGTACGACTAGTTGCCTACGAGAGCTTACGCCGTTATTTCTCGTAGTAATAGTTTCTCTAGGGAACGTTTCGAAGCTTTTTAAAGAATCGCGACGGAAGCCAAGAAGCATGGTAGTTTAATTATCGGACAAATTTGTTATCCTGGTTGCCAGTGCGGGAGCGATATCCTGCCGGATCCAGTCTCGGCTTCTAATGTGCAAATGAAGGTAAGTCTATTTATTGATTCGGGGGGCATGCGCTAACCATGAAAGGATAACGTCATGGGAATGCATGCTAATAGTATGACCCTTTGCTTTACTAAAGTCGATTGAAGAACATTAACTAGTCCGCAGAACCCCACCCGGCTAGCTTAGAGGAGATTGAGGATATCATCGATGGCTTTGGCTATGCTGCGGAATATCTGGAGAGGGCCGGGTTCGATGGAGTTGAGATCCATGGCGCCCATGGGTATTTGCTAGCTCAGTTCCTTTCGCAGTCAACCAACCTGCGAAATGACCATTATGGTGGTAGCCTGCGCAATCGGGCAGTAAGCTTGCGAGGGTGTTCAGATAGCGTTCGGTTGCTTACTTTTCGCAGCGCTTGACTCTCGAAGTTGCAGAGGCAGTCCGCTTGAGAACGAGTCCAGACTTCGTTATGGGCATCAAACTCAATTCGGTGGAGTTCCAAGACAAGGGTCTCACACAGGAAGAGGCGAAGCAACTCTGCATAATGCTAGAGAAGAGTACGTTCGATTTTGTCGAACTTTCAGGAGGCACTTTCGAGGATATGGGTTTCGAACACAAAAAGTAATCTCCCCGAGTAGTCCATACATACCATTGCTCATGTTAGAAGGGAGTCTACGAAACATCGCGAAGCATTCTTCCTCGAGTTCGCCGACGAAATCACACCAGCCTTGTCAAAGACGAAGTCTTACATCACTGGAGGCTTCAAAACAGCCGCAGCAATGGTCCGGGCGCTCGATACGGTGGACGGAGTGGGACTTGGGCCTGCTGCATGCCAAGAGCCTCGCTTGCCCAAATCCATTCTTGAGGGAAAGGTTCAGGCTATCATCAAGCAGCGACCAAACGACCAGCATACTGCATTGGCAACCATAGTCGCTGGTTCACAAATACGCCAGATGAGTAAGGATCAGGAGCCGTTTGACATGAGCTTGGAAGAAAATGAGAAGGCATTTATGAAGCTCATGAATACCTGGATGGAGCTCGACTCATGATCCGGATATGCTTCACTCTGGGTACGTAGATGTGACACTATAGGTGTCCCAAAGCTTTCTGTCCGCCTGATGAAGTTTCTCGGCCACTTCTCGCCAACCTGGCCAGCGCCATGCTCAGCGAGTAGCTTATTTGCCATATCTTGTTCAGCACGTGGAGATAGCGTATCGTCTATGGAAGTATGTGTCTATCACACTTTTTATATGTTTATGTTTTCTAGCTAAGCCAGTTTCTTTAAGTTGGGCTGGTAAGCGCGCCACGGAGTAATTCCAGCGTGCCGTCGTTGTACTGTCATGGAGGGGACTTCATACATATGTACTGTCTGCCGTACGCGTTGATCATTGTTTATAGCTGAAAGAGCTGCGTTAGTAGCGGCTCAACCAATCGAGTAGTAGCTGATTGAGCCATGACGGGCTTGAAGGTGACTTACAAGGTTCGAGGGTGGGCCAGTCGCTTACCTGGGCCGTTCGCTTACCAGATACGTTGAATCGATTATCGTGTTAAGAAGTTCCTTACTGATCTTGAGGAACAGGTCACGCCTTCTGAGATTAATCGGACGAGGCATAACCCGATTCCGGATGTCTTGAAGCAGTGTGCAGGGAGCTCGCTATCCAAACTGAGCCCAGGTATGTCGTCCATGAGCACCTGCTTCAACCAACTCGACATAGCTTCTCTATGGAAAGTACACCTAATGGTGTTCCCAATGCGATAATTGCAGCCGTGCTTGTAGCCGTACTAGGTTCTACATGTAGAGTAGGATAATGTTAATGCACTTGAAAGAATGATATACTTCTGAGCCGTCACTCCACCATTGCCGATCATGCCTACTGTATACGGAGAGGTGCGAGCATCCTGCAAAATACGCTACAACATACCGCGGGACAATAACACTGAGAGTGACGAGGGATGTTCAAGGCTAATACCCGCGGAGGCTTATGAGATAACAGCACGGTGAGTGGAACGGCGCGACAGAGCAGGTGAGGCAGAAACGGACGGTCTGATAGCGGTCAGATTTGATCTTTCTGCGTATTTAAAAATCCTTTTGAAACACACAGATGTATACTATGACTTTGCAACTTATTACAAGACCGAGAACTATGAGCAGAAAAGCATGAAGTAAAGTTCGAGTCAGACTGCGTTCTGTTTTATATAGTATTCTATGCCACAGACACGATCGTTGCGCATTTACCCACCTAGAGAGCTTCCTTTGAAATCCCTACTTCACACTTTGGCGAGTGGTTTCCTGTTCACCATCATGCGGACCACTAATAGTAGGCCGGCACTCGCTAGTGTCAATGAGCCAGCATAAAAGATCGCTGGACGGTACGCCTTGAGTCCGGCTTCGGTTCCGCCATAAGCATAGAGGAGGTAACCCGCAATAGACGAACCCTGGCAAGTAATTGGTGTTTAGTTTCAGACAGGAAGTAGCAAGGTTTACCATGAGGTAGCCGAAGAATCATGACGTGGATAGCGCAGACATAATTGTCGCAAGTTGCTCATCTCCGAAAACAGCGCCTACCACAACCGGCATAAGACTGAAGAATTCACCAGATCCTGCCCCGTTTACTGTTGAGAAGATAATAATAAGCCTAAGCGACGTGGCAAATGGCCACAAGGCTAAAGTTAAAAGGCCGACCAGAAGAAGAGAGAAGATTATACTATTAGTAGGGCTAAGTAGCTTATCTACGCCGAGTCCTATGCCGATACAGCTAATAGTAGAAGCGAAGTTCCACGCTGTAAGAATTCCAGCTCTAGTCTGCGTAGACAGTCTTAGAGAAGTAGCATAAAGTAGCAATAAAAAGAGTAGCATAAATAAGGGAAATATAGCGAATGCTCCCATTAGAAGCTTAACAACGAATTTAGAGCCTAAAAGAAGACGCCTATTTAGTTAAGTTAGCCTAATGCCACAAACTTAACAATACTAAGAACTACCATTACATCTTCGTTACAGTACGTTGGTTGCTTCTAGGTGTTTTCAAGAAATACGATGCCGGAATGCAGATAATCTAGGCTGCTGTGCCTAGGACTTTCAGCGCAGTCTCTAACCTAGCAACATTAATCAACTTCTCTAGTATTAGCGCAATAATAGCAGAGCCTACTCCTGCGCCGCTATAAACTATTCTAGTCGCTAAACCTCGCTTCCATTTAAACTAGAGGGACGGGACTGTAGCAGTAGGCTACTGAAGTGATTAGCAATTGGAGAATTGACATGATTTTCGGAGGATATGGATACATGCCAGAAACATGAGGGCAGCTCCGACTCCGAACAGAACCCCTGTGTGATGAACATAGCCGGCATTGAATGCGTTGACTATCCTGCAGTGAATTCGCCGAGTCCGAGGAGGAAACTGCCAGTGGCTGCGGTAGCTCGGTAGCCTATGCGCTTGATGATGCGCGCAACAATAGGGCCAGTGAGTGGAGAAATGGCCGCTGCAACCGATCCGATGAAAGACAAAGTCGGGACGGCAGCAAGTTGTCTTCTCTCCAAATGGAGTTGTATGATACCGTACGAGTACACAAGGCTAAGGTATACAAAAGAGATAGCTGCGCCAGCTATGACGACAGGCCAGCCTTCGTTCCGATCCCATACATTGCCTTCAACGTGTCGCTCTTCTGGCAGCTGAGTAAGTACATTTGGACTCTCAACATGGTGCTGATTCAGTCGTTCGAGTCGGAATACAGCCTCGTCGGCCTGGTGTCTCCTGGTAGTACTGCGCGGCGTGATGGTGTGCGTGGAGCTCATCGCAATTATTCGAGATGTAGTGTCCTGCGATGGAGTTGCCTTTGCCTAGAAGAAGACATTAGATGAAAATTAATTTCCATGCTACATTTTCGCCAAATTTTAAGCTCTAATGCTTGCAAGCGATGGCCAGCGATTGTTTTCTGGCGCGAGAAACTACGCAGTGATTATGACAACAGACAGCACGTGAGCGCAGCCTAGCGCGCTTGCTAGACGGCCTTATCGGTCCTTTTCAAAGTCTCCGCTGGACCGTGGTCGCTTCCGACGGATCCCTTTGGCGACATGCGGTATCTTTCATCATAAATTTGGTGATTCAAACGAAAATACATGACATACTACGTACCGCTAGTTCCAGCTCTCTTTTATTTGAATGTGGACCTTGTCATCGGTGAGCAGGACTTCGAGAGTTGAATACTCCAGTCGTGATCCTACAACTGCGCTAATCTGCGCACCTATTGTGTTGTTGGAGGATGGGAGGGAAGGAAAGAGTGAGTACCACCTTAAAACTGGCCGAGATGTCTACGCTAAATCTAAGCTGAATATCGGAGGGAGCATGTTCCTCTCGAATCTCAGATTGGGTTTACAAGCCCTTAGCGAGTGCTCTCCGCACTCTAGCTTGTGGAATTCCGGTTGGCTTCGTCCGTTCCACGCGCATAAATAGGACCAGTATCGCGAACTCGGAGATGGTTGCGTAAGTCTCGTAACAAGATACGTAGTAGATGGGTGAGCTAAACCAGCTCCTCGAGGCTTGCGCTTCGGCATGTGGGTTCAACCAAGCGTTACTGGTGACAGACGCACGTAGACGAAAATTCTATAGACCTTAAATATTACTACTACCACTTCTACCGTATAAACGGCGGGTCGAAATTCCTAAAATAGATCTCTCTTAGCAACCGTTTAGGTCAGTTAGGCTGTTTTCCATGCAATAGCTGCGATCTCTCATTTCCGGATGTGGAACGGGTGTGGGACGGCGGGTACTAGGTTCAATCGGCTCCACGGCTGCAGAAAGGCGTGTCCACATCCTCTCTCGCCTTCCCATAACTCTTCTGCACAAGCCATTTCAGAACGAAACTCGGTCAGGTAATTTCAAGTTTGCCTAGTGTCAAAACATACATCCTTTCCTACAAGATCACTACACATTCGAACATTTCAATTCCGAGAAGCTATACTCGGATAAAATAGAGGCCATGAGGGTCAGTCGGGTCGTTCAAGTCCAGTTCAAGGATGGTCTAGATACCACCATAATCACAAATGTACTTACATTTTCAATTTCGCCATCGGCTTCTTTCCTCCCTTTTGAGAACGATAGGGAGATGACCTTGGCTAACTTTAGTTGTCGAAAAGGCCTTGAAACGTGTTCTGGCGATGAAAAAAGGATGCATCAATCCACAAACTCATGAACCGTACATGTTATCTATCAAAGTCGGTAAGGATACCTCGCCGGAACCACTCAATGTACGTCCTTTCATCTACTCAGTCTCTAGCTTTAGAAGCTACCTCCGTAATTTTATTCTTGTAGCATTTCCTCAAAGGGTGTAAGCCCCCAGTAACAATCATGTTTTACTAATAGGTTGCAGAACGATTTCACACATCAGTTCTTAATTGAGTTTCAAAGCGCTGCGGATCGGGATTATTACTCAGCTAAAGATCCTGCGCATCACGCGGTCATAGAAGCTCTCACACCACTATTTGAGAAGGTCCAAATTGTTGATATCATCGATGGTGAGTTTTAGTCAACGTATAAGATCCAAAATTTTCTTGATGGGATAAAGAGGGATGAGAAAATGTAGCCTGTATCCGCAACAGATGTATGAAAATCAAACTCGAATTGTAGAAATTAGCACCAGTTAGCTATCGACTACTCTTTTCTTGAGTGATGCACTAACATTGATTATGCGCCAGCAAACTGTAAGGCACAATCTATGAATCTCATACATAGGCCTTCGGGACGTGTGAGCCTATCATGGGAAGTAGCAGCAATCTACTGGCCTCAAGGTTTCTTGAACATCCCATGAAATGTATTACTTGCAATCTATCATCGTCAACTCGAGACTATCGTCACGTCCAGAAGCAATTTTCGTGCCCGCGGTACCACATTGAACCGGTCATTCATCTCCATATCCGCTTCTGTCATTGAAGGATTCAACGTCAGATGTAGTCGACGGAAGACCTTACTAATAGCTAGGTAAATCTCAGCTCTGGCAAGATTCTGACCCAAGCAGTTCCTCGGGCCGATCGAAAACGGAGTAAGTGCAGCGTTCATGTCTGTATGGGCATCTTTATCCAGCCAGCGTTCAGGCAAGAATGTCTCTGGTTCAGGGAATAATTCCGGGTCCTGATGGTGAACATAATTCTGCATGCCGACGACCGTTCCCTCTGGTAGAAGGATACCCTCCCTTACGGCGAGCGGAGCCTCTAAAACTCTTGGAAGTGTCGATATGATGGTAGGGAAAAGTCTCATGGTCTCTTTGATCACTGCATCGAGGTACGGCAATTCTTGTAGCTCCCGAATTGTCTGGCCAGCGTTTTTCAGTTCTTCTCGGAGCTTAATTTGCAGTCGTTGACCATCAGGGCGCGCGAGTGCATATAACAGGTAAGTCATAGTTGTCGAGGTCGTACCGCTGCCAGCAAAAGCAATCCCCATAGCTTCTTCGTCAACTTCGCTTGCGGTCAGCCGCCTGCCCAAGAATTCGTCTTCGTTAGTTAGAAGAGGAGTGACCAAGAACCTCTGTGTCTTGTCGAATGAGTTCTCCGTTTGCTTAAATCGATTGCACAGGATGGTAGTCATGGCGTGCCATTGATCAAACTGTCGGTAGGAATGACCGATGGCGCCAGGAATCATCCTGCCAATTGGCTTTTTTAAGAATGGTGCAACAGTTTGAATCGCCAACGACATGGCGCCTTCATCCATCGCTTGAAGAAACTTCCAAGACTCTGCATCGATCGACTCTTCATAATCGCGGTTGAAGGCGCTTTTCAAGACGACTTCGAGGCTGAACAGCCCGCAGAGTCGGTAAGCCTCGACCGTTCTCCCTGAGGGTGATAATTCAGCGTGACTGATCATTCGTCGGACCATAATGTCGGCCTTCGATGCAATCAGGGGTTCGTTTTCGAGAATTGCCTGCAACGAGTACGGTCTGGATTGCATCTTGCGGCGTGCCCGATGCTTGGCCCTATCTTTGAAGGTGAAAACATTGTCGTGTCCCAGAAAGTTTGCGATATTGTAGCTATCTGTTTTCCGAGTGCTCAGGCTGCCACCATAGATGGTTTTGTAAAGCCTCCAGTCTCCGAGAGAGACCTCGTTGGGGCCTATACGAACGACTGGGCCGAATTCTCGGTGAAGTTTCAGGAGACTCTACCAGGTGATCAGTTATCGTGGCATGTGACCTATAGACTAGTTTCTCACTTGAGCTCTACCAAGTTTTGCTTCCGCCGGGACAAGGTAAAAAGGTGAAATTTTCGCAAATGTAGGCCCAGGAATTGCATTTAATGGGTGAAAAAACAGGTTGTGCAAGACCTGTAGAAGTTCCACGTTAATTAATCAGACTATACCAGATGTTTAGGTTTGTCGAAGTTGGGCGTAGTGTTCAAGACAACGATGAGATGTCACTTACCGAAAAGATAAGCTTCGCGAGGAATAGGAATATGGCAGCTGCTATAAGCAAAGTACTGTCTTTATTTAGGTCTATAAGGTGACCTAGCATGACTGCAACAGCTCCGAGTTGTAGTATAAAGTGTTTTAACGGCTGAGAATGTATGATTGAATATACCCTGGCCCGGTAGCTTAACCAAGCTGGGGATGGAGCTTTATTCTATGCAGATAGTGGAGTCATGAGAGAATTGAAACCCTATAGCATATCAGCGTCAACAAGTGACCGTTTGGGTATCAGGAGCCTCTAGGAGGGAGAATTTACCTTCAACGAAACATTTCCCAAGTACGCGACTTTCTAATATTTGGTGGGTCTTTAGAGATTTCCACCGGCTATTGCTCTGGAAGTCCATAGGAGAGGTTTAGCCTTTGTAATTGCGAACTCGGCACCGATTCTTCGGAAGTTTCGGCCCCACACTTGCTGGGGAATCCTCCTCGCTTCGATGTACCAACTTCGGCGAATTATGATTAGGGCTTGAATTGTGGAGCCGCTGGAATCTGCGAATTTCCGGAATTGCTAGGGAACTTGTGAGCACTATCCCACACAAACCCTACTGGCCACTTTGGGTATCACACAGGCGTGAATCTCTAGCGCATACCTTGACACAGCCCGTGGGGCCCCAGATTATTTCATCTCGACGATACACAACTAACTCAATATGGCGGGACTCAGTGACACTGTTTGTAAGCATGCGACACGAGCAAGATGAGTTACATTCAACTCATGCCTATTCAATGATAAATCACTTTCTTACGCTTTACAAAATCTGAGAAACTTAGGCCACGGTTCAAGTTAGTTAAGGACCTCTTTCTGTCCTGGAGGTAAAGATGGATGGAACTCTATAAGCAATGAACAGGTAGGTAGTCTCTTATTGCGACTCCAAGATCCCTCGAGGGACATAGACAGACATCTTGAATTATGGAGTGGTTTGGCGCTCGAGTGATTTTATCACTACAGTTGTTTACTCGACGCAGGAAAGCAGTCAGGTGTTTAAAGCTATCAGATACTCGTAGACTTTATTGTGGTGACGCGCGTAAGAGTTTGACATGATCTCATTGCTTACTGAAGTGCGACTATGCTTGGTTGCTCTATGACCTCTCTGGAATAATTGGCAGAAGCAACCAGCTATCATCGCCTCCAACATGAACGTTGTTCAAGCCATCAAAGACTTCTAATTTCCTGTCTTCAGTATGACCATGCGAAAAGTGACCCACACCCTGAGTATCGTGTCCAGCCACCTCAAACACCAAGGTCTCTCCCTCCTCCAACACGACATTTGTCGGCCAAACCTCTACATCAACTTCGTACAACTCACCCACCTTTACCTCCTGCACCTCCGACCCGCGATAATTCCGGTATGGTAAGTACGGACGATGGAGAGAGTTCGAAGGATCAGTCTTCCGCAAAGATACTCGCTGCCAACCCTTGACGAGCGGGACCGGGTCGCCCATTGTGCCGGTGTAATAGATCTCAGAGCTATCTTTCGCGAGCTTTCGGAGAGTAACAAAGAGGTCGATGTCCGTGGGTGTCTTCCCATTCTTGCTAGATGACGATATGTTTAAGTGTGCGAGTATGTGACCAGTCAACTCTAGCGTGTTGGGAACCGTATAGCGGAACCACACTGGCTCACCGGCCAATGCATCATACGAAAAGGTTTTCTTCTCACCTTTTGGCGATTCAGATAGCTCGTTACTTCCGTTTAAGAAGAATTTTGTATACTTTGTGTCAGGAATCGGCCAATCCGCTTCACCGCGCGTTGGGAAAGCAAGCTCCCGCTCCGGATCATCGACACCGCAGTCTCCCTTCCTTAAGCATAGCTTGACTCGCGGCTGTTCACCACTCTTCCAGCCATCATAGTCATTATCCTTCAGGAAAGCATCGAAGAATGACTGCTGTAACTTGGCGGAATGGTCATAGTAGAATGGCAAATCGTGTCGACCGACGATGAAATGGAGGAACTTATACTGAGAGGAGGCGCGCATCCATCCGAGGACATTACCACGAAGATGGAGAAGAATTCCTCCCTGTTCATGATCATCAGTGAAAGTAAAACTTTGAGAGCGATATAGTCATACCCAGTTTGCTACACTGAGTAGCGGGACCTCGATGTCCTCGACTTCGAAGTTGCGACTGGCGTAGTATTCCTCGTCTAGGAATCGGTGAGAAGCCGTGTCTTCCATCTGATTTCGTCGGTTCGTGATCAAGGTCTTCTCGTCTAGATCTCCATCTAAAGTATCGAGGCCCCAGTTTTTAGCTGCACGACCAGGCTTTCCGTACTGGTTTTTATCAACGGCGTTCTCCCACCAGAATTCTAGCGGGACACCATTAGCTTCTGTAAACGATCTGCAGCTTAAAATTACTCACTGATGAACTTGTCAGATAGGATACCACCGTGCCTCACGCGATCACGATAATAATCGCTCATACCCTCCCACGGAATAATAGCTGCCAGCCCCTTCGGCCGCCTTGCAGCAACCCTCCACTGCGTCCCGGCGTAGTAACTAATACCCAATAGTCCTACTTTCCCAGATGACCACTCTTGCTCTGCACACCACTCAATCACGTCAAAAAAGGCCTCGCTGGTACCGCGAGACATAGTATCAAGCTCCCCGGGACTTTGGCCAGCTCCACGTTCATCCACTCGTACAACATTGTAGCCCTTTGAGGTCCAATATCCAGGGTCTGGAGTTTCCCAGGCTGCGTGCTCGGATTTCATAACTGGGTTGAGTTGATCCCAGGATTTGGGAAAGAAGACTTTGTAGGGGACGTCTTTCCCGTCTGTGCAGACAATTAGTGATCTGAAGTATCTATTTAAGACGATTGGTGCGAAGATACGTACATGGGCCGTAGGTCGCAATGACTGGATATTTCTTGTTGCCGAAGGGCGCTGCATCGTTGGGTAGATATATGTTGCAACGAAGGAAGCCGGTGTCATATGTCTGCAAAGGAATATCCTTGTGTTGCATAAACACATAAGGGAAAGAACCGCGATCGATTTTTAGGTACTTATCAGAAGCCATGATGGTTCTCGTCTGTGAATTGCTGCGGGTCACTGTCTTGGGTGTATTCCGCAGGTGATATGTCGAGCGCAAGAGATGTCGCAATCCCCAAACCGGTCGAGCGAGCTAATCTCCCCACTTGGACCCTGTTCAATCCTTACAACCATGTTGAACTCGTTGGAGCTTGCTAAAAGCCAATGGGGAATGACTAAAGTGTACTTCCGCGTATTCCCGGTTCGAGGTGAGTAGGCTGGTACAGTGTCGGGTGGGCGGAATTACCTAGCCCATCCCCCGTGTGGGTGCTCGGTTCGGCTCCACAACGTTCGCTGGTCTCAAGCCACAAGCCCGTCAACCACTCTGCCTGTGTCGGTCGTTAACTTTAGTCACTTTCGAATGGAGGGCTAGCTAGTCGTGCCGAAGCGGCTCAAGCTCATCTGTCCGTACCTTGGCTCGTACGCGTCTTCTTTCCGCCCATTTTCAGAAACTAAGTCTTTTCGCCCAAATTGACCCTGTTGATGCCCACAATCCACACAGCAACACCATGGCCGCCGTCTCCTCAACAACCGTAGTCGATCGTAACGGGTCTCGACATCAGAGAGTTGATCCAGGTCTTCTCACATTGCTCGCCGACTACGACATCCATCAATCGACTCCGCAACCAAACGATACCGAGGGCAACGTCCAGGTTGGCGGACAAGTGCGTCAACGCCAGCCCGACGAGTTCGATCCCACCCTTGCGGCTCATCCGACAATTGCACAACCGGTCACAAATCCAGAATGGTGGCAGTCCTCGTATAGGAGGGTACCGGTGTATCGGCCGGCGAATAGGGAGCTTGATCTAGAAGAGAGGCGGCAGAACGCGGTATTTAGGACAGTAGGAGCTGTCATGGTGTTCGGGTGCATGACGATTGCCGTAGGTTCAACACCTGATGAGATCTTGCAACCGTAGCTAACTTGAGGTGCAGTCAAGTGGCTGGGCTTGGAGGAATACGCTAGGAAAATTCACGGATATTGGATTACACAAGGTCGGTGGAGAGTGGTAATAAGGTACTTGGAAGCTTGGTGCAGTAGTTTACATATTTCCTTGAGACTTCTCAATCTGGTAAAAGGAATCGAAGCCATGTCATAACTCATTTGCAAAGACATCAGAATTATATTCCCTGATCAGTCGATTATTCGCAAAAAATCTACCGCAGCCCATGGTTTTAGCCATCAAAACTCTTGGCTACTGATAGCATGATAATCAATAAGTCCTAATAACGTCTATGACTAGCCACCAGAGGCATAGATCTCTTCGAATGATCGACATTCATTACAGCAATTAGTCCGTCACGGAAGCCAAAACATGTGACGCGAGGTGAATGAGAGAACCGAGTTTGAATTTGAATTTGGATTCAAAATTTCATTACATTGGTTTGTATGCATCCCAACTACCAAGCTGATACTGAGTATTGCACATGTTGACCAGCTCCCAGCACTCAGCAATCATCGTGTTTGGGCCTTGATCATCCTTCCCTCCAGCAGCACCGACCGCAAAGAGCGAAGCCATCCAATGGTCATCTGTCCCATGTGCATCCTTGTATCTAGGGTGCTTCATCATTCTCGTGATGGCTCTTCGGAGCTCTGGACCCGTGTTGTTGGTGATATTGTCCTCCACAGCCTGCCTGAACTCCAAAGCCCACGTTCCCGGTGGAACAGGCTGAGCAAAATTGTCACGGTACAACATCATATCTGCCCAATGGTTGCGATACAAATTATGTACGGAACCTCCGCTTCCGATAATCAGTGTGTCCTCATAGCGTAATGGGCGAAGCGCGGCGCCTATCTTGAGATGGAAGTGCGATTCGTATCGTGCATTCATGGAGACGATAGTCGTAGGAAGTGGAATGCAATGTGGAAACATGCGGATGATGATCAAGAAAGTGTCATGTATCCAGTCGAATGTAGGAGCTGCTTTGACGTTGAAGCCAGCGGCTTTCAGGAGCTTCATCACATGTTCGCCCCCTTCAATGTCCGGTTGTACTTTGTAAGGGAGATATCGCGCGTCTTTGACAGAGCCAACTGGAAGCATCTTTGGGTTTGGGTTCATGCTGACTTCGACTGTGTCTCCTGGAGACTCCCAATGTGCGCCCTAATGAGACCTAATCAGCTGCAAGGGTCGTAGCGGCTACGGAAAGCAGCATACCATCATCACTATCCTCTTGACACCCCTTCTCAAAGCCTCAGTACCGACTTGCTCCCAAATCCTTGCTGGTTCAGATTCCTCGCCTAGCATCATGGTTGAGCCATGAGCGAACAGGAATACCGGAGTGATTCCTGATATGATCAGCCTTCGAGCTCCGGAACCTAGTGACGTTGGCGCCCACCTTGACTCGACTTTGTTACCATTGTCGTGTAATGTTGAAATGCTCTGTCAGATTGTCCTATTCGTCTTCGAAAGGAAACCCAGGTGTCCTGGAATGAAAGCCGCGAGATAAGGCTTTGATCCAAAATCGATCCCTGTGCATTGCACAGGTCCTAAACGCGTCAGCATACTAATGTTAGCGTCTTTTACATCCATAGCAACGCGAGTAGCCGCCACTCCGTTGTTGCACAAGTGGAAAGGAGGAGGCTGCATGTGGAGCCGACCCGCACCAACAAGCTAACGCGGAGGACGGGATCACACGGAGCACGGAATCGCGCGGAGGACGGAATTACGCGAAGCGATGCCTCAGACGCGACGCGACAAGTTCGAAGTATCCTCATGCAGGGACCAAACGCTCAGCTTGGGTGAGTTTCGCCTACAATTCAGCGTCAAATCCTTGTGCACTACGACGTCGAACCTTTGAACACACCTTATCCAACCTCGGCGAACATCATGTCAGCTTCAGAGATCGTCGAACGCGTCGCCATCTCCTGGATTGAAGGCCGATTGGAGAATGTGCTTGAAAGGCAGAAGCAGCTCGCAGCTTTGCATCAATCACTTCGAAAGCGATCGGACAATTTTGTTTACGCGGTGCAGAAAGGCAAGCCACCATCCATTCGTTTTCGTGAATGAATACACACAGTACTGACTGCACCTACGAAGACCTCAGCAGTCCCACAGAGCTTGCCACATCGGAGCTTACTACCGCTCTCGATGCTATCAACGCCTTATACGAGCAATTGGATTTCCACGAGGTGCTAGCCATAGAACGGAACTTGAAGAAAGGTGGAAATGCAGCAAGTTTCTTCGTTCCTCTTGGGATGACATTGATTGTGCAGCTCTCGTCATCTCCCATCATTTCGACTCTGTGCCCACTAGCTGCAGCATTGGCCGCAGGCAATCCTACGATTGTCCTCGGTTCTCCCACTGTTTCGGCCACTAGTGTTCTTCTCGAGGAAGTTGTGCTGGAAGCTCTAGACCATGAAGCATTCCATTTCGAAAACTCCGTTGATGCATCAAGATATGAGAGTTTTACGCAGGAGCCTTATGCGACAGTCGTTGTTCACAGCCTCGAGGCAAGCCACACAATTGGACTACTTGTACGCAACGCCAACCCGTCAGTCCGAATACTCGAGCCGTATTATGGCATACCCGCTGGTATAATTGACCGCAGTGCTGGCGGTTCAACAGGTGCAGCTGTCAAGCAGATTCGGAAAAGCGTATTAGGTACGCAATCCTGCGATACCAACCTCTACAAGAAAGCGCTGATTGTACTGACACCTCCAGATGGCTCAAAGGGCAACCCGTTTCGATTCCCAAGGCTTTTTTTCGTGGATGAGTCCGTCATTGTTTCTGTTAAGAATAAATTGAATACACAGCAGGGAAAGGCAACTAGTAAGCTCGACGAGTGGCTTCGAAAGTACTACAGTGGCTCCGTAACCAGATATTCGACAAAGACAGGTGGTAAAAAGCAGATCTCAGAGTTTCCCAGAGTAGAGTACGTCTATCGAAGACGCTGAGTGTGGCCTTGAAACTAATTGTGTTGTAGTGCCGCTGAGATAGTTAGGTCGACGGATGGCTCCGAGATTGCTCTTGTTCCTACAAGGAGCTTAGATCATACCATCGATTTACTGAACAAGATGTTCGTTGTCCTTGAAGCGTTCAAAACGTGGTACTAACTCCTCCGCAGCAATGCCGGCACCGGATCTCAAGTCATCTACGTCTTCGCCGGCGGCAAAGAAGCCTTTTACCTCGGAAATTTCATCACCACATCGCACGTGTATATCAATGAGATACCAAATCACTCCCTTGGTACGTCTCCAGGTGGTAAACAAACAACATCGACTTCACCGCTAATTCTTCGAAGTTCTTACAGCTGGCCGCTCCGCGACCGATACGACCACGCACGCTTACCGCCTCGAAGACTTCTCTGAACTGAAGACAATGCTTCAAGTGTCACCAGTTGGCTCTCATAGTAATGCGAGGAGGCCAGCCAAGCTGAACGCAAAGAAAGTGAAACAGTTTCAAGGTGGACGTATGTCGTACTTCGAGCAAGGATTGATACTAGGGGCGGCGATGGGCCTTGTGGCGTTGACGAGTCTTGGGTTTCTTTCTTATAGGAGCCTTAAAGCGTACTCACTGAGATGAAGAAGTCTTGTTGAGCCGAGCCTAGTCTATGGTAAGAGCTGGTTTTCAACATTGCCTGTAGCGATATACAACTTCAGACAGCACACTTTTATAACCATAATCAACTGTACAAGACAAAATGAAGGTACGGAAGCCATGGAAAGCGGTATTCATTTCTGTGATTGGGCTCATAAATGCAAAGTCGACATATGTGGATAAGAGACATTGTGTCTGGCAAGTAGCAGATCTAGCAACATACATCAAGTTGGAGCAAGGTCTTGACTATTTGAAGGGCTGACGGTGGGCCAAGGATATGCTCGATACTTCTCCTATGGCAACGCACATGATGCCTAAGTTGGCTGTACGGTAGGTTCAGGATTGCATGATAGAAACGCAGGGCTAGTCCATATGTGACGTAATGAAAGAATAATTTGGTTGGTATCAAGATCACAGCTACCTATAACAGTCTCAACATCCTCCGAGCCTTCCGCATTTTGGGTGAAACTACTGTCCAAATGGAGCAGTAAGGGGCACCTCGATGTAGCTCTCATGTTCCCCTCCATAATGCACATTATGTCGTCCCTTGTTCTCAGTCCTTGTCTTCCCATTCAGCATGTCCACTTCCAACGGCGACATATAATGGCCTGAGATCTTAATCGCAAGCGACTCGCCCGCCTCGAAAGCCATACCAGCCGGCCAAATGGGGATTTCCAAGCGCACCACCGTGCCAGGTTTGATCTTTTCCTGGCGATCATGCTTGTAGATCGGCCATGAGTCGTTCTTGGTGGAATCAATCTTTGTCACGGCGTGACTAGCTCGCAAGCTCCCGTTGGGCCCATAGTACTTGAGGAAGCAACTGTCTGATACTTCCGAAGCGTCTTTGACCGGGGGGATGAGAGCGTGGGCGGGAACATTGAGTTGCAGGGTTTTGCCCCCAGATTTGTTGAGCTTGCGCAATTGGACGTAAATATCGAGATCGTTGGCTTCGTCGGCGGATAGATGCAAAACGGCTTTGGAGTAGCCGGCGAGCCACGTTGGCTTGTCAAACTTTGTCGAGAAGACGAGTTCCTCTGGGTCGTTATCTAGACCTTGTGGGATTATGTCCGATTGGTAGGACTCGGTTGCGGATGAGCTGCTCGGCTTGGATGAGAGCTTGCCCTTCCCAGCAAGGTAGAACTTGATCTGCTTCGCTTGGGGGATAGGATACTGTGTCGTCTCGATATTCGCGGGAGGCTCCTGGGCATTAGGTCAGCGAAGCTCGAAGGAAATCGTTAGAGCTGACGTACTGAAGAGTCGAAAGGAAGAACAGAGAAGCGAATTATTGGCGTCTTCTCCCACCCGTTCGCGGCGCCTTTGAGGTAACGATCGAAGAACTTCTGAAGGTCCTTCGTACCATATTCAGAATACAAATCGTACCATTCTTGTGTAGGATGAATTCGAAGCCTGTGGAGATAGTTTAGCACGAGCAGCAGACCAGCTGTTACTACTCGAGACGTACCACTTCTCCTTGCTACTGATCTCGTTGAACCCAGCAATTGAACCAGACGTGTGCAGAGAAGAGGAGTAACTGGCCAGTACGTATGCAGGGACATTGATCTTCTCCACCTTCGCACGTTTGTCCTCCCAGTACTCGTTGTAGAGAGGATATTTCTGCAACATCTTGATCACGGCTTCGGCCTTTCCACGACCGACCATGGTGTCCTGAAGCATGCCCCACATGAGATCATATGGATATCCAATACCGCCGCGTGCCAGAGTGTCACGGTAGAAGTCTTGTGCGCCCTCCCACGGTGCAATGGCAACTAGATGTGGGGGTCGTTCCGCCGCGATGAACCATTGAGCGATACCCAGCCAGCTGTTACCAGCCGTAGCAACCTTTCCGGAGCACCAATCGAGCTGTGCAATATACTCGATGGCGTCATAGCCATCTTGCCCATCTTGGGTACCGACCCAGCTTTTTACGTGGCGCTTAGCATCTGCTTTGGTACAATGTTGTGTGCGTGACTTACGGGATGATTCCTTCTGAATCCCAGGCTCCTCTCAGATCGAAATTCACGATAGCGTAGCCCTTCGCGACCCACTCCGCTGGGTCAAGCCCTTCGAACTTCTCGTAGGTACTAGTCCTGTCAAAGGGCACACCAAAGCGACCCGGTTGTAAATGGAGGCCATGCACACCTGGATACCACATACATTAGTAAGTCCGTAATTCCAAGCAGAAATGACGGCAGCAGCTCACCATTATTATCTTTGCCGTAGGGGCTCCAGAACAGGATCGCGGGAACTTTCTCGTCAGTTGTAGGCCTGAATACGTCTGCGCGAAGCTTCACCCCATCGCGCATGGGAACAGTGAAGTCTTTCTCCCACACAACGTCCGACTGGAATGCTGCTACGTCATCTCGGCCAGGTCGCTTATGACCCTTAAGCAGAATCTTCTTCGAAGGATCGAAACCGCTGTAAGGACCAGCTTGCTCTGAACCAGGCGGATTAGCATCCACGAGCTCGACTTCGAAGCCGTTGATTTTGAGAGACATGAGTGAGTGTGCGACTGAGATATTTAGAAAGGAGTTCCTTGATGTGCTCCTCGGTTGTCATAGCATTTCTTTCATATAACGTAGGACTAAGATCGACGCTCCTAGCATGGCAATTGATCTTAGCGGAGTTTACGGTGTTAGGCACTGAACGTTTCCCTGACCGTGGTGGAGTGTGGGGAAGCTCGCTAGCAGCTGCGGCCTCGCATGAGGATGCCAGCTTGCGGAGCCGTGTGGACTTCCGCTTTACACCGAAACGTGCAGTGCGCGGAATTTACGCGCGCACGACGGCCTCTTCATGCGTCAAAATACGGGGACTTTGTCGAAAACTTGCGTAGCCCAAGTTTGATGACGGCGGCAGTGCTTCGGTTTGGACGCTCCAAAGACCATTTGTGAGCTCCGACACAATTTTACTGTGCAATCCCTAGCTACTTTGCACATTGCGAACCATATGTCCGCACCATTCCGTCGTGTCGTAACCGGCCACAAGGACGGTAAGTCCAATGTGTTACTCGACGACAAGCTTGAGCTCAATCCGGGATTCGCCTCGAACGCCGTCACACTCTGGCTGAACCACCAATACCCTGCCGAGCTCGCCGACTGCGATGCCGCTGCAGAAGGCGGCGTCAAGATCAGCACCAAAGGCTCACTGATTCGCGTCGTCGATTTCCCTCCAAATTCGCAAGGGCATAATCACCGCACCAGAACTCTGGACTATGGTATAATCATGGATGGAGAGATCGAACTGGTGCTCGAAGATGGATCGAAGACGGTTGTGCGCGCAGGAGAGGTGGTAGTGCAGCAGGCAGTCAGTACATCCTCCCTAGCTTTGATTTTATATAGCTGACTGTGCGTAGACAATGCACCAATGGAACAACAACACGGATAAGGCGTGTCGGGTGATCTTTGTTCTTTTTCCATCGAAAGCAGCAACAGGCCCTGATGGAGAAGAGTTGGGTGATGCGGGTGTTCCCAAGAAGTTTCAAATGGACGACTAAAATACACTTATTATACGATAGAAGAATCTGATGAATGTGGCATCCGTTTACCTCTCGTGAGACATGATGCTTGTTATTGTGAAGGTAGCCTCTTCTATTTACAGCCGTGACGAACTCAGCCATCGTTGAAAACATGATCAATTTGTTCCATCGCCACCGGCTATGGTTTTGCCAGATGTACAAAGATATCAGCTCCACGTGCGTTCCCAAGTTATTTCATTCGGATCTTACAAGTCAGAAACGGTCAAGCAAGCCGTGATAGTGACGGATTCGTTCAATTACCCTTTCAAAACGTCAAGATCGTACGGGACATCATCGCTCCCAACGTCGTAACAATTCCATGTCTGGCATTTTCTCCACCTAGAACCAGTCCACCATCGCTACCCCACCCCTTCCAAGCCAGCCCCCGGGCACAAGCCCTCTCCCCTTACGAAGGATTTTGTTGAATCGCTCGAGTAACCAAGTCCCTGACCAAGGTCAGTCTCTCAATACTTGCCAAACAGCTTAGTGAACTCACGTATCCATAAAAGCATCGACTTTCACAATCTTATTCCGGTCGTTGAAATGACACACCCAAACATACTCGTTCGGGAACTTCAATCCATTCTTGCATTCCACGCCCTCGGCCTTGAGCTGCACGGCTGCCTTGTTCTTCCCATCGGTTATGATATCTTGCACGACGAGCTTTAGCGGCGTGGCCCATGTGGATGAAAGAGCGTGTGTGCCGTCGTGGAAGGCCTGCTTGGACTTGTAGTTTCCTGCGATGGGACAGTATGTGCCTAAGAATGGTGTCAGGCGGCTGATGCAGACGGAGAGTCGATGTCCGAAGCTAATGAGCTACCTTACCTTTCACAGTCCAATCGACATTGTCATCGACATTCTCGAAGAACGCGTCCTTTTGGCCTGAGCCAATCAGGTCGAAGATGGCGGTAATTTCCTCTTTAGTAGGCATACTAAAAGAGTTCGAGTGTGAATGATGTGTAGTTACGACGTTCTGCAAGTTCCGGAGCTGAGCAGAGCTTTATCGTCAGAGTACACCAGAGCACAATTGGGCAAGCAAATCAGACCATGTGGCATGCACTGAGCGCTGTACTGGTGGGGCTCGTGCTCGGTGGTTAGCTCTCCACCGGAACTTCTCCACCGAGCGCTCTGGTTATTCTGGGGCGGCCGTGGGACGGTGACGATTACTTCGCCGTCGTGCCGGACAAAGGGCAAAAGCAACATCCCGGAATGAACAGTCACGCGGAGAGCAGGCATGCTATATGATTCACGCGCGATCGGGCCAGAATTTGTGGCTGTCAGATGCGCATAATGTGGGGTAGGCTGGAGTACGAGCGCGGATGCTGACCGCACTACACTGCGTTATAACGTACTATGTAGCTAGAAGTGATGATAAATTCTTGGTTGCGGGGATACAAGCTTCACGCATAGTCCATGCAAGGAGCAGTAAACCCGGGAATTGGATCTCGTCATTGCCATTATTCTCATACTCAGAAATCACTATGCCTTTGAAAGTTATCGTTGTTGGGGCCGGCTTGGGCGGCCTCGCTGCTGCCATTGCGTTTACCAGGGCTGGACATGATGTTGAGGTTTGTCTGTACCGTGGTAGTGGGAGTTGACAGGAGCCAAGCATTTGCTGACGCCGTATCCAGGTCTATGAAAAGTCCTCGTTCCACAACGAGGTCGGAGCTGCGATTCATCTGGCGCCCAATGCGACCCGAGTACTGCAACCATGGGGTTGTGATCTACAGGCTATGGAACCCTCGCCTTGCGACCATTTGAGTATTTGGGATAACAAAGGCAACTTCATAGCAACCCCAGCAGTGGGTATTTCCCCGTCACGAGTTTCATGGGATAATCGCGCTGACCGTATAGTTTACCGACCAGCTGCAGAAAGAGTTGGAAATGGATGACCCTTGGTTGTTAGTACACCGCGTGGACTTGCATAATGCATTGCGAGAGAAAGCAGAAGAGGGATTCGGTGGGAAGAAGCCTAAAATCCATCTGTCGAGCGCCGTGGATTCTGTGGTAGGTCGTCATGAATATGCGCTTATGTCAGGGACAGATCTATTGACACTCATCTCAGGATCCATCAACCGGGAAGGTGGTGTTGGAAAGTGGACGTGTGCTGCAAGCGGATCTTATCATCGGTGCAGATGGTGTGCATGTACGTGTTGCGATCTGGCGTGCGTTTTATCCGTTAACAACCCGCTAGTCTCGGACAGTGGACTTTGTCACCGGCGAAACTCAGAAGAAGAGAAGCACTGGACAGAATTGCTTTCGTTTCCTCGTTCCTGTCGAAAAGCTACGCGCGGACCCAGTTACCAAGGAGTTGATCGACAGAATAGGCCTACGGTCCCTGAACGCTTTCAATTCTCCAGAACGACGGCTGATACTTTACCCATGTCGGGCAGGGACGCTCATCAATGCTGTCATGTTTCACCCCGACGAGGAAGGGCAGACGGTCGAGTCATCGTGGCAGAATGCCGGAAGTCGAGACGATCTAATGGTTCAAATGGAGAGTTTCAGTCCTGAACTGCGCAGGCTCTGTAGCATGGCTGAAGACGTGAAACTTTGGAGCTTAGCCTCCCGGGATCCTACCTCTGTCTTCTATAGAGGGAGAGTTGCGCTTATTGGGGATGCGGCACATCCGACACTCCCTCGTAAGTCAAACGCAAACCCTAAACAAATGGAGACTAGGCAGCTTGCTGATTGCTACTGTAGACCAAGGTCAAGGAGGTGCACAAGCCTTCGAAGACGCGGCAACTCTCGGGGCGCTCTTTATAGCGGACACTCGGTCGGAGCAAATTGGCGAAAGACTGAAGTTATACAATGATATTCGCTATGAGCAGGCGGTGACAGTCTTGTTCATGTCTAGAGTGGGTGATGAACACCGGGAGAAAGTCATGGGAGACTTGAAGCGATTCGTTCCGGACGCGAAGATGCCTGGGAACATGTGGCTGCATGCGTGGAAGTCTTTTCCCGTTAAGGAGGCAGAATATGCTCTGCAACATCAGGGGCTTCTTCACAGAGTCGATGGCGTAAGAGCCTAAAGTGATTTTGAGCTCCTCATGCCTGTTGTGTACTTTAGCTGAAGAATCTCAATCCCCATCTATTGAGCATGGTAAGATGCAAAGCCTTAGGTATGACAAACAAACCTTGTCCACAGAATCAAGTTCAGGGCAAGCGATTGTCCTGCTGGTGTAATTATGTCATCCTAGCCGAGATATGCTGGAATGAACAAGCTCAGGTTTGCATAGCAGGTACCACGAAGTGTCCCATAGAATGTGTGTCCGAGTGAGCCACGTTTCCACGTGGATGTTTCCCCATTTGGAGACTTGCTGTGGGGGACAGCCGTGTTATTAGTGATGTGACATTAGCGCTCGCAGGTTTCGGGTCCCACTTTCAACCGCCGGATGCAGGCTTTGGATAAACTTGCGGTATCCGTCGTGAAGGTATGCAGCACGTTTAATACCAGTCACAAAGCCTGGTATCCTAAACGCAGAAATCACGAGTTGATCTACTTGCTATCGTTCCCATCAGAGAGTAAGATGCCAATCGACAACCAGAGCCCCGTCCAAAGGGACAGTCATGAGAACAAAGTTGAACCCCCTCCACAGTCCTTCGGAAGCAATGTCAAGGAAGTCATATTTGGAGCATTCGACCACAGTGGTATTCCGCTCGAGGAAGAGGAGTGGCCGGTGCTCATTATAGGATCCAGTATGGTGGGTATGATGACTGGTTTGCTTCTCGGTTACCATGGGTATGGAATAGCAAAAGCTGGCGGATTCGGTTCTAATTCGTCGATAGCATCCGAAGCATCTCGTTCGACAGACACCCTCCTTCGGGCACACATCCTAGGGCAGCGGGCTTAAATTATCGTACTGTTGAAATCCTTCGTCAACTGGGCTTAGAAAAAGAGGCCCAGGCCGAAAGCGGCAAAGAGTTCGATATCGACGCAGGTATGTTGATAGTGGAGAAGTTGGTCGGCGGCAAAGTGATTGCACAAGTACAAGAAAACAACCCTGCCGAAGTCAAAGACGTAACACCATGCACGAGCTGGCTTTGGATCACCCAAGCAATGTTCGAACCTTTGCTACGAGCCAACGCCGGCAAGTTCGGCTGCACACAGATGTATGGAAAACTTGTGGTTCACTACGAAGAAGACGAGAGCGGAGTGTTGGTGGTAGTGCAGGATACTAAATCCCAAGAATACAGGAAGTACAGAGCGCAGTACCTTGTCGCAGCGGATGGCAACCGAAGCAGCACTCGCATCAAAGAGGGCATCAAATTGAGCGGAGCTGGCACTCTGCGCAACAGTCTTTCGATTCGAATCGTGGGAGACTTGACTCCGCATCTAGGTACTCGTTCGGTGCATGGCGTCGTCTACGTGCTCAATCCCAACATCAGCGGAGGGTTTCGGCTCGAGGACCAGGGCAGGGCAGCAATTGTCATGGTCAATAGGGTGGGTGACAAGAAAGACTTCCCCGAAGGCAGCGTTAGCCCTGAAGAGGCGCGCAAGTATGTATATGACCTCTCCGGGCTGCCCGAAGACATGGATCTGGAATTGCAGAATTGCTCGTACTGGACGATGACATCGTACAATGCAGACAGACTGCAGTCACACGGTGGCCGTGTGCTGATTGCCGGTGATGCTGCACATACTGTCCCACCGACTGGTGGTCTCGGTGGCAACACTGGTATCGGCGACGCACATAACCTCGCATGGAAGCTCGCGTTCGTGCTGAAGGGGCTGGCATCTCGGACGTTGCTCGACACATACACCAAGGAGCGACAGCCCGTCGATGCTTTCGCAGTGGACCAGGCAACAAAGCGCTTCTACAACCGCGTTGATCATGTGCAGCCACCGGTACCCGAGGAAGGGAATTTGACGGTAGAGATCGGCTATCGATATACGGACGGCGCGGTCGTAGGCGCGGAAGAGGACGGCGCGCGACCACAACAGCCCTTTGAAAATCCACTCACGCCGTCTGGCACAGCCGGCACGCGGTTCCCCCATGTGTGGCTGGAGGGCGAGGGTTCAGGGCGCTTGTCGACGCTGGACCTGGTGCGACAGAACCTGGTGCTGGTCGCGGCCGAGCGCAACTCAGCGTGGATAGCAGCAGCACAAGACGTCTCATCACGCGGACCGGTCGCAATTGATGCATACGAGCTGCACGAGTCGTCGACGCCCTGGCGCGATGCTACAGGCGCGCTGCGTGAGAAGGGTAGGCTGCAGGCGGGCGAGGCGCTGCTGGTGCGCCCGGACGGCTTCATCGCATGGAGGGCGCGGGCAGCAGGGAGTCTCGTCGACACGTTGCAGTCGGCGCTGCAGGAGCTGCTCGGGAGGCCGGCGTAGGGGGCATGGATGGGCATGTCATCGTGAGCGGGGCTGTAGAGAGGGAGTGGAGGCTGCGGCTGCGAGGTTACGGTGTCGGTTGCTGTTATGTCAGCACCCCCGCGTTTCATACGGAAGCATCCGTGTCCGGCATGACTTAGCACGTGCCACCAGGACATCGGGGTGAGGATTCGGAACTACATCCGCACTTCTCCAGACGCCTCCTCCGCTTTTTTGCGGGGAGAGCGGAATCGTGTAGTTGAGACCTGTGCTGCCCATTTCTCGTCCTTCCACCTGCACCGTGTGCTCATACTTTGTCGTCCTATGTCATCGTTGTCGTCACTGTCGCCACACTGATTCACAGTCACCTCGCCCCCATGCCTGAGCAATGGACCTGCGACGAATGCGGCGACACATTCCACCGCCGCGAGCATCACCAGCGGCACCTCCGCACCCACACCAAGGAGAAGCCCTTTGCCTGCTCTGTGTGCGGGAGCAGCTTCGGACGCGTTGACTCTCTCGCCCGCCATCACAGTTCGACACACTCGCACACGGCTGCCGGCACGACGTCTTCCGAGCCCGGCGAGCGCCAGCGAGTCTCCCGGGCTTGCAAGCGCTGCAGCTCCGCCAAAGTGAGGTGTGACGGCAAGCGTCCCTGTGAGAAGTGCGTCGCGGCCGAGGCACAGTGCTGTTACGAACCGCCTAAAAAGAGGAGGACAACGTTCCAAAATGCCGTTGCAGAGCCGCCATCAAAACGTCGACCATCCGAAACACTCACCGATCGCGAGCGCTCTAGCATGTCCCCTACTCTCAGACCTGCGCCAGTGGAGTCGCAGCCTGAGTTTGTGCATGCCATCGACCCTCAACTATGTGCCATGCATCCTACCGATGCCCCAGCTCCTGACTTTACGCATGTGGATTTCTTTGGCGCGCCCAAACTTTTCGATCTATACGACGATCTGAGCAATGCTAACTGGTTCTCGGATAGCCTAGACGTAGGTCTTTGGCCAGTACCCTTCGATCTTCACAGCGAGACTCAACTCCTGCAAGATATTCGTCGCGCCGAGGCCGTACCGCCCCAGGTACATCAAGAGCTGCCATGTTCTCCAAAACCTTGTTTGCCTCCCACTCCGTCTTCTGACATTGCGGATCTCTACAGCCGCAGTCGTACGCCCGTCCTAGATAAGGATGCTGTTGACGTCCGACAATATCACCCTACATCTATTGAGGTAGACGCACCACTGTCCTTGCCCGAGATTGACCTGCGGTCGCTCGTGCAGGCTGACATGGAAGATTTTGCACACGTCGAGAGCTTCTCCCATGCAAACGTAGATGCCTTGAATAGCTTGATCGACGACGTACACAGTAAGCCTCACTATCCGCTCTACAGCAACACGAAGCTTCCACCGCCATCAGTCATCAATGCTTGGGTCCAACTGTACTTCGAGTATTTCCACCCAATTTTTCCAATCCTGCACAAGGCGACATTTTCGAGTCCTGGAACACACCCGCTTCTTGTCTTAACAGTCGCAGCAATCGGTGCACAATTCTCCAGTCTACCCAACTCTCTCGCCTGCGCATGCAGTCTTCATGAGATGGTCAGAAGGTTGGCGTCACGTCAAGTAAGGCTGTACGTCTCGTCCGTTTAATGTTCACAATCTGACTCCATGTGTATCTTCAGTGCGAATTCCAGAACAAGCATGGCCGGACAGTGTGGATGACTCAAGTTGTCATGCTCAACGGTTTGGCTATGTCACATTCTGGGGAAAGACGAGCATTGGAAGTATCCGAAATCCTGCAAGCGGTGCCTGTAGCCCTTGCGAGGAGAAAGGGACTATTCGAAGACGTTCTGCCCTACGAACGCATCTCTCAAATGCAAGCACCTCTTCAGCAGACCTGGCAACTATGGGCCATGGACGAGGAGAGAAGACGGACAGGTTTTGGTGTTTGGGTAGGCTCTGCAAATCCGTACATCAATCGCGTTAATAGCTGGCTAACGTGAACGACAGCTTGTAGACTCTACTTATCGTTCCAATCTCAACCTCACAACGGTTCTGAACTCACGCGAGCTAAGGAACTCTCTTCCCCAAAGCGATGAAAGATGGAATGCAAATAGTGCGCAGAGCTGGGCAAGCTATCCCCCAGGATTAGGTTGGTCTGCATTATAGACTTGACTTGAAAGGATATCTGACCGCTTCTCAGGCTCTGGGCGCACAAAGTCGCTCGCAGAAGTTATTGGCACTGATGGCTGGTTGTCTATTTGGTCGAAGACGAGCACAGTTGGTAAACAGGTTATCCTCCAAGAACTCATGGACAGGGTCCGGCCGACGAGCTCGACAAATGATCCAAAGGTCGCATTGTCTCCAGATAGTGCCCAGGCAAAGGAAGTCTTGGAAAGCCTTCTCTCGGTTCTGACTGAAGGCCAAGATAATCCAGTGCACGAACTGAAAGCTTTGATAGCACATAAGGCTATTTGTTTGACATCCCTTCTCATCTGCTCCTCTCCAGCAATAGATCTCAGCAAAGCCGCCATGAGCCAGATATACAACCGCATGACCGACAGAGAGCTTTCACAGATTGCCCAAGTCTGGAGGGAAGCACCTCATCAGGGCCGAGAGGCGGTCTTCTACGCGGTGTGTGTTTTCGAAACTATCCGAAACAATCACACGATACATTTTTCTATGCCAGCGTTTCTACTTAGGGCCGTCTTAACGCTCTGGCTATATTCACTCCTTTTCGACAAACCCGAGGTCACTGGATATGTTGTTGAGCAGGAAGACTCAGGTTCTATTGCCCTTGGGGCCACACATATTCATAGCGACCAGTTCCGTGACTGGATAGCTCATGGCCGCGGTCGAGTCAAGCTACCGAGTATCGCGAACCTGCGGTGTTGGCAGGGAAGGCGAAAGCTGCTTGAGCACTCCATTGCCGCTATGGGATCTTTGAAAAGTTGGGGCATCAGCAAGGGGTATTTGCAACTTCTGAAGAGACTCGAAGCAAGCGAGGCTGCTCTCATATCATCTTGAATTGATATTGTTCAAAGAGCAATCGAACAATCGATACCCATGATGTAGCACACAACACAAGCGGGACACACATAGATCCCAGCACACATCGGTGGTGCATTGTCCGACAAAGAGCACTGGATCTGCCAGACGAGGCCGGTGGTTTCCTCCCGAATTCTTGTCAGCACTGGTACTCACATGCACAGCTATGGTTCAATGGTGTTGCAAGAGTGGGACCGGGCTAGGGTTGAAACTGTTCCGGTGGGACAAGCCGAGATGTGGAGCCGAACTTTCCACAGATTGCTTGGCACAGCATCCACACGGGCCACACGAAGATGACCTAGGACCACAGAGGAGTTAGCTGCATGTAAATCATCCACAACAGGACGGCGACTTGCATTTCAATCTGCTTTGACGACAGCCTCTGATCAAGTCAAAGAAAGCACCAACCAAGAATATGGCAATCACAGTCTTCGGGGCTAGCTACTCCACTCGTACGCAAAGGGTGCTCTTTGTGCTTGAGAAATTAGGCCTATCCTACGACTTGCAGAATGTTGACATGCAAAAGGGTGAGCATCGCGTAAGTCGGACACAAGCGCCCCTAGTACCGCTCAATCATTCGTCAGGCTAACAAGTCTAGTCTCCCGACTTCGTCGCCTCCCGCCACCCATTCGGCAAACTCCCAGCCATCCAAGACGATGTCATCAAGCTCTTCGAGTCCCGCGCTATTGCTCGGTACCTCGTTATCAAGCACCCTGGGGCCTTGAGCCTGCCGACCGACCTCACTGCGCTCGGCCAGTTCGAAGAAGCCGCAAGCGTTGAGTATTCGTACTTTGACCCCGCAGTCAGCAAGCTTGGCTGGGAGAAGGTACTCAAGAAGATGGTGACGGGCCAGGATGCAGATGCCGAGGTCGTGGTGCAATTGGAGCAGGAGCTGAGGCAGGTTCTGGATTATTATGAGACCGTTTTGTCGGAACGCGAGTGGCTCGCTGGAGCGGTATGTGTGCTACCCAGACCGTGTATTGGGTTAACAGAAGCTCATGCCTTACTACAGAACTTCAGTCTAATCGAGGTGTTCAACGCCCCATGGTTCAACTTTCTGGTTGGACGACTTGGTTACGGCGAAGAAATAGCATCTCGGCCGCACGTCCAAGCTTGGTGGGAAAAGGTCAGCCAGGATGCGGCTTGGAACAAGATCACTGCTACTTGATTGTTTGACAGCGAAATGAGATGCCTCTGTCCACCAACACTACCGCTATGCTGTCGTTGTTTCAATGCTGCACGCCTGCACTAAGCATCTCGACACAGGCGGCGTCGTGAATGTATAGTTTCCATCTGTTTTAAGGAATATCAATGCAGACTACACACATGCCTCAGGACGATCACACGCGTCGTGAAAGAACGAGGACACTCACCGTGCGCTTTGCTGCATGGCCCGATCTTTAGCGGACGAGGAAATCTGTGGCCCATTAATATATTGCTTGAGCCGTCAAAGACACCACAGCATGTTCCGGGGGGTAGTAAACTCCAAGGACTCGACTCATTGCTGCTCCTTGTTGTGCGCTTCCGATTTAGTTCAGACTTGCTCCACATCGACCTAATTGAGCGGCTGGAACACCGCGAGGAATGCTGCGCTTGACACCCTGTGCCGGACGAGGCTAAGAAACGCATAGGATGCACCCTGTTAAACGCGTGGTACACATCTCGGATCATGCTACATATGCCTCCAGGGTTGTTTGGGGCACTCTCGAAGGTGCAGGTATAAATCACTAGGCCTGAGTCGAAAAGACTCCGAGCATTTCAAAGTCCGCTTCCATCAGTTCATACATTTTGATTCTGTCATTCTTTTAGGGGAGTGGGATAGTGTACTGCATTTGCCGCCGACGCGGATTGTGATACGAAAGGCAGCATTATCCAGCGTGTAGTGGGTGGACTAAACAAATACTTCTGCAACTGGTCTGATAATACCCTCTAACCAGGTTTGAAGAGAACAGCGACTTTGGAACCCGATAGCATGTGTCTTGTTACGAAGGACACATTCATTGCTTCACCTTCCCGCGCGCCGTGATGAAGCGAAAATAGTTTGATACAACGGCCAACAACGCTAATTACTAAGGCGAGATTAATTGCTAGTCGCACGCGGCGGATGTTTGCTTTAGTCAGTGGGCGGAAATGGCCCCATGGGGAAGAAGGGAGCACCCAGACAGGCGGATGGACCATGCACGGGCTCACTCATCGGCCCTATGTTCAGAAGCAAGCGCCGTTTACTAACAGATAGAGCGGAATGAAGGTGCCACTGCGGACTCTCACGGATGCTCACGGGTTGTGAGTAACGTGCATTGGACAAGCGACTTCAAGAGTCGCAGCCTCAGCGTTCGAGTGAAATGCGAAGGGGGTATCAGGTACGGCAACGTCAAGTAAGCTGATCACAATCATGTTCTTGAATATTCTCGTGTTTCTCGTGTGCGCTCTGGCCGTGGTAGTGACAGTCTTGCCACTTTATGGCTTGTTTAGAGCTCTCGTCTCGCCCCTTCGCCGAGTCCCTGGGCCTTTCCTGCTCGGTTCACAGGGCTATGGTACCTCTACGCAATCTGGAGTGCAATTTCTGAGCAACGCCTCATTACCCTTCACTGTAAATATGCCAATGTCGGGGAGTACCGAAATACACGCTGATGTGATCAGTAATAGGTGTTAGCGCGATGATGGTCAAAGTCACGTATGATGCTAACAGTGATCTCGTTTTCGGAAGCTTCGGACAAAGGATTCCATAGCAAAACTATGGGATTGGCAGCAGAGGTGTGTGGCGAAGGCCAAAATCTATTAAAAATCGTAGAAGCCTTCAACTTATTGCGATATTGAATGCGGGGAAGTATGGGGCAAGGCCGGGGAAGCTGCATCCGTGTGAATTTCCCCACCGGATGTTCCCAGCGCTTAGACCCCAATACAAGGTCTGGAGCTCAGATACCACACGCCATGATTCGGGGAATAGACCGATTCGTTGATCTAATTTGTGTGGCAGCGCGGCCTGGGAAAGGAGGTACGGAGTCATTCCGCAGGACATTTTGTTAAATGGGTACTGTTGCACACATTGCGTTACAACTTCAACAACGCGCGGTTAGTGCCGTCGGCCCGTACATCCTTCAATTGTTTGCCATTTAGACGCATTGTCACGATGAATCCCAGGGTCGATGCTGAAAAAGCTGAAGATAGCATGGTGGAAAAGATTGAAGACGCTGCTTCTGGCGAGAGCAGCACCAATGACAATCCCAAGGTCAGTAGCGAAATCATCACTTTCGCTTGTCAATCGCTCATTGACTGCAAATAGCTTTGGCCACGTCCGCTTAAGCTGATGGTTCTTTTCAACGTTTGCCTGATGACCTTCAACGGGCAATTCTACGCAGCCGGTCCCAGCACCAGCTTTGCGTATCTCGTGCAGGAGTTCCAGGTCGGCTACTCAGACGTCGCACCCACAGTATATTATGTTGTGATCATGATAGGCGTCAGCAGCCTCATTTGGATTCCGATGACGAATGCTTTCGGCAAGCGCATTGTACTCATCGCTTCAAGCCTCATCTTTCTCGCAGGATGCATTTGGGGCATATATGCAACATCGCTCAACAGTCTCATTGGTTCAAGGGTCCTGGGTGGTTTTGGTGTTAGTGCTGTGCAGGCAATTGGCCCTGCTGTTCTTGGAGGTACGTCTCTGCTCAATCGATGTTGCCTGTTACCGCGTTTTCTGACTATGCGAAGATGTCTTCCTCGAGCGCGATTACTCCAAGATAATTGCCATGTATAGTATGTGTCTATGCGCAGGTGCGCAATTGGGCCCTTTGTTCGCAGGCCACATATCTCTGAACTTGGGCTGGCGATGGCTTTTCAAGATCGTCGCCATTATACTCGGATTTAACCTCCTGACCACGATAACATTACTACCTGAGACGACTTTCATCCAACAGGGTAGCGTGGACGCAACAGCAGCCTCCCTCGATGCGCAGCTCAACGAAGCTATTTCGGGTCGCAATCATAGCAGGGCCTTTGTACCGGCCTTACGAAAAGGAATTCTCTATCAGAAACACCCTCACGTCCGTGGTGGAGGTGTCATGGTGTGGATTAAAACGCTGGCACGACACTTACCATTCCTCGTCGACCCCATTGTAATTTGCTCCGCCGGTCTTTGGGGTATCGTTCAAAGCTGGGTCATCGTTATATCCGTCTGTTCCTCGCAGCTTTTCGCTCCCCCACCATTCCTCTTCACTCCAGCGCAACTGGGCAACTGGACAGGCACCAGTATGGTCGGAATCATACTTGCGTTCCCCATTGCCGGTCCACTCGTAGACATCATGTCGCGCAAGCTCTCAGAGAGAAATGGCGGACATAAGCCGGAATATCGCTTGTACAGCATGATCATCCCGTTCATGATCTGCTCCCCTGGCTTACTGCTCTTCGTCTACACCTTCATCAAGGGTTCGTACGTTGGCCCCGCAATTGGCTTTGCGATGCAAGCTGCTGGCCTCACCTTGGTACCTTCTGCGACTATCTCGTACGTCATCGACAGTCATCCGTTCCACGCCCCTGAGGCAGTCGCATCTATAAATCTGCTCACGCATCTCATATCATTTGCTCTTTCGAAGACAGCAAACGACTGGTTATTGCGCGTTGGAGTGAAGCAGCTTTTCATAGACATGGCGGTGATCGAGTGGGCGTTATTCATTGGGTTGACGCTTCCTCTCTTATTTTTTGGACCCTGGCTTCGCAAGGCGTTTGCAAAGTATCATGAAAAAGTTGGTGGGAAGAAACTCTGGAATTCGAGCGTTGATCTGGTAGGACATTAATCCTTCTACCAATGTACCTCGGAAGGATCGCAATGAGTCTAGCCACGTTCAAAGCGTAGATTTTATTTACATTCTCCCGAGGCTGGAGCTATGAAGTGACACCTGCTCTACAAAGTTGATCATTTGGTATCATTGCGTCTCCGTTGACTGTAGCTTAGAACAGCGCATACTATCATATGAAAGAAAAACTTTAGGGTTGTTCGCTGCTTCTCATTTTTGGCGATCCTCAGTGGACAAGCGTAGCTACAGCGTGTTGTTTTTGGTAAGCTTGGCTAGCCATTCCGCACACTTGATGTTCGAAACCACAGCTCGATCGTCGCTGTTGATCGCGGTTATGCGAAAAGACACCCCCCGTCGGGATGCACAGATTTTCTGTAGGTCATAAGTCTGTCTGATGTTACTGTACAAAGTCATAGTTGATTATGGTATCTTCTTCGGTCATTCTATCCAATGATCACGTCCGTTGTTGTAATATGCATTACCAAGTGCAACAACGACCACTTCAGAACGAATGATTTGTATTCGGGTACATATTATGTGTTATTCACAATAAATCGTCTAACGTCACATCATGTCGCTAAATCCCTCATGCTTCGCCATAAGGCTTGATACCAGCAAGTCGGAGAATCTGATCCGTCACCTCCACCTTCTCCAAAGGTTCATCCCTTTCCAGCGGATCCTGCCTACCGTCCTTCTGCGCCTTGCCCTGCCGCCAGATGTTGCAGTGAGGCCAGTGGGTGGTCGCCTCATACTTCTCGAAGATATCTTTCTTCTCAGCTAAGTCTTCAGAGGAAGCTAGGTCCCGTGGCGTCATGCAGACGTAGATGACGCTTCTGATCTGCTCTGTCTCAACCTTTGCGACGTGGTGGATAGTACGCGAATCCCAGAGGATCAGATCGCCGGGCTCGGCCTCCACTTTGATCTCCTTGCAGCCCTTGCTTTTGAACCAGTCTAGATCCTCGGGCTGGAAGAGGTATAGATCGTAGTGTTTGACGTCGGGGCTGAGGCGCGGGCGCTTCTCGTGGGTCTCGAAGTACTCCTCGAACAGAGCAGAGGAGCCCACCGTGAGCAGGAGGCCACCGTCCTTGGGGCCAGCGGGACTCAGGTTTAGGATGCCTTGCACGCATGAGAGACCCTTGCGCTCAGGGGCCTGATCGGTGTGAGGCCACGGGTTGAAGTCGTCGTCTTTGCGGCCCGGGAGCGTGACGTTGAAAGCATCGAAGGAGACGATGAGCTCGTCGGTACCCCACAGTTCGGAAAAGGGCTTGATCACACCGGGTTCGGTGCGGGCATCCCACATGAACTTCTCGTGAGCGGAACAATAGTGCAGGTACATGTTTTTGAAGTTTTGAGGAAGGTGCTCCTTGGTCCAAGTTTCCTTGTTGTTGATGTCGAAACCATTGTCGAATGACTGCAGCCAGTCGAGGGTCTTCTTTTGGTAGTAATTAACTGCCTTTTCCTTGGGAATGGCACCCTTGAAAATGTGGTAACCATTCTTGAAGAAGTCGTCCCGCCAGTCACCGTGTTTGTTCTGGGAGTTGAGGGTCAACGAAGGGCGGGCCTGGGCAGCCGAGGCCTCCGAGGCTGATTTAGCGACGGTAGTTGTCTGGGTAGCCATATTTTTCTTTTCGGTGGTAAGATAAGAGTTTAGAGGCTAAGAATGAAGATCAGAATGGGGTGTTGCCCTAAGCTTTGGGCAGTGCTAGATGGTTACTAGACAATAGAAGCAGCTTGATACCAATATTCTAGACGGACGCTGCTCCTGGCAAACCTTTAAATGCTGTTGGCCTCGCCACCGTTGTCATCCTAAATTACGGAAAGCCCACCGCTCGCGCCAGTTCGCGCGAGGCTCGCAAATCACGTGATTCGGGGAAACAATGCCTCGCGATGGAGACGACAGTCTGGGGCCCCGCAGAAAGTGAGCAGCGTGGATTGTCTCCGCTTCTGTTCCCAGCCGGTGGAAGAGAGCCTAGGCTGGAATGTTAAACTGGCGCGAGCTCGCGCGACTTCGCGCGACTTTGTACCCCGCGGTTCCGTCTTTCCAGCCGATCGATCGCTAGTAGACTACCGGCCTTACAGCGGCAGCCTGAATATCAGGCGTGGGCGGCCATGCTCAATGCGCGGTAACTGTGGTTCTCGAAATCGGTTCGGACAGGCGCTTAAGAAGTCTCTGAATGACCAAATCAATAGAAAATAGGGTTGAGACGACCTTTTTCGATCTTGTCAACTTCTTGACCACCGAGCTTCCACTCTGTCTCTCCGGCTCCAGGCGATCATTTGTTCGTCACACATCACACCATGCCTCCTCCAGTTCAGCTGGGTCTGATCCAAATCGACAAGCCTACCGTTGGCAGAAACGGCTACCAGGGTTTCAATCCTCATTCCGAGGTACTTCCCAAGGGTTGGAATGACCACAATGCGCGCCCTTTGCCGACCGACATTCTTGTGGAGCATGACGTCGGCATCAAGGTTCGCGATGGCGTTACTCTCTACTGCGACATCTACAGGCCAACCACTTCAGGCCCCAACGAGCAGGTGCCTGCCATCCTAGCATGGAGTCCATTCGGCAAGAAGCTCAATGGCATTACGGTGATGGGGAACCTTCCATGGAACATAGGTATTCCCCGAGACACGACCAGTGGACTTGAGCGTTTTGAAGGCCCCGATCCAGCTGAGTACGTCCCCCAGGGCTACGCCATCGTCAACGTCGACGCCCGCGGAGCTGGCGACTCTGAGGGCTCTGCCGTCATTATGGGAACGCAGGAAGGCGAGGACGGGCACGATGTGATCGAAGGCATTGCGAAGCTGCCTTGGTGTACTGGAAGTATCGGCCTCGCTGGTAACTCCCATCTGGGTATTGTTCAGTGGTTCATCGCGGCGCAGAACCCACCTTCGCTGAAGGCAATCGCTCCCTGGGAAGCCGCGGGCGATCTGTACCGAGAGCAGTTCGCTCGCGGCGGTGTCTGGGACAGTGCTTTGTTTGATAGTATCACCCATAATGTTATCCAAGGGCATAACGGACTGGAACATTTCGCCGAAATGTTCCGACGAAGCCCACTGCAAAATGCCTACTGGCAAGACAAGCGCGCCGACATCAAGAACATCCGGATTCCAACATATATAGTGGCTTCTTATTCTACCTTTGTGCACACAATGGGCTCGATCCGCGGCTGGCTGGATGTCGACACAAAGGACAAGTGGCTCAGATGGGACCCGTACCAGGAATGGTTCGATCTGTGGGCGGTGAAGGAATCTCGAAACGAACTTGCGGCTTTCTTCGAAAAATTCGTCAAGAGCAAAGACAACGGGTTCGAAAAGACTCCTCGTGTGCGTCTAGCTCTGCTCAGATTTGGGGACCGAGACCCCATTTATCCCATCGAGGCGGATGATTACCCTATCCCGAACACCAAGTATACCGAATTCTTCCTGAAAGACGAGAGCACACTTTCCTTGGAAGCACCAAAGGAATCAACAACGCTGTCATATTTCTCTGAAGTGAAGGATGGCGGCTTCCAGAAACTCTCCTTCCATTACACGTTCGAGGAGAAAACAAGACTGGCAGGTATTCCGAAGGCAGTGCTCTATATGTCGACACAGGAATCGGATGACATGGCCGTTTACGTAGTCATCCGGAAGTTAGACAAGCACGGAAAAGCCTTGCTGAATTTGAACATCCCATGGGCCAACGCGCCGATCAAGTCCTTCGACGAATTAGACGCTAAGGACCACCACAACCTGCTGTTCTATTTCGGCCCGCTTGGAATCCTCAGAGCATCCCGTCGGCATCTCGATGCTTCAAAGAGCATGCATCCCAACTACCCGTTTCACACCCATGATCGAGTGGAGCTTTTGAACAAGGGTGAGGTCGTTGAGCTTGAGATCGGCCTATGGGCCATGGGAATCGAGTACGAGGCGGGGGAAAGTATCAGCGTTGAGATTCAGGGACAGTATCCTTTTTTCAAGGACTATTCGGTGCATGAGAAGCCTAAACCTGATGCTGATAAGAGCAATGTCGGAGATCATTTTGTGCACGTTGGTGGAGCGTACCCGAGTCGTGTTGTTCTCCCTTTTATATAAGCCGAAGGTCGGGCTGCCAAACGTACTGTATCGTAGCGGTATAGCGAATACGGAAAGACGCTTAGATTAAAAGACATTTCTTATGCAATAGACGTTTTGCTGTACTTTCAGCTCTGTGTTTGGTAACGGATTATTAGAATACGCTTGTAATTGTCTTAGTGCCTTGTTCGCTCATGTGAAGATGTGTAAGTCTTCAATATCCCGGGAACATGATGCTTTCCATAAGCCAGAACGCATCTGGCTGCCCATAAGCGTTGACCATTTCCGGCAGGGAGGATGTAACTATGGGCATAAAAACCTCTTCGTTACCGACGATGCCGACATTTAATGTATCTGTTGACAAGGCCGGCCATAACGGCTGCTCGTGTTCGTTGAGCGAAGAGTACGGCGATTCCTCAAAAGGACGGGCCATGCTCTTGATGAGCTGTGTTAGATTAGCCTGTCCGATGGGTCTTTCTTGTTGAGCAGACTCTAGGTCCAAGAACCGTCTAAGGGTCTTGGAGCCCTCACGACCAATGGTGCTCTTGTGACTATACTTCTGGAGAGTGGCTATGCAGAGCTCGACAGAGCCTCTCCCTTCTTGTATTTCCACTTCTGTCCTGCGCTGAGGGCATGTTAGGAGGTCTAGACAGAGGAAAACTCCAGCGGCAATGGTGGAGGAGCCAAAAACCCTAGAAGTAGGCATTGTTAATACACGATAGCGACCGACATTTTGAAAATAAAGGACGGAGCGGCATACCACAGTAGCTGGTATGTTGGTGGTACATCATTCATATGAACGATGTCTAGCGCAGCTCGCATTCCGTGATTACGGATCTCCGACCAGGCCGGAAGCTGTACAAAACCCTGCTGCAACAGAGCTCGACAAAGTACTAGTCGAATGAAGTTGATCGTGCATAGAAAATGGGCCCGTTGCCCAGGAATCCAGACGGGGACCTGTAATCCCTGGTTGATGCCATCTCTGCAGCTCGCTGTAAGCCGATCAGCCTTAGAGGTAAAATCATGTTCTAATTCGTCAAGCCGGTTCAGAAACTGACATAGCATTGTCGGAGAGTTTTCTGACGTCTTCACGTATTCATGGAGCATCTGTGCAAGCCTCGCGAGCTCTATGTGATGAAGCAGAGGAGAAAAGACTACCACACCATCGGATATTGGAGAGCGTCCGAGGATGATATTATGGTCAAATCGTCCTATCGAGACAATACAGTCAAATGAATCTGCTGATATGAAAGCTTGAGATCGTGGGCCTGCCAGCCTGGTGCATGTGTGTCAATATGATGCGCCCCTCGTTACTCAAGAGGGCAGACTTACCAATCGCAGATGACTAGAGTCCACCAGAGCCGACGCCCAAGCTCCCTACCCGTCTCGTCTGCCCACTCTCGGATGCGATGTAAACTTTCAGGGTATGAAGACTCTGAAGCGAGGCGATGCATTTGCAAGGCATAGGCAGTACTGCGAGCAAGGCTCGCTAGATTTATATCCCGATACCTCTGGCCAAAGTGGGGATGGCAGAGAGTCAGAATGGCAGCAACCTGCACCACATGCAGTTGCGGCTTGCCCATGGCATCGGAGTGCTCTAGCTGCAAACATGCTGCACGATACCAATGGTGACATATCGAGAAAGAATAGGGGCTCGGTCCGATCATGGGCACATTGAGGGACAGGGCATCCTCATCACCCATGAAGAATAGACCCACCTAACAAAGACGTCAAACAAGAAGAACGCAAAATGGCGAATGTGAACTTACTGCAAGAACGCTGAAGTAGACAGACATCCACTTGTGATCTTGTAGAACCTCAAGCGTACCAGCTATCAACGCGTTTTGAAAAGCCTCATGCTCCATAAGAAAGTGGTCCACACGAAGCGCGCAGTGAACCCACCCCAACATCTGCAAGGAGTACTCAACGATCCGGGTACTTGTCTGTTTGTCAGGGACGGACCGCAGCGTCTCGACAAGGTAGTGCATGTCCTTCTTCACAGCAAGGTTTCCCAATTCCTCGTGCTTGAACAGTCCAAGATTCCACTCGTCCAGGATCGCTCCAACCTCCTCTAAGGAATGTACCTGATGACTGCTGGTCGGCGTTGGGGTGTCTTCGCAGGCTGAGCCAGCAATTGGTGACGGCCTGATCCCAGGTCGGCCCTGCAAGCTCATCATCAGGGCGAGCTCCAGCTCGGCTACCCGCTCCTGCAACCTCGAAGTCTGCCGGGCTAGCGACGCATTTTCATCTTCAACGGGGGGCAGCGCTAGATGGAAGGGGTTAGCCTGACTGCGAGTATTTCTTTCATCCTGCGGGAGATGACTGCTCACACTGTGGGCTTGCCCCTTACCCTTACAATTTCGCGCACGCAGAGGTGAGCGCATCGGTCGGCGATGCATCTGCCGCAGGGCGTCTTTTTGTCGCATTTGACGCGGCGCCGGGCGCACTCCAGACAGCGCTGTGGTACGCGTTGACTGGCGCGTAACTCCGCCATGTTCCCTAGGGGTTGAACAATGGCAGGAGAGAGCTTCCGACCCGTTCTTTCGGCACTTTAGGCACGTGCTGTTAGGCAACCCGTGGACATTCGTGGAAATAGCTTTGGCGTGACTTGCCGGTATTCTGTTGAGTAGTGATGCCTAGGATGGAACCATGATACGCGATGTAGGCGCCGACCCCTGCTCATTGGCCATGTAGGTATATGATGGGGAAGTGTAACGAGGGCTGTGGTCGAGAAGATGCGCGTTCAAAGGGGGGGGGGTGCATATGGAGGGTCTGCGCTGCTCGTAGGGCAGCTTGGGTGTGTGGTCGGTCTTGAGCTTGGACCACCGACTCTCCACAGTCCACCAGTCCGTCCGTGCGGGGTACCAGCTCGCGCGGGTTCGCGCGAGTCCCCATCATCGACAGAGCGAATATTGCCATCATGCGTGGATTTGCGAAGCAATATGCTGTTATGCACACTTCATTCCGCTCGTCTACTGCCTCGCTGTTCCGCCGTCGCGGGTTTCCCCCCGCGTCTAACTCCACAGAGTCTCAACCCCACAGTCTCGACCCCAGAGTCCCCAGATCGGCTGGTTAAAGCCTGGCACAGGCTTGAGACGAAACTCGCCCTTAGCTGCCCTTGCTTGAATATATATACGGCGGCTACCAGGCCACCTGAACTAGGAATTACGATCAATATCTCTCCTTTTTGAGGCATACCTAGGTAGTCGACCATCGAGCGGCCATCATGGAAAAGACACCGAATCTGCAAGTCCACGACAAGGTGGATAGTTCCAGCATCCCACAGAATCAACTGGCCGATGTGTTGCCGCAGAATCCAAGACCATGGTATTTCACGCCTCACCTTCTCAATTTGAATCTCTGTATCGGCACAGTCTTGTTGTCTGCGACAACCATGGGCTTCGACGGGTCTATGATGAACGGCCTTCAGGGGCTGGACAGCTTCATGAGTTATTTCGGACATCCCAATGGCACATGGCTCGGACTCATGAACGGCGTCATGTTTATTGGAGGTGTAAGTGACATTGGTCTTCGCTGTATGACATAATCCTCTTTCTGACAGTGACAAACGATAGGTAATCCTCGCATTTCCAGCTGCGTGGTTGTCTGATACCGTTGGCCGGCGGTATACCATGTTCGTCGGCATAAGCCTCTTGATAGCAGGAGCCGCAATGCAAGCCGCGTCGCATAACTTGGCCACTTTCATTATTTCCCGATTCATAGTCGGCTGCGGCGTTGAATTCTCCATTATTCCGGCACCTGTTCTCATCACTGAGCTTGCGTACCCCCCTCATCGCGGGAAGGTCACTGGTTTGTTTCAAACATGCTTCTACCTTGGAGCTATCGCTTCTAGCTGGATCACCTTTGGCACCTTCACGCTCAAGGATTCGACGTGGAGCTGGCGCATTCCATCCTTGATGCAAGCGTTCTTCCCGCTCGTGCAGCTGCTTGGACTTTTCTTCGTTCCGGAATCGCCGCGTTGGCTGGTCTCTAAAGGCAAGCTGGAACAGGCGCGCTCTTTTTTCACAAAGTACCACGCTGGAGGAGACGACTCCCACCCGCTAGTAGATTATGAAATGCAGTTGATCACCGCCCATCTCGAAGCAGAAGGAGAGGTCGCAGGTATGGGATGGTCTAGCGTAAGACAGGCCCATCATCTATCCTTTCAGCGGCTCCGCTAACAATAGTGTAGCTCTGGAAGACGAAAGGAGATAAGAAACGCCTTTTCATTGCGGCATTCACTGCCCTCATACAACAGTGGTCCGGCAACGGTATCATCACGTACTACCTCGCCCTTGTGCTCGATTCTGTCGGCATCAAAGATAGCTTCGAAAAGACTCTCATCAATGGTATCCTACAGATTTTCAACTTTTTAGCCGCTATCTTCGGAGCATTCTGCATTGATAAGCTAGGCCGGAGGACGTTGTGGTTGACCTCCTGCATCTGCATGCTGGCTTCGTTCTCTGTCTTCACAGCACTATCAGGAGTCTACCTCGAGGGCAGTAATCCTGTCTCTACCGGCCGGACAGTCGTTGCATTCATCTTCATCTACTTCTTCTTCTATGATATCGGAGTTACCCCGCTATCGTTTGGTAAGTCCTGTTCCACAAGACATTGCGACAGGACGCCCGATTAACCCACGATAGCTTATCCCGTTGAAATTCTCCCCTTCCACACTCGGCAGAAAGGTTTAGCCATCACGAACATGTTCAATACGTTCGCGCTGGTGTTCAACGCGTTTGTGAATCCCATTGCAATCGAGGCCATTGCTTGGAAGTACTATCTTGTATACGTTGGCGTCTTGGTCGTCATCACGATCGTCGTGTATCTGTTCTATGCCGAGACGGCGGGCCGTTCGCTGGAAGAGATCTCCGAGATCTTTGATGGGCCGATCATCGTTGCGAGCTTTTTCCAGCGACGCGATAGACGCGAGAGTGAAGGCGGGCGCCGGTTTGAGAGTGGGGAGGATGTAGACAAGGGGACTGTTGAATACCTGGAGAAGGCGAAGAAGTGAATAGGTAGATTTATGTTTTTTGTTTAGTGTATTCTTTCTCTTTACTGTAAAAAGCTTAGAAATTTCTGTTAGGACCTAGTCTAGCGTGAACGCATATAGACTTATTTGAATCGCCTCCATAAGGCTGCCGTATTAGACATAAAAGGGCTTGTTGACATTACAGATTACAGTACAGAACTTAATACGACACGCACCTTAACCCGAAGGGGTTTCCAACCATGCCACCCCTTCCGCGCCTTCTACCCAAGGAAAAGCTACACGCTGCCCACCTCGCCGCTCGCCTTCCTGTTCTAGCCGTTATGGGCGCTGACATACGGCTGCTGATCGTGGCCCAAGAGCCAGGTGCATCTGAGCGGCCATTCGTGCCTGTTACCTTGAACGTTGGATTAAGGAAGCCAATCCTGTTTATAGTGGGAATTCTCATTGGTCGGGTCTTAGCTAGGTATTAGTATCGTCCAATTTGCTTGTGAAAATGTTCCTCTTTGGGATTGTGCGAGTTATCTTCCGATCTCTAGACTGTTTATAACAGCTGTGAGTGAAGTGGAGGGGATGAGTACGTAAACGAGCGATGGAATTACAGGATATGTTGACAAACAGCGCGTCAGGATGGGGTACAAGACGAGGCGCAAGCTTGAGCAGAACTTGGAGGTGTATCTCTGGAGCAATGTTAGGAAGAATTTCCAGACGCTATTTGCGGGTAGTAGGTAATGAGATGCAAATGAGTGCGCGCGGAACGCTCCGGCGCATAGTACCTGGTGGCTGTGGATGTGGAGATGCTCGACTGCGGAAGTCTAGGCCAGTAAACAGGAGACTTGTCGCTCGACCAGCCATAGCACTCATTGTAGGAGGGCGCTCTTCTAGCGCTGTAAGAGATTTTTCCACTAATGCTCCCAATCGTGTGGCGCCCATAGATGCTGCATCAGGTTTCCATGTTCAGTACGTTGGCCAAGACTTGTCGTGTCTTTTCGCTCGTCGACAGTCTTCTTTGTCCTTCTTGTGCTTGACTGATGCATCGGGCCAACCCCCGTACAACGGGTCTTGCCGGCTCCACTAGTGCCTACTCCGGCTTCGCTAATGTTCAGCTTACCAAGTTTTCAATTCGTCCGTGGCCGTCGACGAATGCATGCTCACGGGGTCGTCTGGAGATGGCTACCTGCATGTGCGGAGTCGAAGGCTACATTAACTATTACACATACGCTCTCCTCAGCCACATCCACCATGAAGAGCACCATGCTCAATTTGTTGCATGTGATTACGGTGCTAACTGACTTACTAACGCTTCTCTGAAAGCAGCTTCTCGTGGACTTCACCACTTCACATTCGACAGAGCGCTCCTCAAACAGAACCTACCAATTATGCGATGATGCCGGTCAGAACCTTTCGACACTAACTTTCTCCGCCATGATATTGCTAGGAAACCATCATTCTGCACCACCACAACAGTAGAGACCCGACCGCCTAGGACTCGACTTGGCCATATGAAGCCAAGAATATAGTCCCACCAAAGACCAGCTTTTCCCCGCTTCACCCGTGAGCGCCCATCATTACACGTTGGAACGCTGATGGCCATTAGGGTCTGGCCGGGACAGGTCCTGGGATATGAAAGATGGCGGCTTTGTTATCTGCCAAAGTGTGCTGTGGTTCCCGTCAAAAGCTTGCTACTGCATCCGCAAAAAGTCTCCATATCACAAGCCCGCAGTAAATTCAAGATCGCTCTACTTTGAGCGAACAGCACTGTGGTAGGATGTGGCGCGGTGCACTGCCCTGCTTTGTAAAGCGTTATACGAGTAGTCCCGGGGGCCTGTCTTTGTGGAGCTGCCCAGGAGAGTTCTCAATGAGGACAGGTGGTAAAGAACCCTGAGAATCTTCCTGATGTGTAGTCTAGCAATCTGCGACGTTTCCTCGAAGCTCACATTAGCTCGCATGCAAGCACACTTCAGAAGCTGTTCGCAGCGACATCAGGAAATGCCTTAAGCTAGCTGGCGTCGATCCTTACCAGACCATTCGGTAGAGATGGCGGGAACGTGCAAAGTGCAGGATGTAGCCTGTAGATCAATGCAGGAGGGCGGGGTTGGGGAGGAAAGTACCCGACTAGTTAACTTACACTGAGAGTATTTGCTTTGCGCCATGCAACTATCACGTAGCAGTCTAGTATCTTCACATAGTTGGCGATCCAGAGGTTGGTATCTCCTCCAGTCTCTGGTTCTTCTGCGGCTCGACACGTGGCACTCTGCTTCGCTTCAACGACGGCAATTGGAGCGAAGGGTTCGAAAGCCATGCGCATAAGAGTTGTATTTTCTAGTTTACACGGCATGGGCGTACGAATTAAAACGACTTGCTTGATATGTGGGGATATAGGTCGGGGTCCATCAGAAGGATTCCTTCCCCCAATTTGCACCAGTGCAAACATTCCGCCCTTTTTAAGAGATGAGGTAAGAGTATCCGTAGCGCCGCGCTAAAACTGGGCTTCGGGATCGGTGACTGCATCCCGTTCGTGGTGCTTCTTGCGAAGAATCATCTCCTTCATAGAGCTGTTGCGTGTTAGAAAAGCGATATGAGTAAAACCGCAGTGTACCCATGCTGCTTACGTTGTTCTGTGTGTCTCACGACCCGCACGAATTTCAGTGGAGACAAAACCGCCCTGTTCCCGACGAATTAGCCGACGTCCGAAAGGATTCAAGGGAAACTCACAAGGATGGCGCTCAGCATCCAACACATAGCGCCGATGAAGAGGAACGCGAGAATCACCCTCCAAGACCGACACCCTGCAGACCCAATGGTCGCAATGCTAACGTCGGGAACCCTCCAGAAGCGGCCCCAGTAGAAGCCCCAGTAAGAGTAGTACCAGTTTGAGGTGCAGGAGCTGTTCAGCTGTAGAGCGAGTCAGCTGAGCATTTGTAACCTTACACCAGTACTTACATTTGCCAGTAGCCCAAATGCTACTATCGAGCAGATGAAAAGTACAACATCGATAGGAAAGACGTAGAAGGAATATTTAGCAGGAACGATAAGAAGTATAGAGAAGACAATTTCCAGAACGGAGATAACCTCGGCGTAGATCAAACGACCGTTCGCGGGCGTGTTTGCGAGGTTTATCAGGTAGAAGAAGCGGCTCAAGAGGCCTACAACGATGATAGCACTGCATAATGCGCCGAGGCGAAAGAGCACGGAAGCTACCTTCGAACTAGTACCCATGGTTATGTGTTGGAAGCGGTGCTCTATGATATGCTTGGATGATCGGATTGGTGATAAGTTTGGTGAAGACTGACGAAGTTCTGTGAGGAGATGTTGGGGCTCTATATAGCGGTCTCGAAGCCGACTGCTATGATCGATTTACAGTTGAGCCTTAAAATGCAACGGCGAACATGTGTAAGGAACCGGTACGAAAGCTGAAGCAGCGACCACTCGTCGCATCGTTTCTAGCCTTGGTACCTACTGCGTCATATTCCATGAAATCAGTTCCACCCAAGAAAACCGCCCAGCATCCACAATCTCTTCACTTGGCAGCCTTTTGCAGAATTGGTAGCGGGCGCGGGGTTACACGATTTGTTAAGTGGCGTTGGAGAAAACCAATGTAGAATGTATCGGGGGGTGAAGCTATTTTACCCCGCGTTCTAGACCCTTGCATCCCGACTTGTCGTGAAAGAGCTGAAATAACGGTGACTAAACGAGAATCACTAGCCTTATTGAAAATGGCGATAGCTTCAACAGAACTCGTGACTACGAGAGAGGCAAGTGTCAAGTGTGATACGCGGTCTTGTGAACTTTCGGTAATCCCACAAGCACCATCTGAGGCGGTCCGATACGAGCTTTCCGGTGTGTCTAATGTTGAAAGTGAACAAGGGTCATAGGTATGTCAAATAGTCAGTGGTGGATTGAGTAGGTACAATTTAAAGGCACAATGGCTCAGAAAGACGCTCGTGCCTGCTAGCTGAACTATCTGATTGATGCCCGGTGTGGCATGACATTTGGTCATGTTGCACATGCGCGATTTACTCGACGAATTATCGCATTAACACTCAGTCAAGACTGGGTGTACCCTGACTATGCCCAGACCATATGAATCAGCGCACCTGGAAGGAATTGATCGGGCACATATCTGTCGATTTGATGGATACGACTGCCTAGTCCTCTCTATCCAGTGAGGAGAGATACCCTGTCTATGATTGTGATAGGGAATCCCTATCTTGTCCGCTTATGACAGAGCATGTTTTACGATAGTTCCTGCAGCTAACTCACCTCTTGTTACAAGTGTTCGTAGTGCCATCGCCAATTGTAGAACTGTGGATAGAAACAGGTTGCATGTTTATGGGAGCTTTTCTACTGCTTTGCACATCGAGATCACCGGCTATCATAACCTGCGCTGCGTCGCAGGTGAATCGACCCTTCCGTCGCCCTTGATGAACGAAGCATACCGTATTCGCCTCTTCCTGGCGGCCTTGGCCAGCATCACGAACGTCACGAGCACGAAGTTCTCCTGACTGGTCCATGGGGGATTTCATTGATAAGTGATCATCAAGAACGCTTTTTCCCATGGCCATTGCTAGGGATTCAGCCGCTCTCCGCCTCATCGAATGAACCAGTCGGGGCCAGAGCAAAGCGTCAGGACCATCCCGGCTACGCCCCTTACGAAATTGATTGCCCGAACCCGCGTCCGACGATTCCCAATTCGACATCAGTTTCTCCGGAGGAAGCGAGCTGGCGGGAAAAGCGACAAAGTAATACCATTTGGGCGATACGCGACTTCCTCTTTCGCGCAAACATCAGCGGCTTTGACACCAACGGCTACATCGACAAGGTCGCTGACAATGCCACAGCTGTGCCAAATATCGCTGTTGCTTGTTCAGGTGGGGGATGGAGACCACACATGAACGCTGCGGGAGGAATAGCCGCATTGGACAACAGCACAACGAAGTCTACTCCGCCAGGCCACATGCACATTAGTTGCAGCCAAAGCACAAGGTGGCTATCCATTGTCGCAAAGGGTTCCGAGTGGCGTCGACCAGAGAGCTTTCGTTTGACGTTAAAGGCTTACGATGGCACCCTTCTGCGTCCTGGAAACATCCTTGCGCTGGGCAAAAGTGTACGGCATCTATCTCTTGAGTTGCGGGCCGGCCCGGGCACAAGACAAGGGTGGGGCACGCGATGACGTCGTCAAGAGTTCAAGAGGCCTCGCAGCAGGACATACACAGTAGACCAATGAACAACAAGTCAGAGTTCTGGGCAGTTACAATGCAGCTTGCGCCGATCGGTGTGCCCTCTCCTCCGATCAGCAGAAGCTAGGTATGAGCTGACGACGCGTCCGAGCGAGCTATCAGCCTCGCTCCAATGACCAACGACGTGTGAAGCACGCTGTCAAGGAGCTTTCCCACTCTGTCATACATATCATGGTTTACCCTTGGATGGCACAAGGTAGCGTGTGTCATAACATGCATGCTTCGAAAGCCTCAAGTACCAAGCTTCGCGCTTGCGATAGTAAGCTTTCACCCTCATGCTTGTACCCCCAACCAAGCGATCACAGACATTGAACTCCAACAGACCGGCCGCGACAATGCCTCACAACCACAACAACAAGAAGCACCACAACAGGCATGCCCACGAATCGGCTACCTCCTCGGGCATCAAAGACTATGGTTGCTGGAAGGTGAGACATGAAACATAGCCGTCGCCCGAGTTGTCGCTGAATATGCTTTTGCGATAGGGCACACCCTTGAGCTTCACCGCCCAGACACTCGACCAGGACAAGTCTCCCCACATCACGCTCAAGTTCAGCGACGGCTCGGGCACCAGAGAGGCAGACATCAACGTGGCGTCCACCGACGCAGACCACGACCTCGTATACTGGCTGAACCGCCAATACAGCAACCTAACCTTCACCCAGCAGTTGACCTCGCTTTCGCAGGGCTTCCACCAAGCGACGGACGCTGCTGGCCAGGGCTTGTCGCTGGACTATCTCCGCACGAAGCCTGCGCTCATCGACCTGAGCGCTGGCCGTGTGCTACCTAACTCGGAGGAGGGACCGAATAATGATATTCTGGACCAGCTGGAGCCCATCTTGAACGATGCGATCAAGGCCAAAGCAGACATGTACCTCTTCGGATCCGACTACGGCACGGGAATCCACGACAGTACGCACACTCATGGTCAATCTGCATCGCGATACACTAACCCTGCCACCAGTCCACATGAACCAAGGAAACGAATCCAACTTCGAGAGCGCAGTCGGAAATGACGGTACGCCATATCTCCTACATAACATAATGCATGCGCCGATTTCAAGTACTGACTGTTCGCGACCAGGCGCCATCTTTTTCCACTACGCGAACGACGACGCCCATTTCGAGGGTGTCTTTTTGGCGTTTGCCACACAGGAGGTGCCGACTGATGACTCGACTGGGAAGCCTACGGCGGATGCGCAGGCGCTGAGCTCGATTGCGAAGGGCACTGCGACGAGTACCTAGGTAGTGGGTAGAGCTAGGGTCGAACTTAGATATACGATGCGGATAGCAGCATACATACGTAAGGGGTAAACATATATCCATTCAAGAGAATGATTTCAATAGAAACGTACAAAGTATAAAGTATAGAGCTTGATTGTGGCGTTTGATCTCAAGGCCAGAGACCTCGGAGAATCTACTTCTAGGCGCCGACGCTAGCGTACACGTGATTTGCTATGCATTATGCATCTGTAATCCTTAACTCACTCCCCAAGAATCTCCCCAGCGACCCTCTCCCCACTCCTAATAGCCCCATCCATATACCCAGTCCAGTACTCCGCCGTCTCCGTCCCCGCCCAATGCAATCCATCCACCGGCTCTCGCAGCGCCTTGCCGTACCTACTCAGCACGCCTACGGGCGCAAACGCAACGGGGCCGCCCTTGCTAAACTCTTCGAGATCCCACCTTTGAATCACGAAGTCCTTGGGCGATTTAGCCTGCTGACCAAAGTAGCGTGAGAAGTCTGAAAGGATTTTCGATTTGATGGTGGCAGGGGACGCGGTGTCGAGGGCGCGCATGTCATCGCCGAGGATAAAGCCCATGACGGCGCCGAAGGTGGGAGAGGAGGGCGTGTTGTCGAATGTTACTTTCGTGGCGCCGGTGTCGCTGATAGCTTGCCCGTTGAGGTCTTCGGTGGTGCGCCAGAAGGGGGTGTCGTACACTGCGATGGCCTTTCCGATTGCGCCCATTCGAAGTAGTTGGTTGAGTTGAGTGCGTGCATGGGGAAGGGGCGGTGAGAATGTGATGTCTTTAACGAGGGTTGGCGCGAGCGCGAGGACTACCTTGTTGGCGCTCACGTTGAGGCCTTTGGCTGTGATGTGGTAGCCTGTGGAGGTCTTGGTGATGCACTGAACGGGAGCGTTGAGGGAGATGCGGTCTTCTCCTATTTTGTCGGCGAGTTTGAGAGGAATGAGTTGGGTCCCGCCTTCGACGCGTTTCTCCTGTGCGCCGTCGGTAACGCCGATGAGCCGAGCGACAGTTCCTTTATTGGACTCGTCTCCAGCTGCGGAAATATACGCTGTCACGTAGAGCAATGACAGTTCGGCTGGTTCCGCGGCAAAGACGGCCTTGGTGAAGCTGGTGAGTACGGTCTGCGTACCTGCCTGTGCGGCAAAGCTGTTGACCCACTGTCCAAACGTAACACTGTCCCACTCCGTAGCGTTAGGATGTTCCCACGGAGCGTTCGTATCAACACTCGCAGCCCACCCATCGAGAGTCGCGACTATCGTAGCAACCTCAGCCAAAACCTCATCCGGAACAGGCGGAACGCCGCCAGTCGCAGCATCCGGAACATAAACAACGCGCTGATTGTTATTCCAAAGCACTGAGCTTCCATTGTTGTAAGTATCAAAGGTCTGAAGCCCAAGGGAAGAGATGTATTCGATGACCTTGTTTTGCGTAGGACCGACGAACTCGGCTCCAACCTCGGTGACGTCTCCATTGGCGAGCTTCCTGTTGAGAATCTTGCCGCCTACGCGGTCTCGGGCTTCGAGGACAAGCACTGATTTGCCACCGTCGATAAGCTTTTTCGCTGCTGTGAGGCCGGAGAGGCCTCCTCCTACGATCGCAACATCGACGCTTTGAACTTGCGGTGCTGCCATTACAGGATACGTAGAGATGCTCGCGAAAGAGCAGAAGAGTATCGGGAAGCGCATGTTCAGGAAGAGAAGTAGTAGGTAGAGCGGAAGAAGAAGGATTGGAAAATGCGCAGATGAGGATACTTGCCAGTGTGTTTCTCTCAGCGTGTCTGAGCTGTCGTTCTTATACCCATCGCAGCATCAATGTTAAAAGACTGAACGAGTCACTTGCCAAAACCAGGATGAAGTTGCGAAATACAGGCACCGAGGTATGTTGTATGGGACAAGGTTGACTCAATTCACGATGGAGCTTAGTTAATCCCTCCACCCGTAGTTCGAAGCAACAAGCTAGGGAAAATCCAAGTCACATGGAAAGGCATCCAATCACGCGGCATTCGGCTCCCGACTGTCCGACTACAAACTATGAGAAGGGGAATTCCCCTTTAAGAAGTGCTCCTCGGACTAGTCGGAGGCCGGATGCTCCGTGATTGGACACGATGCCATTCGTTCTAGCGAGTAGTATCGTGCATTATATTCGAAGTCATGATGTTTGATCCATTCTATGCCGAGGTCGGCGGGGCACAGATTACATTCCTTAGGTCTTTTGTCTTTGCAGAGATACCTGGATAGCTTTCAAGCGACGACGTTTTTGGAAATATTTACGAACAGTAGCCGAGCTACACAACATGAAGAATTACTGCGCGGGTACGTAGAAATCGCAGAGGATGCCGCGCATTAACGACCGATATGAGAACCTTTTCGGAAGGTAGGCAGGCTTGTAAACAGCAGTCAGTTCCCGAAATGCTAACGCAAGTACGAAATGCTCACTACCCATCGCAATCGTAGCTTCGTAGCCGTCACTGGTCAAACATTCGCTCGATCGAACCTAATGGATGTCATCTCCTTCTATTTGTCATGTACTCTGTCTACCTCTGGCTTTAGCACATTCAGTCTGATAGTCCACACCGCGTCGAACTACATGCCATACATTGCGTCTATCACACCGGTGTGATGGTTGGCGGACAATTGTGTCAGAAGCCTGTGCTCATCTAGGGAGGAGAGTAATCCCTAGAGGAGCGCTGAGGGAATACCACGCGCAACGAGCTGGTAATGCACATATGCAGCCTCCTTTATTGTGGCTTTCATTATCGATCGACTCAGGACAACCGAAGTGTAACAGACTGGAACTGGGCACTATGGTGAGCTTTGATCGGCGTGTGTGTCGTCAGGTCTGTCAATATCCTGCGATCTGCGATTACCACGCAGGGAAGAATATAAAATGCGTTACGCCTTCTCTTTTACTGGGTGCTGCGTTTCTTATCTTTCGGCCTTTGCGGCCTCTCGGCTGAGGTATCCTTAAGCCTATTATCTGTTTCTGATTTCGCCGGACTATAGTCGGTTCAGGTTGTCAGATTGGTTATTTCCTCTGCCAGTTGCCGCAATTATACTGATGTTTTCGCTCAAAGTACTTGATCCATTTGTCGAGTACATGTGATACATATGCTGCCATGTGGTTATCATAGCCCGAGGCAATTCCTGTGCGAAATTCGGAATTCTTATAAAGTCTTTCTTATTAGAATAAGATATATTTGTCCAATTCCATACCAATACCAGACAGCGCCTTGTTCGTGAGACTAGTACAAAGACATGCCGAGGGCCATGTCTCTATCCGCATGCATGCGGGGTCCTGGGAGCATTGAATTGGAGTTTGTGTGAGTTCTTGGATGTTTTTACTCATTGAAAAACTTGGCGCCGAGTCTCGATGGTGCGATAAAATGTCACCTTGAGCGACGAGAACTGTAACCACTGCTCCATAGTCGGCAATAGATGTAGCCTTCAATATGAAATCGAAACATCGACGAATTAATCACACATACTAATGTTCTCGATGGTGAGATATTTGCTGGATGGAAGCGGCGTGGTTGCCTAGCTACATAGTTGTAGATACATGGAAGTCCAAAGACAAAAGGAGTGTAATGTATCAAAGACACGGCCGGAGTTCAAATAAGGAATCCAGCAGATGATGGGGGAGAGGTTTCGGGAAGCAGCACTCGGGGACAAACCTTCCGAAGAAGTAAGACAGTGGTTGCAACGCCATGAACGACCGTGAGTATCGAGTCAAGTCGCAGCAGCTACTGTGTCTGTCCCGTCGTATATGGTTCCGTCTCCGGTGGTGGGGGAGGGCAACGTAGGAAGCCCTCTCCACACGGACCGACCTCATCAGTAAAATGAAAACGTATGTTGCAAACATAAGAGATAGCCTTCATGAGCGAGATAGCAGCTTTGGTGTCAGATGTGTTGTGCGCCCCCGTGAGAGAAGCGTCAACTTTCGTATAATGAAGAATGTGCGGTGTAGGAAAGAAAAAGTGCGACTTAGCACGAGGGAAAGCTACCCCCGAGAGAGCAAAGAAGAAGTTATGCCTCAAAGGTCGGCCAAGAGTAACACCTCTCTTCCACCATGACCTAGCCTCCTTTCTCGCACCGTCTGTCTCACGGAAGCGGGCCTTGTGTTTGAGTTCATGGTGTTTGGACGCGATAATTGCTGGTAGCAAATCGAGACACAGATACTCATCGGCAATCGTTGCTGTGCTAAGACGAACGTTTGGACAACTTCGGTAGTTGCGCATGTCCAGCGACACCTGTTCCACACGTCAGATATCTATGTGACGAACGTGGACGATGGTCAGGGAGTTCGTCACATAGGAGGCCCACACGGTGCGCACTGGTCTCTCCACCTCGACGCTAGGCTCTACCGGTGGCTTCATAGGGCCGGGATCATGGCCGCGGCCGTGCCAGTCGTTCGGAGATAGCATGTCCAACGTGCGAAGCGTTTGCGGGCAGGCTAGCGACGATGCTAGTGCAGAGGGGCGATTCAAAAGTTGATAGCATGAGCGAACGTGTCTAAAGGCAGATGGGTCTCAGGCGACTTGAAGATGACAGCCTGGAGAGGATTCGGCGGGGTAGTTGCCAAGGATTCATGACTAATGCTCTCTGGCCGTCGGGCTGATCGCCAGGCTGATCTGAACCAACATACTTTTCAACCTCGCCCACCCTTCAAACCGGAGAGCAACGAATTATGGCCAGTCCCTCGACGTGGTCCTGGGATCCGAATCGCCAGGACTATTACTACGTAACGGCAGATTGTGCGAAGTCCCCTGACTTTGTGTATATCGCTTCGGACTTACTTTTCTTCTAGCTTCGGGCAATTACACCTACCATTACGCCAAGGATCAGGTTCAGGATGTATTACACGAAAGGCACGATTCGGTCAACTGTGCCATCGCCGCTGCACCTGAGAACGTGTCTCCAGAAGTTCGAGAGCAACTTCCGAATTTCATCAAGGGCACACCAGACGGAAGCTTGACCGAGAGATTAGACCCTAGTAAGCTCTTTAGCCCCTTGAAATGCCGGCAAGCGATCTAAATATCAGGTTATCGCATGCGTTCTGGCGCAGATTTGTATGAATTCTTCAAGGTTGGCAAAGTAAGATCCCTGGGAAGATATGTTGGCTTGAGATAAACCGGACTAGGTATTCTCCATGCTTCATGTTCAAGCTGCTGCTGCGCAAACCCTGGTCCCCATCAGCGACAACATTTCGCTCGTCAAGTACGGTGAACATGCATTTTCCCAAATTAGACGCTTCGTCATTGTCGATGTACGGAGAGGATTTGTCTACGCCTGGTAAATCACTGGTGAATCATTGAGACGGACAGCATGCTTACGTTCGTTTTAGTCCGATTTTTACATACAACCAACAGGGTACATTGAAGCGTGGATGTGTTCCATCGCAGCATAGTGTGATTTACCTTTTGGGCAGCACACCCACCATGTTTCCCGGTGAGTATGAGAGAGGACTGACCAAACAACCTATCGCAGTAATACCTGCCGATGCGAGTGTTTACATGGCTCCAGCGAGTCGTTTACATTACGCGAAGGCGTATCCGGTTGAAATGAACGTAAAAGTGAAGAATATCGGTGACGTGGATTCCGCGTGCTTGGATCTGTTGCTGCAATATTACAGAGAAGAGAACTTGCCGGAAGGCTTCGCATATCCTGGCTTGATCACCTCGTATCCTGCTAAGAGTGAAAGTATCAGCGCAGCTGGAGACCTTTTCGTTTTCAAGCTCTTCGATTCAGGTACACCGATCTTCGTCCAAATTAAGTGGAGCTCTAATCGATGAGCAGAATTTGAAACTGTTAACAATCCGAAGGCCTTCTTTAAAAAGGGCAGAGTTTTCATGACTCCTTGGCCAGAACCATCAGGAGATGCTATCAAGGACCAGACGGGGCCACGCGTTTCTGTCAAAATTCGAACATTTGTCGTCATACGCCCGCAAAATGGACATTGCACCTGCATACCTATCAACACGTATCAGGACCAAGGAACAAGAAAACCAGGCGTGATTGCAAAGGATCATGCTGCCGTGGTACCTGTCGGCGAGAGGTCGACAGAGCATCCCCTGGAGAGCCTCACGAAATCTCCCATCTTCCTGAAGGTGGAGAATCTTTCCACTGGTCCCGTGGATCCGATGTCGCGCATTAACTTCGCCAAAGTATACACGATTGAGGAGAACGTTAAAGTTCGCAACATAGGGCGAATTGTACCCGAGTCAATTCATCAGATGGATGAGTATTTCAAAGAATCCTTCAAGTTTGGAACAGAATCCACCACACCCGGTCAAACCCAGGTCCACCAAGCTCCAGCACATTCATACCAGCCTTACCAAACTCAACCATATCAAAGTCAGACATACCAGACTCAGACATACCAGCCTCAGACATACCAGCCTCAATCATACCAGTACTAGGCTCAGACATTCCAGGCTCAGACAAATCCAGTCTCAAGCTACCGACCTGGGATCTACTATCGAGATGCCTGTTAGCATTACAGCGGGCTATTCTACGATCTGTTGAGTTACGCAACTCCAACGATATGAGGCGTTCGTGACCGGTGAACCGTGCCACGTTAATGTGACAGAGCGTAGGCCGCGGCAAGTCCATTTTCCTGCAGGTCGCTGCATGACAAGCCGGTCGCAGCCTGCTATTGGATCAGCCAACACGAATTAGCCTTGCGAGTATCCCAAGACAGGCTTGACTGGCCCTACAGATACAATGTCAGCCCGGGTGGGGTCATCATAAAAGCGCAGCCATCACCACTGCACGGCATGTTTTCTACCTTCTACCAACATGGAAATCGTCGGTGCTGTCGCTGCACTCACTCAGCTCGCGAAGTATGGTTTCGATTTGACCAATGGTATACCAGAAGTCAGTCGACGATTACGACATGCACCAGCCTTGTTACGCGAGTGGAACGATCGAGCGTCATTATTGGCTAGCCTTGCCCAAACACTTCAGAATCGACCTGCACTTTTGCGACGGGTCGAGCCTGACATCATCACAAGGCTAGTCACAGACGTCGGTAATGTTGCGTCACTCCTTCAGGATCTCGCAGTAGCTGCAGGAGATGGGAAAGTGGCAAGGGCTAGGAAGCGAGTCCAAATCATCAGGAAGGAGAGGGAGATAGATAAAGCCCTGGGCTCCATTGGTCAATTAGGAAGTGCATTACAAGCACAACTTCTGTATGAATGCCACTCCAATTCATGAATCCCACTTACGGATGCTAGCCTCTTGTTGACCGAGCCTCAACCCATGCAGCGTCTCCTCACGACACACGGGACCCCGCAGTCTTTACAAACTGACTTGGTAACGTCACCATCGCCGGCAAGCATCTTCGGCCTTGTCGCACTCCTTCTCATAGTCTGACGAGCTCATTATTTCTCAGGTGGGCCAAACTCCGACGGCCCGGCCAAGCGGTGCCCTTGTTATGGGCCTACCGCAACGCGACCGCCATTTTATTGGTCGCAAAGCACTCCTACAAAAGTTGACCGCCAAGCTGACTGATGTGGATAGTAAAACAGTCATACTGACAGGATTAGGTGGGATTGGGTATGATTACTCTAAGCAATACATACTCGTTGAAGTTGATTAAATGGTAGCAAAACAGCGGTAATAATCGAGTTATTGCACATGATCCGAGACGAGAATCATCAACAACTACCTGTCATCTGGATTGACGGATCAAGCGAAATCAGCATGATCTCGAGCTGTCGCGCTGTGCCCCACACAGAGCAGACAACGACATATCCCGATGCAGTATTCGAAACTATAACAACCGCTTTGATGGCTATCTTTTCCAAAGCCTCTAGGGGAGCTCTTGTTGTCTTGGACAACATTGATTCGACTACTATAATACCAGCATCTTTGAAGATGATTCTCCAAGGCAACAGTAAAATCCGTACCTTAATGACGACTAGGAGTGTGCGCTTCGCTTTACAGATCGTACATCCACAGGATATTGAGGAGCTTACCAGCATGGTCCTTCCAGACGCAACAAGCCTTCTGCTCTCGTACACACTACCGATTCTCAGGACTCTTGAAGAAGCGACTTCCATAGCACGTGCCCTCGAGTGCTTTCCTTCTGCAATCGTTGATGCAGGTATTGGTATACGATGCGGTACTGTTCCAATACTTCAGGTTCCTTTCACCCCTTCTTCACTCTTCTCCAACATCGGCCACTGCACAGCACAGCAAATGCGGATGCACAGACACCCTTCGACACATTTGACATTTTCCATGGAGGCTCTAGAATCGCAAAATGCTCACGCTACGCGTCTATTATTGTGTCTCGCTTGTTTTCACGAAACTGCTTGCCTGGGAAAGCTACTCGAAGAGCTCACGAGGACGAGGGAAGAGCAAGACACTTTATCGCTGCTGAAAGCTTACTATCTGTTAGAGTCAGAGCCGCCTGATGTCTCCCAGCGACTCAATCGATTCGTAAGAGACGATGCGAGAGCTGCATTAGCGGGGTACCACGAGCGCGACATTGTTATAAACCTTGCTATACAGGCGGTGGCGCCGAGTACCTTTACGTGCAACGGTGCCCCTTCTCAACGCGACCTTCATCAAACTTCGGTTTTGTGCACAGCTTTGGAAGTTACGACTGTGGACGAGCTACATAGCTCAAGTATTGTGTGTTTGCTCTCGATGGCACTCTCTCTTTGCGAGCAACTCATCACTGTCGGTAATGTTCTTGGAGCGATCCAGCTTATCGCTCAAACGATCACATGGGCGACTGCATCTGCTATAAATACTTGCGCTGCAGTGAACAACTTGCGAAGCAAAGTAGGCGCCGCATACTACCATCAGGGTCTATTCGAGGTCGCCGCGAGAACACTGGAAGAAGTCACTCGAAGCCAGATTGTGGAGGTTGGCTTATGTCATGTGGATACAGTGCACAGCTTGAACAATCTAGGGGTCGTTCATCAGGGCCAAGGTCTTTTCAAGGACGCCGAAAGATACCACCGTAAAGCCTTCAACATCAAGCAGCATCTGTTTGGGCGGCGCCACTCAGAATCTTTTGTGACGATGAATAATCTCGCACTTTCTTTGCAAAGCCAGAACAGACATGTCGATGCTTGTGGGCTCTTCGAAGCAGTTCTACACGGAAGAAGAATGCTTCTCGATTCAGGAAGTCTAGACATACACATCAGCATGAGCAACTTGGGTGTTTCCTACCAGTTTCAAGGGCGTTGTTCTGAGGCTTTGGAGTTGTTCCAGAACGCACTTGAAGGACTCCAGCGTCTCTTCGGCCAGAATCACCCTGAAGTCCTGAAGTGCAAAGGCAACATTGCGTTAGTGAAAGATCGTCGAGGCCAATGCGATGAAGCTGTCCAGTTGTTACAAGAGGTTGCCGCGGCGCAGAAACTTACACTGCCTAAGGCGCATCCTGACACATTGAGGACGTTACGAAATCTCGCTGTCATTCTGCATCGACAGTGCGAGTATGGAAAAGCGGAAATTGTCATCCAAGAAAGCCTCGCTATCGAAGAAGCTGAGTACGGGAAAGGTAGTCCCAAAACCTTCGTCAACCTACAGCATCTTTCCGCGGTTTTACACGAGCGGAAGAAACTTGACCAAGCTCTCGACATTGCGAGGTGGCTATATGAATCAAGGCGCGAGACACTGGGAGTCGCTCACGCAGACACCATGTGCAGCTTAAGCCACATCAGAGAGCTAGAAGTGGAGATGCTACCAATGAAGCTGGAGCGTTGTGCTTTGATGAATCCGGATAGCTTGCTTTGCAGTAGAGTTTGAGAGCCAATGTCTTCCTCGAAGGGGAAAACGCCGTAGGAAGCTGTCGTTACCACCTTAGGAAGCTTTATTTTCTCACTTAGTCATTGTTAGCTAGCGTTTGCATTTCGGACGTTAAGGTTTGGCTGCAATCCGCCTATGCTAGAAATCGCAATATTCTGTTACCTGCATATTCCTCGTGAATATCTTTACCGCAGGACAGTAGTAGCTTCGGTTCTTCTGGTGGACAATCTGTTCGGTGGTATGCCGGATAACTATGGTATAGTGATGCGTTGAAACCCCGAACTACTCTCCAGATGCTTCTTGGTCAAACATTCCAGGCCGATAAGTGTCAATCGATGTGCCATCGACCAGTCGCGAGAAGAAAAGCCCTCCGCTTCAATGGTGGTAGTGAACGTACAGTTGAGAATCATGTTTGTGCTAGGCAAGTGGTATGCTTCCGATGTAAAAGAAGCTGTTTCTTGCTTATTTGGCAGGAAAGAGCTCTTAGGTTGTGTGCAACTTTGCGCACATTCCATGCCGCCCATAAGATACTGCAATTCTAGCCAGGCCCTGAAACCGCTCAGGCATCATTCTCATACACATCCGTCACTCAGATTTCTGAAACAATCCCTGCGTCAGTTGATTCGTGATCAGAAACACCATGTCGGGTTAGCGCGCACATCCCTACCTCGCTGTTCGGGTTTAGCCGATTCTTGAAAGGGAAACATCTGTAAGATCCACGTGTGGCATCCATCCTGAGTGCCTTAGCATCATACTGCGGAGAGCATCGAATATGATATGGAATCAGACTTGGAACATTTGACTACTTGGCCGCACTGGGACGCACTGTATAAGATGCACGATGTTGCTAGAGGAAAAATCATCGAAGCAGCAGAGCTGGACTCGAGGTCGACAATTTACTACATTCCTTATTCACTTTACATTCACTTTACATTCACTTACACATTAATATTCCTGACCACTCGCTTTTCGACTGTCAACATGCACTACGCCAACCTTTGCACCCTTTTCGTTCTGGTGGCATTGCGCACCCCTGCCTCTGCTCTTCCAAGATCAAAGGCTGGGTGTCAAAATGCTGCAACTGGCAAGGCGGTCTATGTCATCACGAACGCTGCACAGAACGCCATCGCTGCTATGCCAATTAGTGCCAAAGGCACCCTGGGCAATGCGACGATTACTTCTACGTCAGGGCAGGGATCTGTCGCTCTCGATGCGGACGGCAAGCCAGCAACACCTGATGCGCTTGTGGGACAGTCGGCCTTGACCATTGCAGGCCAGGTATGCAAAGCCCCAAACTCTACAATGATACTATTTTGACTGACCATATCGAAGCACATCTTCACCGTTAATGCGGGGTCGAACACCGTCTCCATGCTTGCTATCTCACCGAACGATCCACTGAAACTGCAGATGGTCGGCCAGCCGGCTGCAGTTCCTGGAACCTTCCCCAATACCGTTGCCGCATCCGTCAAGAACTCTATGGTCTGCGTTGCGACTTCTGGATCACAAGCCGGCGTCTCCTGCGGCATGTTTGACGCCGTGAATGGCATCGGCGAAATGACTCCCATCGGTACCTTCGACCTCAACCAATCTGATCCGCCCGTTGGCCCGACCAACACCGTCTCTCACACGTTCTTCTCCGCCGACGAGTCAATGCTCTTCACCACCGTGAAAGGGGATCCTGCTGTCAACAACACCGGTTTCCTCAGCGTTGTTCCTGTTCAGATGAGTAAGAATGGCGATTGCTCATCAATGGTCGGAAAAGAGACACGTTCTAGTCCCAACGGCACTGCCGTGCTCTTCGGCTCCACCCCAATTCCAGGCGCCAATCCTCCCCAGATCTTCGCCACCGATGCATCCTTCGGCGCCGCCATTCTCTCTGTCGATGGCTCTTCCCAGACCACCACTCTCGCGAGCCAAGCAATCGACGGACAAAAAGCTACCTGCTGGTCTACAATCTCTTCGGTGACAAACAGCGCCTTCGTCACTGACGTTGGCGTGAACCACATCGTCGAAATGAGTCTCAAGGACGCGAGCATCATTGGGCAGATCGACCTAAGCCAGCAACAAGCGAGTGCGGCCGATCCAGGCCTGATCGACCTGAAGGCTTCGGGCAACTTTTTGTACGCTCTTAGCCCCGGTAATGGAACGAGCCAGGCTGCAATCAGTGTGTTGAACGTCAAGAGCAAACAACTGGTACAGCACGCTGAGCTTGGCGCCATCGGCGTCGGATCGACGGCACAGGGAATGGCAGTGTTGGCCTAAAAAGGAAGAGCTTGAGAAATAGTAGAGAAGCAGTGGGCAGTGTTATTCAGCTGAGCAGGCAAGCTTTGTGTCATGCTATTGTTTATATGAATGGACCTTTGGAGGGTATACACAATGCCGACCCTCTTTACTCTTCAGCTTTCCTGTCACGCATTAATCTGGCGATTTCCTCCTCGCATTTCTCTTACTCCCTATAGTAAATCTATCAGTTAAAATTCTTAATTCTTTTAATGAAGTGCTATAGGAGGTGGCACATTCTTTGCGCGAACGATAGTGAAGATGAAAAATAAAATAAAACAGCCACACACCTCACAAGAATATGAGGATGCTTCGTGCTGCCCACGTTTGATCTCTTCCTCGATGACTTCTAGCGAGCCAGCAAGACATGGAGGCGTTGGCCGGCCATTCGTGGAGACGATGTTGCCAGTCCATATATGCAGTGTTGTTGCTGACACTCTGTCAGGCACTTTCCATCACGTGCTGGTACGCAAGTGGACGTTCGTGGCAACACTCTCGATGCAACACACAAACGAACACTCAAAAGTCACCAAAGCCATGAATTTTCTCATATACACATTAACTCAAGAAACGCCCCACCCACCCCAGTCCATGCACCACATAAATCGTAAGCCCTAGCACCCTTCCCCCCCTAAATATAGAAAGAATTCAAATTCGCCTTCAAAAAAGCAGCCGTATCCCCCCTAAAATCATCCTTTAACAAAGCATTAGAATTCGCTCCAAAGCTCTTCAACTGCTGTCCCACACTCCACTGCGGCCAATTATCCAGCCCACTCCCCTCGTTAGGATCAAGATTATACACGAACGACAGATAATACGCGCGGATGCTCTTCGCCGCGTTATTGGGCAGTACGCCGTAGAAAACCTGCAGGAGGTCTGATCCGTGGAACGTCCCCAGGATGGGCGTCCCGTAGTCATAAGATGAGAGGTACGACCACGAGGGCACGTCTGGAAAAACCGTCGACGCCGTCTCGAGGAACACCCGGCGCGTAATAGTGAACGTGATGTCGCCGATGATGGCGGAGATGCGCTTGAACTGCGGGTACCAGTTGTTCAAAAGGAGGGTGCGGAAGGGGGAGCCGTCTTCGAGGGTGTTCTGGTAGGTGTCTACGAGGCCTTGGAGGACGGTTGTGGAGGCGGTGGGGAAGAAGACGGTTGAGAGGTACTTTGTTACGTCTTGCGTTGTGGTGAGGTTGGGGGTGAAGAGGCCGAATAGGGTGCCTTCGTCTTCTTGGTCGCCGACTATGAAGGGCACTTTCGCGTATTTGCCTGCTGCGACGAGGGCGTCGGGGGATGCTGTTAAAGCGGTGCCGTCGGGACGCGGGAGGTATGATAGAGAGACGGAGCTGTAGGAGAGGATGCCAGGGACGGAGTTCGCTGCGTTAAGGAAGGTGGTGTAGTCTTTTGTACGAAGGCAGGCGAGTGTATCGGAGGAAGAGGAGCATCCTGCGTTCTTAACAACGAGGTCGTACACGGCTTGGCCCTTGGCGTCATCAACAGGTTTGGCTGGTACGATGGAGCCCGAATTCATGATGCCAGCGCGGAAGAGCGGCTTTCCATTGTACGTGTTGTCACCATCATAAAGCAGCATCTGGTCAGCTACCGAGATGGCGCCTGCAGATTCTCCCCAAATCGTGACTTTGTCGGGGTCACCACCGAAAGCCGCGATGTTGTCTGCTACCCATTTAAGGCCGAGGCGTTGGTCTAGAAGGCCCAGGTTCGCGGATCCGTCTTTCAGGATCTCCTTGCCAGGCAGGAACCCAAAGCCGCCGACGCGGTAGTTGACTGCGACAAAAACAACGGGTTTTCCTTCACTGATAGAGCTGGTAACCAGGGAGGTGCCGTCATACATCTGTGTGGAGCCCAGTTCGAAACCGCCACCGAAGATCCAGAATAGTACAGGGAGTTTCGAGGAGCTTGTTGTACCTGCCGGTCGCTGAACGTTGATGGTCAGACAGTCCTCGCCAGCATTGGTAGCTGCCTGGAAAAGCGGCGTATTGAGGATCTCTCCAAGCACATTGGTAGGGAAGTTACTCTGGTCGAGGCTGAAGAAGAATTGTGGGCACGCCTTGGGTATCTGTGCTCCATCGACCTTTCCGACCGAAGATGTGAGAGGCTGTGGTGGCTTGAGACGGAGGTTTCCGGTGGGTGGTTGCGCGAAGGGTATTCCATTGAAGGTTTCAACGCCTAAGAGGGACTTTCCAACGACAGTTGCTCCTGGTTTGGGTGCAATGACCGTGGGAGACGCTCTCTTTTCCAAGGGTACTGCTGCTGGAGCCGCAATTGCCAGCGGCAAAAGAGAGAAGAGGACTGCTACCTTCATGATGGAGCACAGAGAATCAGCGAAAGACAAGGCGAGTTTGACAAACTGCCTGCACCACGACGACCGCAGCCTAGCCCGTGCAGTGCGTTTCTTTTAAGTTTCTCATCCGCAAACGTTCACAAGCTTGAAGGGGACCGGATTTATTTCTGCCCGCTCTTGAGGCCTCGGTCAATGCACGGGACTGCGTAAAGGTGCAACCTCCGCGAGCTAGAGGTAGAATATATGCCCGGATCCCGTGCTTGCAAGTATATGATGGCTTGTAGATCCAGGTAGCCAGGGGATATGCTAGACCCCGGAAGCCCGGGCATGCAGCTGTAGGTTGAACGGTGCATTTCGTAGCTGTAAGGACCAATCGCAATCGTTGTCCTTGAAAAGGCCCCAGGGGGTAATGTCCACAAATCTCGTAGCGGCGGAAGCTGGCGCCGACGTTAACGCCTTGGTCTTGCTGCGCGTGGTCATGAGGGTGTTTGCTGGAAGACCGAGCGAATCAGATCACGCCCCCCGTGCAACCACTGCCGAAGCGCCAACTCGTAGTTTATTTGGGGCTTTGCTGATCATGGTTAGCTTTTATTCCTCTGTCCAGTGCTCATTTGTACTCGAGACAATAGTTTAAAGCCGATTATGCGGATTGCGTACTGTATACCAATGCGCAATGGTTGTGATGTGCAGTTGAAATGATATTGCAGCATCATGATACATGCTGCCCAAGCTGTACTAATGAATACCGCGGGCGTACGATCGTATTCGCAGGGCAGCACTCCTGATCGATGGGCACGATGGGTACTTAGTGACATCCCCGGGTTCGTTTGACCCCAGGTTTGCACGGATCATTTGCCGAATTCGTGGCTGTGGCAGTCAATATGCGGGGTACTGGGGTACCACACCTCTCACGGCTGGTGCTCACCCTCCAACATGCCGCGATATGGTTTCGAGGCTTCGAGGCACAATAAGATCGCCCAATGTGCCTCGGTTGCTTACTTGATCGCTCGAAATTGGCGCACTTGGATACTTGCACGTGTGAGAAGGGAATGTGAGTGAAGAGACGAGATGTAGAACGAGGACAACGTATAAGAAGTGACGAAAGTAAATCTGATGGGTACCACAAGATTGAGGAACATAGTCCGAGACTATTTAGCACCACCAGATGTGGCCTTTGCTTGCGAAAACCGGTTCGAGATGGTTGGGCGCATCTGAGGCGCGAGCCTTCGTCCGAGATCACGGCACGAGGCTCTCCATCCTGTGTCTTTGTGGGTACCTCCAGGGCTGGGCATGTGACACGTGTAGGGCTGCGATGTTCAGAATGCGCCTCGAATATCGCGGTACACGTGGGTAGAAAAGGTTTGCAACAACTAGTGTGGACGCCTTAGAACTGGTTCTTGACCCGATACAGCAGCCGCTCCGAGAACTTCGGCACAAGTGGGAAGGTGCTCGGGAACCTGGGGAAATCGCGGAGGCGTACCGCGCGTATACACAGTACATGTCGTTGCCTCCGGGCATCGCGGAAATTGCCATGTCTGGACGGTCCTGGATGATAGAGTAAGCTGAGGGGTATGAACGAACGGTGTAGACTTGTTGGCTCGGGCGGAGGTGTTTGATATCCGGCCACAATATGACACTGAGACCGGCCGCAATGTCTGCGCGCAGAAGAATGCTCAAGTCGTTGTGCTGCCCGAAATATTCGTTTGGTCCGTGAATTACAGGGCTGCGACATAACGAGGCCGTTCCGAATATCCAAATATCGCAACCCTACGACATCTTCCCACGACTCAGCAAGATAGCTGGAGATCAGCTTCCTGGAGAGAAAAGCTCAAAGCTTTCCGATCGATACTTGGCCTACATGTTGCTGATGAGGCTCCAATGATCCCGACGAGGTCTGCCGGTCAGCTTAACCTGCAGAAATTCGAGGATGAGCAAGAAACCGAAGCGACTACGCTCTCTCCAGAGCTCCGGTATGCTTGTGGACGGCGCATCCTTGCGAAGTCAAGATGAACGCATGGGATAGAGGACAAATCTTCTGGCGAATACTTGGACGATATCGTGGCTCTAGCGAATCAAGACGCCTCATCTGTCGGCAATCTCGATAGGCACAGGACCCGAAAGTAATCTCTGGCGCGAAACCAAACTGGCCATATTGACTAAAAGAAGTCCAAACATTGCTGAAGAGAAGCTATCGTCAGTCTCCAGCGCCCGCGAATGTATGGCACGTGCACCCTTGAGTTGTTTGGGTTATGACGTAGCTCGCCCGACGTCATGTCCCGCAGCTCTACTCCAGCAAGCCCAGGAAAATGGACATAATCTGCTATTCTTGATTGCCTTGCCGCAGCTGAGAATTCCAGAACCCCGTAGCTGAAACTAGCGCCTTACATCCCGCGTGCAGTGCGCATTGATCGAGCTAGGTCCTGTGAATCAGGGTTAATCAGGTACGCACACAACCCCGCGGTGACGTGCCCGTATTCGCGATTCCACCACTGGTTTGCAAGAGGAGGCTGTGCTCGACCCTGCAATCTCTAGATACGTCATACTCAAACAGGCACGCGAGAGCTTCATAACGCACTTCGTCTCCACGCACTCCCAGCACTTAGCAACCTCACTATTACACACGACTCCACTACTTCACATCGAACCGTACGATACCCAGCAGCGACCATGGAGACCATTAGCAACGTCGTCAATACTGTCTCTCAGACAGCCACCAAGGCTATCTGGGGCGAGCAGAACGAGACAGCCGGCAACGAGCCTGTCTCTGGCGTCCAGGGCAAGGGCACCGCGACAGACCCCTTCGACAAGGGCAATTCCGGTACGGCTTCGTGACTGGCGCATGCGAGTCTTGTCTACAAAGCTTGTACATGCGCAACAAGGACTATGATGCTGATAATGCCCTAATATATAGAAGACCCCACCGATCCCACGACCCGCAATGAGACTGCCGGCCAAGAGCCCGTCAGCGGTCTACAAGGCAAGGGAACGGCGACAGAACCGTTCGACCAAGGCAACTTAGGTACATAGCTTTCAGACTGTTATGCCATCCGCCTCCACCGGCTCGCATTGTTAACTTCTTTGCCACACAGCGGACTCTACCAACACTGCCACCCTCCCCATCCGCGAGAAGTCATCCACCGAGACATCCGACGTTGCCTCTTCACTCGCCGTCCGGCCTGACGAGAATAACACCGCTGGCCTAGCTGGCACCGCGAACCTCTCTGACACTCTCTCCAAGACGACCGGCACAGACCTCAAGACCGACACCGTCTCCGGCAGCAAGAACGAGCCTGGACTCGCAGGCTTCACCAACGACCGCATTATCGATCCCGAAGACAAATCTCAACTTCCCACCATAGTCTCCAACGTCACCTCCTCCACCCCCGCCGACTCCCAAAGCGCCGGCATAACCGGCACCGAGAACCTCTCCGACACGCTCGCGAAGACCAACCCCCCCGTCTCCTCGCCCGTCACGTCGCCCAAGAGCACGCCCGCCCTCGGCCAAGAAGGCGGCGACCCGCTCGGCAGCGCGAAAGGAACCGGCGCGCTCCACACCAAGAGCAGCGGCACCGCCGCCGACGGAGGCGACTTCGACGCGACGAAGCCTGGTGCGGGCAAGGAGGCTGAGCGTACGTCTGAAAAACGGTCCCGCGGGGACTCGCTTCGCGCTGTACTAGAACGTGCTGATATGGTGACAGGTCTGATGGAGAGCAAGGGCGAGAGTGCGAGCAGCGCGGCAACGGACAAGACGGAGACGTCGCCGTCGGGCGAAAAGGAGAAGGTCTCCAAGATGGAGAAGTTGAAGGAGAAGCTGCATATCAAGAAGCACTAGGCGGGGCGTGCTGTTGTGGCTGGCGAGAAGCAAAGTATACTGAGATGATGATGATGGATGGGGGAGGCTATGAGTTACGATATGAATTGGTGGTGCATGTTCTTGATACCTCTGGCTCGGACTAGTCAAGGAGCTTTTTAATTCCCCATGAATGCGACTGATTTGCAATGAACTCTAATTTTCATCGCGAAAAGAGTATGGACTCATAGTAATGCATGAATTTCTGATAGGGCGTGCAATGTGAATTGCATGGGGTGGTAAGGACATGTAATAATGCCCTGCTGTCACCTATGCTTCTAAAGAATCCTCGTAGATCACACCTAGCGGCGGTTGAGATCTGTTAATGTAGCATGCGTATGTACAAGTCTTTGACCGCTGTGATATGGTATCTAAATCGCTCTCATCTACAAGTATGCGTATGCGCGTGTATATGCGTATGTACCGTTCGGGTACCTGGTCTATCGGCTCCGGTGGCTCTCATCCTCCCGCTGCCACCGCCGAGTTCCCAACGTCTCCAACGGAAGGTCATTGCTGCGTAAGCATATGCTTGAACTTCTCAATCTGTACACCATGTCAGCCACATACCCACAATCGTCGCAAATGACGAAACTCACCTTCGTACTCAGATACTTCTCCACCTCCTCGCTCTTGATCCCCGCCTTGCCGCCTGTCTTCCACGCAAGCGGCACCATAGCCACCCTCTCCTTTACCACGACTTCCCGCCCCGGGCCCTCCACAGCCCGCACTTTATCCGGGTTATTTGTTAAGAGTCTGATGCCGGCCTCGCCCCCAAGCCCAAGGTCAACCAGCATGCTCGTCGCAAGCCCGTAGCTCCGCGCATCGGCCGGATGCCGCAGCATGATGTTCGCCTCGTACGTGTCGTTGCCCAGATCCTGCAGGTTATACGCTTTAAGCTTTTCACCCAGCCCGATACCCCGGCCTTCTTGCCGGAGGTAGATGATCACGCCTCCTGAAGGTGAGATGTGCGGGCTGGACATCAGCCGCGCCGCCTCGTCAAGTTGCTCCCCGCAGTCGCAGCGCGCGGACCAGACGGTTTCGCCGGTGTAGCACTCTGAATGTATGCGGACGAGAGGAAGCTCGGTATTGCTGCTTCCCTCCATGTCCTCCCCTACGTCCGACACACTCGCTGACGATACCGACGCACTCCCGCCACTCTGCGCTTTCGGCATCGCCCCTTCTGCCCGCTTGATCGCCTCCACCCTACTGTGCGTCCTGCCCGGATACAACCGCCCCACATACGCGCCCCTCGTCATCCTCTCCAGCTCCGTCTCGCCTTCCCTCTCCCGATCCAGACTCCGGCTGCGTATCTGCGCCCCGAACACAATGGCTAGATGCTCCTTCGTATCCACGTTATTCCGGTACACGTGCAGCCACATCTCGTGCCCCGTCGTAGTGGGTATGCGCGCGCGGACCTCGCATTCCACCACAGGTAATTCTTCGAGGAGCTCTGGGCGGGGGATTGCGTGGCGTCGGGGGAGGACGGGGACGGAGCGGGGAGGGCGTGGGCGCGGGTCCGAGGGCGTGGATATGCCGGGCGTGGCGGGGGTGTGAAGGCGGGGCTTAGAAGGCTGGGGGGAGGAGCTTGCGAAGCTCTCCTCGCGTTGGTAGTTGTACCAGCATCATTGGAAGGCGGTGGAGTCGCATCCTCTCCCAAGATATACGCATCTTCTTCCAAGCGGTGCGGATGCTCGTGCTCCGGTCGCGGCGAGTGGAGCGGCGGAAAGGCGGGCGACGAGTGCGCTGGGAGATCGGGCATGGCTAACAACCTCAAACGTTTAGGGAAAGACGAGCAATTGAGGCGGACAAGGTCGCAGGAAAAAGCGCAGGTGAGATGATGTGACGCACGGCTATCACCGACTCGCCGAGGCTTTTGCGAATCGGCGGGGTTTCGCAGACGGGTTCCGAAGATGGGATGGAAGCTCGGAAATAGGCCCGTCCGGCTGGGTGCTTAGTAACGAACCACGAGCTGTAAGCACCGCATAATCAACATTTGAAGTCGGTTGACGGAAAGGCATACGAGTAAATTTCGTGGTGGTTCTACATAATTCCTCAATGGACATTGAACCTTCTGGAGGATGTGTAGATGTCACCCGCACTACTGGCCAGGCGGGTATTGCACCGTGGAATCGCATATACGCTTGTACATGCAAACTGAGGACCTATATTTTATATCTTGTCTGAACCAAATGAGATCTCACGCTCTACAATTTCAGGCCGTTAAAGAATCAAATTCCCTAGTCAACTCGTCGCTCCCTCCCCCACACTTCATCCGCATTCTTCTTGCCCTTCGTCTCGGGAACGAACCAGCTGATGAACACGAAGAAGGCCGCCGAAAGCGCCGCAAAGATGATGTAAACCTTGCCATGTAATTTCGCGCTCGCCAACGGGAAAAACTGCGCAACGAGGAATGTCGCGATCCAGTTCGCCGCCAGCGCAATACTCTGCGTTGCGCCCACGGCCTCCGGACCCACCAGTTCAGCGGAGAGTATGAAGGGCACAGGTCCGAGACCCAGCGCAAAGCTAGAAACGAAAAGCAGGACGGCTACTGCTGATAGCACAGGTATGGATCTCATGATGCCTATGGCGAGAAGGAGGGAGGATATGCCCATGCCGGCAAGCGATTGCAGCAGACATGCTTTGCGACCCAATTTGTCTGGCAAGGGTGCGCAACCGGTGGTAACGACGATGTTGACGGCCGATACTGCGAGGTTGAGGAGGGCTGAGTTCGCAGCAAGTAGATCGGATAATAGCGAGACGCCGTACATGACAATGCTGTTGATGCCGCTGAGCTGCTGGGCGAGCATGATCATAATGACTGCAAAAGCAGCTTTCTGGTAGTCCGGGTGTCGGAGGACTTGGGCGATGCTGAGAGCTTCTTCTTTGGATCGGTTCTTCGGCGTGGAGGGCTCGTCATCGTTGTGTAAAAGGGTTTGCTCTTCGTCTAAACGTGCGTTAGGTTTATGTCATGAATCGGGACACCGAACATACCATTAACATCAGCAGTCCCATCAACGCTCCAGCTGTTGAACTCGTCGTTGATATCCTTGTCTTCACCACGAATGCTGCGCAGCGCCTTCTTCGCTTGCGATGTGTGACCCTGCTCAGCAAGGTATTTGGGACTCTCCACAGACAAGAATAACCCCAGAAGCTGTAGCACTCCAATCACGCCTCCCGCAGCCAAAATGATCCTCCAGTACGAATCATGGCTGAGGAAGTAGCCGAGCAGCTGGGTAAACAGGATGCCCACATTGCACATGATCTGCGTGAATGCGCCAAAGAAGCCCTTCTGCGCCGGCGGTGCGATCTCCGAGATGTAAATGGGAACGACGACCACGGATGCGCCAGCACCCACGCCCGACAACAGCCTCCCCACCGCCATAACGCCAATATTGGGCGACAATGCTTCGAATACAGGCCCAACGATGAAGAATATCGACGTCAGCTGCATCGCGCGTCGTCGTCCGTATTTTCCTGCCAGTGGGCCGGCGGAGAGGGCGCCGAGCAGCCCTCCCAGCGTGTACATTGAGCCTACGACGCCCCATTCCGTGGGGGTCATCTTGATGCACTGCGGGAGGCCAGCCGCGGCGGCGGTGATGGAGTTCTTTTTGCAGCGTATGACATCTTCGGGTGCGTTGAGCTCGGACTGGAAGTGTCAGTTCGATGTCTCGTTGCTGGAATGCAGCGGCGGGGATTACCAAGTGAAAGCCAAAGAGCAGCGGGCCAAGCGTGGCGACGAAGAGGACGTAGACGAAGTAGGGAGTGAGGTCGCTAGACCAGGCGCGGGAACTCATGATGTCCGTCTGCCCGTATCGAGTCTGCAGGAGTGATGTGGAAGCTGGCGCGCCGTGCTGCGGTACGTGTCAGCCCGCCTTTTGCTTGCGACCTATGCATACGCAAGTATGACATATTGCGCAGATTGCGCGGATAACAACACCACATACCTCCGCCGATTATGCAGGAACGCTCACTGCGTCCTCATGTAGCAATCCGGGTGAAGCTAAACGTGGGTGCGTGTTGAAGCTTGGTTGGTGTGGGGAAGCTGCGACCCTCCCGTGGTTGGCCGTCCCTTCCCATATCAGACGTTGCGGCTCTGCGGACCAACCACGCAATCGGCAGACGCCAACCACATCCACGGCCTCAGCCTGCGGTCTCAACATGCATCTGCATCTGCAGCGCTGACTGCAGCTCATCACGCTCCACCAACACCACCTGCATCAAACTGAGTGTCAGCCGGGCTCGACTCGCCATCTGAGCAGGCGCTCCACATCCCGCCCTCCCGGCGTCTGCTGCTTGCCGTGACCGCGGCCTGCGCGCCGCATCTGCCGACTGTGGATCTACTGTTAAACGAGCAGCACGCGATGACCGCAAGATGAATCAGCCCTCAGCTAGTAATCCTCCCTCAGGAGGCCCGCCGTCCGCCAGTGCCCGACAGCAGCTCCGAAACAGTGTCGTGGCAGCCTTCAACGGTTCGTGTCTTCTGATTAGTCTCTCCCGCGGAGGAAAAGGAGGACGTATTGCGCCACCTCCCATGCCCCATAATAATTTTGTACTTCTGTTTCGCATTTCTTTTGTTCGTTGGGGTTCTACTAAACGGGGCGTCTGCTGATCGTCCTTCGCTTGATCATCCTCCTGTGCTCCGAACCCGGGACCTGGTCATTTCCTTAATCTGACCTACATACTCTCATTCTCGGATTGATGTCCGTCCTCTCAGATCGCCTTCCCTTCTCCTTACAAGACTCTTCAGTGTTTGCTATTCCATGAAGAAGTACTGAACCTGTTGGCGGACAGATCCGGCGGATTCAAGAGACGCAATGTTCACCGGCTACAACACCAAAAAGCGCGTCAACGAGCGTTACAAAATCATCGGCTTCATCTCCAGTGGTACATACGGCAGGGTCTACAAAGCCGAAAGTCGCAATGCCAACCCACCCAGTATGAAGCTCTTCGCAATCAAGAAGTTCAAACCCGACAAAGAAGGAGAACTCCAGTATTCAGGGATTAGTCAGTCTGCGATAAGAGAGATGGCCCTGTGCACGGAGCTTGCGCATCCCAACGTCGTGCACACTGTCGAGATCATCTTAGAAGAGAAGTGTATTTTTATCGTCTTTGAGTATGCGGAGCACGATCTGCTGCAAATTATCCACCATCACAACACCGGTGGCCAGGGCGGGCGGCAAGCTATCCCTGCAAAAACCATCAAAAGCATCCTATGGCAATTGTTACAGGTAAGACCAATCACACCGTGCCTTCCTGAGGACACGGGTGGTTCTGACATTTATAGGGGCTGGTGTATTTGCACAGAAACTGGGTCATGCACCGCGACCTTAAGCCCGCCAACATAATGGTCACGTCCTCCGGAAAGGTCAAGATCGGAGATTTAGGTTTAGCGCGTCTTTTCTACAAACCCCTTCAGACTCTGTTCTCAGGCGACAAGGTCGTCGTCACCATATGGTACCGCGCCCCTGAACTCCTTCTTGGAAGTCGTCACTACACGCCTGCCGTCGACCTATGGGCCGTGGGCTGTATATTCGCGGAACTACTGTCTTTGCGGCCGATCTTCAAGGGTGAAGAGGCGAAGATGGACGGCAAAAAGACCGTTCCCTTCCAGCGTAACCAAATGCAAAAAATTGTAGAAATCATGGGAATGCCTTCTAAGGAGCGGTGGCCACTTCTCGCTGCGATGCCCGAATACGCGCAACTATCTTCCTTGGCAGCCGGCAACGCGCGCTTTCACCGCCCTCAGGGACTAGAGAACTGGTATCAGGGTTGTCTCAAGAATAATCAGTATCCCCCTGGGTCTGGACCGGATACTCCAGGGCCAGAGGGCTTTGATCTACTGCAGCAGTTGTTGGAGTATGATCCGCAGAAGAGGCTGACTGCCGAGAAAGCGCTGCTTCATCCGTACTTTACGAGCCATGGGAAGCCGGGTGAGAATTGCTTTGAGGAAAGTAAGATCAAGTACCCGATCAGAAGGGTCAGCCAGGAGGATAATGACATCAGGACGGGGAGTTTGCCAGGCACGAAGCGGAGTGGATTACCGGATGACTCTCTGATTGGGAGGCCCGCCAAGAGGTTGAAGGAGGGATAGTGCACCTTCATCAGGTAACCCGCAAATTACAGACCAGAGTGTTGAAGCGTCTGCGCGAGCGCCCGGCAGGCCCCCTCACGAGCAACACGATACGCCTCTCACAGCAGGCCATGGTTACGAAGAAAAGAGCTACAGCTCAGCCACTCAAGCGCTACCTATTGCTTGTGCGATGAACCCTATTTATTTGCGCCATCAGCCAGCGTCTTCTGACCGCGCACACTTCTATTCATGAAATACACGGACCGGAAAAGGCTACGTTGCCCAAGCTGTCACTTCCGTCACAAGGTGCGCTATTTTTCGAGTCCACACCGAGGCTTGCTATCGGGTGCGTGCATGCGCAACACCGCCACAAAGAAGCGACACGGCTTCTGTACACTGTGGTTTACAGACGACCATTGTGACGACATGGAACAGACGTAGTAGATGCTAGACGCATCCTAGGGCAGATGGACTAGAATGGCGCGTGATCTGGGATACTGATAGAGTTAGAGGCAGCAGAGATATCACATAGTGGCATGTGCATGCACAGCAGCTGTCTGTGTATCCATGCCCCATGCTTAGGTGCAACGTTTGACGCTTTGCCCGTTGGTGTACAGTATCAGATGCAGGCGAATATTCACACCACCATGCTTCCTACATCACGTTTTCCTTGGTCGGGATCCTGCACGCGACATGACATCTTTCTCTTCTGTCTCGAATTCTCTCATTGCATTGAGTCCACGCTGACCTCAGCCATGTCACGTCCGCCACTTGAGCCGCCTGCAGTCACGCGCAGGCCTAGTTAAGATTCTGGAGACGAGCGACAAGGTATGCAAGCGGCCCGCAGCATCAGTGGATCACTGCCGTGGCCCGCACTTATAGTTGTGTCCCAGCTATTGGGCGTCGATGGCTATATCTCTGCAAGGCACAGTTCACTTACATTGTTCGATTGGTTTGCTGAACGGCTAGTAGCGTCGGTGCTTGGCTTGGTCACCATGGCGAAGCGTTTGCGATACCTCATCTCGAGGCCTGGCTCAATGTCACGATCGAAGCATTCGATTCTGGCAAACGGACGCACGCGGTCTTCGGCTTTCGATGCATTGCTGCTGTATCCAAATGATGTTATCATCATTGTATGTGGGCCCTTGGCTGGCGACGAGGTGAGAAAGATGTTAACCTGGACGTTGAGTGATGCAAGATGCCCGCGCTGTAACATCTCGAAGCCTTCTCCAACCCAGATAGATACACCGTCATAGAAGAACGCCCACTAGTTCCCGCTTGCACTGCGCACAAGCATACACGGCGACTGAGTGTTTGCGGGACGGCAGGTGAAGCAAGAAGGTGCAACCGCAGCAACCACGCCACTGGCCCCAGCGCTCCTTCTTCATTTCAACGGTTGACGGTCAACCCCGCATTTCGACTGCTCCTCATTTTTCCTTTCTTCGCCCTCAAACTCTCCCTCAGCACCTAGTCACTCATTCACCTACCGCCGTGCACGCCATCCCTTCTACCGATCTACTGCATTCACCTAGGCCCTCAGCTCCCTCCCTTCGTATACCCTTCTCGGAAACCCACCGCGGCAGTCCCCCGCTATTCAGTCAATCGCCATGAAGATCTTCGCCCTCGTAGCCGCTTTGGCAGCTGCCGTGCTGGCTGTCCCGAGGAGCACCCTCGTCACCCGCGATGACAACCCCGAGATCCCCGGCATCGACGATAAAGAGTTCATTGGTACTGTACTAGACGCTCACTGGTACTGGCGACGGATTCACTGCGCTCAAGATCTGCAATGGAACGCGACGCTGGCAAAGATGGCGCAGGACGACATTCGCAAATGCACGAAGGACGTGGAGCATTTGATAAGTGCCAACGACAACATCTGCACCTCAAGACGCTGACCTTCTTAGCACCGCGGCGGCAGCAACCTCAGCGGCCAGGGTCCTGCTCCTGGTAAGCGTAACGTCTGGATCGAGTCGGCGCGCAGCATGGTCCACGGCTGGCACGAGGAAGAGATGTTCTACGACTACTCCACGCGCACGTCCAAGAACGACCGCCAGATCTACCACTTCACCCAGCTAGTCTGGCGCGACTCGAGCCAGCTCGGCTGCGCCATGGCCGACTGCACCGACGTCAACGACGCTACCTTTCCGGGCCGCTTATACTGCTGTAAGTGCTGTGCGCATATCCCGAGGACGCATGCAGACTAACATACTCAGACTACGACCCCATCGGAAACAACATCGCAGGGAACTTCATGCAAGAGAATGTGTGGCCACCAGTCTGTGCCGACCCTAGCAAGGCCGAACTCCAGGCTCGCTTCGGATACTAATATCCCCGGATTTACATCCGTCCCCCATATTCGACCGATAAGGGACAAGGTGCAATTCGCGATCAACTTTTGGCAACAACGACACGAACAGCCTTCAGCGGACCCCTAGTTGTCATTCACTGTATTCTTCGTATCAATTACGGTGCTTTGACACTGTCTTTGGGAATCCTCGATGATGCTTCTGCTCAATCTGGAACAGAGCTGAACGGGCAATATTGCTTTGGAACGGTCTAGAATAGCTTGCAACATCGGCCTTCTTCCTGATCTTTCTTTCTGTCTCTAACCGTGTGGTGTCAGCCTACCCTGCGACTGCCCTTGAGTCTCAGAAAACGTTGACATTCTTTAACCCCTCGCCCTCCGGTCTCACTCCTTCCCACAGCCTTTACGTCCATGGATACAACGCCAGAGCCTCTGAATCGCCCTCACTGTCATTCAAGGATTCACATGGAGTCTCGCATATTCTTATCTCGATGGCATTCGTATCGTCAAAACAACAGGTATCTGAATACTTTGTACTTATCTTCATGAGACCCAACTGAGAGCTATTCGTGTCATGTGCATTCGTCCGACATTCCTGTCAAACACGCAAAACAGATAAGTTTCCCCCGCAGCTCCTGTTTCCACTCAAAATCCGATACCGCTACTGTGATAATACTGCCTTACAATGGACCCTGGCGGACCAAAAGCTCACTACACTAGCGTCTGTAACCCCGCGGCGGGACTCGTAGCTCTACTCTGTTTCGATTCTCGAGGACTCTATCCCCTACACGTGCCTCCTTTCTTCGCAATTTCTATACCCTAACACTGCTCTGTGCCACCTTCCTGTGTCAAAACTAGATGCAGCGCGGGGATCGTCAAAACATTCACGACTTTACGTTCGATAATTCGCGATCTGGACTTGCCCGCTCACTGTACCTCCCCAACCAACAACCGACCGGCTCCAATCCCCATCAGCGTTCACCCGTGCAATCAATATCTCAATTCGCGTCCTCGTCTGTATTACCAACCGACCGCTTGACGAGCCACCGGATTCACACAATTCGCAATTCCTCACGAGTTAACAAGTACACTCCCGCTCGACACCATCTGCCCATGGTGCACACCCCTCGTATGCTCTTCCACCGGAAGAGGCTAGCGAGCCTTCTCTTCAGGACCCCAGCACGCATCATTCTATCCGTCCCCACACGTCCCAGTAACAATGCAACCCTACATAACCACCTTCACTCACCATCCTCCCTCTCGCGGTGTACTCCCTACACTACCCCCACCGGGACGTACCTCGCCCTCCGCCGCCCCACGCACGCCCTCTCCTTCTCTTCCTCTGAAGGAGTGTTTACACTCCGCTTTGCATCCTACCAGCTCTACCCCTTACGCGTAGCCGCCGAGGATGAGTAGGCGTGGGACGTCTCTCTCCTATGTTCTTCCTCCTTGTTAGATCGAGGAAGCGCAGACTGTCACGAGGGTATCTTGCTGAGAGATATAACGGTAAACGAACGATGGAAAAGTACGCTACCTATACTTCGTATGCAGAACTTGTTTGAAGCTACGACGTGTCGTGGACGCCGCACGGCGTGGAAAGAATACTGCACAAGCTCCGCCATACACGTCTGGCGGGGGAGGCGCAGCGCGTGGAACGCTACGGCTTGTTACGAGCCTTGTGAGGCGTATCTCACACGAGGTCGCTGGGGTCGCTGCGGGGTGCGTGTATCGCTGCTAAGTTAGAGGATGGGGAAGCGAGGGCGCTGGTGGGGGATGCTCACTCTGGTGGATGGTAAGCGTGCGAGTAGGGAGCTGGTGGGGATGGGGTGGATGGCGTGCATTGTGTTTTGTGAGGGACGGGGAGGGATGTCACACACGCCGTTGGGGCGGGGAGGGAGGGAGGTATGTGGACGGTGGAACGGGAGAGGAAGTGTGGTTAGGTGGAAACTGCGTGCGAGGGGGCAGGAGCAAGACGCCAGGACGACGGGTGAAAGCATATCAAGGGACTTGGAGGACTCATGTAAAGGCTGTGGAACGCGAGACGACAAAATGTTCATTGTTACACAGGTTTCACGAACAGTAACAGGGGAACAAGAGAAAGGATTGGCCTTTCTCAAGGAGCTAGCTTCGATGAGAAGCAAATCATCGACGAAGATAACTAGCGTTGGATTGATGACTTGGCTATGCTAACTAGTGCCTTAGACTTCTCGTTGCATACACCTCGATGGTAAGCATCTCCGTCTTCCTTGTATATTGACTTCGGAGCTTCCAACCGATGTCACTAAGCTTTAGATTCTGTTTCTGCAACCATTAGCTCGATAGCAAGTTCCAGTCCATTGCACTTACGATCATTTACTTGGTGCCACCGTCGCAGAGCTTGCAGGCGCCCGTACATGGGTCGCAGAGGCAGTAGCAGATAGCCGTACCACGCTCAAGCAGGTTGTCAGCGGGCTCGCTGAGAGCGGTGGTGCCAGGGACGGGGTTGGCGAGGACGCTCAGAGCCATGGTGGCGAGGACGATGATGGTGGCCTTGAACTGCATCTTGGAAGAAGTGAAGTAGAGTTCGTGCTTCTGTAGTGTAGCGAAAGAATTGTCTGTAGCAGTGGAGTGGAAAAAACGTCTGGGAGGGCTCAACACTTGCCTTTATACTTGAGCGCCTTAAATGAGCTTGTCTGGACGGAGTAGAAGTTGAGAGCTCTTGAGGTCGGTTAGACACGGGGTAGGCCAAGGGATTGGGGTACTCGCGCGATAGGACGGCGAAGAATCACGAAGGATGAGATACTCATGCTGAGGATGCTGACCTTGCTCCTTGGGGCAGGCGCTCACGCGTGGCTATCATGCAGTCGTCGTGAAGCGAAGGGACGCGGCAAGTTTGCGGGCGCGTGAATACAAGCAAAGTGTTCACTCTGAGTGAGATATGACTTCGCGTGGCAATTTATGCCATCCAGGTAGACGGGACTCAGACCTCTCCCAAAACCCGGGTGGACGTTTAGGTACCATATTACCAGCAGTATGCACAGCACCCAAGAGCCTGGGTATGCTTACTTTCAGCACAAGCAACAACAAGAACAATGGCGTTCTAGTTAGAGATCTTGAGCGTCATAGGTAGGGCGACCGGCTAATCTGTCCGCTCGGGGTTCCATGATCACCGTCAGACTCGCGCGAGAGCAAGTCGCATGGAGAAGGTGCTGTGAGATTCGAGAACAACGCTAGCGAGAACAGGTACAGTTATGTAAGGATATGCGTTGGTGAAGAGATAGACAGGTGCTTCAAGCAGTCGTTCGCGGGAATGGTCGAGAGTATCTTACAAGAGCGGGATATGCATTCCACTAATCTAGATCAAATCCTGGTTGGCCGGCGTAGGCAAACTGAAAACACCGTGACGATAGTCCATCAGTTGTGCCATTCGGCTTTTGCTTTTCTTATGTACTGTCATAGTAAGATCCTCAAATCTCTTATTCCAGCGCTAGGGGCGGTGGTACATTCTTGCGCAAAGCAACGATGATTTTATTTTAATCTTATTTTATTGGGCACGAAGTGGTAGGGCTATATTGAAAAGCACCTAAGTGAAGAGCTACCTACCCACATCTGGGATCATACACGCCGTCGTCGAATAGAGCTTGAGAGGGCTGGCAAGCCACAACAGGATGCACCTAAAGACACCTCACCTTCAGGAGATGTCTTTTGATTACGCCAGACTCACCCACGCCCGGGATCAGACACAATGTCTACAAATGAGACTTAGGGAGGATGACTCCAAGATGACCTGCCATCACTGGACGCCTAGAGACCGACATCCTCCCAACACTCTTCTTGCGAGTCACTTCCATCGACCTTCTTGAGCACCTTCCCGAATCGTTTTGTTGAGCTACCTTTGGCCGTATGTATTGTCCATGCCCAAATACGGAGGTTGATCTCAGCTTTGCTTTGCGCCAATGACTTCGCATTGAAGTTGGTTATCTCGGTTAGGCACACTTTGAGGTCTGTGGTCTGGTTCCTATCCGATGCCATCCTGCGGAAGGAGGCCTGAGGAAGGTGAAGGTGTAGGGTGTGAAGCGCCGTAGTACCATGTAAAGCAACAGTTTGGGTGAATTGAGAGTGCTGCCCGTTCAAGTATGGCATGAAGATATCCCTGCCGGTGTCCGATCGTAGTTCAGGCATGTCAAGCTCGAGTTCTTCAAGGGACCTGCAATGATAGAAGATCCAGTAATAGTGTTCAAGAGGCAAATCGTTCCCGACACGGTATTTGAGGCGGCGCAGTGCATGCCCACGCGCGCGAAGTACGCGAAGCAGGGGAATGAGAGTGAAGGGCCTATCGGACTCGAACGTCAGATCTGACATGTAAGGGCAATCTGCCCATATTAACAGTAGCCAATTCTCGACATCCTCAAAGGTATCACTATCCCATCTGCCAGAGATATCTATCGTGGTGAGATTGAGAGGACGTAACTGAAGCGCTTCTCCCAGAACGTAGAACAACAAACAGATCGGGTCACGGCACTCTCGGACACGCAGGATCTTCAGATTGCGTAAGCCTAGACATCGTAGGTTGGTGCGGATGGTAGATATCTCGCCCACAATACTTGTACGAAAAAAGTCTAGCTTCGTAAGCTGTTCGGTGCGATGTTCCCTGAAGCCGAGGTCGTCCATGAAGCTGCGGAAAACATCAGAACGCACTGTTCCATTCGACTTGAGTTGTAGCGCGATCAGGTTTGTCTTTGTGGGCGGTAGGTTCGATTCTTTGTGACTGCCAGTCGATACTAAGCCGAACACTCCAGCTTTAGGCGTCCCCAGCCCCAGCTGATCATTCACGTTGATGTCACACACCAGCTCGCGCGGTTGCTTATGACCAACTTTGAACGTCAATGCCGCTTTGAGATGCAATCGCTCAGGTTGTACGCTGCCTTGGGCTTCGGTAACGGAAGACACTGCCGGGATGGTCATGCGCATCAGCTTCGGCATGGTCGTGGCAATCCGCACGGCTTCGGCGTACACCTCTTCGTGAAACGCATCGTGAGGGATGACATTGAGACTTGTACAACGCTTAGGGTTGACACAGCGCGCAAGTTCCAGTGCCTTGTCTTGTGATTCCCGACTCTTTCCACACTTGACGTGAAGTCGGCGAGTGTAGTCCTGTATATTGCGCAGCTGGAATTTGTTCAAGGTAGCCACGACGGATCTCTTGTGGGCAATGGTTCCCTCCTCGCTGAAGCGTATTGAAAGAGATTGGAAGGTACGCTCTGAGGCTATCCTGTTCCATTTCCTGCTAGCGAGACTCAACCCGCCGATGAGAGTCTTCCAGTCACACTAAAGATGCTCAATTAGCGCAAAATACTGATGAGAGGAATTCCTATTGTTGACAATATATTGTGAGACACATACAGCGAGCATAATCTGGCGACAGAGTTCCTCAGGCAAAGTCTCAAAGTCGACAATGCCCGCGTGATGAGTCTCTCCCGCGGCTAACTCGACTTTGGATTCGTCGGTACGTTTGCGCTTTGTCGCTGCAGGTGGAGGACCATCGCGACTGTCGATATCGGCGAGCTTGTCTCGGTCGCGTTTCCCCATGGCGGCGGAACAGAGCGGTAGGTGGATGAAAGCTGGTTGACGCGCTCTGCAAGGTGGGTTGGTGAGCGGGTTCGAAAATAAATCCACAATTAAGTGAGAGAATGATTGACCATAGCATAACAATGCTAGGCCGAATAGGGAAGTCTGAGGTGAATGAGCACGAATACGCTCCCACCATTTGGTGGTCTGTGCTGGCGCCTGCCGCACCTGTATATAAACCCGTCGCCCTCGCCTGACTCTCTCGCTTTTATCTAGCAAGTACACCGCAAACTGCGCCCTATACGAACTTGTTCCGGTATCTTTGCACCGTGGCTTATTTTGATATTTACTATCCCACGTCACTGGCGTCCCGCGCTACCCGTCTCGCTCGACAGACTATAAGGTGCGGTCACCTTGCCCTCGTTTGCTAAACTCGGTGTAGAAAACACATCATCGTCACCTCGGGATCATCACGTATCAAAACTGAACGGCCTTGCGGGGTTCTGGATGGGCTGATGCTTGCATGTTCGACTCGGCAATTCAAAAGGTGACCTGTCTGGAGCTTGCTGGAGGCTTCGTGGACTGCGACGATCGGCCAGTGCCATCTCGGGATCATGCACGTGACAAACCTGAACGGCCCTGCGGGGTTCTGGATGTGCTGGCTGCCTGCATGATCGTGTCGACAACCCGAAAGGGAGATGGCTATGTTGTAGAGGCAGAATGCTAGAGCCACTACGTGACTACGAATCGGCGACTAGCTCCCCAAGCTGAGTCCAGAGCAGAAGATGAGGGGATCTGGGTCTTGGTGAGGATGTGTTGAGCTGTCCCACTGATTTATCAGAGCGGGACGCGTAAAGCTCTTGTGGATACCGTGCTGAAGTTGTGATACAGCTTTAGCAGACTGAAGCTGTGATCTAGCTTGGGCATTTGGTTTTCCACTTTTTTTTCATTGAGTTTCTCGCCTGTAAGGCTGGACTTGAGGAAGAGAACAACTGGATGGTTTTCTTTGCTTGCTTGCGATACACAGAACAGAAGACTGTATCCCGACAGGGACGTCCGACGGACTTGACGGACAACACCCCTCAATGCACTAGTGCCATTGAGTTCTACAAGGCACGTTGAATTAGGAAAACTCGAAGCATCCGCATGCCCTGCGATTCCCTTGTTCAAGATCGCTTCAACATTGTTTGGCAACACTATGCAGCAATGCTGCACGTAGTATGGGTACTATAAATTGACGTTAATCCGTATGAGCTTTGTTCACTATGTTCGGTGACAATGCACACCTGTGCACTATGCTACGTGAGGCTTTTACATTACAATGCAATTTTCGCAAATATAAGGCTCAGTAGATGTCAACTCTTTAAATCGCATAGAGATAGACATCACAGAAGTGGCGATATGGATCCTCACTACCCATTTCCGACCCCAGCTTCCAACGAGGAAGAACTCGTGTTCGATGAGATTGAACAACCTGAACCACCACCATCGTATGCCGATAGCATCGGCTCTGACAGTTCTTCAAAATCCCTGGGTCGATACGTCGCGAGAGGGGACCTATGATTCCAGCTCTATTAGGCAGGACCTAGAGATGATGGGAATCCAATGGAGCCCCGAGCTTCAAGACGTCCAAGAGAACATTGAACCGGTTGAGCCCGTCGTCGGAGTTCCACCCTATTACCTAGAGGTGTTGGAAGCTGGACGCGGTGTACATGGGACTGTAGTACTTTGCTTACCACGGCCCTATGCTATCGCTGCAAAGCATGACAGCATGCAAGGAAGCCCACACCCTATTGCAGAGCTAAAGTCTAAGCTAGTGGCAGCCAAGACCGCTAAAGACTGGCCCGCGCCCATCAAGGCGGCGCAGAACGAAGCGCGGATCCATGAGATGCTCGCAGCAGAAAGCATGAGGCGCCTCCGCGCGAGTACTCTTCCTCAATTTGCTTCGCTTCGGGGCCGATCCTCTATTGATGCGTCCCCTCTGCATGGTTTATCTGTTCATAAAACGTATTGGCTAGCTATCGATGCAATTGTTCCGTCAATGACTGTGGCAGATCTTTGGTGGGAACATCCCCCGAAGCTTGAAGGCGATGCTGAGGTACTCATGCTTCAAGTCTTTTGCGGCTTGTACGATGCTATCCGATTCCTCCACACATGTAATCCTCCAATCGTCCATAACGACGTCCACGCGGGTAACGTAATGCTCCAACTATCGGATGGGCTCCCCCGAGTGGTTCTGACTGATTTTGGGTCTGCTAAACAAGAAGAAAACGACTTCGACTTCCAGTGCGTCCGTAACATGATCAATTTCATGTATGTCGAATCTCTTGATTTCCATCGGGATAGCCCCACTGTTCCTAAAGGCTGGCCCGAGTTCAAGGACACTTTGATTACTCGCGATTATCCGAACATCTTTGAGCCATTGCTAAAGTTGGCAGAACCTCTGGCTCGATCAGCACTGGCGAACGTGGATTCCAAGAGCAAATCTGATATTTCGAGCCGCTTGCAAGAAGCTGCGAAGCCAAAAGAAGCTAAGCTCTTGACCAATTTCCAGCGTATGGGTCTCCTTCCAGGCGGCGAAGTGAACTGAGACGTAATTCAGCTGGTATGCCGACCTTTCGTAAGTCAGCAAGTAATATCGCAGGTAGCCTATAAATTGTATGAATGCTACAACAGAATGAAATAAGCTGACTGTGACCAAAATGACATCCTCCTTAGCATGAAGGTGTGAGTGAATGCCACATTACGTGATCAGCTTACGTCGCATGCCAGCTGGTCGAACCCCATATTACTAGATGCAATTTATGTGATTCCTTCAAAGATCTTAGAGCTCTCTTCATTATTAGATCTAACGTCCGTCCACCCATAACAAAACAACCACCAACAATCTGCTATGATGCACTAAGTTAAGTCCCAGGATATTAATAAGGACTGTATCGTGAACTACTCCGCAGTTTTCTCTCGGGACTCAAGGCCTTCAACGCTTCTTAGGGTATGTATTTCCTCAAAGTAGCACCGAAGTACTTGTATGCAGGGCCATCCGGAGGTTCAAAAGAGTACTCCGAGGTTCCCCACCAAGGACCAGCTGCCCACCAAGCACCGCCGAGCCAGACATCGCTATTCTCCTGCATATAGTCCAGCATTGTGGTAACAGCTTGTAGACAAACTGAGTTCGGATAGCCCGAGAATTCGCCCAGCCAAGCGACCTTCTTGTTCTGTCTTAGCCAGGCAGTGGCTGAGGCAAGTCGCTCAGCTCCGATGGTGCCGGAGACACAAGTGTCGCTGCTGGAGCTGTCCTCGTTGAAATACTGGTGCATCTCATAAACAATCTTGTCTTGAGGGTCGGTGAGGGAGACCATATTGGTGTTTACGGATGTCCATGAGTGGGCGCCACTCCATTGATTTCCCTCGACAAAGATGTATTGGCTTGTCGCACCAGCCGCGCGGATACCATTGATAGCAGCCTGGTTCAGGTCCAGGACGAGCGTTTGATCCATCGTGTTGTACTCGTTGTTAGTGTCGAAAATAGCCTTAGTATTGCCCTTGAACTGGCCAGCAAAGTTCTTCCAGAACGATTGAAAGTCAGAGGTGCTGTTGATTATGTTGCTTTTATAACGGCCGTAGTTGTGGGGGTCGAGGACTGCGTATGCGCCTGCATTCGTAATGAAGTCAATGGTTGCCGTATAATTCTTGAGATAGTCGGCACCAAACGCGCCAGTCAAGCTGGAGGGTACCATACGCTCCATCATGAATGGAACACGAAATATATTGTAACCTTCATTGATGAGTGCCTGAACGCTGTCAGTGATAGCTGCTGGCACGCGACTCGATCAACCTGCCTGGATCGTGGTCGTGGAAGGGAAGTAAAAGTCCACGCCCCAAGTACCAGGATAAGCGGAGCCAAATTCGGCTACCGATTCATCGACACCGAGCCACTTGAATTTACTGGCTGCTCTAGGGGTCGTAGTGCCTGCCACTAGAGCAGAGACACCGCCAGCGAGGGCTGCTGCAATACAAAACAACTTCATCTTAACAGGCATGGCAAGTTGCCTCAACAGATGCTTTGCAAAGGCAATGAACCCGGGCTGCGTTAACTTAATACAACTTTCCCCATCTCTAACACGAGGACTACGACGCGAGCACGAATTTTCCTCTTTCAAATGAAAGCTCAATATACTCAATCGGAAGCGCAGCCGTGATTCGCGGATTGCCGAGGCCGCTCGTCTAAGAAACCTCTAGTTGTAGACACGTCGGCCCGCACCTACTATAATGGAGCCATTCTGGTTGTGAAATATCAGATCAACCCAATCATTCCTCAGGGACTAATTGCTGAGCAAACGCTTCTAAGAGGTGGCCCTTCTGGTCTAGAATTCTCCGACTATGACGAAGCTCCGATGTCCGAAGTCAATGCGCCGAGGCCAAATAGATCTCACCAGAGGTGTGACTAGTCTACCCCCTGTTGCACCTGAAACAACTAAGAGCTCCAGCCCCGAGGCTGCTGGAACTGGATGTAGCTTACCCCAACTGCGTGTTCCAGTGTTTGTGCCTCTATTATATACCGTTGAATGAACATATTGAATCTGAAGGGCGAGACTTTGACCGTGCTGGCTTTCTTTCTCTCTTTCTTTTCTTCCGTCTCTTCAAGTTTCGGGATTGTCTGGGTATCATTTCAGGAGTATATCCACGTGTAGCTCTTGGTGAATGCTTCAGCTGCTTGGAGCCATGCCATCGCTGGTTTGCGGCCGTGTCCTCAGCACTTCGACGACTCACCCCGTCTTCACGGCCACCAGACACGGGGGCGATTCGGTTTGTATCGTGGAGGAAAGGTACAAGATGGCAACTCGCCTGGTTAAGGATTTACCTCTTGATCTTGTGATTTCAGGATGATGTTCCTTCACTTGGAAGCAGCACAGTGCGGGGTATAAAGTCTGGATATATACCGTAGGTAAGAACAACGGCGTAAATTGAAGCATAATAAGATTTCCCGCAGTAGATCTATACTTGGGGGACATGGTTATTTATGCGCCCCCTCTGATAAGCTCGTTATCGTATGCCAACCCTCTTGGGTCAACCCGTGTCCTGGGGCTGCATTTTCACCGAACAGGATGATACCATCCGAAGTCTAAACAGAATACCACTGCGCCAGGGTGACTGGACCGCCAACGTATTGTGGTAGGCTTCTATAGTACCAACCTAGTTGTTCGCGACCTACGGGACTTGAGCTGGGGTTACATCAACTCCCTTCCCGAGCTACATCCGATCTACGACCACTCTCTCTTGACCAATGCCAATGTTACTTTAAATTGCGGCTTCAGCACTGAGACTAGTAAGCAGTACATAACCAACGTCCTGGTGGAAAATATGGACCTTCATGAGAACTGCAATTCTAGCCAGACCGATTGAAATTATTGCGAAGCATCCTCAATTACACGCTGGCCGATGGCACACGAGTAACGACAACCCCTTTCACATTGAAGATCACCAGCAGCCTCGGCGGCGAGGACTACGCTGATCAAGTCCGTGGTTTGCTGATCGACGACGGTCTGTACGCTGAGCGACAAGGCTATCACCTACCTATGGTATCATCACCACCGACCGCGGCATCGGATCTCGCCGCCGCCGGCGTGGCGTTCTATTCAGCCAAGCTGTCGCTCAACTATCACGCCAACACTTGGGACATCCCCCTTTTGATCGTCTTTACCAACGACACGGCTTGCCGATGCGCCGGCTTGGCCAAAGCGTGACGGTGCTTGTTCGGGAGGGAGGGCCTCGCTACACTAGGTAAATCCTTGCCAGCACAATTGGAATGGATGGCATTGGGAAAAGATATATTGTACAAATCATCACCAGTGGTGGAAGACAAGATGCAGCATAAAATTTTGATATTTTATAGCCGGTAAAGCTATATGGTATATATAGCTAACACATTTTCTTATAATAATTTAGACAACAATTAGTACTATAGAGAGTGAAGAAACCGAAAAAAGGAAAGAGATCTTCGATGAATATCTGAGATATGCAATGTCGTCGAGTACAAAGGCTCTGCCTCCCCGCCGGCTAGCTCACGCGAGTGAGTTCTTTGTCCCATGGTCTATTTAAAAAGGTAGTTTGAGTAGGTAGGAATGGTATCTCATCTGTTCAATAACAATGCGCCTTACTCGACCGTATGCTCCGCAGCCAACCGTGGTAACGTAACTCGCGAATGGATCGTCTCGCTCAGGCCCATGGGTTTCTCGTCCAAGAGCCTTCCATCGTTCTCTTCGTCGACCTTGCGGAAGGTGTCGTGGGCTAAACCCCGCCTGGGGTTCTCATGCTGCTTGCCGCTTCGACCGCTCCGAGTGCTCCTTGTACGACCAGACAACGGTGACGGGAATGTAGTGCCATCACTGAGTGCCAGAGTAGCCGGCGAAGGCACCTGGCGCGGCAACTCAAGTGAGCTGCTCTCCAAGGATTCGGGAGGGTTACGTCGGACTATCGGCATCTGGGATGTCGCGGTTGGGGCGTCGCTTTCGCCGCGAGAATGTACTCGTGGTCGGTTGCCGTTGTTTCGACGCTTGCGCAAAAACAAGACCAAAGCGACAATTAGGAGTACGCCGAGTGCAGCGCCAACGGCTGCCCCAGCTATAGCACCGACTTGGGACTTCTGCTTCGTAGTTGGCAAGACGCGACACACCTGCTTCACCTTGGCGTCCGCGCCCTTGGGATCGGCAGCTGTGACGACTGCAGGCGATAGCTGGAAGTTCCGCGCATCTGGGTCGACGACGAGGTAATTTTGGGTGAAGAAGGGCAGGCCCAAGGTTCCGAAAGTAACAACATTAGTCTGATCGATCGGGTCAGTCTGGTTCGTCACCGCCATGTCGAACACCGTGGCGTTGTCCACTTCGAATATCCCAGCAGCATTGTACGCCCGTGGTCGGCTATAGAGCTCAGTTGCTGGAATGACCGTTTTGTACGTCTTCACTGAGGGCTTCGACGCGTCACCGCCCGGAGTGCCCATGTCGGATATCGTGACGGTAATGGTACCTGCCGGAGCTGGTTTCGTGGGAAGCTCGAAGTGCCGCGAAGTTTCATTCCAGACAGCGGTCTTCTCTGCAGCGGCAAGTGCGTCCAGCATTGCAGATGGAAGTCTCAGGTCCGAGGAGAAGGGATCCAGATGCACAGTGAGGGTGTCCGTGTCTTCAGCGAACAGCGTGGTACTCTTACCACCAACATCGTACGTGATAGCTGTGAGGATAGCGCAAGTTGGACAATCCGAGAACATAGGAAACGTAGACGTAGTGGCGGCGCTTTTGATGCGGCTTTCGTCGTAGCCACCGACAACAAGCAGCCCATCTTGCGGTGTCTCTTCAGACTCGGATCCAGCCCAAAGTCCGAATGTTCGTGATGAAGCTTGGCCTGAGTCGACAAGGAAATTTAGGAAGGTTGAATTCATGCCCAACGGCAGAGTCGCCCGATAACTTGCCTCGTCCTCCGTGAATGCATCTGCGCTCTCTACTGTGCGTTAGAACTGTGCACGGTCAAAACGCTCCTGAACTCACTATCGGTGGACCCATTGGTATACATGGGAAAGGTAGTGAACTTGTTCACATCAGGCTTGAGGCCGAATGCCGCAGCATCATCGAAAAAGACGTAGGAGCTCGCAAATGCTAGGTCCACAGACTCTCTGCTGCCATCCCAGACTGCATAGTTCACCTCCGCAAACGAAGTCGACGTTGCGCTGGCATAGATACCGCCGAGTTGGCCAATGCAGCTGCTGTTCGTGGCTGCCACGCACTCTGCTGCATTGTTGACGAAGAGGTTGTTTGAGAGAGTCGATGGCGTCAAAGAAAACGCCTGCGGAGGAGTGCCGATAGCGAACGAGATGCCCCTGGAGAGAACGGTGCCGTCTGCGGAGACTGAGTTGTTGGCCCAAGGCAGGAGCAATGGTACAGAACCGTTTGCACAAGCCATTGGCCCTGAATGCCCTCGAAAAAGTCGAAGTGCCGAAGTGTTGTGTACGTGTGCCAGTGTCAGCCTCGCGGAATCGTTCTTGTCATTCTTGTCATTCTTGGGAGAGGGCCCTTGTCATGGATCCCCATGGTATAATGTACAGGGTTTGCGTAATCCAGGGGACGATCTGCCAATCTTGGGCATCGGCATGGTTACCAGGGCTGAGCATCGGGCGTCGATGGTGGAAAGGGAAAGGTCCCCATTGGAGTGTTCCTACATAAGTGGCGCGTCAGGCCGGCACTTGAGCTCAACCGTCTCTCGCTCAACCGTTAAAATCAACCTCTTGATCCCGGCATTGGTATCCAGGCTGTTGTTTTCATTCACAGCGTTAATGGTAATTTCGATGCTCTTCTCGTGGCCATGACGCCATACTGTTGGTGTCAGAGCGTTCTTGATCTGTTGGGTCCGCGAGTCGCTTTGATTGCATTTCCAAGGAACCTTACATTTCGTGTCGCAATTCCCCTGGGCCCTGAGTCCCCGACAGTGCAAAAATGTCAAAATCGGACCGTTAGTATCGGAACGATGTTCTGCCACGAGCTGTGCCGTGTATCGAGCCAATCAACGCTTGTAAACCCACTAGCGTCAGCCGGAGAGATTCCTCGCATCTGCAACCCTTTCGCTGATCCGCTTCGCGTGTGAGATAAGTCCGTCGATCGTGTGTGCCCAACCTGCTAGTTCAGGTGCATGCCCAAACTCTTGGGTCACCCGCCAGATGTTGATAGCATTGGACTATGGCATTTAGAGCAGCCTGCGCGCCATGGTGGTATCTTCACCATGGCCTGGCATGTCTAAATCAATACTTGCAACCCGCTCATGAGGAGACGGGTGATCTTCTGGTGTAGTATTTTTGGCAAAGAGGTCCCTTCCGGTGTGATTAGTTGAGGAGTAGAACCTGCGGGGCGGAACTCTCAGTCCCCGCATATGGCAGGGGAGGCGTCGGACGCCCGAGCATTCTCGGTGGCGTGAAAGCAAGATGGGGTCTCGCCCGGAGTAGCTTGAGGTGTCTCGCAGGCAGGCGAAGCGGGTGGGTCGCGATCGAACGACTGCTGATGTGGTAGGATTTTGACTGGACGTAGAATCAGTCCTCAACTTTCGCAACCGCAAACAGAGAGAGGCAAGTCCTGAGTAAGGAAACACACTGGAAAGTTAGCAGAGTCGTTAACAGGATTTCTCATTCTACCTCCTCTTCTCTCATTCAATCACGCGCGTGACTCAGGTGCGGCTCATTGATGCTGGCAGCACTGGCGGTGTTCGGACGTTCATCGGGCGCGCACGGACCAATGACGACGCCGTTCCAAAGACAGAGCACATGTTCTCTTGGCACTTTAATCACGTGCTGTCAGGCAACCCGTGGACATTCTTGGGAATTCCAAAGGTGGACCACATTTCAGGCAGCCATCGAGACACTGATGATACATGGCAACGTTGGAGGATTATTCTGCTTCTACCCTCTGCCATACTACTTTCGATGCGTGTTCTACCAGGGATTTGCTACAAAGCCCTGGAGCAGTAGAAAACACCAACAAGTCACTTCAAAGCTGTTCTCACGAACGTTGCCCAACAACACGTGACCAAAGTGCCGAAAGAGAACAGCGACGAAGTTGACCGTCCTCCCAAAAAGCCATACTAGAAAACAGCAGGCGCACCCATCTGTATCGACATAGAATGCATCCACAAGCGGATCTCATAGAGCCAAAGAAGACCCAACAGACGTTCACCCAGCAATTAGCCAGTTCCCTCACACCTATCCGCAACCTCATCTCCTTCGGCACCCCCTCGTCCACGCCCAGTTCTCGCCTGTTTGCTCGCGTACCCGCTTCCACAGTCATTCTCGTCATCGGTCTTGATGGAGCCGGGAAGACATCACTGCTGCGAGACTACCTATCCCCACGGCCCGATAGCGTGAAGACCGTCACCTCTACCATCGGCACCCCTACCATCGGCGTCAGCCTGGAGGATCTACAAGTTGGCCCAGCGTCCTTCCAAGCATATGATCTTGGTGGCTGTCGGCCACCGTATTGGCATCGGTTCGACGAAGATTTGTTCAGGCAGGCGGATGCTGTGATATACATGGTTGATGCAGCAGATCGCGACAGAGTGATGGAGGCGAGGGAAGAGTTGGTCATGTCTGGGCTGAGAGCTAACAATGGGGGGATGAGACAAGGGGTTCCTTTGTTGGTCTTAGCGACGAAGATAGATCTTGAGGTAAGTCAGCGTACTCGCATCAGTTTTACTTAATGGGACAGCTGATGCAAGGTGTTAGAATGCAAGACGACCGGATCAGATCGAGACGTTTTTCATCGATAACGTTTCGACGTCAATCGGCGAACGGCCGAGGGTAAGTCTTGTCACCCAGAGCCAGGATGCATTTTCTGATTTGGTTGCAGAATGTTGTGGGTGTCAATCTTAAGACGGGGGAAGGAGTGTTGGAGGCACTCTCCTGGTTGAGCAACGCATTGTCGCCCCGCAAAGACACTCTCTGAAATGTGAAGGCTGCCATGGTGAAATCAACACTCTGTAGACGAGTTACATACAAGAGCTTACTATCGATCATATAACCCTAAACGCTGATACCTAACGTGGGGCTTGAGAATCATCGCAACGCGGAACCTGTTTCATGTACTCATACCAATAAACTGGATGCGCGAGGTGAGGTTCGGTATGGCATGAGACACAGCAAACCATGTGTCCGCTAAGATTCAGACCAGTGAAACATTGTTATTTTCACAACATATAAACGTACGGAAGTGAAAAGTCAAAATGCTCTGTGCGAAAACCAACCACATGCCATTAATGCACACTATATAGGATTCCTCCTTCAGCAATAGAAGGCCTTCCCAGAACAACACATTCGCGAGCAGGCACACCTTGTCAGCTAATTCCGATAATCAACACAGAAAACAACCGCTGACATGCCAAACGATCAGCCTAACGCCGGCGGCGCGTCTCCTATGTATATCGTTGACGAATACCCGAGGGAGCATTACGTACCAGTGGCAACAGCCGGTGCGTATAAACATGTCCTGCTGGCTGGCACCGGCGGCGTTGGAGACACATGGATCTGCGTACGTAGCCCTTCGGCCGCTGCAGTTGCTTCCGCTTCGGAGACTCCTGCTGAAGAAGGTGGTCAGATCCCTCTTTACGCAGTGAAAATCCCATCGATGAGGAAGCAGGACTTTCTACCGCAGGAGATCACTGCGCTGCAACATGTAGCGTCAATACCCGCCCCAACAAACCGACATATCCAGAAATATGTGGATCATGACCAATCCGGGAGGAGTAAGGACGCGAACTGGCTCGCAAGTGAAGCGGTCATAGGCTGTACGCTTCTGCAAATGATCCAAGCTGCAGGAGACATGTTAACGCCGTTGCCAAAACCTCTTGTGCTAACGATCGCACTGCAACTCTGCGATGCTCTCCAAGCGCTTCGAGACATGGATTCGCAGTTCTCTCACGGAGACCTGGCCTTAAGTAACATCATGCTCGATTTGGAAGAGCGAGGCGACAAAGGAGCTCCAACTGTTGTAGTGATTGACTTTGGTCGCGGTCATTCACGCACAAGCCCTCACGAATACGACTTGGACCTGTCGACATTCTACCGGGTTGTTGGTAAGATTGCTGAGTTGCAACGTGATCCAACTGCTGATCAAGATCCGCTTTGGGACAGCTTCGTGGGGTTCGTGGCCTCATCTAACTGCTCTTTCGACAAAGCGCCATACGAGACTTTCCGCACGCAGTTCCAGGCGTATGGCAACAAGATCTTGGATAGCATGTCGGAAGAAGATGGGGAAGTCATGGACGCGATGTTGAAAGAAGCATCGAAGGTCATGCTGAAGGCTCGTGCAATGGCTAAAGAAGCCGTTGATAAGCAGAATCAAGACTAAAAAGGTTATGAGATAGCGAATGGGTGGTGCGTGATCTTTAGACATACTTTTTGGGGCATTGCACTGATAGAGGAGGAGCTTTAAAGTAGAATTCGCACAAGTAATCTGCATCCCTAATGTTAAATTGTAACTATCAGATAATGGTGACAGGCCGTGATAACTTCTTGTGATGGTTGCAGTTTCTGTTGTAATGATTTCTGTTTTACTTCATGCCTTTTGACATGTCAAAACCATGGAAAAATGTAAAGTCCTGATGAAAAAGAGGTTGATAAATTCGCGAAAAGAGTACCGACTGCTCCAAGTTTCGCCCATGCCCGATCACCGTGGACGTTGCTGCCGAGATAAGCAACACACTTTAGCTGACATCTTCCGCCAAGAGTGAGCTCCCGCTCCACTCGTCCCAGATCTTCTCCAACACACCCTGCGTCTCTAGACTGTCCTGCAAGCCTTTGAGTGCTTCGAGCCGCAGGATCACTTTGCTGTCTCCTGTCTCAAGCCCAGCTGCGGAGGCGGCTACTAACTCCCACTTTGCTTTGTTTTGCGTTTCCAAAGCGTGTGCTTTTGGGCTGCTGTGGACTGTGACCGGAGTGCGTTTCTGAAGGAACGCACAATGATTTTCGTCCTGGACTAATTCCCGCACTTCAAGAATTGAGTCGGCGAGATCCGGATGATACACATGTGCAGTATCTTTCGTGGTTAGCTTGACATTTGGGAAGGTCTTAGGGATACATACTGATGATGCCAGTCTTGATTTGGTCCGCCATGTCTTGGATTTGGTATTCCATACGTTCCTCCTCCGTCATGTTTGTCATCCTAACAGAGATGTTCCGGCCACCGACCTGTGTTCCGTTCAACTCCTTCACCATTCTCCTCGCTTCCTCTACACCGGAGACCATGACTGTCACGCGGAACGGGCGTGTGAAGCGCGGCGTAGCTGGGAATTCGACCGGAGGTGAGATGTCGTAACCTCCGAGAAGGTTTAGGACGTCTGACTTTCGTGTTCGGGGTGCAAAATTCGAGATCTCGACAGTGGTCCACTGGGGTTGCACTGCGGTCGGAAGTCTTCGATGATCAGGTGTGTCTTGGGGAACGAGAATAGAAGCGGGTCGCTTTTTCGACCGGAGCGGCGTAGACACGGCACGAGTCGCGTCTTTCAGCGCTGGAACGACGCGCTTGGAGTGCGCGAAGTGGAAGTGAATGGGGATCGAAGTCTTGCGGGGTTGATCGTTAAACATTATGAGCGCGTCTGGTGCAGGATTGCGTGCGCAGGGTGGCAGCGTGGTTATAAAGATACCATTTGGTAAAAAGAGTGAGCAGTGGACTTTCTGGCGCATTCAGACGCATTCGGTGTCTACTGCGCCTTGAGAGCGTGCATGATGTGGGAGCTCGAGCCTGTGCATCAAGAATCCAATTCAACCCCATCACCTAATGCTGTCACATACAACAAACGGCTCTACTGCCGAGTTGCACGGCGCTACTAGGGAAAAGCTCGACGTGTCGACGTAGTGAATGTCGCGCGTTCACGTGCCACGACAATGCCAATCCAAATCTGGAAGGCACGCTACTCGATATGCCACCATATGACCGAGGAGCTTTCGGCAGACGCGACAGAAGCGGGCAAGAACGATACGCCCAGTGTGATCAACACTGAACGTCGACGAGCTTTCCAGACAACACCATCGGTGCCTTACAAAAGTTCCTCCTCCACCTTTTCACGACTCTTATTTTAGAGTATACTAAAGTTTGACTGATAACCAGCCTCGTAAAGTACATATATTGGCGATAACTTACGAAAGGGTACCCAGAGCCACAGAAGGTGGGATAGAAACCTTTTTATAGCACGATAGCGTACTAAATAATAATTATGCAATGATTATATACATCTTACGGAGATCAAGTATCGTGTTCTGGATCCACCCAGCTGGGTATTCCGCTGACTTTCCTCATACGCGCTCCAAACACGTGAACAAGCGCGAATATAGGAAGACAGAAAAAGAAGACAATGATTCCCTGCCCAGCAAAGGTCCAAGTGAAACCACTCTTGTCTACCCATGGTACGATAAAGAAAGGACTGATGAATGCACTCAAGTTGAGATGTACAGAATAAAAGGTGACGATGGACATGGCTTGCAACGGGTAACAATCGACGATGTAAGACGTAGTCACAGTGTTTCCCATTTGTACGCCAGCACCAACTGCAAGCCCAGTTAGTAACATTTCAAAGCTGTCTGGGAGAGATTGACTCTTACACAACGCTGTAGCCACTTGCCCAACCATCCAGTGGTATTGTCGGTCTACACTGATGCCCCATAGAATTAAACCCACTGGTTAATATGTTAGTACAGTTTATGATTGGGATTTCTAATTTCTTACCGCTGGAGAGCAGGATAGCAGGATACGCCAGCCAAAGTCTGCTTTCGGCAGTGCGAATACCATTGTTGGCTTTAGCGGCTTTCAGAACGATCCGATCACTCAATGCGCCAGAGAAGAATAGTTCCGAGACCAGGCTTCCGATGATGAGACCCAGGAAAAGGAGTCTGCAACAGTTAGCAGGGGATTCTACTGGATCGTGAATAAGAAAACTTACCCCTGTATTTGTGGCGAATACTGCGCATACGCAACCGGGAACATGGTTGTGACGGCCAGAATATACCAATACCAACCGTAACAGAACACCATCGTCGTGATGGTGACCGCTAGAAACTTGAACATCATCAGGAACCTCAAGAGTGAAGCCCACGGCTGAGGATGCTTCAACGCTGGCACAGGCTTCAGGTTAAGGAAGGCTAGCTTTTTCGTTCTTGTGACTTCTTTCTTGCTTGTCATGTTCCCCACACCCTCAACACTAAGTGCTTTCTCATCGTCGGTCACCGCAACAGCGTCTCCAGCGGGCTCTTGGGCGAGCATGAAATTACGCGGATAGAGCGTTTCCGGAAGAAAAACGATCTCGGCCACTAAGATGGCTCCGAACAAGATCACACAGAGCCACTGGATCCAAGTGTGGCTTACAAGGCCAATGAAACCTCCGATCAGAGGGCCGACGAGAAGACCAAGATCGATGGCAAGTACCCATAAACCCATCTTCTGTCCACGTTGATGTTCGAAGAAGACGTCGTTGAGGATTGCGAGACCAACAGTCGCCGCGGGGCTAACGCCAAACCCCTGGAAGAAACGAGCAGCCATGTATCCGCCATAGTTCGGTGCCAATGCTGCTCCGATGCTGGCAGCCATTGCGACAACGGTACCGCATATGAAGATGACACGTCGACCGATTATGTCTGCGAAGGAAGACCAGAATAATGGACCAAGAGCAAGTCCTAATGCGGGGATTGCGACAGTCCAATTAACCTCCTCAGCGCTAAGATCGTATTGCTCCTGTAATGCTGGAAACGAAGGAACCGTAGTAGTCGTGATGTACGTGAACATGAAGTATCTGTCGTTCTTAGTCCGTGTTTGCTATTTGTCTCCAATGAGAGTCATACAGTGCCATGACTATGGCGAGAATAGTATGCTTCTGGAAACTTGACCAGTTCAGAGGATCCAATGCATCATTCTGCACAGCTTGCGGATGGCGGACAATTCCATTTTCGGATAAAATGATCTCGCCTTGAGATGAATCCGTAGGTGTTTGACCAGGTACAGAGAGACCCAGGTCTTTCTTCGGTTCATCCATTGCGTCGATGGTCGATTGTTATGCGATGTCTCGACTGCATGTACAATCAAAAATACTCAGGGGTCGATCGGTGGAAAATCGTGGGAAGAGGAAGAACTCGTCGATTCAGGAACATGGAAGTGTGCTCGCGAGCGTGCTAGACATATATTGCCATATCGCTTCGGTCTGTACATAGCGAAAAGCTTAGGTGTGTCCCCCACTGAGCTGACATCTACCTACCTGATCACCCGAAAGATAAGAGTAAAACATTAGTGCGATCACATTTGGCACACGCCACATGTGTACCAAACCTTGCCGGTCATGCATGTATACGGTAACACGATAAGGTTTGCCGATCTAGTGGAGACGAAAAGTCTCTCTCTGATGTTCGTAAAGGGAGTTCCATCCCTATCCTCTGCGAGTAAACGTATAGCCGCATGATTTGAGCTGGAATGCCGCAACATGACAAACCTGGAGGATCTAACCGCCATTTCCATCATGCGAACAAGCGGGAATGTTGCGCCTTCTGGGTATCACACAGAGTAGAGTTAGTCCAACATCAATACATCACTGAATTGTAACATTAAAACAAAAATCGCGGAGCTTGCCCATGGTGTCTGTGGCTTTGACACTGCTTATGGAAGCCATCCAATGATTGCGCGCCGAGTTATCAGTGGTCACGTGCGTTAGTGCAAGCTGGAGCCCTGTAGGTCCGCTGGACGAATCGATCGGTTCCAGATTGCATTCTATGCACAACTGCCGTTGTAAACCCTGCATCTTGCATTGTACCTTGTTTTTGACGTCATGATATTCTGCCGTCCGTTGTCATCCATCTGAAGAATGCTATGAGAAGAGATAAGAGCGCTGGCGAGCGACGCCGGTTTATCTAAATCCATCACGACGCTTGAGTCAGATTGACCTTATCGCCGCTTCTGATTTTCGACAAGAAACGAAAGTTGCAAAATATTGCTCTAGCATGTACATCTGCAGCCGTTGCATACCTGTCACTCTTTTCGGTTTGGTGCGGCCCCCAACCCCAGATTTCTTGTGGGTCCGACCGATTGGTCCGATAACGATGCGGAGAAAGGGCGGGATGGGTTAACCCGCTGCAGATATCTCCGAATCTGCATGAGAAGACGATAAGGCAATGATTAGTCCATTTTTCACGAAACAGAAAATTCCCGAGGTCTTAAATGTAGATTGGCAAATCGTCATGTAAGATGTCAGTGATGTGTAGTTTTATTTCCATCCAAACCATCGAGTTACTACTCTCAATAATTTCCAATGATCGTGATTCTAAGGCTACACTCGTTTTTAGCAGTTCCGTGGACTACATTTATCTAGAGCCTGATACAAATGGACATAGAAACGTTATAGTCAAATGTAATAGTATGAATCCACTTGTTTGCCTTGCACGATAATTGGTGGCTCAAGCGATATACTACTTGAGCTATAGACACAACCCTTGCATGTTCATAATATACCACTGGCGATGAAGAAAACCTAGCGAAGAGCCAAACGAGAATGTGAAATGCAAATTCGGCATTAGCGGACGGAAGGATTGTTGGCAGATCTGGAAGAACATTCCAAAGTTCGACAGCCTCCGAGATGATCAGTGGCATGATGAGGTTCTACACAATCTTGTGAGATTCTCGACAGGTGTGTCATGTGCCGTGGCAAGTAACAGAGGATGAAACCCGCGCTTCGAAGCAATCCTAGCTCTGAGTATTCATGATGTGCTCTGAGTGTAGCTAGATGTTCTTCTCTATCTAGCGATTGCAGGTCCGAATAAGCAATGCTTGTGCTCAATCGCGCCAGGGCAACTGCTTAGGCTAAGGTTTCTGGTCATATCCTCTCGATACCGGCCTCATAGATCGACCGAAATGCCCATCATCCCTAGTTCACTCTCCATGATCTAATCGACCCAATGCACTCTCCACCTCTTTGTCCCACCGACTCAGCAGGATGATTACTAGCTCTAGCGTACCAACAATGTACAGCCCAGCACAGTTACCTATCCACAAGCCAGAAAGACCCCAGCCATGGAAAGCGAGGTAGATACCTGCCGGAAGCCCAGCGCAGTAGTAGGCGACAATGTTCACCAACGCACCGACCCATTGCTTGCCCATACCTCTGAGCGCTCCTCCACATGATCCGTTCAAGCCATCGGCAATCTGGAACAGAGCGACGAATGGCATGACTTTGCTCACAAGTGCGACGACATCGTCATCATCGTTGAAAATTCGACCGAATACGTTCTTGGTGCCCATAAGAGCAGCAAGGATAAGAGTGCCGAATAGCACAGACAACATTGCTGCACATAACGATGCTCTTCGTGCTCCAACAGCTCTTTGTGCTCCGAGAAGATTTCCCACACGACCACTAGCCGCGACGCCTAGTCCGAATGGGATTGTGTTCATCACCTGGTCGGCTGTCATTATGACTGACTGTGCTGCCAGAGATAGTGTGCCTAAGCGCCCAGCAACCAGGGCGACGATCTCGAAAGCCCACCACTCTGTACCAACATGTATGAAGCCAAGAAGGGCGAGCCTTGTGAACGGCCACAGCTGCTGTAGGGCGCGACGTGGTGCAAGCCCACCCCAGCACTCGTGGCCTTGTACGAAGGTAGCGTATGTAACGAGGAGTAGGAATGAAGCCCAATAGGCTATGCCGGTAGCAATCGGTGCGCCGTAAAGTCCCATATCGAAGGTGTAGATGAATAGGTAGTTGAGCAGTGCGTTCAGCGGCGAGGTAATGAGAAGCACATAAGTGCCGGGTCGGTGAAGTTCTGTGTAGTATTTTTAGGACTCGAAAACTCCAAGAAGCTTTGGGCACTACATACCTTGCGCTTGCATGAACTTCTTCATGGCCTCGAACCAGACGTAGCCCAGCCCTCCCGGGATCAAGAGCTGCAGGAACTTCGCACTCTGGACGCATATATACTCTTCTTGCCCCAGAGCTCGAAAAAGGTGCTCAGAGAAGATCCAGACGATGGCGATGATTGCGTAAAATATGGTCAAGACAAACAGACCCCTCTGGAGGAGAATACCCAGATCATGTTTGTCTTTGGAGCCTGTATAGCTACTGGAAGCGAGGGTGTCCAACGCTGTAGTACCTCCAAGCGCGACTAGCCAACCGGTTGCCATCGCGAACATGTACGAGAAAGCAGCTGTTGCCAAAGCTTCGGGCGATAGTCGACCAACAATCAGAACAGATATCGTTTGCAGGCTGTTCTGCAGCATGTAGGCGAGTATAACAGGAATGGATGCCTTCACTTGCAGCCATGATTCAGTGAGCCAATGTCGCCATTCTGGAATACCGACATCATCCGGGTGCGGCTTCCCAAGCAAAGGCGAGGTTTCGCTTGGAGGCAGGTCCGTCATGGTGAAGAACAAATTGCGCAGAAACGAAGTAGAGACTTTAGCACTCCCATCAATAAAGCAGCTGGTATTTGCTTCCTATAAAATCATCGTTGACAGCTCACTGTTCGGTCAGTAGAGTGGGACTCCCATATCACACATTCGGCTGTCCGACTCAAATCGATGAGTCTTCCGTATGACAAACAGCATCCGTCATCCTACAGCATGTACACATATCTCGAGCCAATGCCAGCAGTCGTAGTAGGGATTGGCCGTGAAATCCGTGCAGGCGTGGAATATGCGCGATAAGGTAGCGTGAATCGCGGGACTACGAGCGATTATCGTGACGGTGAGCGCTACACAGATCATACTTCGTGATAGGCTTGAACCCTTGAAGGCGTGGTGCATACCGAAGAACGTTCTCGGCAACATGCAGACGGTGCGTTCTGCGTTCCCAGTTCGGTACGCACCATGCCATAATAGGCTGCCAAGGCTCCTAGCGTGCACTTTCTAGTGATCTCGCTTCTCAAACGTCAACGTCTATCCCGTCTTCACAAACGTCCCCGCAACGCCCTGCATGCATCCGACGAAAAATTACAGCCACGACTGATTGCAAGCTCTGCATACTGTTATAACCAATGGATAGCTGAATCCTTATCAATTGGCCGGTGGCGGTGGACTTTGGGGGTGATCTTGACAGCGCAAGAGCTATGCGAGGAGAGAGGGGCATCAGTGTCGTCATGGCCCGAGTCAAGCTTCTGCAGGAGCTGTCGGAAGAGCTCCTGTTTTGCGGGGTGTTTTCGGTACCTCATCTACGAGTAACCTGACTGCGCATGCCCTCTTAAAGCTGGTCATTCCGCTTCAATTCGATCAATTCCAGTACAATTTCTCCCTGAAGCTCTGCATCATGTTTCCCAAATCGTGTCTTTATGCTGCTCTCGTAGCTACAGTAGCAGCCCACGGTGTCCATGAGGATCAATCGCCCATTCTGGGTCCTCACCAGTCCCTGTGGTACAACACACTGCCAGGAGATGGCGGCACCCAGGTTTGGAGACCTTCTTTGAACCCCCAATGCGCAATTCGCTGACAAGAAATGTCAGGCTGATTCGGTGTTCTCGGGCATCTCAACCTTTGGACGCCTGCCGTACACCAAATGCCTTTCGCAACGGGACGTGAAGTGACCTCGCTTTTATCGGTATGCCATCTAAAAGGATACGGAACTTTAGCTCTTTGGAAACTGATGGGAATTACAGGCGCGCCTTTTGACATCGGAACTTCGTATCGCCCAGGTGCGCGCTTCGGACCCTCCGGTATCCGTCAAGGTTCCCGCCGACTGAACCTGTACGGAGGATACAATGTGCCTCTCAAAACCAATCCATTCGACTCATGGGCTACTGTGATTGATTGCGGAGATATTCCAGTTACATCGTATGATCACGCGTACGCCCTTCAGCAAATCGAACACGGACACTACAATCTTCTTACACGAGCACCGGCCACGGATGCTAACAAGAAAGGGCCATCTCTGCAAGGGAAGACACTGCCGCGCATCATCACTCTCGGAGGCGATCACACCATCACACTCCCTCTCCTTCGCTCCATCAACCGCGCCTACGGACCGGTGTCGGTAATCCACTTCGATAGCCACTTGGACACTTGTCAGTACTTCAAAGATCGGTGAGACACTAGCTAACATATGTACAGGGGAAGCCGAAGGTCTTCGGCGGCGCTCCTTCTGACATCGCCTCTATTAATCACGGGACCTACTTCTACCACGCGAGTCAAGAGGGGCTCTTAGCGAACGACAGCAACATCCACGCCGGCATTCGCACTACGCTCAGCGGTCCCAGCGACTACGAGAACGATGGTTACTGTGGGTTTGAGATTGTGGAGGCATCCCAGGTAGACAAGATTGGCACGGCTGGCATCATCAAGAAGATTAGGGAGCGTGTCGGTACGGAGAAGCCGGTGTATCTGTCCCTAGATATTGACACCCTGGACCCTGCCTGTGAGTTTTGCACCCTGCTTGCGCTGAGGGTGAAACGTGCTGACGTTTACTGCAGTCGCGCCGGCGACAGGAACACCCGAGACCGGTGGTTGGTCCACGCGGGAGCTACGCGAGATCATTCGGGGTCTCAAAGGCCTCAACATCATTGCCGCAGATGTTGTGGAGGTAGCCGTACGTATACCTAATACTTTGGTTTCATGATCCTAGCTAACGGCTGATGTCATAGCCTGCATACGACACCAACGCTGAGCTGACCACCATGGCGGCCGCTGATGCTCTGTACGAAATCATGTCCATTATGATTATGAAGGGCCCTACCAGCAAGATGGTAGAAGAGAGCCAGGATGAGCTATGATATTGATCGGAACTAACTCCCTTTAGTCAGAGCTCAAAGTATCGGAGAGGTGATGCAGCTTTCTCAGTCGATGAGAATTGGAATCGTGGTTGTTACCAAAGGCTCGTGGTGATATGGGTCGCAGCCTTGTTTTATTGTGGGCTGCTACGCGAAATCAAATTGTACATATGAAACATTTTCAAGCCCAATAGCCTAGTGGCAATACAAGAACAGAATGTCAACATGATACTAGGACCACCTATATGCACATTAGACCTTAACTACCATTCCGCTCAGTTCAGTGCCACAATACCCCCTGATAGCATATGAACAAACGTACTTGCGCCCTTCATCTCCTTCCTAAGTACCCTATCTAAATATATGTAGTCCTTCAAGAATTGCTGGTTTCCCAGTTGCAGCTCCGTCTAATCCAATTCGGACCTCCCACAAATTTCCTTTGCTTCTAGACAAATGTGGCTCCGGCGTAATTCTCTACTCCCTGGTGATATGCAAACAAAGAGGCTGCGGTGGTGTTGGAAGGTACACACGGTAAAAGAGGTTTTAGGTTCGAGGGTGAGCAAACGGTCTCAAGTACCCTTGCTCTATCATTTGCTCTGGCAAGCGTCAAGTCATCATTTAAGCGACAAGATCAAAATTTAATTCGTATCAAACAGATGGTGACCGCGGCCACTTCACGATTTGAGTCTTGACCAACGAACCAGTACTTTTGAATCACCAAGCACGAAGATAATGGAGAGTTGCTTTGCGCAAAACGCTATCATAATATTCGTATCTATCTCAGACAACTGCTCAATCGTACACTCGACAGCAAACAAAACGAAAAAGCCCGTAAGCTCTGGTATATTTGCCTTTTCATCCTTTCCCCCTTGTCCCACCCAGCACCAAAGTCCCTATCCACCAGACTACGCCTCACCATCTAAGCCTTGAACCTCCTAGTGATAGTCCTCTTAGCAGCGGCAGCAGCATCGCTCTTATCTGCCGGTCCACCATCCGGGTTCGTAACAGCACCCGCAAACCCAAGCGCCGTGTTGAACAAATCAGCAGTGCTCTTGTCGCGCGTACCCGCATCAGCAACGAGCTGCTTAGCCTGTCCGCAGGTAGTGACCGCCGCGTCGTTGGCGCCGCACACATTGGTGAGCTGGTTGCAGAGCGCGTTGGTGATGATGTTGGGGTTGAGGGCGTCCTGCTGGCCACCACGAGCAGTAGCATCAGCAATCTGGAAAGTGAATTCGTCCGCTTTGCGCCCGTTTTGTCCGGCTTCGAAGATGATGGTGGGGGTGCAGGAGCCGAAGTCTTCGTCGCCGGTGAGGATGGAGCCTGCGGAGGAGGCGGCGCCACCGGTGGCTGCGCCGGTGGAGTTGCTGGCTGCGGCGTCTCCTGCGTTCTGGTCGGCGTTGGCGTTTCCGCTGTCAGCAGTCTGGTTTGCGGATCCAGCATTCGCGTTGTCGCTGCCAGAGGCCGCGTTTCCGGCATTGCAAGCAGCTCCCGAGTTATCAGCAGCGTTGTCTCCAGCGTTGGCATCAGCGGTTGCGTTATTCGCACTTCCAGCATTGGCATTCGCATCTCCGGCGTTCTGGTTGGCATTGTCGTTTCCAGCTGCCGCATTTCCAGCATCCGCATTTCCACCAGCGGCCGCACCTCCAGCGGCAGCCTGAGAAACGACGAGGTCGCCGAATCCAGCATCGTTCAACAGATCAAACACGCTCTTGCCAGTGGCATCGAGCGGGGCGCCGGCAGTCTGCTTGCTGAGCGCTGCAACATCGCCATTGGCGTCGACATCGGGGTCGATGAGAGGAGTGATACCACGGAGCTCAGGAGTAGCAGGGAGAGTGGCATCACCGCAGACGTTCTGGGTGTTGTTGTTGGCGAAGGGGTTGGTGTTCTTCTCAGCGGTGACCATGCCGATAGCTGCGGCGATGGCATCAGCGCCTCCTCCGAGGTCAGAGACGATCTTGTCGGCGGTCGCGAGCTAGATCATTGTTAGTGTGTGAGAAGAGAAGAGGACATCATAGTAGGCGTACCTTAGCGCAAGAGTTGGCCGCGCCGAGGAGATCAGAGATAGCACCACCAGCAATGGTAGCCGCAGCACCAGGATCACCACCCTGGACGGCAGAGATGGCCTGGATGGGGACCTGTTCCTGGCCGAAGCGAGCCTCGACGTAGGCCACAACGGCCGAAAGAAGAATGATCTTGGACACCATCTTGTTGATGATAAAAATATACAGCTCGAAGTAGTCGTTAGGCGTTAAGTGATCAAAGAGAGACTAGCTCGTAAGAAGATTTGAATAAATGCCAACCGGGGCGAGTGAATGGATGTAACCGAAAGAAGGACTGTAAAGAAGGAAAGACTGTGGTGTAGAAGCTGTGTGCTGATGGGATACCTTAACAGCGCGGCTACACGGAGGCTTTATACAGGAGGCGACGAACGCACCCACCGAACACCTACAACACCCTAGCCGCGCTCGCATCCTGGATGACGACTTAGAGAGATTGCGTCGTCTCGAGTGTGCGTCCAGATGCGCCGAGACAGAGCAGCGTTCCCCCGCCCAGCAGTCTGCGAAGTAAGAAAATAGCCCCAGGAACCAGCGATGCCACACGGTCATGCGGTATACGGTATGGTGGGACGTATGATTTGCTGTCTGCGACTTCGGGTAGCATTAGCTCCCGCTGTTAAGAGTTTGGAGGGGTTCCTACCGAACTGCGTGTTGTCAGGTTGGCGAAGCCTCAAGTTAGCCCCCGCGACACCCCGGGTCGCAGTACTGTCTCACATGACACCGCTACACCTGTAATCGGGCAGTAAAGGCTCGTCAACGTACGCAAACGCAATGCGTTTGAGAGATTTTGCACCACTCAGAAAACTTGCGCGCGTCCAGAAACTTCCACGATTTCGTAGATTCGACGGAGAGCAAAACATCATGCGAAGTCGCAAATGGAGGAGGGTAGAACAATGCAGGCTGGTATTGCGCAAGTAAAAGCGAGAAAAGGCTGTTATGCAGCGAAACATATGCTAGGACAGGCAAGAATGCCCGATGGTTGATAATGAGGAGTGCTCTATAATGCTTCCAGAAACCCGGTTGGCGTTCGAATAAGATCGCACGTCGCAGGTTGGATCGTTTGACCGTCTGTTATGCTAGCCGCCAGTGCAAAGTCATGACCATGCACCGGACCTGCATTTCGACGCTGCACGTTCAAATGCCTGTTGTGACCCGGAACAACATTCCCACGCCGCTAAATCTATTATAGCCTGTCTAGCTTCCTACGCAACAGCCTCGTTCTCTTCATGAGCTTCTTGTACTTGTGCTTCTTCATCTTCAGTTTCCTCTGTCTCTTGACACTGATCGCCAACATATCCGGGCGTTGCAGAATGTCCCGGCTGCGGTTGTTTGTGTTTTGCCGTTGGCTCATACGGTAGAGGAACGGTTGGCGCACCTTATACTGCTCCAGCTCGTTCTCCGCGGTAGGGTCCGCGATCTCGACCATCGGTGTGGTGGTGGCTGAATAAGTGGGCTTGCCCGAGGCATCGGTAGATTCCGTCACTACGACGGTACTGCTCCAGGTGCGCTTCTTGATCTGTGAGGGTGTAGCTGCAACATTCTCGATTATGTTGTTCATTTCGACTGCTTCGCCCAAAGGCATGGGAGGTGGTGGTGGCCTGAATGGGACGAACTTCGACATGAGCTCCTGCAAGGAGACCTGTGGTGGGCTGCCATAATGCTGCAGCTGGATCTGCGATGCATCCTGAGCAGGTGCCTGCTCCTCATGGACAGCCAAGGCTGCCTCTAAGGTCTCGATACCACTCGAGAGTGTTTGAATGTTATTCACCGTCGTTTCCCTGTTGTATGGAGATCGTGCTGCGAAGATAGATTCGAACGAGGAGTCCGTGGCTACTGGTGGTATAGCCTGGTCAAGGGATATGGGACGGTGGAGCGAGAAGAACGACGATATCTTTACTTCTGTAGAATTGATCAGCTGATGCACTTCACGTCGATTCTTTCTTTGCATACCAGGCTTCTGTAGATAATCGGTCGGCGGCACATGGGGCACGTTCAGCGCCGGGATCGGAGGTGTGGTGGTCCTCTTCCTCCCAGCTCTTCCTGTCGCCTTCTTCACAGAAGCCTTTGCAGGTGCCTTCTCAGCGCTCGCAGGCGTCTGCTGCGTAGAACTTGATCCATTCGAGCTATCTGGAGGAGTCGACGCTTTGGATGATGATAAGCGCCGTTGGTGGCCGGGACGGGCAAAGGGCTTCTGGGCCGCGCCGAGGGCTGCTGGACGGGCAAAGGCGCACACCAAGGGCGGTGGCAGGGTACTGGGGGAGCGGACGACTCTCCCGGCGGCGCAAGAAAACATGGCCAGCAGATGGATGCGGTGGTAAAGAGGGTGTCGAAGTCCGCTTGTTGCGCGGCGCAAGGCGATGATCCTGCTTGCTGCGAGTCACGCCGCTGTTCCTTTTCCAGTTTAGCTGCAAGAGCCGCATCTGGTCACGAGAACGAGCCGGAGCCTCGGAAGCTCGTCACCTGATGCCTGAGGCATCAACTCTGGGGTCCAAGGACCTTCTCCATTAAGTAAACCGTAGAAATAACATTTTGATTTGTCCGCCGAAGCAGTCATATGTCTCGATTGTGGGTATTGGAACTTGATTTGTGCACTTTTCATAGAAGCAAAAAAGGTAGTACATAGGTACATTGGTTCGTCTAAATTTATACAAAGAAAGACAAAAAAAGAACGACTTGAAGGAAGACGCAACTGATGCTTGCAGCACTTCGCCAAGTACTGCACTATCGCTCAACGATCGACTTCACAAAGAATAATGTGGCAAACCCATCTTTATCAATTTCCAAATCCGATCCAACCCTCCTTATCTCTTACACTTTAAGACAACAGCGATCACCAACATCTACTCCAAACCTTCATGGTGTACCCTACATGTGCTTCGCCCCATCGCTCTTATTCCCTCAAATCACCCTGCTGTGCCCCATCAACGTCTCGCTCAAAGCGGCAACACCGCCCCATGCACGCTGCACCCGGGCGTAAAACCCAAACCCACGGGTCCGACGACACTTCAATCTCTATGATGTATACACGCGACTGAAGGGGCAGAAATACTTTGCATGACGTGTGCAACACTTGATCCAAGCGTATGTACGAGGTACTCGATGGGGAACAAGCACTCCGCCCCATAGCATGCATTATGTGTGCAATATACGGTGTTCCCATGCAAAGCCGTTGACGATCCAATACAAACGCGCAGCTGATCTATTAATCTACTAGGAGCCCTCGGTCCCCGAACGCCACAACGTGCCCTACGGGGTCCTTCCCGCCATGAAAGTGTAGATCGATGAACGGCGAGGATGATGGCGGGGTCATCAAGTGTGGTGCGGTTTCCGGACCGCGCGACATGCAGGCGAATACGAGAAGGGAAAGAGCAGCGGAAACCCTGCGCAATCACCCAAGACATGCATCAAGAACAGGCAGCAAGAACATGCATCAAGAATATGCATTCGCACGACAAGGCAACAGAACTGTTGAGAACAGTGTAGAATTTTTGCCTGCAAGATATTGCGACCCGTGTAATACTGTCATGTATACCGTCGAGGCCAGTCTGCCAAGCACTAGTAGCTGGCTGCTTGCATAGGAGAAGACCCTCCCAAATGCCGACAAGAACAAGATCAAGTGGAGAGAATGCGGTGCTCAGCCATTTTCACACAATAACATACAAGAGGGAACAGACTAGCTCTTGAAATTCACACTCCGCTCGTTCCCTGCTCCGTAGAGCTACCCCAAACAATTAGGAAAATAAAGTGTCGGCGGGTGTATACCGCTGGAAGGCGCTAAGCAAGTCGAGCAGATCGTGCAGTCATCCAATCCTAACACAAACATGAATAAACTTCGAAGAACAGATGGGATATCGAGGGTATGTAACGTAAAGGCGCGTGAAGTGCGGCTGAGAGATCATCCAGGGGCTTTAGGACCGTTGCCGTGGCTCGAATGCAGTCAGTGCGTGTGCGTGACCGTCAGATGCCTGAAAGACCGGTCCAAATGGAGTCTGGTGGAGGCGAAGTGTTGGAGTATTGGAGTGTTGGGTGCAGTACATGGCGGTCCACTGCTTAGGTGTTCCAGTTTGCGTGCAATTCAATCAATTGGACGAAACCAAGACTTGGCTTTCGTCCAAAAGAAGGGCGACTCCGCTTTATGTAGTAAGGGGATGCTTACAAGATGAGGGCGTTGAGGTTGCGTTGGACAATCATATCCTGCACCGATTGCATGGTGATCTTCAGAAGGTTGGTGTCCGTTGCGTTGGTGTAGTGAACGTAGACCTCCTTCTTCGGTTGCCGTACCAGGTTTCGAAACTTGTTGGCGAAGAACTCCTGCCCGGCTTCGATGTCGGTCGGCTTCCCATTGTAATCTGGGAAAACCTTGTTTATTGGGCTCATGCCGCCCGCAATTTTTTCTCGGAACAGATCGATCTTATTCAAGAACAGGATGAGAGCCGATTTCTCAAAGTACTTCGAATTTGATATCGATTCGAAGAGCATGAGGGCCTCGTGCATTTGGTTCTGCCAGTAGCGTTAGCGTGATCGAGCCACAACCGGAAGTGCCACTTACGCCATTCCGGTCCTCCACCAACACATGGTCATAACCGCTGATTGCCACGAGGAAGAGCACGACTTGCACATTGTCGAAAACGTGAATCCACTTCTTCCGCTCAGACCTTTGCCCACCTACGTCGAACATGCGGTATGTGAGGTTTCCTAGCTCGAATATGGTTTCGGTGATACCGGTCGTTCGTAATCGAGTGCGGAGGATGTCCTGGTCTGTAGGTAGATAATCTTTCGCGAAGAGCCTTTCCACATCTGCAAAGAAGCTACGATATGTCAGTCATGGTAAGATATAGAAGAGCGTGCGACACAACGTACTAGCTCAAGTTGTCGTGCAGCGCATACTGGTTGCCCTTCAATATGGCCAGCTGCACGCCCTTGTCTGCCCACAGGCTGTTGAACGCGGCGAGACATTCCTGCGGCATGCCATCCTCGATGCCGATTTCGGGATCCGCGGTGATGAGCTCGGCGTAACGCTGCCGCCATCAGTATAGATATAGATAAGTAGGGTGCCAGTGTCCGTACCAGGTTGTCATCGTCCTCGAAATCGGTCTCCTGCTCCTGCATCGCAGCGAAGATGGTCTGGAAGGCGGAGACCAGGTTATTGAAGATAATGGCCCGCCATTGCTTGCGTTCGGTCTTGTTGAAGCCGCCTGCGTTTATGATACGCATCTGCTTCAACACGGTGGACTTGCCACTCTCGCCAGCACCTACGACATGTTCAGCGTGGCTCCGGCCAATGTTCGCAAAGAGGCGTACCAAGCAGCAGCAGCTTCACCTCGCGCTGCTGCTTCTTCTTGTCATTCCGGATGACCTTGTCAATCTCCTCATTGCGGCGACTCTCGGGGTCGACTGGTTTCTTGCCGAAGCACATTATACCCGGGGCCATTCACGAGCTCGCGGAGCACTTGTCGAGGCGCGGCGGGGACGTCGATGGTCGCGGCGGTGGGTTTGTAGTCGTGCTCCAGACATACAACGACACGAAGCGCAGGGCTATTTACGGGTCAGCCATGCATTGATATAGCAGCCTGCGCATAAGACATGGAGGGCGGCGGCAGCACCAGACGGCGGGCGCGGGAAAGCGCGGGCGGGCAGCGGGCTTGACTATACTTACACCACACAATGTCAGACGCACAGTCGCAGGGAAACGAGTGTCAAAAAGTTGAAGAGTGGCGGCCTGCGACTGCGAGAGGACTTGGGCGAATGCTGGGGGTGATGAAGCAACAGGAAAAGGGAGCTGTGCCGAGCATGGGCTGTTGGGGTTCCTTGCAAGAGGTCGAACTACTCGGCGAGCCGCACTGTAACCCTTGACAGCGCAACGGCGTAGGCGAACAGGGACACACAGCGAGGACCCGGCGGGACAGCAGACGACGCAGCGCCGAACAGGTTATGAAGCGAAAATGGAGCACGGCGGGGGAAATACGTAGTAGTTGTGGTAAGCACCACGGGGGATTGGCGCAGACGCAGACCAGACGCAGACCCAACGCAGCCTGGACTACACCACGGCGAGCGAGAAACGTGACGGCAACAAAGGCCTGCAAGACGCGACGAAAGGCTAGCCAGGGATTTGGGGAGTCGGGAAACGGCAGCGAGGGCAGAAACAAAGGACGCCATGAGACACCAATGTGCACTCCCGCTTTGGGCGTGGCCGGCTCCACCGCAGCTGTTCGTCGGCGCTGCACATTGGCTGACGGTGCTGCAAGACTGGCAAAAGGAACCAAGTGGCGCTGCACAGGTCCCGAAGCAGAGGGACGGGTGTGTAGAGAGGAGTAGCCCGCGTGCCCGCGTTTCATGGGCGCCGTCGAGCACGCTGTGAGTGGAGTCGCTGCCCGTCGCGCCTTGTACCGCCACCGTGCTAGCGGATGCTAGTCACACTGTAGGTGCGAGGTTGGCTCTGATGCCATGTCCAAGGCAACTCCTACACCACCTGCTGCCCCCCGTTCTACGCGCAGCCGTTGATCGCTCGTCAGCACGGAAACACGAGGACATTTTGCATCGGGGCTAATCAGCGTAAGAGTGAACCGGCCCCTCCCGTCTGCTTGTGGATCCCGCGGCTTGCTCGAATCCGCTAGCCCGCATCCCTTGTCTGCTGCCGAGCTCTACTGCATTCTACCTCTAGCGAGCTGACTTTTGCTTCTTCACGACTGCGTGCTGCTCAGCCGGCTGACTCTGCTCTGCACCTCGCTGCAGGGCGACTTGGCTAAAGCACCGGTTCATTGCCCTGCTGTTCGCGCATCCTCGCCACGCCAGCTCCGCCGCCAAGGGAACGAGCAGGATCGAACTGCTTGCTGATCTTCACCCTGTAGGATGCATATTTCCGAATAACGTACAGCTCGGTAAGAGCGCATGGGAAACACATCGTACGAGTGCATCGCACCCTTCGACACCACTCAGCTCGCCCTGGACCCCATACCACGCGTAACACTACCTCGTAGCATTGCAGCTTGTGGCATACCGGTCCATATTCCTGTACTCTTTCCCGGCCCGTGGGGCTGTTCCGAACGGCTTCTGACGCAAGGGCCGACGGCGAGTCGTTCGGGCTGGCCAATTGGATCCGGAACCGGGTGCCTGGTTTGGGATGGGCTCCTGCATGTGCCGATCCTGTAATCCATCACTCATGTCTCCCATCGAGCCCTGCTGTCATTTCTGTTCATCTCGCTGCATGCAACGCCGTTATTGTGTGCATGCCTGCCAGGATTGTACAGACTTCTTTCAGGTGACGCTAACATTATTTGAATTATTCACCAGGATGAGCCGCCTTCCAAATCGAGCTTTACTGTGATCTTTCGTTACGGGGGTGAATCCATTCTCTGTCCATGGGTAGTTCAAATTTACATGCAACGTAGCGGCACAGAAAAATTTACTCCCAGGCCCTTTGATCTCCTACCTTTTTTCCCTTTACCTTTTAGTCACGTCAATTCTAGCACTCCCGATTTCAATAATGGAAGATCATTTCCATTGTGCCCGCTGTCAAGAGTCTCCTCAATACTGGATCTCCTGTGGTCTTACTTTCGGAGGGTGAAATCCATTGTCTGTCTACGGGTAGTTCAGATTTACATACAACGAAGCGTGATTGCAGAATTTACTCCCAGGCCATTCTATCTCCTACCTTTCCTCCTTTATCCTCTCGTCACGTCATTTCTGACAGTCGCGTTTTCAATGATCGAGAATGATTTTCATCGTGCACACTGTCATAAATCTCTCCAATATTGCATCTCTTGCTCATCATATGTTGTCCAGTCTACTCTCCAAAAGGTTCCCAATCCCGTCATTGTTATTGTGTGTCATAATCACTCTATCCTCGAACTAGTACCCAACGTAAAGATCAAGATATTAGGCAACCTTGTACAAAAGAGACATCTCATCAACTTGCTGCGTCTGCTAGCGCATCGTTACAGCATACCATATATATATGAGCTCTCACGTCACCTTCACCTGCCGGCTTATCACTATCAAAACGCTAAACAATGTACTTGTAGACTCACCATGCGACGTAGCCGGGCAACACTCTTGAGATGCCATCTTCGTTGGTATCTCCGGTTGAGCGGGATCATCTGTGCCGTGGCTCCCGGCAGGTCAACGAGACATTGTACTCGTTATAAGAAAACCGGTCGAATACCAATTTGCACGCTACAGGTCGACGTTCCGTTTCCTGGGCAGCATTTTCCACAAGCTTCGCTGTTGTTGTGGGTCGACGAGGCGCTCCTTCCCAGTGCGTTTGCGCTGTTGCTCACTCAACCGGCCTGGCCCTTCTACAATTTCTCACCACCACCAACACAACAATTCAACTTACTGGCGCCGACGCACTAAAACACATTTTTTTTTCAGTGTGAACGCCGCGAGCTCTTCAATTGCTCCTATCGCCATCGTAAGCGAGTGAGCGTACTTGCCGTGTGCGTTGCATTTCCCTCAGTGTATTCTGTACTCATGTTGACCTCAATTTCGGCGTAGGACCTCCTCACATACGTTTGTACTATACCGACTGGAACAATGGCGCCGGGTCTACCGTACTTCGGGCCCATCAGCATGGCCGACTCGCGCTACGCTTCTCCTATGCGCAGGAAGCAGGTTGAGGCCCTGCTGGCTTCAAATCCTGCGCTCCAGGCGAAGAAAGAGACCGACAACGTCCTTGCGATTCGGGAGCAGATAGCGGCCGGTAGCGCTGCTGTCCCTTTCCAGAGCACCGGCGTTCAGCTTGCTCAGGCGCAGGGCCAGGCGCTTGAGCAGGAGATTGCGCAGCACAGGCTTGTTATCGATCAGACAGTATCTACTGTGATCGCCAGCACTCGCCAAGTGAGTCAACACTTCTCGGGTTGGAGGGCTTCGAGTCCTGTCATGCTCCGCTGTCGCATTGAGGGGCTAATTGCCTTTCCTGAGATGCATGTTTGCTCCAAATCGGTGGCTAACGTAGGTACAGATCCTGAACATGATTACCGATGCTATTAAGCAAGATCGCCCCGACACGGCCGACGCGTCTCTCAAGGTTGTGGCAAACCTCCAGCAGGAATTACAGAAGCTCGTTGAAGCTACGCGACGGGCCCAAGGCGCGCTTCCGTACTTTCTCGAGAGGCAGAAAGAGAACTCTAGTCTCCTCGCTAGCACCAAGATCCAGGAAGCGCACCGTGATATACAGCAAGAGCTGGCCCTGAAGGACAAGAAGATCCTGCTGGGGCAAGAGCTCCACCTCGAGCAGCAACAAGCCTACAAGGACGTGGAGGCCAACGCGAACAACAGGACCACGGAGTTGCAGGAACGCCTCACGCGCATACACATGGAGCATGGCTTGTTAAAGACTGAGCTCGAGGGGACGAATGCTCAGCTCAAGAAGGCTCAGGCAACTGAGAATGATGCTGTCAAGGCACGCGAGGAGCTGGAAGAGAAGTTGTCCATGTTGGTATGTATTGAAACTCTCGCACGATCCGTAAAGTGTGCTGATGCTCGTGCCTGCAGAAGGAATCCAAGGACAGTCTCTCTGCGAAGAATGCAAACATCCGCGGTACAATCAAAGACCTAGAGAACAAGCTTCAAGCTGCCGAAAAGAAGGCCACAGAGCATTACGAGAAGGAGTTGCGAAGCTTGACCGACCAGCTGCAGAAAGAGCACCAGAAAGCCACGTCATTGGAAGCTAATCTCAAGATGCTCCGTCAGGCCGACGAGACATCTAGGAGAGAGGTTGAGAAGGCGAAGGCCGAGTCGAAGCTGCTATCCGAGAAATACAATGACCAGAGCAGAGAATACGCAAAGGTGGCGGATGTATGTCCCAAGACATGTCAAGCTTGCTCACAATTTAGATGCTGACAGATATGTGCAGGACTTCAAAGAGCAGATGAAGAAAGCGAACAGGCTTGATGGCGAAGTTCGTGATCTGCGCCAACAGAAGTCTGAAATTGAGAAGGAGCGCAATCGCGTTACTTTCCTCAAGGACAGCCTCCAGAAGCAGCATGCTGCGCTCAAGGCTGAGCATGGTGAGTCTCCCCAGGCCACAATCTTCTCATACTTCTTGCCATTAACCGATCTAGACGACTTAAAGCAGAAGGACGCACTCGTCAAGGAGGAAGCTCAGCAGCTTTCTGCAAAGCTTAAGCGGGCCGAAAACGAAAACGATCACTTGGAGACAAAGAATAACAACCTTCTCGCTAAACAGTTGGAGAATGACAGCGCTGCCGCTGCGCTCAAGAAGGCTGATACCGAGATTGGTGAGCGAGCCGAGAACGCGCCCCTATGAAACTGTACTAATCGAACACTCAAACATAGCTACACTCCGCGCAACTGTAGAGAGCCTGCGGAGCAAGCCTACTGCCGCCAACGACTCGGCTGATGCGGTGGCTCTCAGGAAGGAGCTCGAGCAACTGAGCGGAAAGTACACCAAGTCGGAGTCGGACCTGGTCGAGTGGGAAGAACTTGGTCGTGTGAGTTTCTGCTTTTATGCGAGCGACTCACGACTCCACCACTAAACTACTTCTAGAGAGCCATGCTCCGGTATCGTGAGATCGCATCGAAGTACCAGCAACTCGAAGGAGTCGAGACGCAGCTCAAGCAGGTCCTGGCGCAAAATGAGCAGGTCCAGGCCCAGAACAAGCAGGTCCTGGCGCAGAACGAGCAGCTCAAGGTCAAAGCTACCAGCGGCAGCAATAGCGATGCCAAGTACTGGCGCGACAAATACAATGAGTTGCTTAAGGCGGTGGAGGGTTAAGGTGGAATGCATAATGGTCACACCGCCGTTCGCTGATGCGCATGCTTGAGATGATATGGTGGTAAATGATGTACCAGAAATGGACACATACAAGATCTGGGTTCTCAGCGACGGTACTGAGTGGGACAGTAGCGTAATGACAGACCTTGCTGGATGGTGTTTACGACAATCAACGAGCTGATGAACGCTCATTCCCTATTTCCTGGTTGATAGTACCAAAGTGTTCAATCATGAGAGAAAAGATGAGTAGCACTCATGGATTTTGTGAATAGTATGGCTTACCCTGGAACTCGGGGGTGACTTATTACCCCGTTTATTATCCTTCAAACCGACCAAGGATAGGGTCTAGTGTTCGTACATGCATGTGATTGCTCAAGACATTGACAACTTGATGCTCGGCAGGATGGTTCAGGATAAGATTTTCGCTCTGTGATTGCTCCGTTCTGTCTTCCGCTGGATTTATATTCCTTCGAGGGACATTCGCCCGCATTCACAATGTTGTTCGCTCTGTAGCGTTCGCATCCCATGTAAGCTAACCGAATGCCGGCCGCAGTTTCCCGCCGGGCAATTCGGGACCGAACACGCCGAAGCAGCGCGCGATGTCAGGCTATATACTTGCGATATATGTCAATGGCTGTACGTGTATTGCTCGCACTGCTCGTTCAGCGCCTTGCCAAGGGTTGTGATTCCGGTTACACGAACGCGGGCGCGTCGCGAGAACACGTGCGAACGCCTTGGGGCCATTTAGCTTGGCTGACACTTCCGATTGTAGTCATTCGCCTGGTTTTCTCGCAGGCCCGACACGACATGTCGTTCGAAGGGCGCGAAGAGTCGAAGCTAGGATTGCGGGATGATCTTTCAAAGAATTGGTGAATTTTAGGTGAGTCAAATGTGAAGTATGTGTACGACACTTCCCCACACATGTCTACGCGTATCTTCTCTCAGGCCAAATTCTTTCTCAGTCCTGTGCGTATAAGCAACTATACCACTATTTCAATGTCAACACAGCCATTGCGTAGGCGGATCACAGTGATGGGGATCTCATTTTGTATTAAAGCTTGCAATAGCGATTGGTATAGCACACTAACAGCGTCTAGGACATTTCATGGTATCATGCCAGCAACCATATTGAACTCCAGCCGCCCACAAGACGTCTTTCAAATATGCGAAACGATGGATAGAAATTAGGAAGACCAAACACTAGCACAACCAGTACCAGAACTTCTCGAGGAAATTTCTAGGAATCTGCTCGGGCCAGACCTCGGCGTCAAGAGCAGCCTTACCACTCCAGATGTCAGCGTTTGCCGGGACGACGGTTGGCTCACGCTTGAGGACCTTCCAGAAAATGTACAAGAGGAAGAAGATGGCGACGCCGATATAAGCGGTGAAGAAGTCAGTCAGCTGGTCCTTGCCCCATCCGCCCTTAGTCTGCGTGAACGGCTTGAAGCCGTTGAAGAAGATGACGAGGACGAAGAAAAAGAATGTAATCCAAGCGGTGTATGGCTGGTACGGTGACCTGAAGATGAGGGTCTTGCGATCAACACCTTGCGCCTTCAACGCTTTGTGGAATCCGATGTAGCCCAAGCAGATGCTGCACCACGTGAAGCACTGGGCGATGGTCACAAGGTTCTGGAACCATAGGAAGACCTCGTTCGCGCTGGTTCCCAAGCTCATGAAGGTCAGGAGGGAGAAGACGGCTGTGATACCAACACAGTAGTACGGAACACCGTTCTTGGAGCACTTCAAGAGGAACTTGGGGGCTTGTCCGTTTTGAGCGACACCGAAGAGATAACGCGAGCCAGTGTACAAGAAGGCGTTCCCGGATGACGTTGCGGAGGTCAAGATGACGGCGTTGACGATATGCGGAAGAACCGGGATACCGGCGTTCTTGCAGGCAATAACCCACGGCGACTTCTGCGCACCCGAGAGGTTATCGCTGGTCAAAGCCTCATCGTTGGAACTGATGCAAACACCGATGACGAACGATCCGAGAACGTAGAAGGTAATGATACGCCAGAACACACGACGGATGGCCTTGGGAATGTTCTTGCGAGGGTTGGCGGCTTCACCTGCAGCAACCGCCACCATCTCAACACCACCGTAGGAGAAAGCGGCATTGACGAGCGTGGACCAGAGGCCAGAGAAGCGGCCGGTACTGCCCGTACCGATGTACTCCTTCATGGCACCTTCCTTCCAGTAACGGAATCCACGTCGGTCCTTGTCAGGGGCGCCACCAAGCCAGATGACAACACCAGCGAGAAGAAGACCGACGATTGTGATGATCTTAATCGATGCGAAACAGAACTCGGCCTCGCCATATATCGATACAGCGAAGATGTTCAGGCAAATGATGATAACGATGATGATCGCGATCCACACGCCTTGATTGATCTTCTCTTCAGTATCCCAAAAGCTAATGACGACGGCTGCAGCGGAGATCTCAGCACACAGAGTGATGGCGCATTGGTACCCTGAAGATTCATGAGCGACGTTGATCGTAAATGTCGTAGGCCAACTTACAATTATTCCACCCAACAGCAAAACCAAGAGCGGGATCGGCGTAACGCGCGCAGTACTGAGGAATGGCACCAGGCAGGGGAAGCCAAGTAGACATCTCACCAAGACTTTGCATCATACCGTATACAGCAAGACCAGTTATCGAGTAGCCGAGAAGAACAGAGACGGGGCCAGCGTTGGCGAAAGCACTGCCAATACCGAGGAAGAGACCGGTACCGATGGTACCTCCAAGAGCGATGAACTGGATGTGTCGGGACTTGAGACTGCGAAATGTCAGCATGAGACCACCAGGTTGAACGAACAGCGTGACGCTTGAAAAACTTACCCTCGCTCGACATATCCGTACTGTTCGGCCGTTGCGAGATCACCGTAGATGTCGGCAGCCTCCCCAACGGCAGCACCCTTTTGCGCGACAATGTCCCTCACGCCATGGTCGCTGTCACTTCCTCCCTGGACGGTGTAGTCGTGCTTCTCTAGGTCCGCCATCTTCGCGTAGGCTCGTCAATGTTGGACGAGTGTGGAGGATGTGTACTTGAAAGAGGGGGAGTCCTGTAGGACTTTGGTGAAGTAATACCACGAACGACTGGGATAGGCACAAGACCTAATTTGAATTAACGAGGGACGATACCTCTGACGCTCTGGCTCGGGATGGGAGCACAACGCAGCGCTTTTAATACTGGACTATCCAACGGCATCACGCACATGGTGCCACCCTGGCACAAAGACCCTTCCACCCGTTCTGCAGCACGACAAACGCTCGGGCACCTAAGCTCAGACCCCGCGACGCCTTGTGGATTGGCGCTTGGCCACGCGGACTTGGTTGTCGGGGGCCTGCGACCATCTCATACGGTCTGGAAGGATGGCGGTATCTGCAACCGCGGCAAAACTCCCTGAAATGGGCAGGCTAGCCTCTCAGCTCCCGCAAGATCTGGAGTGCCTAAACTCTACATAGTAGGGATTGATAACGAGAGCCAATACGGAAGGAGGAGGAGTACGACACACATCCGAACCCCAGGCGGACGGCAAGCATCTTACGGTTACCCAACATGCACTCGTGGGGTACCTCTGCATCGCCGCGCACACGTCGGGTCGCCTCGTTTAAGATCACGATCTTTGCGCGGCTGTTGGACTCAGTGACAAACACTGAAGCTTCAAACTTTGGATGACAATTTCGAGATTGTCACAGGGTTCGTCTGCGATTTTCTGCGGTCCGAATTGGCTTCGCGTTCAAGCCTCGACGAAGATAACGACGGGCGCCTGGGCAAATTCTGGGCGGGCGGATGGGGAGGCTAAGTTGGTTGGCGGCGCAGCCTTTCCCTCGTTGGTGGATTCTCCGGGACCCTGCCCCGAAGAGGCATCCTTCTAGAATGCTATCTGCGACTTATCAACACCAGATACTAATAATCTACATCGACACGCCTGTCTCTTCTGCACCCGGCCACTTGGATTTGGAATGCGCCATTTAGGGGCTCCGCTTCGGGATGCGCGATACCTCAACGACTTGCGCGCGGATGTGGACGTATGGGTAGTGCGGCTGCTTGCGAGCAGGCGACGGGCATGTCAGGATCGCTGGGATTTACTTTTGTGCAACGCGAGGCTCACAGACTTATCACCTGACGCTCACCGACAGGGTGCCCCGGCCGACCCTCGTGCTGACCGGCCCACCTCCACCATTCTCGTGTCTGGAAACCCACCTTCCAATCTGGGGTGTCGCGAAACAATACGAACGACACCAAGACAATACTGCTCATCTTCCGTGCGAGTTGCATCGACACGCCATGGTTGTCTTTCGGTCCTTCTTAGAGGCTGTTCTCTCGCAATTGAAGTGTAATAACCTAGCACGCCGAACTACCTCAAAGAGGTTCGTACCTCCACTCGCGTGGGCTGTCAATCTGCAGTTGACAGCCTCGCACAAGGGCGTTCGTGACACGCATATTCTTCTGGCGTAAGCGCCAGCCGAGCACGAGGCGCCCGGGCTGCAGCCGATGGTACGGAAAGCCCGACGTACGCGACAGGTCTCAAAATTGGCCAAACAATGGACATATCGCTAGGGCCTGAAACACTTTATGATGGTGAATCGGAACGTCTCGCTCCAAGAGCTTTGCACGACCTATGCTTCCGAGGGGCGCGCTCACTGATACACAAAGAAAACACAGAGCCAATAGCTCGCACAGCTGCCTCTTAGATCTTGACGTGCTGGTCTCAACGAGTCTTGAACAGGGTATTACTGTACTGATGGAGGGTGACTTCCATGCCGCCCTGTATCTCAAATACCGAGATAAAGCGTACGGCGCTGCTTCATCGTGTGAGTGGTCGCCCGTTGATTGCTGCGACCCCATTCCAGAAGCTCGAGATCGCCGCCCAGGACAATCCTCGCAACCCGCAGCCTCTCCCACCGCCCGCTCCCAAGCTCGCCACGGCGGGCACTACGCCGCTTGGGTTCTTGAAGCATTCATTGGTGGCTTGGAGTTGCACACTTTAGACCTGATGGGAACAGTAACATTGGCGTGTGCCTTCTGTGGGCCTTGCCGACCATATCGTTGACGGTTGGACGGAAACAACCCTGTACAGTTGGCTGGAACCGAGGTCGTGGGTAGTGGAAAGCGCAATTCCCCTGCGTCGACATTGCTGACAGTTGGCCATAAGTGAGCGCTATGTTGGAGATCGTCGCACATGTTTGCTGCAGATCTTGAGACCGGACGCGAAGATCGAAGACGCATTATCGAAGTGTCATGGTCTCTACCGTGACAGCTCATACAGTGTACGCCAATAAACGATCGAAAGCTGTACGCATCAATAACGACACCCCCGCTGTCAACAGTGTTTGCTCTACATTGTGCTTTCGTGAATAGGTGACCTAGGTGCTCGCACATTCTTGCGAGCTCTCAACTAGGCAAATCCGGTGAGCAGGTCGAAGACACTTCGACCTCAGAAAACACCACAAGCACAACGCTGAGGTCTCACGTCACTTCGAACTCTGACAGCCAGGCGACAGTGTCTTCAGCAATGCGGCTTTGGACGCCACAACACGTTCTGGAGGCTTGATGTCCTCTCCGGGCTCCTGGTGCTGTCCTCACGACCGATCACACGTGCAACGCGCACAATCACGGTTCACAGCCGACGCGGCGCCCCCAACAGGGCCCGACAGTAGGATTTCGGCACACACGAAACCGCGCACGCGGTGTTCTGAGTGCTGCCCCCACGACCGCAAAAGGGCCGCGACTGAGTAGCACTCGCGAAGGCTTGCTCGCAGCCTCGTCGCGAACCCCGGAGGATTGTCCATTGCCAGTGCGTCGAGAGAAATCTCCGGTCAGCTTGACATCTCGTGCGCAATTGCCTTCTTGAGAAGGCGCCGGAGTGTTGCCGCATTGCGAAGAAATCGTGAATGGAAGGTCAACCGGGATTGGATGTTGTAGGATGGTCGATAACTCAACTTTCTTAGGAGCGTGTCGTGTGAGAGGCGCATCTAAGCACCTCCTCCAAGTGTGATACGCTCCTGCTTGCATGATTTCGTTTGATAAGCGATATGTGCTCTAGAAAACAGTACGTGCTAGCCAATGATTGAACGCCTCGACTGGATATGTACTTGTGTTTGCGCAAGGGTACGGTTCCTGACATACACAGCAGCCCAGAGAGTGGCAAACATAGCGTAACAACAGCTCGAACAACGTGATGTTGCCAGCCCAAGGCAGATGAAATACTCAAACGTTCGAAGAAGCTTTGTACGTAATTGGTGGGTTAGGCCACCACGCGGGGAAGCCGCTTGATCAACCGTCGCGCGATGGATTTTGCTCCACTTTATATATTGATGCGAACTTGGTCTCGTTCTGTGGAGTGCTATAGAGTCGGTTGTTGATGACAATACGGTGTGTTGGGTGGTCTACTAAAATATCCCAAAGGTACGTTTTCTGGCGTGTGCTATCTTCAGAGTACCACTTGAGGCTACACTGAGAGCAAACGAAGATGCACCTTCTGGCAAAGCTTCTAGTGAAATCGAGTAGATTAACTTACCGTACAAAGGTACACGCTGCAGCTAGTTAAATAGATTACAAGAAAATATGCAACTCTGTGTGTCTCTCCTCTTGAAAGAACGAGAACGCGTACATTTAGCACCATACCGAAGTCTTAAGCACCAGCGGCTTGTATATTGTTTACGCCGGATAGACCAAAACACCTGCGCAAGTAAAGCTCCGCGTCACGATCATAAATCACCTCCTTTCAATCTCAACTGCACATATGCGCGGTAGGTGACCACGCGCCCTCAAGCCCTCGACGTCACACTCGCTCAAACGCTTGTAGCAATCCGTGCTATCCGTTCTGATGTGCGATCTCCACGCCAACGATATCCTGAAATTGATCGCCTTTCCCCAGCTCCTGGGGAAAGGCTGCGGTTCGGACGGCCACTCGTAAACTATTCGCTTCAGACCGCATTCCAAACGTCGCTGGTGTCCAAGCCCTACCCTATCGCTATCCAGCCACTTGACCAGACGTTTTGTGTTTTGGCGATAGGCAGGGCAGCAAGAAAGATTCGAGTCACCGGAACCAAGAGAAGTGATGGTGAGCGTGGAGAAATTCAGGTAAAGGAGCGCCATGAAGGGGTCTTCGCGGGTGAATAATCGGCCGCAATTGATGGGGCGGGTGAACTGAGAGGTTATCAGCTACTGGTCTATAGCTTATCATTATCAACCGCACCTTCATATTGAACAGGTCTTTCATGCATGTGGGCTTGTCGTATTGCACATCTGTGTCGCCGTATGTGGCGCGACAGCGAGTCTGTATGTCGGCGAAGAAGGCGACACTGCGCTTGATGATTTCGGGCTGAAATTCATTTTGAATTTCTTTGCAGGTATATAGGAGGCCCGTGTAGGTTGTGCGAGGGGAGGAGAGGGGGTTGAATGGGATCAAGTAGGAATAGACATGTAGGCGGAGTTCTGCTGGGAGGGATAAGATGCTCATGATGATGGCGACGGAGTAACAGGACGACAACTGTCTGTCTCTGTGTACCTTATCCCAAGAATAGGCTCTTGGCAGTTGATGATGGAGGTTTACAGAGGCGGGAGTCAGAACGAGATGCTGTGTTCTTGCGACGCGAGGGATTCGTTATGTAAGATTACACAACGAAAGGCGTTGGGCTACGGTGCGTCTCTGATCAATTAGCATCAAAGAGCTTGAGGTTGCTGACCGAGTCTTGTCAGGCGTCAATGCAGCCTGTGAAGGATTCAGGTGTCTTGGACCGATGGCCGATAGTGGTTACCGACCCCGCGTCACGTGTTAGGTCCGCCGAACGCAGCTGCCTTTTGCGCGCCCGAGCTCAAGCTTCAACTTTCCCACCGCCGAGCATCAAAACATCACCACAACTCAACCATGCCGTCTTCGGATTACGCCTCCGCTGGCGGCGGCGCTCTCAAGCTCAAAGGTGCCGGCATCGACAAGAAAAAGAAAAAGAAGAAGCCAAAGACCGCCGAACCCACCGCCGAGGCTTCTACAAAAGTAAAGTCGCGCTCAAAGTCGCCGTCGGGTACACCGCGCCGCTCGATATCACCAGACGCAGCCGAGCAAGCCATCAAGGAGGATGGCGGGCGAAAGAAAACTGAGGCGGAGAAACGGCACGAGGAGATGCGGAGGAAGAGACTGGAGGACCGGCTGAAGAAGGAGGGTGTTAAGACGCACAAAGAGAAGGTGGAGGAGCTGAACAAATACCTGAGTGGTCTGAGCGAGCACCACGACATGCCGAAAATCGGACCGGGCTAAGACGCGATCGGAGGTGGGAGAGGCTGCGCCGCAGGCACAGGCGCGCGCATACTGATTCGGGGTTGTGCATTGCCCAATTTGGGTCACTACGCGGTACCTAGATTCTGTCCATATGCTGCGTGCATATCAAGAGGCGCTATGGAATCGCTCTGGCCTGGGTCGGCTCTTTGGAGTCTTCGTCACGGCTCAGCTTGGCCCAGGAAAGCGTACGAAAGCAGGCGTTATGGAAATATCGAGTGCATAACACTTTCCGGCATACATCTCACTTCATTGTCGTGAGAAAATCGACAAGACTACTTTGGGTATATCAGAAATCACAAGAATCCGCCAATAACTGAGCCAACTCCTCGAGCGCAGTCTGATCCTCCGCATTGAATCCGTTCAGCTCCGCGCAGTCAATATCGATGATCGCAACCACCTTTGCTCTTATCAGCATATTTTCATACAACTACCTCTTCTTCGTAGTGTTCAAGATTGGTGCTCACCTTTCCATCTTTCACAATTGGTACGACGATCTCGCTCTTGCTCGCACCGTCACAAGCAATGTGACCCGGGAACCTCTCAACGTCTTCGACTAGCTGAGTGATCTTTGTCTCAGCAGCCGCACCACATACGCCTCGGCCGAAAGCAATAGCCTGGCAGGCCACTTGACCTTGGAAGGGGCCAAGGATTAGTTGGCGAGCATTGTTGGGGTCGGTAAAGTAGAAGCCAGACCAGTTCACTGCAGATGATGGTGCAGGAAGAGAGTGGTAGGCATGCCAGAGGAGAGAGGCAGCGTTCGAGAAATTGCTACGTGAGAGCAAGTCAGTCACGAAGGTTACAAGAGCGCCAAGTAAGTGGCAGAAGGCAAAGATCGGCATACCTAATCTAGCCGCATGTTAGCATATCGTATGTAAATTCATAATGTGACACGTACCCAATTTCTCTGCCCATCAAACAGTACCTTCGCCTGCTCTAGAACCTGCGCGTACACCTCCTTCTTGCTCATGCCATCCGCAAAATGCGACGAATCTGCGTGCACCTACCCAAGCATCAACACCACACTCTCACATTATCTATAATGACGTACCATGGCTGAACTCAATGAACTATGAAGTGTACTGAATCAGAGTTCTAGAAAACGCAACGTGCAGAAGGTTTTCGAGCTAAAAGATGGCGCAATCGGTGCGATGTGGATGCTGATTGGTTGATGGCTAGTCGGAGTGGAACTGCGCGAACACTACACATAGAAATTGAAGTTGCTATGAAGGGCACCGAGGTTCAATTCGACAACATGTACAACACCAAATGCGACTCATCAGCGCAGCGTGGACTAGACTTATTATAAATGTATTGAAACCCAGCTAAACTAATGTCAGACTTGAGTTGTTGCGTCCCCAGAAGTACTTTCTGGGGCGCCCCATCGAAAGACTAATTACATGTACTCGAGCCTCTCATTCCTCAGATCATTGATCTTCTGCTGATATCTCTTCTTCATGAGCTGGTTGGTCGACTTGTCACACCTGCCCTTCAACTCCTCAATCTGCGCGTCGAGTGCCTGACGTGCCATTTCCTTCGCCGAGAGGACCTTACTTGGTTTTTCCTCTTCCTCTTCCTCCTCCTCCTCCTCACTTTCCTCATCACTTGTCTCACCAGCTTCTAAGTCCTCGCCAGCTTCTAAGTCGAAGAGCGAGTTTATGTCGTCCTCTCGCTGTGCTTCCTCCTCCTCTTCACTTTCGTCCTCGCCCTCACTCGCATCTCCAGTGACTACCTGGAAGTTGGGATCGGACTCGTCGTCCTCTTCAGGATCAGGATCCTGAGTGTTTGGTTTTGGAGCAGGTGTGAGCTGCTGCTGAGGCATATCAGCCTGAGTCTGTGGCTTCGAAGCCAGTTCTTCTTGCCGCGCTGTGCGGATAGCGTTGTCGATACTGGTGCCGATGCAATTTTGGGCTTCGGCTTCATCGTCGTCGGCATCAGACTCGTCGTCCGACTCCTCCTCCACTTCCCCATTTTCAAGGCTCTCCATAGCTAGGGCAAGGAGGCCATCATCGTCTGCCATCGCTTCATCACCAACCTGAGCTGAACTATCGGCTTCAAGGCTATCTTCATCACCAAACGCTTCTAGAAGTCCATACTCAATGGCAGCTCCAAGGCCATCACCATCGACCATCTCCTCATCGTCTGTTGCAATAGGCGTTGGCAGATGCGCATCAATTTTGCGCTTTTTCGAAGGCGCCTCAGAGGCGGGTGCTGCTTTCCGCTTCTTCTCTTCAGCAGCTGCACGCTTCTCAACTTCACGCACTGCTTTCTTCTCCTCAGCTTTCCTCTTCTTCTCTTCTTCGCGAAGCCCTTTCTGCTCTGCAAGCTCCGCTACTCTAGCTTCCCTCTTAGCATCATCCTCCTTCCTCTTCTTCTCAGCCTTGATCGCCTCTGGCGATTTCGCATTCTTGCGCTCTTGAATCTTCGCAAGCCACTTCGCCTCGATCTCCTGTCCATCTTTCTCCCAAATAAGACCCTCCTTCTTCTTTCCTTCAACAGCTAAGCGCTCGACGTTCGCCTCGCTGAAGTCTTTGAAGTGCTTTGCAGCCCAGGTCAAGTCTGCCTCAGCCTGCTCATTCGAAGGCCAAAATAGGCGGCAGTACTCTTGCTTCTGGCCCCTTGGTGCATTCCGCATGGATTGAAGCCAATCCATCTCCGCCTTACGCATGGTCACACCAGTTCTAAGAATGCAGGCCTTGAGGTGCACCATGCGCTCCTGGAGATGGCATGGTGGAGCTGGCTCTAGAGAAGGCTCTTTCGGAGCCGGAACGGGATTCTGAGACGCGCTATCGTTGTCTTCAATGACAATAGGTGAATTGGCCATCTGGCCTTCGGTGGGGCGGTTCTGTGGCCGTTGTTGTTGAACGGCCATGCCCGAACCGGCTTGGATAGAGCCCACAGTACCTGTCTGTGGATATTGCATCTGCATTGGCTGCTTGCCATGCATAGGCCTGTGTAGCTGGTACTGCTGCCACTCCATGGTGCCGTACCATATCCGTCCATCGAAATCCTTAGACCCTAGATAGACCCCATCAACGAAGTCATACGGAGTCGGGATCGGACCACCGTCATCCATGAAGGCGATGATGGCACGGTCGTAAACATGGCTACCTTGGCCTAGGAAAGACCTGTAATGCACCTCTGCGTGGCGGAAGGTGATGCCCTTCCTGTGGAATACTTGAGCTACGCTGCCGTTCGCAGGATACACGATGAGGGTACCAGTGCGGCCAGTGCAGCTTGGGATGTAAGGGGCGTGGGAAGACATTTTGATGGTAAGGTGTGTGAAGGTGTTGAGGAGATCCTGGGGTGTTTTGAAGGGTGTTTGGCTCTAGGTTTCTTGTCTAGAGTGCTTGAGGAGTTGGATGGAGGAAGTGAGTTCTATATCAGATTGGTCTTCGATATGAACAACACTTGAATTGTTGCTGTAAAGATTCCGATATGTGTCGAATACGGTACTATCTGCGTTGTTTTGAAGTTATATAGTCCGGACAAGAGTTTGGAAAGTGTGTCTGAAAGTGATCTCTGAGTGTGGGGAAGCAGTGATCGATGAACGAAGAGGAATTGATACGACAGCTCGTTCTTATAGACCACCTGCAGGCAGAGAGCTCAACAGTACCATTGCAAATAAACAATGCCATTCTCACGATAGCCGTTGAGAGAAGAGATTTCGCAGCAGACCGCTGGTACAGCGCCATATCCACACCGATCGTGGAACTGAGACAGGTGGAACATGGCACACAACCTGCTGCATCACTGCGCTTGAATGGACTCAAGCAACTGAGACCACGCCTTGAACATGTCCCGATGATTCTCATTCGTCCAACCTTACTGTCTAGTTTCTCGTATTTTCTACGCCCACTTTGAGGACGCATCTTGCTGAGAGTAAACCCAGGATACACGACAGAACAACAGACTAAAAACGGATTACGGCTGTGGGCTGCGGAAGTATCATGGGGCAAGTCAATCCAGGGTACAAAATTAATTTTTTGGGAAGACCACAAGATCTGGGTTCTTGAAGCAGTTGTATGAGGTTAGGATGGAGGTACCGGTGGTAGGGGTTGACAGCGGGTCCGCCGGTACGCGTCGAGAACGCCCCTGGAAACGGTCGAAAGTTCCATGGACCGCGACAGCGGCCACGTTGAGGACATCAAAAACCTGGATCTGCGGGTGGATCCGAAGTTATTGATAGAACATGATGGAATGTCGCATGCGCCATGTACTTGATAGTATCATTTGTGTACAGTGCAAAACATGAACCGTTGGGGTGCTTTAATAGCTTGAAAAATTTGTGTACTATGTTGAGGGATGCAACCTACGATCCAAACATGCTTTTTATCTAATACTGTAAGGTAATTGTGCCGCGCGGCGCTCTCTTCATCCCAGTCTTTGATGCCTCGGCCAAATCCCATGCTCCTTCCAAAACCCCCTCGAATCCAACTTCCTCCCTAACTTATCCATTTCCCTTGGCAAAGCTCTTACCCCCTCCTCTAGCATCAACTCTCCCACCCACTTCGCAAATTGCTGTCTCGTCTCCTCTTGCTGCACGCTCTCCTCCCCGTCATCAGCCATAGCACTGAAGCTCATGATCAGATCATACCAATCATATACCCTTAGGTCAGCCAGAATCCATCTTTTCCCTGGCGTCGGTTGTCTGTGGCTTGCGACGATGGCTCTCGCGACGTCTTCACCGTGGATGAAGTGCACGGCGCCGCGTTTCTGGACATCGTCTTTGCTCTTGCCAAGGCGGGGAAGCCAGGAGCGTGGAACGCGGGTGCCGCCGTATAGACCGGAGAGGTTGAGGGATGTTCCACCTAGTTCCCTCAACTCGTCTTCAGCGATAGCGCGCTCGTTGCTTTTATCGTAAGGTGAGTCATCATCAGAGTAGGAATCGGGCAGCTGATTGAAGATTCCGGTATGGCCGAGCTGGATCCAGTGATTCTTGGGTCCATGGACAGAGCGGTAGAGACCGGTAATGGATTTTGATGGTCCCTTGCCGGTCAATGGGAAAGTGATCAAAACTGTTTTGGCTTTTGGGAGAGCTTTGTAAGGCTCTGCAGAGCCCGAGTCAGGATTGAATTTGAAAGGGATAGTGTTGTCTCTTCCGGTAGTCGTAGTAGCCGCCCACGAAACATTCTCTTTCTCCAGAAGTGGTATAAGGAAAGTGGATGTCCATCCCGCACCTAAGATCAATAGTTCGACTTCCTTTGGCTGCTCGCGGAGCATGTCGGACTGTTGGACCAGGCGAGACTGTGCGGGAGAGGATTGATCAACGGAAGCAGATAGAGGTTTCGAACACCTGAACGTCTTCATCAAAGCAAATAAGTTGTTGTAACTCGAATTCAATGGTAAACAATCAGGTCGCAATGTAGTCGTGTCGTCACACTAGCAGGTCCCAAATCAAATGAAGTTAGCCCTCCGGCACCATCCCAGCAGCTCTAGCCGAGCGCCAAAACAAGCGCGTCAATGGTCTTCGCATCATGAACATCTCTAATTCCACAAAAAACTTTCCCAACGCGCAACAGCCCCGAACCTACGTCGCATTCCCCTTGATTACGTGCGCATGTCCACATCCACAATGGCGACCCCTAACGCTCCCTCCGACATCCTCACACCTGATCAACGCCTTGCGCTCGAGCAACAAGAAACATACGCTCGCTACAAGCGCAACATCGCCATCGGCGGCGCAGTCGCCTGCCCCGTAATCATGCTTCTTCCCCCGCGAAAACTCGACCTCTACACCCTCTCTCTCGGCATCGGCTTCTACCTCTCCGCAGACCACCTCGCGCAGTCGTACAAAGGGCGTCCGTTGCTGTCCCTCATCACACCCTCTTTCTCATCGCCTGTCAGCAGTCTGCCCACAGAGAAGGCGCGAGAAACATCTCGGATATTCAAGGAGAGGGAAGAAGCTGAGCGGGCAAGGAGAGAGGGTGTGGAGGGATTGGGGAAGGAAAAGAAGAAGGGTATACTAGGGAAACTGTGGATGGGCGACGAGGAGGAGGGGTGGAAGGAGAGGAGATTAGAGGAGGAGAGGAAAGCCTTGGAGGAGGGGAAGACTTATACAGATATGATCTTGGAGCAGATTTGGGATGTGTGGAATTGGGATAAGAAGAAGGGGAATGGTAGCAAGGACGATGGAGAGAAGAAGGAGTGATAGAAAAGGAATTGTGTACGAGGGTGTATGATATGACTGTTGTAGGATTTACAGGATGGGAAAATCGCATCTGCCGGCGTTTTGATTGGCATTGGTTGATGGTGGCGGTGGCTCTTGTTGCAGCAATGTCGGAAGGACATGGTCATGCTAGGATATATACCGATGTAATATGTACATTACTTTAAACGGGGAATATGGTAGTTTGCTTGGTGTGTTGCTAGCTTCTCGGACGACACTCCGGTCGCCTGGGTATCCTTTATTGAACCCCTCACTACGCTGAAACGGCTCAATTGTTCTCATAGGTTCGTAGCAATTATTTCAGGTTGTGCATTGAATACAGTGTCAACTGCAGGTGTTTCTCTCCGACCCAGCCTATGCTCACTGCCTCCGCCTCTTCTTAGCACTTCCTCTTTCCTCTTTGCCCACGTCCTCGAACCCCATGGTAATCCCTTCCTCCTTCCTCTTCATCACGCCTGCAATAGGTTCGAAAGTCCCGCTGGCCCGTATCCTCTTCGTCGGACTCCGTCCCATGTATTCAGCTTCCTGGTCCGTGGCACCTTCGGTCTCGCCCCAATTCTCCATACTGTCATAAGCGTCAAACTTGCGCTTCTGGGATGTACTAGGCGAGTCTACGAGTCTGCGTAGACGAGCCTCGCGTAGACGGCGGTTGACTTCCTCGGTCACATCGATGCGCTGGACTTCGTACTCTTCCTGGGGCGGGCTTGTGGGCTGGTCTTGCGGCTGGCGCTGCGTAGGCCGAGCTGAAGCAGAATTCGGAACTTGCGGAGACGAGGGTAGAGGGGTGGAAGAGGGTGTTGGGCGTTCTGCGCCTTCGAGACTGAGGCGCGCGCGTTTATTCGATGCCTGCCATGGTTACTTAGTATATGCGCTGAGTAATATGCCCTGTGGAGCTGAAGAGGCGCTCTGTATCCTTACCTTTCTCTCCGCAAGGCCTCCCGCCTGTAGCTGATCTGTGAACTTTTGCATACCATCTTGTAATCTGCCCGTCTGGTTGCGTAGAGATATCAGATCCGTCGCAAGCCAATCAGGCGAATTGTGATCCGTTCGTTCGAGTGCCTCACTGAAGAAGCGCAGTGTAGAGCGTAAATTCGCCATATGCTGATCAATCTCGTCCAGATTGAAAGCCATCGTGAAGTCGGAACGCAGTTGGTCTGCAATTTGAGTGCGCGAAGTTGAGGTTACGGTGGGGGAAGCTTCGTCATGTGATAAGCGGGCGGTTTGTATATAATGTGGGAACGTTGACACTCGTAGAAGCTATAGCGCGGGCCGAAAAGGCTTGTGAAATATGAGACACGACATTCACAGTGACATGCTTCGAAAGTTTGGCAGCTTACTAGTGCGGCGCTAGTTATTCCGACGGCTTTTCCGAGCTTCCGATCACGCGCCAGGCGCGCCGGCCTTACACCCCTTCAGGTATACAGACGCAAAGTCATTCTCGATCAACAGGCTCGCCTAGCATGGTACATTATGTGATGAAATGCTTACGCACAGGCCAAATGATGGCAGTAACCCTCAGCTTATGTACTTTTTCCTGAGTGGAGCAATCATTCTTAACGGCCGACACCAGACTGCGGCGGATAGCTGATGTTGCCTTGTGTCTAGCCGTATTCTTGGCTCACCATTATTACGTGGTCTGCTAACGGTGAGGTGCGTCTCCTGATGTGCTATCTTCGTGGGAATTACAGTGTTGCAACCCCAACGGCCCTTCAGCTGTCCGCGGTCCCTGGATGTAGATGTAAGGTTTTGGTCCCAATACTTCCACCAGCTGCAATGGCCGGACGCGCGGCGCATTGTGTAGAGCAACTGAGCCAACCGATAATGTAGTACCGCCATGGGTCGCAGGAGCCGATAGGTGGTCAGGTCCGTTCCGGTTGACATGAACTCGGAATCGACACTAGCTCCCTACACGGGAAGATGTTGATTATAAAGACGCGGAAGTGCAATGCGTCCATGCTTCCTTTCAGCGGCGGCGTAGACCTGTATTGTGAAGCGAAGTAGCCCATACTATGCACGTTTACCCAGCTTCCTCATCTCCAAAGGACAGCTTAACAGGTTTTCCTTTCTTCTTAGCCTTCTTCACAGGCTTCTTCTCGGGTACTTGCGTCTCCTTGCCATCCCCCTCTTCCTCTTCGGCGATGACCTTCGCAACCTTCCGCTTCTTGGTCACCTTGCCAACTTCAGCAATATTGTCTTTAGACTGTGTCGTCGCTTCATCCTGCGTCGCATCGTCATCGGCTTTGGTCGCGTCCTTGCCCGCTACCATCGCCTCATACTCAGCCTTCGTCATCGACTGATTCGTATCCTCCAGGACATAGGTAGGTGCATCGTCTTCATCATCGTCCTTCTTCAATCGCTTGTTCCTCGGAATTGGTTGTTCATGTCGTCCAGAGCCGTCACCAGCTAGTTCGCCTCGCATCCGCCGCAGGAAAGCTGGCTGAGTGTCATCTGAGAACTCATTAGCTCGATCTAGCTATATTGGGTGCGGACATACCGTAGTGAAGGTCTTTGGCCTTGAAACTCATGGTTGTAGCAAAATGTGTGGAGCTACAGCTGCTGGTTGGAGGTCCTCAATTGTCGAAGTGCTGCGCATGGACCTCGATTGCAAGAGCTCAAGATAAAGGAACGTAGCACCAAGGTGTGTCACGTGAATAGTAGATGCGGCGCGTGTCCGTGTTCAACGCTGTTCGGTCAAGGTCCGGTAGTTGGATCGAAATGTCACCGCCGGTGTGGGCCGCTTGTTGATGCAGGCGCGGGAAGCGGGCGTAGATCCCTTGGCGATGTTATCTCCGTCAGTGACGCGATGTTTACTCTTTACCCCTTTCAGCTGATAGTGGCTGCTCCTCACGTTGATCTTTCGACACTTTTCTCAGCGCGGTGTTGCGACAAGCTTATATAATTCATAGGATAACTGCGATCGAAGGCACCAGTGTGCTCATCGGTATAAAACTCGATGCGGACGCTGCCAGGTTGCTCCTTCTGTTTACTTGTCAAAACTTTCCCGACTAGTGAGATTGACACGCAAACAGTCCCGCCGTGCAACTCGTCCCTGCAATCCTCAGACTAAATACATCCGACGTAAATCCCGCGTGCGAGCATCCGAAATCCCTTACTCAAGGCACGCGCGCTTTCACTCTCTTGGCTCCTGCCTGAACGGTCGTTACCGCTGGCGCTCCCTTACACAAACGCGCTCTCCCGCTGAACCGCGCGCCAAATCTGCCACAACGACATTGAAGCAGTGGATAGACTCTTTGTCCTTGACACCGCGGGCGAAGAACACTGGGAGGCGGCGCACTCCAGCGCCAGGTGTTCTAGAGCGATTGGCTGGGCACAATGGGCACGTTACGAGATCGAGATGGCGCACAAAAGTTATCCTCACCAAAACGCGACCGAGTCAAGCCTGAAAGTCGGCCGCGCCATGGGAAAAAGACGTCACCTCAATCGGGCTTCTTCCAGCGGCGTGTACAGCTCAAAGGCGGCTCTTCGGTCTCAGTACCCCTTGGCATTGTCTTACTGTTCCCGTTTCTGGTGGTAATACTGATCCTGCTTCTCTTCGCGAGATCTCCAGGTTCCGACCCAGTGAAGACTATGCCAGGCGCGGGTACTCCTCCATCGATACGGTACGCTTCATTGTGAGCTCGACTGATGACCATGCTAATGTTTCACTAGGAAAATAAGCGACAGGTACGATAAACCCTTCGCAGTGGGCTGCCTCGAACCCCAAGTGAACGCACCGCGTGCGAACGCCGCGTTCGTCGTGCTCGCGAGAAACAAGGACCTGGAGGGTGTTCTACAATCGGTGAGATCAATCGAGCGGCATTTCAATCGATGGTTCCATTACCCTTACGTCTTTTTAAATGATGGTGATTTCAATGAGACGTTTCAAGAGGTCGTGGAGAAACACACGAGCGCAAAAGTAGAGTGGGGCAAGATCAGCCCGGAGATGTGGGGGTTCCCAGACTGGGTCGATCCTGCTGTCGCGAGAGAGGGCATTCAGAAGCAAGGCGACGCTGCCGTCATGTACGGAGGGGAGGAGAGCTATCACAAAATGTGCCGTTTCTATTCAGGGTAAGCCAGTTGTCAGGATTCATAGTGTAAACGCTAATGGCTGGACAGCTTCTTCTACAAGCATGAGCTACTGCAGAAGTACGAATGGTACTGGCGCTTGGAACCGGAAATCAAGTATTTCTGCGACATCACATACGACCCATTCCAACATATGATACGGAACAACAAAACATACGGCTTCACCATTGCTATCAAAGAGCTCAGAGAGACTGTGCCCAACATCTTCCGATACGCTTCCGCGTACAGAAGGAAGCACAACCTGAATTCGCAAGGCTTGTGGGAGATGTTTGTAGAGAAGCCCGAAGAGCGAGAGCAGAGGGAATTAAGAGAGAAGGAGGATGCAAAGAAAGCAAAGAAAGATAAGAACAAGAAACCGCTCCCACAGGAGGTCCTTGACGTAGACCCTGACTACAGTACACTCCCACGTATCGAGCCCGAGGCAATGGAGGGCGAAACGTACAATATGTGTCACTTCTGGAGCAACTTCGAAATTGCTCGACTAGACTTCTTCCGCAGCAAAGAATACAACGATTTCTTCGAGATGATGGATCGCAGTGGTGGCTTCTGGAACGAGCGGTGGGGAGACGCACCTGTCCATTCGCTTGCCGCGGGAGCATTACTGGGCCCGAAAGACTTACATTACTTCCGCGACTTTGGATACAGGCATACGACGATTCAGCATTGCCCAGCGAATGCGCCAGCCCGCCAGTTGCCCAGGACACCGTATCTCGAAGCGACGACCCTGGACGAGAAGGCTCGGCGCGAGGAAGACGATTACTGGGCACACTATGATCCGGTGAGGGAAAACGGTGTCGGTTGCCGGTGTCGATGCGACACCGATATTGTCGACGTAGAGGGCAAGCAAGGCTCGTGCCTTGCAGAGTGGGTCGAGGTCGCTGGTGGGTGGGCAACACCTCCTAGCTGGATCTAAGAAGTTCTTTTACTTGGGCGATGATACCATAGAGGATGCAGCGTTGCTGCTACGAGGCGCAAGGGGATTCTGGATGGTTTGCTTTGGCGGGATTCATGTCTATATGGTGGACGATGAGGCATGAGGGACGAACATACTTCTCTGTATATCTTGGAGCGCGTTGCACTTTATGTACTTCTATGAATGACGACATCAGCATCAGCATCAGCATCGTTAGAGGTAGTAATGGAGAGCCGATTGATCTTCATTTGCTTGACCGCGTTTCGTTATTTGATGTGTGTTTGAGGTTGTTGAATACATCCAAATACCCGCTCTTTGCGACACGCCATATAAGAAGCTCGCAATGACGGACTCGTTGGTGGCTGCGTGACTTCCTTCCACGGTACTATCGCCTTTGCTGATAGGCGTGTGGATCCTAGCGCCCGCTCATAAAGGAAACCCCCGCGCGCCGGTCGCTGCAGCCTACCACACCCCGCCTCAAGCTGTACTACGCCCCGACAGCTTCATTACGTCTCCAGCCGCCACATCACTCACCACTTGACTCCTACTGACGCTCAAATACACAGTTCACAGTCCCGCATGGGCACCTATTACTCTTCCACACAAGAATAGTGGTCGAACTCGCGCAGGTGCCCCACCCTTCCACTCCCCCGCGGTTAGCTTTCCCACTCGTTGTACGTTAGGCAGCGCCCCGGCCTGACCGTCCACGCCCGGTCCTGTTTGTTTCACACTTGACCTCTCTTCGCCTCCCACTCTCGCCGGCCGCTCTTCGCACTCCTCTCATAAATGGTTCAGCGCTGATATGACCTCCGACAGGCCTGACGCTGCTCAGGAACTCGAGTATCCACCGATTCGGGTCAACCGGTCTCTGGCCCAGCTCGATCTCAACACTCTAATCATGCGTTCGAACCCACAACACCCTTCCCAAGAGGCGACTTCCCTCGAGGACAGCGCGTACGAGGTGCTGGACCGCGCCGGCTACCTTTCCGACGACGATGGTCACACTGCCTCGGTCGCCTCTACGTCCCCCGATGACATGTCTGTTACTCTCTCCGAGACAGAGAGTGAGGGCGAGGACGACTTTGCAGACTATCATGCTGGCGAGGCTTCTCGGCTTGCCGAATCCTCCGCAGCTGACCCTCTCGACACCGAGGTGATAGCTGCCGGCGAAGATAGCACCCTCACTGAGCGGCCTGGCCTAGGCGACAGTGATAGCGGGTTCCACTTTACATTGCATGAGCACCCTATTGAAGGCCACGCCGCGACTGAGGGCTACAGCGTGGTGAAAGAGTTCACTCCGGAGCAGAGCACCTCCAAAGTGTTGGAACCATACGGCTGCTCCGAGATCCGTCTGTCTGTGGCGCTCGGTCTTGCAGATCGCTTCTATCCTGAACGAGGATCCTTCAGGGTCTTGTTCGTAGGTCGACTGGACGCTTGGAGCGAAGAGGGGATCAAGACTAGTCTACTCAACGCGCTCCTTGCCTCGCCTGGTTCCTCTAAATCCATCATGGTGCGCGGCCAGGTGGAGCCATATAGCCCAATTCTACACGCAACTCACTGCACAGGTGTTGAGGTACAGCCCAAGATAGGTACTCCGAAGTGTACCATCTTCAAGCTCGACGGCAATGGTGGAGCGGAGCTCGTAATCAACCACGGCCGCAAACAGGACACCTGGCCTGACTTGGCTATCTTTTGCTATCCTCAGTCGAGCTCCGTCCGTCTAGCTGAACCAGATTACCTTGAAGCTCGCCTCGCGTGTAGAACGAGCGGCATTCCAATTCTCGATGTCACTGACCACCGGCGATTCAATGAGGAACAGCCAGGATTCAAGAGTCACCACGACCCCATGAGATTGCGAGTGTGTGTGGAGGGCAAGCATGACTCCGAATTCAGACAGGTCGATTGGCTGCCTGTAGATGTATACACGTTCATGCACCTGGAGCCCTCGGATCTTAACCGTCATCTCGCCGCTATCAGCCCTTGCGCGCGATCTCCGCGACCATCTAGCCATTACTGCAGTTCCGACGCATGGAATCTCACCGGCGTGGTCCCAAGCTTTATTCAACAGGGATTCAAATCTCTATTATCTATTGATGACCCCTTGAAGGTGGCTTTGAAGACGGGCTTGGTCATGTTTGCTTTGATCGGATGGGTCTTTTTTGCTTACCGCGGTGCATCATTCCTGCAGCTCAAATACGGTGGGACAACACCAGCAGTCGTACAACCGCTCACAAATTCCCTGAGCCACACGCCTATTTCCGCCGCCCTCGCCACCACGCCACAAGTAGTCGCATCGACGACTTCGACTCCTTCAGTCAAGGATAAGATCGACGAGTTCTTCGCAAAACAACGCCAAACAGCTCAGCTTGAAACAGTGAAGGCGGTTGAAGACTTGCGGAAGCTAGCGGAACAGGAGCACCTGAAAGCAGCTGCGAAGTTGCGCGAGAAGCTCGAGAAAAAGAAGGCCGAGATGCGCCGACGTGAGGAAACGGCGAAGACTGCGAAGATTGGCGGCTTCCAAATTTATACCAGCGGTGATCAGCGATTTATTCTTCGCCCTTCCAGAGGCTTCACGGGGCGGTCACGGAAACCTCAGCTGCAGATACAGGTCTCAAGGGATTCTAAGAACGTGCCTATCAGGTACGAGCGCACGATAGACGGCGTCTACGTAGTGGATCTAGAACAACGGTATCCGGTCGGTTCCTTCAACGTCAGCATAGTAACTCACTCCAAACCGCTGCTGCAACAGTCCTTCAATATCAAGATGGGCCGCAGCAAGTCTCGCGTGGAACAGTGGTTGAGCGATCTCCAGCGTGAACGTGCCACGGTTCAGCACGTATTTCACGACGTTTCATCGAACATTTTGCAGCAACTCCACACTGTCTCCGCTCGCATAGCGGACGAAACTCAAGCGTGGAAAGACAAGGTGTGGCGCTCAGAGCGCGAACTGGTGGACCGAGTACGAGAGGCCAGTAGAGAAGTCGATCGTCATCTAACTAAGGCTCGCGATGAAGCATGGACAAGCCTCCGCCAGGCTACAGCTCCAGTGCGGACATCTCGTCGTACACTGTGGGCGAGGAACAACGCCTACGTCTGGCGATGTGGATTTGAGCGAGCGGTCGGTCTGTCAAGCAGGGACAAAGACGGGAAGAAGACGCGGTCTTGCCAGTCAGCCAACTGGTGAAGAGCTTACCTTGACTGGCGTTCTTGAATTTCTTTTTACATGGGATGGCGTCTGGTTTATTTTCCATCGGAGTAAGACATCAGAGGCATGATATACCAGAATAACAGGGACCACAAGGCGTGGAATGAATCGTTGGTGTTTCTGGTCGACGATTTGGGTTGGATCTGACTCGGTGCTCATTGGTATGATATCACGGTTCAGAGTTAGTTTGTAGCCATCAGTGGAAATGTTCAGCCACAACTCGAGAATCCACTCAAACATAGTGCGGTTTGACCTGCGCCTTGATATTTAGTCGAGCACACTCGAAACTTGAATTGCAGACATAGACAACACAGACAGGTTGATAGATTCTTTCCAGGCTACATTTTAGGCTGCGAGACCCTTGAGGCGTCGAGGTGCCTGTGCGGCGCCTTGGAGTGGCACGTGCGGGGTCCGTCGCACCTGGGCTGCCCCTCAATCGCGACTTCTGTTTAAATTCTAGTTCACTGCCAACAGCACGCCACCTACACACAGCATCCACCCACCGGTACACGCTGTCACCCATAAACCTTTGATATATCCACTTTACCTCCGTCTTCTCCCACAACATGGCCGACGCCAAACCTGACCCCGCCGCCGAGCAGGCCGTCAACCCCTCCGCCACTTTGGTAAAGGACGAGACCGCAAAGGTGACGACAGACATCACCGAGCCGAAGCCGGCCGAGGACAAGCCTGCCACTTCGACTGTCACCGAGACCGTTGCCAACGCTGCGTCGACCGCCACCACGGCCGTCAAGGACAATGTTTTCTCCATGTTCGGCGGTGGCCCCAAGAAGGAGAAGAAGGAGGAGGTCGATGACGCAGACGAGCCTTCAGGTGCTTCCAAGCCCAAGGGCGAGGTACGTACATATACTGTATTTGGTTCGTACTCGACTGATGTGTTGCAGGACGAGAACCCCGAGAACGAGGAGCCCGAAGTCGACTTCCAGCCCGTTGTCCACCTCACCGAGAAGGTCGACACCAAGACCAACGAGGAGCTCGAGGAGCAGACCTTCAAGATGCGCGCAAAGCTTTTCAAGTTCGACAGGGACTCGCGGGAGTGGAAGGAGCGGGGCACTGGTGATGTTAGGTTACTGAAGCACAAGGAGAACGGCAAGACCCGTCTCGTCATGCGCCGGGACAAGACGCTCAAGGTCTGCGCCAACCACTACGGTACGCTTGCCAGACTACAAATGATTTGGATGCGTGCTAATGGGCGTAGTTGTGCCTGACATGAAGCTCTCTCCCAATGTCGGCTCTGACCGCAGCTGGGTGTGGAACGCCGCGGCAGACGTTAGCGAGGGCGAGCCCGAGGCTCAGACCCTTGCCATCCGTTTCGCCAACAGCGAGAGTAAGCGCTCAATTATTCCAATCTTATATTCTGGACGCTGACAAGCTTTGCGCAGACGCCAACGCCTTCAAGGAGGCTTTCATCAAGGCTCAGCAGGAGAACGAGGCGCTTTTCAAGGCCGAGTAAAGGAGACACGAGTTGGGAGGGAACAAGAGCAGGCATGTCTTGAACGATGGATGACGGATGAAAGCGATGGAATGAAATTTGGTATTGGTACTATACACCCCCGGCGGCAGAGATCCCCACTTGCACATAGATAGTATTCACGCGACCCGGCCATGCGGCTTAGGGACCTTCCCCTGATAATTGAATAAAGAGTTCAGCTCGTCAACTCTAAGCTCAACCAGACTCACCGCAGTAATGATGAGCTGTGTTTGTTTCTATTATGGTCGCCGTCAATATGTCTCTTGCGATTGTATCGGGGGCTGAACTCTATACTTCCGGGCGTACGTTGATGCCAAAGAAGGTATGCGACCTGTGTTTACGGCTCATGCCCTCTCAAACGTTCCAATGTTTGGCTCATGTCACGTTCTTTCACTTACTCCAGGGTTGCACGTCCCGAGCCAGCGTAGAAACTCGAGCATTGCAAAGCTCCTTTACTCGATTATATCACTAAGTACTTTCACTTGTCCTCCTCGAGCATCATTCATCCATACAGTGATACTGCTACCAGCTTCTAAAAAGCGCCAAGTCACGAGCTGCAGCTGCAGCCCTTGTGCTTTTGCTTGCTCTCTGTGGTTGCGCCAGCCCGTCCCCGCTAAAAGCTCCGACCACCAGCCACTGCACCACGAACCGCGCTCTCCACGAACTTGAACGCGACTGCCGCCCCCGCGCGTCTTCCCACTCGACAACGCACACCTATACCGCACCCAACATACTCACCCATCATGCCGGACGTACGTTGCGACCCTCGCGCGGCCGCCGAGAACCCAAACCCCAATCATACGAGACCAGTAACTAACGTTGAGAGCAGATCAAACGGACAGTCAAGCTCGTAACGCGCCAGCGTCCTATCTCGGAGCCTTCACCCATGGAGGGCTTCCCAATGCGATCATGGAGTATTGAGATCTTCCTCGTGGACGACAAGGGCAACGAGGTTCAGGCGAACTGCTTCGAGAAGGCCGTGTACAACCTGCACCCGAGTTTCGAGAAGAACAAGCAGAGTATGTGGAGTGGATAATGGAACGGGGAGGTGCGCTGGACTCGAGCTAACGATGCGACAGCTTTCAAGAAGCCCCCGTTTAGGATTGAAGAGAAGGGATGGGGAGAGTTCGACATGACGATTGTCCTCACAGGCGCGCATAAGGGCGGAGACCACACGCTTGCGCATGACCTCAACTTCCAGTCTGAGAAGTATGAGGCGACGCACCAGGTGGTATGTTTGCGCTGGACCTGCAAGCATTCAATTGGACAGGCGCTGATCATTTGCGCAGGTCTTCAGGAACCCGAAACCCGATCTCGTGGCGTTGCTCGAGCAGTCCGGCAGTGACGCAAACGGTGTCCGCGGTAAGAGCGATGCATCGAAGAAGAAAGCTCGGAGGGACAAGGCGGTAAGAATCGAGACCCGCACTTGATGTTGAGGCACATGGAAGGCTAACGCGGAGTTGCTTCGCCTTGACCAGGTCGACATGGAGAAGCTTGCAGACGGCCTGCAGAAGCTCAACGAGGATGACCTTCTTCATGTGGTCACACTGATCCACGACAACAAGTCCAACGAGACATACACTAAGAACGATGTCGAGAGTAAGTGGCATACTGAGCTCAAGCTGGAAACAGCCAAGCTGACAAAAGGTGGCAGATGGCGAATTCCACGTCGACCTCTATACCCTCCCCGACTCGCTTGTCAAAAATCTGTGGGACTTCACCTCCTCAAAGACCGAACTGTAGTGCAAGTCGGCGGCATTGACTTGGCTTCAACAAGATTGACCGGGTCGTTTTTGAGCATGGTATTCGGCGCGAATAATTATCGCAGCACATCACAATCTGTGTCTCGACATGTTACCGTATGACACACGAAGGCGGTATAGCGGCGGCTCTCGTCGCAGAGCCGGTTGTATAATTTCTGATCCGCGCTTACTTGGTTAGAGGAGAGGGGTTTTTCGTGAGGGGAGTTTTAGTACCAGCCTTTGAGATCTCATATCCCAGGTTTCACTCGAGCTTTGGAGTTCCGGTAAAAGCAGGATAGGCGACCGGCGATCACGGCCGAGTTAAGTTCGAGCTCAGTCGACTGGCTCTTAGGGAACATAATCTGAAGAAACTTCACTATCGGTCTCTACGTCCAAGTCTTGGCTGATGGTGCGCAGTGAGCAGTACTGACATGTTGAGGGCTCTTATTGAGACTTTCGCCCTTGTTGCATCAACTTCGCGATAAGGACGATTTCCATCTTGACTAGACTTACATAAGCTCTGTTTACCCTTGGTCCTGCTTTCCTTCGCAACGGAGCATCCCAGCCAGTCCTTGGAGACATCCACCTGACGCCCACGCTAATGAATCATTAGACCCCACTTCTCCACACTCACATCTTCCCCGCTACAGCCTTATACCATCAGTATGTTCGGAGAAGCTTCTCAGCATTATGAACTATCTTCCATGTATAGTCTTTGCCGGTCGCCCGCCATGCCATCTCTCAAAATTGACGTATCTCTACCACGGCGAACACAATGGCGACGAACAGTATTACAAATGGTACCGCTAAACGCGCAATTCGCATCGGTGGAGGTACGTTGCACAAGGTTTTGTCTTACTAATAAACATCAATTGACCTGTTGAACAGCATCCGGCGGCTTCACCGACCGCGTACGCGCCATATCGCGCCTGGCATCTGATCCATCTGTCGATGCCCTCGTAGGAGACTGGCTTTCCGAAAATGTAATGACTGGCTATGGCGCAGGCAAAGAAGCCCGCCGGAAACTCGAAAAAGAGCGAGGTTCTTCTTTCTCGTTCGAGGAGAAGCGCCAAAATGCACACTTTGCATCTACGTTCCTGCAGTGCTTTGAGCCCGCGATAGGAACGCTCAAGAAAAACGGAGCGAAGTTGGTGGTCAATGCGGGCGCGAACGATACGGAGGTTCTCGCTGAGGTGGTGCGTAGGCTATGTGTGGAGAGGGAAGGGTGGGAGGCGAAGGTTGCGTGGGTAGAGGGCGATGAGGTGACGGATCAATTCAAAGATATGGCGGCACGAGGGCATGTTTTCAAGAACCTTGGTGATGGGCGCACGCTAGAAGAATGGGGTCATAAGCCGTTGTGTGCGCAGGCGTACTTGGGAAGTCTGGGCATTAGCGAGGCGTTGAAGCAGGGCGCGGATATCGTTATCTGCGGGAGAGTCAGTGACGCGGCACCTACGATAGGGTTGAGCGCGTGGTGGCATGGCTGGAAGAATGATGATTGGGATCAGCTGGCGGGTGCGTTGATTGCGGGCCATCTAATCGAATGCAGTGCATTTATTACGGGAGGGTATTACAGCGGCTTTAAGGATCTCATGAAGTCAGGAAAACATCTCAACTTAGGGTTCCCGATCGCGGAAGTCGAAGCATCAGGGAATTGCGTGATAGCGAAAGAATCTGTAAGTAGCTCTCTTCTGCAATGTGTGCGCTGCTCAAGTGCATAGAACACGGGCGGCATGGTGAACACCGAGACCGTAACGTCCCAGCTCGTCTACGAGATCTCCGGTCCTCTCTACCTCAATTCGGACGTTGTCGCCAACCTCGAAAACGTGTCTCTGACACAGCTCAACAGCGACCGCGTGCGCGTCTCGGGCATCACGGGACTGCCTCCTCCAGCTACGACTCGCGTCGGTGTCACTGCGCACGGGGGATATCAAGCTGAGTGGCATTTCTACCTGGTGGGGTTGGACATGCAAGAGAAGGTTCGCTGGATGGAAGAGCAAGCAAGATATGCGATTGGCGAGGAGATCATGAGCAAGTTCACCTGCTTGAGATTCCAGTTGCTAGGTTATACAGGAGAGGGTGTAGGCGTGGGAACACAGGACTGGAATACGGCGGACTTGAGAATTTTTGCTCAAGGGCTGAGGAAGGAGTTGTTTGATGGCAGTGATCCTGACGGATTTGCGAGGAAGCTTTATGAGACGGTGTTGCAGAGCTGCCCGGTGAGTATCTTAATTACGCATGCGATGCGGGACTCTACTAATAGGTGGAAATAGGGCGTGAGCAGACCAAACGACTTGAGACAATCAGCGCCGAAGCCGTACTGGGAGTATTTCCCCACGCTGATCCCGCAGTCTGCTTGTAGGCACCAGGTACATCTCCTATTCGACCCAGCATCGGACGTAAAGACGCCGATACCCATTGCACTCCCACCAAAAACCGCAGAATACGGACCACAACGGTCATACGAAACAGAGAACGCTGCTCCGCTGAATTGTTTCGGGCCTACCACACTCGCTCCGTTAGGCTACGTCGCCCTTTCCCGGAGCGGTGACAAAGCGAGCGATGCTAACATTGGGCTTTTCGTAAGGAGATTTGATGAGTGGGAATGGCTGCGATCATTTCTCACCATCGAAACCTTCAGAGAATTGTTGGGAAAGGACTGGAGGGGTGGGAGAATTGACAGGTGAGTGTCTTGACCAATCCTGCTTAGGAGAGCCGATGCTAATGAGCAATAGATTCGAGATGAAGAACTTGAGAGTCGTACACTTCTTGATTAAGAACCATCTAGATCGCGGATACAATAGTGGGAGTGGGATTGATACGCTGGCGAAGAATCTCGGGGAGTGGACCAGGTGTAGGAAAGTGCAGGTGCCGAGTATATTTCTGGAAAGAGGAAGGATATAGGCGTATCTTTATACTTGGAAACGCACGACTTTGGATGGTCTCTTTCTCAAAAAGTAGACGATTGCGCCGGCGCAAAACCCCTGCACAATGTGTCAGACGGACAAACCCAACACCTCCCATTAGCGTCCCATTACTCCCATACTGCCTACAAACACGCCAATTTTATCCCCAAAACTGCTGCAATACATTTCCAGAACATGCGTCATTAGCGTCTGGAGTAGCCTACAGTACACCCCGCGTATCCTCGGAACCGTATGCGGAGTAAACCCCCGGAACAGCATTTCCGCCGTAGCTACATCCCACTATGCAACTACTCCACCGACCCCGTGACCTTCCCATAGACTACAAGACTAGTCCAAAGGACAACATTCTTAGTTTCTGCTACTCATCACGATAACTTCACAATGACACAACAATTCTCCGGCCGCGTCATACTTCTTACGGGCGCAGCATCCGGCATCGGCCTCGCGACGGCCCATCTACTTGCCTCACGCGGTGCCAATATATCCATTGCAGATGCGAATGTGGAAGGTCTGGACAAGGCTGAGAAAGAGATTAGAGCGAGATGGCCTGGAGCCGGGGTGCTGCCGTACGTGGTGGATGTGAGGGACGAGGAAAGCGTGAAGAGGTGGGTGGAGACGACGAAGGGGTATGGGGAGGGTGGATGGCGCGGCGAATGTGGCGGGTGTTATTGGTAAGTTGAGCTCTGACTACGGTGGAAGCAAGCAAGGTGAACGGGGGAAGGAGCTGGGTCACTTTCTGTTGGATTGGAAGCAGGAAAGTTTGCAAGAAAGCCCTACCATTTTCACTGCGTTCTTACAGGGAGTCTTATAGATGAAGGAATGGTGGATTCCAGGATTGTACCTGCTGATACTCATGCAGGTAAATCAATCGGCGTAAAGACCATCGCAGAGCAGGACATTTCAGAGTGGGACTTCATCATGGATATCAACCTCAAGGGCGTCATGATCTGCATGAAGCACCAACTACAGCACATGTCCGACAACGGATCTATCGTCAATGCGTCCAGTATAGCGGGCCTTCAAGGACGCCCAAGAAACGCGGCGTATGCCGCAAGTAAGCATGGAGTTATCGGGTTGACGAAAAGTGCGGCCAAAGAGTTTGGAGAGAGGGGGATAAGGGTGAATGCTGTCTGTCCCGGCATGATCGACACGCCGATGAGCCAGGCCGCGAGGATTCCGGTCAAGGACACGAAAGATGAGGCGTTGAGCGAGGCAGGGCGTGTGGCGCTTAGGAGGAAGGGAAAGGCGGATGAGGTGGCGGAATTGATTGTTTATCTGTTGAGTGATGGTGCGAGTTACATTACGGGAAACGCGGTTAGTGTGGATGGAGGGTGGCAGTGTTGATATATATGGAGAGTATATCGATAAAAGAAAAGCGCACATTGTGATGATTGTAGACCCAAGAGACAGAACCTGCCAGTGTAAAGGCCGGAGGTTTATGGGTTCATAGAAACGTTCAACACTTGTGAGTCATAATATTCGCAATCCACTCATACTTGTGTCCATGGTGTATGCTCATGCTGGTCATTTCCCAAACACAAATGACAAGTACAATATGCCCGGTGCAACGAGGTATTCATATTCCGTGTCTTCGAAACGTGTCCGGCCATCTTCTGTAGGTGCTAAGCTCACATCGTACCGCGAAACGATAACAGCGACAGTGAGACGAAGCTCCCGAAGAGCAAGGCTTTTGTCTAGGCAAGGAATCTGACCTTGATATAAAAGAAAGCGGGGGGCCGGGGAGACGATGCAGATCCTCGAGCAACTCACCTTTGCCAAATGAATAAGTTCAATCTGTAGGATAGGGGTCCGAGAATGGATAGCCTAATCGGGGGGAGTTTGTATGGAAGTTATAGGCTGGAGAATGCTAAAAGTAGCTCTAATTTGTGGGCAACTGGTGTAGGAGCTTTTGCAAATCATTGATAACCTATAGTAGAACTATGAAAGAGCTCGCCTATCCTACTTAGAAGATTGTTTAGTATAAGAAATGGAACTATGCGGATTGCATGAAGGTGCTCAGTATCAAGGTTTCGCGGTATTAGAATGGCGTTTTAGCAGATCTTCCCATTGGGTCGGCTGCAGCCATGGGATGTCCATGAATATCGACGCCAGGTGTGTTGTGGGTTGGAGTGGGGTACTAAAATGCTTACGGTGCCTCTCGTGCAGCCGCCAGAGGTTGCAGAATGAGATCGCCGGTAGCCCTGCTCTGCTGTGTCGTTCCGGCTAACCGCCCTATCGAATGACACCACGTAGTTGCAACATGCGTTTCAACGTCATACCGGTGAGTGTAAGCTTTCCGATGGCGTTTAAGATGTTTGTTGGGAATTGAATACAGTTTTAGCCAGAGAATCGAGGAACATAGCGATTTGCGAATGTAGCACCGCCAAGCAACACTTCCTGCAGAGCATCGTCATCGCGGAAACATGCTTTTTACAAGAAGAAGTGCTGGCATCACTCTCACATGCACCATCGATCGAACAAAAACATATACTAGTCATCGTTCGTGATACCCGAAGTCATCCATACAATATTTGTTATGTTTGGAAGAAAGATCAATTCTTCAGCCGAAGATATTAAGCAATCCTCAGCCGAAGAAATTCAGAAACCCAAGTTCTCGCTGTTAGTAATCACGGTCTCCGGACCCAGCATAAAGCTAACCTTGTATAGTTTACTAACCTCCCGTATGATTACTGTCACCGTTGGGAAGATGAGCACATTCAACCTCCATTCCGACCTTTTGACGACCGAGTCAGAACGATTCTCGAAGAGCCTAGGGGGCGATTTCAAAGAGGCGAACGAAAGCGCTGTTGGGTTGGAGGACGAAGATCCCAATCTCTTCGGATTCTTTGCCGAATACCTTTACCGTGACTGTTCAATTCTTTCCCACGATGTTGACCATTATTCAAAGTTCGTCACATTAGCGCGCCTCTACGCTATGGGAGAGCGCCTTATGGCGCCGAAGTTCCAGACCTATGCTCTTTGGAGATTTTCTCAGTCTTTAGGGAGCGACACGCATATTTCGGAGGAGAGCATTTGCGAGCTACTTCGGATCGCATTCCTGGAAATCACCGAAAGAGTGAGAGAGGATCCTATGAGATCACAGATCTTCTGGTACGCGGGGTCTAATATCACAAAGCTGCAGAAGTTCGACATGTTTCGACAACTTCTGTGCGATATTCCAGACTCAGGAAGGCAGCTGTGTCTCTGGATGAGCCAAAGTCGACCCGAAAGACCAGCTAAACCAAGTGAGCTTCAATACCAGAGATTTGGACCGGAAAGCGAGTACAATTTGCAGAGCATTCCTGAGGTCGTTCCTGAAGCTAAGCAGTCGCCAATTGAGTTCTAGTCGTGGTTGTCCCACAATGCAAAAGAATCGTCCAGGCTGAGATTGGGACATGGCGGAACTATGATACGGTCAAATGCTGTAGACCAGCTGACTGAACTGGATTAATTGGACTTGCTGGTCCTTAGGGTGATAGGAAGAGGAAGACAGAAAGTGGGGACCAGGTATGGGAACCCGCCAATGCCTTTGAAAAGGCGCGTAAGCCGGCGCCCTTGTGATCTTGAGAGCGTTGTGGTTTGATAGTCCCTATCACTCTTTGCAACCAAACCATCAATACAATTTTCAAAGGATCATAAATCACGACCACTCTTACCAAACACATTAGAAAGTGACACGCATAATACACAGTTTGTGGCCATGCGCATCTATCACGATGCCATATTTTGATGCAAGAAAATCGTCCCATTGTAAGTGAACAGAGTATGTGAACCCCAACGTCCAGTGGTCAATCGACATCGTTCACGCACAATTCACCATAAGCCTTTATAGATCGACTTAATTCTTCCCCAGGTGATTGGAATACCTAAATCATTAACCAAAACATACTATCGCTGAAACTATGTTTCCCTTCAAGTCTCCCTCCAACGTCACAATCGCAACTGATGGGAAGTACATAGGCCTAAGCCACGCAGGAAGTGGAATCACGGCAGACGTTTGTTTTGCCCTTCCCCGCAACAGCCTTGAGGGCCTTAAACATCCCTTGAACGTAACATCTCTGCGTTCCCAAGTCTGCGCCGTAAAGCTCTACAAGCAATTCTCCTCTCGCTTTTACCTCAAGCACGAGCGTCCCGCGATGAAGCGGCTCCAGGATGTTCCTGCCGATCTTCGCTCCCGCTTCACCGAGCCGCTCGAGTTCTCAGAAGAAGACAGAGATAACGGCCTGTATTGGTACTCGATGAAAGCTGTGAACGGATTCACGTTGGCGCAGTTGCGTAACACAGCAATAGCCGGCAACATCATCATCCCACAAGAACTCGTCTTCCACGTGTACCTCCAACTCAACCAAGCGCTCCACTTCCTGCACACGTCTGATCCGCCCATGGCTAAGGGCGATCTGATCGCGGTGAACGTAATGGTGGACCCGACCAACCAGGATACCCCTGGATTTCCGAATGTCAAACTCATAGATTTCGGTGGCGCCACGGTGGGAGGTTCTTACGCGAAGAATGTGATAGAGAGTGAGCGTTATTTGCTGTATAGAATGATGTATGATTTGTGCGATGCTAAATCATCGTTGCAAGTATACTGACGCAGACTTTCCAGACGCAGACTTTCCAGACGCAGACAAGGAAAAGAACAGGTGCGTTCACGAGATTGAATTCACCGACTTTGTAGATGCACTTGGATATCGTCTGGCGGTCCTTGGCTTGGATACGCCGAGAGAGTATCTGGAAATCGACCTGCAAGAGAGGCTTCCCAAAGTTCTGAAAATCAAGCGGGACTATACATCTGCAGAGAATCTGCAGGCGATTGATTGTCTGGTGAAAGAGACTCAAGAAAGTAGCGGTAACAAGTTCCCGACTGACCAGCAAATTCTGGACGCTGTCGGTCAAGAAGACCAGGCATATCATATATTCGGGCGAGGTCGTGCGAACGATACGCCTACATCTCGTCATTGAGTGTGGACTCCCTATTGTCCACGAGTAGCGGTTTGCAATTCCTCTTACATAACTTCATCGGCGTCTATCCCAATACAGTTTTTCCATCGATTCGGGTCTACCATTTTTCTCTATATGATGAATAGTGCTACATCTAGTCCGCTTCCATATATCATTTGCTCCAACGAATCGTTTCTTGATATGTCTTTCTCTGTGTCCTTCGTCTATGCTTAGTGAATCATTTCGTAATTTCCTACACCTGCTTCTTGCTGCCGGTCTTTTCCTCCCAACTAGAGTTCAACTCGTGTTAGTCCTGATCTAAATAATTTCCTGAAGAACAGTCTGAATGGTGCAGGAAGCTGGGGCTGATCGCAAACATACATATCAAGGAAGAGTTTCCACAGGATCGAGAACAGGATTCCTTGTAGTCCGTTCGCCAGAATACGGGTCTTCAAGCCGCGTCCAAAGAGACCCAGCTTTCCGTCTTGACGAATCACTCGTCGGGCTGCCTCCGCTTGAAGTACGTGAGCTAAAGTCGGCAGACATGTGTTTGAGTGGTACACTTACAGTACGAAACTCTGGTGTCGTTGACCTGCCGATAGGTCTTGATCACACGAAGAGAGTTCGAAATAGAATCAGACACAATTGAGGCGCAGAATCCGATGAAAGCTGCGCGCAGAAGCCACAGGACTAGTTGGTGGCTCTTGTCCGGCTCGGTGAGTGCCGCTGAGAGCCATTCGTACTGTTGCAGATATCAGAAAAGTCATCGTCTTTCGAGAAGCAAAATTTACCGTAGCAAACCAAGGGTAATGCCCCGCGAATGTAGCAGCTGCTGTTGCAAACGCTCCCCACCACAGACTTCCAATTCCGTCCGTTTTGACACGCTCTCGAAGTAATGCAGTTCCGCCGGCACCCTGCGCCTGTAAAGTTGTCTTCAGGGTATCAATCGGCGTCAGGATCATCCGAAACGCAGCCGCGCAAGCAGACGCGAAGATCGTCTTGATAGGCGAAGGCAGCCTCGACAGATATCCATTCGAGCCAAACAGCGCCATAATCCCAGCATCAGCAGCGGTGTCTCCAAATCTTGCTATGGGTCCTTGGAAAAGTGCAGCACCAATGCCTTGGTAATACCGGCGCATTCCTCCGTCTTCATACAGCGTGCGTGTTGCCACTCGCAAAGAGGTGCCGTGCCGATATTGGTAGTTCATGATCGTCCTAATTGGCATCAAAAGAAGAACTTGGAGGACCATAGCTGCTGCACCGCTCAAACCGCCACCCAAAGCGCGTTTCAACGCAGCGCCAAGATCAAAGTCGACATCGTCAGCTTCGAGCCAGCCTTTGATGAAAAGCCCAATAATGGCTTCACCAAGCACAATTAACAAAGCCCACGAAAGATACCGGTATCTGCTGGGAGGTTGTTCTGATTGCGACTTCAAGGCTGCCGCGTCCGATGTGTTTTCTGGTAATTCATCCTGCTCGTCGGGGACTGGGTCAACAGAGAGCAGAGGCGATCGCTCATCGGGTTCGCGGCGCCCACGAGAGGAAGCCATCGTTATAGACACAATAGTATATCTAATTAGAGATGATGAAGATGGTTTAAACTCAATGACCGAAGCTCGTTGGGCGGGTCATCGATTGGTAATCCTATTCTTAGCGCATCGAGCGCGCGAATGACGCGATGTCGATTCTATGAGTGGGTCCGGAGATAAACAAGCGCGACACCCATGAACATTGATCACTTACCACATGACACACCTAGGTACAAAGACATTGTTGTTCCTAGAGCTCATTGCCTCACTACTTGACAGTGGCAAGAGTGGTTAATATGCTCCTCTTCACTATGTATGCCAGCTGATAGTCCACACGTCGGTCCGCTGAAGCAACAGCAGGTTCGCGTAGTCAACAAATTGTCGAGAAGGTCAACTTTCACGGTTTGTTCGACCATTGCCGGCTATGAACTGAAACTGATAGGTAATATACAGTCAGTTGAAAGAGGGATAAAAGAATCATGTACACGCCGCCTCATTTGCTAAATTTGAGCGGCGAACTTTCACATCGATCCTTTGATTACCCGTTGTATCCCACACGGATCCTCCTTCTAGAACTTCAGCGCAAACCACCGCCTCAGGATTGCATTGTTTGTCGAGTTCGAATGCTCGGCAGCTCCGTGTAAGCGTTCGTAAAAACCCCTACAGCCCTCATGTATCCGTAGGCCCTGTTCTGTTACCAGCACGACTTCAGCACTTGACCGGCCTTTGTCCACGAACATCAAGCACTTACCACGCCGCTATGCACGCTTTACCCCTTCCTCTATCAGATAAACCTCCCGGGCATCTCCACCATGAACCCCCTCTCACTCTTCTCATACCCCACAAACCTGAAGACCACATGCTTCCCCTTCACCTCGCCCTGCCAAAGCAACAGGCCCATCATGGGCTTCTTGTCCGCTTGCCACCGCTCCGCTGCACTCACTCGGTCGAGAAGCATCGAGCTCCATTGCGTCAACGATTTGGTCTGGTGCATCCAGACATGGAAGACAGAGAGCGGGCCGTCGGTGGTGTCGTTAATGAGTGCGGCTGCGTGGGTGTTAGAGAGGTCGGGAACATGAAGAGAGGGGATGGAGGGGTAGAGCGGCGGGGAGGGGACGTACGGTCGAACTTGAAGATTACCGTGTCGCCGCGCTTGTCGACGTAGCGGTAGACTTCGCGCGCTGTCATCGTGGGCGAAGTTCGTGTGTAGTTTGGGTAGAGTGGTACGCTGTTGAAGCGGGGCTCACGAGAGGCTGAGATAAAGGTCTCAAACGCTGTCAAGAAGTCCAAGGTTGAATGTAAATGCGGAGATTGCCATGAGGCCCTAGTGTTTGAATGAAAGTTGGTGAGTGCGCCTCTACGGTAACCCGCATACGGGATACGGGAAGAGTTCTCACCGCGCACGTCGGAAAGCTGCAAACGGTTGAGAAGAGGTACTTTCTCCGATAGGTAAGAACAATGTCTGTACCCATGTAGTATCGAGGTCTGTCATACGTAATGGTATCGTGCTTCGTTTTACGGTGAATCTAGGAGTCCTCTCCGTCGCCTTTCAGGATCAAACTCACTCAGAACTACATGAGCCATTTCGTTTCCCTCATTGACTTTCACAGCCCGTTATATTTTCATCATCGCTTTGTCACTTTTTAAAAACGCCCCAACCTGCTGCATATACCGCTCCCTCTCCTCAAAATGTCCCATATGACTCGAGTTCTCGAGGTGCAGCCACTTCACCTTGGGAATAGCATGGAACCAGGGTGCTACAGCCAAATCCTGCACCTCATCATACCGTCCATTAATCAACAAAACTTCCGACTTAATCAAATGCGCCGTGGAATAGCCCTCCCAATCCTTCAGCGAGCCTATGCACAAGATCTCCGAGGGGCCCAACCTATTCACAAACACTATAAGATTCTCAATTGAGATACAGTAGTGGGAAGGGAACTTACATCGTCCCATAAACAGTCGGATCATCCTCCAACTGCTCCAAAGCCTTCTCCAACTCCGAAGGAAACGGATGAATTCTACATAGATGCTTTTTGTAAAATACCAAGCAGGCGTCCTTGTACTTGTCGCTTTCGAAATCCTCCTCGCGGGTACACTCCTCAAGATCCCTCTGCACATCATCAGGCAAGTGCTTGACAAGCTGTTGCACGCCCTTCATCATGAGTGGAACGTCTGCCGGTGCATCTGCTAGCACTACTTTGCGCAGGCCAATAGCGTTCCTTGCCGCATATACGCCGCCTAGCATGCCTCCCCAGCTTTGGCCTAGGATGTCGTACCCGCGCTCGCGGATATTGAGGTGGTCAACAAGGTTATCCAGTTCCTTGACGAAGAGGTCGACGGTCCAGAAGGCTTCGTCACCATTCTTTTCGCGAAGGTGGGTAGAGTTTCCACAGCCGACTTGGTCGTAGAAAACCACCGGGATACCGTACTTGGTGTATAGGTCAATGAAGGGAAGTAAGTACACGTGGGTGGCGCCTGGACCGCCATGTAGCGTTACGAGGGGAGTTACGCCGCTTGCGAGGTCGCCGACGATCTTGTACCAGGTCTCGCAGGGTTTGCCGGCGTTGGGGATGTTGAAGGCGACTTTTCCTTCGGTGATCTTTATGGCGGTCATTGTGTGTAATGCTCAGGAAGGTTGTTAGAAACGAAGATTCGATCATGATGAAGCTTGAGCAGGGTTCGGAGGATAAACCAATCGCAGATCGCACATGCAGTGGCACAGCCATTATTGCCGGTAAGCACTCGATTAGAGAACTACAATGGTACCAGCGTGACACTTAATCAATATTATCGAAGACGTCGAGCGTTGAGGGGACATGAGACATGTTCCTACGAGAACGAAGAATTAGTTATGATGCAAAGCATAATTCCCGTTCTATCATAATTTTAAATTCGCCACACATCGCACGGCGCTCTTATCGCTTCCATGTGCATCTCCTTGACGACGAAAAGGGTCAGCGACGGTAGTATCGTCGAATCTAGAAGTACCCGACACTCAAGTCTTCTTCTTCGGCCTTAGCATCACCCTCTCTTTCTCTCTTCGGCCTTCATGTCTGTCCTGATTTGCATTGCCCGGGCTGTTCTTTTACTCCAAAACTCCTTGAAAATGCCGTGCATGAAATTACTGCAGATACCTCATGTCCATACCTTGCGCTCCTTGCCCTTGGAATCGTTCAACTTCGTCACACGCTTTTTGATGTCCGCTGCCGTCTGCTGCATCGGATTGAGCTTCTTATCCCGGCTCATCTTGGCATAATCATCGCCGTGTTTCGCCACTAACCGCTCTAACCACTCTACTTCCCTTTGGCTCTGACTCCTTGGCGCTTTCCGCGCACCGTTGCGGGCGGCATCTTCAAGCTGTCTGATTACAGGGTTGTCGCTCCTCTCTGACGGAACCATCGCAAAGCCGTTCCACTCTTCCATTTCTCCGCCCTCCCCCAGTACTTCATTCAGCGGGTCATTGAGCGGGTTATCGACTTTGTTCTCGCCTTTCACGCGCAGGATGGCGCCCGTTTCGGGGTCGCGTTCTACCTCGAGTTCTTCGATTTCAGTGATTTGGGGCTTTGCGCTCACGATGTTGAGCGTATCTGCGGTACTGCCGGCAGCGGCATCGGCGCGCGAGGACTTGGAGTCGTTGAGGCCGAGGGTGCGGATGGTCTTTTCAGTGCCACCTGTGGCGTGATTGAGGCGCGCGGTGAGACCAAGACGAGCGTAGTTTTGTGAGAGGGTTTCTTTCTGGTTCCTGTGGCATTCATCAGTAGGAAGTATGGAGAAAGTATGCACAAGGGAATGTACCAGTTCTTCGCGATGATGGGGTTCTGCAGAATCTTCTTCTTGGAGGGCTGCTTGTGGCGCAGCTTTGGGATGGAGGACTTGTTCTTCTTCTTTTGGAGTTCGCGACCCATCTTTGCGTGTAGTCAAGAGTGGTGGTCTTATGCTGTGTGAATGTTGTTGTTGCGGAGTGTACGCTCTGCTCCAGTCTCCGCCAAAATTTCCAACGTTTTTCCGACGCCCCACTAGCGTTATCTTATCACCACGACCGGATCTCATCTTATCAGATTCTTTCCATCTTATCAGATCCTCTCCAAACACCTGGCAACATCTCTTCAGCCCTGCAGTAATTCGGCCCTATACGTGGGGACCCCTGAGGCGTCACAGTACGCGTCGAAACACAGCAACCTTCCCCATTACGACCAGAGTACGCGTGTCCATCATGGTGTCGCGTCGCAACAGAACGCTCGCATCCCTGTCACTTTTCCTGGCAGTATGGGTCTGGAATGCATCGGCAGCAGCTGTAAAGGGTGAGACTGCCCGTGTTGATGTGGGTGCGTTGAGTTCCCCGCAGATTGAGGAGCAGTTGCAGGTAATTAACCCAAGTCGCGTGCCCAACACAAACGCAAGCTTGTACTTACGGATACCAGAACTGCTCTGTTGTGCAGGCTCTCAATGCTCACAAGGTAGCTTCGAGTCCGACCGGGTCGAGTCTGACGTCCAAGATCTTCGCCTTCCTGTTCCCTGGCAGCCCCGCCGTCAACGCTCTCCTAGCGACTTTGTACATCTCTGGTCCGCCCAACTTCCTCCTCGCATTATGTCCGCCCAATATCGACCCTTCGTCGCTGTCGGTGATGGTAGCTTTTGCTGTTGGCGGGCTGTTGGGTGATACACTGTTCCATCTGCTGCCTGAGATCTTCCTAGGCGAAGATGAGCACGATAAAGTCAAATTTGTTATGGTAGAGCCCAACAAGAACTTGCTGCTTGGTGTTGCCATTATGGTGGGCTTTGTCACCTTTGTGGCTATGGACAAGGGCTTAAGGATAGCGACGGGCGGTGAGGGTGGTCATGATCATTCTCATGGTCATGCCCACGAGAAGGTCGAGCCGATTGGTACTACAACGGGAACAGAACTGAAAGGTGTGTCATTGCATTCACACGCGAATTCCTCTAACATTTGGTAGGCTCGAAAGATGGTGCCCGAGCCCGCAAACCTGCTGCGAATACCTCTACTACTCCGGACACTCTTCGGGAGCCAGAGAAAGAAATCAATCCGAGTGTTAAGCTTGGTGGCTACCTCAATCTTATCGCGGATTTCACCCACAACATCACCGACGGCTTAGCAATGAGCTCTTCTTTCTACGCTTCCCCCACAATTGGCGCGACCACAACCGTCGCTGTCTTCTTCCACGAGATACCCCACGAGGTCGGCGACTTTGCGCTCCTTATCCAATCCGGCTTCAGCAAGAGAGCTGCCATGGGTGCGCAGTTCATTACAGCTCTTGGCGCGCTGCTTGGAACGTGCATTGGCATTGCTATCCAGGAGCTTGGCGGTAACTCTGCATCTGAAGGTTTGGAAGGCCCGGGACTGTTCGGCACAAGCTTGAGGTGGGGAGACATGCTCCTTCCGTTCACGGCTGGCACTTTCCTTTACGTTGGAACAGTGGCAGTCATTCCAGAGCTCCTTGAGACTGGTCCCGAGAAAGGAAAGGAGTTCAGGAAGACTATCACGCAGTTTGCTGCCATGTTTACAGGGGCTGGCATAATGCTCGCGTAAGTGTTCTCAAGGGCTGCGTCGTGTGGAACTACAGCGCTAACAATCACAGGATATCCTGGTCTTGAGCCGTTGCTCTGCACCTTCGACTTGGACTTTACGCAACCTATACTTTCGAATGGGATGTTGTATACATCGTCACCAGCCGTTGATCCACCAAGCGCGCTCGCTGTCTGAAAGCTCATTGCAGGCGTAACATTAGCATTGGGCAATTTTCATAGAAGATAGACTGGATCATTGTATCCGAAACATTACACGGGCATTTCCCTTATTGGAATCATTGCCTCGAAGTGGCTAGCAGAACGCTAACTCGTTCCTTCGTGTTCCCAAGTGTGGAGGAATCTGGCAAGGAAGATCCTGCGACATCTCCATCGTCATTCGCAAATTATTGCCTGTCGTCGATCAACCTTCTTTCGGTGGCGTTCGTCAGGAGGATTTCTAGATTTGACCGAGTCTACGCAGTCTCGAATTGGCGCGATGGATGCGGACATCTGAGCCCTACAGAAGAAAGGGAATGGTGCGAGTAATCCGCGGCCCCGGGGGCTTGGTGTGGCAGTAACGCTGACCTTACCTATTCGGGTGCAATTTGGCGACGACGAGCTCACCAACTTGTTGGTGTCCAAGCAGGCTCACGATTGCGACGCATGCTCTTTACTGTCCAGATCGGTCGTCGTGAATAAGCAGTTGCAATGCCACGCGGAGTCCTCTTGTTTCAATCGCCAAGTCAGTCGCAAACTTTAAGTCTTCACGATGCAGGTGCACAAGCCGGGTGCATCGGCTTTCGAGGTATCGGAGTCATGGTGGATCGACGACTGTAATGATGCACGGGGCAGTAGCTGTCGCGAGACACGCTTGAAACGTGCAAAAAATAGGTCGCATCAGCAATGCTGGCCCCCATTCCTCACGACGCGACCAATCAAAAATTGCACCGAATGCTTGGCCTACCTCCAGACCAACCAAAATTTGTTAGGATGCGTGTCACGGGGCGCTTCCCGCTGACAGATGATCGCTCGCAGCGGTGCCCTGTCTGTATGAAGGCTGGAGGTTGGTTGCCCTGGGGCGGAGTATGGCGCAGGATGTGTATACGATGAAATGAGGAAAGTTGCGGGATGCGTATAAGCTGACGGTTGGGACGTTGCTTGCCTCAGCCCTCTCACAGTTCCCGCGACAATTCGTGAATACACTGAAAACATTCGGAGAGCAGCAGGCATCAGGATTTGATAATTTAGGTGGATCTGATCGAAGTCCTGCATTGCATCCCCGCAATACGCACGTACGAATCCGACACGAGTTGTCAGCCCACCAGCCGAACTACCGCGCTGAACGTCGTTTACACTGACACCATCTCCTCACTTCGCTCATTGGGCTGTGCACACATCATCACCACCATCTCATCCATCAACTTCACATCCCCGACAATTCGAAGAGTTAGCATTGGTTCGCATCGCACCCGTAACGAAGACCTCTACTTCGTCGACTTTCATCTCGAACATGCTCCGCTCCCCGCCTACACACATCACTGCCTTCGTCGTTGCTCTTGGCCTCCTCGCCCTATGTTACAACCTCCTCGCAACCTTTCCATCACTCACTTCAAACCTTCGATCTACGCTCCAACAAGCCTTACCCAAGGACAACTACTGCACCAAAGACATCGGCCAGGGTGTATGCTGCGATCTATTCATGGCCGCAGAGCCTTGCGTAGAAGCTTGCCGAGAAGAGCATGTGGACAGGGAGACTTTCGCGCTGACACAGGAGTTCGAGATGTGCGAGGAGCAGTGTCTGGCAGCATACACGATGCAATGCGCTGACGATGGAGCACGGGAGGGTGCCGCAGGTGAAGACACAAAACCTTGAATGGCCACCGTCTAAACAAACATCTACCAGTACCATTGCTACATGCACTACCACGACCATGGACACCGTCGCCATACACCTCGACTTCGCCAACGATGGGCATGCTATCTTGAGGTGAGACGTGTGGCGGTGCCGATATCCGGGGACGGAGGGCTTGGCTCGGGAGACGCGGGCGGGTATCGGCATAAAGGGGTTGGCGTACTTCGATACCGAGATTTGAACATCAAGATCGCCTTGTTAACCCGGAGACGGACCAAAAGAACCGCTGCTGTTCTGAACAGTGCTCGCACGAAGGACGACCTTTGCCTCACTGCCGTACGGTCGGAGCAGCATACGGTCGGATTACCGCCTCTCGAAGACTACTAGGACTTTTGTTCTTCGGCACCTGGAATATGTGGGAACGAGGATCAAATTTCTCTCAACTGTTTTCTTCGGCGTCCGGGCCTTAACTTGCATCGAAAGACCCCTTGACAAGGTGGAGAGCAAGATGCTCCAAGACATGGCATACGCATATGAGCGCAACTGTACACTATCATTGATACCCATCCCTTTCCATACAATGTACAATACCAAATATGAACACTCCTAAATCAAGCGCCATCAAGCCCACTGCATCACACATCTAAGTCCGGAACTAGAACACCCAACAGCGCACATGCTGCACCGTCCCCAAAGTGTCCTTCTCTTCCACTCTGCCTGGTTCCGATAGCCTCTTGCTCGTACATTTCCATGCAAGTGCAGGATCAGGAAATATATGGCAAGGATGTCCTCGTCCTTCAGACTGTACAGCTTCTTGATAACCTCTACAATGCGCAGTCCAGCTTACTTGACGCATTTCATAGACCGGCATCACTTCATTCTATCTTTGGTCTCTATGCCGATGGCGTCATCGATGTTGTCGGATTGCTTCGCGTACTGCTTATCTGGTGTGGGTGTATATGGTTGGTGTGGGTGTATATGGTTGGTGTGGGTGTATATGGTTGGTGTGGGTGTATATGGTTGGTGTGGGTGTATATGGTTGGTGTGGGTGTATATGGTTGGTGTGGGTGTATATGGTTGGTGTGGGTGTATATGGTTGGTGTGGGTGTATATGGTTGGTGTGGGTGTATATGGTTGGTGTGGGTGTATATGGTTGGTGTGGGTGTATGTGGCTGGTGTGAGTGTATGTGAACTCACGGTCGAGTATGGGACGAGGAAGAGTGCGAAGTCTGCCTGGTCATACGATGTCATCAGAAGGTAGATGTCAAACCTAGACAACAAACCGGCGCCCTGGTTATGGGGACTCAAACTACGGGCGAAGTTCCCTGCAGTGGCGAGTATGCTGGGGTAGACGAGATGGAGGCTCGGCAAACAGGCGTTCTTCGCAATCAACACTGCTTTTGCTTCTACGGGAGCGACGACTTTTGGCTCCGCCTATACGCCACCGGTACACTTTACAGCCCACCCAGCAACAATTACGCGACGAAAGTATAGATTCCGCCTTGGTCGTCGCGAAACAGCCATGCCGCAATCCGCTCTGTGAGTTCGTTCACCATACGGAACCTGGTTGTCGATCTGAACTTTGTCTAGATGCTCTCGCCCTAGCTCCCGGCGCATGTAACTAGATCTGTCGCTGTTGTGGTCAACCTTATTCACAGGCGAGGCTTGTACGTTCGACTGCACCGTTCTCTTTCGGCACTTTATCACGCGCTATTAGGCAACATTCGTGAGAAGAGCTTTGATGTGACTTGTTAGTGTTTTGTTAAGTGGTGATGCGGAACCAGAATACGCGATCTAGCTGCTTAATGCGGTAGTACTTACTAAGAGCGAAGTCAACCTCTGCATCGCCCACCTCACTTCTATCTTCCTCTACATCTTCCATACCCGTGTCCACATACGCCGCCGTCCTCGCTAATCATGGCTATGCAGAAGCTTGCGCCGCTAAACAGTAACGCTAGGGAGAGCTTCCGCCTCCACGACGCTTATCCTCCCGCAGAGTACCCTTCGCGTAAGGATACCCTAAAACAACGCCTCAAAGGGCAACGCCTTCAAATCAAAGCCACCAGGATCCCTTTGATAAGGAACACTAGAAAACCTGTTTTTACTGCTGTGCGAGCTGCATTGCCACACATAAGTCTTGGGCACGAGTAAGTACTCAGCCCAAAGTCATGCATGAAAGCGAATCGACTGCACCATGCCGCGGCCGTGATGTTGAAAGATTGGCTTGCGTCCAGCCGTTTTTTTTTTGGCCAAGTAATCGGCGGTAATCTGCTCCACCCACAGTATGAATGCGTCTGCTATGCAGCGGCGGCGTCGTCGCCCCTCATGTGGTGCAATTGAGTGTACACGACGTGTAGACCGGTGTGCAATTTGACCTCGACGGGACCCTACAGCAGGGATGGACTCTCCGAAACAATGATAACAGCGGCCCGAGAGTTTTGCATACCGGTTTCTCGTACATTCGCTGACCCCAATTCATGGTACACCCGCTGACCCCTGTTTCTCGGCCGGTCAGCCTCGTATTGCTTTGTTCTCGGGACGAGCCTTGCGTGGGGGTTTCCAGCGGGGTGTTCAGTACTTAGCGTGTGGGTGATTAGATTCTTGAGTGGCCATGCGCATTGCTTTCCACGCAAGGCTGCCCACCGGTCTGATTGACAATGGTATGTTAGCTTAGACTCAGGCTCTCTCAAGAAGAAGTATAAAAAGGCTCGCTTCCGTGGCCAGGGAGGTCAAGAACGAACATCAGCCTCTTCTGAAGAAACTACGCCGATAGTCGCCATGTCACAACTCAACGCTGAATTTGTCAAACGAGGATTTTGGGTCAGCTTTTACAGTTCTACAAAGATGAGCACCAGGATATATGCTGACATACACATGTGTAGGTCAACAACCCGGAGGGTCCTATCATGGGCCAAACAATCACCACGGACACCAGAACGGGAACCGTGATCGTCGCCTTGATAGCCATTTTGACGACTTTTGGTATCGGTCATCTCTGGAACCTCTTTTTATTCGCATACCACCAAATGCGTGTACGCAATAAACCCACCGACGGCTTATACAGACAGCAGCAAGCTTTAATACGCACTCTATCCCCACCAAATGCGATGCTTTCTGATTGGCTGAAGCTCTGGTGGAACTGGAGAGACAGGGTTGACCGCACATTGATGCGCTCTTTGCCCTTTTTAGTCCTTGCGTTTGTCTTCTTCGGTGCGACGGTAGTGGTGGGCGTGTTCTCATCTTACTTCATGGACAGTGACGACATCACCGTTCTTGTATCGAGCCCTTATTGCGGTCCGATTGACTACGAGGGAATTGATATCACCGAAGATTCCGTAGAGTCATGGCAGGCGTGGTATGTGGCTTATGCCGGTAGAGTTGCTGAACTAGGGGATCGATATGCGAGAGACTGCTACGGAAATCGAACCGTAACAACGGAACGCTGCAGGAATTTCGTTCGTCCTACAATACCTTCGGGCCGGGAAAGGACGTCATGTCCTTTCGAAAAATCTATTTGCAAGAATATCTCTCAGCCAGGTCTTGCCATGGACACGGGCCTACTCGATCTTAATGACTATTTCGGTCTCAACCTGGGTGCTAACCAAAAGATGAAATTTCGCCGAGAAGCTACATGTGGGATTTTAGAACTCGAAGGCCATTATGACGTGATTGTCAGCTCAAATGCAACCGGAACAGGATTAGACGGGAGCAATGGCCGACATCTGTACGCTGAAGAACAAGTGAGGCGTTTCTATCTAGGCGAAACTGTCGCTGGGAACTATACAATGAGCATCTCCTATATGCCGATAGATCTATCGAGACGTATGGAAGCTGCGTAAGTGGCAATGAGCTTGAGAAAATCTGTATAGAATTGTTAACCACGTAACAGTCCTCAAAAATACTACTCTTCACCCATTTTGAAGAACACTAGCAGTTTTCTTCCGATTCCACAACTGAGGAGGAATGAAAGTGATCTATTCCTTACCTTTGTGATGATGCACAGTGTGAGTTATCTGGAGCCCGTAGAAGATCCGTTATTCTCGGCACATAGGATGGTCCAGGTAAAACTCACGGACAATTCCACCCAGATACTTTATTTGGCAGACGAACCAGTCTCCGTATATGGCTGCCAGTATCAAGTAAGTATATGTGCTCACGGCTACTGAACAGACGACTGACTCGATATAAGTATCAATTTTGCTTTGCTCAGGATGACCAGAAGGATGAATGCACGGGACTACAGGGTTTGCCTTCGACACAACCCTCGTCCGGTTTTCCTTCCGCTAGCAAAATCCAAATAGCGCTATTCAGGCTACTCGTGCTTTTGCTGTACTATCACGATGCTGGAACAGCCCTTTCTTTCTTTCAACCCGTCGGCCTCAATCCTCAATGGAACGCACCCTTGCCGAGCGATCAATGGGTTCAACAATTTGTGCTGCTAGATAATATCGGTATTACTCAGATTCAAATCGCACTATCAACATACGCGATTGGGCTCTCAACCCTAGATCTAGGTGTGCCCACGCCTATGCGGAACAGTCAAACAGAGGCCGAGAAGGGACTATGCGGTTTACAGCGGATGCGAAGCCCTGGAGGATTCGTGTAAGTCTACTCTAGTCATACAAACATCAAATTAACACTGCCACATACATATTCCGCGAAGCTGACTTGATATCTAGCAACATCCACGTATTTACATTAGCCTTTATAGTTACACTATGTGTAGTGGTTATGGTGCTCGACACAATCCTGCTCAAGTTTCTTATCTTCTGGGACAGGCTTAAAAAGTTGTTTGCTCAGCGTATAGATTCTTGGATCCAAGACGGCGTTCTCCAACTCCAGCGTCGCGCGTATGAAGCGCACGGCCAAGGCACGTGGGAACGTCTTGGGGAAGAGATACCCATCACCACAAGAGGTATTGAGCTTGCTACCTTGCCACGCAGCACCATGTCTTCAACGGGAGGGAATTTGCTCCCTTCAAATACAGTAGCAGGCCCGCGAAATCAGTCTCAAGCCAACGGTTCACAAACTCAGCCAGCGTCGGCGCAAGCGCAGCCAGCAACAAGCCAAGCACCGCCAGTTACGACTCAAGCACCGCCAATTACGAGGACCACACAAACGGGACTTGGTCGGACAACCTCGCGGACCGCATCAGCTACTACAAACCTGCAAAGTAGCTCGAACTCGACAACTATAGAACCTGTATCTCGAGCGTCGACTTTTACATCTCCAGCTACTGCAACAACTTCCCAAGTTGTGTCTCGTGCGCCAGCTACGCGGCCCGCGCCCGCGACTACGAATTCGCAGGTTGTGTCAAATTCGACGGTTATGAGATCGATGCCTCCAACGACGACCTTTCCGTCTACACCTCCAGGGACGACTTCTACATGTGTACCTGCTACAACGACTCCATTGTCTAGACATACTGCATCAAACTCGCCATCTGCGCCTGCTGTTACGGCACCACAAGTCGGGACTGATTTAACACTTTCAGCTGGGCCTCGTTTATCCAACTCACCGTGATCAACTAGAACGCCATTATGCAGGACTTTAGCTAGAACGTGGAATTCTGGTACGGGTAATGGCTGGTGTAAATTTTACGGTTGTGGTCTATACAGATGTGGAGTACATAGAATTCCTATAAAAGCAATGGAAAATCCTGGAAAAAGTGACCACACAGATGCCTGGTATCAGAGAAAGTTGCGACTCTGCCGCTCCATTAGCGCTTTCTACCACGCCAAAATATGCAGTGCTCTTACGATAAGTATAGCCACTCAGAAGGTGACAAAGAACTGCAAGTACCACCTTCCACACCGAAGCAACCCGTGACTCCCTGGGTGCCCGTGGGAATTAGACCTGCCCAAGACCAAGTCGCGTAGAGGCATCGAGACGAAGGCATGGAACGGAGCTAGAAGGAAGAGGAAAGCCTGCCTGAAGAGTTGGTCTGGTTCCGCGGCTACTGTGAGAAAGCACAAGGGGGGTGTGATATAGAGCATCTCGGTTTCGAAGTGTGACACTTTGACGGCCATGTACAGCATTGCTGCTTCAACTCGTGACAGGAGCGGTTGGACGAGAGACATTTCAGGTGGTGAATGAGGTGATTTGACGAGGTCTGGAGGTTAGAAGAGGTGAACTGGTGGTGGGTGCGTAGATCACTTTGGACTGCGTAAGTAGATAAAAAGTACCATAGGTATTCATGGTGGTTGAGGAACCATGTTCCTAATAGTGGCGCCTGTTGAAGCTTGTCTCAACCATTTATGAATCCTCGAAGCGTGCTAATTTATATGAGCGGTATAGTTATCCAGTGTCACGCCGCAACTCTGAGAACTGTCTGCGGGCTGGGCCGTTCAGGATATATCGTACGTCGTCCGAATAGAGCTAGGATAGAGTTGCACTGAGTGTGATTGTAGGCAGTTGATGCGCATACTCAAGCAATCTATGACTGCTGGCTGTGCTGTACGACGCCTTTGCCTTGCGGATATATATATGTGCCCCAACGGTGTTGCATGAAAGGAGCGTGCACGGAGATTTGGGTGGTGCCAGCCATTGGTGGTGTAGGAAGCAATTTACCGGTGCCAAGACCCGGTCATCTCGCTACAGCGCCTCCTGCGCCGCTGCCTAAAGGGCTCGCGCCTTCCCACATCGCCAATCCCTTCCTCTTGTTTTGCTGTCCATTACTTCACTTTCGCTCTTTTCTTACTTTTCAGCGCATATTTGCGCGTCCACTCGCTCTGTACATACTTAATAATGTCTTCGCACGAAGCTTCGGACGATACACCCCCTGCGGTGCCTCCGCGGAGTTCGCAGCGTGACTCGATCTCAAATTCGACCTCAAACCGCGATTCTCTCTATCGCGCGTCACCGCAAATCTCGCCCGTCCAGCCATTGCATCCTGCCATCGCCGAAAGCTCCTCAAAGGCTCCAGTGCCGCCCCAGGTACCCGACAAGACGGCGCAACCGCAACCGGCCCCCACGACCCAGCCAACGCAGGCGCAACAAGTGCAAAATCTCTTCCCCACGGCGGCGCAAACCGAGACAATCAAGACAAAACGCGAGGAACTGGAAGAGGGCGACGCGCATTGGAAATGGAAGATCGGCTTCCGCACAATAAGCATCATTGTGGGGCTTATCGGCATCGGATGCGCGGCATGGTTCACGGCCCACTTTGTCACTGGCTACTCGAACGCCTACTCATATTCGTACTACTACTTCGATGATATAGACCTTCTTCCCTGGACCCTCATTACGTTCGCTCTTTCTGTCGTCTGGAGCGTAGCCTGCGTTATCGTCTTCTTCGCGCGTCATCTGAATGCTCCGATGCACCCCGGAGCCCAAGTCGGCTGCGATCTCATTCTCTGGATAGGCCTCGCTGTCACGGGCACGTTCGCCGTCTTCGGCACCATGGATGTCGGCAGCTTCGGCACCTCTGGCACACTCGACTATTATTCTTCGTCCTCGGGCGATTACACACAGGCTAGCAATGGCACATGGGTCTGGACCACCTCTCCGTCCTCTTCGTCATACTACAGCAGCTCAACTCGAAGCTGCGAAAGCGGAAGCGGAACGTTTTCGACTTGCGCGCAGCAAGATGCCTATGTCAATGCGCTTTGGCACGCCAAGACCCAGCGGTACAATATCGATCTGACGGTGACTGTCTGCCAGTTCATCGCGCTCGTAATGCACTTCATCCTCTTCGTCTGGGCTTGTATCGACACGCACCGCAGAAACAGCCGTAGCGTGTCCAAGGATGCCGAGAAGTTGGCCGCCGAGATCGTCATGAACATGGTGAAGAGTGGTGCGGTTATCCCTGCCCCGGGCCAGGCACATTTCCCACCCATGGCACAGCAGGGCGCTCCGATGGGGCTCCAATACCCGCAGCAACAGTACCAACCATACCCACAGCAATATCCGGGACAATACACCACGCCCGTATCGCAAGGAAACGCTCCCATACCGCAACCCGCAGTGGCTTCAAGTAGTAATGAGAAAGGTGCGGGCCCACGGTATGCATAAGATCTGGAGCAACATAATCTGGCAGCAGTTTGGATTGTACACCTTGTTTGGCGATGATACCCCTCGCATACATAATCTTAATGTCCATAAATAGTTTACGTAAAAATATACCCGTCTTGTTGTTCACTCGAGACTTTCGCTTAATGCTTCAGATTGTTTCATGGCCGGATGCCAGCCCACGGCTAAGGGCTTGATTAGTGTCAATGATATACTCGATCTAGTATGGCGGCGGCCATCCACAACAGATGAGTGCCTATCAATAGATGTACACTCACACGAACATGTCTATATCACAGTACAGAATATTTCGAGCCTCTCTCACCCTTCCATCCAACTCCTATACCACCCCACCACGCTAAAAGGCAGTATACTCGCACGCCCCTGCGCCGACTGCCTATACGCCTGAGGATACAACCACGCAGGACCAGACCACGCCATGAACGCCGCAACCCATACATATCCCGCGACTCTCCACCCTATACTCGGCCTATCACGTCCTTCCCTCTTTTCAATCCCCCGCCACTTTCGATACAGCGAGATCACAGACTGCTCCGCCAGCAGCCCGGAAGCCTGCGTCATGAAGAACCGGAGGACGCCGAGGACAGTGAGAGGCATTCCGGAGGAGAGGCCCGCGATGGTGTGCAGCGCGCCGGAGAGGGCAAAGCTGCCGAGGACAGTGAGAACTCCTGCGAGGGCGGTGTCTCGAGGGAGATGCATTACATCGTGGACCACAGCAGAGGAGATGTTGGAGAGAGGTTTGCGGAGGAGCTGGTGCCAGAATTTGCTACACGGGAACGTTAGAACGAAGGAATCACGAGATGGGGGAGGTGACTTACCCCCACACGTTCTTCAATGAATAAGCGGAGGATACAGACCCGAAGGCAGGTCGCCAATCCTTGACGTCCGACAGTCCGCAACCGAGTGCGAGAGCAGCTGCGAAGGATGTGAAGCCTTGGATGATGCAATAAAACGTTACAGCGAAGCCTGCGATGGAGAGCACTCTGAGCTTGATCTGTGGCAGCGTGACACTGCCTAATCTCGTGAAGAACGGGATCAGGGACGGATGAAAGAGGGACTGGGGATCACTCGGTGGTTTTCGCTGCGCGAGGAGATCGAGGACGAGATAGCGTACTGCAGCATTGAGCGCTTGCCGAAGGATAAACGTTGAGCGCGGAGGAGTATAAATCGGATCGGTCGATGAGAAGTGCGGGACGTTCTTCGCTTCTGAGGGGGTGTTGATGCGGCGGAATGACCACATGGCGTTCCAACCGGTTTTGAACCTTTGCCATAGTGTTGATGGGGTGTCGACGTCCTTGTCGGAACTGTGGTTGGCATGGCTGCGTTTGGATATCAACGCAAGGTCGATGTATTGCAAAAGCATAGTGAAGCTGAAGCCACCCTGGAGAGAGGCCCAGCGTGCGCGCATGTATTGCGGCGATGTGCGGACTATCGTGTATACACATACGCCTAAAAGTGGGATGGTTGCTGGGCGAGCGATGGAGGTTGGGGATGTGAGGCTAATGATGGCTGAGCTCGCAATTAGCTCAAAGAGCAAGAGATGTGGGGGCGGCAACGCAGCCTTGTTGAGTAGTTGAGATGTATTCATTGCATGGTATGTCTTGGATAACAATGGTGTTGGCATTGCATTTTCGGAAAGGATATAAGGTGCGACGTTGTGGATGCACGTGATCAGTGACATCTCCAGGTTGTTGGCCTATAGTAGCGCGACTAGTAGATGTAGATCTAGACTAGTGTACGAAGGGCGCTATTCCGATGATCCTGCTTGTGTTGACGAACAGTTGTTTTCGCGTATATTAGGCGGACCGCACGTAGGACTCTTTCAGTAGCAACGGATCGATCTGGGAGAGCAGAGCTGCACGCTTCGAGTGCGATCGATTGTGCCATGAGCGAAGTATTATGTCCATATTTTCAGTGGAGCGTAGTATCTCCCTGTACCTCCGTTTCTCCTCCGAGGATCTCTCATCTCGAAGACGAAGCAGACCGTCTTTCAGGCAGATGTTGCTGTTCAGGCACCCTCACCTCGCACCTCGACTCGCCAACATCCAGTTCAAGATTTCCTATAGAACTCTCGGGGAACGGCAGTACAACTACAAACCTTTTCCTTACCTTGACCCTACTTATGCACTCTACCAGCTGCGCCTCCAGAGGCACCCAATCCCAGCGACTGTGCTGCTCATCTCTGCACTGAAACTTGATCAGCAGTTCGGTAAGCCCCTGCAGGGTGGATAGAAAGTGCCAGCACTCTTTCCACCAGAACGTCGTTTCGTGCGCAATGCCTATGTGTAGTTGCTGGGCTGGGGAGAGGTTCCAGTGGATGTAGAGATAACGCAGTTGGTTGAGCCGCTGAGGGAGGATGAAGTATGGAAGGTAAAGAAGGGTCGGCTTGGACATGTGATGGACTCTTTCCTCGTGCGGGCCGATAGCTAGCACGAAAGTCTGGGATTCGTAAATCGATCCTATGGCTTCCAGGTACCTTTTCCAAGGCGCAATCAGTCACAGGTGAATCTCATTTGCAACGATTAGAAAACTTACATCTGGCGGCATGTGCAAAGTAGGTTGATCGCAGCTTTTCGTTGCCTTCTCTTCCTCCCCTTCTTATGCTCCTCAGGCGGATAGTTCAAAAACTTCCAGCCGCGGTCTTGCTGCCTTTTCCAGGGTCCATCCTCGGCCCAGAAATTCCTCGTCCAGCCGTTGCAGCGCCATATGTCTAGTTCTGCGCCATCAACCTCGAGCCTGAGCATCTCTTCGCCGAGCGCAAAATCGTAGATCCTTCTACGTATTTCAAGAGGAAACTTCGTAAAGAAACGACATGTCTGCGGTATCGTTTCCCATCCTGCCTGATCCGAGTTCGAGGATGTAGATGCATTCGGGGGTGGTGTGATTGGTCTTTCTCTTTTCGTAAGCCAGTCTGGGCCGCCGTCTTGCGGCCGTGTCCCTAAGACGACGATGTCACTCGGTGTATAACTAGCTTCCTCCTCTGCCCTCCGTTCCGCTTCTGCCTTCCTCTGCTTTCGAGCTTCAGGATCGAAACGCCACATATGATCTCTGCAGAACTGCGGGGCGTGGTACAAACACAAGGGAATGGCGCAGGGGTATAAGGGGATGCAAATGCAACAGCAGAGGGCTAGATACCAGCCTGGGAGCGTGGGACCTTTCTTCATGGTGGAAGAGTAAGGTGTAGTACTTATATTTGTAGATCACACTAGATGGTTGTTGAGAAACAGTGGCTGATGAAGAATTGTTCGGAAATTGTGGCGCAGGACTGTTGCCTGTTCTCGTACGCCCGGCTGCGGCTGGGTAAAATGAGCGGCCTTGGCCTGCTTGAGCTCACCATAACACTACCAGCATAGGCAGACGGTGGATGATACGTGAATGCATACTACCAGTAAGTCGAGTGGTGGGCATCAAGAAGGGTCCCAAGCAGTGCGGTGTATCTGAGAGCTGGCGAGGCGATGCGCGCTATTGTGCCGGTCTTCAACGCTGCAGATATGATGAATTGGTCGCTGTTATGATAGCTGTTTATTCGCCCCCCTGTATCGACTTTCGCTGTCGTCGAGGATGCACGTCTACGATATGTTGGCGTGGATCCAATGGCGATATGGACACTGGTGTTGACTGCCCACACGAGCTAACCACGAACGAGTAAGCGCGATCCCTCCCTCGGCGGCCAAACAACGCGCATCGTCATGGCATCGTCAAACCACCGTCAACATTCACCCACGCGACCAGCAAACGGCTGTTCCGACGAATCAGACAGCGAGTAAATAGACATGTCAGCCAAGAGCGCCTGCCCGCATGTAGTACGCGAGACACATCTGTGTGTCATTGCGACGCATAGATGGAATAGCACACATAAGTGGCTTGTCTCGCCATGAACCTTCACGTACACCTCATTCAGCGTGCAGGAATTCATCAAAAACATCTCGTCTAGCCTAATCTCTTAATTCATACGCGCAATGGGTACCATGGCCGAACCGGAGCACTTCATGCGGACATCTGGCGAGACAGACGCAGTATGGATACACACTGACCCCTACTCAAACCGCCCCAAGTTCTCGAAGCTCGATCGTGATCTAGAAACCGATGTTTGCATTATCGGCTCAGGTATCTCCGGCATCTCCATCGCTTACGAACTGGTCACAAGCGGGATGAGTGTGGTCATGATCGAGGCACGTGAAGTCCTTTCTGGAGAAACTGGAAGAACAAGCGGTCATCTTGCAAGCGACCTGGACGACGGATACACCGCGATTGCGAAGAAACATGGAGACGACGGCGCGAAGGCTGCGGCCGAGTCGCACACCTGGGCCTTGAATCGTGTGGGCGAGATATCTCAACAGCTCGGAATCGATTGCGAATACCGAAAACTACCAGGCTACGACATTTCGCAGTACCTTCGGAACAGCAGGGAACATGCCGACGATATGCAACAGATCTTGGTCGACGGAAAGAAGGCGACCGAGCTTGGGCTCAAGGCCGACTACAAAGAGGGCTTTGCAGTAAAGGGTTGGTCCGGCGCAATCGACCAGAGAGACGCGGTCGTTTACGCGGACCAGGCCACCTTCCACCCTACGAAATACCTCGTAGGCGTGTTGAAGTTCCTTCAGAGCCAAGGCAACTTCTCGTGCTACACCTACACGCGAGCTATGAATGTCGAAGAGAAAGGCGTCGAGGTTCTCGGAATGGGCCACAAGGACGTCTACGTCAAGACCCTGGACGGTAACACCATCAAATGCCAGGACGCGGTCGAAGCAACTTGCGTCCCGCTCCAGAAACTCTCCGTAATCGCGGAAGAAGAATACTACCGCACGTACTGCATCGCTATCCGCATACCCAAGGGCTCTGTCGAAGACTGCCTACTCTACGACTCTGCAGACGCATACAAGTACATCCGTCTCACCGCATGCGACGAGAAGGATGACTACATGGTGGTTGGTGGAGGTGACCACAAAGTCGGCCAAGACAACACCCTTGCGCCATTTGAGGAGCTGGAGAAGTGGACACGGGAACGCTTCACGCAAGCTGGCAAGATCGACTACAAGTGGAGTGGGCAGGTCTTTGAGCCAGTAGACTTCATGGCTTTCATTGGCAAGAACCAAGGCAAGAAACACACGTATATCGTGACCGGTGACAGCGGCAACGGTCTTACGCACGGTGTCCTCGCTGGCAAACTCATCGCCGATGAAATCACGAACACGCCAAACCCATGGTCAAAGGTCTACAACCCCTCCCGCCTCTCCTCGATCGCCAAGTCACTTCCTTCCATGTTGCAACACGACGTGCAGATCAATGCGCAGTACAAGCGGTTCGCCGAGACAGACATTCAAGACATCGAGGATCTTCTTCCCGGTGACGGCGGTGTGTTGAATGCGAAAACGAAGAAACCGATTGCCTGCTACAAGGATGAGAACGGGCAAGTGCACAAATTCAGTGCTATTTGCCCGCATCTACATGGTGTCGTGTGTTGGAACAGCGCGGAAAAGAGTTGGGATTGTCCGATACACGGTAGTAGGTTTAGCAAGGACGGCGTGCAGATTATCGGACCGGCCAAGGCGGGCTTGGCTCCTGAGAATGAGAGTGGAGAGCAGTTGCAAAAAAGGGCAATTGAGGTGTAGGACAATGATGGGACAAGGAAAGACGGTCCGTGGGTTGAACTACTCTAAGGGCCCAAGGTTCCAAGGGTATCTGTCCGGTCGTTCTCGTCCGTTGCAGACTAGTCTAGCACAAGACCAGAGATCAGTTCGAGGTCCGATCCCACACTATGTTTTTGATTCATCATCTAACAAGTATGCCATGGATGACAATGTGAGGTATTGCGAGCAATATGTACTAAAGTGTAATTCCATGTGCAAAAGTCCCAGCCAAGACCAGGTCACTCCTAACTCCGCCCGCTAAGCGCTCCATTCCAACTGGCTCCACCCTGTACCATCCGCTTACCTCTATAGATGTACGGAACGCCAACTACAAGCCAGAGTGGAACTGACTAAACATCTGCTTACTCGTCTTGGAGCTGTAGTAACCTTTGTAATCGACCGTCCGTTCGTCTCCACCACAACCCCATGTTTCCATAATCGTGCATCACTTGGTAGTACTCTCTTACACAGTATCTCGAAGCTAGCAAGATGGACTCGAAAATATAAAACCGCGCTGAACGACATCTACATCCTCACCAAACCACCTCATCAAAACACCCACTCTTGAACACACTTGCCCCAACAGCCGCAATGTCCCACCTCCAATACTTCGACTACCCCAACTTCGGCACCCGCACAAAGAAAGACTTCAACGCCTCCCAGGTCGTCCGCATCCCCAACTTCATCGAGCTCTCGGGACAAGGCGGCTGGGATCCTGAGACGGAAGAGTTCCCCGTCAAGCTGGAGGAGGAGATCGAGCAGGCGTTTAGTAATGTACAACTCGCGCTTACGACGGCGGGTGGGAAGGTAAGGTTTCATGAAGCTATCAAGGATGTGGCGGTTTGCTGATAGTGGGTGGTGTGATAGGGCTGGGAACGCGTGTACAAGGTTCGGATGTATATCAATGTGAGGGGGGATGAGGGGTGGACGGAGTTCGGGCAGCATGTAGCTAGGAATATGAAGAAGTGGTGTCCGGTAGGTCTTGCGGGGGTTTCTAGTCATGAATAAGCTGACGTTCTGGGTAGAACCACGGGCCGATAGTGACGCTTGTGGAGGTCAAGGGGCTGTTTAGGGATATGCGCATTGAGATTGAGGCAACGGAGCATTTGGGCTAAGGTTTGGACTGGTGACCTGGTGTTGCGGTACCGTTCGTTTGATGACGTATTCTGATAACATGTTATACACTTGAAGAGTGCGGAGATAAATCTACTTGGCACGTACAATTGAAGGCAGTCATAATTTCTTATGTGCCCAGAAACCGTAAAAGCAAAGAGTAACCGTGTCCAACGAACGCCAAGTTACCCCAGAACCCACAATGCAGTATTCTCGAAACATAAACCGCTTATTGCATCATCCTCGTACGTCCGACACTATTTCCCCCAACGCTCTGTGGTCGATGAGCCGGGTCGTCCGAGTACTCCATAACCAGCGATGCAATACTCGAGAAACATTCATCACTTATCGAATCCCCCTCATATGTCCTCCGCTGTCCCCCAAAACGCTCTATGGCTGCTGAGCCGGGTTGTCAGGACCAGCAATCCTCTTCCTCGGCGGCTCATCGTGATCATCAGTCGTCACGTTCTTCCTCTTCATTCCATTCTGAGTCACGCCCGTGATCTCCAGACCGTCATTGATGTATTGGTAGCCTTGGTTCTGAAGCTGCTGGAATGCTCCGTTTTGAGCCGGTTGCGGAGACTGGAATGCTCCGTTCTGAGCCGGTTGCGGGAACATGGGCATGTTTCCTTGAAACAGATTCATGGGATTGGCGGGCGAGTTCCAGACATTGTTAGGCATTGGCTTCTGTGGCAGGGGCGTGAAACCGTTGGCCATGTTCGGTGTCTGTCTCATGGCGTCTGGGTTTATAGTTAGTATACAGGCTAATTAAAAAGGTTCCTAGGTGACCTACTGATATAGTTGAGGGCCTGCATGGCCTCTAGCGAGAGAAGTTCAGGTGGTTGCTGCGTCGGGTTACGCAGTTGACCCGCATTGGGTAGATTGCCTGATGTATTCGCGAGCTGAGTGGCCTGAAGCCTAGGTGAGCGCCGTGGAGGGGGGACGCTCGGTTCTTTGGTGGGCTCTGTGATTGAAGGAATCCAGTGTCGAAGATTGCCATTCTGTGTGCTCCCATTCTGGAGGATAACTGGGGTGTTTGGAATGGTAGGAGCGGCGCCACTGTGTGCATTCGCCTGCGTAGTAAACGGAGCGCCTGCCTGTGTCGCCATATGTGCCGCCTTTTGCTGCTGTTGGGCCCGGAGATGCCGTTGCAATTCTTCGTTAAACTTTCGATGGATGTCGACGCCTTTTTCAAAGTAACCAACATAGACGTTCTGTAATGCAGAATCCCGTACCGCCAGATCATCGCTGAGGAGTGCAAAATCCATCCCAGATGCACTGCCAGATCCTTGTCGGCTTCTAGCGCCAGCAGTGACATTCTTCGTAAACCAAGTTATGAAGAGTTGCTGCTGTGACCCTAACGATGGAGTATATGCTGAAGGAGGGGCACTACATGAATGGTCAGTAAAGGATGAGAAGTCTCACATGCGATACTGTGACGCAGGTTTCAGGAGCCTGAGTCAACACAAGATAGACTACCAAAGACCCGCCAACAGTACGCCTGCTTGGAATATTGTCTACTCACCTTGGGGTTCTGCTAGCCAGTGAACCATTCTGAGGACTCGCAGCCGGCGTCGCGCTAGTCATTGGACGGACCTGTTCACCGGTAGTTCCAGAGCCGGGTGTCAGATTCACAGCTACAGCGCTGCCTCGGATTTGTGGGGTGGTCGGAGGACCCATGGTATTGGAGGAATTCTTCGTCGGCGTGGTAAGGACGTTCTTCCATCTCCTGTTGTTCAAGGCCGGCATTGCGGTAGCCGGACGAACCTGATTCAAGGGGCTCGAGATGCTGTTATGGCGCGACGACAGAATGCTATTTGGCGACATGGTAGCCGATAGCGGGACGCCGTTGATGTCATGAGAAAGCTGACGCGCATGCTGCGGTGTGTTTGCTAACGGTGTGCACGAATTCGATGCGTTATTGCTTCTGGTGGGCGTTTGCAGAGGCGGTGCCGCAGCACCAGGTGAAGGTTGAATCGTGTTCCTACGAGATGGTCAGAGTTTGCGCATTTCCGATATGTCTGGTCTCAATTACCTGTACAACATGTTGTTCGGTGTAGCTCTGTGCTGGGATGAGGGTGTGGTAGGCTGTTGTCTGTTGATGAGATCTTTCCTGGGGCTGATCGCCTGCCTATGCTCTTCTTCACGCTGCTTCATCTGCGCCTTTAGCCATGCGATTTCCTTGTCTTTGAGATCGATCGCGGCATGAAGCTTGGTCGCGGCCTCCTCAACGCGCTGAAACTTCGCTTGCTCGTCATTGGACTTCTCTTTCTTGAAGTTGATCACCTCCATCTGTAGTTCTCTGATCTTATTCGTGAGAAGTTCCTTGCGCTTTTTATCGCTGTCTAGCTGATTCTCTCTGTTGGCGAGCCGTGTAAGCAATGTCTCCTTTTCCTTTGCGTACACCTTCTGGATCTCGGCGGTCGTTTGCTTCAGCGAAGCCCGACACTCGTCGGCTTTCTCTGTGACTGAACTGATGTGAGCATAACCATCCGTTAAATTTCCGGTCACGTGAGCAGAACTCACTCTTTGCGTCGTGGTCCTCAAGCGAGATGGTATTCCCGAGTCGCTGCTCGAGCCGCTCGATCTTGCGCTCAGCCAGAAGCCTGTAGTTGACAAAGCTGAATTCGACCTGCTGCGTGTGCTTCTCGAGCCGTTCTTTTTCACGGATCGCTTCCATTCGTTCTCGATTTCGTCTGTGTGAGCGGGTGAGGACGTCGATGCACGTGGCACACTCGGGGTTGGCCTGCCCTAAGATATATTGCGGGACAGGGCCGTCCGCAGCGTCGTCCGCAGGATCCTTGTCAGGCATTTTTCAAGTATCGTGTAGCTGAGGAGGCAATTGAGCGCCGTCAGTAACGATTGCAAGTATAGAAAGCGTAGGAACGGCGAGGGTGGTGGATGCGCGAGCTGGAACAATCGCGTTTATGCGCAGGTCAAGAGAATTTGAGTGGAGGCGGAGAAAGCGTCGTAGGGAAAGTAGTAGAGGTGGGAGTGGCTGTGACTGTGACGTCGGCGGTCACTGTGCAAAAATTGGTATTAAGTGAAGGCAACGAAGTGAACGCTGCCCCCAACCAGACGCCAGCCGCTGCCACGCTAGATTTTTATGTATCAACTTTGGCTCATGCGGGACCCACGCCGCGAGTCTCAACCATGGTTCAAGCCGAAGCGACATTTCATGAACTTTGCTGGAGTGTAAGCTGCACATTTCGAAGCGGGCTTTGGAAACCAAGTTCGCAGGAGGCTTGTGAGAGGATGTTCTACATCGAAGATAGGGTGCTAAGTGAGAATTAGCGGAATGTTTTATGGTGCGATTACGTGTGTTCCCCTGCCACTCGAAGGACAGTTCAACAACCGCACATCCGTCGCCTCACCGCCCGAGAATTGTGTTTTCTATATTCAAAGGGAAAATCGAGAAAGACTGAAACCATAACATCATGATTAGAATGCAGCAATAATATCATTATGCAGTTCGCCATGACTATAGCAAAGCGTTGCGCATCGCTACCTGCCTTTCTACTTACACAGTAAGCTTTCCGTTGAGTTTCAAGTCGCGGGAGCTGAATCCGACGTCCACAGTGATGGGCTCCGAAGGAAGCCTCCAATTCTGAGTAGCAACATCCCAGTAGCTGAGATCACGGCGCATGAGCGGGAACTCGACCGTGGACACCTCTCCCGCCGCTAGGAAGATCTTATCGAAACCGCGAAGGCTTCGTACCGTCTTTTCGCCTGCTTCAGCTGGAAATGATACATACAGCTGTGGCACAGCGGCACCTTCCACAGCACCGGTGTTCTTGATCGACGCGCACACAGTTACCAGCGTCTGCCATAGCTCCTCGTTGCCACCGGGGACGATCTTGGCTGATGAGCTAGGGATACGCGAGGGCTTGGAGACAGCAGCCTGTATCTGTAGGTCGGAGAGCTCGAAGGTCGTGTAGCTCAGGCCGAAGCCGAACTCATACGCCACACTTTTGTTCGCGGCATCAAATTCCTTATAGTCGATCAAGTTGCCTTCTTTGAAGTCGTCCTGCCAAGCGTTCGGATTCGTTGACTCTAGGAGCTCGGTGCTGTTGACTATTTTTAGGTCGTAATCTGTCTCGTTGTTTGCGATGGTGTAAGGGAGCTTTCCGGAGGGGTTGACGTCTCCCCAAAGTACGTCAACGATTGAGTTTCCTGTCTCCTGACCAGGGAAATGGGCTGCCAGAATAGCTGTAACGTTAGCGTTATCCTTCCATGGCAACACGTTTGGCGAAGCGCCATGGAGGACAACAATGGTATTGGCACAGGTGGAAGCCACTGCTTCCACCACTACCGTAGAGTTCCATTCAGCGATCAGCGTAGTTCGATCGTCACCTTCGCTGGCCCACGACTTCAAGAAGACAATGCAGGCATCTAATGGTGTTGGTGAAAGCGAACTAAGCCCGCCTACTGCGACTGCAGAGTTGTCTGTCACATACTGAATGAGGGCTCCGTATGACTGGCCACTATGTAGCAGATTACCAAGTCAGTCAAGGTCGTCGTACTCATGGCAGTCAGGAGATAACTCACCGGGCCTTGATGGCGTCCAGCGGCGGGACCACATAGGTGAACCGGCCAGTGCCAGATCCTCCTCCAGCAGCAAGCGTCCCGATATCGTAGTCGCCGGAAGCAAGCCCACTTGAGATCGAAAGGGTGTATTGCCCGTTGGTAAAATCAGCTGCGTCATTACCAAAGACTCCAATGTTCTTAGGTTTCTTCAGAGGCAGCGTGTTATTGACGTTCTTCAAAAGCACAGTTCCTGCTGCACCTAGCTCACGAATGAGTTTCGCATGCTCAGCGCGTACATCTACCATTGGCCCTAGCGTGTAGTTGTACTTCCAATTTGCTCTCGAGAAGAAGCTAAGCGGTACGGTCGACTCGTCCACGACAGGGAAATTAAGGTCCTGACCGAGATGATAGTACGGGGTCATGATTCGGTGGATCATGTCGTCAACACGCTCAATGGCCAAAGAACCGTTGTTGACAGCGACTGAAACATTGCCGCCCCAAAGGGAAGCTGGCGCTCCGCCACTGAAGCCAATACCGCCAGGCATGTTCATGTCTAGCCCAGCTTCAATAGCCGCAACACCTGAATGCGTAGCCATCCAGTCGGACATGACATAGCCCTGGAAACCAAGTTCGTCCTTGAGCAAGCCATTGAGAGTTTTGCTGTTCTGGCAACCGTAGGAGCCATTAAGTCGATTGTAGCTACACATCAGCGACGCTGTTCCCGCCTTGACAGCGTTCGCGAAGGGCCATAGGTAGGTCTCATGCATAGTCTTGTCATCGATGTTAGCTGAGATGGAATCGACAAGGGTGCCATTGACGGTACTCGGGTTGCGCTGGATCTCCTGCTCGTTTCCAATGTAATGTTTTGTACAAGCTTGAACTCCAGCGGATTGCATACCGAGTATGGTCTCTTCTACAAGCACTCCGGACAGATAGGCATCAGGTGAGAAACCTTCCCAGTTGCGGCCACCAAAAGGCTCACGGCCTAGGGGTCCAACCACTGGTCCAAGGGCGATGTGTGAGCCCTTGCCTTTATAGGGAAGTCAGTTGAGCTACTCCGCTGAGAGGAAATTTACGAAATGCGCCGTGGAACGTCTCCATTAGGGCAGATGGGGGCTCTCTCTGGATAAATCAACCAACTTGGGTCATTCGTACCTTTGAACTCTTCAGCCAATTGAACACCGCGCTGCTTGACCAATTCGCGATCCCATGATGCAGCTGCTGTTATGCCGGCCGGAAACACGCTCGTGAGCACAGCTTGTCGAATTGCGAGCGGACCATCCTGAAGACAAAGCCCGCTGAAGTTGAGCCGTGCGATCGGCGCAATGTTGCCCACGCAAGGTCCGTCCGAACCTATTAGAGTGAGCAGAAATGACAGGGTAGGACTGGCATAAACAAGACTTACCCGTGATCATAAAGGCCTTTTCGTCCAGTTTCAACTGGGCCACGAAGGCCTTTGCCTTCTCTAACGCTGCTGCCCATCCGCCGTCGCCGGTGATATTTGCTATGCTGGGGTATCAGCAGGCATACTTGGGCAGTGACGGCCGCAGCCGCACAGATGCATTACCTACGGGAGGGATAAACAGGTGGGCTCGTCCCATACTGAGTATGCTCAATGTCGAATTGAGCATGACTTGCTGTGGCCAGAGCGAGCCACGCCAACGATGTAGAGTGCAACATCTTTGAGCTGAACAGCTGTTTGCGGATAACGCCACAAGGTTAACTCTTTGACTCCATCTTATACTTTCTAAGCCGAACTTTGCACCTCGGAATTGACCTTAGGCATCAAGAACGTTCCCCTCGTACTAGCAAAATGGAGAATGACTCAACAAGGCGACGTCGAGATCGATAGGCTGCATTTCCCTGTCTTCGCCATGTTTGCGGGGCCAAAATCCGCTCAATACGCAATAACCTACCTTGGGCATAGACGCCTCTTTACTGCATGAGCGGGCGAATCGGTCGGCAGTTGGACAGAGCATCTTCCTGTCAACATGCGCGATGTGGCGCAACGCCGAGGAAGAACGCCGTTGAGAACTTGGCTGAGTTGGTACATAGCATCGGCCGTTAACTCGTTTGACCCTGGTATGAGTTCACGTGGCTGCGGACGATGATCCCTCAGAGAGGTTTGGTGTTTTGTGGGATGAAAGTGCGGGGATGTGGGGAAAGATCGATTCCAACTTGTCCTTTCCTGTCTAGGTCTGCTCCGTGCCCTCAACCAATTAGCCTGACACTACCCAGGTCCATCACCTCATCACCAGATCCTGTCTAGGCGGCTGGCTTTCTATAGTTTGGCGAATCTTCGGCTTTCACGCATGCACGAGACTCAGGGGTGACCGCGGGCACAGCGACCGTGAGCTAGACATCGGAATGTGGAGACGCGCTACTCTGAACAGAACAGCGGATGCTCAGAAACAAATTGAACCCTGTACTCGATAACATTTGCACAACGCCTTGTATAGAGACAAGCTTTGCATGGTAAGACTTCGGAAGGTGAATAAATCCCTTGACAGTCTTTAACGTCAACATACTGGAAAGGGGCTACATCGAATATTTGCAGATATCCAGCACGACAGTATACGACGTACTGGGCTGGACGAAGCTGTATAAATAGTCCGGGATGTAATACCAGGATTTGAGCAAGGAAAAAGCCGCTTATCGTTACCCGTAGCTGTAACGCGCTGACCAAGATCCTGGGCACCGGCTACGTACCTCAATAATTCTTGCAGGGCAGCCGTAAACTACTTCCAGAAGTCTCGGTTCATCTCAATCCGACCTTCCGTACGAGAAGTCTCACCATGTAGAGAGTTTCAAGTCGAGATATTCAAGTCGAAATTGTTGATCGTATTTTAAAGATTAACGTACAAGAAGCTTTCCCGATCTTGAGGCAGGACTGACGATTTTGTTTAAGACTAAAATCACGATATCGTACCTGGGCAACTCCCCACCGCAGTGTACAAATACAAGACTGCCATATTAGCCTGGCTGCTGACGAAGCTACGTACGACGAAGCCATTTGAGCAGCATGAGACGTGAATCTTCCAAGGGTAGTTGAGAGTGCTCAGGTCCAAGCGAATACCTCAATCTACTAATAGTTGGTTCTACGCAGTGTTGCTCCATCTTACTACAAACAATACTCCCATGCTACCGTTTCAAGCGTCGAAGCAAAGCATTATGGATTGGAGTGAATACAATTGTGTACATTCAGCCAATTGAGGTTCAGACTGCTTAAGCTGTCCATATCGAACAGTCAGTTTTATTTCATGAAAATTGCAAAATCGTGATCAGCTTTTGAAGATCGTGCGCATTCTCCAACTGCGCAAGCAATTACCCGCCAAGTCGCTGTAATACATAAATAGCGCTGACTGTGCCACAAGCAAAAGGAATACGAACTATACAATCCTTTTATTGCTGATCAATGCCGTATTCAGTTGAAATTGTACCTTATCCTACTCGCAATTACTACGCCCGGTGGAGATCAGCGCATGGCTTAGACTCTCGTAGCAAAGCATTCAGCCTTGTATTTGCCAGCAAGGCGCACATCAGCTATACATCCTGAATACAAGAACCGCAGTCAGGTTAAATACAATCGCGAAGAAGTCGCAGCGAACAGATACGAACTAGCGAGAATAAGCTTGCGAATTGAAGAACGTCTGAAATCCATCACTCTGAAAACCCACATATCCAAGGTACGTCAGCTACTCCGGTGCAATGATTACAGGTTTACATTCTCTAATCACTGTGCAGTCTCCACCTCAACATGAGTACCCCTTCTGTCGGAGCCACGGAAACGACCCTCGTACCGGAGCAGACGGAGCGTCCGTCATCGTCTTCGCAGGACACTCACGAAAAGGGCAAATCGGACAGCAAGAAGGTTAACAATGAACTGGAGCAATTGACGAAGAAGCAAAAGGCGAGACGCTTCACCCACAATATACTGGACGCCATTGTAAAGGCGGGTACTGGCGGCGGCATGGGAACGTGAAACATGAATGCGAACTTATGGTGGAAAGTTTTGTTGGCGGTGGAGTCTTGCCGTCTTTGTTGCTCGAGCTTAGCAAGGCGAAGAGTATCACAATCGCTTCTTCGGCGGTTGGCGACTCCTTGAGGAGGCTTTAAACACGCTGTTTCTGTTATATGTCGGAGCATAAGCCCCGGTTATTGTTTCCATGGCGTGCGAAGCGATCTAAAGTATGCAACCTTTCCCAGGTAGCTGATGGAATGAAGATGGGGATTGAAAATACAAATCACGAACAGTGTAGTAGGGGAAGACAAAACAATGTACGAGGTGGCAGGCGTTCTTGCTGACTTTGGGAGGGGAGAACACGCGTGATGTGACGTCATTATGTTCTTCCTTATCGACAAGTCAATGTCAACAACGTCTCGACCGCTACATCTATCTACTAAACGCACCATTCATTGGGACTCAGAGCAATGTTCCGAGTAGTCATGATGCACGAGAATAAAGGGAGATGTCGAATGATTATGTATGTCAATGCGTCGCTAATTACATTAAATCTCAGCGTGGGTTATAATCTCCCGAGAGATTACCCTTCATGCAGCCTCGCTCTCTTACGCGACACCCGTCACCTCAGTAGGCGTAACATCAAACTCCTGTGCCGGCGCAACGAACTGGTTGTAAATGGTCTCGTGCGATCCGGTGAAGTTGTACGCAGGCCTACAAACGTTAGCAATCAGCGCCATCAAAATTTCGCAACTCCCAGTCTACGTACCTCTGCTCGTAGCCAGCCAATTCGAAGCTGAGCTCAATCTCCTGAGGTGGCGTTCCATCGTCCGAAGTCCTCTCGCTGAACTTGGCAGAGACACCGTTGTTCACACCTTCCAAGATCTGGCAGTTCCTGTAGTAGTTGCCCAGTCGGTACCAGTTCTCGCTTCCGCTGCAGTAGGCCTTGACGCCTGCGATTTGGCCTTCAACGGTGGGAACAGTGACGTTGAAGTCGTAGTAGCAGCCCGAGCGCGCGCAGCCCGCTGACCAGCCGGAGACGTGCCATGTCCAGTTCGCAGGAATATCCATCTGGCGGGTTTGTAGGACCGGCGTTGCCAGAGCGCTGGCGGAGAGGGCGAGGAGAGCCGTGAAGGAGACCATCTTGGATCGGTTGGATAGGTGATTCGTCGGAAACAGTTATTGATGGTAGTTGGAAAGGTCTGAGAGCTGTGTGCTGATAGCGACAGTGGTGATTTCAGACATCTTGAGCACTCTGATGTTTATATTGCCCTGGAGAAGGGCCGACTGTACGCTGTACAATATTGAAACAGAAGTTGCACGTCATAGGTCAAGGCCCAAGCCGCATGGCTCGACTTCTTTAGGAGGATCAGCGCGAAACAACGTCGAACGCAGGGTTGCCACCCTAACCGAGCCCCACCAGCCTTGCCTTGCGTGGCTAGGTCCCGCTGTTTCCCATCACTCAAAATAACTGTTATGAACTCGGTGTCGGTGTTGTTGGCAATGTCCCGAATACCCGCTCGACTAAGGTACGTTTCCTTGTACTTCTCCGTGCTTCCGCGCTTCTTTTCGCACGGAAGCGTCGGGACATTAACGGTGTGGATGCTACTACGTCACGTGTGGTTACATGATCTTCAGCGATCGAATGACCGTTACAGTATTGGATTCATGCAGACATCTGCCTATCCTTTTTATGAACTCTCGTTGTGGACGCCGATGCTATTGTCGCACTATGAAATAGGTGCAGCGGCTGTATGAACCCGCATGTCACGTACTATGGTAAGTGAACCTTTCAACGTCTCGATGCCCAGTCATTAATATTCGTCTAGTCTATCCTTGCTCTTTCTTTCATCGCATCATTTAGGCGGTCCTCTCCGGGTATCACTTTTATCCCTCTGTCGGCGTCCCAAGGCCACCAGCACCGATTACACCTTTGACCAGCAAATCGCACATGTACTCATCCTCCTCGGCAACCTCAAAGTCGAACCTCGTCACGTCCTCTTTGTAAGGCCATAAGTATTGGCTCGTAACCCTACTATGGTCAGGTTCATTGCAGGACTTAGCGTCGCATGTGAAGATCTTACCGATGGTGCTCATCACTGGCCTGATATTCCTCCAACGCCTTTCTATCCCGGTGAAAGCTGACAAGAGAGTACTCATATCCTTTACTTCGCTCGATAGGGTCTGTTATTGATGGGCCGCCGACGACAAGACGCCCGTTGAGCACGCATGGTAGTGACTTCAGGGTCTTGAGTTGTGTAACGAAAGTTTGCTTGTGGGCTGCGGAGACGCTGGGGAGGAATCTGAACAGCACTGTAGTACTCGTCAGCATGGACTGGTTGCGGTGATAAGCGACTATCGAGGACAAGGCTAACCAATATGTATGACCGTCATGGCTGACTTGACTGGGAGACTGAACAAATGAAGAATGGGTATCGAAGGCGCGCTGTAGCAAAGCTCGGCTGGGAAAGAGTAAGGGATTTGTAGTGAATGGGTTAAAGAGACGGGTAAAGCATGATCGAGTGCCGCGGGAAGGTGTGGTCCGCGGGAGCTCGCGGAGAATGTCCGCTCTTTGGAGACGGACCACTCCGACGACGATCTATTTGCCTCCGTGAAAAACGTCAGCTCTAAGAAGTCGCTGTGCAATGCGAAACTCGGATTATGAGACTGGTTCAGTCGTAATCATCATAGACATCACGTTCGTTTAGGGTTTTTCGATGGCAGTAAGGTTTTCAAAGCAATCTATTGAGACAAAATTGGTTGTATTGATTAAGGTGCACCTATCGACTATGCTGAATCTTTCACAACCAGAGGCTTTGTTCCTACTTTGTGTGCCTCCGCGTTCAGGGCATCTATTTCTGCCTGCACCAAAGGAATGCCAGTTTGCTCTCTACGTTTCTGCTCCAATTGTTCAAGCTCTCCTGGGAAGTATATGCGCTCCACACCAGCAGCCTTCTCGGCACCGACAGTCCTATCGTATAGATACTGGATTCGCTCTCTGAAATCTTCCAAGCTCATGAACAGGTCTGGTTTGATAGCAATGAGAAAATGGCCCACATCTGATGGCTTGGAAGGATCATAAGGACCAGTGACATGGCCTGCGAAGGCAGAGCCCGACAGCACTCCAGAGAAAACGTCCATCATGATAGCCAAGCCTGAGCCTTTGGGACCACCCATGGGCAGCATCACGCCGCCATCGAGAGCCGCCGCGGGGTCGTCCGTGGGATTGCCGTCCTTGTCCAGTGCCCAATCCAGTGGGATCTTCTCGCCCCGTCTCTTCGCTTTGTAGATCTTTCCTCGAGCAGCAATGGACGGAGCCATATCGAGGATGAAAGGTTTGTCTTTTCCAGGCGCGCCGCATGCTAGTGGCGAAACGCCAATGAGCTTACTCTTCCCGCCCCATGGTGGTAATGCAGGGCTGGAGTTGGTAAACACCAAGCTCATCATACCAGCATCGATAGCTTTCTGAACGATCCATGCGCTCATGCCGAAATGATTTGAGTGCTTGATGCTCGTCATTCCGATGCCGTAGGTTTTGGCGGCTTCAATTGCGGTAGCCATTCCCGCATCTGCAGCGAGGAAGCCAAACCCGTTCTGCGCATCGACCTGCGTAACCACAGGGGTAATCTGTGTAACTTTTGGTGTCGCGAGACCATCAAGAACGCCCTGTCGAATTCGCTCCATGTATGATGGTATCCGGTTCATCCCATGTGTGTCAACGCCTCGTAGATCGGCTGCGATGAGGCAGCGTGCTACAATGGTAGCATTTGCAGTCGTCACGCCGTTGCCAACTAACACTGCTTCTACAAAGGCTTTGGCGTCGGCAGCATCGACATATTGCTTTTGTTCTGCTGTAGGACCGGCCATTGTGGAATGATATATGGAAGATAAGAGTAGATGATCAGCGAAGCTGAGAGGTCTAGAGGAACAAGATATTAATTCAGAATATCCTCTGATCTGATATATCCAGCTTTGTCACAGGCGTTGGACAAGTCGCCGTCCACGGGGTTCCGCCGTCGTGAGGAGGTTGGTGGGAGAAAAGCGGAGTTTCCCCGTAGCGCATCCCACCCAATCGCGCTATCAAGCAACGAAAATTCGGACCTTCCCCGTCTCCTCTGACACACGCCTTGTCAACTCTTTGCACTTCTTCAGCACCAGCTTGCATGGCCGGACGGGACTCGCTTCGCAATCCGCGCCTTAGGTTGGCGTGTGCACGCTGTCAACGTCGGAAAATACGCGTGAGTGATGCGGTAGACGCACACGGCAGACGTGGCTGACATGAGACCTAGTGTGACGCGCAGCTTCCAACATGCGCGAATTGTAGAAAGGCGGGCGCGGAATGCACCGATGGGGACAGCCTGCGACTACGGAGTATCCCAGACGACCCAAGTGTTTCGCGTCTGCGAAGGCGGGTCACGTGGCTCGAGTCCATCATTCGAGAAAGACTGCCTGAAATAGACTTGTCCGTGGAAGCTCCTTTTGAAACGTCGGAGCCGCCTGAGGGAACACCAACTTCATTCATTCGCGATGACCAACGCGGTGTGTCGATAGACAACGCGCACGCGGAATCGCATCAAAATGTGCTATCTCTGCAAGCAGTTGCGCAATCCGATCAGCGCGCCCACGAGATCGGTCTTATTTCTGTAGGTGCAACGGACCAGCGCTATCTCGGTCCTTCCAGCGGCTACTTCCTCGCTCGTCTTCTGCTGAGCTGCTCCCCGAGAAGGCATGATCGACGCGAGCCGGTGGACCATAGTACCGCCAGTGCTGCAAGTTTGGCACAGTCACTCATCGATCAGCTTGTCTACGCACCTCCCGCGCCATTGCCACTGCCAGGAAGAGCACAGGCACTTGAACTGGTCCGCATCTATTTTGATGCAGTACATCCTCAGTATCCGATTCTCCACGAGCCTTCCTTCATGCAGGCTGTTAATCACCTCTACGATTCGAATGCACAGATGCTTGAAAGTGATGCTGTAGTTTCATTTCAAGTCAACATGGTCCTCGCCATCGCGTCAAGCATCCTATCGTCTCGAGTCAGATCACATGTACCTGGCGAGTCTTACTGCCTCTCTGCGCTGCAGCATCTTGAACAGCTCAATATCCATTCGTTTTCTGGCTTACAGTGCATCTTACTGTTACTCATTTTCACGATTCACAGTCCATATATGAGGCTGAATGTATGGTATTTGAACTACCACTGCATAGCCGCTGTTCTAGAGCTAGGCCTACAGAGGAATGTCACAACATCGTCTGGCATTTCTCTATTAGATCAGGAGATGAGGACGCGCGTATTCTGGACTATTTTTACATTGGATAGAACAATCGCAACCATGATGGGACGACCCATAGGCTTGCGAGACGAAGCTTGTGAGCTGCGGGTACGTGGGTGTATACATTAGTTAGGAACCTTCTGACAATCTTCTAGTTACCGCAGGATCTGGACGATCATGCGCTTGTCGGTGTACAAGATTTGGACGGCTACACCACCGGAAACATGGCTTTGTCCATTCATCTATTCAAGCTGTCCAAAATCAACTCCGAGATCAAATACGTTGCAAACAGTATCGTACGCGAAGCGCCTTCGTATGCTTATCCGCCAATCTCCGACATACATGCATGGCAGCGAAGCACGCTTGCACAGCTGGATCAATGGGCTTCGACGATCCCGCAAACTCAACCTCGCCATGCTTATGTTCGCACATTATGCGAACTTCGTTACTATTCTATGAGGATTCTTCTTCTACGACCTAGTCCTGCTATTCCGAAGCCTTCCATTGAATCGTTGACGGAGTGCTACGGTCTTTCATGGCGGGCAATTCATGTTTATGACAAGCTCTACCGTCAGGACATGCTTGTGCATGACTGGCTAGTCTTGCACGGCATCATATTCAGTACCATCACTGCTCTATACTGCATAAGGGCCGTCCCAGAGCTCGCCCGAAAGACAGAGCTCGATGAACTGATGAACAATCTCAGTTTGAGTCTCAGTCTTGTTAGCGTCGCAGGTGAGCACTGGTCTGGAGCGAAACGAAGTCGTCAGATTCTTGATGATATGGGGAGGTCTACTATAAAGTGGATGAAGGCTCTAAGAGCGACGACTAACCCTGAGCTCGATCACCGTATCGCTAGATATGAAGGACCCCATCTTCCAATGACCTCAAGTATTCCGGAATCAACGTCGCCAATGGGCACAAATGCGGGTGGCATGTTCGCTGGACTCAACTCGGCCAACGCATTTTCAGCCGCAACGCCATCAAGCCTGAGTTTGGAAGATAGGTTTTGGGCGGACCCACCTCAGCTGTTTGATTTCGGCGACATCACGAATGTGGATGATATTATGCACAGCTTGTTCGAAGAGTTCGTTCCGCAGACGAATAATGTACAAGACTGAAAATAGCAGCTATGCATCTCGGATTCTTGATAGTACGGTCATAACATCAAGAAAATGAGCCCTCCGTAGTCTCTCGCGACTAAGGTCCCGCAGCCGTCAAAAAATCGAAATCCGCTCCTCGGTTCGCCTGGTTGACTGATCGCATATACAACCCGCGATAGCCTCTCGTGTGCTTTTGCGCCGCCTTACCGATCGCTTTGAATATCGTCTTCCTCAATTCGATCCTCCGCTTGATTTCCTCTTCTGGGACATTGAGTTGTAATAGTCTCTTTTCGACGTCGCATACAATCTCATCGCCATTTCGCACGATGCCAAGAACAGACTCCGGATCTGCAGACTCTGGCGAGACGTGCAAAACGATCGTTCCACCAGCTGTACCACTCATTCTACCATCTGAAATCCGCAGCATGTCTTGCACTCCTTGTTCCCCAAGCTTCCGTGGGATAGGTATCAGTCCAGCCTCGGGCATCCCTGGGTTTCCGACAGGACCAATGTTTTGCAACACCAAGACGCTGTTAGCATCAACATCCAACTCCGGGTCGTCGATTCGTTGCGCAAGATCTGCAGAATTCGCGAATACGACAGCCCTTCCTTGGTGGCTCAATAATCTTCGATCCTTCGAAGCACTAGCTTTCATTACTGCGCCACCGGGTGCCAAATTACCTTGCAGCACGACGAGAGATGAGGAAGCGTATAGTGGCTTGTCCAGTGGATGGAGACAATTCACTGGGCTGTTGCGGGGCACAGGGATATACGCTGTGGACGCGATCTCTTCGCCGAGTGTCTTCCCCGACACGGTCCTGGCATTAAGGTGCAAGAGAGGCTTGAGCGCGTGCAACAAAGCTAGCATGCCGCCACTATTATGGAAGTCTGTCATGTAGTTCTCTCCACTCGGTTTCAGATCGACCAACAGAGGTGTCTTCCGGCCAATCTCGTCGAAAGTCTCGAGATCGATGGTTCCTGCGACCTCTGGATGTCTTCCGATGATGGCCATTAGGTGAACGACAGCATTCGTAGAACCCCCAATTGCTTGGAGAACCGTAATCGCATTGAGGAATGACTCTCGAGAGAGAACTTGCTGCGGCGTCAATTTGGTCGCAGCCGCTTGAACCGCGAGTTTTCCGGTCTCTTCAGCGATCCTCAACCGGGCCGAGGAGACAGCTGGCGCTGTTGCGCCTTTCATTGGCATCATTCCTAAGGCCACGAGAACGCAAGCCATTGTGCTCGCTGTGCCCATGACGCCGCACGTACCAGCCTAAATCTTGTCAACTAACTATCGAATGAACTCGGCGGTTTACTTACTGTGGGTGCCAATTCTTCGTTAACAGCCGAAATGTCTTCGACGTCAATCGTACCAGCCCGAAACTTGGCCCAATTATTTCTACAGTCTGTGCAAGCACCTATTCGAACGCCGCGGTGGCTGCCCGGCATCATCGGGCCGGTGACTAGATGCACAATCGGCTTGTTCGCTGAGATGCCACCCATCAACTGCGCCGGAGTCGTTTTATCGCATCCTTCGCATTAAGTCAGTCGCAATTCCTATACGACTCCATCCAGAATCTTACCCCCAATCAAGACCACTGCATCACACGGCTGCGCCCTGACCATCTCCTCGGTATCCATACTCATCAAATTCCTCAAGAACATACTCGTGGGACTCGCAAAGCTCTCATGCAAACTGATGGTCGGAAAATCTATAGCAAGACCGCCGCTCAACTGTATACCTCTTTTCGTAGCCTCTATCAACTGGGGAATATTTGCATGGCATGGGTTGAAGCTCGAATACGTGTTGACAATGCCGATGATAGGTCGCGACAAGGCATCTTCGCTATAGCCGAGGGCTTTTATGAAGACCTTGCGGAGGAAGAGCGAGAAGTGGGCGTCGCCGTATGATGTCAGGCCTTGACGGAGGCCAGCTGCATCATCAGGAATGGGCGTGTTAAGGTCATAGTCGGCATTTGGACGTTGCTGTTGTTCTGCCATGTTGATTCGAATTAGTCACTATTCCTGGAGCTGGTCTCGCACGAGTAAGGTGAGTCGTATTATGCTTATGTATGGGATGGACCCTGGTGTGTTTAGCCGGACGGACATACTCCGCTATAGCGACATCTCTGGCTAGGCCTAAGACGGTAGGAGTTCACGTGGCGACGTGACAGGCGGGGAATTTCCGACGCTACCAAACAAGAGCTTGATCCAACGACGACCCTTGGAGAACAGCTTACCATTTTCGGATCCTTTCTTCGCATAGGTCTCGAATCAATCATTCATTCCTATTTGAACGATTATAATAAACGCCTCTAAGATCATCGGTGAGGGACAGCCTCCGCTTTCACAGTACGCAAACAATCACCATGCTTGACCTCAAAGGGAAAGTCGCACTTATCATTGGACTCGGCCAAACTGGGACAGAAGGATGGGGCATCGGAGCTGCATGTGCGGTCCTCTTCTCGCGGCAAGGTGCCCTCATCTTTGGCGGGAACCGCACCCTCGCATCCACTACCAAAACAACCCAAACAATACACTCCGAAGGCGGAACCTGCGACATCATTCCCACAGACGCGACAGACTCACCATCCGTCAAAGCCCTAGTAGACGCTTGTCTAGCAAAGCATGGCCGCATCGACATCCTCCTCTGCAACGTCGGTGTTTCGGCACCCGGAAACCCAGCCACAATGGCCGAAGAAATCTGGGACGCACAGATGGACATCAACTTGAAAAGCGTCTATCTAGCATGCCACCATGTCCTACCCGTCATGGAGGCGCAACCCACCGGCGGCGCCATCGTCTGCGTCTCCAGCATCGCAGGCATGCGATACATCGGCAAGCCGCAGATTGCTTACAACACTGCCAAAGCGGCGATTCTCCAGTTCGTCAAGGCGACGGCAGTTATGTACGCCGATAAGAATGTGAGGTTGAATACTGTGGTTCCTGGGTTGATGGATACACCGTATACCAAGGGTCTGGCGGACCGGTACGGGAAGGATTATCAGGAGTTCAAGGAAGGGAGGGATCGACAGGTGCCAATGGGGAGAATGGGGGATGCGTGGGATGTGGCGAATGCGGCGTTGTTCTTGGTGAGTGATGAGAGTAAGTATGTTACTGGGCAGAAGATTGTGGTTGATGGAGGGATCACGGGAAGCACCGGGAGGACGTGAGTTAGCTGTTGTCAGAAGACTATATGTGCAGCTGGCTGGTGGCTGGGTGGAGGATATGTGCTAAACCAAGCTTCAGCTATGTGGTTCGTTACTCGTCGAGCATCTGGATGGATGATGTGTGTTCAGACGCAGTAGCATGTGTTCATGTTCTACCTCTCCGAGGATTGATACTTCCAGACAGTGCGACCTTAGTCATCGGCGTGCTGCTGCCGGATATCCTGATCATTCCTTTTTCATGTTCAGATGGAGGAAGTACAAGTAATCAGATAGAACTCGGTCATGTTGTTGAAGTTGGTGATGATCAAAAGCGCCAAGCGATGCAGTCCCTGAAGATGTTGGGCGGGCACGTGGCTCAGCATTGGCACCGAAATCAGTGCTGAGTCATCTGGTCAATCATGACCTCTGGGAACAGGCAGCAACGTCTACACAATATAACTCATCAACATCATACTCATTGTCGCATCACTGCCTCAGACACCATCGATCCAACCACCTGATCTCCGGCAAAGGGCGACTCTGGGCTCTCGACAGCGATGTGCTACTTGTAACGTCGCAACGTATCGAAGTGCAGTAGGCACACGTATCTATGGTACCCAAGTATACACGCTCCCTACTTGGATAACGAGAGATACATCATGACTTGTGCGACGCGCGAAGCTTCCCCATATGGAGCGCTGAGGTCAAGAGCGACTCTGCACGCGATGGACTACCCGCCACCTACCGTAGGGGCTAATTATTAAAATGGTCCTACCCAGCCCTCAGTATGTAATCCAACAGCTGCGCAACTTCTATGGGTGGCTCTTGGTAGAGCTTACCAGCACGAGCCTATCGATGTCACGAGCGTGCATCTCGGCCTGGCTTGCACAAGCGAGCGGTGATCTTTTCAGTAGCGAGCGGCTGAAGTGGCCCCCAAACAGCCTCGTCTCTTGCAACTCGCGACGCATCGTCACCATCAACCAATTTGTGTGTTGCGCGCAGTCATTTGCAACCGCAATGCCTACGTGTTGCGTGCAGCATCAATGAGCCAGGAGTGTAAGATTGAAGCATCGAATATAGGGTTCCCTTACCGGAGCTGACGTGTTCCCAGCCACCGCGAGCGCCGCGAATCCTCCCGCGCCGCCAGTCATCTCCATCACCGGGCCTCAGGACGATCTCTTTGATCCTGACACGCTAGAATTTCTCCAGGAGTGGGGAAACAAATATGTAGGCCCTGCATCAGCCGTCTCACAGGCGGAATTCTTCGCGCCTGTGGAATTACTGTCAAATGAAGACGCGTCGAAACCGAGAGATGCTCCAATCGACGACGATGACATTCCACTACATCCATCAGCGCCTAGAATAATCATTAGTGAGCCAGATGCGATTACCAAAGTGCCTTCTCTGGAAGGGAAATCGACGTTGAAGAAAGCTTCACGCTTTGATGATAAAACAACATTTCTCGGCGAGATAGATGAGCCCGCGCAAGCTATACCAAGGTTGCGTCAGCGGAGGCACAGCACGATCAGCATCCTGCCCGAACGTAGAACGTCTAACGCCGCTGCTTCGCCAGTAAAGGACGCGCAGCCGCGGCCAACCCCCAGGCCATGGACAACGACTGAAAGCCATCCTAAAAATGGGTGGAAGATGAGAGTGCGATGTTCTGCTGGCAGTGTAATAGGAGCGGCTGTTGATGTTATTGTGGTGTATCTGTACAACTCTGCAACGAGTAACCAGCTGGACCGGGATGCGGATCTCGCCATGTTTAATCATTATGAGCATCCCGAAACCCACGACAGAGAGGTGTCACCTACGAGGAAGATTCAGCGAGCCAGGACAGAACTTGGAAAGCAACCGAATCAGGATGTGCTTGAGTTAACCACAACAAGGCATTGGGCGCCGCAAGTAGACGCGCAAAGGCTACGACGTCAACATGTGAACTTTTTGAAAGATAGCGACATGTTGCCTAAGCAGATACCAGGAATGCGGCTTACTACAGTGGGGTTCGACATCAAACCGGCTTTAGCAAGTAGACTTGATCTGGAGGCAGCTGCGCGACAACTGCACAATCATCTTCAGCAATATCGTAGCGAGCACGCAAAAGCTCCTATAATCTTCCTTGGGCATTCGCTAGGGGGATTGTTTATCATTAAGGCCTTGTCAGTGTACCAATCCCAGTCTCCTGTCGCCGATGCTATACTGGCAGACACAGCCGGCCTTTTCCTCTTTGCGGGCCACACATCTTTTCCAGAAGCTCGAGTGCAAACACTCGCCAGCCTTTATGGTGCAAAGCCCACCGACAAGATGTTCGCCGAGCTCTCTAGAAGCTCGATGGCGCAAGATATAGGTCAAGCTGTGAGGAATGAGTTGTGCACGAAGTATCCCCGAGTCAAACCTTCGAACGTTGCTCAACCAGAGCAAAAGGGAGTCACATCAGTATCCATCGGGTTTCCAATCTTTCAGGTCCTTGCTCGAGGCGAGGCAGAGGATGCCCTCAGCGGCGTTCTCCGTACGCCGGTGCGGACGATGGCCCTGGATAAAGAGCCGTCAAGTTGTCTTAAGTTCACAAGCCCCCAGGATCCCGACTTTCTCCATTTGGCGACATTGATACAGTCTGCCTTGCAGACCCATAAGCTTCTTCATGCTGCCGCTTTGGGTCGGGTCGATGATGTCCACTCCATGATCCGCAGAGGGACGAATGTTAACCTTCGAGATCGATGGAGTCAGACAGCATTGCAGGTTTCCGTCCGCTTGAACCATGAGAAAGTCGTGCTCAGACTACTAGGTGCGAAGCATGTCGATCCGAATCCGCGGGACCAGTTGTCAAACACGCCACTTCACTACGCAGTTCGAACAGGTAACGAGACTATCGTAAGAGCACTCATACACAATGGTGCAGACATCTCTCTCGAAAACCAACGAAAAAGGACTCCTAGAGACCTTGCAGAGAAGCAGAAATCCCGAAGACACATTTCCAAGCTTTTGAAAAGCAAGTTGATGAGTGGGCCGGATCAAAGCGCATCCAGCAAGTTGATAGGATCAGGAAAGCCTCCAACATCACAGGATGCTATAATCGCTTGCAAGAATTCGCAAATAACTGTAACAGAAATATACGCAACCCGAAACAGCGATAAGCATTGGAGCGTTAGCGTCTCGGTCGAAGCACTACTCTATGGGACCAGCACTTTAGACGACATACTTGATCAAGTAAGGCCACAAGCTGTAAAGACAAAATCACCGGTATGTGTATGGGTCCATGTTCCTGAGAACAACATGGTGTGGCTGGAGGATTTATTCGCCAAGCTCCGTCTTCACCCAGCAATATGGCAGGATACAAGACGATCAGTCACAGAATCGCTGCGAAATCGCGCAATAACACCGCACTTCAATGATGGAGATACGAGATCGCTATTTTTACCATATCTTAGTTACGAGGCCAACTTTCGACAAGCTAAGCGCACCACACATATCCAAGCCGTTGACGCGACGTACCAACAGAGGAGAAATACCGAACTTCCTTTCGCAACTAGTGCACTCGCTGCTCTAACTGAGGGAAGCAGCAGCCGGACGAGCGCTGCTGAACGAAGGCTTTTGCTACAAGTTCCGGAGGGAAAGAACCTAGAGAGCTATCCGTACCTCGAAGATGATTCTGATTCTGATTTCTCGGAGATAATTGAGGCCGACGATCCCGATGAACTGGAAGAGGAAGAGAAAGCATTGATCAACGCGTACCTTTACAATCCCCCAGCGCTGCATGTCCGCCGTACACTGGATCAATACTATTACCACATGTTGGAAAACACTCATGAGCGCGACATAGACCAGGTTGTGTCACGATGGGCTCAGAATGTAAAGTCAGCAACGAATCATAACATACTCATGGTAGATCAGCTCTGGTTATGGATTGGCCACGATCGCCAGACTGCTGCACCCGGCGAGCTGGAGATGGAAATGCTAAGGCGACGGGACCTTAGCAGTGATAGATCTCCGGAGAGGAGCAAGACCCAGTATGTCGTATCCTGTTTTCCTAACCGGACTGGGAGCGGGCAGCTTTCGCATCGTACTCTCGACGATCTCAGACTACGCGTGCTAGACCCGAACAACAGGAAGCGAGACCCCATTCGTCACCCAGAGGATCTGGTGTCAAGAATTCTGGAAACCTGCTGCAGTGTGTTCGATAGGATGCAAGATGTCGAATGGCTTCGTTTCTATCAGATGTTTGAGGACTCTGTTGGGACCATCGACGACAAAGAAACGAAGCTGTTTCGCGAGTTCCAACGAGGCTCTAACAGACTACTCGAGCTCGACAGCAGTAACAAGTTTTACAACGACAGCAAAAACGCACTTTTGACAGATCTCCTGGACATCAGGACGGAGATCGATTTGCTGGTGGAGATCAAAGACATCCGTGACGAAGTCAACATTATTCTCACCGTGTTGAGCATACAACGGAAGCTTGTCAGCCAGATGAGCCAGGCTGTGGGAGAAGAGGATGCGCTGTTGCGTACACCGCTCGTCGAGAACATGATCTCAGCGGATATCAACGATTTCACGAAACTAGACAGCCAAGCCAGAACTATCCAGGAGAAACTCAACACTTTAATGGACCTCAAGCAGAAGGCTGCGAACGCTTGGGAAGCGAAGGAGGCCCGCGAAACCGCCGTAGCCACCGGTAAGCAGGGCAACACCGTGTTGGTCTTCACTGTCGTAACGATCGTCTTCCTCCCGTTATCATTTATGTCGTCTTTCTTCGCGATCGGCATTGCCGCATTTCCTCACAATGAGGAGAGTGGAGAGGTCAATTGGCCTTTGGGCACCGTAATGGGCCTTCTCTTCGGCGTCTCGCTCTGTGTATCCATACCTCTCATCATCTTCGCCTTGAACATGGATTACTTCACTTCCGTGTACAAGGAGTTGCGCAACAACTATCTCGCTGGCATGGGAATCAGACTGATTCCGTTACTGCCCCCGCTTGGCTCGAGCAGCGATCCCACTGCGTATCGCAGGCGTTGGACGGGACTACTCCAGAAGCAGAGAGAGGACTATATGAGAAATGGCGACCCGGCAGTCGCAGCCTTGGGTGTAGGACCTGGACACCCTGCCGATGTGAAGCCGAGCACTAGCTTCCCTTCAACGGTCTCGTCGCATACTTTCATAGAAACACACGAAAGCGAGTCGTCTTCTTCGCAAACAAGGACAAGGCATCGTGGATTCCGCCCACGGCGAAAAGTGCCGGATGACGAAAGCTTGATCAGTAGCTAAGACACTGGAGTAAAATCTACAAGCATATTATTATTATTATATCTACACTTCGCTTCTAGCTGCCGAGTTCTAACACCATGCTAACACGACCCCGAACTGACCTGGTTCCACTGGTTAGTCGAAGGCCTCCATTCAATCGTCAACCCCTCCTGAGGCTGCACATTGTACGAGTACTGATTGTACTGGCCCGTCGCCGGTCTCTGCACGCCGATCGTGCCGTAAGCCGTATTAGTCGAGGCCTTCTGGCTCGTCGTTTGGAAGTAGCTGAAGACCACACGCCCGACTTCATCTTCGAAGAGGGTGATCATGAAATGGGTATAAGCAGACTGAGAAAGAGTTAGTATACTGTGGTGGCATCATCCTGTTGAGGAAGCACGTACCGAAGCGCCAAAGAAGGACATGAAGTACTCGATCGAAAGGGTGCGGTGACCCTCGTCACCGTCAATCTGGTAGTAAATGCCTTGCGTCGTGCCTTGCGTGACGAAGAGATCGGCCCAGTAGGCAACCCACGAGGGGTCGCCTGCGGCACGGTTCGGCAATGGCTGGTTCACGTAGGTTCCAGAGTCGGTGGTGCCGGGGGATACCCAGCCGTTGATGCCGATTATCAGTGTGCGACTGGTTACGCCGTAGAGGCCGACATCGAATGGAATGTTGTTGATCCTAAGGCCTGTGTTATCGTCGTAACTCCCCGAAGCGGCCGTTACGATGGCAGTGGGACGAGTCAATTGCACAGCGGCTTGGCCGACGTGAACAGTCTTTGTTTCCGTCTGGGTGGCGGTAGACACCGGGGTTGAGGTTACAGCAGCAGGCGTGAGCGTCGTTGTCGGCGTTACAATAGTTGTAAGCGTGGGAATCGAGGTCGTAAACCACGTCGACGTTACGGTATCAGTAGTCGTTTCAGTTGCCAGTACATTCTGGGTTTCGGTAGAAGTGGTCAGGGCAGTGGAAGACGCGGTCGTCGTCACAGTCGTTACAGGCGTTGTTAGCGGCATGCAGCTGCACGCTGAGGAGATGATGGAAGACTTGAAGCTTTGCAGCACGTATGGAATGGTCGCGGCGGCTCGCTTAGCGTTGCCACAGACGGTTGAGGTCAGTGTGGTTGTTATGGTGGTGAACGAGACGTGCTATAATGCAGTTAGAAGTTGGCCTCATCGCTCTCTGCATAGCCTAGAAGACTTACAGCGATTACTGTTGGAGTGGGTGCCCACTCGGTTGTGGCATGGGCAATGACGGTTTCTGATACAGCGTGCCCAATAACACTGACGCCATGGCCGAGCACTGTTACTGTTTCCGCTGCAGGGACAGTAGTCGTGGCAGTGGTCGAAGTTACAGTTTCCGTTGCAGTATTCGTCGTCACGGAAGTCGTCGAAGCTGTCGAAGTCTGCGTCGAGATGCTCAACCAGGAGGTACAGAAAGCACTTCCAGAAGTGTACGCGCGGAGCTTCGTGACACAAGGAGCCACTGCCACTGCGTTGCAGGTCCCCGTGAGAGCACTAACCGCAGGCGCAGCAGAGACAACTGGTGCAAGAAGCACGGTGGCTAGAAGACCCGCAAGACCAATCATGGTGGATGAAAGAGAAGGAGGAGAGGGCCTTGGGAGATGGAGAAATGGGAAAAGGTGAGTTGAGCTCTGCTATGTATATTCAAATTTTAGACGCAACGATTGATGCTGCAGGTAGAAGCTGAGTCGACTGCCATGCCCAGACTTGAACTGAGAAGCACTCTCTCGGTTTCCCCGTGTGGGTCATAGTATGCTCTGAGATCTAAGTCTATTGCATGGCGCCGCAAAGGGAGCTCTCGACCGTCACCTTGTAAAAATTTGGGCATGAAAGCCGGAGCAGTGTACAGTCTACATTGTGTGGCGCTGCAAACACGAGCTGTTGATTCTCGCGATGTGGAAATTTAGGTACTAAAGCCGGGGTCGTAGCCATGCGTGCCATGCAAAGGTGGGTTGCCAACTATCGCGGTGCGAAGTTTGGGGTCCTTAGGCTGACGCGGTAGACTTTTCGCATCTCGTGGCGCTGCATGGGCGGCCACTCCGGAGAACCGGCACTAGCGAGAACATGCTTCCATAACTCTCTGAGCCCAACTGTTGTCTGTTGGAGTGTGGGGTCCTGGGGCCAAGGCCGCATCGGTAGGCATTCTAGACCGCGATTCGCTCCGGGGAAGATGCAGGGGGCCGCTGCACGCCGAAATCATACGATCCACACATGCGCTCTCGCAGTCAGATCCAGCAAGCTGTAGCGAGATGCCTTTCCCTTTCTCGGTTTTCTTCATTGACCATTTCGGCCAGAGCACATGTGGCAGAACCTGATCGAGCTGAGCAGCCCTGTAAGCTAGGCTAACCCTGTAGAGCGCTTAAAATACTCGACCCGATCAGACCACGGTGCATGCTGCAGGTAGAGCGGCATGATCAGCTACTATAGTAGATCATTCACGGTGGGTGCTGGCTCAAGTTGCACACCTTGGCAGCAGACGCTACCAAAAAGGTCTGAGTCTATCCTGCATCTACAGCGATCCAGAACCATAGTCGTGGTGTTGGCGGAGCGCCTACACAAACATCCGAACCTCTCCCCAGCTGAACGAACAGAAGAGCTGTCAATTCGTGATGTGGCGTTTTCTCTACCCAGCAAATTTCTCTGCGAGCACACGTCGGCACTCCCGGACGCACCGGTATGGTATCGAGAAGGGTAAAGTGCTCAGGTTGGGTCGAGGCTGGCCACCAAGCTGTACAGACCGAGAGATATGTCAACGGGGTTCATATATAAACTTGATGCTTGCCAGTAGAACCAAAACTATCAGCAGCACGCCTTCTTGAACACACTCCACCCTCAACCTTGCAACAATGCAGCTCAAGTACGCCGTCCCACTGGCCGCGGCCACCTCACTCGCGTCCGCCGCCACATGCGCGAATGATAGCTGCCTCAAAGCTGTGAAGCTCACTGGAGCCTCGCTCGCTGGCAGCCCTGCTTATTGGGATTGCTACTTTGCAAGACGTGTGACGACAACGCCTGACGCGTACACTGTCTGGAAGACTGTGACGAAAACCGTCAACACAACGTCTACCATTGTTCAGACACTTGATGTCTCATCGACGACGTAAGTCAGACCTATTGCAACAAGTTATAGAATTCTACTGACTAGAAAAAGTACTCTTTCGTTCACTGCAACCGAGTGGATTACCAGCACGGAGAATCCAACCATCACCACTTCTACCATGAGCACCGTCCAGCCGTGGGCTGGTCATGCGGACTCCGCTCGTAGAAGGGCGGAAGCCCGGGCAGCCGAGCCTGTGCCGACTGTGAACTTCAATAACGCTGCTCGTGCCGCCATTGGGCACTTCCCACTTTCCGTCGCTGAAGCTGCGGAGACCATTCTGCCTGCGAAACGCCATGCAAAAGCATTCGGCCACTTCCCCTTGGACGTCGCCTCTGCAGAGCCCACCGGCCTAAGCAAGCGTTTGAATGTCTGCGGCACCAACGACAAGTATGTTAGCGCATGCTCTTGTGCCGGTGTACCACAGGCAACAGTTACTGCTGTACGGAAGACTGTTTCAAGCACATCTACCAGCACGGCCACATCGTCTTTCCAGACGACGTCGACCGTGACCAATAGCCACACTATCAGCGAGAGTGTTACTGCAACCGAGACCTCAACTACAACCACCACCCTAACCTCCACGAGCACATACTCCACCTCTGTGATGGCATCACCCACGTGCGCAACTTTCAGCAAAGGACCTACCGCTAACTGGCAATACACCTACAACCTCGAGTACGCTGGTTTCAAGACGCTCAATGACAACTCTCCTGCGAACAACGCCGGCGCCCCTGCGATTTCTCAGGTGCTAGATGGCACTCTGGGCGCCTGCGATGCCGCAGAAGATTGCGTTGCATGGGCCGCCACTCAATTCTCTCCCCTGGGAGGAGGATATTTCACTACCAACCTCCGATTCCGACCCGACTCGACGAACTGGCTGTGTGTGGCTTACTACGATCAGACACCGGCGTCGTACTACAACGTTGATTCGCCAGGAGTTAGCCAGTCGTTTGGATGGACGAAACGGCCTTGAGACTCCGCGCTGGAATGGCGCGGTGAACTGAAGTATGGATGGAAAGAGGGGAAAGAGGATAAATAGAATTAATAGTGTAGCATTTATGTCAACGAGTTTATTTATATCATTCTCCGTGCTTTTTATGTGATTTATCAGGTCATCTCATCCCAATAGTCTTGGCACTTTGATTGCATTCATCGGGAAAGTTGGGGGCCAGACCCTTCCGGATTACCTCTGTGTCTGCGGTCGATTTGCCACATCTTATGGCATGATTGTTCGAATATCAAAACAGTACGTTTTGCCCCTAAAGGTGGCATGGAAGAGTCCTAGTGAGATATACTTCGATTAGCAACCAGATATTTACCTACCATACGACACAAAAGTGATATTGATGGAAACATGAGCAAAAGTGTATACAGCCGTGGTTATTTTATTTAAAATCATGTCTTAGATATACTAAACCAACAATGTAAAGCTCAATTGGCAATCAAAAGCCCAGAGGTCTCTTTATCAACCACTATCACGGTCAATGTCTCATACCGTCTTCTCTCGTACGACGAGCATTGTTTCTGCTCTTCTCTATCACGAGCGCGTGAATTTTACGAACTCCGTTTTCAAGACGTTGTAGCTACATTGAACATAGCCCTTAGCTAATGTCTACACAATGAGTAGCTAAGAAGCCATGTCCTATCATCTTAACATTGTGTAAGGAAGACGCGAAAGTTGTTACAATGTCGACCACACATTGTTACAACACAAATCCAATTTGGTAAGTTGTTTTACATATCAAAATCGCACAACTATTCGCAGGACAGAAGATTCCAACCTTACTCCAATAGTTCAACACTTATCAGTCTCAAATAAGCGGACCACAGCATAGGCCTCACAACTGACCACAGACTTAAGCCATCACCATCAAACCATACCATCATGGCCCCGTTCACGACCAGTTTTCTCTACACAATCCTCGACAACCAGCCGATCTCCCCTGAAATCGCTCAAGAAGTTCTCTCCACCTGTCACACGGCGCAAGAAGCCATGGCCAGCATCTCAACCCTGATGGTGAACTACCTAGATGCCCCCTGGTATCAATTTAAATGGGTCACAGCACGGAAACACATCATGGATATGAATTATGACATGTTCCGCAGCCTGGACATCTTGAATACCAAGCTGAACCACTTGTATGTTGACCGCTCACCGGACAGCTCCTCACTAGCGTCAGCGTCTTCTAACGAGAACAAGGTCCACGACATGCCCATGTTGCCGCGCGAAATGCAGTCGTCTGGTAGCTTCACGCTTCCTCGCTGGGCCGAAGAGGTACAGAAGTCTGCCAGCAAGACGCGCCAGTATGCGGCGTGGCTGCGGAGCCGGAGCGAGACGGCGAGTGCGCAGCAGATTGAGAAGCTGTACGCGGAGATGATGGATGTTTATGAGTTGCAGCGACTGAACTTGCAGGCTGTTGTAGGAATGATGCGCGGTATACTTGCGTCTTGTGAGGCTGGTGATGGGGGCGTTTGGAAGTCGGATGTGTCGGAGGAGTTGTTGTGGCGGTGGTTGCCGGATGTTTCGTGCGAGGTGAAGCCGCTGAAGCGGGTCTGAGCGAGGTGAGTATGAAGAAGTGAGTGTCAATGTGCTAGATACGATGGAATCCTCCAAATTCTAATAATTTAATTTGACTGATGTGATAACCCCTGAATGGACATGTGTTCAAATGCTCAAGTGACGAATCTAACGTGTAGGACTTTTCCAAGTCTAATAGTACATCGTGTTAATTACGTTCTTGAATCTGATATGTGTGGGGTATCATTCCCTGACCGGCTCCATCTATGCTACCAGTATTTTACAAGTTATCCAACATTTATCTTACAAATTTACAATATTACACTCCCAACCGAGCCAAACTCTCTTCTCGGCCCAAAATATCCATGATGTCGTACAGACGCATGCCCTCGTCCTTGTCCGTAAGCGCTTTTCTCAGATAGTGGTACACTTCGAGCCAGCCCTGCCCTCAGGTCGGGCATCAATGATCTTCTTGACCTTAGCATTTAGGTGATCCCTATCCCAGACTTCGACGTCCTTTAATGCCTTAACATCCTGCGGGATGCCTTCTGCAGAAGTGACGGATGTGGGATGTCGCAAAAGCTGGAACATGAACGAGTTTCGGTACACGAATTCGTTTGCGTTGGTGTAATTCTCCGAGTCGGCTTGGATCACACGCTTAACATAGTCATCTGGTAGGAAAGACTTGCCCTTGAGTTTTTCCAGATCTTCGTGCTTGTATAACGAGTCGGGCATGCTGAGGAGTCCGACCACAGTCTGGACCATCTCGTCAAGGCCTTCGCCACCTGACTTGGCCCGCAAAGCAGCGTGTTTGCGCTGCAAGAAATGCAGCTTACCCATCGTAACCGTGGTATTGCCCTTTGTGAACTTAAGTGAGAAGTTCTTGACGAGATCCTTCAGATCCATCACATCGGATCTCTCTTGATGCGCGACCAGCCGAGCAACGCAGCGAAATTCGACAGCGTTTCCGGGAAGATTTCCATCTCCTGGAAAGCGGCAATGTCTGTATCGAAATTCCTTTTACTGAGCTTGTTACCATGCTCATCAGCAAGCAGGCCAACATGTGCAAATTCTGGGGGTGTCCAGCCGAATGCGTTGTACATGGCGACGTGCTTGGGTGTCGATGGCATCCATTCGGCCCCTCGAATTACGTGCGTGATCTTCATGTGGTGATCGTCTACGACGTTGGCCAGATGGTACGTTGGAAGCCCGTCCGACTTCAGTAGAATCGGGTCTTCGTATGCGGCCTCGACGACATGGCCGCGGCGCTTGAGCGGCTTGAATTTACCGTATACGAGGTCGTTGTAAGTGGGGTATTGATCCGGGATCCGAAGTCTTATGACGTGCGATTCGCCCTTGGCTGCGCGGTCCTCTGACTCTTCCTTTGGTATATCGGCGCATGTGCGGTCGTAGTCTGTCGCCATGCCCATCTTGTGCCGCTGTTCCGCGAGAGCGTTCAGTCGCTCCGCCGAGCAGAAGCAGCGGTATGCATGCCCGCTCTCTAGCAGCTCGTGCGCATGCTTTTGATACAATTTGCTTCGCTCTGATTGTCTGTATGGCCCGTACGGTCCGCCAACTTCTGGCCCTTCATCCCACTGCAAGCCTGCCCATCTTAGGTCCCGGTAGAGGCGCGATTCGGCGTCTGCTACTGTGCGCTTTTGATCCGTATCTTCTATGCGAAGCAGGAATTGACCGCCTGTTGCCTTTGCTAGGAGATAGTTGAAGAGTGCTGTTCGGAGAGAGCCTAAGTGGAGGTAGCCAGTCGGAGAAGGAGCGAATCGCGTCCGCGTCGGTGACGAGGGAAGCGCGAACGGCTTAGCAGTCACGCCGGCTGTGGTGGACTTTGCTCGCGTTGAAGGTCGGGAAAGACGAGCCAAACATGATCTACAGGTATACGACGGCAATTGGGGCCTCAATAGCAGAGGGAACGACATGATGTGCGGACGAATGAGGCGAGCTCCAATGGCGCGTTGCATCGGAAATCCATGGCAGAATTTTCTCACCGCCTACGGAGAAACTGTTGGGCCGACGTCAGTTTCCGAGAAAGTTGCAGCTTCGAGACGTGCAGTTGCCTATTGCTGTGTCTCCGAGATTTGTGTTTGTCGTTTGGGAGCGCCTTTAGATACCCTTGTTTTCCTTGTAGATATTCTCTCGTGTCTACCGACAACTTTTTCGACGCATCACAGATTTCACCCCGCCATCAGACCCAATCAACAGTAAGATCTTCTCAGGCAGTCGGAAGCCCCGCTAACTTTCTCGCAGTGGCCGACATGGAAGAAATCGACCTTTACGGTAAGATTGGCGGCAAGAGTCTCTCATCATATCTGACAATAGCAGAGGTGCTCTCCATATCGAAAGGCGCAAGCAAGGCGGAGATCAAGAAGGCCTACCATAAGGTTCGTACATACTTTTGACCCACTTCGGTTGTGTTCAGAGGCTGGAAAACATTCATACTAAATCTCGCGACAGGCCGCGCTATCCCACCACCCCGACAAAGTCGCAGAATCTGAACGCGAAGAAGCTGAAGTCCGCTTCAAAGCAGCCAGCCAAGCCTACGAGATCCTCTACGATGATGACAAGCGACACCTCTACGACACGCATGGCATGGCTGCGTTCGACCCTTCGCGAGGCGGTGGCATGGGTGAAGGGCCCGACATCAATGATATCTTCGCGCAAATGTTCGGCGGCATGGGTTTTGAAGGTGGGATGCCAGGCATGGGAGGTATGCCCGGTATGGGCGGCATGCCGGGCGGCATGCCAGGCGGTCGGAGACAGCCACGAAAGGGCGCAAATGTAGAGCGCGAGTACGAGGTTTCGCTGGAGGAATTGTACAAAGGCAAGACCACTAGGTTCACCAACTCGAAGCAGGTGGTGTGCGAAAAGTGCAAAGGAAGCGGTGGCAAGGAAGGCGCAAAGGCGCATCAGTGCAGCCAGTGTAACGGGAGAGGTTCGCAATCACCGTGGCCTGCAATCTTATGCTTGCTTACGATTTGTAGGTCAGAAGGCTGTCCTCCGACAAGTTGGCCCCGGCCTCGTAACGCAAGAAACGGTTCCCTGTGGTACCTGCTCCGGTAACGGGGAAATCATACCCGAAAAGAACCGCTGCAAGAAGTGTAAGGGAAAGAAGGTCGTGGACGGCAAGAACGTGGTCGAGCTATACATCCCTCGTGGCGCGCGGCAAGGCGACCGGATAGTGATCGCGAACGAAGCAGACCAGAAGCCCGATCAAGAGCCCGGAGACGTCGTGTTCGTGATCGAGGAGACGCCCCATGATGTCTTCGAGCGCGCAGGCGCAGACCTGAAAGCGGATCTGGAGATCTCCCTTGCGGAAGCGCTGACTGGCTTCAACCGCGTTGTTCTCACACACCTGGATGGCCGCGGTATCCAGTTAAACGTCAAGCAGCCGGAAGGAAAGGTCCTCCGACCGGGCCAGATTCTCAAGGTCCCTGGTGAGGGTATGCCAATGAAGCGCAGCGATGCCAAGGGCGACTTGTATCTCGTGGTCGAAATCGAATTCCCCGAAGACGGCTGGCTCAAGGATGACGCTGCCATCAAGAAAGTCCGCGACGTGCTGCCCAAGCGGGAGGCAGACGAAGAGAAGCATGAAGATATTGATGAGGTAGAGTTTGAGTTTGATGCGGATGCGGAAGAGTTCGGTGCGGGTAGCGGCGACCCACGCGCTGGCGGCGGATGGGAAGACGATGAGGAGGAAGAAGGTGGTCCGCAGTGCGCGACACAGTAGACGACAAAATGAAAAAAAAACTGCATTGGACGGCGTTGGCGGGCTCCCTAGATCTTGGATCAATGGGATACGACTTATGTATTAGATCATGCGTAGATATCTTAACGTCTCATGTGGGCGCGAGCAACGATATGTTTCGGCACTGCAACAATTTGCATGAGTTCTGACCGGACTGCACTGAATCTGTGGAGCCATCACGGATCGTTGTCAGTAAAAAGATGATCTTAATATCGCTCGGTGTTTATTCATGCCGTTCTTTCTCGATTTTGATGCTTCGAAAGACGTCTTGGTGGTGCTTTGAATTTGGTATATGCGCCCAGCCTACAGTAGGCTGTTTGGTGGCTTCCATCCTCCTCGCGGCTTCCCTCCGTCGCCCTCCAATTGTTCCGTCACATCTGGCTATGCCCGGGTATCTCATGGCGGTCTGCTGACGTCTCCGTTCGTCATCGTCTCCCTCAAAGATATAAGAACTGTGCTCCCTATGAAGGGTGCAGTGAGCTCACTGCGTAGCTCCCTCTTGCGGCGCAATTAGCACCACCGAGTCGCCTATACACTCGTTAGTCTGTACCTTCTAAACAGCTCTGCACGCCACAAACCTCGCACGAACAACATTTCCGACTGCTTCTTCACCGTCTGAAAGCTGTTAGCTCCTGACCATAATTCTGTGCCCCAACACTAACCCTCACTCTCGGTGGCTGGTCCTCCTCCTCTTCCTCGGCAACGTATATCGTCTCTTCGACATCCCCGAGAACAAGATTGCAATGGCTATCGTATGCCTGTTCCCGGTCAGACAGCTAATTCGCAATATCGCAAGCTTCGACGTACGTGTAGGCGGCCCTTCAGTTCGCGGTCGCCGCGCAGTTTCACAACAACGATTTCGTCGATGCAGAGGCGCACGAGGTCGAGCGGCTCGTTGCTAGCCTCGTCTCTTTCGTCCATGATGGGCGTGCGTGGGCGATTGGACACAGGACCGTAAAGTCAAATGTTGTCCCGCTTCGCACTGGAGGTCGAGTCGAGCTCGCAGTTGATCGCCAGGCGGCTTGGCAATGCGGGACGGCGGCTAAGCTGTGTTAGTCACTAGCGGGTCTCTAACGGTACGTCATTGCCTAGATCTTCACGTTACCAATGACCGAAACAAGTCCCACTGGTGTGTACCCTGAGCTCTCCTGAAACGTCTCCTCGGAAATCCATCTTTCCCACGAGTCAGAACAGTCGCAAGCATGGCTGCGGAAACAAAGCAGGGCAATCCGCTGGTGGAGGCTCTTCCGCCGGCAACTGACTACCTTACTTATCTCACTCTCGTTGAGCAGGTCCTTACCGAGGACAACCTGCCTATTTTGCACCAGGTCCTACAAGATACTGAACTCACTGTCAATATTGGGTGGGATTTGGTTCATATACTGCTTCCACTACTTCCGTCTTCGGAAGAATGCCTGCAGGATGTTGCTGCGAAAGGCAATCCGAGGGAGGTCATCTTGAAGGTCACGGAAGCTTTGAGATTGCTAGAATTCGAGGACAGAGAACGCGACTCTGATGATGAAGAGTATGACAAGCCGACAGGAGGATCTTTAAGCAAAGCAGCGGCGATTGCTGTTGGAGAGTCGAGCATGTCGCCTGCGCTCCCGGATACCGTACTTCCACCACTACCTGTCCTGAAATTCGAAGTTTTGCTCGACCTTTTGGCCACATTGCACAGTCGCGTCAAGGCAAAGTACCCTAGCCGGTTCCTAGCAACCAGCTTGCAAGCAATTCTGACAGCTTACAATCGCGCGACATCACACCGAGACGAGCTCACATTGTCTGCCATCAAGCTTGTCAAGACCCTCTCGGGGACGAAGAGACCACACCTACCTCCACGAACACCCAGTGGCAACTTACTCCGTACTATGTTACATCGATCGGAACCTGATCCTGAAGCGCAAAGCGAGTCGCCGACCGCAGATGAAAACACGCTTACCAATCGCCTACTGCAGTCATTCCTTACGCATGTTATGGAAGACTACATCCTTACGCTTGCCTCAGAGGACGATGTACCGGGCTTCGCTTGGTCTAGCAGGCTTATGGAAAAGTACGAACCCAGCCGGATAAGGCCTGACAAGCCCAAGTACGGCGACCGCTTTGCCAATGAAGACGCCCTCAAGTCACGGTCCGCCATAGTAGGGCAGCTCGTTGCTTTGGCGCAAGACTTAGGTCTCAAGACGCAAGATCTAGTTACGGCCATCATGGACCCAGAGACAGAGAAGCAAGGCATACCCGGCGGAGAAGATGAGCCACCGAATACTGCCGAGGATATCCCGTTGTCGAAGACCGGTGCCTTGCTGCTATATACCGCAAGGACCGTGAAGCAAGAGCTGTATACAAATGTCAGCAGCGACGACGCGCCATTCATTCACATCTTCCCAGACCATGCAGCCATCCTACAAAATTACGTTGGCATCATCGGTCAGCAGACGGTTGGAATGGAGCCTGAAGCACTTCTTGACTCCATCCTCGCTCTTGGTCTGATAGCCGTGGAGAAGAACGCTGTTGGTGAACCTACCGACGATGAGGCATTCGCAAAATACCTCCAGACGACATCCCTCATCTCAGCGAATACGCCGTCGCCGAGCTTGAGGTATCATGCACACTACCTCACCTCCACAATTTTACGCTCCCATCCATCCAGTATTGTAAGATTGACCTTCATACGCGACACGCTGGAACATTGTCCATATGAGAACCTCAAGGCCAGCGCCGTGACATGGCTAAAGGGTGAGACACTTGAGGCGAACCCCAGCATCCCCGCAACCTCCTCGTCTTCACAAGTCCACGAGCACGACGAATCTAATGACTCCGAAGAAGCGTCTGTATTTGCTACACCCGTCGCACTGCACACCACTGCGCCATACCTATTCCCGGACCTGACGTCGACTTACAACTCCGCCACAGATCTCTCGGAGTCCTTCATGCAGTTCCGACAAGAGTTGGGCTTCTATCTCGCTACGTTGAACTTCTATTATCTTCTCCTCTCGGCGAAACCTTTGCATGATGCGCTCGACATTCGCACTTTGCACAAGGAAAGTAGGTTAGAGGAGCACTACCTTTCGCCGCTGAAGGATGTTGTAGTTAGGTTTAAGGGGGGGCTTGGCTCAGGATGGAGAGTTAGTGGGCGACGAGAGTGAAGAATGGGTTGGGCAGGCCAGAGGTGAGGTCGAGCTTCTAGGCCACGTTATTGGAAGGGTTGAGGCGGCGGGGACTGGATTGGCTTAGACGTGGTTGTTCCTGTCAAGAAAAAGGTATGGCGGTGGTCACGTTGTGGAAGCGTGTCATAGAGCAGAGGGTGCATGTAAGTCATGTAATACGAGAAGAAATGCGCAACGATTGATATGATCGCATCGAACAATACCACGACCTGCACCGCTCAAATTCACGACCCAACAATATCCAGAAGCGAGCAACGAGAACTGTGCAGGCCGAGGGGTGTCTTGATCTCGCATCTCGTTCCCACGGCCATACGTGGGTGATATAGCAAGTATCGTTGCGGGTGTATGACCGAAATGGTAGCTACTACGTCGCCAAATTTAGCAATGGTACAGCCATTGCGATGATCGAAGGGAACGCTACCGGCCATGCTCAAATCTATAAGCCTGTGGGGTGGCTAAGCTTTCAACTAGCCGTCTCCACAGCCGCTTACTTGGACGTCATTTGACCCTTTAGAGGTGGCCTCAAAGCACGAACCTCAACATTTGTCTATCACCAGTACGAGAGCTTTCATGCTGGCTACGACGATGCGAAAGAAGCTTTGCATACCAATCAACACGCTGTGCGTGAGCGTGTATGCACCGTGTAACGCATTTCCTGGGGTACATGAGCGAGTGGCAGGGAGGTGCAACTCGGCTTACGAGCTCCTGCATTAGGCCTAGTGGATCGACGTGTCGGGAGGGGGGCTGTGACTATACAAACGATCGCAAACCGTTTAACCGTTTAGATGAGGGGCCTTTTGCTCGAGGTGACTCGGGGATGTAGGATCGTGGGGTCGGAGTTGCATTGGTGATCGCTATGGATCTCTAACCTATAACCTAACCCTCTACCCACAAACCTGCCTATGATACCCACCACTTTCGCTACGATTACAGACAATGCACTGGAATGTAGGCTATAAGAGTTGGGCGGTATTCGCACTAGTCTTCGAGCTACGTACGGTGATCGCGCAGAGTAATGAGACTTTGGTCCCATTCGCGTTCAAACCTCTTCCCCTCGGCTCCATTAAGCCAAACGGCTGGTTGAAAGACCAACTCACCCTCTCGGCCAACGGTCTGGCAGGCCACCAACACGACTTCTACGACTTTGTCGCGCACTCGACCTGGCTTGGTGGCACCTCGGAATACTCCTCCTTACGTGAAGGGTTCCCCTACTGGTTTAACGGCCTGGTTCCCCTAGCGTATACTCTCGATGATTCGCGTCTTCTGGAGCAGGTGCACTCCGCTGCGGACTATGTGCTGTCCCACCAGCAGGATGATGGGTGGCTCGGCCCTGAGAATGGGACAGACAGGAATTTCTGGGGCAGGATGCCCTTTTTGCTGGGGTTGAAGGGGCTGGCTGAGGCAGAGAAAGGTGGGGAGTGGGAGTCTAGGATTGTTGATTCGCTCTGGAAGTTTATGGGGGTGACGAACGAGATGCTGAGGGATAATTTCACGGGGTATCACTATCATGAGGGAGATGCGGTGGGGCAGGGAGACGAACAATGGTATGTTTTCTTCCAGAGAGAATTGATGATGGGCAAATGCTAATTAGATGGAAGGGGCCGTGTTCGAGTCCAGGATATGATTATCACTCTTCAATGGCTTTACGAAGAGCATTCTTCCGACCGCAATGCCTCACAAGTTATGGAAAATATGCAGCTCCTCATAGAAGGCTCGCTGAATTGGGCTGATTGGTACAACCCCGAGATTTATATCAAGGAAGACCTCAACACACTGCCGGTATCCGAAACCGAACCTCTCTTTGCCTACGAGCATGGTGTCAACGTTGGCCAAGGTCTCAAGGCCCTCGCGGTTTTCAGACGCGTTACGCACAACGACAGTCTAGTACAGACTAGCAAAGATGCCGTAGATTGGACTTTCCAATACCATGGCGCTGCCTCAGGAGCCATTCTTGCAGACGAAAGACTTGCGGGGCTGGCACCGTACTACGGATCGGAGACATGTACACTGGTCGAGACGATGTACTCGCTGTCGTACTTATACCAGGCTCTGGGTGACGCGTCATACGCCGATCGCTGCGAGAAGACGGCTTTCAATGCGCTCCCTGTCCAGCTGACGCCGGACTGGTGGGCAAGACAGTACGTCTCGCAACCGAATCAGCCTTACGCACAACATTTGGATGAGACTCCTTTCTGGAATGTGAATCAATGGGGTCAATCATACGGTCTTGAAGTCGATTATCCTTGCTGCACGGTCAACCATCCACAAGGCTATCCCAAATTCGCAGCAGCGATGTACGTTCAGGCTGGAGACGGTGGTATCGCGCATGCCCTGCTCGGACCCGGAAGCGCTACGGTCGGCGATACGAAGATTGATTGCGAAACGGAGTACCCCTTTAGCAACACGCTCACATACGCCATCACCGCGAAATCCGAGTTCTACTTCCATGTGCGTGTCCCTTCGTGGGCCGACGCGTCAAAGACTACCATATCCACCGGCTCAAACTCCAGCGCTGTCAATCCTGACCCGCAAACCGGCTTACACAAACTCTCGGTTTCATCCGGTACCACAAAAGTAACCTACACCTTGAGCGAGCCATCAATCATCCAAGAAGATCGCGCAAACGACACCGTCGCCATACACTACGGCGCCCTCGTTTTCGCCCTCGCCGTTCCCTCGACGAACTCCTCCACGCGGCCCAAGCAGTACGGCTCCAACGAGCCGCTGCCAGTAGACTACGCACCACCCCAGGCCCTCGATTACTCGTACCACAATGCTTCTGCATGGAATTACGCCATTGATCCCGACACGCTCACTGTGCACCGCTCCAACGAAAGTGGCCTCGCAAACCCGCTTTTCGCGCCGGGGGCGCTGCCCATTTGGATGACTGCGAAGGCGTGCGAGATTGAGTGGGGGGTGTATAAGGGGGTGCCGGATGCGCCGCCGACGGGGGAGAATAGGAAGTGTACGGGGGATGTGGTGGATGTGAGATTAGAACCGTTGGGTAGCGCGAAGATCCATTTGGTGGATTTGCCTGTGTTGAAGCTTGTGGATGGTGGCGCGAGGGGTGGTGAGAGTATCGGGACGAAGGAGAAGAAGTCTACTGAGATGCGGCAAGAGTGGGGATAGTGGGGTCGTGAGGTTGCTCAGTGCGGTTCTTTTTGGATTGCTCGCGTGGCAGATGCTGTTGATTCTCATATGGCTTCTTATTGTTCATTCACTGTGCTTGTAAGTGGTGGTGTATTGAATACAGGCCTCAATGCGTCCGTGGGAGGGCTTGTTGAAATATGATCGTGTTTTTGGAGTGGATCCGAAGGATTACGCAGCACTTGTACGTCATTCGACGAAACTTCTAAGATCGCTCCACCCCAGAAGGTTGAACCGGTCTAATATGATGATCGATCAGCCCCAGAGTATATAAATGCAGCAACCCGAAGTTGGAACTTACCATGTTGATATACCGTAGAGATCTTGCAGGCGCTTCGATTCGATGGCCATGATCTCGGTGGGCAAAGGTACCATTCGGGGGAGCGGGTCCCACTTCAACGGCACCAGAAACCTCCAAGTTTTGATTTGCAGCTCGGCTCGCAGTCGCGTTGACAGATCAAGAAGCGAGTCTCCCTTCGCCTTTGCGAACCTTCCGGTTAGCGGGATTTCGATCTGCCTTATACCGGCCCATGGTCGAAGTTCTTGAGCAGAATCTGGGCCCCAACTTTTACTCGCGATCTGAAGTTGCTCCGTATGTCTTCCTACAAGGAGCCACGCCACAATACGTTGGTTATCGCCAGCTGCCTGTATGGCGTTTGTGTAACGGCCGTCAAGTACAGCGTCTATGCTGGCGCCACGTCGGACCAGATAGCGTATCGAGCTTAATATCCCTATGGTACAAGCCATAATGAGAGCTGTACCACAGTATGGTGTGACGAATTCCAGTTCGGCTCCTGCTTGTATGAGAATGTTCATTCTTTCGATGTCCCCTTCGGCGGCTGCCTTGCTTAAGGAAAAGGCATCGTAATCCTGCTCTATCTGACGACTTTGTTGGCTACCGCAAGACCTTGAACGGCACAAGTGTCGAAGACTCCTATTATTCATCGAGTTTGGATAGTACAAGGTAGCTAATGTCGGAATTTCCATGATTTGCTTTGCTTCCGGGATTGAGGCTCGGATATAGGTCGCAAATTGTTGACTTTCCAGAGCCGTAAGACAGATAGGAGCTCGACCATGGATATCCTTTAGGTAAGGATCCCAACCAAGCTTGACAAGATGATCGAAAGTTTCTATTTCTGCTGTCCACGCCACCTGATGGAGTGCACTTCGGCCCCATGTATCCGTCATGCATGCATCAATGCTGGGTTCCATGAGATGCCACATGTTGGTCCCACCTTCTTTACACCCTCTCATGAAAGGAGTCATTAGATCAACATCCCGTGGACGCTCCCTGGCATTGTGATTCAAGAGCAACTCGCTACCTTCGGCAGATGAGAAGCAGGCTGCAAAATGTAAGGGCGTTTCTGCTAAGTCAGTCAAGGCATTGGGTTCTGCGCCATGCTGTAGCAATCTCTTCGCAGAGTTTAATTGTTTGTTCTTGAGAGCGACATGAAGAGGTGTACCTCCCCGGACGAACCAATCTGGCGTTTCGGAATCATCACTAGCTCTCATTGGCCACTCGAGAAACCTTTTCTTGACATCTCCATGGCAACGAGAACCGGATACAAAGGAAAGCGAATTCCTGCTCCATATTCAATTGAACTCTTGGTTAACATGGATCAGTGGCACTTACGCATACAGTTGTGCATTGGTAGACACGTGATTCAAAATAATATCGATTGCTTCCGAATTCATCGCAGCTGCAACATGCAAAGGCGATAATTGGGCATGTATCCAATGGTCCTCATGGTTCAGAGAAATCTGTAGGAGCTTTGCTAGTGTTGGATTGAAGCATTCCCGCGCGACCGCGATATTCAACCCACATATCGGTCCACGATAATGCTGTCCGCATGTATCAAGTATGGAGGTTGCACCGTGGGCCAGAAGTAGTTCCACGACAGACAGTTGACATATTGCTATTGCCACAAATAGGGACGAGCAGCCACATTCTAACGTTCCATTCACAGAGACCCCTTGATTTATGGCATGATGGCATGCGTCCAGGTCGTCGGATAGAATCGCCTTAAATAAGTCTGTAGGTTTCCTCAGGTTTTCAAGTACGAACGGTGGTACTTCCACACCACAATAAGGCAGTAACTCTATGAATTCTTGTCTGAACTCCGGGTGTGCCACTAGCTCCGGTGTCTGACCGCGTGCATTTGGTAGGAATTGGGCCTTCGCTTCAACCAGAGCCATGACATGCAGAACATTGCCAGCGGCCATCGCAATATGGAGAGGAGTAGCTCGGGTTCTCGTCGCCGGCGCATCGATGTTGGCACGGTTGCTGATTAGCCATTTGACATGTTCGACTTGTCCCCAGTATGCCGCGAAGTGCAACGGCGTGTATCCTCCATGAGTGACCTGATCCAGATCAGGAAAGAAGCCAGTATCTTGTAGTATCTGAAGCATATTCTTGGTGCTCCACGTGGCTGCAAGGTGTAATAGATTACAACCCACGTGCTTATCAAATTCGGAAGTTGGCGTACCATCGATGTTACCATAGATAGTGTACCGACGTGTCCAATACTTTACAGGAGCATTCCTGGTAAGTAAGAGCTGCACAAGAGCAATATTTCCGCTGCGAACGGCCCAAGCATGAATTTCCCATCCGTGATCATCGGTAGACTGCATATTGGCTTGATGAAGCTCTAACAGCTGTACAGCCTCAAAAAAGCCAATCCGGGCTGCTTGAAGAACCAGAGTCGCGCCATTATGGCAATCCGCAATTGAATTTGGATCGACGCCTCGTTTCAACACAATGTCTAATTTCCCCAGCGCGCTTTCTTTATCGACAGCGTCAACTTGTAGAATGATAGACGCCCATCGAGAGCTACTAGCGGGTTTTGAAAGCTCCAGTGCATCTGCTTTCCCCGCGACTTGTTCCATGATTCCGAGAGAGACGCTTGTTAGGCAGCTATAATCGAAGACGGACCGGCCATCGTAGTACTTGGACGGAACCAGGACATCTACCCCTATGTCGAGCAACAATTTTAGCAAAGACTGTTGACTTTCGTGTATAGCCCATATAGTGAAACGAATCAATTGTGGATCGTCCATACGGGTTAGCAGCAAGGAATGGTTGAGAAGTATTGCTTGGAGCGACGTGGCTAAATTGCTTTTGTAGTCGTTGTCATCCGCGTTTTCACTTTCCAGGTCCAGAATTGCTTTCATCAGAAGTGAGATTCCAGACCTTGAAGTGCTCTTATCGTAAGCGCTGCATGCTGCTTGTTGTACAAGCAGACAAATCAAGTCTTCCAACATCCTCGTCCACTTCTCATATAATCCCCAATATTTAGGTACGAGCTCGACAATGCGTGGCATATACGTTGAGCACAAGTAAAACCACGGAAGATGACCGGCATTATCCGTGATTGCAACTGAAGAGGAAGTAATGATCTTCTCAAGAACCGCGGTACCGATGACGTGCTTTTGGGTCTCCATTGTCAACTCTGAGACGTACCGATGCATAGGGTTTGAGAGAAGTGAATGTAGAGCTGTCTTGCCCGCATTATTGCACCGATCAGGATGCATGCCCTGCTCAAGTAAAAGTTCTACCACCTCGGGTGACGTATAGGCAGTTATGAAAAAGAGAGCAGTGCATCCAAAGTCGTCTGTTGTGGTAAAATCGAATTCGGTCTTCTTCAAGCAATCTAGAATCTCGTAAATGCCAAATGCTACTGCATGATAGAGAACATCGTAGCCGTCTAGGTGAGCGCTAGCAGCTACAAGTACGTCTAGAATCAACATGGCGCAAGACGTGTTACGATTCGTAATCGCCGAAAGAATTGGCGTATGACCTTTCCTGCATTTCACTTGTAAATCTGTGCAATCTCCGTTCCGGTTTTCCAGAAGTAGTCGCAAGATATTATCGGATCCAGAGCAGGCAGCAACGTGCCAGGAGGTCTCGCCGTTGTCGTTAGTCTTCATGATGACGTCAGGGTAAAGCGTCATCAGGACCCGCAACGTGCCCGCTGCATCATTTGCCGCGGCGAGGTGAGCGAGTATCGTAACATCGATCTCGTCACTCGTAAACCTATGATCACGAGTGAGATCCTCAAAACGATCGGCGTGATTGAATTGCACCGCAAACTTGACGGCTTCTATAAAGCCGTTATCCATCATGACCTCGACTGGCTGTCGCTGTGATGGTGCTGTTGCGTTTCCACGGTGGATGAGTCTGAGCAGATGTAACCGCGTTTGATAAGATATCTGACGCTCTTCCAACGAGTTGATGATCTCTTCGCATTTATCAACTCTCTCAAACATAAACGGTTCTCCTTTGAGTTTTTCCAGTGTATCTGTGTGAATTGGCATGCCATATTGAAGCAGCTCGAAGAAAGTTTCTTCGAAATGCTTCCCACAATACGCTGCATAGCTAAGTGATGTTGCTCGTGTTGATTTTGCCTTGCAGTTAGCGCCCGCTTCAAGCAACAAGCGTACAGTCCCTCTGGAATATTCGCCATTGTCGTCAGGATCGTAGTCATCGGTATCTCCGCAGCCGAAGATAGCACATTCCAGCGGACCTCCTAGGGGAGACTCTTCGTTCACATCGTAACCTTGACTCAAAAGCCATTGACATATCTTTTCTAAGTGAAGGGTTGCGGCGGCGTGTAACGGGCCAAAAGTAGAAAAACATAATTTTCTTGAAAATGCTTCCAGAGAAGTGTAATGTACAGACGTACCTTCCAGCGAATTAAAACTTCCGTGCTGCAAAATCATCATGTAGACGTTGAAGGACAGTCTAGGATGAAAAAGCCTGGTGAAATGGCTGAACAGCTTCATATCGTCGTCGTCGTCGGAACTTATGTACCTAAGTGGGTTTTTCAAAGCAGCGTAGCCATGAAAAGGATGTTGGTTATTGAATCTATTGAGTCCTTTTTGGTCAATCATGGCTAGGCTTGGTCGGTCAAAATTTGATGCAGAAAGATATGAAGCACACGTGCTCGTCAGAATCGATCTGTCTTCGACACTGAGTCTAAACCGTTTCAGTCGGGAGTCTTCGGGATCGATAGCTTCTAGATACTCCAGAACAGTGAAATGGGCCAACTCAGGATGGTCTTGTCCTTTCCGTATCAGACTTCCACAGTATTTATATATGTAGTCGGGATCCGGTCGGTCTTCATCGTCTAGTCGTAATTCCTCCTCATTCAGCGACAAAACATCAAGCAATCGTTCCAGAGTGAGTGGCGGTGATGCATAAGCAATCCAACGTAATGACTTTTGCACCAGCGATATTATCGGAGGAGATTGAAGTCGTAGAAGAAGTCTTTCGTAGGATTCGTGCAATGTCGCGGGTAATTTCTGTAGGGCTCGACGCCTTTCCTTGTCTGTAGGTAGTTCGCACAGATGGTCAAGTTGACATGAGACCCAGCGAAACCTAGTAACAGTTTGTCAGTAAAATTTTGTGTAAAACCCTCACTTGGCTATCGATACTTACATTCCTGCAGCTCTCGTAACGAGCTCGTGTATGATCTCGTCTTTGATCTTACTAGTCCGCAAGTGGAGCTTGCCGGTGCTGATTCTGATCTCCATTTCACTACGAACAAAGTGATCAAGATCTTTCGATTTGGCTGCAATCTCAATATGTCTGTAGTCTCTTCGTTCGATTGCTGTCCCAATGTCTGTTTCGTTCCTGCTCAGTAAAGCAAGGTACGTTTTACAACCGCTCGTGTCACACAAAGAGAGCAGATTTTCCGTCAAGCTCCCAGCGTTTTCTCCACATTCATCCAAGCCATCGACCACGATTCTGACATCTTCGAAGCTTGACGACATCTCGCGAATGATACCAAGCAGTTCTGACGCTTCTGGTTCTTTCTTCAGTTGGTCGCGCGGTTTCAATCGCGAGTAGTAGTCCTTGAGTACCTGGAAGCTGACCTCGCTCTGCCGTGCAATTTGTGAAGCCAAACAGGCCAAGACATGCATGGGTTTTTGGGTGGCGGGATTCTTGTAGTCGCAGTAGAAGAATGCCACAGCACGATTCTCAGAAGCCTTCGCCATACAACCTTGGATGACAAGACCGGACAATACCGTCTTGCCCGCGCCAGGGATTCCGCTCATCCATAGGATATTACATGAACTATTGTTCCATTGACAGAAAGTTTCGTCTTCAGTCAGCCAAAAACCAGTGGTGGCACATCGAAGCCTGACACTGGTCTGGAAGCCAGGCTGCGGATCGACAAAGAGAAAGTAATCAAGGATACTTTCGCGCTCTTCGTCTAGTTTGATGCGTGTGTCGATGTTCTCCCTCTGGCGCAGTAGCGTCTCAACGCTTCGTATGTGCTTAGAGAGGTCTTTTTGCACAGACAAGCATTGCAACAGTGCGTTGAAGCTGTCTGCATTCAATGCTGCATTAAGAGTGTCACGCTGTTTCCGAATATCCTCAATGTATTCCCGGACTTTTATGTTTTTGAAAGGCCACGCCAGCTTTTGTAGATGCTTCGAGATCTTCCCAGGTCCTTTGATGCCAATTTTTCCAAGCTCATCATCAAGTCTGTGGAGGAGGGCGAGGCAGGAACTTACATGCTCTGGACGAATGGTGTAGCTGACGGTACTATCTGCCTCAAGGTCGCGGGCGACCAAGCCGAGATTGTGTAGCACGCCCGTCAACAGAGCAATTTCATTCTTGAGGTCCACAACCTCCTTCTCGGCGCCCTTGACGGATTGGACGTAGTGAATGAGTTTTCGAAACAAAAGGTCGCCTAGGGAGGCCAGGCCGGCAATGGAAGCTGCTACTGAGAGTGGGTCCGCCATCGGAGCGAGACTTGACTGGTCGTGTGTACCTCGAATTGAGTAAAAAAGATGAAGAGGCACGAGCCACCATATAGCGAGCTTAAGACGAAATCCCATGCCAGCTCCCAGGCGCCACCACTATGAGGGGCATGCGGCTGAGCATCCATTGATACGGTCTTGGCGTGCATGACAACTGCAAGAGAACGCAGTGATCAACGAATGAGCTGTACGGATGGAGAAGGCCAGGCTGAGAACTAGCCTGGCACCATGCACAAAACTAGACAGGATTCTGCCTCGAGAAACCAGAGCAGCAAGGTCGGTATTTTAATTGGTCTGTACATGTCAGCTATGCAGCCAGGCTGTAACCGGTGTATTTGAAGCAGGCTGTGATAGGTAGGGAAGCGCAGCCTTGCATCTGAAATTCAGCCTGACAATGCCTTGGAGGTCAGCCACGTAGGCAGACAGAATGGAGGCAAATGACAGCAGTTTGAGGTGCGTTACGATTGTATGAATGAAGAGTTGGAGCAGGATGCATATGGTAGGGCAACGGAGCAGCAAGGCGCGACCACGGAGTGACATAATTGACGAACAAGTGGTCCGTGCACGTACGTACGTAGGCACTCAGGTAGGATCGTTTACGCAAAGAATGCGCCCACCCTCGCAGTTGCCCAATTCTGTTAAGTGTATGATATGTCCTGCCTGTTAGACAATGATACTTCTACTCTACTAATATTCAATATACGTTGGATAACTTGATATCTATTAACATAGGGCACTGAGCTACTAGTAGAAAAGGTGTACTAATACTTAATGGCTAATAAGAGACAGGGAATATGTCATGCACTTGACAAAGACAGGGAACCGTACCATGGTACGGTGGGGGCACTCTTCTGGCAAAGCACCGAGAAGTGCGCGATCATTTCTCTTGTAAAGAACATCTGACTTCATTAATATTATTGGTAACATCATACATACGCCGTTCAATCCCATCTAACGACCGTATCGATGACTAATCCATTCTATCGCCCTAGAACTTACTCTTACACGTTCTCTAGCATGACCTCACTACAATCTACGCAGTAAACATGAATGCGGATAAACAAGCAAAAAGGTCATACACCATTCCATTACCATCTCATAATCATACACCACCCCCTCCATTACGGAAACTTCGCCTCAAACTCCGTAGAATCCATGCCCCAAATCTCGATCCAATTTAGACTCTTCGGATCAACCAATTCCAGCCTCCTTATCGGCCCATTTCTCAAGTCATTTATGGAAGTTCCTCGCCCGCCAAACGCGCTACTGTGCTGCGCTTCCTCTTCGGCTCGTGCTTTGCTTTTGCCCTTCGGCCAGACTACGTCCCCTAGCTTGAACGCCTTGTTGCCCATGCCTACGTACTTGAGTTGGCGATACTGCGGCCGCCACATCTCGGTTGCGAGGGCGAACTGGTGCATCTCGATGTCCATGGCGTCGAGGCGGGCTTGGAAAGGTGACCCCGGTGGGACGAGCATGCGGATAGCCCAAAGTTTGGGTGTATGGGAAAGGATCTGGCGGAGAGACTCCATGGGCGGAACAAAGCAGGCGAAGCCTAATTGCTCAAGATGCGGGAGGGTCTGGCAGATCTTGAAGAGCGCGTCGTCGGAGAGGTTCCAGTGGTCGGAGAGCAGGAGGTGGCGCATGGTGCGGTGGTTGGATTGGATGGCGGCTAGGTAGTCGCCTGCGACGCTCTTGCACTCGCCCTCTGTGATAGGACGGGGGGTGGAGGTGCTGCAGGCGCTGTGACCATTCGTATTCATGTTCGGAGTGGTATTCGAGGAGGGCGAAGTAGGGGTTTGTGCTGTGCTGGTTGTTTTGGAGGAAAAGGGCTTGCTGACAATGTAAAAGCGCTCTAAACCTTGGAATTTGGTCAGCATGGGAACCTGCTCTGGCTCGACTGAGTCAACGCGGAGCATCTTGAGGTTCGTCGGGATCGGCTGATTGGGGCTCAGACGCCATGTATCGTCTAGAAACACCGTCATGGGATCTGAGGATCCCATCGAGTTGATTATAGTGACCTCTTCAATTGATGCGGGGTTTGTTGCCTTCTCGAAGCCTTCGCCCTGATTTCGACAGTAGAGATTGTAAAGTGCGAAGCGCTTCAGAACAATAGAATATCCGGCGGCTATGCAGCGCCCAAAGTAGGCATTCAGCTGGACGGACTCTTCTCCCGTTTCGCGCATACGTGGGTTGAAGTGTAGTTTCAGGTTCTGGAGCTTTTTCGATGTGAGAAGGAGGAGGGATATGTTATCGGGAGAAGCGAGCGGGTCTATGTCGTAGCATATGAGGCTCATGAGGTTCGGAAGTGGCGGAACAACAACCGTAGGCCGGGGTATTCGCCTAGATGGAAAGCGGAGGATCAGAGAAGTTAACGAAGACTTTTGCATGAGGCCCTCGTAGACAGTCTGTAGGGGTTTGGTATTCAGTTCCCAACTGTGCCTGTTAGCACCCAGCCTCGCCGCATAGCAGACGACCCACGTACGCGAAAGTTTTGAGGTTCTTCATCTTATCCATCGCCGCGCGCATGGCCACCTGAAGCACCATGCTATTGTCGGGCACACGCCCTTTCGAGTAGTCGTCCACATCGTGTTCCCGCCACTCTCCGATCACCCTGAAGGTCTGCACATAGTCGGCAAAGGCCCGCGACACCAGCGTATTAAGCCCCATGGCGAAGGGACTACCGCTGCCATAGCCCGTTGGCCTGCCATTGACATATCGCAGCTCGGCGTAAGTCCGCAAGGTGACTTCTTCGTATAGGCGCGGCAGGGTCATGTAATAGAATAGGCGCGAGGTGCGCGTAACGCGCGCGAGGTCGGCCGCATCGTCGAGCTGGAATCGCATTCGCGTCAGTCATGGCCTTCAGCGCTGCGAAAAGATTCGCGCAGCGTCACATACGTAGTCAAGTATTAATTGTATCAAATGCAACGGAAGCTCTTTGCCCTGCCCAGACGCATGCGACCTCGCCGGGCTTGTGACCCAGGCATGTGTCGGCGCAGTAATGGGTGGCCCTCTCGACGTCTCCGTAAAGTGCCTGTATGCTTGCGCTTTCGCGCTCGGTGTTTTCGATGTTGACGTCGTCGCGTTGGCCGGCGCAGCGCGGGGCGTGGGTGTAGCTTCCGGCATTGAGGCGAAATACCACAAGCGACGATGTGATCTGTCACGCAAGAGCTATACACATGCCTGGCAGCGTAGTAGGATGCACAATGTGGGGAAGAAGCTGCCCCAGCTTACCAGAAGCTTGCACAGTATGTGTCAGCCTAGAAATTCTTCGCGCAACGTCAGGCCTCCGACTCTCCGGTATCTCCGCCGCGTTTGTCCCCGACTTTCCACTAGAGTTGATCTGCGCATGGGTATCGCGATTTGTTCCGAAGCATGTGAGTGGCTGACAAGGCCCATACGGTATGTACGGTAGGACAACATGGCAAATTTTCGTCCTGCCTCGGGGTCGGACTTTCATTCGTCTCGCCTACAAGAATAGTGCAATCGGTTTTCTAGCCAATGAAACCACGCTCTCGACCCATCTCGTCCTTGGGCTCATGGTCCATGAAGAACCACGGTTTCTTACCCTCATATCCCCCCCCTGGGAACTCGAACGGCACCTCAATCGTTCCTTGGAATACGCTCATTGGCGGAATCTCTCCACTGGCAAGGCGTTGCAGCTTCTCTGTGGACACTGGTACCACGACGCCGCACTCCCAGTTGTTGATCTTCAGTGCACTCTCTTTTCCACTCTTCAGGATGTTTTGTGAGCCCCAGGCCGATTCTGTTGCATTCGCGGACCCAATATAAACCCAAGCAAATGGCGTACCATCCTTCTTGTGGCCTCGAGCCAAAAGGATCTTGTTGTGCGACAAGAGACCAGTTCGTGTTGACTTGTGGGTTCGGAGACATTGACGGGCAAATGCAGCAGAGTTGTAGCTCTTGGAGTTCAAGGTGATGATTCCACCACAGTCCACTCCTCCTGTGCTATTGACGACGGTATCGTGTGTTGGAAAATAGACACGGATGTGATCAGCCCAGCCTTTCGGGGCTTTATCCGCCAAAGGATGCAAGCCACTGGCAGCCAAGTAGATCCTTTGGAGGAAGTCCTCCTTCAAATTACCTAAAGAGGATGACGCATAGTCCAATTCAAGGCGATCAACGTTGTGAAGGTCCAACTTTCGTATGGATGTAGCAAGGCCAGGCAGGCCAGTGTTGCTACGCCGTGGTCCACTTGAGTGTGTTCCTGATCTATGCCGTTGTTAGCTTCTCACTCAATGTAGGCGGATCGGAACTCACATTGAATGTACAAATGCAAGATGTTTTGTTTCGGAAAAGTCGAACTTGCACAACCCTGCACGCACATTCTCCCCAACCTGTTGTGCTTCGAGGAACGACACCAGCGAGTGTCCAAAAGCAGTCTCAAGCTTCTCGGCAACTACGCCTCCCAAACGACGAGGCAGATCTATCAGGAACAGTGTGTTCTCGAGAACGGCTGGCTGCCAAGACCCTGGTGTCTTCGGATCCTTTCCTGTCTCTCCCCATTCTACTTTCATCAAATTGGCCGTGGGAATGACGATCCTTAAATGCGTCTCGTGGAACAGTAACATCAACTTGCTGTGCATGGTCGTAGTAGCACGCATCGGTGGAAAATGCGGCTTGACGTTCGGGGTATTACATTCAGCTAGCTCCTGGAGTATTTCCTCTCGCACTGCATCTGTATTGGCGCCTATGATCCAAATCTGTTTAATTCTCTTTGGATCTGCTTTATGGAGCACCCACTTGTCGTCCCACTGGAACGAGCTCAAGACAGCTATGTTGCAAGTGGCGGCCTGCAGAACCTCTTCGAAGCTAATATCATCAGTGCGGGGGTATTTGTACGCCCAGGTACGCTTGATTGCGCCTTTGGGATATTGAATCCCATCAGGCTTCGCCGAATGAGTTTGTTTAGCGACTTGTTTCGATGGCCTATGTGGAGAGGCGCTGCGCTTTCGCTTCCCCAGTCTCGCGAGTCGCTCTTGTTCCATAGCCTTCCTATCCAACGTGCCAAAGGTCGCAGTTGTCGAAGGTTTTGTTGTCGGAGTAATCGAGGCGTCTTTTTGCGGTTGAGCCATGGTCTGGCTTTCAGGAGCGTTCGCAGAGGCATACTGAGAGGGACCATTACCGGAGCCTTGCGACCCAGTAGTGGGGGTGTGGCCTTCCGATATTCCCTCGAGTGAGAGAGCCATGGCCAGGCGCAGGTCTCTGTCGTAGCTCGACTCTTCTGGGGCCGGTGTATCGGCTGCGTCCTGCAAAGAAAGCGCAATTGCACGCTGAAGTTCATCTTCGTCTTCGGAAGTAGCCATTCGATTGGACTTATCAGGAAGGCTGTGTTGTTGATTGTTGTGCAGCAGAGACGAAGCTCTTTGAAAGTCGGCGCGCGCTATCGCGTAATCACGTGCTGATTGCGAAGACGCGTGGATGACATAAGCTGATTAAGCATCACTGGCACTAAGATTGGCAATCACCCTCAAGTGCCTCATGTTTGATATACCTATAGTATCGAGAACATCAACATCCAACTCGTATGGTCGCATTGATGCTTTGCGCAATTATGGACATGCCTAACTGCGATCTGCTTTCACGGGCTCCGACTTTTAGTGATCAGTAGTCAAATGACCCTGTGGTCCTGGCCGGCATCCGCGGGTGCCGCAAATTCACACGATGAGCCTTGGATGGTCAAGACACTACGTCATATTCTGCAGTCGTACGAGGAAAAAGAAATTGAATTGCTTAGAAATCGGACTCCGGCGTCTTCTAGTCGAGTACGAACTATAACGGAATGGAGACGTCATGTCCTCCAGCCGAAGCTTACGATGCCACGGTTATCGTACTTGACCTGCCGGCAAGACACGACTGTCATGTCAGCTTCCCAGACCAGCGTTGCCTTGACTTGACTTGCTCCATGGCTTGACTATCTCATGAAGTGGCTCTAAAACTTGAGCACGGTAGGCTCCCACAATTTCCGGGCTATCCCAATTAGGTTGAGGTCCAAATGAGCAATCGATACATCGTCGGACCACCTCAGCTATATCTGGACCACAATCTCCCTCAACCTGTTCTTGCCATTTCCGGGCGGTGCAATAATCTGTGAACTCATTTGGTTTTCCGTCGTCCAGGAATTTGTGACGAAAAGGAAGTGACTCCAAACTTTGGTTGAATATGAGCTCTAAAATGATGATCCCTAGGCACTGCAAAGATTCCCGACAGTCTCTGATGGATCCAGTATTGACGGGCGAACTAGATGGGAAGGTCTTGCTAATGTAGAGGTCTGTGGCTGTAGGGAAACGATTCGGATTCGCCGATATTAGTAAGATATCGCGTTTGCCCCATTTCGAAGGGATCCAAGAAGTCGGCTGTAGTCGGAGCATTGCGGAGGCCAAAGTCCATGCAAAAACAAGTCGTTCCTTTCTTGTGAGCCGCCTCTCGTTTGTATTTTCGCATTGGTCGCCTGAGAGAATGTGTTCTAGAGAAGTTGTACGTGACTCATGCTCCAGTTCTGCGCGTTGGTTGTCCGAATAGAAGAAGATTTGGTTTTCCGTTGTCGCTGAGGTCACAAGATAACCAAGGCATGTAGAATCTACACTCCACCCAGGCATTTCCGAGCAGATATCCCGTATCTCAGTAACGTTCTGACGTTGCGATAAGTCACGAGAACAGGAATTGTGTGCTGCTGTTGGTCCCGTTATATTTCCTGCAGACTTTTTTGAGTTTGGAAACCGCGCATTCTTAATCACAGGTGGAGCCTTGGGTTTTCCAGGTTTCCTGGACTCGGATCAGCTGATGCTAGGCATAGCATCGAGCTCACTTACTTGAGTATACTTTCCGGCACCACAGGCTGTGACAATGCAGTGATTGCGAGCCCCGACTGTAGCATGGCTTTGCTGATACCGAGACTGGAAGATGGGAACCATTCGACGAGGTTTGCTCGCTGATGAACCTGATTCCTCAAATCCAATAATTCACTGGCCGCTTTGGTATTTGTGCCTTTCACTTCTGCACTCTGGACATACTTTATCTGCGAGACATTAGTGCACACTTTGACCGGCTTTCGCATACTCGAGGTTTCGAAAAGCACGCGAAGCGTAGTATTGGCGAGGCTTTGCTCCTCATGATGCATATCGAGACAGATCTTGCTTTCATGGAGCGTATTGCAATCACAAATCCATCGGCTCTTCAAGACGCTGTAGAAAGCCTGCGAATGCTGTCGTATGATTCGAAGTGAATCCATGAAAGGTGTTCTGAGTCTTGTCCGCCGAAAGGGTCCCAGTGCGTCGTTTGAAGTAACGAGATCTTTGAGCTTATCGTTGTACTTTTCAAGACGCTGTACATGCTTTACTTTCCCACGGGAGAAACTCAGTCGCAGTCGGAACAGCTCATGATCTAATGTCGAAGCCTTGATGTAGTCAACCTAATATTCGTTCAGCCATGACTTATGTGAATAAATCCGGAATACAATGAGGCGGGCTTTTGATAAAAATTGTAGCCTCACATTCTCTTTTTTCGTGCCCAAAAGTTTGCTCAGGCGGTCAAGTATATCGTTCATTTTCCTGCAGATGGCCAAGTACGGTTCGTAAGAGTCGCCCAGTCGTTCCTTCACATCTTTTTGCAAGGTTTTGTCCTCCCAGGCTTCCGGGCTCCGTTCGTTCAAGAGAGCGTGCATCATAGAGGCGGACAATATGAATGGTGATAGCAGGCTTTCAAGGTTGAGATCAAATCGATTTTGTTCCGTCACCAGCTCTTCAATAAAGTTACTGAACTCTGAGTCAAATGTCCACCATTCCTTGAGAGGCTCGAACCCTTCCCGATAGTGTTCAGCAAAGCTTATAAGCAAGGGAAATCCAGCCAGCACCAAACCTGCGATCTCAATGCCTGACATCGTCTTGAAGCTTTTTGCAGTTCCTTCCCAGGTTGAGAATCGTCCAAGCCAGCGGTCGAGCGGATAGGAACAATGCTGACATTTATGCGGCAAAGGGGTAAAAACGGGTGGTTACGCAATGGAGGGGTAATACGAGCTTACGTGTATCAGAAACTTCAGCCTTCCCATGTTGAATAGCTTTGGGATAATACATCGACATCTCAAGATCAGGTCTGGAAGCTCACCTTGAATACTTGCGACATAATACAAGACGTCTATGAGGGCTCGTTGGCCCGTAGGAGATCGTCTGCTCAGTCATGGCCGCTCGATGGACGTGCATGCTGGATGGTCCGCGTTTGAGTTTCCCGAATCGAACCAATGCTGATACGGGGTCGATTTGCGCTTTTTGCATGGAAGAGAATCCAACGGAAGAGCATTTTCTTCAAAATCACCGAACTTATGAGTGCTCGAAGAGAGACGCGACTGACCGAACATTCTATCGACCAGACCACCTGCGACAGCACATTAGAAACTTTCATGGAGCCACTCTGTGTGACATTGTGCAAGCCCGCTGGAAAACAACTGCTACTGTCACAGAAATACAGACGCTAAAGGTCGCACATGAACAACGGGCGTTCACAGTCGCAGAGCAAGAGACGTTCAAAGTCTATAAGAAAGGGAGGATCTATGGCCACCGTCTGGAGACCTGGGACAAGCGAGAGTCCTCCGAGCCTGACTCCATTGCTGCGCAGTGTGCTAAAGTCGTGCAAGGCTTGGACACATTGATAACCCGGATTACCATTGGGCAACTCACTTTCTCCGAAATCAACCAGACTGGGATGCTTGACGAGAAGGACCGTTTTCTAATCTGGGCTGTGAATATTGGCGCTATGCATGGCGCCCAGTCACCTGCATCGTTGGAACAGCGACTATCGGAGGCCCCGCAAATTCGAGAACACATTGTCCGTATCCTGAAGAGGCTTGAAGATTCTATTGTAAAAGGTACATTAGCAGACTTCTGAACGTATAGACGTTGCTGATGACTGTCATAGCAACATCAATTGTGGCAGGCTCAATTCCAAATAGAACGTACTCGCTAGAAGAAGGTCAGGATGTAGAAGGTATTGAAGCCTTAGAGATCTCAGACGATGACTTGTCATCCGTGACCGACACTGACTCCATCTCGGATCGACATGAGCATCCAATATCCGAAGTCGCTGAACTTCGGAGAGCGATCAAAGATACCATAACAAATCTCTTTCGTATGTCGGTGGTCATCAGGAATCCCACGCCGAGAGGTAGATATAAATCCTCCAGAAACCAGGAGCCCATCGATCCCGCTTTCGATATCACTCATGTGCGAGACAAATTCCCTACATTAAGTGATAATTACGATGATCTCTTAATTAGGCACTTGGGAAAAGCCAATACTCGGAGGCGCGAATACTTCCGATACCGTCGCGAACATCATCTGAAATTACTCCATGACCAGGCCCAACCAATGCCCGAATCTAGCGAAGGGAACATTGCAGAACCCAATGAGCTTGCTTCAAGCTTTAAGGCTACCACATTCAAGGGCCCAGATACTATGGAACTCCCAGACGAGCTAGAAGATCGCGACTTCGATGTCGGATCCATAACGTCCTTTGCCACGACTGCACCTGGTGGCTCTGGAAACTTCCGACGTATACCTGACCCACCAAAGAGGGGAATTGAAACCGATTTTCACTATGGATCGTATTTCGAATGCCCATATTGCTACACGATTCAAAATGTAGCGAATCGCCGCGAATGGAAGTAAGTATCGGTGACGAAGCGTATTGAATTAACGACTAACACAACCTACAGACGTCATGTATTCCAAGATCTGCAGCCATTTACATGTACCTTTCCTGGGTGTAACTCCAAGCCCTTTCCTGAGAGACATGTTTGGTTTGAGCATGAACTGAGCACACACCGTAAAGAATGGCGATGCAGTCAATGCCAACACAGCCCCTTCGCGGACGTTGAAGAGTTCGAAAGACATCTACGGCATGATCACCCGATCAGCTATACGGCGGAGCAGCTTCCCGGCATCCTCAGCCTGTCGCAATTCACTCTTGACAAATTCGCACCATCCAGTTGCATATTCTGCGATGATTGGACATTACCCAGATTGCCGGATAAACCTGTCACGAGCCCAGTATACGCAACAGCCGAGCAATTCATGAAACATCTAGGAAAGCATCTCGTACAATTAGCACTGTTCTCGCTTCCTGGAATCGAACTCACTGATGAATCGGACGATGATCCAGAAGAGATCAAATCAGACGGGGCTTTCTCTCCCGTTGTATATGCGGATCCGCTTCGACCGACCTATACCATGCGTGAAGCCATACTTTCAAGTGTAGAGATGCTCGAACTAGACGTGTATCAGGCGGAGATCGCAATTAAAGACACCAAAGAAGGAACCAAAGAACACGCATCAGCTGAGAAGCAATCAAAGAAGGCTAAAAAGGCCATCAAAATTAGTAATTGGAAATTAGCGTTGCACGATGTAGAACAGGACCTAAAGGGAGACAACGACGAACGAACGCAACGTGCACTCATAGACAAGAAGAACGGACTCGAAGCAAAGTTAACGTTCAAGGACAAGCGGAAATGATACGATCAGGTTTCAGATGAGGTCCATGAACCAGAGCAAATGGTGAAACTCATCACAGGATCGAATCACCTGTCAATCGGACATGTGAGAGACCACAAAACACAGAGAAGTAGATCAATCAACAGTTCCCGACCCTCTCTATCTATGTACAGATTACCTTGTCTTCCTCCCAACCTCCCAGCATTAAACAGCAAAGCACACCAAGGAGCGTATACAGTCAGTCAGTCATATACAAGAACCAGAACCAGAAATTTACATGCCCACCCAACCATCCAAAGGATCGTCATCACCATCCTCTCTAACCTTCCTTCATCTCATACCAACTCTTGCTTTGATTGATCCAGTCAATCCTTTAACCCATCCAAAAGGTGCATTTACTCGGGCTTTCCAAGGATACCGCGGGCCATGTGCCTCTTGCGAAGGTTATACTCAACAGCGCGCTTCTTCGCCGCCGCGCTCTGGGTGAACGCAGCGGAGCCACCGAAGGGGCCTGCAAGCGCGCTGTTCTGCATGCGGACGATGCAGACGTTGGAGGCGCCGCCGGCGGTGCCGGAGCAGGTCATGCCCTGGGGCATCTGGACCTTGACGGGGAAGTCGGTGGTCGTAGCCGCAGAGAGACCTCCGATGCCGAGGCCGGGGACGTTCTGCGTGACCTTTGCGTCCTGGAAGGCAGCCGGGTCGGTGCCGCCGGAGGTGGCGTCGACTTGGGCGGTGAGCGGGCCGGCACCGTCCTGGTTGACCTGGTGGAAGGTCATGGTGATGGTGCCATCGTCGGCAGTGGTGGGAAGGCCGGAGGCGGCGCCCGCACCGGCGGCGGCGGCGACGCTGTTCTCGGTGGTGCCCTTGGGGGTCTTGGTTCCCTTGCCTGTGGGGGATGTCAGTGAAGGTCGGATGTGAGCGTGAGTATGGGAGTTGCGTACCAGATTGGCGCTTGGTGGTAGCAGCGCCTGCGGTTGCGGCTCCGGCTCCAGCAGCACCAGCAGCACCAGCAGCGGGACCAGCAGCGGTGGCACCGCCAGCTCCGCCCATGAAGGAGGCGATAGCAGCGCCGGCGTCGACGGCACCGCCACCGTTGGTACGGCCGAGAGCAGAAGCCTTGCCGCCCATCTCACGAGTACGGATGATGGAGGTGTCGGCCTCAGAACCGCACTTGGGAGTGGCGCAGTCACGAGGAGTACCGTCCTGGACTGTTCATTGTTAGCAAGATATCCAGAGAAGGAAATTATGAGTGCTTACCAGAGAGACCAGGCATGTTCACACCGTTAGCACCCTGAACCGCGGTGATGACACCGTGAGCAGAGGTGGAAGCCGCGAAAGCAGCAATGGCAGCGAGAGAGTAACGCATCTTGATTGATTGTTGGATTGGATGAAGGATTAGAAGTTGATGGTATAGTCAAAGACCGTGAAGAAGCTTGGTAGGAGAGTATTAAACAAGCGGCCGGCGCAAGAAAGTATTAGGAGGAAATGGAAGAAGAGAGTCTAGGAAACTGTTGAATGAAGAAGCTGGTGGTGATGGTTCTACTTCGGAGGATGTACGAATACCTTAAATATGTCTGACGATGCAAATAGAGACGCCACACCTCGGCGATAAAGCTTGGTACTACCAAGCTTCGACCGCTAAGAGTCAAGCCAGGCTTGAGGATGCTGGTGTTGCTAGGGGCAGAGGTCTCGGAGCCGCTGCAGAGTTACCGCCATGAGACCGGAAGCAGAGCACCCAACGATGCGGGTGAGACGGTACTAGTCGAACCATATCGCCCAAAGTGGAGCGAAAACTAGACGACTACCAGTATGCTTGTAGCGGGTAGATCTTCTCCATCGGCCTGGGCAGGGAAACCTTGGTCATGCTTGGCCTGGAAACAGAACGGTCGTCGGAACAATGTTGCCCCCCCACGACGTCGAGTGCATTGATGTTTGATATCTGCAAGAAGTGATTCCTAACACAACGTTTCGGAGCTTTGCGGAGCTCTAAACTTATCTGATTCGAAACGTAGAAAGCGGGTTCCGGGGTGCGTGTGACCTATGAGGCTTGCAGCAGCATTTGCGATGCCGAGGAACACCCCAAGAAGGTGCGCACTGGTTACTCTATTAAGAATCGGTAGAGTATGACTGGGGCAGTTAGGCATAAGAGGCGCAGCGCAAGGCTGCAGCAAGTGATGTTTAGTCTTGCACTGTTCAGGCACATGGCTACAAACCCACCCACACCGCGTTTTCCTCACCAACTCTCGAAACCATAATGTCTATTTCCGTTCCGTATCCGCCGTATCCGGTTACGAGAGCGACACCCCCCAAACCAACGATCTCAACTCTTGAGGCTTCCAAGCCGATTCCAGATGGTCCAACACACTGACAGGCCGGCACAGCATTAATGGACATGTCCGAATCGCATCTGTTCCCATTGTTAACAACACCAAAAGCGAAGCAGTTCCATCACACCGCAAGATCAAATGCGAAGAGAAATGGTTTTGGAGTAGCTGTCAAGTGTTTTGGGCACATATAGTGAAACGGATCGGTTTAGAGATCGTCTCCCACTTAGCGCGATTCTGGTCTACCGTCTGTGAGTGGTCCCCGACCACGTTTCAGCACGCACCGCATCGCTTCAGGCGTTATTCAGCGACAGTGCTAGAACTCGTGTTGAAGTCATCGACTCGTCCTATGATCCACTCTGCGCGATCTCTTGACAATCTAGACGGGAATAAGAGTACGCCGACAAGTGGTATTGCACACACGGCTCCTTATCCACAACGTAAAGAAAGTAAACATCAACCTGGTGTGTTGAACTTGCCACCTCTTCACCCATGCATGTCTCGCATGTGTCGTGAAAGAGGTCAACCCTCATCGCGTTCCTCTCCAACTCCTTCCACAAAAGCTCTGAAGTCCCCTCACTTCTCTGATCCATACATACCTAACGCAAATCTCCTGAATCTCAAAGTAAATCGATTCGAGCGGCAACAGAGCCTTGCGAATGAGATTTCGCATGAAAAGCAGCAACAACTTGACGGCCCTTGTCTGCGCCTCCCGTCCACTCTCCAACAAGACCTCCGCCTCCGCTTCCGCGGCGCCAGTCTCGCCAGGGCCTCGACCCATCTGCTCCATCGTCCGCAGCGCGTGCTGTATGTAGTCTGCGATCACGGGCGCCGGCTCGATGTTCAGCGCCTGCAGCGTGTTCTCTTGCAGCAGCGTGGTTAGGAAGTCGAGGGAAGATAGCTCTATAGGGAGGTGTGTGAGCTCTGGGATTGCGTGCTCAGGCTCGGTTTCTAACCTCGAAAGCATGCCCAGCTTCCAGCGCTGAAACTCGTTCAGCTTTCCGGCAGAGTGCTTCGCGGGCGACGAGGCGGTGCTCTTGGGGGAGTCGCCGTCGGGCTCGGGCGTGCGCTCGTAGATGCCTTCTTCCTCGAGCATGCGCACATACGTTCTCATGTTGAAGAGGGACGTCTGCCGCAACTCAACATAGTTGTTGTGTAGTTGGCGTGGGCTTGCGCGCGCAAATTGCGAAGGGTTACGCGACTGCACCAGCGCCTTGATAAGCTCCATGCGCACTGTGTTGACCTCATCGCTGGTTATAGAGTCATGTACTTTTGCATCGTTCTGTGCCGATGGCGTTCCTAGCCTCTGAACAGCTTCGACCCAGTGTGACAAGAAGGGGTTGTTGCGCAGCGGCGTGGTCTGGTTGAGGACGTAGAGCCTGTATTCGCAGTTTACTAGCACAGCAAGTGCTTCCCATGAGGGCTTGGACTTGGCTGTTGAAGCCCAAGTCAGATCTCAGAGCCACACAGCCCGATGTTTAGCACCTACCTTGGGTTTCATACGCGTCTAGCGTGTTCTTCAGCCTCAGCGATTCTTCGAATATGCCTGAATCCGCGGCATCTCTGTGTGCGCCGGCTTGTCCCAGCTGTCGGTTCGCGTCCTCACATGAACGGTCGGCGTCGCTGAGGGCGTGTATCTCGGCTCGAGTTAAGGCGGCGGCAGTGTTCATCGCTCTCTAGCCCGGCTGGGTCGCGCGTCGGGTTGGTTCTGAGAGCGCGTGCGGGGAGACATGTGTTATGCGCGGCTGGCGTGGCTCTTGGTGCGTCCTGCGGAGTGCTGCGGTGTCACTTTCGCAGTTGAATGTCAGATTCCATGGTTGCGCCAAGCAGAAGCCCAAAAAGTCCCACGGAAGTCCGGGGCACGCGTCGGAAGGATCAATAACATTAGCACACATACGTCACAGACGAGCTGCTGCCCAATTCACCGCAGGTTTCCGCCATTATTCGTACCATCATTCAGGATTAGCTTAGCTACGACTTTTCGCTCTTAGCATTCCATGCGCGGAAATTACACAGCACAACAGTGACACCATAGCGCCCACCGCGTGTCCGGGATATAACCGGGTTGCTGGGCGGCAGCCTTTGTTGTTGAAGCAAGTGGGGCACGCGCACTGGATTGTGCAACGCCCAACACGTATTCGAATTTGAACAAACCATCTTGCGACACGTTAATGATAGTTTGTACATAACAACATGTATGCCCCCTTGCTGTCCATGATGCTGGTCATATGAATATATTTGCCGCCAGCGTGATGTAGAGCTCAAGGCTGGCCTACAACTGCAATTGCTCGATCGACGTATTCGGGTTAGAAAATGTTCTAGATATCCCCAGCCAGTTGAAGGTCATCGTAAACTCAATACTGTATCACGCAAACCTACCTGCATATCCTTGGCAAACATTCCATTGGCTCACAAATACGAGCCAACTGTTCAGCTTCAGTACCTCCAGTAAGTCAACCCTCCACTCTGATCCCATGCCCAAACAATGGCATCCTTCAACTACGCCAAAATCCCAATAGACTCCACTACCAGCGAAATCCGCCTCCTAGACTTACACCCTACATCTCCCCTCAACAATCCCCTCCCCAACTCCCCACTAGTCCATTGCACCCTGCGAAAAGCAGCCTTACACGACACCCCTTCCTTCCACGCCCTATCCTACGTCTGGGGCAACGAGAAAGACAGAGGTCTAATCAGCCTGCAAGCAGACGGCGAACAAGATGCAACCACCGTCTCCGTAACGGCGAACCTCCAGTCCGCTCTTCTCCACCTGCAACATCCTACAGATAAACTCACGCTCTGGGTTGACGCAGTTTGTATCGACCAGTCCAACGTGCCGGAGAAGAACCTCCAGGTGCAAATGATGAAGGATATTTACGAGGGGGCTGCGCGGGTGGTGGTGTGGCTTGGGGCTGAAGCTGATGGTAGTGGGGATGCGTTTCGGATTCTGAGAAAGCTGGGGGAGGGGAGACAGGCGGAGGATGCGCTTGCGTATCGTGACGCGCATCGTAGTATGGAACAGCCGCCCTCGGGGTATGTTCGGTTTCGGACGTTTTGCAGGGAAGAGGCGGCGAGGCTGCCGCTGGGGTTCAATATGCAGGCCATTCACAAGCTGACGCTGCGGCCGTGGTGGCAGCGCATCTGGGTTGTGCAAGAGCTGGCGCTCGCGCGGGACGTGGTCTTTGTGTGTGGAGGGGAGAGTCTGGCTGGGCGAGCGCTGCAGGCTGCCTCGCTGGTGCTTTCTTTCGTAGTTATGGAGTTTGTGGAGATCGGGGAGCCTACGCGTGAGGACTATGTGACGAAGTCTGAGAAGGTGTATCAGTATGCGAATATTGTGACTAATATTCCTGATTCGGCGATGGGGCGGATGTTAGGACTCCGACGGCGCTATCAACTGGAGACAACGACGGCTAGAGAGACGCTTCTTGATCTTCTGTTCAGGACTACGGTTGTGCACTCTTCGCCCGACAATTTTAAAGCTACGATGGCGCGGGATAGGATCTACGGACTGCTCGGTATGGCTGAGGATACAGGTAGACTGCAAATCATACCGGATTATCGAAAGACTACAACGACAGAAACAGTCTTTACCGACGTTGCATACGCTCTTCTCAGAAACGGGTTTTCAGAGATATTCTCGCTTTGCCAGTCACCCAAGAAACTCGAAGGCTTGCCCAGCTGGGTTCCCGACTGGACAGCTCAAATTAGGACTCCGATCGGCGGCCGAGCTCCACAGCTAAAGTACCATGCGGCAGGTAAAACCGGCCTCTATATGTCTTCCAAAGCAGACTCAAAGAATACACTGTCCGTCAAAGGTGTACAAGTCGACACTATCTACGAAGTAGGCACACCCTGGCTCCCAAGTCTGGAAAACTACCAATTCGAATGGGAAACGCTAACAGCATTCCTCGACGACATCAAACGTCTCTGCGCCTACTCCGACCATATAAACAGCAGCATCTACACTGACCCCCAGCAGCGGCAAGAAGCACACTGGCGCGTACCCACCGCAGATCAAGTCATCGCCACAGACTACGATCCAAACCCCGTCCGTTCATCCAAGGCTGGCACTGAGCTTCACTCCGCTTACCAAGAGGTTCTCGTCTATCTTTCGCATTGGAGGAAGGTAGGCTCGGTTCCGGATGCGGTAAGCAGGTACATGCGTGTGATGGGCAGTCTGTTTGATCGACGGCCCTTTGTTACGACGCAAGGCTTCATTGGCCTTGGACCTTCGTGTGCGGAGCCTGGAGATGAGGTTTATATCTTTATGGGAGCGCAAGTGCTCTTTGTGATGCGGAGGTGCGGCGAGAATGCGGTTAAACTACTTGGAGAAGCGTATGTGCATGGCATTATGGATGGAGAGTTGTTGAATACGGACTTTGTAGAGTGTTGTCTGCAGATTGTGTGATAGTATGTAAGTCATACAGGCATACATGAATACGTGCTCTCGACATTCTGTATACTGATATGTGAAATGATGCCGTCACTGATTCTGACATCGGCTAGTGATTTATGATATCGACTACAATACCCAGCTGTATACAAAGCCGTTACGACGACAATTAGCTAAATTTCATAATGGGCAGTCTAGCAGGCTATATCATCGGCACAGCAAGTAAGGAGATGATAAGACTGCTGAATAGATTGGATGGAAGAAAGATGTAGGTAGTACCTTAGGTACGAAGACAGCCTTCAACATGGTATTCTGATCCAGACTCGGCGAGATCGCTTTAAGCATATTTGATAGCTACCAGTGCGCCGTCGTATTGCTTTTTGCTTCGGAGCCGAGCCCGGGGGCGTGAATGGTGCTATGCCATTCGCTTCGATAGCTGTGGGGTGGAGGGCTGCATTTAGGGAACCGTTGGCAAGATATGCTCATCCAAGCACAAGGTGACTTGTTGCATGTTTAATTGGTGGGAAAGAAATGTGCGCCGAGCTCTTGTTCCCGGCTGTTGGAGAGTGATGCTGGCAAGCTTGTAGGGACGAATCACATAATGAACGGAAGCACCCAAGAGTAGATCGTAGGATGATGGCATTCATTTGACATTACGCTATGCTTCCCCGTCATGCAGAAGCCTTAAACAAAAAGTGCTATAATAACCAGTACGCCTTCATGTGGTTTGCACCTCCCCCACATGAACAAAGAAGCCGTGCGCGCACCCCGCAATCCAAACCTCGTCGAAGCTATAATAAAGCGGAACTGTGGCGTCGGCGAAAGGAAAAGGGTATCGTGGATGGCATGCCGTTCGTGTCATCGAAGACTGCTCAGTTACTGATGCCGGCCCCGGCTAGAACTTCAGAATAATGTACAGCGCGTGGATGATGCCCTGGGCTATGTTAGTTACCGGGTTTGTACGGGTGGGCAGGTGCGAAACGTACGGGGATGTATCCAAGGATGGTCAACAGGATGTTGATGAAGAAGTCGGCATTGCAACCACGCTCGAGGAAGACACCGAGCGGCGGGAGGAAGATGGCCAAGATGATCTTGAGGATGTCGCTATCCGGCGTTAGCATACGTGCTGCCTCTCTTCTCGGCTCCCCTCCATATGACACTTACCTTGCGGTGAAAGGCATGATGGCGGTTTGTTTGCTAAACTTTGGTGATTCGGCTGAGGAAGTGCAGTGTAAGACAGGTGGCTAAGTGGCAGGTAATTCGGAGTGCGGTGTTCTGCCTCGCTCCCGGAAGCGCGGATGGTATTTATTACATTCCTGCCGTTTGCGCTGATGGCCCGATGACGTAGCGCTTCCAACCTCGCTGCTTCTGCTCTTCACCAATAGGGCAAGGCCTGCCGCCACAACCGATCCATGTCCGCGCCACACGTGGAGAACCTTGGCTACCCTCCTGTTTGACCAAGATTTTAAGATTTGCACTTAATCTTCCAGCGGCTTTGCGTAATGTGTGGTGACGAAGTGCACGCGTGATCGTTGTGGTTGGTCCTTGGTTGCGGGGCGCCACACTTGGAAGGGAAGCTCGCACAGCCACGTCATTGCGCCTTGCCCTACATCATCGCCGTTGCGAATCTGCGATGGCTGAGGAGACAATAAAGCGTAAAATTAGAGTTCGAGACCTTCCTTTGGTGGAGACCGAGGGTTCCGTGGCGCCGTGAGCTCACATTGGCGGGCGCGTATACAGCAGTGGATGCAGGGTCGTAAGTTCGGACATTCTCACAACAAACACCATAGGTCATGAAAGCCTCATTGGAGCATTGAGAGACTCAACACACGTTTACGGTTGCATAATGCACAACTCGATACACAAAAGCGATCATGCCCACCAGCGATTTACTGAAGCTTAAAATGGTCCGAATGCATCTTCCATTCAAGAAGCCGCTTCAAGTCTGTGACTGTCGTGAATGCACTCCGCGAGTAGACATCAGATAAGTTTAAGAACACTTAGTCCTCGTTAACTTTCACAGTTGCAAGCCGTGCGCTCGAAATAAAATCTCGTTCAAAATCGTTCATTCAAGGACCTGTTCAAGCCCATAACCTAGGAAAAGGGTATCTCATCCGTGACCCATCCAGAAACGCTAGCCAGCGATTCCCTTCACTGCCAAATTGTGTGCGTATTTCTCCCTCGCTAAGATATGATCCTCACATCTTCTTATCATGCTCCGCCTGCTTCTGCAGGTCAGCCTCCACGCCCCTCTGTCGCGCCTTGCCCTCGTCATGCTGCCTCTGCGCCTCGGTCTGCTGCGCGGCGTTGCCAGTCAACCCGGCAACCGCACCACCGATGGTTCCGCCAACACGGTCGCTGAGGCCCTTGCCCAAATCCTTAACCTGGCCCTCAGCCTCCTGACCCTTGCCCTCCTCGTTCTGTCGGATGCCCTCCTGGCGCAAGCCCTCAGCGCCGACGAGTCCACCGACAGCTTCCTTCGCTGAGCCCATGGTCTGGTTCCAAGAACCCGCTGAGCGGTTCGGGTCGTCCTTTGCGACGCCGCCCGAGGCGTTGGCGGTGAAGGGTCCGGCTTTAACGGCGGTGTGGGAGAGGTCATGCTCGGCCTCGGCGGTGGCGCGCTTGGTGTCTGCTTCGCGCTGTGACTCCGTTAGCATTGATTCCTGTATAATCAATGGGTGAATGGTGTACAAAGCGAGCGCGCAGAGGCCCGATCAGCATGAGCGACCAGTCGCACAAGCGCGCGACGATGCTGAACAGCGTGCGACTCTTGCTGTTCGTGCGCACGCTCATCGCATTGTGGGGTGTTGCGGATGAAAAAGATGAGAGGGAGCGGAAGCTAACGTACCTGGTCGGTGGGATTGCCGGTCAAGGAAGCGATCCCAGAGGAGATGGCTGCGCTGGCCTGGTCGACCACGCTCTGGAGGGTAGAGGTCTGATCTTTGTTGTTTCCGGACATCTTTGCTGATTATTGATTGTAGAAAGGTCTGAGTGTGTTGAGTTGTGCTTTGAGTCTTTCAGTTATGGGCTCGGATTGTAGGACGCGTTCCGCAGGTTATATGCGCATTATTTGTTGGGTGCCTGCGAGTTGTCGGGCTGCAACATGTGCGCGGTGACGTCATGACGTCAGACGCGCTTTGCTCGCGCGTCGAATTCTTGGCCCATAGTGGGGGTGAACGACGCACGAGGCGCATTGGATGCGACATTCTGGACCCTCCTTGAAGCGTTTGAGGATCAGGAGACAATGTGCAGGCAAACAGAGCAACCCATTCATTATGTGCTATGATGCAATCTGTCTAACTTCCTGAACGTGCAGTCCTTTTGCGATCACGCAAACTTTCACCATCATCTGTGGTGTTGTGGGGTATCTGGACAGATGTTGTGGGAGTGATGTCTCCCAGAATAACTGTTGAGCGAAGATGTCCGCATGTATATACAGAAGATGTATCGCTGCTTACACAGCGAAGCAATAACTTGCGGGATATGTGTCCACGGTTATTCCGCTGCCGAGGATCACCAGTGGCATATCTGTCTCTCGTCAGTACCTGGACTCATTATCTGGGATACGAAGGAACTTACACCACCCTCACTATCGTCCACACTCCAGCTCCCCGCTAAGCCCACAATCTCGACCTCCCCAGTAAAGTTTTCATTCATCTTCCCTAGCATGGCCACGCCATCCTGCATGACAATACCGCCCGGGCCGTTGTTGAGCAACCGTCGAGCCCATGCATCTATCGCAGGCTCCCCCGTTTCATCGCGAGCTTGCTTCAAGAACGGAATCAGGGCTGTTCCACCAGTTCCGCGAAGCTTCTTGCTGCTGCCTCGTCGTACGGTATTCGCAAGGTTCAGACGCTGGGCCGAGGCTTCTTTGGGCGAAAGAGATCGTGAGTCTGACCTTGACTCTCTTGATTTGATGATGATGTAGCGCGAAACTATCTGAATATGCTTGTCACGGAGCGTCCTCAGCATCGCCAGACATGCATCGTAAGCGGTCACCAGTGCGCGATCATGCCGGCGGCTAGTGACATATTCACGGATGTTAGCTACGCGCTCAACTTGCTCAAGAAAGCGACGGTGAGGTCCTGGCATGTACTTCCGCATCTCCAGGAGAAAGCCGTGAGCAGGAGCCCCCGGAGCTGAGCTGTCCGATTTCTTTTCGCCGGTCTGGCGGTGCTCGACACCGAGGATGATATCGAAGAACTGGATGACAGAGCTTTGAGCATTGCTGCCACCAGCGAACTGAACATACGGCTGCTCTCCCGTGCCATCGTCAAACATGACTCCGTTGGGCAACCCAGCGTCAGCCATGTTCTTGCCGCCTGCAAGGAATGGACGGATGCGGTGGTAGAAAACGTGAGGATCGCAGCTCTCGTACATCCTCTCGAGGAGGCCACCGATCTCATCCAGCCTCTCTGCGAAAGCACGCAGGCATTCTACCACCACGTTACTTTCGTTGCGCCTCGCTGCGCCAATGGCTTGGATCATCAATGGAATAATCGGACCAGCGCGAGCCTCGATAGCTACAGAGACCAAATAGAACCATGACTCGTCCAGCGAGCCTGTGAAGGTCATGTGCGTCGCGAGGTTCTCGAGCGAATCAACCTGTTCGTCATCGAAAAGTGGTCGCCAATTCCATAAACAAACACCGGCATATGTAGCGACTGGTGGTAATTCAAGGTGTTTGCATGTCTGCAGGAACGGGATCGACACGGATGGCGGAACGATCTGCAATGCGTTAGTGTGAAGGTTCGCATACCGATGGCGAATGGTCGTGGCTTACATCGGCGGGCCGGTCGCCGCCCCAGACATAGGCGTGAGCCATGAACCCAAGAATTGAGTATGCTCTCCGCCATTCTGCTTCGGTGAGGAGGAATTCGGTCGAGAGGACGGGCAGCGCGTCGATTATCTGGCGGAGGCGCTTCGCGAGGATGAGGCTCTGGAAGCTGCGGCCGACTGTCTCCCAGGGCTGGTAATACGCATCGGGTAGTATTTCCAGAGGTAATTCCGAAGGCAGGAAGCCATTCTGTGGCGAGATGTCGTAGTCCTCCAGGCGCGGGATTGCAGGAATCATCTTGATGTGAAGTTATGAGGCGTGTACCACTTGCGGTATATTTTATTCTCGACGCCAGGCAGGCGCAAGTGCTGCAGCTGCCCCGGGCGCACGGAATAGACTAGTAAAGTAGATGAGCAGGGTGCTTATGTGTCGCGTGATAGAAATCGAATTCTCGGAGAGAGTAGGTTCGCAAATAAAGCCGAAAGTTTTGCGCCACCGGCGTTGCGCAAGAGTGGTGACTTAACTCAGCGGTTATCGGATCGGAGTTATCAGGGCCTAAAGTCCAGGGATACGCCTTTGTAAAAGAACGTTGGCGGGCAAAAGGACACAGATTGTGTAGCGTGTCGGTGGGGAGGAGACTTGAAAGAGTTCTGGCGGGTCTTGTTGCGGCAGGCTCGGGCGACTTTCAAGCAGGCAGCCTAGTAGAGACATGCAAAGTCGAATGATCAAGGATTACAAACTACGAATGGACATCTCGGGATGAATAATGCTCATAGCCTCCTCCTGTCCGCGGCCGTCTCTACTGTCGCAGCCCGGCGGCGGAACTACCGTTTCTCAACGGGCCATGATTGAGTACCCGTCAGGGTCGTCAGAGCAGCCGGTGGCACCCTGATCGATTGCGAGAAGGGTTTGTTCTGCGTGTGCCATTAGTAGTTTGGGTCCGGCGTTAGTCAAATCATTAGTTGGCGAAATACACTTGCTCTCCCGTCTCGGCGTCTCCCCACACAAGAAGAGACATGGTGCCATTCACGGCGGGGTTCCGCCGAAAAGCAAATCTTCTCGAACACTGGCTCGTGCGCCACGCCAAACTCACATGCATCATTCAGGGTCCAGCCTCGCCTCCGACATCGCTTGGCTCTTATACGTTCACCAATTAGTGCACGTACGTTCAATACTCTAGGCGGCCTGGCATCGTAAATCTTGGGAGGAGATTCGCTAGAACCATGTTGCTCACTTCAATCACTCCTCATTTGTAGTGTGTCCATACCGCCGTGAATGACCTCGGCAGGGTACATGTGAATTAGGCGAACGAACCTACGTTATAGGTCATCCACTACCTCGGCCGTTTGAAGTAGCTTGAGAGCTACCTACCGCCCTCTATTCGACAAGTTCTCTTTCTGCCACTGTGCTCTGCAAACGAAAAGAGGAGAATTCCTATCCTTCATTAAGGTACAGAAACGTAGTGTTGATGTCTAACAACGCGCGTCCACATGCACGCGACACAAGGGTACACAGCTTGCACGCCCTAGGCTCCATGCATGCATCCATCCCTCCAACTATCCAATGCCGGTGCTGCAGTGAAAGAGCGCGCTCGACTGAAAAAGCACGTACGTGTTCGGGGTATAAGCGTGGTGCGTAAAAACGAACTCGATGTGATGCAAACAAACCGACCCCCAAGAATAGTATTGATTACGAAATTCACTCCTCGATCCTTCATGATATCCCACTCCTAAATAAATGCAGTCGTTTTCGTTATGTTGCTGGTAGTTCACCGAGAGGATTTCAAACTTGCTACCGCAGCTGCAGAAGCAAGATCAGATTTCCCGGACACGTTTCGTTGGGCAACCCGAGGGAGACTGCTTGTAGCAGGTGCCGGCGCTCCATTGACGGTTCTCTTGATTCCTAATCCTGCTGGTGGAACAGTCGATTGCCGTCTGGGTCCGCTCGGCCCGCTCTTAACGGGTGAGCTGCCCGATACCTGACGATCAGACGCTACGGCGGTGCCATTCTTGAAGCTCGTAGCTGGCGGCTCTGGCAGAGGTCGCACACGTGATGATGGCGTCTGAGACGGAGCTAACCGCTTGATCGGTGATGCCGCATTCGCAGCTCCATTGATAGGCTGTCGAGGCCGAGCCACTCGTTTCACACCTGTGACGAACTCATGAAGCATCGCTTCGTCTGGCTTCATGCGCCGGTCTGGATCCCATCGAAGGCATCGCGCGATGAAGTCGAGGAAAGCCTCATCGTCGCATTTGAGCGCTTGTTGTAATGTTTTTGAGCTTGGCCTGCGTCGGCGGCCTTTGGTAGAGACCGTGACGCGCGGCTTGCCCATTGAGTCGAAAAACAGCTTCTTCCTGCTGCTCTTCTCGATCAAATGTTTTTCTGGAGGTCCAAAGATCTCCATGATGCAGGCTAGTTGTTCCTGCTCGTTCTCGCCAGGGAATATTGGGTACCCAGTAAGAAGCTCGGCCAGGATACATCCTAAGCTCCACATGTCGATTGGCAGGCCGTAGCTCATGCCTAGAATGACTTCGGGCGACCGGTAGAACCGCGATTGGATGTACGTATAGACCTTTTCATTCTCGAAGCAGCTGGAGCCAAAATCGATGACCTTGATCTCTGAATGAAGCGGGTGTGCGAGTAGAATGTTCTCTGGTTTCAGATCACAGTGTATCACTCGCTTGCTCTTCAACATCACTAGCGAGCTGAGCATTTGCTTGCAGAATCGTCGAATGAGGCGGAGCGAGAACCCCTTAAACTCGTGCGCCTTGATAAATTCGTAGAGATTCATGCCCAGAAGCTCGGTTGAAATGCATAGGTGGCCACGAAAGTAGAAGCTTTGGGTGAAGTTGATCATGCTGTGCTTGTTGTCTGGGTCCTGTGGTGGTTGTCAGCAATGCATACACGACAGACTTTGGGATGCGAGACTTACCCATTCACGCAACTTTTGCAGAATGTTGACCTCCACCAAGGCCTGCTGATGGAAACGTTTCTTGTTGCGGATGATTTTGATTGCAACGAGTCCACCAGTCTTGTGATCAACGCAGCGTACAACCTGTCCAAAGCTGCCTTTTCCGAGCAAATCTACCACCTCGTAGCGATATGCTAGATGGTCTCCGAAAACAATGTTGTAGTCGCCCCGATCGTCATCGTACCCAAAGTTTGCGGTGGTAGCGTTTAAATCGCCTACGTGTTTCTTTGCGCTCTTAGTGCCACAGAAATATATCTCTTTGTAGTCGATAATTTCGCCTCGTTCAAAGATGTTGAGGCTCACCATCTGCAGTGCTTGCGCTGCAGTGACACGTTCTTGAGGGCGTGCTCTCTTCCGAAGTTCATCAACGTCGCGAGCTGCATGCTCAAAATCTTTACGTTTGGACGCAAGTTTCTTCATTTCTTCATCGGCAACCAAGTCATCTCGGTCCAGATTCGTATCCAAGTTGCGGGCCTTCAGCATGTTGGTGGAACTCTTCGATCCTAGCATCCTCTGCATAGGTGTTAGGATAGAAGAGCTAGACTTTGGTGCAGCCTGTCCGTTTGGTTGCTCTGAGTATCCGGACGCGGCGCGAATGCCTAAGCCGCCGTTCGCTTTGCGAGTCTTCTCAGCTTCAGTATCGCTAGCGACTGTCGTTGCCGTGGACGCAGAGGCCTTACGGCGGCCAAAGTCAAGCGAAGGTCGAGTACGCGTGGCAGGTGTAGGGCTCGCGCCAACTGCCCCGCTCCAAGTTGCCGAAGCAGGAAGCTTGGGAGGAGGCATATCGCCATGCTTCGGAGGCTGGGGTCCTGTTTCTTGACTCTTTTGAGGCGCGTTCCGGGTTTGGTTAGTGCGAGCATTGTGAGTGGCGGCTTTCGAGGAAGCACGACGCCAGCCGCTCAAACTGAGCTTGCGTCTCAATGACGATCCAGAGGAAGGAGTCTCCGGCTCTGTTGAGGTCGATGTTTTTGCAGAATCTGTGTCCTTCTGAGGGGCACGAGGACCTTGCACCTTCATGTTTTGCATTTCTGCATCTGTATCGCTGAGTTTGTACTCGCCGGAAGGTCTCGAGAATAAGACTGCGTAGTCGCCACTATTTTTCGGCAGGGAATTCGAAGAGAAGGGCGTGTTCACCTGACGATGAGGATTCAAGGTCGGGATAGGCATAGCTGAGGCCCCGTGTAATGAGGTGTCAGCAGACTTTAAGTTGAACGCGGAACTGCTGCTACGAAGATGCTTGCCGCCATCATACTGGTCCACGTTGTTGTTTCGGGAGAAGAAGCTGGCTTTAGAGGCAGTCATCGGCGTGCTCGGTGTTTTATTGGCGGCCCGCTTGGGAGGTGGTGTCGTATTACGATCATCTAACTCTGCGGATGGTGCCGGGAACGATGAAATCCTGTTGTTGAACGGTGTGCCGAGAGGGAGCAGATTGAGCGGAGGGAGGCGTATTGGTTGCAAGTTTTTCTTGTTGCTCTGGATAGATGGGCTCTTCTCAGCATCGGATCCAGCACCAACGGTCAATCCTCTTCTGTGCCTAATTGTTGCCTTTCCTTTCTTCGCGGCATCGCCCTTAGTGGATTCAGTTCCTCTGGTCTGGGGGTTAAGCGAAGAAATCGAAGCCATGTCATCAGACGTGGTGCGATCAGGAGATGGCCTAAGCGCAGCACTCGCCTTCAAAGCTGACGTTGAGAAGGAGAAACTCTTATTTTCTGGATCCTTTGGAGACTCATAAGCTTTAGGGATGGCGGGTACCGGTGGCACCCACTCTTCTTCCTCTGGGCCAGCCGAGCTGTGGACGTTCCTGGGTTTTGGAGTGGGCAGTCGAGACCCAGCTAGAGCCGGATTCCGTGGCTGTAGCGAGCTGTTGCCAACTCTCAATGAATTGAGGCTGGAATTCGAGGATATAGAGATACCCGAAGCGAACGACTTGCGATTTGGATTTTGGTCAGGCGTGGCTCTCGCAGATGATGGTGTAACGCTCTTTCTAAAGATCATAGCAGGTGATTGGTTGAACGCGCGCTCATCGAATGAGAAATCGGCTTGTGGTGTAGGAGGACTGACGGGCCCTCCAGGTGGATTAGGATTCATGGAAAGTCGCTTCAGCCTTCGTGCATCTGTTGGGCTTATCGTCCTTGCACCCAAGCCACTGACGTGGTGCATCGTCGACTGCCGTTTGCTCGATGAAGAAGAGGGCGTTTGAGTTCGAGCTGTTGTCCTTGCTGGCGATCGTGACGGATCAGATGCCATAGGAGCGTTCAGCATGGCCGATTGCTGACGCGGGGCGACATGGAGCGACTTCGCCTTTGCAGCACGCGTTGCACTAGGGACTCTGGTGGTGGCATCGGCTCCCAGGGTCAGACCCGGCGGAAGGGTGCCGCGGCGGTTTCCTTGACCAAACGAAGAGGTGCGTCCCATCCGTGTCTGCACATTGTCACCGTGGCTGGCCAGCCGGGGCACTTCCTGTCTGTTATCCAAGTTCGGTGTTGGCAGCATACCCGGTCCTACAGATTTCCGCGGCGCTCGTCCTGCTGGATTCGGCGGTGGCTGCGTGGTAAACTGGCTTTGGCGACGCGTCCGGATCGACATGTTTGAGGCGGGGGGTGGAATCGAGGAAGGTTCTGTCGGCGCATTGGGCGGGCCTCCCTTGTTTTTGGACTGGCTGAAGCGGCGGACTAGCGAGGTGCTGCGTGCAGGCCGTGTCTCGGAGGTGCTCGATGTGAAGGGTGAGGGGGCGTGTTGCGTGGACGATCCCAGGGCGGAGGAAGTGAATTGATGCTGTGACGGGGCTGCCATGTGGGACGAAGCGAGCGTCGATGAATCAGGCGGTTGCGGGAAGTGGCTCAGGGCGGGCTCGTACTGGAGGCTGTTTGCGAAGTCGTCGAAGGTGACCGCGGGGATGAAGTCGAACCGCTCGCCCGCATCGGCAGGAGCGTCTGGGTGCGCCTGCGTGCTGAAGCTGAAGCGGGAAGCCGCGTCGTGGACGGGGGGCACGGCGGGGAAGGCGCGGGTCTGGGGCGCAACCGCGCTGGCATCGCTGGCCACTCTGCACAAGCAATTGCACGTCAGCGTCCTGTCCACGCTCTGGGCGTGTCATTACGAGCATCTATCTCACCTCTGTTTCTCGTACGGGCGCGGGCCCAGCGGTACTTTGTGGTCGCGTACCGACTGGCGCCGCCCGCGGAAGCTCGTCTTTGTGCTGTGGTCTTGGGGCGGCGGTCGAGGAGCAGACGTGACGTTGGGCGCACTGGACTTTCGGCGGGTGTTGTCGGTCCCGCTGGTTCGCTGGAACTTGCGGACGCGACCATCTGCAGCACCACACGAATTAGCACTTGTACGCACCGCGTCCGGCCCTATATAAACTCAGAGCGGCACTCACCCGTCGAACCGTTGCTCTCCTCTGGCGAGCTGGCCCTGCTGAGCACCGGGAGGCTGCTCTCCATCCTGGTTCGAGAAGGAGGCTGCGCTACCATTGTCAACGTACGCAGACGGACAGCCGGTAAGCTGGCGTGCTGACTGATGCCGCCGGATCACCTCACGACCTCGGGCTGTCTCCTCTTGGATTTGTCTCGCGGGTACTGCGCACTCGACTGCTGCAGCTCTCCAAGCTCGGGGCTTGGAGCAAGGACTATGCGGACGTGGGCATATCGATCAGGTCGGACGGGGGGAGAAGCAGGCAGACCGCGCTACAAGTCCTCCTGCAGATTACGATCGTTGCATCAAGCAGACGAGCGAGCTGGCGGGAGGGGCGCGTGAACGGTCGATAGATAGGAGAAGAAAGAGTTCAATAGTGGTGGCAGTAGCTTGCAGGCGATTCAGGTAGGGTAGCGATATGTCGACACAGACCACCCAGCGGGCCTCTGCGAACTCGACGAATGGCCGTGCGATGGTAATATCAAAACAACAATCTCTCTCCCGGGTAACCACCTCGCTCGGCGAATCTCAATCTGCCAGAGTGGGAGCAGACATCAACTCGCTGCCCCGCGTCGACGGCGGTTCAGCTACACACGGCATCTCGCAGTGCTACCATACGCCTGCAAGGCCCGCCGCCAGGGACTGCTCGCAGCGGGCACGGCGCAGGTGCACGCTCGCAAAATTCTAGACTTTGGTAGGCGACGCACCCAACGGTCGTGTTGCTCGCATGGCAGGCCGCTGTCAAAGGGTACACCCGAAGTGCGGAGGCTGCCGCACCTGGGCAACGTCGCCGTCATGCACTTCCATCGGGCAGCCGTCCGCATCCTGAGGCTCGTCACTGTACAGATCCCATGCGATGCGATGCAAGCCATGTTTATTCCGCGGGCTGGCACGCCGTTGTCAATGGTCCCTGACAAAACAAAAGGGGAAGCGTCAAGCGAAGGGGCACGGACGGGCCGCCGCCGCTGATCAAAGCCCAAGCCTGCCGGACACGCGCCGTTCGCGCTGCCTGACGCTGGCACATGCCGTCATTCTGAACTCTGCCACATCCACTCCGTCACTAACCCTAAACGCATGACTGGCACAATGTATGGACTCTGCTATGAACCACGCACGGGCTCAACCATGTGAATAACGTGCTGGAACTTGGCACTGTAATACCTACAGCCTTGGGGAACTCCAGCCTGTCGACTAGCTGCATGTACCCAACGAACTGTAGCGGTGCATCGACCTCGGTACAACGACCATCTTGACGTCTCAACGAAGCCCATGAGTGGTGCACAGCATCCACGATGAGCAATGAAGCGGCAGACCCGTTCGTCAACCGCGACACCCCCATACCGGTTGTGTCGGTCACCGGCCCAGACGACCAGTCCGGACCATCATCTTCGAGAGCGCCCAGCAGCGACTCGCGACACCACCTCTCTGCCAGCAAGCTGAAGGATAAACTTCAGTCTTTGGGTGATGGCTCTGACCGGTCCGAGTCACCGAACCGCTTTTCAGATAGGATGTTCACCATGTAGGTTTCCTGCCCCGTTTGCCCCTTCTCCATGTGTCAGCACCCCAGACCGAGGGTCCGCTTTCAATTATATGACTGACACAATCATGTAGGCTGCTGTCTTCAGTGCTCCCCCAAGACCAAGACCTCGACGATGATGCGGCAACACCTCAAACCAAGGACCGTCGATCACGGAAATATGTTGATCGTCCCAATTTCTCCCTTCCACAGATGTCCTCCAACTTCCGCCGCTTCAATGCCCGGATAGGAGTGGCTTTTGTTGCGCAGAACCGCGCCATACGCCTCTTCACCTGGCGCCAACCTATGCAGACCCTCTCTTTCCTCTTTGTATACACCTTCGTGTGCGTCAATCCTACACTGGCCCCAGTCCTACCCCTCGCCTGCTGTCTATTCTTCATCATGGTCCCCGCCTTTCTAGCTCGACATCCACCTCCACCTGCCTATCTCCCCACCGACTTGTACCCGCTGGGTGGGCCACCGCTAGCGGCAGCTAGGACTATCAAGCCCGCACCTGAACTCTCCAAAGACTTCTTTCGTAACATGCGCGACCTACAGAACGCTATGGAAGACTTTTCCCGAGGCCATGATACCGTCGTGCAATTCATTACACCCCTCACCAACTTCTCGAACGAGGCTCTGAGCTCCACGCTCTACATCATACTCCTTTGCACCTCGGTCATGCTCTTCATATCCGCGCATTTACTACCTTGGCGCTTCATCTTCCTTGCAATAGGTTACGCCATAACGATCCTCGGTCACCCTACTGTGCAAGATCTCCTCGCGACGCCAGAAAACGAGCGTCTGTTATCTGAGAAGGAACACGAGGGCCGATCATTCTTACTCAACATCTCAAGAGACATAGAGCTCGAGACCGACCCGGAAAGGCGCGAAGTAGAAATCTTCGAGCTCCAACATAGGCCGTTGCATGACACAGATGGCGAATACGAGTCGTACATCTTCAGTCCGACGCCGTATGCACCACTAGCACCGTCCCGCATCGCAGGCGATCGTCCTAAGGGGACGCCGTTTTTTGAGGACGTGCAGCCTCCGCGCGGCTGGCGCTGGAGCGACAAGAAGTGGGTGCTGGATCTCCTGTCCCGCGAATGGGTCGAAGAGCGTATGGTCACCGGGGTAGAAGTCGAAATTGAGGGCGAACGTTGGGTTACGGACCTCCACTACGAAGATCTGGATGATCTTCGAGAAAAGGAGTTCAGTATGAAGAGCGGAAAAAGCGGAAAAGAGAGGAACAGGCTGAAGAAGAGAAGTGTGGGTGGCGTGGGAAGCGATTCGGAGAGGGAGGTGCTGAAGCGGGCATGGGAGAAGGGGAGGCCGAGTCGGAAGGGAGAGTGGAGGCGCAGGAGGTGGGTGAGGGGGGTGGAGAGAGTACCTCTTACTGCTTCTGCGGAATGACCATGTCTGTTTACGTTGTGTATGAATACTAAGACTATTTTTCAATTGCGCGTTACTGCTGCGTCGTCTAACCTCCGTGGAGTGTCGACACAAATAATATGTTGTCGCCTTCTTCAATCTCATACTTGTCCTCGCCCTCGAGCTCCCAATCTGCATCGTTGATAAGCACCAGGATTCCCGGTCTCCTATTAGGATCGTTAGCAAACAGTATGCGCCATTTCTACATGTGTTCCGCGAACGTACACTGTGTCGTCGAGAACAAAGAGCTCCTTCCTCGGATCCTTCATAACAGTGTTGCACAGATGCCTCACGAGAAACGCTATGTTCGTTTTTGCCCCATTCTCATCCTTGCCAGGAATAGTAAGTGATAGTTTCCGCTCATTCGAGAACAGCATCTCCAGCCCTCCACTGCTTCACGTTAGCGCATTTGTAATAACACCACAAGTACTTGTACAGACCTGAACTCCACAGTTATGGCAATCGTACCATCGTTCTTTGCCTCCGACATTGCGAAATCGAAGGGGAACTGATGTCGTGGGGCGAGCAGGTGAGCCTTACGGAAGGTGCAGTTTGGAGCCTGCGCTAACCGGGAAAGGCGCACTAAGCGAGGCTAGCGCGGTAGAAATCTCCAGAGGCCATGACTTCGCTGCCCTACACTTCAGCACAGTCCACATGACGATGAGTATTGCGCCAGAATTCATTTCGATTGGTGGGAATCGGAATCCTGCTGCTGCGGACTGGGATCTGCATGGGTCGCAGCTGTTGGCTTTTGGCGCGGACAATTGCATCGCTCTGTGGGAGCCTTCGGTATGCTGGGGTATCAAACTGGTAGTGAGGGCTCTGCTAAATTCGGGCAGGATGACCGGTTAAGGGGTGTGACGGCGCTCTTGAATGGCCATACGGACGTGGTTAATGCTGTCAAGTTCTTTCCGACTAATTCTTCGGATGTCACTGTTCTTTTGAGTGGTGCAGCGGACCACTCGTTGCGCATCTGGACATTGAGACAAAGAGATGTTCAAACCACCGAGACCAAATTCGATCTCATCAAGACCGTGACGGAGCACAAGAGTCCCATTACCCGGATCGCCACTCTGCCAGGCTCAGATGTATTCGCAACCGGGGCATCGGACGGCGTTGTGAAGATTTGGAAACTCGTTCATGATGCCGACTTCACCACTATCGATATTGAACTCATCCAGTCAATACCCCTGACACCACGCTACTTTCCCTTGGCCATTGCTTTGGCCAAGCTGGACGAGAGTGCCCTTGTACTGGCCGTAGGAGGCACACGCAGCACCATTCAGATTTTCGTTTCTCATGATACCCAATTTCAACTTTCTGCTACGTTGACTGGTCACGAGGGCTGGATCCGCGCGCTGGACTTTACGAAGGAGAGCGAAGATCAGGAAGGCGACCTGCTGCTAGTATCCGCGAGTCAAGATAAATATGTACGTCTGTGGCGCTTGCATCAGGGTGAAGAGCTGCCCGCGGCAAGCGCCGCCTTGAACGACCCGGCCCTAGGTGTCCTGGGTAAGTCGCTGTCGAACAAAGCTCATCGCTTTGCGTCAGCGACATCGAAGTACTCCATTACTTTTGAAGCTTTGCTGTTGGGTCATGAAGACTGGATTTATACGGCCTCTTGGCGACACAGAGCAGGGAAGCTCCAGCTCTTGTCCACCTCTGAGGACAACTCCCTCGCTATCTGGGAGGCAGATCCCTCCTCTGGCGTATGGGTGTGCATCACTAGACTTGGCGAGATAAGCGGCCAGAAAGGTTCTACCAGCGCCACAGGCAGCGCTGGAGGATTTTGGATCGGTCTATGGTCACCAGATGGCGACTCGGTGGTCTCCCTCGGACGCACTGGTAGTTGGCGAAGATGGACATACTCTCCCGCCCAAGACATGTGGACACAACAAGTAGCTATTACCGGACATGTACGCGAAGTGAAAGGCCTGAGCTGGTCAAGAGACGGAAGCTACCTCCTCACAACCGGCTCGGACCAAACGACCCGTCTTTTCTCAGAATGGAAACGCGACTCTGGCTCCTCATGGCACGAGTTTTCTCGGCCGCAAATCCACGGCTACGACCTCAACTGCGTCGACACCGTCACCAACATGCAATTCATCTCCGGCGCAGACGAAAAGCTCCTCCGCGTCTTCGACGAACCAAAAGGCGTCTCAGAAATGCTAAATAGACTCTGCAAAATCGAAGCTCCCTCCGCCGACCTCCCCGACGCCGCAAACATCCCCGTCCTCGGCCTCTCAAACAAAGCAATCCAAGCCGTCGACGAGAACGACATCCCCGAAGACGCTGACGGCGACGACGACCGCGAAGCCCTAGACCCCGCCTCCATCGTGCGCAAATCCACACTGGAATTCGACCACCCACCCTTCGAAGACCACCTTGCACGGCACCTCCTCTGGCCCGAGACAGAAAAGCTATACGGCCACGGCTACGAGATCTCCGCCCTGGCAGTTAGTAGCGACGGCTCGCTCGTCGCGACCGCATGTCGCGCGAGCTCCATCGACCACGCCGTCATCCGTCTGTATGATACGAAGGAGTGGCTGGAGATCAAGCCGGCGCTGAAGGCGCATTCGCTTACCGTTACGGCGCTGCAGTTTTCCCCCGACGATAGATTTCTTCTTAGTGTGGGGCGTGATAGGCAGTGGGTCGTCTGGGAGAAGGGAGAGGATGGCGTGTATGCGTTGAAGCATGCGAATCCTAAAGGCCACACGAGGATGATTCTTGGGGCAGCGTGGACGCCGCTTGTGCAGCCGACGTTTTTGACGGCGGGGCGGGATAAGAGTGTTAAGATGTGGCAGATTGAGGGCGAAGGCGTTGAGCTCAAGGGTTCGGTTGCGGCGAGTGCGGCGGTCACGGCTGTGGCGTGTAATCGGGAGGCTGAGGAGGGGAAGCTGCAGTTTGCGTTTGGCACGGAAGGTGGGGAATTAGTTGTAGGGACGGCGGAGGCGGAGGGCTTGAATAAGGTGGCTACATTGACTGTTGGGAAGGATGTCTCGCCGGCGAAGGGGATTAATCAGATCGTTTGGAGATCGGGAAGGAAGGGGATGGGGCAGCAGATGGCGGTTGCGAGTGAGGACTCCTCTGTCAGGATCTTTAACGTAGAGGTCGGGTCGAGTAGCTAGAACATGTAATTAGTCGATGAGAATATGCTCTTGGGTAGATGCTATACCGTCAACATCCGTTAGAAACTTGAATGTGCTTTGACTAAAATGGTCAGGTGGTATAAGGCTGGTCGGATGCGCGAGCCACTGTAATAGCCAGATAGTGTTCAAGCCCTTCTTCAATTTCAAACGCAAACGTAGATACATTAGAAGCTAAGTTCGCTATATGCTCTTACCTGCAACATGATCAACGGGTCTTTCGCCTTTATCACGAAGCGTTTGTCCGTCTGCTGGCTTCTTAGACGAGGCGTAGCGACGGCAAACGCGCCCAAGGCCCGTCGCAAGGCCGTGGGCGATGAAGGCCATCGAACCTCCACATCCCATTGAATGCGCCTCGAGCCTCTAGGTATCTCGCACAGCTCGCACTCAACTCTTCAAAGTCCTCACATCGGCCGTTTGTCGCGTGCCCGACGTCACCGCGCAACAGCGCGTGCGTCTCTCACTCACCTCCCAACCCCAAATCCCCAACCTTCACTTACCAGCCAACCTACCCCTCCAAATCACTCCACTATATAACTCCCCAAAATCCTCAATATCTCATCAAACAGCACTCTAAGCTGCGGCAATTGGCCTGGTGGCAGGAGCAGGAAGCTGGTTTACCACTACACTGCCTCACTTCGAAAGGGTAACCAATGTCATCCAGAGAGCGCGGGTTCGAGCCACATACAGTAAATCGTAATACATAAAGGTTTCTGGGCGGGCTACCAGGGTTCGTTTCTTTTGCTAATTTTTCTAGCGCTGTGTATTTTTCCCGCTGGGCTGTGCGTGTGTATGGTGGCGGCGCTGGGAGAAATGAGACAGCTCGTGGAGAGTAAGGATGCGGGGCATATGGCGTTATAGACCTTAGAGCTTTCCTTTGTTGCCACACGAGGCAAAGGCGAGGACGAATATGTGAATAGGTGGTTGTTCGAGTGGGAAGTAGGAAGGAAGAAAGAAGAAGAGTGGGAGATGTCTTATATAAGTGGAGGGAGCCAAGCGCTATCGAGGTCAGGTGAACAGCGTCCGAAGATAAGTCAGCAATAGCCAGTATGAGACGTACATCTGCCCTGTGTAGCCTAAGTTGGCATGAAACGTGATTCGCATATGCTCTGGCCTCAGCGCACTGCAACAAGCCTCGCCCTGCCTCTCAAAGGAGCTTTTGGAACCCTCTTACTCTTCCGCTTAGATGTTGGGAGAACCCTGATAATGGTCTCCCTCTCAGATTCGGAAGAACTTCTTGACAGCCCGTGTCCTGCAAGCATGATTTTGAGTACGGTTCCCTGTTTTCGTTCACGCAAGAGCCGAGACGCCTTTCGTAGTACGCCCCGACAATCTTCTATTGCATCGGGCGTCATGGCGCTCGCATCAATAACGATGTATAACAAGTCGAAATTTGACAGGTTCTCTACGAGTAAGAGTGTGTAGTCTTCTACTGAAAGGGCGGAATTGAAGGCTCGAACGCGAGTTGACACGAGACTGTCCGTATGTGCGGTTGGACCTCTGCTCAGAGCCTGTAAAATAAGACTCTTAAGCACCTCGAAAATGTCATACTGTTGGTTTCTTTGCTGTATGATCCAGAGTACAGACACATGTGCTTGAAGAAGCTGCTCGATTGCTCCTACGTAGAAATCGCGAATGTTGAGCCGGTCGCGGAATGTTGAGCTCAGCATAATGGAAGCATGCGAGGGCGATCGGTCCCATGTTTGAAGTTGCTGTGAGGTCCAGAAGGGCGCGCACTTGTTCGAGGACGCTCGACGAACTCTACGAAGCAGGAAAGCGTTCTGATAAGACACTTTATGATCGATCTTACAGTCGCTGGAAACGAATGAGAGGGCCTGGCTTAGCTGTACATCTGAAAGCTGGTGGGAAATATCCGCCTGGGTTGTTTGTATATCCTGCTTCATGGCAACCAGCTCTTGCAGAAGTACCTTTTCAGATGTGGAATGCGTCCTACTGATCTCTTGAACAAGGGTTGTTAAACCTTGCACTTCTTGATGAACGGCCTTTAAGTCACCGTCGGAATACTTTTGCCGAACCAGTGCATTTAGCTGATGCTGCATTTCGTCCAGCCGACTTTGCACGAGAGATCGAAAGCTTCGTTGAGCATCTTGTTCTACACGCAGCCCTTCGTGCATATCTCGTTGCTCGGCTTGACTTCCGACAACCGAGAGGGTAGTGACTTGTGCCAGCGTTTTATGGATCTCCTTAATCAGGTCGTCGTATCGTAAAGCTGCCGGTCTTGCGATAGACTGGACTGCTCTAGAAAACGTACTGGACTCGTACCAGTCCAACGCTCGGCACAGGAAAGTAATCATGTGACAATTCAATGTCACAATTGTTGCCCTCATTCTTTCCGTTGGATATAAGGATTCGGCAAGATCGATTCTTGACAAGGCTTCACCAACGTCGCTAAAGGCAGTGACGATTGTAGATCCGAGCCGCTCATGTTCGAGAACCGCCTGTCAGATCGTAAGTTCAGTGATCTATATACACGTCTGGAAGATACGCACACCGAACACCAACTTCATAGCGCCCCATGCCAGGGAGACGTACTCCGGATGGTGCTGTACCATCACGTCCAATACCTTCCCATAGTACGCGACTCTTTGCGATAATGACACAATATACTTTTTAATCCTTGAATCACCCTTCTTCTTTTCGTATATTGTCCGAGCCTTGGTCAGTTCGTCAACAACGTCTTGCAGCGTTGTGGCCTTTAGGCCCTCGATCCAGGCTCGTTTCCTGGAGTGGGAGTCCAGCTTTTTCTTAAATCTGGTCAAACTTTCCTCAAATGTAGCTTGTGACCTCGTAGATGAAGTCGGTCGATAACATTGTTAGTGTTGCTCTCATGTATTGCACAGAAGCACCTACGATGCCGTATACCATGATGACGTAGCGGTACAAGTGGATGTGGCGGCCCCACTAGCTGTGTGTGAAATGTGCGACATACTCAAGGTATGTACGCACTGCTGAGTCGATCCGAGTACAGTCCGAACCTTTCAAGGCCAGTGTATCGTGTCAGACAGAAGATGCGAAGCGGTAGCGAGGCACGCGCAGTCTCACTGGCTTTCATCCAATTAGATCTCGGAGCTTACCTACCCATGCAAGCGATGCCTCATGCCGAGCCCGCCTGATTACGCCCCCCAACTCAGCCTCACACACCATGTGCGACGGATTTCCATTGCTCCCGAACCTCTTCGCTCGTACCTCTGACCCTCCGATTGTGTAGAGCAGTTGAACGCCAAAATGAACCACGTTTTCCATTACCCACCCCCTCCGGCTCCGGAAGGTCCCTATGGTCTACTTCCACCCCTCCGCCTCCAGAGGAACCGCTTCCACCTCCACCTCCACGGCCATTATCATTCTCAGATCCCGGTGACGATGAGAGTCAGTCAGAAACGTCCTCGATAGTAATAAGTCCCCACCATCCCTCCACCGTTTCCTCCAGCTCCACCAGAGAAAGCCCCAGAGCGAACAACAATTTCGGATGATCGAAGTGCTGGCAGCAATCTGGAAGTGAGGAATCTAGCAGCGCTCAAAGACCGCGCCGCTCCTAGATTAGATTTCGATGCCGACGACCCTGGAACCCCTCCATTCCACCCCCACCTCCACCTGTTTTTCAAATAAAGCCCAAAAAATCGAAGAAGAAGCGGAAAGTGACTTCCGGGTATGACTCTTCTCTGGGTCATGCGCGTTTGCAGCAGCGATTTGGCCGACTACATCTTGAAGGTGTAACTACTAATGATGTATACGACCAAGACCAGGCCAATGCTAAGAACCAATCTGGTGAAATCAGCTCCTCAGAAGTCCAACGACATTCACGACCCGAACCTGTAGCCAAAGAGCACTGGGTACAAAATGTTGAGAGGATCGACACGAGCAGCAGACTCCAAACAGATATTGAAGTGGTTCAACACAAACTCTTGGGTATGCAGAATGAACTGCACCAACTAGAAATGCAAAAGAGCAAGCACGTGGAGAAGCAGTACCATATCCTCTACCGAATCGACAGTATCTGTTACTTCGATCATCCTGAGTGGACTCCAGGGCACAAAAACATCGTCTCACGCATCCCGGTAAAGAATCTCGATCTATTCCTGGAGAGAAACAAGCGCATCGTTTTCATAGTGTACCGCGACTTCAACATTCCGTCTGCTGAGAAGGAAAATAAGAACACTCCCTTTCAAACAAGACACGATACCCAGCCGAGACCCGCTAAGGAGAGTATCTATCCAGTCAGCAGACGGCTTCGCAAAGCTCTCGAAATCATGCTAAAGCATGATTGGCGATATGAAGCAATGTCTAATCATCTGCGTCAAGCTGGAGAGGTTAGTGCACCGTATCTATTCGTCTATCATCATAGGAGGTACTGGAACGACATGTTAGCGCAGTTTCCCCAGGCTGTTCGCGAGCATCTAAGCTTTCTTGCAACCTATGTATCGGAGAATTACGGACATGAGTATAAGGCTGCCGACACTGCTTTGGCACAACGGAAAACAACAGCGGAACTGGTGAAGTATCTGTTTCAGCCCGGCGACATCCTGCTATCACAGACCAGCGGACAGTATCGAGGGCTTGTAGCAAATTCTTGGCCTCAGGAAATCCCATCAGCGCCAGCCATTGTGCCTTCACGCTTCCCACCGCCAATGATTTTATATCCCCACCTCAACTCACACCGTTGGCAAGACTCTGACTCAGAATTTGACAATTCGGACGTCGACAACGAAGGTATGCAACCCAACTCTGGACCTGTTGGAATGTCCGAAGAAGATGCCTTCAGACGAGCCTTCGATCGAATGCATCCCTGGTTCCTCTCAAAAGAAGAAGAACAGGCAAAGACTGTCGCTGCTGCGAAAACGAATAAAGAATTTCACATCAAAGTCTGGAAATGGAGTTTTGACGGTGACTTCAAGAGAGAAGCAGATAAGGTCACCCTCCGGTTGTCCCAAGCAGCTGAAAGTACCTCTGGTGAAGCGAAAACTTACAAAATACACGAGTTGGATATATACCCTCTCAGATTTGCTCCTCAGGTACTTGCGCAAGATCTCCGCCGCCGAGGAGAAATGTTTTGGGAATGCCGCAAACGGTGCTTGATATCGTATCGCGAGACGAGCCCAGAGGCACAGAACGAGGTGAGCGGAGCGTCGTATAAATTTCACAGTATGTGAGCTCACCATACTGATCTTCGATTAGTCTGATGAGCGTTTCATGATCGACTTCCATACGTTTAGGAAACTGCACCCGGAAAACAAGAGTCATGCAATCAACGACCCTGCCGAGACTATGAGTCAAGCTGAAATGGAGCAAGCTCAGCCCCCGGACGAAGCCTTTTACTACCTCGTTCCACTACAGACGAAGGGTTTCAATCTGCGAACAAAGAAATGGCTAGATCTCAATATGGACCAAATATCTCCTGTAGATTGGAATCAGAAGGCTTTCGATTCGCTAGTTCTCGACAGGAAGACGAAGGAGCTGATTACGGCTCTTGTAAGCAAGCAAATTTCGGCCGCGAAGTCAACCGATGTTATCGCTGGAAAGGGCAACGGACTGATCTTATTACTCCACGGAGGGCCGGGTACAGGCAAGACATTAACGGCAGAGGGCGTGGCTGAAATTGCCAAGAAGCCTCTATACCGGGTAGGTGATCTTCTCTGATGACTTGGAACTATGCATTCATTGATGACGAATCACAGGTGACCTGTGGTGATGTTGGTACAAAAGCAGAAGAAGTCGAGGGATATCTCGAATCAGTACTACACCTGGGGAAAATATGGGACTGCGTAGTGCTGCTTGACGAAGCGGAGGTGTTCCTTGAACGGAGAAGTCTAGACGACCTGCAACGCAACGCACTCGTATCAGTCTTCCTACGGGTGATTGAATACCACGAGGGAATCCTAATCCTGACCAGCAACCGCGTGGGAACGTTCGATGAAGCGTTCCGGTCCCGGATTCAGATTGCAGTCCATTACCCTCCCCTGAGAGCTTTCCAACGACTGCAAATCTGGAGAAACTTCTTCGACCGGCTTGAGTCGTTCAAGGATGGCACAGTCGACACTGATGAGCTTCGTGATCACCTAGAAGAGCTACAAGAAGTCGAGATCAATGGACGCCAGATACGTAATGCAATCACGACGGCTCGGCAATACGCGGAATGGAAGGGCAAGGTCATGAATTATGAACATCTCAAGACGGCACTGGATGTTGCAAGTAAATTTGACGATTACTCGGAGAAGTTGCGAGGTGGCTTAACAGACGATCAGATTGCGGAGGAAGAGGGGATTCGCTGACCTAGGCGGAATTTTGAAGTGCGCCCCACGGTCGTCTACAGGGAATGCGCATAGGATGGGTTTCTTAGTCCACTTTCTTATAGTCGTCCGCCACAATCAGGACTCCAAGTCCACTCAACATCCAGTGACTGTACATTTTCGCAGCCCCGCTCCATCCCCCAAGCCGCCCAAACGCACACACCAACCCCACGATCATATGACCTGGCTCCACTCGATACTCCAGCCAGTCCCAGTCCTGTCTGTATTTCTCTCCGAAATAACAATCCCTGCCCCTATTGGTGAATAATTTGATGGCTTTCATGTCACCACTTGCGTGAACCTCGGTAACGATCTCCCCGCCAGGGCCATCGATGAGGAAGTGTTCCATACTTTTCTCGTCAAAGGATTTGAGCGTAGTGCCTTGTATCCACACAACAAGGTTTCTCCTGGGGTTTGTCATCTCTTGCCAATCTGGGCATTGCACTGGCTCCGGACCACCGCTCCCAGCAAGTAAGCGTCGGTTTCCAGAGGTGTTGTCCACTGCGAAGCCTACAATATGCGGGATAGCCCACGTCTCTTTGCCATTGGATGCCATACCACCAGTAGGCTGGAAGCATGATATTCGCTTGAGTAATGACTTCTGCGACGCATCAGGAGCCCAGATGCCGACATGCCATGGTGTCATATCGCTTGTGATATCACCAGTGAAGGAGCGCAACTGACCGGTTGAGGACCCCTGAGCGCCGATACTCCGGATTTTGAGGCTAGGATGCGTCCATATATTGTTCCAGCCATTCTCACAGTCACAATATAAAGTTTGCGCAGATTTATTCCACAGAAGTTGTTGAGCCTCGCTATAGGAGGGTGATTTTGCGGGCTCTTCGCCGGGGATCGAAGCTTGCAACAGTCCGAGTCGGCAGATTTCACCGCTCTAAGGTGGTTTTTCAATTAGGAAGTGTTGAGATGTTACGGGCCCAGGAAGACTCACTTCGGCAACCTGTCCTGTCAAGCCAACCAGATTTAGTCCCGATAGAACAATCACAGGTCGCCTGTTCGATGTTGGTCGATCAGGTGTGCGCACACATTTGGTGGTCTTATCCGTTAACGTGACCTGGCTCCATTAGTATTGCCTGAGTGACATGTACCATCACGCGATATACCACACTTACTGTCAATGACCGGATGCATGCGACACCGTAAGGCTTATTATCCAAAGCTGTCTTAACATGATCGCGGTCTGGTACTCGACTGAACATATTCACATCATCTATACAGACATTAATCTCTCGAATCCAAGCATTCGGAGGAATGCGCATTGGGTTGCCAAGGGTGCCCTCTGCGCTCCCAAAGATTCTTGGGCTGGTACCACTGAAAGTTATGGAGATACCGACCAAGGTACCCTTAGGTCCCCAGTACGTGTCGAGAACTGAAGATCGATAAGATACCTCGCTCCACGACCGAATGAACTGTGTTGACACCGTGCGGATCTCCTTAGGGATGGGATACACTACGACAGGCATATGGAAGCATTTAGCACGATCGAGAATAGCTTGCGCTTCCGCATCGTCTGGCTCTGCTTGCCCCACCGGTTGAACCTCTTCTGCATATTGCGGAGCCAGCTGCTGACACACGTTCCATATGCGCCGGCGATTGGCGATACTCATCAACGGACCTTCAATCCCAAAACGCGGCCTCGTCGCCGCTTCTATCCATAGGAACAAATCCTTTGCGTCCAAGCCTTCAGTGGTGCTGCTACCACTAACAATCGCGGAAGCCTCCCAAAACCATGGAAGCAGGTGTAGCCGCAGCATTTGCTTCCAGAAAGAGCCATGCCGGGTCGAGGCAAAGACATGCCATGAGCTTTGCATCAAAGATGTCGAATCTTTGAAGGACAGATGTGTGAAGATTTCATAGAGCACATCATACGGCAGCGCCCTAAGCGGGTCACTTTGGACCTTGCACGCGAGATCCAAGGATCCAGCATTCTTTATGAAGAGCTTCTTGTGAACAAGGTTCTGAATCACCTCCGGAAAGTCTTCCTTATAGCCTGGATCGGATACAACGTACTCTTCTCCCTGCACGGAGGTCCAGACCTGTTCAGGTCCATCCATCTGGCCATAGTCGAGTGAAAGCACCCTAGCATAGTCTAGATTGTTCTGCGCGAATAACGTGTATAGAACGTCTCGATCGATTTCATCTTCTTTGTTGAGCCCCGAGGCACTTTGCCAGCACTTGTAAACATCCTTCGTGAAATGGATACGTCGGAAGTTTGTCTGGTTCAAACGAAGTGTAGCATGCATAGCTATCTTCCTTGGGGTCATTTGGGTCGTGACCAGGGCGTTTTACGCGGAAATCGCCGTAGTCCACATATCCTCCTTGACCAGAGATGAAAGCTTTTGTCACACCTGGGGCCTCAGGATTGAAGCCAAGTACATGACCCCGATCAAGCCATGCCAGATCTTTGCGCTTCAACTTTTCGGGATCGTAGCTATTTTTCTCCTCGTACGAGTCGACAGAACCTGTTTGACTAGACGACTCATCACTATCGTCGTTGTCGCTCCTTTCGGCTTCGCTGCCGTGTTCGCTACTTTCTGCATTGCCGTCCCTGCCACCGTCGCTCCCACCTTCCTCACTACCATTATCACTGTCGGCATCGTCACCATCATCTACCATAGCTTGTAGATACAGTGCTAGATCATGATCGTGGCTTGTATCAGGAACTTCTTTCTCGCCTGCACTCTCCGCGACTCTTTCGTCCGTTGTGAGGTTCCTTCCAACGTCATCGTTGTCGTCATGACTCGCGTCCTCTTTCATCTTGTCATCGTCTTCGTTGTCTTCATGCACTGCGTCCTCTTCCATCTTGTTATCATCTTCATTATCGCCTTCGTCACTTTCATTTACGTCTTCTCCTGCGAGCCTCCTCTTCTTCAGCTCAACTCTTCGTCGTCTTTTCGTCAGCGTTTCCTCGTTCTTACGTCCGAATTTCACCCATCCTTTGCCCATAGGCCCGGAGCAGAGAGCACAGTAACAATCAAAAGATCCCATGTGAGCTACAGATACGAATGGATGCAGTTTCGGGACGCAAGTGAGCAGAATGGATGGTGTTGGCGACGCCGGAGTTCATGTAGATTGTGACTACGTGACTTCAGGGATAGCGTTAGCGTTCCGCTAACCTTACTTTGGGGTTAGCTCAAGGCTCCCACCGCACCAACAACGGGATCTGAGCCCAAAATAGCGGCATCAAGGTCGTTCTCTGCCTCATCGTACAAAAGCACCTCCACCGTTGGCTCCAAGAACGTTTCCGGTCATCCAGCCACTCTCTGGTAGACACGCGATCCCTACGATACCCGCCACCTCCTCCAGATATCCTGGTCTCCCACCGATGCTTTTAGCCAGCTCGAGAACCTCAGGGCTCTACTCATCGTATTAGCATACTTAAGCACACACGAACAGGCTGGTGTCCACGGGTGCTTACATCAACTCCAGGCCTTGCCTTTGCCAATGGTGTCAGAATGTTGAGCGGCCTCAGCGCCTCGCGAGGTTCATCGGGCAGCCCTGAATATAGACCAGTATCCATAGGTCCAGGTGCGACCGCATTGACGGTGCAGCGCTCCGCAAGTTCCCGGGCCCATACGCGCTGTCACACAAGTCAACAGGACGATCGCATGCAGTCAGAGCACGTGGAACTTACAGTCATGGCCTCCAAAGCTCCTTTGGTCCCTGCATACGATGTCTGCCACCAAACTCCCCAAGTCGTCGTTGCGCTGGAGATGTTTACGATGCGACCAGAGCGATCCGTTGGCAGATAAGGGAATGCAGCTTTGACAAGCAGAGCTGGTGCCTTGCAATTGAGATTGAACGTCGCGTCGAACATATCCAGATCCAACTGGTCGATGCCTTGCGCGTTGACTGTCGCAGCGTTGTTGACAATGATATCGATCTGGAATCGGCCGGATGCATCGCTGAAATGCGCCTTCGCACTGTCGACTACATGCTGAGGAGCTTCTGGCTTACTGAGGTCTGCTTTCACTGGCAGCGCCTTTACGCTGTACTTCTCTTCGAAAGACTTGGCCAAGGCCTGCGCTTTTGGTGTCGAATCATCAGTGGCATAGACAATGACTACATTTGCACCCCGACTAGCGAAGTGCTCTACGCAGACGGCTCCAAAACCTTTGATGCGTTAACAACAGAACTCAGTCAACAGAATTGGCTGACAGGACTCACTCCTACTTGCGCCGGTAACTATGGCAAGTTTGCCTTCGAATGTTCTGAAAGGGGCCATTTGAGTCTTACTTATAAGCGCAATATCGGAAGTTGCTATCTAGCTTGCGTTCCTTGTGTGACACGAAGATTTTGTACTTTGGTGCTGAGGGCTAACAGGTTCGCGATCAACCTTGTCAATGAGTTGTCACTTTGCGCTGAAACCAACCGAGGCTAGCGCCCGCGCCGATCGGCGGGTCGAGCTTCGACGGTGCACCGTCTGCTATGCACTGAGACGTTGAAATGCCGTAGGCACATCTATCAGCAGAAGAATTGTACATGAACATGGCGGGTGTTCCAGCTTCAAGGATCGAGGATTCGGGGAGATCGCCCCGGCGTTTCGAAGGAAGCGCTATCGTGGCTAGCGGTGCCGCCTTGCGGGAGCGGGAGCGGCTTTCTCCAGGCTTTTCATTGTTCCCAGGACTGCATATCGACTTGTGCAAGCCCTGCGATGGATATGAAATTCGCTGGGCTGTGGTGGCTTCCAGCAAGCCTCACCGAATCGTCGTGTCTCTGAAAAGACGAAAAGTTATGAACGGTCGCGTGACATAGGGAAAGCCTGATCCACTACTTGCGGGTCCTGAGCATGGAAGCTCCTCAACTATTCCCTGCGTTACGGCCCGTTTCCTATTTACGGCTTGCCAATTGCCCCGGGATGCTCCCGGATCTACATTCACGCTCAGGCTTGCTAGCAAAGCGGTGGCCCCGTTCTCTTTCCAAACCGGCTGTCATGCGACGTAGCAAAAAGAGTGTTCCCTGTCTTAAACGGTCTCGACACTGACGTTGTCAGATTTCGATCGGCATGAAGGGTCACCAGCTCCACTCGAACATGATTTCGCCAATGACAGCATTGGCGCTTCAATCCGTACGCGTACCTTTGGTGGCTCGAGAACGGCATCAAGCTGCACAAGCCTACGGTCCCCTTTTCTCTTACAATCGATGTGGGCCTCCCACAAGGGAGATTAGCCCTTCCGTGCTGCGCTCCCACCTGAGGCGAACGATTTTGCTGCTGTCACTGGATGAATGGATTGCCACAAGGGTTACGAACTCGAATCATGGCAACTGGTTGATGCGCACAACCACTTTCTAACATCAAGATCCTTATGTTGGAACATTCTCCAAGAACAATTCACACCGCCTCCTTACTTCTTGCTTCCCTCATCTTTGCTCACGCCTCGAGAGAGCCTTGAGGCACTCGTACGCGCCATATACCACCCAACACGTCTATGATTCTGAGCCTTCACCATGGGTCTCACGTCTAGTGCGATGTTCCTGTCGGTCATTATCCCTCTGCCGTTCGATATTGCAACGACAGTGATGCGTTTCTGGATCCGCTATCGCAGGAAAGCCTGGGGAGCAGATGATTGGGCCACACTCATCACTCTGGTAGGTCTTCGCACTAGCCATAGCATAAAGAAAACAACTGATGAAGATGCATCGCAGCCTTTCTACACCGTGGCGATGGTTGCTACTATAGCAATGAGCTTCAGTGGAGTTGGTGCCAGCGCTGATACAGCTACCCCACAACAATCGATCGACTCGCTGAAGGTAAGTGCTTGTACATTGCTTCATCTCGCGACGAAGCGCAGTGGCCTTTACTCACACCTATCTTAGTGGTTCTATGTCTTTCAAGAGCCTTGGTGTTTCACGCTGGTCACAATCAAGGCCTCTATCGGCTTTGCCCTGATACGAATTGCCAACAGGAAACGCTGGATTGAGCTAGTAATCTATCTTAATATTTTGCTCTGCTTGCTTTTGATGGGCGGCACGGGAATGTATCTATTCTTCCAGTGCAAGCCTGTCCGGTAAGATTACCACGTATTACACTTCCCGGCATTTGACTGACTTGGTGGCACCTAGGAAAAATTGGTTCACTGACCTACCTGGAGAGTGCAATCCGCGGGAGATACAGACTGGTCTGTCATTCGCTGTAGCTGCTCTTTCCATCACTACCGATTGGACGTTTGCGATCCTTCCGGCTTGTCTGCTATGGAACGTTCAAATGGATCCAAGAGTGAAGCTATCCGTGGTGCTCATGTTGGGCTTGGGCGTCTTGTAAGTCATTCCTAACTTTACACATAAGACACTTGTACGAGGGCCAAGGCACAAAGCTAATGAAAGTCAGTGCGTCCATTGCTCCCATCGTCCGTCTGAAATTCCTGTTCGGACTAAATGACCAAACGAAGTTCTTGGAGAACTTAAGTCCCATTCTTGCTTGGGCAGTAAGTCATTCGTACCCTAACATCGATTTTCGCTGACAGTAGTAGTCCGCCGAAATGAACGCCGGCCTAATTGTAGCGAACCTGCCTGCCTGCCGTCCGCTTCTCGACTCGTTCATCTCCCGCATCGCGAGTTCAAGAGGCCTTTCGAGAGATCGCTCACACGGAGCACCAATTTCCGGAAGCGGGGGAAAGACCATGGACAGATATCTAGAGCTTGAGGAGCAGGCCAATGCCGGACTCGAAACGAGGATCTACGGAAAGCGGGATGGCGACAGTGGGAGCGACTTCGATATAGATGATGCCGATTCTGAAAGCCAAAAGGGCATTGTGGGTCGCAGGAAGAAGAGCAATGGCGGATTGAGGGTGCAGGTGACGAAAGACATAAGTGTCACGAGCTCGACTCAGCAGGTCTAGACGAGATGTCAACCTTTGCATTGGTGTGGCTATACACATCCACTTCCAATTTCGTTCATCGCGTGATGACGAACGTCAGTTTACTATTGAAAGGCACAGGAACGCCGCTCATCACTGGGAATGGGGCGTTCACCTGCCTTGTCAAAGCTTGATGTGATCTTGCAAGATCTGGCAAGTGATGATTTGGAGACATTCTCAATCTGAATTTCAGCAACAAGCCAATGGGTTTAGACTTAAACTACTAAAATTCTTATATAGGTTCTCTGGTTTAGAAAGAGTAGATGACAATCCCGAATCATGAGAACCCGTGCACTCACATTCACTTTACAAAATCGCACCTTCGCCTACAGCCATCGACCTTTTGTGATCCTATAGAAGCTGACCTGTACCTGTCAAATCCCTACTTTGCGCACAACGCCCAACCGCACAACACTGCATCGCCACGAACACATAGCAACGTTTAGATACCAAAAGCAATGGCGCCGAGCGACGCAGAATTTTAGGGGCGACACACTCGATAATTCTTTCATCTCTAAAGATTTGGGAAGCGATCGATTTTGTTGATGTTGCAATATCGTCGCGTCGGTCTTGGTCAGCGCGCGGCGCTACTGTACGAGTAATTCTGACGCTAAAACGGTTGCTATGATCAATACTTTACCGAGTAAGGCGTAGGATTTGAAGGGAAAAAAACTAGAAGGACATGTCTATCACTGGTCTCAGCTCGCAGATAAGTTGTTGTCGCACAATGCCCCAGCCAATGAAGCTATGGACGAATCAGTCTCGTGACATCGCTTCGAGCTGATTAGGCCACACACATCTTGGCTGTAGGCACCGCAGGTCTACCGAGGCTGTTTCTGTCTTGGCATCAGCGATATGACGAAGAGCACGTCGATCGATGTGGCTCAGTTCCTAACGTCGCGAGAGCTAACGAGCCTTTACGGCCGTATAGCCGGGCGCAAACGCGGGGAGTCGCCATGAAACATTTGATTCAAGTAAAAATCAGAGACATGCACTCTTTTAACTGAAATGGGTTTTCCATAGGCCTGTACGTATTGCTCTTGGCAGACTGTGGATACCTTATTATGCTGCACATTTGTAGGATCGATTACGTTCGTACAACTTGATGCAAATATCGGGTGTCGTGCTTCATGAGTATCAACGCCTTGTCGTCTCCACTTCTTCAATCAAATTTGTGTCCCTGGAGCATTTTGTCTATACGTACTTTCTGTACAGCGATGAAGTTCATCCAAGCCACCAGCACACTAGCGACTCTAGCTTTGCTGTCGTTCCCTCTTCACGTCACTGCAGAGCCGGACCTTGAGAGGTTCGTTCCATGTTATTTAGCGCTCTAGCGTACTACTGACGACCTATCCAGCAGCCAGAACATGACGCTCCGGTTCTTCCAGGACAATCAAGAGGAGTCGTGCAACTACCTCAACTCCAGTAGCGCCCTAACTTTCACCACGGCGAGCATACCGGTCCTGAGCCATTGTTTCAACTTCGTAGACCTATTCAGCGGAAACGCAACACAAGGTTTTGTCAACCAATCTCGGAATCTACCTGGAGTTTGGGGCGAACATGGTATACACTGGAATCTCAATAATGTTAATACCTTCGATCCGCAAGGAAACTACTCCGGCGTGCTGTACCGTCAGCATGTCGCTAATTCTGGGAACGACGAACAACAGCCGGGAAAGTATGCGGACCGCAGAGTGACAATGTACGGTGCGGAGAACTGTACCCAGAAGGATCCTTCCGATGATGAGGGTCTGCTTGATTGGTATGGTTTTAGCTGCTTTAGCGAAACGGAAGGTAGTTGCGGCACGCTTCCATACAGTATTGCCAGCTTCAGCGTTCAACCGGGGCCAGAAGATGCGAGTGAAGAATCGGGCACCTGCTGGGTTTTCGCAGAGGAAGGTGTTGCTGGGCGTTTGGCTTCCCCCTTTCAAAACGCGATCGGACTTTTGGTCTGCACATCTCTCGCTATCTGGCTGCTTCTGTAGATTGAGATAGCATGAAAGCATTCTGGATAGGAAAAGCAAAACAATCAGATGTCACACGTGATCTTACGGGCCCAAAAATGACGCACGCTATACCGAAATTGGATGACCAGTACACCAACGAAATTAGTCTCGTCTAGCAATTCCAAGACTGTTCATCGTGCATACGATGCTTCACACTGGCGTGAAAGATTGATATGCTGCACCCAATGACTGTTGTAGGGGTTTCTCTTTCCTGGCCTTGTAATTACCCATACGACCGCTAGCGAAATCTTGCCCCATGGAGCGGTCTGCGATCCCTCCCCACACAGCAACGGGATGGGCCGAGGAACGGCAGCAAGCGCACTACGCCAACGGTAGAACAGGCCGTCGCTGTGTATTTTCTTTGTTAGTTCCGCTCAATTCGAGTTTCGAGATTACCATCAAGCATGCCGCCTGTGGCAGCCTGGCCTGCACCGCGCAGTCGTCACGTCTGTTCAAGAATATGAACCTACGAAAAGCCCCTTCCGTGTTTATGGAGCTTTCTACGATCCAACAACGCTAGTTCATAAGGTTTCCCGAGCTGCTAGGAAGCCACCAGAACGCAACTTCTCCGTCCAATCGTTGTTGGGGCTTATGCGCCGGATTTCGTTTAATGAGACACTTTATCCATCCTCCGGCCTGACGAGGTCGCTGTGCCGAACCACGAGCAATGAAGTAAAGTACAAGTGGAAGTCGACACAGCACTGCTCGCATGGTCTGCCTGGCAACAATGCTTACAGTCTGACATAACCTTCGTACCTGTCGTGCGACCGTACCAAAGATGATCTTACATGCACAAGAGGAGGCTATGCTTTGCGTTTCCCCCAAGCTGACATTTCGGGGTCCAAGGTCCTCTTTGCACAAGCCTATATCGTACCCACGTCGATCGTGCCCTGCTATCTGCATCTCTCTCCACATTCCCATGGCAGGCAACAGCCCTCCAGTGCCGCCCACGCGCGAGCAAATCCTCGCCAGCCCCGCGATGCACGCTCCATCGGGAATTACCCCGGATTTTGAACACCCTTTGGAGTATGCTCTATCATGCGATACGCATACTCATATCCGTCTACGTTCTCTCGGCCATCGTTGTTATTGTACGCATCTACGAACGGCTTCGCATTGCGCGGACACTTTTCGCCGAAGACTATGTCATAATACTTGCATGGGTAAGAGAAACACTCGTTCGTGAAGTATAGGTAGTGGATCGTCTTACTGACTTAGGTGTAGCTCGTTCACACGGCTGCTTTCATGCCTATTGGGGTCCGGCTCGATTACGCGCCTATGGGCGTGCACCAGTGGGACATCACTGTCAAGCAACTCGGGAACTATCTCTTCGTACGTACCTTTGATCGGAATTAACCCTTTTGCTGACGCGATCGTAGTACCAATACGTCGGCTTCATCATCTGGATCATCCTCACGCTACTACTAAAGATCGCCATCCTCCTGCAATACCTCCGTATCTTCGTCCCAGATGGCATTCGAGGTTTCACGTTCTGGGCCTCACATATTGTGCTGTGGGCAAATGTGACCTACTATACTGCCTTCGTGTTCACGTTCCTATTCGTCTGCGATCCAAGGCCTTTCTTCTGGGACAAAACCATCGCGCATGGCGAGTGCCTCGACATCTTTGGCATCAACATTATCGGCGCGGTGTTCTGTCTGGTATCAGACTTGATCATATTACTGCTTCCTCAGCGAGTGATCTTCCGGCTTACATTGTCGCGAGGGCGAAAGCTTAGTCTTGCTTTTCTCTTTGCGGTCGGCATATTGTAAGCTTCCTATTTCCTATGATCAAGACTGCTATCATCTATGGCAAACCTGTTGACTGACTTGCTCAGCGCCTGCATAACATCCGCCGTCCGTCTGTACTACAATGTCAAACTATGGAAGAACCAAACCGATGTCACGTACCAGCTTGGCTTCATCTCACTCTGGGGAACAGTTCAGCTCGCTGCTGGATTCTGGATCGTATGCTCGCCTTCGATCCCTAAGACAATCAATCACTTCCGTGGAAAACCCTGGTTTCTACGGGTTGAAACGTCATTGCGCTCGAGGCTTCGGAAAGGACACCCGAAAAGTGAGGAGGGCGATCCAGCACAAAACCCAACTATTGGCGGTGAGAGGAACCAACGTGCGGGGAGAGAAGTTGTTACTGACATTGAGTTTCACGAACTGGTAAACAAGACGGAGGCAAGTATCACAAGCCGAGCGGACAGCGGGCCAGTGTGAGCAGACAACCATTGCGGAACTAACTCAAGCGATGTCTAAAGCTTCTCAAACACCTCAGCCAACTCGACTAAAACCCTCGTCAACTCCTCCGGCTTCGATATCTGCGCGTTGTGGGCACTTTCAACGTCTTTGACAATCCACTCCACGCCAGTGCCGTCGAGCATCATCTGCTGCACCTGCACGGGGATACACGCATCCTGGGTCGTCCGGACGAAGCCCACTCTCCCCCTATACGCCTCGCTATCCCAGCTAGCGCGTGGACACGGCGACGTAAATGCCGTCATACCCTGTGCCATAGCGGAGACAGCCACAACAGCTGCGTGCGCAGGAGCAATGTCATTATACAACGGCGGTATCCGGTCATCGCACCTCAACAGACTAGCTTCAGGCTACTCCTCACGTCAGCATTCTGCGCGGCTGCGGAAAAAGAAGAGAAGCATGTGAGATGGGACAACGGAGACTTGGGAAGCCTTACATCGGGCCTGATATGCGGTGGGAAGTGGCCTCCAAAAGCGTCCTTTACACTCTTGCCGTCACCGCCTTTCGCTAGCAACGCCGCGAGCATGATCTGTCCCAGCACGCCAGTTTTCTTTCCCTCCTTCGTCCTTTCCGCCTTGGAAAGACCTGCTACTGCGGCGCTGCCCGGGATGCTGCTATATGAGTGCGTGAGGAGGATCACGTCGTGCTCTTCGTGGTCGAGGATGGGTAGAAGCATGTTGTTGATTATGTAGTTTTTGTCGTCTTCGGCTGTGACGTTCCTGGAGAGGGAGATACGGGCTTAGTATCCCTCAGATGCACGCTTTCGAGAACTAGGAGCTGAGAATACTCACCCCGAGGCGCCAACTGAGGGCAGAACGGCGGAAAAGGTCGGGTAGCCAGCGAGCTGGAGCAGGTGGGCGAGATACCCATAGTGGGTAGGGTTTTGGGAAGCTCCCAGGGATGATGACGAAGAAGGGTTTTGAGGACATGGTAATGGATTGGGAAAATCTGAAGGGGTGGGCAAAGAGAAGGTATATTTTGTCAATGTTGAATGAAGGGCACGGTGGCTGCTTGCCGTCGCGAGCGGAAGAAGCTTTATACTTCTACTTGTGGTTCGCGGCGTGGTTCGTGGCGTAGTTTGCGGTGCCACCAATGGTGGGGTCCAAGAGTATGATTGTTGTCCAATGGCTTCGTAGAACAACATATCGCAGTACTTGCTGTATATCTATGGCCCTCTCAGAGGGGTTATGCGAAACCTGTGGACACTTCACCGACTCGAGTAGTTGATCAGTCTCCTAAAACAGTGATGAGCGGCCTAGTAATCACAGACTACCAGCGACCACATGTGCTAATTTCGTACACTAGTCTGTGTCCGACTTCGAGCCTCCGCGCGAGGCAAAGCGGTCCCTCTAGTGCGTTCTCGGAGCCGAAGGGACGACCGAACTATAACTCGGCGCGCGGAGGACTTCAACATGAAAATCCGTGTCAGTAATTTGGTGCGACAAAATATACAATGTACTTGAGTCCGGTCACAGAGCAAACATCGCTGAGCCCCCAACCTGGATACAAAGTTTGAAGCTGAAGCTTCCTATATATCTATACAACAGTCTATAAACCATGCAACACCACGCTAAACACTATGCCATATAATACACTGCCTTATAATACACCCCATCTATCAGATCAACCTGTCTACCGCCCTACACCGATATCGCGATCCCAACAGCAACCACAGCCCACGTCCACCCGGAGCTCCACCCCGCGCTCGCTGCGCCCATGAACTCTACCTTCACCTGCTCAACCGGCTTCGTCGTACCATTCACCCCTGCCTGCGGAGAAAACGACTCCTTCAAATTCTTCCCCGAGAAGCCATCGTAATCCTGCTCGCACACCGTCCCCTCAGCAGGCAGCGCCCCATTGCTGAAGTACTCGGGGATAGCCTGGATAGCGCATTGACCGGGGGAGTATCTGGCAAAATGATACACCACCATACATCAGCCCTAACCATTCGCATACATTTCCCCCCAGAAAAGAAGTATCACAGAACGCCTGGGCCTAAGTAAGGTGAATGTCCTCCAGAACGTCGTGATGAACATGCCGCTTGTGGTATGAGAGACGCTACCGTACACACTGTCATGGACGGATTTATATCGACCTTAGGGGAACCGAACTCAGGCTACATCCATAGTGCTAAGCACATGTGGGAATCTTCTCGGGGTCTGAGTGCCTGTCATCTTCCAGCCTCGACTCGGAACACAGAGATGTTGCTCGTGCACCACCATAGTCATCCCAAAGAGGAACTCATCAAGGCCAAGACGGTGAAGTGCACCCAGAGCATCACCTTATCCAGACCGCGGCGCTCAGCCGCAGACATTGGCTTTCACCCCATTGGCTAACAAGTAAACCTACGGGGAAAATGTATTCTGCTGCTCGAATCAAGCTTACCGTATTAGGAGGTGCCACTGTGTTATGCTTAGTCGAAGTAGCCGATGTCACGTGTAGTAACGTAAAGATCAAAGATAGTCCCTCTACGTCCGTAGAGACTCAGAACCGGTGCGTTTTCGAGAACCCCGCCGGACAGGCACATCCTGTTGTCATTTGCTGCTCTTGTTAATCAGTGTGGGTCCGATTAGTGTCATGGCTTTGGTCCTGCGCGACTCAACCAACACCTTTCTCGCAACCTCACTAAGTCACGCGACAGCCGAAGGCAAGCTGCTATCGGATAGTATCTCGGACCCTGTTTACGACTTTCATTCTGTTCTCAGTGGTCTGACAATGACTCGTGTTTCCGGTCAACGAGGTGTCATGTAGTGTGCAGTTGTAGACCCCTGGCGTCCTGACGTTAAAACAGTACCAGCAGTGTATCGGTCTCTAACTCAATCTCTCGGCGTCTGACGACAGGTCAAGACCAGCGTGCGCGATGCATGCGAAGGACCGCCCACATTTCGAAGTAGGTACAGGGCTAGGTTCATCGTGAGAACAATACCGGGATACCCACGCGTCGAGTTCAAGAACAGAGTGCGAGGCGACCCGAGGCAAGCGCGGGTGTGATGTCAGGAGGGTCCAGTCGGTCCTTCCCCTACTACTAACAACCCAGCAAGTGACGTATCATTAGGTGGTAGTCAAAACAATACTTGCAGCCCAACATTGGAATAGCACATGACGAATCAAGATAGGGTTGCAAAGAGGTATAATGTATGCATTTGTTGGAGTTCCATGATCGGTCTCCTAATGGGACCTAAGTCGAAGTTCCTGCGCATCCCGAACACCGTGCTCCTTCGTTGGAGGGTATCTCGCTATTGAATACAAATCGATCATATGCTGTCGTGACATATGCTTGTAGTGAACAGTGAAAACAAATCGGCAGTTCATACTCATGATCGTGTGCGCGTCGAAAGACGCCGGATGAGCCGAAGCAATGATTGTAAGAAAAGACACATCCACCCATTAAAAGAGAAGAATCCTGGCCGAAGCCGGAGTAAAAGTCGTCCCAACGCCTTAGAATGCAGGATCATAAGCCGATGATGCATGGTAGAGAAGAAAGACACATTGTTTAGTCTTCCCAGATCGTCTCCAGATCAAGGTCTCCGCGCCTTTCAGCACCGCAGACACTCCACCGTTTCCTGGAGTCCCGCTTGCCGAACCCAAAGGCTCGTCCGCTACCCCCAGGAACGTCGAGGCTTGATCGCCTACCTCCCTCTCGCTCTTCCTCGCGATCAGCGGCAGCCTTTAACTTGGCAATGCGGTCTGCCTCGATGGCCTCCTCTTCCGCGTCTGGACTATCTGGTATGGTCTCAAGGGAAGAGATCGAAGGGCTGCGGGAACGCATCGAAGTCGGGGTAGACGGTACAGACGACGAAGGAAGCGAGGAGGAATAGTGCGAGCTCGTGCCAGGGAATGGTTCGTTGAACTTGGTGGCTGACAGCAACGGAGACGGGGAGCCAGAGGTAGGCGTACGGACTGGGGGTGCCATGGGCGCTCCACCGAAGGAGACTTGGTGAAGCGGAGAGGCAGGCCTCCTTCGCCTGGACAGAGAGCCGGTGCTGCTGTACAAGCTCGAGATGGGCGAAGGCTGAACGGCGCCCACCTGGGGGGTTAATTCAAGCTCCGCATCCTCGGAGATGTCGCACACGCTGGGTGCTCCGGAGTGTGCGTACGAATCTTCGTAGAGCGTGGGCTGGCCGCGAGGGCTCCTTGTGCGCTTGGGAGAGCGAAGCGGTGAGGAAGGTCGAGCAGGCATCGGTGAAGGCGACAGGGCAAGGTGGCCGGTAGGGTTGATGACAGTCGGGAGAGAGTGCGCCCGCATCATAGGCGGGGCGGTCACTGAGCTACCGCTCGAAGAACGCAGGTGCGATCGCGAATAGGGTGAGCGGTTGCGAGCCCGGGGTGTATGCGTAGGGAGCGCGTCGAAAGAGGGCGAGGGTTCCGTCTGCGCGCGAGGGGTCGATGGCCTCCGCTCGGAGGTAGGACTGCCCATTGCTTTGCCCATGGCTAGAACAGTACCAGCTGGAATCTCTTCTTTTGGAGACGGTGGTTGCTCGATGCGGACGTCGGTGGTGCTTTGTGTAGTCGCCGAATCCTTTTTAAGAGCCACAGCTTCTTTGTGAGAGACGGTGCTGGCGGGAATGTTCAGCGAGCCTGAGGCCTTCTCTTGTGTAACGGGGCTCGAGGTCGCGAGTGCCTGCAGGCGGGGAACAAGGTCGTCGGCGGCGGCGGCGGTCGAACGGGTAGGGGGAGAGGGAAGCGTGGAGGTGTGGTTATGGGCCGTCATGGTGGAGGGCGCCGGACGGCCGTATACATAGTCAGCCCGTCGGAGAAGCGGAGTGCTGTCGTGAGATAGTAGGGAGGCCAGGGAGATTCGCTTGGTGGAGGTGGAGTCTGGTGGACGTGCTGGTCTGAAGCCTGTCTCCGCCTGTGCTCGCAGGAAGGGCCCTGCGCGTTTCAGCTTTCGGAAAGGCTGCAGCGAGCGCGTTGACTGGCCCGCAGCGACCGAATTGTTTACCAAGGAGCTCGGCAACACGGTGGGGCGACAGACGGCGTGCGAGGTTTAGCAGCGCTGGCGTTGCGATGGTCGGAGCTGTGAAGGAGATGCACAGCTGCTGCGCAATGCGACCGAGGGGCTCCTGCCGCGGTACCAGGACGGGGCAGTCGCGGAGAGGGGTACAAGCAACCGCACCACGCGCCCACGCAGAACACAAACAGGAGTCGTGAGTGAAAAACGCGCTCAGTAGTGCGCCTGTCGGATGTTGGGACGCAGGACCTGGAGCCGCAAGCTACCGTATAGTACCTAAGCGTGCATTGCTGGGTCGTGTATTCGCCGCAACGCCGTCAGCCGCCGTCGTCGAGTAGAACACATTAGGCTGCGGCTCGCCCGCGCCAAGGAGACCCTGAACATCGCGTCCCAATCAGGCAGCCACAACGGGGTTCTCTCCACGCGCCCAATATCTTCTCTCATGCACCCGGCCGCGACTCGCAGAAACTCGCAAACAGATCCTCTTCCTGATTGTTTCATCAAAACGTCCTGCGCCTCGCACGTCGTCCATAGTGTTTGCCCTGAGCGGACTCGGTAATGAGCCGCCTTCATGCGGGCCACATTGCGCTCCACGTCCCCATCTCCACATGGACCGCATCGGACCCCCGTGTCGGAAAAATATTGGACTCCGCCGAACCCTTAAATGAGTCGCCGACTGCGCCTCCAAGCCGCATTGAAATGATTCTTATATTAGACGATGGGTTATGCGCATGTTCATTCTAGTGATTGCACATCGTGCCGCGGACACAACTCGATTGCTGATGTCACCTCATCACAATAACTACCAAACGCGCTGCGAAATGGTCAGTCACGATCGACGAATCTAACGGCAAGAGCAAGAGCCAAGACAAGAGACCCTGAGGCGGACCCTGAGGCGTATCTTCTGAAGACGTTATGACGACGATCAGTATTAGTTCGATTCCAGCCCAATCTATGATGCTCACCGTCGATATCACACACTCTTCGAGCACGACACAATTCCAGATGGTGAACAGATCAAGGCGAGAATGCTATTTACCGCGCAGTACGCGCCCTCAGCAGTCTATGATCTATCCCGCCCACCTCGAATCAGTGCGAGATTCACAGCCAAACACACACCAAAATCATACAACAGCCGGTTTTTGACATTGCTAACATTGTCACTAACAGTTTAGCCCTCCTAATTATTCATGGTCACCCACCTAGATACAAGCGACCCACAGAGCTTCAGTCGACCCACCCGCGCAAAAACACAAAAACATACAACAGCGGGGATTCCAGAATCGTCACCGACTTCAGTACTAATCCGCCGGTACACTGCTTATATATGGCTGAGCGGACGGGAAGCCTAGTTCTCAGTGTCCTATGGTCGTATGTGGCGGAAGACGCTCTCGTTGGCATTCATATCGCATGCAAATCTTCCAAAACCACCATGCACAGAGAGCGCGAAACATGCCAAAACCCCTTTGATTCGACGCCGCTCCAGCGGTACGCTTACCTCAAATAATCTGCACCAGCATTTTCAAGATCCTTCGGCGATTTGTATGTCGGCTAGTCGATTTACGAACGATCGACAGGGTCAAGAGATGTCCTAAGCCGCGTCTATCGTTGTACTACCGGCAGAGAAACGAGTCATTAAGAAGGGGGTCTGTGAGGGTCACGCACCGCAATGGAGTAATGAATATCAACTCATTGCGTTCGCAGCCAAAAGTAACCCTAATTCGCCATCTTGCAGGCCCAAGCTTCTTATTGGTCAAAATCAGGGCTTTTGCAACACCCATTGGTCAAATTCACTTAACATTAAGGGCGCGGGATAGTAGCGAAATGGGAATACTTTAGGTTGCAAGCACAGTAGTGCTCGGCGACAGAATTGAGCTCCGTTTACACAGGAAAGGAGTTCGGCCGAGCTTGGTTGAAGGCCGAGGAGTGTCTTCTTGGCAAGGACAATTCAAATGCAATAGCGATCCAGATACACGACGCCGAGTTCGACCGACTCTTTCACCTCCACGTGCTGAATACACAGGAGTCTGGCGATCATGATGTCACGGGCTGGGGAGAACCATGCACCACATCGTGCATCTCTCCCGTTTCAGCCCAACGCCCAACTTGCGGGATGACGAATCTACCACAACATGATCCCTGTGGACACGCGACAAGGCGGTGGCTGGGTAGAGCTAGCATCTATAAAGCCCGACGGAGGACAAGGATCTCTGGGGTGGTCGTTGTAGTGATCGTGTGATGGGACGAGAGATTTTGAGATCTAAGTTTCGGAAAGACTTCCAAAGGCGCTGGAACATGGCCATGTACTATTGACGAGTGCAACACCAAGTGTAATAGTCTATTAGGAGCCAGATCGTAAAAGCTTAAAGCATGTTTTCGGACGACGATGCCAAGTCCGGTCTGTTAATTACAACTTTTTGCCATCCTCATGGGACACAGGTCTCCTACCGCAACTCAATTCCAAAAGAACAATCTGAGAAGCATCACAGGTGACGATGACGCCTACAGATCATTCAATTCCACAGTAACCCAGCTCACGAGGTGATTAGCTTGTACGCACGTGTCTTCACTGATCGCATTCGGTTCACTGCTTGCATGAGACCGAGCGCACGGGAAACCCTTCTCAGGTTCCTGTGATTGTATGTATGTGAATGGTCAGATCTCATTACTTGCGTCTGCAGGAACAGCATTGGGCCCTCATGCAACCGGAAGCAGCGGGTAGCGGGCAGCGGTCCGTTAATCCATATCCTTGCTTCCGCGGAGGTCTTGTGCTAAACCAGTCTCAAGAACAACATCACAAGTTGCGCGACTGCAGCCAATTGTCATGGGAGAGCATCCGCTAGCGGTGGATGATATAATCGATTTAATGAGTTCCTTCCTTCCCCACCTTCCACTGCTCTGGAACCCCTTCCGCAACTTTTCCAGCCAGTCGGTATGGTTTGAACTGCCAGCTATTGGCCTATTTACTTCACTAGCTGGTTTTAACCGCTTAGTGCCCTATTTGATGTCTATCAGGCCTGCGAATATGATTTAATATTTAATAGAATCCAGCTAACAATCAGCCTCATATAGTACACAGACTAGCTAAAAGGTTGTGACAAAAGTAACTAGAGTCATGAAAAGGTGGGGAAAGAACTTCCTTAAAGCACTGATAAAGCATCGGTCCCGCGCGCAGACTTGTAGCTGCTCTGGAAGGATCACTGTTGTAGCCATCATCATCAGAAAACCGGGCCGCCTTTGGCCAAGCCCCTTACAGCAATTGGCCTCTGGCTCGTGAATGAGCAGGCTCGGTCTCATCAATCAGCAACTCAGAAATGCTCCTGGCCTCTTCTAATGGCTGATTTTCGACGTGCAGGCCCATAGGAGCGCCCAGTCGAGGTCTCAAGCCGATCTTGGTATTACCAGTACCCGTGAAACCACTGTTCTGTTACCTATGTTCGAAGCGTGGGCGGTCGATAAGGACAGTCTTTCTTGCTCAGAGCGTTGAAGTGGTGGGAAGCTACACATGCCCAACGACGGTCACTTTCTCAATGTCGGCATTCCCCACAAAGACATGCTCACCACCCAAGGAGCGAATTATAGAAGAGTAGACATCTCTTATTATTGGAATAAATATAATTGGGTAACATGTTAACTGAATCGAACAGAATCCTTTCTCAAGATAGATTTTAGCGCATACAGCCGATACAGTAGACAATTATGTATAGTTAGATTCTCCACGTCGACCATACCTGCACGTGCCCCTGCATATATCCCAGCGCTATGGCTTGTGGGTTGCGTCTTTGTGCAAACGGTAATAAGGTTATATGCATACTACAGCCTCGCTCAAGGCCTCGCAAGATTTCAAGGAAATGAGCACTTCTAAGTCGCAATCAAGAGGGCGCTCAGAGAAGAATTGTAGAGCTCTTCGTTCCTTTTGCCATGGGCTGTATCGCTAATGCTCTATCTCATGTCTAATCTATGGAGATCAAGCTTGAAGACTCCGAGTCCTCAATCATTTTTTTCGGTGTCCTCCTCTCCGCTTTCGGTATCACTTAGAGTTTCGAGGACCATTTCACTTCAAACGGCCCCACAGGAACATCAACAAGGGATTGTTCGCAGTCCTCGTGGGGTTCTATTTGCTTGTTTGCCTTACAAGTACATGAGACTTTCAATCAGCCTAAACGTCGCAAATTCCAAGACGTGTTTCCTCTTGCTTGTATTTTCGCCGAGGTATTTGCGGTCGCTGAAGGACATATGGCCGATGTAGTCAGCAGTCGCTCCTCGAACGACAAACGTGATCACGTGTTAAACATTCCATGTAGGTTGACTATGTCTTGGAGCGGATCCGTAACCAGGTGGTTGAAAGGTGTGATGTTCAGATCTTTGAGCTACAAAATACGACATTGAAAGAGCGAGAGCAACGGCTTCTAGCAAATCAAGATTGGGGAGCTAATCCCAGCGTGATCGAACAATGTTTTAAATCAGACCCTAAACGAAAACAAATATGCTACGAGAACGTATAGTAATCTGTCATATAGAGCAAATCCGCATCGCCGGACCGTCCCAGCTCAGAGAAGGCTTAGCCTGCCAACGATATCCCCTTGCTAGTTTGTGTTTTTACTAAGATGAGTACGGTCAGAGCAGGAAGAACACTGTGCGATATGCGTATACTTGTCAGGGTATACGCACAACAAAGATTCCGATTCCACAAATAATACGCGTAGTGAAAGTTCGGATAGCGACAATGCATACTTGTTTATTCAAGTAGCTCGTTTTTGGCCTTTATAAACCATAAATTATATTCTTATAACGTAGCGACAAGTAAAGTGTCATAAGTGTACAACTACCCACGGCGTCGATACTGAACTCATCAACAACATCGGTACCTAACCGGTGAGCACAAACAGAGTGAGAAAGACTACCAGTGGCTTGTATAAACCCCCTTATCTAGCGCACCCATCGCTCGCACGAGTGCATGGTCGGGTGTACGGCTACACTTCCATTTAGTACGGACATAAAGGAAAACACACACGGTTTAGCCGAGGAAAGGGGACGCTAGAATCCTTTTTGTTAGACTGGTTTCGATGTTTGAAAAGACCCGTAATGCCTTGCCAACTGTTGGGGTAACAGGTGGAGTCTCTCGTGAAGGTCACCGTCACACAGTCGAAGGCGGCTCAAGTCGCAATGCCGGCAGGATGAGACGTGCATGGTGGCGGCATGCAGGGAGCGCCACGCGGGAATGGAGTAACGTTGAGCTGAAGCAACGGCATGCGGGAGGCGTTGACCGAAGCAACGCCATGCAGGAGGCGTTGAGCTTACGAACGGTACCCGCCTTGATCCCGGCTTGGCGACGGACTTGGAATATGCAGGTGTGAAGGTTCCTTCGCGTCATGTGGGCTGAATGCAGCATCCCACGCAAGTGTACTAGGATACCTAAGGTAGAGTACGAGAATGATCGACCTTCGCGCTGATAAAGGCGCGAAGGGCGAAAGCCGACTGACAAATGGCTTCAGCCCGCTCTGGGGTATGTGAAAGTGGCAGATAGCACAGACCACTTTACTTTTTGGTAGGGTTGGAAGAAATGAGCGCGGACTTTCCGCGGAGTTCCCGCGCAGTTTCCGGTTTCTGTCTGCTCACTGCAAGGACAGGAACGACAGCCACTATATATAAGTTTGTCACACTCCCCACGCCGCGCTTCCTTCCTTTAGCTCCCGTTAGCTGCGCTTAGATCGTAATTCTATCGCATCAATTTAACTGGGCACCATGGACCGCACACACGACCAGAACGACCCTGAGAAAGCCGTCCCAGAGCTGGATCTCGAAGGCGAGACTCCACGGGGCCGCCAGAGTGCCGCCGATTCTGTGGTTGGAGACAAGCCAGTCGACGTCGCAAAACCGCACGACGACGGTCCTCCAGATGGCGGTACCACAGCGTGGTTGGTGCTTCTAGGATCGTGGTGCTGCTCCTTCTCGAGCCCTGGCTGGATCAATAGTGAGTGTTTTCTCTCCTCTGGCACCATGCATTCAGGCAATGTACTGACGGAAATGCAAGGCGTGGGCAGTTTTCAGCAATACTACGAGACAGGACCTCTGAAAGACTACTCCAGCAGCACTATTGGCTGGATCCTGTCCCTTCAAATCTTCTTCCTCTTCGCCTTGGGACCCTTCGTGGGAATTCTGTTCGACAACTACGGACCGAGACCGCTTATAATCGTTGGGACGCTCTTTCACGTCTTTGGACTGATGATGGCATCGTTGGCAAAGTCTTATTATCAATTCATCTTGGCCCAAGGAGTGTGCAGTGCCATCGGAGTAGCATGCCTCTACTCGCCTGGTAAGTTTCACTTGTTTCGCGCTTGTGTAAAAGGCGTGCGCTAACACAATGAAGCTCTTATGTGTCTTACAACCTGGTTCAACAAGAAGCGTGGAGCAGCGATGGGTGTTATGGTCTCTGGCTCGTCCCTTGGGGGTGTTGTCTTTCCCATTAGTACGTGTCGCCCGGCTACAGAACTGATATGTCTGAGCTGACTTTATTCCCCGCGTTTAGTGATTGCGCGCATGGTTCCTAGGAACGGCTATCCCTGGACAATGAGAACTGCGGCCTTCATCATTCTCGGTTTACAAATCATTGCGATTTTTACAGTCAAGCCGAGAACCAAGCCGGTTCCGAAGAAAATGCCCATGGGACGATTGGCGGCGCCCTTCACAGAGTTTCCATATGTGATGATGCTCATTGGATTTTTCCTCTTGACTTTCGGAATCTTCATCCCCATCACCTATCTGGCGGTGCAGGGCTTTCAGGAGGCACATATGTCGGAGGAGATGTCGCAATATATTGTGGCCATTTTCAACGCCTCAAGTCTCTTCGGCCGCCTCGTCGCTGGCGTAATTGCTGATAAGATTGGAAGATGGAACGTCTTCATCATCTTCTGCGGTCTTTCTGGCATTGCCGAATTCGCCGTCTGGATCCCTGCCACAACCTCTTCCGTGGTGATTGGCTTTGCCATCATGTTTGGCTTCGTGTCAGGAGCGTTCATAAGTCTGTTGGGAGCCCTGCCCGCCTCGGTGTCCCCATTGCCCGAAATCGGCTACCGAATGGGTGTTGTCTTCTTCGCGATCTCGATCCCTGCCCTAGTCATGGCGCCTATCGGTGGTGCTATCTTGCAGAATGGATCCAACGGCTGGCTGGACGTAAAAATCTTTGGTGGTGTCACTGCTATTGCAGGTACGGCAATCATTTTGGTCTCGAGGTTGATGTATACCGACAAGAAGCTTCTCAAAGTATTTTAAGCGTGGAGGAGACGGATGCGGTGATGGGGCATGAGAGGAGTACTTGGTTCGGTAACAAACGCAAGCTCTGGGATCGGAAATGCTCCCTAGATTAGAATGTAATGCCTATGACTTGCTGCCCTTGTGCATATACAGGGTTCAGATGTCAGCTGTAATCCTATGCAAAACGCATACTTCGGAAACCGTTGACGCCTGTTGCATCCCCTTGAACTTATTAGGAGTTTTGTTCAAGCCTCGGCTTTCCTCGTAAGTGAGCCGCCATCGTTACTCGATTATGTGCCTACACTACCGGCATGCTCGAGTGAGCAGCGCGGTAGGGATATCTGGGCCTTTTGCGGTCTTTTACGCTGGAAGGGTGCCCTGTGCGTGCATGCGAATGTTGGGCCGACATCTGAACCCTAGCCAATAGGCTACTTCCGGAAATCCTACGCACCCGGATTCTGTGTCATGCTGCCGAGACATTACACGCCTGCCGTGATCTGCGTCTGGGTGAGGTGGCCTGAGGTTGAGGTAAGGACGAGTGGGGGTTACACTAGTGATACAAGACTGAATTAAGGCGAACTAGTGCTCCAACTATCGTGAATCTGGGCTAGTAATGTGCTTGTTTTTGTCAATCTAGCGACTGCAATCGAGACGGCATATGCACTGCGAAGGGCGGTCAAGAGCCCCATGACATAAGAGGCGACCAATTCAAGCACACAATCCGATGACTCGCTGGATTTCATGACCTGATACGTGCTACACGGACAAGATATCGGAGAGTACCGTGCAGCGCAGCCTATCCAACGCCCCAAGGGACATGCTCGCCGCCACTTACTGCATGGCCCGTATGAAGTCCACTGCCTCGTGGAATATATCTCTTACAATCCTTAGGAAAGTACGGATGCGCAGCGCGTTAGGGGTTTCCTCCTGGTCAAAGATCGAAAAGGGGCCCGATCACCCCCAGCCATGCTACGCAACAGTCGTCCTCATGGTGTAGAAGCATAAGGTTCGGGCCGTTCTTAAGTCTACGTAAGCTTATGTCGAAGGCGAGGGAACTTAGGTACAGAAGCTTGATGACGGAAATGTTGAGAAGCCCACACGCCCTTTTGATAGATAATACGCACTCAGAAGTAAACGGGCCGCTTCGACCATCTTGGCACAGGGAGAGGCGTAAGCTTATTCTACGGGTGGCGTTACAGCTTACGCTGGTCTGCACCCCACAACATCGTTTCGTAAACCGTACTATCTGCCTACTCCAGCATTACCCCGATTGAAGCTCTAACCCTATCTATCTCTAACCTGAAGCGGTCCTCACTGCATGCCTAGCAACGGCAGACTCAGTGTTTCGTATCCTTGCATTCTGCTTCGGTTCTCGCACAATCGCGTATGTCTCCTAAAGGAGAAGGAGGTTATGGTGAGTCGTGCTCACCCCATCCCTAGCATATGCGGTACGGACATGGTCACCAAGCCACGCATCCTTTATAACATACGTACGAGATGTTTTGAATACGATAAATCCCGCTGAACACAAAGGCTAGGAATCCGGTGCGCAGGGCAACAGAGCCTCAATCACAGAACCGATAACAAAAAGGAAAGAGAAAACCAAGTATATCATGTCACACCGTCAGTCGTGTGATCGTTGTCGGCAGCAAAAAGTGAGGTGCCTGCGAAGCGACGATGCAACAGGTAACCCTGCTTCGCTTCCTCGGTGCGAGCGATGTACAAAAGCAGGCGCAGACTGTACTTACAGCCGTGAGTGCCGACCATCTTCCCCGGTGCAACTATTTTGGAATACCGAAATAAGTGTGAAAGTCACTACTAATTCATTTGCCGCAGTCACGTCCACAGCCGCGAGACGACGTTCCAAACATCACTCCATCCAGGCATCGGCACCAAAAAGTACCGACAACCATCTGAGCAACACCTCGTGGTTCGAGCAAAACCTAAGCGGAGCGTTTTACGTGGGCGGGCCATCCCTTGGAACCGACTTTTCCGATCTAGTAAATCAATCGCCTAGCCTTGATGAGAGCGAGAACGTTGCTGGTTTCAATTGTTGGGATGCAAACCTACCGCCTTTTTCGACATCCCCGTTGAACTCCCTAACGGCACTATCCGTACCAGACGCGACCTTCATCCCTACTGCTCCTTCGACGACCGACGGCCACGACGACAGCGATGAAAACGACGCAGATCCCACTGATACACTATCTTCGCAGCTGGCGTCTTTAAGTCAAAGGGCTACACAGACGACGCGCCGCTTAGTACGCCCCAATCGTGAGCCTCTGACCGTGTCATCGTCCGAGGTGAACGAAGCGTTGGAAATAGTCAATAATCTGATACATATTGTAAACAACATCACCGCGCCGGACCGAGACAATATCACGCTCGATGCGACGACCACAGATTACGGGTTGGCGCTCTCAGCGCTCGCGTGTCATCAACATCTCATAGCGCTCTTCGGAGCCATCTGCGACGCCATACACCAGTGTGTACAGTACAAACAGGAACAGATGCAACAACAGCAACAAAAGCAACACCGGAGCCGGCAAAACAGTAATGTAGGACCATCTGTCGTGGCGCAGTTTGTCATGGTGCTTCAGCTGATGATGCACCTGATCAATCGCATGGATCGAAGTCTTTTCCAAAATAGTTCATCGGCGTCGCAATATCCGGGCTTGTTCACCGACGGTCACACCACCCCCATCACACCTGATTCAGTCAATCAGCATACGATTGACCCCAAACAGATCGAAGAAGCCGCGAATGGTTCATCGGCACGTGGCGGTCTTGTCTTCCTCGTGCATGACCTCGTGGAAACACTTCCCAAAGAGCACGAGAAGTTGAGGCAGTCCATACAGAGACTACAGATAGACATAGACCATTCTTCATTTCACTGAGGGGAAAAGAAACGAACACCATCACTACAAGGAAATTCATGTTTTACTAGCGCATTTCTTTAGAAGATCCTTCCAGATTTGTCTCCGAATTGAAAGGCATGGGTAGATGGATGAGATGTTATCCGAATCGGCTTCAGTATGCTTCCCCCAGGTCTCATCGTAAACATCTGCCGTGCTGTGGACCAAGAGATAATGCACGCCGAGCCGCAACGAGCGGCCATCGCCACCTACCGCAGCCAACATGGGTCTATCGAAGAAGTAACTGAAGCTTAGCGGTTGCTGGAAAGCTGGTGAGTCTATTGATGTCACAAATATTACGCTCTACGCTGCCCGGGAGACATAAAGCTATCTCAGCACCCCGCACAATCAAGGCAATCAATCAGCGAAAACTCAGCCCTCAGCAAAAATTAGGAACTTGTAATCAATATACAGAAGCTTACTGAATGAGATCCTCTACTTTCAAGATGAATGATTCAGAGTGTTGCAGCCCGTATAGCGAAAACAAGCGTTAGCATGTGCTAGATTGATCAGGTTGATTAGTGACACAGTACTGATCTGGGCCTGGAATATACAGCCGGGATAGGCAGCAATAGCCAAGATTCCAATTCAGAGGTAAGGCCCAGTATAATCTGACTTCCTATCGTAGTAAATTGGCTAATGAAATCAGCTCTTACAACATAGACGAAGAAGGCTTCCTACTTGGTCTCACTACCCGCTCAAAGAGGGCTCACTGTATGAGACGGCCAATTTATCATACGAGCAATAAAAGAAGACAGGCAATCTAAGATAGTAATCACGAGTGAATCCCCCTCCCAACTTGCACATGTGCCGAAAGTTCAGCTCTTGATCTAGACGTCCATTAGGCTACCCCAGGCAACCGAAAATCGGTCTGGATCAATGAACCCCACCCATAGACTACATAGGCTTCATCGCCTTATCATTATTTGGCTGGATGCGTTGGGGATATAGGCCGTGCATGGCTCAAACATGTGTTTGATCGGTCTACTAGGTAGACGGCCTAACGCTCCTGCCGACTACTCAATCCCAACAGCCATGGCTCCCACCTAATCATGGGCTTTATCGAGGACTGTGACCGAAACTTAATCCTTCTTCTGACATGCATTGTCACGTAATCTGGCATACATCTAATTGGATGAATCGACCCGTGCGTTACATCGCTTCTACATGTGTTCCGTGGCGTACCGAAGAAGGCCCTGACTGATGCAACAATCCCGGTATACCACGTTTGGTGTAATGCGTGGAGACGTCCGGCGTGCAGTGGTCAGCTTTCACACGGACTTCGTGTAACAAATGTCACGTTTCCTCCTGGATGCCACGTTTATACGAATGTTTAGCGACTTCCCGCAGCCCTTATCACGGAGATTATTGAAAACAAAGAAGGACCCTGTATGCATGGCAAGGGTTGCAGGAGTTTACTAAACCTTGGAGTGTTTATCATTGCCGCGTTACGCTTACGCACTCGCGTCTTCGGCATGTGCATGAAGACTTGCATTCGATATCATCACGAAATTGAGCACGTTTCTCGGCCTCGGCCTAGCCCGATACGAGGTTATTATTCAAACCCATTCGTAAAAGTTCCAAGCTAATGGCTTTCCTCGTTTACAGAGCCTCCGCCACCTAATATCGTCTTCACCACCGATGGATGCGCGCTCTCTGGACTCTCATCAGGGATCTCGAAATCGAAACGGCAGACATCCTCGTCAAAGTCGAATGGCAGATCGTACGTGGATGTGATCCTTGGCGAGGCGTTAGCTATGATAAGATAGAGATAATCGGTGTAGTGATCGGCGACTCACTTGTACCAATGTTCAAGCTTCTTCACTTGGTATTCATCCAGTGCCGCTATATCCTCATGATAGCTTATGAAAGCGTGTTCAAACCCTTTGCTATATTTGATGGGGTCCGTTAATGAAGGACCACCCACGTATAAACGGCCATCCTTGATACACGGCAGAGATTTCAGCGCCTTGGCCTCACGCAGAAACACGTCTTTCAGTTCCTCAGTTACACCAGGTTTAAACCTAAACAGGACTGTAATGTCGAGAGGTCAGCAGGGAGCAACCTTGGCCAAATTCGATTTTTAGGAAAGATAATGCAGCAAGGTTACTAACCGATGTGCATGATCGTCATCTTCAAGAAGTCTCTTAGGATATGCTGTTGAATATGTAGTGTTATCAGGCAAGCTTTCGACTGTAAGCACGAATGGGGGATCGAAGGACAGCTTTCCAGTAGTTTCGGCTTTTGTATCAACAAACCTTGGATGAACACATGATACTTGGACCTTTTTCTTAGCACCACTGCTAACGGATATACGGAGTCAATACGGAGTCAATACGGAGTCAAGGAGAGAGTTTTTTCCAGCTTACCCAGTGCTTCAGGTGACGAAGTTTCCACTACCGAATCGGCGCCGATTCGAGCGACCGATGTGCCGATATGATGCCGACCGGCTTCCTAATTGATCGCGGACTTCCGGGCAACATCAAACAATTAGCTGCCGGTCTGTCCGACACCGGTCTAAGGACTGAGCAGGATCACCTGATGTGTTTATGTTCGCGACAAGAAATGCCCCGAGTCGCGATCCTATGGTACTATATCGCGCCTCGGGTCTATTGGATTGAATTATAGCTGTACTTCTAGTATTCGAATTTACACATCTCTTCTTCAAATCTCTGACGTGAACACTACCGTTGCCTCGTGTCAATTCCATACCACGAAATGGCGGGTCTTGTGGCAGCGTTCCTTTCACCAGGCTTCCTGATCTACGCTTTCTCGATCCTACTTGTCACCAATGCTGTGGTATATCTCGTCGCTACTCTTCGTCCGAAAGCTTTTCCTCCTGGGCCACGGGGGCTCCCCGGCTTCGGCAACCTTCTCCAGCTCAACAGGGCCTTCCCTTACCTCACATTAAGCGAATGGGCCAAATACTATGGCAAAGACACTCCAATTGGAGTCAAAAAGGGCGCGAGCAACGTCGTGGTCTTGAATAGTGGCCGCCTAGTTCGCGAATTGTTTGATCAGCGAGGCGCCGTGTACTCTGACCGCCCTTGGCAATATATGAACAATACTTGGGTGTTCAAAGACGACATCAGAGCTGCAATTCAACAAAACAATTCAGCCTGGCTGACCCTATGGCGCAAAGAGTTCACCAGCAACTTTGGCCAGGCAGCTGTCACGAGACATCGACCAATTTACGATGCCGAGACAGCTAGGCTCTTGGTCAAGTTACTCGAATCTCCGAACGCGAGAAAGAAGGATCTGGAAACCATCCTGGTGTGCTGGATGATGAGTGCGCCGACCTTGGGGGTGTGTGGTAGGCGTCCGGACGGTATGGAAGATCTGGGGTTCTTTGTCGAAGACTTTATACATTGCAGTGATGAGTATTCCGCTCTCACAGCACCACACCCAAGAGACGTCTTCCCTCTTCTGCAATATCTCCCAGAGTTCTTCGGGATGGCCGAATGGAAAATCAGGGCTCGAGCCCTCAGAGAGACCGTTATCGGGATGGGAACCAAGTTCGTAAATGCTGCTGAACAACAGCGCGAGGCCCTGGACGCTGGCAAACCGATCGGGTGGGAGAGCGTTTTGGCAAGAATGTTGAAGCAAAGGCGGGAGAAGAAGGAGTACATGTTCACGACGAAAGACATTGGCAATACCGCGTTTCACACAATGGCAACTGGCTGGGCGACATCATTGGCGACACTGACGACCATTCTGATGCTCCTAGCAAAGGATCCAGAGCTCCAGCAGAAGATGAGGAACGAGGTTCTTGAGGTGACAGGAGGAGCAACGCCTAAGCCAGCTGATGTCCCCAAGCTAAAGTACATGGAGGCTTTTTGGTACGAGGTATGGCTACTCTCAAAGCATCACTTGTGATTCAACGAACTAAACCGTCGTGTATAGGCTCACCGCTGGCGCCCCGTCGCTCCACAAGCCTTTCCCCACGCAACATCTCAGGATGATATATACAATGGCTTCCGTATCCCCAGGGGCACTGCTGTCATCGCTAATGTCTGGAACATTCATCATAGCGAGGAGGATTATGAAGAACCGGAAAAGTTCATCCCAGAACGATTTTTGCGACATCCTTTCGGCATGCGATCACACGAGGGAACACACGATCCTGCTCGCCTGGAGGCATCGGGCGCGCGTGTCACATACGACTTTGGGGCCGGGCGCAGGATATGTCCAGGCATGTATTTGGCGAAGCATAGCGTACTCCTTGGGTTAGCCAAGATGATCTGGGCTTTTGATATCTTGCCGCCCAAGGGAAAAGAGATTGATCTGGACCTGGAGACCGGCTATATCCAAGAAGTTGCCCTGCGCCCGAAGGACTTCGATGTCAGTTTCAGGCTGAGGGTTGGTCGAGCTCCGGAGGATATCACGAATCATTACTCCCAGGCGTATGAGGCTGAAGCCAAAGTGATGGGATGGGAAGATGGCCAGTTCAAGTGATCTGATTAAGTACACCTTGCATCGCTTTCTCACTCGTAGAGGATGGCGGGCATATAGGTCAGCAGCAATGGTTACGTATAAGGACTTCATGACGAGAAGATCTCTCCAATGACAAAATTGTATTATTATGGGACAAGCAGGCCTTTGTTCGGCTATTGTTGGCGCTGAAGTAGCGATACGCGCGAATGGAAGTGGACGTTTGCATGAACCAAAAACATCTGGCATGCTTTAAGTCGACATTCTGTGGCCTTAGACCCATCATGAACTTAAACATATCATTTTTGTATTTTTGTCATCTCTACCACAGTGCTCGCGTTGCTCTACTGAATGACCACCGCATTCCACGATGCCGTAGGTACACAGGGTAAATCAACAGTCTAATTCGATATATGTGACTGATAGAAAGTCCAAATGGCGCTTTAGAGTCCTTTTACTAATCAAGATACCACAAGTGAGAAGATAGTAAAGCCGCTGAGGAAAGGTGCACCAGAGTCCAAACATGTCTCATGAATTCTTTGCATTCACTTGCTTAGGCTAAATGAGACATTTATACCTTGAAGAAAGCCCCATCCCGAACCTCTCAGAGATTCATACGCCTTTGCAGGAAATCCAGCTGTGTGTTAAGAATGTATTCGTAATCGCCAAAGATCCAGTCCATATGATTCTTGCCTTTCAAGATGTCCAACTCCTTGGGCTCGTTCATGTGCTTGTAACACCTGAGCTGGTCCTCAACTGGACAAGAAACGTCCAGCTCGGGAGTTACCATCAGTGTCGGAGTGGGGCTGATGTACTTGACAATGTCGCAAATATTCCATGACAAGGCTTTGTAGTAGGTCTGCACAGAGATCTTGTTCTCGATGGGAATGCCGAGCCGTTGCAACTGGGGGATCATGTCGGCAGGCATTTGGAGACCGTTCGGAATGCTTCCATCTTCGTTGACATAGGGAAGAAACATGGGTTCTTCGCCCTCGAGACGCATAGCGCGGTCGTGCATGGCGAGCTCAAGAATGGGTTGGCGCCTCTCTGGTGAGCCACTGGCATCGATCATAGGAGCGACCGCGATCACGGCAGCGATGCGCTTACTATTATTGGAATTCATCGTTAGTGCATGCTTGCCTGACACAAAAACAGGGAGATCGATCAAGGACAGATGAAAGGTAGAGGGAGTACGGGAAACTTACTCAAAGGCGGCTGCACCGAGGGTGACATTGCCTCCAAAGCATAGACCCCAAAGTGCAATCTTGGTCTCGTCAACCAAAGAGAGCTCCTTGAACCATGTTACTGCATCATGGAGATGTTCAGCCATGTTCCTTGCGTCGATCTGTGCACGAGCGTGAGTTTTGTTTTAGTTGAACACAACGGCGGGACCAAACTCACGTCATTCCGAGGCTCTCCGCCACTGCGACCAATACCTTTCGGGTCATAGAGAAACGTGGTGATACCATGCTCTTGAAACCACTTCGCGAGGTCTGGCAGAATTGCGTCTTTGGGCATGTTGAACTATTTACACACGTTAGCTGACAGGTGCTTCAAGACAAACAACAGAAGGCGGATGTCATGGGCACGTACTCCTGGTGTCATGATCATGCCTGGGCCGCGCTGCCTAGCGGGAAAGAGCCAACCATGCAGCTTGACCCCGTCGAGTGTGGTAATCTCATGATCTTCACGCGGTAGAACATCAGCCTGACGGCTGAGTAGGTCGGCAGTAGCAGCTGGAGCCATTGTGATAGTTTGGGCAAATGTTGAAGTGGAGGCAAAATAAGAGGACTCGAGTAATTGCTGAAAAGTTCGGGTCAATATGATTGTATACCTACATGCATTCCAACACGCACTGTGTAATACTAGAAACTCCTGGAATAGGCAGGTAGTAATCGATGACTCGAGATCCACAAAGGTAGTCGCGCTCGGCGGACCGAATCGGTCGGGATCGGGATCGGGGTCGGTTCCCAATCCGGCAGTGATTCAGAGTACAACCACCCAAATAGGCGCAAAACGGCATGTTTGTAACAGGGTCGGAATAACAGTCTTAGTATCTGCGTTATCTAATGTGTGCACCTTTCTACGTGAAACGCGGCAACGCGACAATGTAGGGTCTCCGAGTTCCGGAACAGACCCATGCTTTACTATGGTTTACCCACGATAGGCAATGCACATAATTGTGCTCAAGATTTTGTCTTGTGGTTATACCAGAAGTCACTGCTCTAGATGACAGTAGTAGCATGCCGCTTTAAACCTTACTCCTGGTCTACAACACCAGTCAACACATGTAATGGCAAAGTATTGTTTTCTCGTCAATGCTATTCGCACTTTTTCTTAGCTATAGTAAGCTCTGTCTGATATCTCTGGGTGTGATCAATTGATAATATGACTGTGTCACCCTCGAGCCGCAACGACAGAGCACACGAAACGCAAGCTTTGAAAGGCCACAGACGCGTCCATTCGATACCCTCATCACGCTATCTATTTCTCAATCTATGCTCAAAACATTTCAGCCACCTATCCCATCAATGGCACTACAAGTTTCTTTGCATGCACTTTCCCAAGCTTCATATCCTCCAGATACTCCGGCAGCTTCGACAAACCGCCTTCCTGCACATCCAGTGGGTGGTGCCTGACTCTCCCGTCACTGAGCCACCCCTCAGCAAGGGCAAATAATTGCTTGCCAAACTCTCTATGCTCGGGTGATGGAGGCCGCCCGTAGGTGCCTGTCATATGAACTCCGTCGCCCATGATGGCATCGGCGAGGAACCAATCTGCACGCACGTCCCTACGCGTGTATTTGACGGTAGTAGTGAGGTTCTCGAGCGCAATGTAGCTACCACCCGAGGAGCCAATGGCACCGTAGCACATCTTCATGTTCGTGCTGTCGGTGACACAGTCGAGGACGAAACGGAGGCGGTTTTCGGTGTGCACGCGGATGTCAGCCCCGCAGTTAGGGGAGTGATAATCGAAACAGGCTGCGGCGCCGTACGATTCGCACAGAGCGTTGTTGGCAGGCGAGCAGGTGACGATAGGAGTGTACCCGGCCCTAGCGAATGGATGTTAGTTAGAGATATTAAGCGTAGTCTATACAGTCCACTTACATTTTCAGTAGTTGCGTTGCCATTGTGCCTGTGGCTGTGGCACCTCCACAGATGAGCACAGTTCCACCTGCGCCCGCTTGCAAAGGCAGCTCTAAGCCAGGGTGGGCAAAGAGGGCCAAACCGGCCGTGGCCAGCGAAAGGCCAATCGAGCATGCCTGCTCAAAAGAGAAATCTTTGGGAACGTGGCAGCTGATGTCTTCTTCTGCCAGTGCATATTCAGCAAAAGCACCGACAGTCTTGTCCCAAGGATCTGAGCCGAACGTGGTGGCAAGGACGCGGTCGCCCTCTTTGAATCTCGTGACTCCTTCTCCCACCTTTGCCACGGTGCCGGCAAAGTCACACCCGCCTAATGAACCGGGTGACTTGTTAAAGTCCACAATTTTTGCGTCTCGTGGGTTCATAGCGACGGCATGCACACGGACGAGCAGTGAGCCTCGCTGTGGAGTGGGTATGTCGAGTTCGTGGTCAAGGCGATAGCCGCCCGATTCGGCACCCACAAGACCATTCATAGTAGGCATGATAAAGATGTAAATCAGTGTACAAGATCTTTCAAAATCTAACAATGGATTAAAAAAGTATTATCTTTGCGATTCTTAGTCTTGCACTTTCTCGGGATTTTTTTCTTTGAGTTTCAAGATCCAGCCGCATCGCGCACCGGTGCCGATCCATCTCAGATCCGGAGACTCGGCACCGATGCAGCATCGGCAGGATCCTGTTCGAGATACGACGATAGTCCGCACCGCGATTGCCACCGCGTCGGAATTCTCAGTTTCAGATGTCCACGACTTGAGGCTCCATCATCGGGACCGGCGGGATGCGCTCCGGAGTCACTGTCCAAGGCCGCATCGGTCACCTCTAACACCTAACGGGCTGTACGTACACAATATATGTGCTAGTATTGACCACTTCAATATTGAATTTTTCTTGGTCAGGAAGCAATGAATCCTTAGCTTCCTGTGACAAACCCTTCCTTCATTAACATCACGCCTTCCTTGTCACCAACACTACAACTTATACAATGGGGAGCTACGACGAGACCGACTCGTTCTACACGCGCGAACCCATCGCGATTGTGGGTAGCAGCTGCCGCTTCCCAGGTGGAGCAACCTCTCCATCGAAGCTATGGGAGCTCCTAAAAGCTCCCCGAGACGTGGTGCAGGAGATCCCCACCAGTCGCTTCAGCACCACGGCATTCTACAATGCGAACAGTCAACATCACGGAGTAAGATAGCATGCCCTGATCAGATACTCCTGTAGTTAGCTGACTAGAAGCGACAGAGTGCAAACGTCAAGCACGCCTATCTTCTCGATGAAGATCCTCGTGCTTTCGATCGGGATTTCTTTTCGATCAACCCAAAGGAGAGCGAGGCTATGGATCCTCAGCAACGGATGCTGCTCGAGACAGTGTATGAGGGTGTTGAATCGACCGGCTACTCGTTGCAGCAGCTCAAGGGCTCGTCTACCGCTGTTTTCGTCGGATGCATGAGCTACGATTACCAGTTTACTGCTATCAGAGGTATCGACAGCCTGCCTCAGTACCACGGGACCGGCACTGCGGCTTCAATACTGGCTAACCGCGTGTCGTACTTTTATGACTGGAGAGGTCCGTCGGTAAGCATCGATACCGCGTGTTCGTCCAGTCTGGTTGCGCTGCACCAAGCAGTGTCCGCCCTTCGGAATGGAGAAGCCGAGATGGCGGTCGCGGCAGGGTCGAATTTGATCATTGGACCTGAACCATTTGTTAGCGAATCTAAGGTTTGTTGTACCACTACTGGGGAACCTCAGCACGTGCTGACAGGTGCTATTCAAGCTAAACATGCTGTCACCCAACGGGCGCTCCTTTATGTGGGATGCCGCTGCAGATGGTATGTTGCAATTGGCGCATGACAACTTCACACGCTCATGAAAACCAGGCTACACTCGAGGAGAGGGCTTCTCTGCCATCTTTCTCAAGACCCTTAGCCAAGCCATTGCTGACGGTGACCACATCGAAGCTATCATTCGCGAGACGGGCGTGAACTCAGATGGCAAGACGCCAGGTATGCTGCCGACGTTATTCCTCCTGAGCTTTGCTGACTACAAACAGGTATCACAATGCCCGACTCTGAGTCGCAGGCACGACTTATCCGGGAAACGTACGTTCGGGCTGGACTCAACCTGGATCGCGAATCCGATCGTCCACAGTACTTTGAGGCGCATGGCACGGGAACTCAAGCCGGTGATCCAATTGAAGCTCGCGCCATTTCAAGCGTGTTCTTCCCTAACGGCAGGGAAGGCCAGCTCTTGGTGGGAAGCATTAAGACTGTCATCGGACACACCGAGGGCACTGCGGGAGTAGCTGGCGTACTCAAGGCGGCGTTGGCAGTCCAACACGGTCAGATTCCAGCAAATCTCCATTTCAAAAACCTCAACCCCAAGGTTCGACCATATTACGCAAATCTGCGCATTCCGACCGAGACAGTAGAGTGGCCTGCACTCCCGCGAGGGACCCCGCGTCGTGTCAGTTGCAACTCGTTCGGTTTTGGGGGCACCAATGCCCACGCCATCATTGAAAGCTGGGACGGTCCTGGCTCTCTAAGGAACAGCCACCCGCTGAACGGCACAACGCCGGACGTCCGTATTTCGAACGCACCAGGTGGTGGACCCTTCGTCTTGTCTGCTAATTCGGGTAATGCTCTGGCTGCTGGAGCTGGAGCACTGGCAGGTTATCTTCGCCAACACCCTGAGACGGACCTAGCCCAACTTGCACATACTCTATTCCGGCGGACAGAGTTCCCGTTCCGCGCCGCGTTCTCTGCAACCTCAGCGGAGCAACTTGCCGAGAAGCTCGAGGCAGGGAAGGATGCCCTCAAGGGCAGCACACGTACTGCAAATATTCCTGAAGTGCTTCCGGTTCGCATTCTGGGCGTATTCACTGGTCAGGGAGCACAATGGGCTACCATGGGAAAAGAGCTCTATATCGCCTCAGATTTGTTCCGAAACGCCATAGACCAAATGCAACAAAGTCTAGACTCCCTTCCTGCGAACGACCGCCCCGACTGGACCTTGGTCGATCAGCTGAACGCGCCGGCAAAGATCTCCCGCGTTGGCGAAGCCGCCGTTTCTCAGCCGCTCTGTACTGCTCTCCAAATTGCTCTGGTACATGTCCTGCGTGCCGCCGGTATCGACTTCTCTGCTGTTGTTGGGCATTCGTCAGGCGAAATTGGCGCTGCGTATGCTGCGGGATACCTTAACGCCACTGATGCGATCCGAGTGGCATACTACAGAGGCGTTCACTCTCATCTAGCGCATGGGCCGGGAGGCAAGCGCGGTAAGATGATGGCCGTTGGCATGTCGCTAAGCCAAGCAACCACGTTCTGTGGCGAGTTTGGTGGGAGGCTTGCCGTGGCTGCCAGCAACTCCCAAACGAGCTGCACGCTGGCAGGCGATGCTGAAGCGATTGAAGAGGCCCACGCTCGATTAGAGGAAGAGGGAACTTTTGCCCGCATCCTGCAGGTCGACACGGCGTACCATTCTCACCATATGAAGCCTTGTGGCACCCCATACCTCGAATCCATGAAGGCATGTGGTGTCAAAGTCCAAAAACGCCGTAACACACAGTGTCGATGGTACTCCAGTGTCTTTGGTCCGAACGGCCGTATCCGATCGTTTGACCAGGCTGATGGCCACCTCCTCGAGGGACAGTACTGGGTCGACAACATGACGCAGGCCGTGCTATTCAGCCAAGCACTTGCGAGAGCACTCAACGAAGACCAGTACTTTGACCTTGCTCTTGAAGTTGGACCGCACCCGGCTCTCAAAGGTCCAAGCTCCGAGACTATAAAGATGTTGACCGGTCTCTCACTTCCGTATTCTGGGGTTCTGAAGCGTGGGCAGAACGCAACAGAATCATTTGCTGACGCCCTGGGGCTTCTGTGGAAGTTGTTCCCATCGACAAACCCCATCATCACGTTCGATGGGATACGTCGGGCGTTCCCGAGGGGCAAGTCGCAGCAGCTTTCCATTCTTAAAGGCCTCCCAGCTTACTCGTGGGACCATCCCAATCTCATCTGGAAAGAGTCGAGAACGTCTCGTATCTTCCGTACCCGGAAAGAATCACGCCACGAGCTTCTAGGTCATTCTGATACGCATGGCGAACGTGACAAGCGCGAGGTCCACTGGAAGCAGCTCATTAGGGTGAATGAGCTGCCATGGTTAGCAGGCCACAAGATCCAAGGCGAAATCCTTTTTCCAGCATCTGGGTACCTCGCGATGACATATGAGGCGGCCATCCGCCTTGTCGATGACCAGCAGTCATTGCGTCTCGTAGAACTACACGATGTCGACATTATGCGTGCGATGCGGCTCGAAGAAGACTCCCCGGGTCTTGAGGTTGTCTTCACTATTCGTGTTCTGAGCCAGTCTGATGACGGCATAACTGCGGAAGTTGCCTGTTACAGCGGTGCGGTTGACTCGGTCCAACCTCTAGACGCCCCTCAAGCTAGGCTGACAACCCATTTCACCGCCGGTGTGCGGATCTCACTGGGTGAGCCCCATAAGGATGCCCTGCCTCGGCGGGCTGAGCCACGACTTCCCTTGGATGCCTTGGACATCGACCAACTCTACGAAAGCCTTGCCAAAGTAGGCTACAACTACGCGGACCCTTTCCGAGCGAAGTCCGTATCCAGGCGGCTCAACAGTGCCGCTATGACGGTATCTCCGCCGCCCACAGGCTCATCGATACGTGCGTCTATGCATCCTGCGCCTCTTGATACCACTATTCATGGTCTGCTTGCCGGCTTTTCGTTCCCAGGAGACGGCCGATTGCAGACCATCTATCTACCGAGGCGAATTGATTGTGTCAGAATTAGCATGATGACTTCCGAGTCAACTGATTCTATCCTTACAGTTGACGCCAGAGTAACATCGGCCAATGAAACCAGCCTGTCGGGCGACGTGGACATTTGCAATGCGGGCGATGCTAGTACTGAAGTGCAGATACGCGGACTCCACGTAACAGCCGTTGGACAGCGCCAGCAGCCCTGGCTCTATGCAGGCACAGCTTGGGCAAGAGACGCACGCTTTGGTATTGAACCCGGTCATGGAGCCAAGCTTTCGGAGGCAGAGCAGGAGCTTTACGAGCAGCTTACACGCACGGCACACTTCTACTTGCGCCAACTCAAGAAGAAGATCTTGCCTCAGGAGCTGATGTTGATGGGCAAGTTCCGCAAGCACATGATGACCTGGGTTCTTGAACATCTACTTCCTCAGATCGATGCTGGGCAGCATCCAGAGGTCAGACCTGAGTGGGCAAACGACACGATGCAGATGCTGAATGAGTGGCGTGCTGCTCATTCCCCGACCAACAATGACATGAACATTCTTCATGCCATGGGCAAAAATCTCGTCGGGATTGTCCGCGGAACCACACCGCCCTTGAAAGTGCTCACGCAAGATGGCATGCTTGATCGTCTGTACGTTGAGGGCCTCGGTGCAAAGGATGGCAATGTCGACATAGAAGCCATGGTAAAACAGCTTTCGCATCAGTATCCCCGGATGCGCATCGTCGAAGTCGGAGCTGGTACGGGCGGCACTACACGCGCAGTCCTGGATGGCCTAGAAAATCGGTATGCGTCCTACACATACACGGATATTTCCACGGGCTTCTTCGAGAATGCTCGAACGGTGTTTAGCCAGCAAGGCAGCAAGCTCGCCTTCAAGACACTTAATATCGAGAACGATCCAGCAGACCAGGGTTTCACTCCAGGAACGTTCGATATGGTGGTTTCTTCAAACTGTCTGCATGCGACACGAAGTCTTGATGAGACTTTGCGTCACTGCCGACAGCTACTCCGCCCTGGTGGTCGCTTGATGTTACTTGAAATTACCCGAGATTTCTTGCCAACTCAGCTTGTCATGTCCACACTCCCAGGATGGTTCCTAGGCATAGAAGATGGGCGAGTCTGGGCACCGACCGTCAGTCTCGAACGCTGGGATGAGCTGTTGAAAGCTAACGGCTTCTCTGGAGTCGATATCAGCTCGACACCTTCCTTCTGCTCCGTAATCGTGGCACAGGCGGTCGATGAGACGGTGCAACTGCTCCGCGAGCCCCTCGCTGTGGCTCCCGAGGGACTTCCGCCCCTGGGCGATGTCCTGATCATTGGTGACAGTGCCAGTTCTGACCTGGGATCGAAGACGCAGGCAATGATTAAGGCGGTTGCTCCATCGAGCACTATTACCATGTTCCCTAAACTCGAGGGCATCGAGGTACCCAAAGGAGCGGCTGTTCTCTGCCTTGCCGATCTTGAAAGCCCCGTATTCCGCGGCATGACCGAGAAGAGATTCACTGGGCTGCAAGAAGTCATGGGGACGGCTGAAGTGGTCCTGTGGGTGACCACGGGTGCCAAGTCTGGTAAGAACCCTGATGCCAACACCACTGTAGGGTTGTCGAGCACTCTGCGGGCTGAGCGCATGGACCTCAGACTCCAATTCCTGGACGTGGACGACCCGTCATCAATTGAACCATCCATGCTGGCGGAGATGTTTCTGCGCCTGGCTTTCCAGGATCCGGCCAAGAATGACGAATTGCTCTGGACCCAAGAGCCCGAACTTGTGTTGAAGCAGGGCGCCCTATACATACCCAGGGTTATACCCCGCGATAGCACCAATCGTCGGTCGGCCGCAAGGCTTCGGCAGGTCACGCAGACTACGAGCCTTAAGTCGAAAGGTACGGCCGTGGTGCTTGGAGAACGGCAAGAAGCATTCGAGTTACAGGCTGCCACCATCAGTGGCGTCGAAGCAGACAAGATACGCTTGCAGGTCACCGCTTCCTCACTCCATACTCTGACCTGCGAAGGCTACGGACCATTGTATGTATGCATCGGTAGCGATGTGGCTTCCGGAGACAAGATTCTTGGTCTTTCGTCGCTGAACAGCTCCTTCGTTGATGTTGCTGCGGACCGCGTACTGTATCGCTGGCAGCAGAAGAAGCCAACCGTGGATGACACGGCACAACTAGGCCACTTTCTCGCAAACATTCTTGCAGAACACCTGCTTGGTGGCTTGCAAGGGCCTGTGTGGGTCCACGGCGCACCAAGCGACCTCAGCGAGGCTATTGACGCTGGCGCTCGTAGGCGGGGGGTCTATGTGTTCCAAACCACGTCTGAGTTGACGACGAGTCCAGATGTCAACTTCCTCCACCCCTACGCGAGCGAGGATGACATCCAAGACGTACAACCCAAGGGCCTGCACGGCTTTGTCAACCTGGCGCATCCGCAGCACGAGACATTATCTGCGTTTATTCGCGCGTCTTTGCCAGCCTCTGCGATCATGAACAAGAAGGTGGAAGATCTCACCGTCGGCCTGAGCCTTCCTTTGCTTATTTCTCTGGCCAACGAGCATCTTCGAGGCGGCTCGCAACTTCATAAAGAACATCATGGGGTTGTGGGTGTCGACAAGCTCCCAGCAGTGAGAAGCAAAGAGCTGGGACTCGCAGCTGTTGTTGACTGGAGCACTGCCGATACTGTTAGTGCCTTGGTCCGGCCGCTCGAGCATCGTGGGTTGTTTGCTGCTAACAAGACTTATCTTCTCTGCGGCATGACGGGAGACCTGGGCATATCGGTTTGCTTGTGGATGGTAGACAACGGAGCTCGGAATGTTGTCTTGACCAGCCGTAAGCCTAATGTGTCTGAGAGTGTCCTCAACTATCTTTCCCGCAAAGGAGCCACAGTGCGACCCATGGCTGTTGACATTTCGAATAAGGACTCCGTCCGGGCAGCCTACAGCAAAATCAAGGCAACGATGCCGCCTATTGGTGGTGTAATGAACGCCGCTATGGTTCTCCGGGATCGCCTGTTCCATCGTATGCCTTGGGACGACTTTGCGGCCGTACTGGGGCCGAAGATGGTGGGATCCGCGAACCTTGACGAAGTCTTTGGTGACGAACAGCTCGACTTCTTCATCTGCTTCTCATCTACGACTTCGATCGTTGGAAGCATTGGCCAGTCCGCCTATGCTGCCGCAAACCACTACATGGCGAGCCTCGTTGAGCGTAGGCAGGCTCGGGGCCTAGCCGGCTCAGTCCTTCACATTGCCATCCTAACTGGGTTCGGATATATTTTCAGGCGCGATTCCGACCATGCCGAAACCATCTATAAGGCCATTCTTCCGCGGTTCAATAGAGAGTCAGAGTCAGACTTGCACGAGATGCTTGCCGAGGCCATCATAGGCGGGCGTCCTGGCTCGGGTGAGGCTGAACTCATCACGGGTATCAGGCCAGTCTTCCAAGGCGAGTGGCGCGATGACCCTCGATTGTCTTGCTACGTGGGCCAGGAACAGGTGGACGAATCCAGCGAAGCGCAAGCCGACGGATCCGTCAGCGTCAAGGACCAGCTTACCGCGACCGAAGACCCTGCGGAGTCCCTGGCCGTACTGGAAAAGTGCTTTGGGTTGGCTCTCGGTAATTTGCTCGAAATCGACCCAGAGAAGCTGGATAACAGTCTGCCTGTGACCAGTCTGGGCATAGACTCCCTTGTGGCGATCCGTATCCGCGAGTGGTTTCTGAGAGAGACGGGCGTCGACGTGCCTGTTTTGAAGCTCATGTCAGACACATACTCGATTTCACGCATGTGCGATGATGTCTTGGTCGATTGGCGGAAGAATAACAAGTCCTAAGTGCGAGGGCATCGTGAGGAAGAGGATGCAGGAGAGCAACTGGAGATGGAACAAGTCGATTACGGAGGTTGGCGTATCGGCTAGTGTGGTGGCGCTTTACGTGATTGAAATTGGTTACACCCGGCCGCTTACCGTCCGGTCTTCTCAACTATAGACAGTCCTACATATCAAAACAATGTTTTTTTACCGGCCAAGCTCTCTATTGATCAGCGGTGACCAACCAGTATGGGTCCTCGCAACCTTTTTTGTTGCGTCAAACCACTTCCCCTCTACGACACGGCTGCCTCACGCACACGTGTTTAAGCCGAAAGGGAGATGTGTGAAGAAATAAAACTTTCTTTACGTCAACGTACAAAATCTATTATATTGCACCTCCATATGGATGCCCTTTACTTTCCACCCGGAAACAGCAACCCATTATCCCTCCTCACCTTCTCCGTGACCTTCAGCACCGCCCGTGAATGCGCCTCCAACTCTCCGGCAGCCTTCCAGTCCTCCTCTAGAATGATCCTCGCCTGCTCCTCCGCCTCCTCCTTCAAATTCAAATCCACCTTCTTTGCGCCCAGCTCTTCCTTCTTCTTCGTCCGTGGATCGCTCAACGTCACACGCTCGATGTCGGTGATGGTGGGAACGATGAGTGATGCCTTCTCGCCGTATATTTCGGAAGGTGCCTCGCTGGTGTGCATCTTGCTGCTAGCGAGATGTACGGTGAACCCTTCATAGTGTAGCGTCAGGGTGCCGCCACCGTCGGCACCCGTGCTGATGATGACGGGGTAGTACTGCGCGTCTTTCGGGGCGCCGAAGAGCCATACTGCCGCTGCGACGGTGTAGCACCCCATGTCTACGAGGGCGCCGCCGCCCATCTCCAGGTTGAAGATGTTGGGCACCTCACCTTTGAGCACGGCGTCATAGCGCGAAGAGAATTGGCAGAAGGTGATGCTTGCACCCAACACGCGGCCGATTTTAGAAATTGACTGCTTGAGGATCTTGAAGTTTACTTCTTGGATGTGGCGCCAGGCCTCAATCAAGAAAAGTCCCTTTGACTTGGAGAGCGCAAACAGCTCATCCAGTTCCTGGCTTGTGGAGCACGAGGGCTTCTCTAGGATGACGTGTTTTCCGGCGTTGAGAGCGGCCTTTGCTTGTTCGTAGTGCAGGATGTTGGGCGAGGCGATGTAGACGGCGTTGAGATTAGGGTCGGCGTAGAACTTATCGAGATCGGTGTATAGCGCGATTTTCTGACCTTCATATTTCGATGCGAATTCCTTGGCCGACTCTTCTTTGCGCGAGTAGACGGCGGCGAGGTTCCATTTTTGGGTCGCTTGGGCGCACTCGACGTAGGAGTGGGTGATCCAATTAGTTCCGATGATGCCGATATTGAGAACCATTTTGAGAAGTCTTGCTGATGGAGAAGACGGAAGGGAGTAAGTGGGAGAGATGGAGAGACGAAAAGCCCCAGACTGGAGGTCACGTCGGCTTTATATGACGTTGCGGTTGCTGTTGCAGTGTAGAAGCAGGGCTGTTGCAGTGTCCAAATCGGGCAGCTCTCCACTTCAAGCTCGTAACCCCACTTGCAAAGTCTTCAGAGGGATATGTAACGCGGGGTGATTAAGAAGCGAACCTGTGTGTCTCGGTTTACTATGCTTATGCGCGTGCAACAACTGGTATCGTGAGGATTCTTGAGCTGCAGGGGTCGAATGGTTGGCCATTGGAACGCAGTGGTTGCGGGGAGCTCTTGCAGGAAGAAGCACCGTGATGTCACCGGAGCGGGGAAATTTACTCCTTCTAGCGGGAACGCCTCCAGTGAGCAATACGCGACGTAGAAAGATCACGTGGGAAAATAGTATTGCTTGCTCTTCATACAGTCCGTCTAGGCTTTATTCTCAAGACGTAGTTTTGTCGTTGGTCGGCGACTCATGGCATCATCCCACGATACTCCGTTGATGCTCCGAAATCAGCCACCTCGCCACCTCTCGGGTACGCTCAAGCCTTGCCATCGTTCAATATCACCGTTACCCAGCGTTCGTTAACGTCGACACCAATCCCTGCCACGTCTCTCTAACCGTGGGCTGGATCTGACTTGCCGGCAACTGGAACCCGTAATCCCCGGTATCCCTCAGCTCCCACGTGTAACTATATGTTGCGTTGCCAGCCGAATCGACGTAATCAACAGAGCTACCCGTTGTAGCATACAACGTAGAGCACGACGGGCCAATAGTATAGCTAGTTCCTGAGACGGCCTTGATAGCAGCAGCGGCACTGGTGGCAATTGAGCGCAATTGAGCGCTGTTGTGCACGACGAGTGAGCAGTCGTAGCCGTATGCTAAGTAGCTCTATTAGTCATGTGGTGAAGACATTGAGATGGAAAACTGACGCCAAAGTATGTACTGTCCATACGAGTGGATATCAAGGTACAGCCTGATGCCTTTGCCATCACGCAGCGAGTTGACCTGGGCCACTAGTCCCTTGTTTTCAGGTGCGTCGCCAGCAGCTAGCCCTTTGTACGTTTCGGAACAGGGGTTCGTGGATGCTCCGCCCGTAACTTCCCATTTGAATGGCCAGTTCCGGTTGATGTCGCGGCCCACGCAGGTACTGCTGCTGACTGTTTGGCGATTCTTGCGCCAGAGGCGGTCGGTGATTTGGGAATAGACAAAGCCTAGCCATGTGTAAGACTAGCTTCGCATTCTAGGAGAAAGAGTGCGTTGTTTGACTTACCATCAGGATTGACAGCTGGAATAATGTAATAGTCGTACTTGTCGACGAGAGACTTCACGGTCGTATCAGAGGCATACTTAGTGAGTAGTTGCCACGCGAAGTACTCAGCCGTCATGGTAGTAATCCATTCGCGCGCATGCACGGTGCCGTGGATGAGAATTGCAGGCTTCGATCCCTTACCACCAGAGCCCCAAATGTGGATGCCTGTCAAAGCGCGGCCTTGAACGGACGTCCCGGCTGTGAAAATCTCAGACTGGCTAGCAAACCCGCCTTGCAAGTCGCTCAGGAATGTCAGGTGGTCGGCATACGGGTGGTACGCCGTGAACCATGTCTCACTAGGGACTTTGCGATATCAGTATGCATGGCTTGACTCATGAGGGGATTGATGGTGACTATACCTGCAGAAGCACTGAAGTCGGGAGATACCAATTCACCCTCCTCAGCTAATGTGACGCCGAGATCTTCGTTGATAATGATACTCTCTGGCACAAGTGCCTTTACGGTATCCACTGACTCGGGCGAAACAACAACATCGAGCGTCGTCTTTCCGGGATTCAGAATGTGAGCTGCGACTTTCTCGATCTGCGCCTCGATGTCGTGGCTGGCCTTGGCGAGCGAGAGACGGAGGACCTTGAAGCCTGTATAGTCTACCTTTTGCTCGGCTCTGGGTACCGCAGTGCCTAGGACATTAGAGAGGAGCAAGCTCCCGGCGAGAAAGAACCTCATGGCTCAAGTGGTTCAGATGCTTGACCTTGACTGAACTTGACTGAGCAACGATAATAACCCTTCTAGCTCTTTATAGTGACAGTCTATTCGATCGTGATCATCTTCCTATCTTCCCTTCGAGTATCACCTCCGATATCTTCAAGCCACTGTGGTCCAGTAACGTCTTTTGGGCAGGTACCAAGGCGTATGCGCCTGCGGGAGATCATCGCTTTGGAAGACCACGGAGTGCCTGGGCGTAGATCTCACATCCTGTATGGCGCCTTCATTTATTCGAGCTGCAATGTCTGTCTTGGCTGAGACTTGTCGTCTACTTGACGTGATATGGCGGAAGGGAGGTTAACCTTGGCGATACCGGGATAGGAAGGTGCTGTGAGCGGATGTAGCGGTGGTGAGCTAAACACGAATACAGGGACGCATGATATTACTCTGCCAAGCGACTTATAGGTCTTGTATCGGCGTTATTCGAGGATCCTAGTCATCTCGGCGTGAACGTGACTTCGATCCACGAGCCAGGCTAAAAAGACTTAGAGCTTGTTGTATGCGATACTAGATCACTCCTTAGTCCAACAGTCCTAGAAAGCACCGTCTACATGCCTAGTGGCATCCCACGCAGCTATTGGACCCTGAACATCTCTTCTAGCCTCATCACGCGCACTTGCCGTAATGTAGTATGAAGACTGATGCATTCCGTTTCTTAGCGCAAAATAGACAGATGACTGAACGATCCTAGAATACACGCCATCGAATGGATCGCATTTTACCGCCCATCGGTGTCATTATCTACCATACCCCATCCAACCTCTGTCCTCTCATCCTCAACCCACCCCAGTATCCGTTGTCTCGGACACCCAAAGAAAATACACAAATTTAGACGTACAACATGGCGCTCATCAACGCCACGTGAGTGCAAGAGGTCGTGCCAGATACGTGTGTAAATGATATCGATGCCGACGTGGCCGATTGCAGTAGATTTGACGTTTGCTGCGATCGTGCGTAATGTCCTACGTTTAGCACTTGCCATCGGCACCACGAGAGTTCATGAGCAGGGCAACAATGAGACCGTAAAGACCTACTCATGAGGTTAGCATTGCAGATGTGAATTGCCACAGAGGTCTACGCACCCAAAACTTCGGCAAAAATGAGAATCAGGATCATGCCGACGAACAACCGGGGCTGCTGAGCAGTTCCTCGTACACCAGCATCACCGACGATTCCGATAGCAAAACCAGCAGCCATACCCGCAAGACCGACGGAGAGACCAGCACCAAGCTGAATGAAGTTGGTGAAGAGCGAGGTGCCCTGTGCGAGGTCGTTGGAGATCAGGACAGAGACGACGAGACCGTAGATACCAATGATACCAGCCATGACGACGGGGATAATGTCTGCATCGAGTTAGCCGCTATCAACACGGCTGTGCGCTTTCAACAATATCATGTGCGGGCAAGGTGCAGCTTGGGAACGATGAAAGCAAGAGACATACTCTTGACGATGAGGTCAGGTCGGAGGACACCCATTGCGCTGACACCGACACCCGCCTTGGCAGTGCCGTAGGCGGCCCCAAAGCAGGTAAATACAATCGCAGAAGTGCAGCCCATCGCTCCGAAGAACGGCTGTTCGACCGTCAGCAAATGTTCCCAATGGTATGTGGCGCTCGATGCGCTTAGCGGAGGTGGCCGCGGAGCGCTCTACGTAGACGCGCCAGGAGGCGAGCGGGTGTTTGGGCAACTCACGGCGTACACCGGGCTATGAGATATACGTTAGCAGTTGCTCAAGCTGATGCATCATTGCGAGAAGTCTTCCAGAGGTGCGCGGGCATTGGGAAGCTCGAGCTTATCGAAGAGGCAAGCTGGAGCTGTTGCCTCAACGTGGAGAGCTAGTGCACTCACCAGAGATCCGTAGGGGCAGACATTGCGGGTGCGTCGACGAGCTTGCGGGTCTTCCGGAGTGTAGATAGGGTCGGATCGAGATGAAAGAACGGCGCAGACGTTGGGAGCTGACGGCGGAAGGTGTTGAGAGTAGTGGTGACGATGGCTGGAGGTGCAGGCTTCGCTTCGCCCTTGCCGGCCCTGGAGCTAGCCGCCACGTGACCTACGTACGCCAAGCCTTACGTCACGTGTGGCTTTTTTCGGGCGTCGAGGTCGTAACTTCAAATGTTGCACTCCTCGGAGAATCAATCTGACAAAGATGCAAAATATTATCGATATTATATTGATGAGAATCATAGAAGAGCCTTCAATGTTATCCCGGTGCGCATGTCCGTGTATGATCTTTTCAGAGCCCTGAAACAATTTTTCGAAAGAACGCTGTAGCTGCTAGAATTTGTGAACATTCCTCTCGAGGTCGCCACGGTATAATGGTAACGACATGTTTTATACCATGTACTCGGAACTACACGATGTGACCGGATTCGTTGCGGATTGCTCATTGAGATGTAACGGCAGTGTTCTGCAGGTGTTGTCTCTGCAAGGGTACTATTTGACGTCGCGATGTATAGTAGCGTTTGAACAAGTTTGGTATTACTTTTCTCATTATCTCGCCATCGAAGCGCCAAGTTACACACATGATTTTCATGCACCATGACTTTCCCAAGACTCAAATCGTTAACTAGTTCGTCCTCAAAGGAGGCACATGTGCCAACTGTATAATTACTTCCACGCCGAAAGAAAAACTCTCTCCCAGGGTATCCATATCTGCAATTACTCGTATGCGTTAGACAGCAGAAGTGTGAGTAAAGAATGTCGACCGCTACGCTGCGTAACGCAGGGTAAATGATTGATCATTTGCCCGGTATCGCATCAAACCAGTTCCCAGCAGCACATAGACCCCCATGCCGAAGCCACTCTCCCCTGCTTCGCCTTATACTGCTGCATCGTAAGACCTCTTCCATCCTTGTTGTCAAAAGACGTAACAAAGCAGACAGTAATTTTCTGGCCCGGAGCACCGAGGTCGATCCGGTTGACGTCCACCCACCAGCTCTTGCCGTCAGTATTAAATGGTATATGTTGTGTCTTTCTCCCATCTCGACCGCCGACGTTGAGTGTCATAACGTACGGTTTCCCTTTCCCGTTCCGCTCGTGGTCCCAGTGTGGACATGATACGGCGAACTGGAAGCGGATTACAGGATCGTGCGGGTCGTGGACTTTGATGTGCTTCATAGCCGGCTGGAAGGTGCGTCGATTAACACCGTGGTCGCCTTCGGGGTCGCCGTAAATTTGGAGTCGCTCGCCGAGGTCATCCATGAGATAATCTTCCCAAGTGTACGTTCGCGCATCGTTGCGGAACAGATAGTCCCTGTTCTCTGGATAATGAGTGTATCCGAAGTCCTCATTACTTCTCGTGAACTCGGACGCAGTGAAGTGCCGATTGTACTGGTTACTACCGCATCCCAAACTACCCGCGCCCCAGCAAGCATCGACTAGCTTCCATTGACCATTATCGATACGAACTGCGTTCCATGCATGACCCGCGCTGAACGGCGGTAGCGGATCGCCGTGTTTGAGAGGCGAATGTCCAAAGCCCTTGCCGTGACCTCCAACTACGACGGCTTCCAAGCCAGCTTTCATCGCGAGAGCGGCAAAGAGACCTGTATCGTCTTTTGTTAGTACACGTACTCGGCTATATAATGCTGCGCCTAAGCTCTGAGCAGCCTACGTTACCCCAGGCCAGGCATACGCAGTCCGACTGTATAAAACCAGGACTTGTTTTGGTGATGAGAAGGTGACTCACCTGCATATCCCGAGCAAACCGCCAGACCTGAAGAGATGGTCTTTTCAGGTGTAGTTCCTGAAACTGTTCCAGAAAAGAAGGAGTGACAGTCATAGTCCACATTGTGGTGCAACCACACAAAGATAGCGCGCGCCTTGTCCGTGGGCGAAGAGAATGGAGCCTGCTAAAGTCAGAAGAATCCATAGTCGAATTTCGCATCTATGTTCCAGGCACTTCGTAATTCTGGCATAGGTGTTACAATGATCAGCTTTGATTTTGACGTACCGTCAGCTGTGTAGCCAGCCAAGTCACGTCGGAAGACGGCAGGCTAGTGCGAGGGAATTGAGCAGCGTGCTGATCAGGTCCTGAAAAATCTCGGCAGATAAGACACGAAGCAGGAACAGCTCCAGGTTTCGGCTTTGACGCCATGATATGATCCAAATTCGGCCGCGACGCAAGGGGCACAGGAGGAGGCGCATTATCATTGGACTGATTGGGCGTGGGTCTACTAGAAGGAAGTGGAGGCGGTTTGGCTACGTTGTTGAAACCCAGCTCCAGGGTAGGCCGTAGATTGGGAGGAGGAAGCCTCCGCGGCTTTTCTGCTTGATCATTCTCCGATACGTGAACTTTAGAAGCAGGTCGCGCAGGAAGGGATGGTCGCGAGGGAAGTTGAGGTGGTAACGATTTTGGACTGGTTACATTTGTATTCGATCGCATAGCCTTCTTGATGGAGCTGTCCTGCTTGGGATCCTCGACTTTCCTCGCAGGTAGCGGGGGCAGCGTCGTTGGATCATACGCCGGTGCTCGCACAGTGTACATTCGCCCGCCATTGCTGGTGCCATTGCTGGTTGTAGTCTTGGTTGAGTCCAGGGAAAGATGGGATATACTAGAGGAAGTCGTAAGAACCGAGTCTCTTGAACCGCTTCTTCTCAGACTCCCTGCTTGTGAGGGCTGGCGCGGTGGTAGACTGGGCGGCTGCTTGGGCGTGTTATTTCGCGGAGGGGGTCGCGGAGGTAGCGCTGGTGACTTCTTAGGCGGTTCTGGTTGTACAGGCGCAGGCTGGTTGCCGAAGTGTCTGGCCGAGGTAGGCGCATCATACACAGGCGGATTGTTCACGGTCTGGTGCCGTTGCGCGGCGGGTGGTCTTTGCGACGGAGGAGGGGGCGGTGGCTTCTTCTTCGCTGCTGTCGCTTGCTCGTACGTGTATGTCGGTCGACTACTGGGTGCAGGGGCATGCACTTGCTCGATGTTGAGGGCGGCAATGCGGTCTTTGATTGAGGCAGCCATAGCGAGAGACTGGCCGTCTAAGCGCGAGGAGTCTTAGGGTGGTGGATGAGGACAGGCTGCGTGGAGTGGGAGTAAGAGTGCGGAAAAGGACCCCACGCAGTTCGGGGCACAGCCTGACATGTTCATTAACGTCGTCACAGCACAGGGCAGCCTGGTGGGACTCAGACGGTTATACGACGGGAGGATCCCAGGCCCTGTGGGATCCTCGCTGGAACACAGCCACGACACCCGAATTAAGGTTTAGCGTCATCAGGCACGCCTGGTTTGACGACTTGAACACTGTGAAGGCGGGGCGGCGGGGCACTTGTGGCTGGGCCGATAGCGTCCGGAAATAGATCCGAAGTCAACAGGGACGCAAACAGTGCGACTGAAGAGGAGCGCAATCTCAAGGCGACTCGACATAGCAGTCGCGCGTTGGAGTTTGTTGAGGAGACCGACTGGGTGGTACTGCGGACTGATCTCTCTCCTGTAGCCTTGCGGGGATCGGGTGTCACCTGTCATCAGCGAGCTTCACGCAAAACCCGCCCAGAAGCCAGCCCAGCCAGCCGAGAGACCTTTCCAGTAGTATTGTCATTCAATGTCGTAAACTAAAGATCGCTACTGTACCGAACATCCATAAAAGAAAAGCAATAGCACCAACATAAGAAAATAGACAGTGACCGGCCCGCCCCCATATTCCCCATCCTCCAATCTAATTTGCACCACAATACCCAGTCCACCGCCCGCCGATGAGCCTAAACAGCAGAGACAATTTGAAACCACCACCCTCTTCTTCCCTTTACAGTCCTTCGCACGACGTCGCAACAATTGGCAAACGCCGAAGATATTTTCGGATAAGAAAGGAGCGGAACGGAGATGGCCTTCCTACAGCGCTATCCAAAGTGGTGTGCGCTCAATAAGTTCAAAAGCGACAACTGAACAAGCGCGAACACTGACTCCGGTAATTGATAACATAGGAAAATCATCCAGACGTCGTAAAGGTCATCTCCAAAACACGGCTACGCTTGGCAAAGCAGTTGAATGTGCGCCGGCGAAAAGCAACAAGCAAGATAACACAATAATAGTGGGGCAACAGTGCGTCGTCTGGGTTCGGTGGTTCGCAAGATATTACCGCTTCCTCTTCTTGTTCTTGTCACTTATGCTGCCGTCTAGGAGGAAGTTGCTCGCAGCGATTGGCGCATGGACGTGGTCGTGCAACGAAGGAGGATCCATAGGTTTCTTGACGACCGGCACGCCCATGTGGCGTCCGTATCGTCCTTTGCGGCCGTTGCCTTCGTCCTCGCTGACGCAACCTTCGATACCGATGCCTGCGTCCTTGCAACGTCCGCAAGGTCGCTGGCGATCGCAACCTTTCTTGCTCTTGCGGCATCGCTGGCAGCGAGGCTTCGATGACAGGTCCTCTTCGTCAAGCCCAAGTGGCTGCTGACCAGTGGTAGAGGCGCTCGATGTTTTGCGCGACTGAGATGGGAGGGACGTTGGGGACATGGGCGCCTTTGCGACCTTGTTTTTCGGCTTGGAAAGAGCGCGAGGCTTGCCTGGGTGACCAGACTTGCTCGAGACAGACCCGCGAGCCTTGACTACGTGAAGCTGATGATGATCATGATGTCCATCCAGTATGATCTCATCGCTTTCGCCCTTGAAGGAATCGTCCCTGTTGTCGTAGTCCTCTTCACCGCTGCTGTCGACACTTTCATATCCACGGATGATAGGCTCTCCAATCAAGCCATTGGTGCGTCCAACATTGAAAGGGAGTGGGGGGAGTGGGGGGAGTTCCTGCTCATCATCGCTGCCATCATCACTCTCTTCGCTTGAGGATGCAACCTCTGCTTTGCCGCTTAGCGCGTCATCAAGCGTCGATGTAGAAGTCCGTCCGTGTGTGGAGAAGTTCGACGCATCGCCCAGGCGCATCAGCTGGCGAGCAACGTCTTCATCCGAAATGACACTGGCGCTACCGAGTGTTGGATCAGGGGTAGGTAAGATGCCTCCCGGTGCACCAGATTGCCGATAGGGCCCTCCTTGTGTTGTGCCGCGGGTGCGCGATCGGTAACCTTGCACATGCGCGCTCGAGGTAGAGTAGGGAGTAGCCAGCCCATGCATGTATGTGGTGTCACCCTGACCGTAGCTTTGCGGTGATGCTAGAGGATACGAGAATGCGAACGTCTGCTGGTTACTCATAGCGTATGGTGATCCCGCATTGTTGCCGCTGATTCGTCGCTGAGGTGAAACTGAGGAGAGGGACGCGGTCATGGGTACCTGAGGAGGAACGAAAAGAGGAAGCTCCTTAAGGGAGACGGTATGTCAGTTCCATTCCCAGTATGGCAGCTTGTATAAGGTGTACTCACAGAGCTGTCAAACTTGGCCCGTTTGCGACGGCCACCCTCAACGATGTTATCAACACTGATCTCAGCGCTGGCTACTTGTTCCTTTCTAGAGCGGCGTGAGGTCACGGAAGCGTCGCCATTCTCGCTGTCGCTGTAGCCATTTGCATCGCCATTGGCATCAGCGAAGCTTCCATGAGAGCTGGGACCGCGGCTCTTCCCAGCAGCGCGAGCACGCTTGCTAACAGAGATTGTGGAAGCACTACGTCGGCCACGACCTGGCTGAGGCGACTCGCTTTGCCGCATGTGCCTGGCGAGACTGGGAGGGAGCATCTGGAACGCTTCGTCCAGTCTCGGGCGGCGAGGAGACATGGAGTGATGCGAGACAGACTGATATTCTTCGATTTCCGGATCCTCTGCAGTGACACGCACGTAGACAACCATGTTGTGTGCGAAGTTCTCATAGCGAGCGATCAGGGTATTACCAAGGCGATCCTCGAAGACCACCCCTTTGCGCTCGTAGAGCCCATAGAAGTTCTTGACCGTTGTGATGATACTGTCAGTTGTATCGTGCGGGTAGATGTTCACACGCATAGGTAGACGTGCTTTGTGCTGCGGGGACTGAGGCAATAGCAGCAATTCGAACGAGACTTGCTTCGGTTGTGGTGACTTGGACGGGGACAGCGTATCATGCGCCGGTCCCGTTTCCGTGCTTGGATATATGTCCATCATGGCTGTATCGCTGCCGTGTGGATTCATGGTGTGCTCCGGTACCGTTGATGTGCACTTGTCCTGTGGGTCCACACTGAGACCCTCGAACAGCAGCGTATAAGACGAGCGACGACAGCCTGGATTCCAGTTATCGGACACTGACAGTGGGATTTTAAGCTCGTGGTTATGATGTCGAACACTGTGCGACAAGTATAATATACGATGGTAGAGCGCTGGACCGACCCAGCCGGTGTCGCAAAGGCTCGGAGCGGGAAACGATCGGAAAGGGGACCGGTGATGGATCTGGAGTGATGACAATCAGCATGTGGTGCTTCGATATGGCGGATGAGGTGCATTGTGGTCTGGGTAGACGGCATGGAGAGCTAAAACGGAGTGGCTGCTGCTGGTCCTCGTCACCGCCCAGGTTGCAGGGAGCGAGGCAAAGACAGCGCCGAAGCACTCGACTGCCGCCTATGCTGCCCTCAGGGGCACAAGGAACGGCGAATGCGGTCGCAAAGCTCTAGAGAAATGAAACTTACAGTTACGAATATTGCGCAAGCCAGATGGGCAGAGAAGTTGGGTTGGTTTCGTTCCGTAGACCGCCGCTTGAGTGCTGGTCGGCAGGAGATGTCAGTATGCGGGCATACGCAGAATCGTGAATTGAGCAGCAGGAAGATGCGATGACAGGTCCCTATGCATCGTTCACAAGCCGTGGGAGCTTACCGCTGAAGTTGGTGCGAGTGGGGAGAGAGGAGAAGGGTTCTGGAAGAGAGAGTGCTGGATGATGCGGTTTAAGCGAAGGCGGACCTAAAGTGCAGCCACCCCAGAGCGCCAACACAGTCTCGTGGAGAGCAAATGCTACAATCTGGATCGCATACGCTTTTAGAAGCAGTTCCGTGGGAATTAAACGCAAAATCGCTGGGTTGAGCGCTTCTAGGGATGCATGCGCGCGGCCTCTGTCAAGCCTGCTTGCGCAACTACAGTCATTTGATTCGGGATGGTACGGCGACTGACACAACACATGCATGTACACAACGAAGGTCTTCTCGCACTTGCTACCCGGGCTTGATACAGGTCTGCCTCCGGGGTGCGGGTTAGGCGCCAGAGAGTGGCTACGAATGCATGCCGCAGCGCGCAAACCACTAATAATCAGGACGGATTGGGTCTTGCCATAACCGCCTCGTTGCGCTCACGCCTGGCCAATGGGCTCGCCGGCGCATTCACTTTGACGACAGCGAGTACCCCCAGGAGACATTGATGGACGGGCGAGTGCTTCACTTAGGTGCTCTTCCGCGCCGAGTCCCCCTCTCACGTTGCCTAGCGGTTGGATTCGTTGGCAGTAGGGACTGCGGCGTCTGTTGAACTCCGTGTTACGGTACAAACGCCATTCTCAGGCAAGCTCTCGCACCCCGCTGGGGAACTAGTTTATGAGGTGAGCAGCGCAATCCTGCCATGGCTTGCGGCTGCTGTTTGAGAGTCTGATATAGATGCGCTGGCGGGCGGTTCGCTTGACAGGATGCGACCCTGCATAATGACGACCGAGCCGCGGGCGCAATCACATCCATCGCACACTCTCTCCGCTCCAGCAGCTGCGCATTTAGCAGAGTGTTAGCCGGGCAAAGCGGGAGGGGTGAGGTGGATCGGCAGAATTCGCTCTCCCGCCGTTCGCGCGAGCTTTTGTTGTGTGGGGTTTGCGCCGGCCGATGATAACTGAGCTGGCTGGCTCGGGTCTTGTCGGTGAAGACAAAGACGCCATTGGCACGAGCAGACGGCGGATGGGGTGCCAACTTCCGGGCAGCAGCCAAACTCTCCAGGCCAGCGTGACACTGCTCGAGACCATGCGGCGACATCAGCAGCCCAGCGCTGCGCAAGTCCAGGCGGGAGGGTTTGAAACGGGTGGCAGTGCGTTTAATTGATTCGTTGCGAGCCGCCAGTCCGACGACGCAGCGGGAGAAGCCATGAGACCTGCGACGCCCGCGGGGGAGGCGCAACAGCGTCGCAATGTGTTCGCGAATACTTCTGCGCGGCTTTCATCCCATCTGAAGCACCGCGCGAGGACGGGGGAGGTGAGTCGTGGGTGACGAACGCTCACGTGACTTGGCGTTTGAGACCGCGCCGGACGCGTCTCTCGGTCGCTCTTGCCGCGTCGTCACGAGACCACATTTGAGATGGCCATATCTTTGCGCCGCAAACCTGAAAACCCTCAAAACGCTCGGTGAATGGTAGCACAAGCGTCAGCGTACTAGAGAAAATTTATTGAGCTGGTTGAGCTGCTGCAACGTGGTGCGCACGCAAAAGGCATGCTTTGCTGCTTTGTTGGTTGACGCGACGGATGACGCAGTGCCGGCAGCCAGGATGGCCCGTTGCCGAGGCGATGGCGGAAACAGCCTAGCCTGCCGCATCCCTGCGCCCGGGAACTAGCGCGAGTCGCGCTCAAGCTGTTTTTGTCTGTAAACAAAAGTCAGTGTTTGGCCTTTAAAGCTACACACCCACGCCCACCTCGTTGCGTCCGAAGCTAATCTCGTGTATCTCATTGTCGCCGAATTACCTTCTCATAGATGGACTCTTAACTGTTTTACTCACGACCATTGCCTCTTCGCTGCGACCGACCGCTCCCCCTTTCGAGCTCCTTCCAGAGCTCCTTTCCTGTCATCGCAGCCAGCACCGGTCGAGTATCGGTAACAATCGCCTCGAGAACATCACCATGGACGCCAAGGTATGTTCGACACAAAGCCAACCTGCTTCACTCTGTTTAACCCCCATCTCGCGCTGTGGTCGTCGTTTGCGCTCTTCACCGTCGCGTGGTCTAAGCGTTTGTCGCTAACATCGTTCAGCCTCAACGTCCTTTAAGGAGTCTTCGGATCCGCGACGAGAACGCGCAACCGCAGCTTCCTGCCGGCAAGACCATTCATCAGCGCAATAAGTCGACGCCAGCACTATCCACATTGGTCAACGTGGCAGCAATGAAAGCCCAAGGAGCCAAGCGTGCTGTCTTCGCCGATGTCAGCAACGTGACACGACAAGTGGCCAAGGATGACATCCACGTTGGCAAATCGAAAGAAAACATCATCCTCAAGGACACGGCCATCGTCTCCGCAAAGGAACTTGTCAAGCCGAACGCGTTGTTACGACCTGCGCAACGCCCTTTGAACACGAAGACCAATGCCACTGTTGCTCCAGAACCTGCAGCGGCCCTCGCCACCAAGCCCACCGTAATCGAACCAACACAAAACCGCAAGGCATTGCTCAAGAAGGCGACCACTATCTTCCGGGAACCACACGTAGACCCAGCCCCCGAGGCTGCTACGACGAAGCCCTTTGCCGAGCTTCCACATGACACTGTTCGCGTCGAACAGGCACCTGTTCAGCCAATCACAAAAGAGTGCACGGCTGTGCGGAAACAACATGATGGCGCGCCTGTTGACGCCCAGATACTCGCCGATGTGCACAACACAACCAAGGTGGAGAGGGAGACGCGACATGCTCATGCTCACGTTGAAGTCCAAGAGAGGTACGAGTATGTCGATGCTCTAGAGGAGAAAGCCCTTGTCCTGGAGCGAGAACGCAGCGAGGAGCTTGCCAAGCTGCAGGCTACCAACGAGGAAGAGTATTGGGACGAGGACGAAGATGAATACTACGATGCTGACGGCTACACCACCGGAAGGTCCCTTCCCTCTGGCCGCGACAACACAACTGGAGGCGTTACCCTCGTTTTAGCTCCTCGCATCACAGCCAAATCCAAGCGCGAATTGGAAGCTGCGAAGCTGTTCGTCGAAGCCAATAAGACCCAAGAAGACATTGAAGACGAGCAATGGGATACATCCATGGTTGCCGAATATGGTGACGAGATCTTCGAATATATGCACTCCCTCGAAGAGCGTATGAAGCCGAATGCTCAGTACATGGATTTGCAGGCTGAGATCCAATGGTCGATGCGTTCAGTCCTCATGGACTGGATGGTGCAAGTTCACAATCGCTTCACGCTCCTCCCAGAGACCTTGTTCCTCGCTGTCAATTACGTGGACCGCTTCCTATCCGCAAAAGTTGTCTCGCTAGGCAAACTACAACTAGTCGGAGCGACTGCCCTCTTCCTTGCTGCAAAATACGAAGAAATCAACTGCCCTTCGGTGCAAGAGATTGTGTATATGGTTGATGGCGCCTACACCATTGATGAAGTCCTCAAGGCTGAGCGATTCATGCTTAGCATGCTTCAATTCGAGCTGGGCTGGCCAGGGCCAATGAGCTTCCTCCGACGAGTCAGCAAGGCTGACGACTATGATGTGGAGACTCGTACGCTTGCCAAATACTTCCTCGAGATTACCATAATGGATGAGCGATTTGTTGGATGCACCCCGAGCTTCCTTGCAGCTGGTGCTCACTGCTTGGCCCGTTCCATGTTGAAGAAGGGTGACTGGGTAAGTCTTCACATCTGGACATGTCGGCCCATTTGCTAACGTACCTCAAGTCGCAAGCTCACGTCCATTATTCCGGATATACCTTACACCAGCTTCGCTCGTTGTTGTCTGTCATGCTTGAGTGCTGCGAGAACCCACAGAAGCATCACGCCGCCGTCTACGACAAGTACACGGATAAGCGATACAAGCGCGCCTCTGTCTTTGTCGGGACCGAGCTCAACAAGGGCTTCCAACTTCCTTTCGCGTCTAGGGACAGCCTTGCCGGCCATAGCCAGAGTTGGAGGCGAAAGTGAATACAGTAGCCCCGCGGCTGTTGCTACGCTCTTTCTGACAAAAGGCTCTAGGTACGGACATGTCATTCAGAGACAGCCCTGCCTTCCCCCTTCACTGCTATCCGGGCCTTCCCAGCTTAACAACCGCGAACAGCATCAACGACAATTTCTCCATTCTTGTCTATTGTTTCACGAATCACGGCGTTTTGGCGACCTTTTAGAACATTCGGTCAAGTCATCAAACCCTTCGTTTCCATCGGCTGCTCACGGCGTTTACGGGTTCCCGGTCTAGGCATTGCCACGGCCGTTCTACCTCCAATATCATACCTGGCAATGCGTGTGCGGGCTTCTGACCGACGGCCCGCCAACGGAACCTAGGTTCCCTGCCAATGTTCCTGTTCATCTATATTTTCTTGCATTGCGGGCGTGGTGGTTTTCTTTCGGGCTGGCATGGCGTACTCACGACGAGATGAAGTCATGAACACACTTATCTAATCACTCTGTTGGCGCTCTCTGGCGTTATGTGACTTTCAGTCTATCCCCTTTCTTTCCTCTTTTGACTTGCAAGGAGATGGGCTATAGAGCATGTACGAGTATGTCGCCATTTGGCTTCAACTTTCCGGGCAAGTCGCCCGTACGTAGTCAAGAGAAAAGTGCGCATACTTGAACCTATCAGCATTGGTGACTATTTTTAGGCCTCGAAGGCCTCCGATGTGGATGATTTAGAACCGCGAAGGTGTGCCTTACCGCTATGTCTAGCTCTTTCCTCTTATTTACTACCCACAGAAAGGACTTTGAGGACTGCATTGTTCCTTCGTAGCCGCCTCTGACTGCCTGTATTCGAAGCAGTGCGCGAGTGTCGAGCCAAACACTCCTGTCCGATGAGGCTTGACAAGCGACTCAGATCTGTGCGAGTCACAGCTGTCTCAACCCACACCCACCCTCCAAAACCTGACTCAAACATCACAGCATACCAGAACAAAGTCGAGTTAACAAGCTATCACATCAGTTTTCCACTCTCCTAGGGAGAGTGCTGTTTGCCGTATCCGTCAGTGGCGTCCCGTCGCCAGCACAACCAAACACCATGTCTCAGCCCAGACCATGCCAAGCTAGATTCCGGCCTATATCTGAGGAATCACACGCACCTTCCCCTTGATATGTGTAGCCCTGCTGACACGATCACGCACGCTCCCGTAACACCAACCTTATCTGGGCCTTTCTTTTCTATTCCTGGTTCATTCGGCACAGGAAAGTGTTCAGTAATGTCTCGGGCCAATACGCCGTTCACCGACACGGGTCAGGACGTGTATTTGACATCGATTGAGCATGATGATGAGCTCTATGGGGTCCAGAGAGGGGTTTTTGATGGCGAAAATACACGACCCTTTTCGTCTACGTTCGACGGTGATGTCCTGGATGATTTGAGCCTTGGACTGCACGATGGGAGGATTGGACTCAGCGAATCTGGCGCTGAGAGCGGAATAGGGACGCCAGAGAATGTTCCCTCTCCACAGATCCATGTCGGCGGATTGAACATCCGTCACCATAACGCTCATGGCTACCCCATTCCTCATGAGCTAAATCAAGGAACCAGACCGTACCCACCTCACCTTCATACACCTCATTCGATCTACCAGACCACAGGCGAACATCCTTTGCCGTACAGATCATCTACCAACGCCAACACGGGCCACGCTCCCAGCGCAGTCCAGAACTTCAATCGGACTCATCCTCTCCCCCACCGCCGCTCATGGAGCCAGAACGACATCGAGCGCCTTCCAAACCCACCCCCACCAATACCCCCGGCGCTCTTCACCAGCCACCTTACCCCCATCCCCACTCTCAGACGAACGCCAACCCGACCTTCGTCCGTCTCTGCGAGACCCGTCCTTCCCGTCTTACATCGAGGGTTCCCTCCTCCGACAGCAAGAAAACATACTCCTCACAGGGTCGAGCCGGGCATAAGGCAAGGACAAACCCGCCTGCTAGCATGCCTGTTGGCATCGGCATACCTCTACCGCCCGATCACCGTTCCATCCCCACGACCGGAAACATTCAGTTGACCGGCCCCAGGATGGTGCATATGTCGCACACCGAGCAACGCAAGTCAAGTCAGAAGATCATCGAGATCGGGGCTATGGCTGTGCTGAACATGGCTTCCACCAGACCGGAACCTGACAATATCGACCCGCGCTTGGTGCTACTGGGAGAGGGGTTCAGGATACGAGAAAAGAGCAGTGCGCCGAGCCCTGAGCCGCGGGATGGGGAAGATTCACCAACGCAGAAGATGCTGAAAGATTTGGTTAAGATGGAGAAGATGTTGAGGGAGAGGGGTGAGGGAGAGGAGGAGAGGAAAGCACTGAATGGATGTGGGTATATTAGGGAGGTGCTGGGTAGGATGGGTGACAAAGGTGGAATAATGGGTGATGAGGGGTAGGTCCAGCAACAACTGTACAGATAACATCCACTGACTTTGAGACCAGTCGTGGTGATGGGCCGTCTCAGGTCGACGAAAGCAAAGCGCTATGCTCAAGCCCTGCTTCGTCCGATGACGCCAGCCCTTTGACCGATGAGGAGCTCATGCGCGAGTTGGGTGTGAACTTTCCCTCGCCCTCTTCGGGGAGCCACGGGGTCTAGTATAGATGTCTTTCCTCTTCCGAGAGTGGGCAATCGACACTCAGCGTCGTCTTTTTCGCTCAGGCCGACCAACACTCGCTACACTGTGAGGGATTCGTAAACAGGACTTGGTGGTATTTTGATCGTCAGACCAGGCTAATATCGATATATCCTGGGTTGACTTGCATGTGAATGGCGTTCTGAATAGACTGGTCTTTTGGATTAAGCACATAGACATCATACCTTTGCACAGGTCAGCATATAGACAAGATGCGCTCCATATCTTCATCCTTGTAAATGAACAGTCTCTACCTCAACTCTACCACGCAAATGAGATCCAAACACCTATTTCTGCCTTTGGCCTCCTCTTAATCACTCTTCCCCATCCCCACAACCTGTCCCCTATTGGGCAACCCCAATCCCAACTCCTCAGCACTCTTGAACCTCCCCTTCATCTTCCCCACACCCGTCTCCACATCCACTCTTCCCCCCTTGACACTACTCTTCCGCCTCTGCTTCCCCTGTTGCGCCTTCTCATAATCGTCTTTCCAGTATTCCCACCCAAACACGCACATCAAGCACACGACGACGAACACCACAATCACAGCCATGATGAAGCCCAACAGCGTCCAAAACCCCGAGGACAGGAAAGCAATGAAGGAGTTTGTGAGAGAGGAAATGTAATGTGAAAAGGTGCCTTTTTCGCCATTGGCGTCCCACGAGAGGAAGTGCATTGTGCGGAGGTGATTAAGGTCTGCACGCGGAACGAGCTTTACGCTCAAGATCTCGAAGCTGTGTGACGAATCTCCAGCGGACAGGACAGCCCGTTGTACCAACAAGACTTGTAGCATTTTCTGCGCTGGGTCGTCGAGCTTGAACTGCAGCGGTGGGGTCGTGAGATCGGAATGCAACGCCACGACATCGAATTGGAAAAGAAGCGCTTCGATGTTCTTGCTGGTTTGAACAGTTCGCAGGGAGTGGCGGTATGATAGGCCGAAGAAGCCGCCGCCGAGATTGGTCTCGTGACTTGCTTCCAGCTGGCCGGAGGATAGTGCTTCGGAGAGCGCGTCGGCGGAAAAGTCCTGGACGACTTGGTTGGCGTAGATGAGGGGGAGGATACGGGTGCCGGAGTAGAGGGGGCTGTTGTTGATGGTGAGGAAGGCGCTATCGTAGGGGAGGGATACATTAAGGAGCTGCGCAACAATTAGAATTCACTTATGTTATGGGATATGAATCTGAGGGTCCTACCAAAGCATTATTGTCCTTCCTTTCAGTCCAAGGCTCGTTCTCACCTTCGGATGTGTCTTGGAATAGGAACGGACATCCTGGACACGGGAGCTTGGCGATGTAGTTGTAGCCTTCTTCTACGACTGTAACTTCGGGCGCTACCTCGGCGGTCCCTACATAGAGGAGACCAAGCGTCGTGATCAAAGACGCAGTCCGCAGAATCATGGTAGAACGCGATCTGCGAATGAAGCAAATGTTATTGGAGGCATATTGGAGGATCGCTGCTCAAAGAAGTTGGGTTGGTACGTTTGAGATGACAGCTTGGCGTTGGCGGCAAAACCGAATGATCCGTGCACCAGAGGAAGGTCAAACGCGACTTCAATCAATGAAGACTCCGACTTCCAGAATGGCGCGTTATATGTACACGCAACGAAGGTGGGTCGTGTCTCGCTGCGTGAATATTGGATACTTCATACCTCTCATTTTCTCATGAAGATGACATTGAGTTCCCAGAGAAAGCGTCTTTTTAGAGTGTATTCTTTGCCCAGGTGACTTGCGAGTTAGAGATCCCTGCATCGACCCCAGAGTGCCTATGACCCCATTGAAAGACATGCAGGTAGAGAAGAAACCTTAGCATCGTAGCTATAGTCTTGAACTGCATTCGGCAGCGCCTCACCTTCGCCAATAGAACGTTCTTCATGGTTATTCCTGTCTACTGACCTTATTCACAATTGAATGCAACATAGTAACTTGTGTAGCATCTTGAAAGGCGGTACAGTCAGCATCGCGGCCACCCCATCACAGACAGTACGATTCTGACGTAGGCTTTGGGATGCGATGTCGCAAAGTCTGTTATTATCGTTCTAACCGTACAAACACCCATCACGCTGCGCATTCATAGAGAAGTGTGCGAATCTGTGTTCAAATGTACGGAGTCAGTACTTGGATTTCTATCTAGTACATCATTCTCGTGTCCGGCCTGGAGCATTCAGGATATATTTCAATCCCAAATTCCGTATCATATTGCCCATTTCCAACTCAACGCTCGTAGGCCGTGTGGTATGCTGGAAGATTCTGCAGCCGAACGTATCTAATTAATGGTTTAGATCTGGAGACGCTCGACCTTGTCCTTGAGGGACCTGATTTGTTGCATAAGGTCGGAGGCTTCGTTGGTCGTGATCGAGCAGGCGATGACACTACGGGAGACACCGCAGGCACGGCCGAGTGCCATCTTCGAAGGGACGTAGACGTAAGGCACATTCTTATCCTCGCAGAGGAGGGGCAAGTGCAGAAGAATGGCCAGAGGGGACGTGTCGGCGGCAAGGATGATAACCTCAGCTGGGCAACAAGTCAGTGTGTGTCTTGAAGAAGTGGGGATGGTACATGTGCTCGAGGTTTAGAAGGAAAGAATCTTTCTCTGGGTCTTGAATACACAGAAAAATGGGCATTCTTTCGCATTGCTAGAAGAACACATGTACTTTGTACCTGGGAGACTTACCGATACCACGGTTTAGCGTCTTGGTGGCTTCGTTGGCACCCTTCTTGAGCTGGCGGAAGTGCGTAGCCTGCTGAACAAGATCAAGGATCTCGGTCGAGAGAGCCTGGTCGGCCTGAGGCCAGGCAGCAGAGGTGTCGTTCTGAGACATGGTATTCAGATGTGGTGCAGAAGTAGGATATGCGATTGATATGGTAGGATTCACTGCTTTGCTCGCCCGGTAGAGGGTTCCTGATACACGTAAGCGGATGATTACTATAAGCGACTACTAAATGAGTACTTACACTGCGTTGCTCGTCCTTTCCAAAAGTGCGCGTTGAGAAATCGTGAGTCGTGGTGGTGATACACTAGTGTAATAAAATTTGGTGTTGGATAAAAAAGTTCGAGCTAGTGCCTTGGCGTGCGTAGGTCACGTGGCGGCTAGCTCCCCGGGCCCAGTGCCGCCAACGCGAAATGTGTAGAACTTCGGAAGTTGGCCTGCACGCGCCTTCACTCTCACGGCCTGTCGCGATCCTCTCACCACACGACAACCAGAACATGTTTCGCTGAGCCTTGCGAATCGATTAACCGCAGCCATGGCAACTGCTCTTATTGGAATTTCTGTCACGGTTACGCTCCAGAACCCGCCGAACACCGTGGTTGAGGGCCTAGTCGCACATGTCAACGCGCAAACGTCAACGTTGACGCTGCAAAATGGTGCGCTATCATAGCTAACCTACATTCAAGGTAGATTCTAATTAATTGTATAGTGTTCTTCCCAGCTTCAGGCCATCGTCTGAGCAGTTACCACGTAGAGGGGCACGCGATAGCCGACATCAAAGTCAACCACGCTGCGACGGCTCAGCCGCAACCTCAACCTCAACACCACAACCCTCCACCGCCGATCCAACACCAGCCTTCGTTTCCTCAGTATCCCCAGCATGTCGCTCCCCCGGCGCCTCCCGCTGCGCGCCCAGCCCCACAACCCTTCGTGGACCCCGCCATCCTCAGCATGGGGAAAAGAACCTCTACGGCTCAGACACCCACGCAGCCGCCGTTGGGTCCCCCTCAAGAAGCGCCTGCAACGCCAATGAAGCCTATACCAGCAGCTAGCTTTCCACCCTTGCCCAACAATACGTCGCCGTTTGTTGGCAATGCGAAACAACGTAGCGTCAGAAAGCCGAGCGCGGCGACGCTGGAAGGTCCATTCTCGTCGCTAGACATTGCGGATGCGGAAGAGCAGGATAGCGACGGCAAGACAGTAAAGACTTCGCTGCGCAGGGCGAGCATCAATAAGACGCGCAGTGGGAAGCCGATGGACGAACCGGTCGCGCAGCTAGGGGCTAGGAATGAGGAGAATGGCAAGCGTACAAGGCGCGGTGGCAAGTCTCGCAAAAAGGAGGTTGCTGCGCAGGAGAAACGCAACGGAAATGATATCTCGTCTCCAGACGCTGCACGCAAGACGTGAGTACCTCTCTTGATCTACCATTGACTCCTCTCTATTTTCGATTGTGTTGTGGTATATGGCATGAACTGACAATTCGCAGCAAGGACAATGGCTGGAGGAACACACCAATGCTACAAGATCCTGATTCGCAGGCAAGGACCCCAGGAGTCATCGGAGGTAGCGTTGGGATGCAAGCAGCAAATGCGTCAAACCGCAAGACGCGTCGACAAAAAGCGATGGATGCGACGAACGGCTGGGCTACCGAAGATGCAACCGACGTTCAAGAGCTTCCTGAGTTCGACTTCGCCGCCAACCTTTCCAAGTTCGACAAGCGTACGGTGTTTGACCAGATTAGAAATGAGGACACAACAGCCGACGAGGATCGCTTGGTAAGCTTCAACCGCTTAGCTAGGCCTGGTACACATGGCGGGAAAAACTTGCACCCTACGGAAAATGTGCTGGATGGTCGCAAGCTGAGGAGTGCTTCGAATTCCGATTCGGATGAAGAGGTATCAGACTTTGGCAGCGGACGCAACTCCAGAAGAGCTATGTCACGGGCTTCTATAAAGCGGATACCTACGCGGCAAGGAAGCGGTGTTCAGGCAGATTTTGATACGCAAAGTCATGTCGGAGCACCGATTCTGATGACACGTGCTGGTAATCGCTCGTTCATCAATCGACCTATTCAATACGCCTCCTCGTCACATGCCACAGGAAGCCCCAAACCAGGCCGGATAACTACGCCTCCAGACTCACCGCTTCTCGATTCGACGTCGAAAAGCTGTCTACGCCTCGCCAATACCAACCGCAAATGCAACACTATTACCCCTGGCGGTATGCTCGCCGTTGAAGAGATAGCTGAGGTTGACTACGGTCTTACCGAAGAGATCATGGCCGAGAACGCAGGCCGCGGCATCGCTGAAGTAGCACTCTCAGCGATCAACCCAGGAGGCCGTCGCCTCGCTCGCGACAACCCCAATGCGCGCCCGGTCATCGTCGTCCTCGCTGGTAACCACCGCGGTGGCGCTCGAGCTATTGCTGCCGCACGCCACTTGCACGCTCGAGGTCCCAAAGTCATGGTCGCACTTCTGGGCTTCGAGCGCAACGCTGATTGGGATCGTGATGTCAGGAAACAGGTGGACCTGTTCAAGAAATTCGGTGGCAGTGTACGTGCATGGCTGGACACTGAAGATGCTCTGAAGAGACTGCAGGCACCGCCGGAGCTCATCATCGACGCGCTGCTCGGCCGTCACCGCGAGTTCGACGCGCTGGGCGACGAAGACCGGCGCACTGTGCTCTCTATCGTTGGATGGGCGAACAAGTCCCGCGCTGCCTGCCTCGCCGTCGAGTCGCCTTCTGGCGTTGGTGGCAGTACGGGCGAGGTCGCAATTCTGGAAGGCGAACCGCTGGAGGTGCGTGCCAAGTACATTGTTTGTCTCGGTGCGCCGCGGTCGGGCTTGCTCAAGGCGCTGCAGAATGGGGCAGGCAGGGATCCGCGGTGGGCCATTTGGGTGGTAGATATTGGGGTCAATCGACCGTGGAGAAATGCGGGTGTGGGGGGGGGCAAAGGAATCAAATTTGGGGAGGACTGGGCTGTACAGGTGGAGTTTGTGGAGGGATGAGAAGGGTCAGAACGGGGAAAGTTGATGACTGTATGATAACATGGCTTTTGATGCATTGCGCGGCGTTTTTCGTGTTTGGAGGGGACAAAAGACTTAGAGTAGCTGCGCGGAAGCAGCTGAAAAGTATCTTATGAGATTACGTTTAATGTGTCTTCTTATGTCTGGTCTGAGGCCATTGACTAATTGATACCTCGTTCCAGGCTAAGGTTGCAGTGCACTGACAGCGGCAAAAGCAGGTATCCACATGCAGTGCATGATCCGCCTGTTCGCGAACCCACTCAGAGTCGCACAGATACAGAGAAATCCAAAAGTTTGAAGTTGTGTGTAAGTGTCTAAGTGTACTCTTTCCCATCTTGTAAGATCACGCCATGCCTCCTTACACTCTCTCATTTTGATACATATTGTAACCGGCGACGTGCGATCAATACCTAGGTAGGATCCGATCCAGGCAAGATGTCCCCTGTAGACACTTCGTTGCCATTGTAAATTACCTCCTCAGACTGATTGAGTCTACATTCAGCTTTCGATTACTAGAGACTGTCGTGCGTAAGGTTTGAAGATGTGTCAAAGCGTCCAAGTGTGACTTGCACGCCTTTTCGCCTTCTACTCTCATCGCTACTCTTACACTTAGACACTTTGACCCGTAAATGACCCCGACCTCTCGCGACAGCCAGAAAGTTACTGTCCATTAGATCGATTGCACGCACACAGCAGTAAGTTACTAAGAAGAAGAAAGGCTCGAAGTTTCTTGGTTCAAATGCTTTGAGGAGGTTTCGAAGTGCAACGGCATCGACGTACATAGATCTAGCACCGTCGTTGCATGATAATCTGCGCCCTCAATGAAGTCCTCTTCCAGAGTCTTTCCCCGAGGTCTAATCTACATTCTTTGCATTCTCAACATCCCTTCTCCATTCCTCCTTCACGTTTGCAAGCAACTTAGGGTCACTGCACACATCCACCGCAACGCCCGCCAACGCCTTCCCCACCCTCAACGCCCTCTCAAACGCCTCCCTCGTCCCGCTCGCAATCTCAAAGTCTCTAGAATGATTCGCCCCACCCTCCGGCCCGGCAGGTATAGAAAAGCTTGCGTTCACGCTCGGAAGGTGGTAGCTCAAGTTACCCTGGTCAGTGGAAGCTTTCACGTATGTATATTGGGTGAGTGGGGGGATAGGTGGGTCTGGAACGTTCGGCAGAGCGTTGAAGTACCGCGTGTAGCTCGCAGCGAGGACGCGGTTGGGGACGTGGTCTGCGTATCCTGGCGTTAGCTTGACCTCGACGCGGGCACCGGTGGCTTCTGCCCCGGCGCGGAGACACGCTTCGACTTTCTTCTGGAGGACCTCAAGGCGGGTGGAGCTGGGTGCGCGTATGACTAGGGCTCCTGCGGCGTAGGCGTGGATGATATTGGGTGCTGCGCCGCCGTTAGTGATGTGCATCCCGACGATGTCGTCTGGCCGTATTTGTTGGCGGAGGACGCTGACAGCATTGTACGCGATGATGAGGGCATCTAGGGCGTTGATGCCGAGCCACGGGCTGTTGGCGGCGTGGGCTGCCTTGCCATAATACTCGACCTCTAGTCGTGCGAAAGCTGTGGTTCGGACGAGCGCGCTGTTGTTGAAGAGACCTGGGTGGGAGATGAGACTAACGTCCACGTGGTCGTAAGCACCTGCTTCTAGAAGTAGAATCTTTCCGCCTGTAGGAGAAGGGTTTTCCTCGCCGGGAGTGCCAATAAGGTGTATCGAGCCCGGGAAACCATGGTCTGATAGGATATGTGCTGTTGCGAGAGCAGCCGCCACAGATGCAATTGCGATAAGATTATGGCCGCAGGCGTGACCAATACCTGGAAGAGCATCTACACGTGTCGGTCAATGGATCCAAGAGGTGAGTGGACGGGTTCCACATACCCATTTCGGCATTGAATGAAACGACGGGACCTTCCCTACCAGTGTCGAAGGTTGCTGTCCATGCTGTCTCTATCCCGTAGGCGTTGGGCGTGACTATCCAGCCATTTTGGGATCGCATGAATTTTGTGAGTGCATCGTGTGCTTTGTACTCCTTGAACGCAAGTTCGGGATTATCATGTATGAACTTGTTCAGTGGCGAAAGTACGTGTTGCAAGCTGTCGACGTAGCCATCGATTTCGGACATATGCTTCGGAATATCAACTTGTACGCCGTAATTGGAGCCCAGTGCCTTGTTAGTCAAGAGAATGTATCCATCTTCTTCTGACTCTTTCATGTTCATGCTTCAGAAAAACTGGCGCAGCTACATCTGAATTGGCCAAGGGCATGGCAAAAACGGCGAGATGCCGTATCGGTACGATGACGTGATCTTGACTCTGTGACGATAATGTAACTGAGATAGTAGATTGTCGTTGGTATGTGGCCAAGCTCCCCGCGTGGCGGTCGTACATATGTGCACATGTGCCATAGGATCAACCGGGTAAATTCCCCGCCGGGATACGAGATTCCGACATTTGTGGATTACCACATGCGGTCACACAGGAAACTTCCATCTGTGCAACAGACATATTGCATTTACATGTATATGATGACTAGCGAGCTAGTACCCGATGCCGGCAGTTGCACATTCTCGCTGGATCCAAGCTTGTCGTTAGCACTCTGCAGGTGGGTTTCTCTACTGTGCTCCTCTATTGTCACCGACGCATATTCGAGATGTACGAGAATCCACTACCAATCAGCGAGAGGGCTGAGAAACGCAACGTTCAGACGAAATTCAACTATTGGGACGACCCTGGAGATGGCTCCAAGCCGACGCCAATAGTCATCGGAGGAGGCAGGATATCGAACAAGCGTCCTCATCTTCCTCACGACTTCGTGGTCACGGACGTAACCGGCGATGAGGACGGATTTTCCTTGGACAGACATGGATTCCACTACTGTCGCCACAAGAGCCTCGAGACCGACTTCGTCGACGAGCAAGCCATTCAAACTGCGTACTACGATGAATGCCGGGAGCTCTTGAAGGAAGTTACTGGAGCGAATCGGGTACACATCTTCAACCACAAGGTTCGCCGCGGACCAACACAGTGGCACCATCTAGGGTTCAGTAACCTCGCCAATCGCGGCCCAGTGACCCGAACGCACGTGGATCAATCGTACGATGGAGCAGAACTGAGGTTACGATGGGAATTTCCAGAAGAAGCAGACGAGCTGGTGAAGAGGAGGTACCAAATCATCAATGTTTGGAGGCCTATCGCAACAGTTCTGAAAGACCCCATTGCGACCGCGGATTCGGGGTCAGTCTCAGATGCTGATCTTGTTGCCGCAGATATGACCGAGGACGGCTTCAAAGGAGAGCAGTGGGTCGTGCGACACAATCGAGCTCATCGGTGGTACTACAAGAATCGGTTGACACCTAATGAAGTTTTGTTGATTAAGTGTTTCGATTCAGATAAATCGGTGGCACGAAGATCGCTCCATTCCGCCTTCGAGGATCCCGCCCATCGCGACAAGGAGTCTAGGCAGAGCATTGAGGTCAGGTGTCTGGTTCTCCACGACGCTTAGCTACTTCTCGATTGAGCAAATTTCATTCTGTCGCTGACACCTCAGCAAGGACAAGATATTGACAAGCTGAGGGGTAGTGACTATCCTACCGATATTGTCATTTGTAACCTCCAAGATAGGTTAGATAGTAAGTTAGATAGTAACGCAGAGTGCGGGGAGTTTCAGCTGTACGCATGTGACTTCCCACGCGTTCGTTCCTCGGACGCGTTTACCCCTCTAATCATATAGAGCGATTTACCGGCTTGGCGTAGTTCAGGGTATCAAATGCCGCCCCAGTTAATCCAGCAAATGTACATGGACCGTCCCGGTGGTAGAAAGATAACGGATTTGTGGCCGTCCTCGGAGTCTGAAGCGATGTGGAGCAGCCACTTTGGGAGAATGTGGTGCACCCAAGGGGAGCGGGGGAGCGAAACAGGATCACCATCAATCTTGTGGCAATGATTGATTCGTAGGAATGGCGACAAGCGCGCTCGCCGGCATTGAGCTACGCGGAGCTGAGGTATATAAGCTCTGCATCGAGGAGACGTAGAGTTCGTGTGCCGTGATCTCGTAAGAGAGGAAGAGAAGTCCCCTTATCATTATCCAGATACCAGCAGCGTCCCCTCAGCACTATGGCTCCCCAGGTTGATGCTCCTAAGACCGTCGAATGGCAGGGAAAGCGGGTTCCAGTCTGGTCAATGCGGACAGTCGACTACGGCCTACTGCTCTCGCAAGACCCCGCCGAGGTTGACAACGTTCTCAAGGCTTGCATTGAAGATGGTTACTTCTACCTCGATCTTAACAACATCGACGGCCGTCGAATGCTTGGTGACCAGCAAGAGACGCTCAAGCTCATGCACCGCTTCTTCGAGTCGCCGATCGAACAGAAAAACGAGTTCGGACTGATCTCTTCCCATCTTGGTTACGAACCTCAAGGCAGTCGCACCGGCGCCTTTGGAGCAGGAACCAAGGACGGATATGAGATGCTGAAGGTCTCCCGTGACGAGATCCAGAGGGGTAGCCCCAAGGTTCCATCCCCCATTAAGAACAACGGCGACCTCGGCATCCTGGAGAACTCCATCGGCAGCTGCAACACTATCACCAAGGTCATCCTCTCGGCCCTGTCAACTGGCATGGGCTTGGTCGGCGCTTCGCGCTACGAGAACCACCACCGCAACGACAAGCCGTCGACCACCACGGTAAGTGACCTCTGACCTCAAATTAAGTTTTTCCTCAAGATATGACGTTTGACTGATTTGTGGCCAGCTGTCCATGATGCACTACCTTCCCTCAGAGGTGACTGGCCCTAAGGAGGTTGGTCACCAGAAGCACACCGACATTAGCTCTTTGACATTGCTCTTCAGCGAGCAGTGGGGCCTCCAGATCCGACCTCCAGGGACTTGCGGAGCGCGTGAGATGGGTTTTGTCGAACCGAAGAAGGGCTGCGCTTTCGTCCACGTTGGTGACTCCTTGCGATTCGCTAGCGGCATGAAGATGCAGTCATGCATCCACCGCGTTGTGCCTTTTGACCCCAAGGAGCATCGCTACTCGATCGCCTATTTCCTGCGGGCTGAGGACGACACCATGTTCATGGACAGCGAGGGCCGCTACGTGACTGCCGGTCAGTGGCACGACCAGAAATTCAAGGCTTTCACGGACCCGTGGATGTACCAGCTTCAGGCACCGAAGACAATGATTTTGGGCGGCATGACGGAGGACGGTGAAGATGACCCTGCCCAGCAAGAGATTGAGCCTGCATCTGAGCCTAGCCCTGTTGGCGCGAAGGCACAGCTTGCTTCTGTTTCTGTGAAGGCATAGATAGGATTGAAGTACATGAATCAACGATTGAAAGAAATGAACGCGTTTTCGTGGCCATGTGTTGATAGCGAAGTTTGTTAGTTAGATGAGAGAAGCTGAGCAACGAAGAAGTCCAGAAGGACGCACACGTTTGAGGATGAATAACGCGATCTGATGTGGCGGCAAAGATAGGAGTGGAGAGGAGCAGTCGCGACGTGTCGCGTAGGTATATCCGGTTAAGCTTAGCGTACCAATCATTAGACTACTCCCACGGTGCCGGTGACTGTGAACTAGTGTCTCCATCTTATCACTCACATTTCGTTTCTATGAACACATACAATAGCACATTATAGTACACGCGAACTCTACATGCTCGACGAAAAGTGGTGAGAGCACAACCCTCGGAGCCTATCTCACCCCACTTCTTCGTGTCAGCTTGGTACTGCTAGGCACATGCTGAGCACCTTAGGACCAGCTTCCCCTTTAAACGTAGGGAATTACGCACTGTATCCTACTTTAGAGGGCCTCCTGTCAATTGCCATCTGCTTGAGTGTACATTGGCGAACCGTGTATCTCATCTCTTCAAGCAGCAGCTGCGCCTTCCGTACGGTCTACTCCTCGACTTCTTGTTTCTTCTCAGATGTATCGTCCTTCAGCTTTGTCCCCTGGAACACGATGGTCAACACACCGCCCAGCACACCCTCTCGCTTGACTTCTCCAGCGCCCCTACACTCGTCCACAGCATCAGTCACAGCTTTTAGCACGGCCTTAGCCTCCTCTTCAGTTGCCTTCTTTCCTCTCCTTTTCGGTCCAAGCAGAACCTCCACCTTCTTTCCTTCCTTCAAGAATTGCTTCAGCTTTTCTAGCCTATGCTTCAAGTCGCCACCTGCAATGGCCCAGTTCAGTTCTAGATTCTTCGTACTCGGGCCCTTCTCAAGTTTTCTCGCGATCTCAATCTTCTTGTTATATTGGCTTCGAAGCTCCATCTTGGAGATGATCTTGCATGTAGGGAGATGCTCTGGATCTTGCTCGCCAAACTCGTTCGTGCGACCTTCGGAGATGAGAAGGAGGTGATGTGTTACGCGGTTGAACTTGCGCATTGCATCATTGTAATAGACGTTTGGGTTGAAGTTGCCTCTCTCATCAATGAGGTTGATCTCGTTTGCTTGGATAGCATTGTCGAATGTGTACATATCGGAAAGAGCTTGACGTTTTGCTGGCGCTTTTCTTGGGCCGCCGATCTTTGTGCGTACGGTAGTAATTGGGAGTAGCGGTACATTCCGGGAGAACGTGGGCGCATATTGACGAGGGACTTGAAGACGAGGAGCGAGACTGGGTGCGACGAAGACGCGGTAGAGCGCACGCGAGGTGCTGGTCAGGTGGTAGTGCGACATGATAGTGAGTCTCCAAGGACCGTGAAAGGAGTGACTGGACGAAAAGGAACTGCGAGCAGGACCAGATGCTGGTAGTGACTGAATTGGACGTTGCAAACCCAATGCACAAATGTCGAAGCTTTCGGGAAGACGCACGGACGTCGGGCAAGCGTGACACCTCCGAGACGCCCCGCCATTCCGCTTTCACAGCTTCATGGCTCGAGCAGGGAAGCTGCAGCCTTGCTGTAAATAGACCGCACCATGCTACGAGAATATAAAGAGCTGGACATTTCGATTCTCAAAGCCAACCGCAGTCACTTACCGCCATGACGACACCCACTTCAGCCCTTTCGAAAGCCCTGCCGCGCGACCCGATGGAGGAGTACCTGAGAAGCCTCGAGATCCGTGACAGGCGCGAGCGGAAGCACGAGAAATATATCAATATCAGTAAGCTCATATTAAATTCTTTGAGTCTCCAAACAATGTACAGTTCCTAATTCGTCGCAGTCACCAACTATGCCGACAAAGCAGCCGCCAAAGAGAAGGAGCGTTTCATCACCGAGCGAGAGGCCTCTAAAGACGTTCTGAAAGAGGCTCCCGAAGCTGGTCCATCCGACACCAAGGCTCGATCCAACTGGCGCTACTACGGAGGCAAATCATCTCCTACGCCTTCACCTGCACCCGCAGACCCAGCGCATATAACCCAGCTCCGCGCCGACCTCGCATCTTCGAACAAGGTCCGCTCAGAGCAGGAAATACAGTTAGAATCTATCAGCAGGAAGAAAAAGGAATTGGAAATCGCGACGGCTGCTCAAGCTCGACGGATCGAGGCGCTGGAGAAGAAAAGCAAGCTGCTCGAGATAAGGGTCAAGGACACGACCGAGGAGCTGAAGGGCCAAAGACAGTTGGCGGAGCGAGCGCAAGACGAAATGTTGGTGATGCAGATGGAGGTGAATGCGAAGGATAAGGACTTGAAGAAGGCGGAAGCGGATGTGCAAATGCTGACGGATAGGTGGATGGCGGAGAAGCACGAGGATGCTCGGAGGATGAATGAGGCGATGGAGAAGGGCCAAAAGAAGCGGTAGGCTGGGGAGGCGAGCCCGATCTTCATGACTCTGCCAGATCGAATGCAACATTAGAACCAAGGCTCGAGGCAAGACTTGTCTAGTAATACAAGTATAGTAGATACATGCTGTTAGAAGAGCCGGATATGCATCGTAGTTAAGAGCTATATATCTGCCATGGCGCTTCCACGCTGAATGGTGACTGTTGTTTCCTGATTTTCTACTGCAGTGTTTGCATATTGAGCTTGAAAGTGAATATCACGATGCTCCACTTCGTTATCGCCGTCGCCCCGCGCTGATGCCTGGTCTTGGCGTGAAGCTCCCCGCGATACCTTGAGCTCCACCTCCACCACCTTCTTTCCAGACACAACACTTGCTCACCATCTAACCCTCACACCCACCGCAGAGATGGGTACCGCTCTCAAGACATGGGGTAAGCTCAAAAATCTTACAATGCCTTCCGAACCTGCAGATTCCGACCCTACCCCGCCACATCATCTAACTCCACCCCAGAGCTCGAGAACTCCATCAAACTCGTCGACCCCACCAAAGACGCCCTCTACAGCTACTCCTCCTCTGAACAAAAAGCAGTGAACAACGCTAAGCCATGGCGCACCGACCCACACCACTTCACCTCCGTCCGCATCTCCGCCGTCGCGCTTCTCAAAATGGTCATGCACGCCCGCAGCGGCGGATCCCTCGAAGTGATGGGGCTCATGCTCGGCAAAATAGAAGCGCACACCTTCGTCGTCACAGACGCGTTCCGGCTCCCTGTAGAAGGCACGGAAACACGCGTCAACGCCCAGGACGAGGCGAATGAGTACATGGTTGAGTTCCTCACACGAAGCCGAGAAGGTGGAGGACAGCCTGAGAACGCAGTTGGGTGGTATCATAGTCACCCGGGGTACGGATGCTGGTTGAGCGGTATTGATGTCAACACACAGAAGACGCAGCAGAGCTTTCAGGATCCGTTCGTTGCGGTGGTTATTGATCCTGATCGCACTGTCTCGGCGGGCAAGGTCGAGATTGGCGCGTTCAGAACCTTTCCAGATAATTACATACAAGAGAAGGAGAAGTCTGCAGGAAAGAATGGAGGAGGCGGTACCGATGCGGATGGGTTTCAGACGATTCCGCTGGGAAAGATTGAAGACTTCGGCGCGCATGCGAATCACTACTACCCGCTCAATGTGAGCCACTATAAGTCGTCGCTCGATGCGAAGCTGTTGGATAGTCTGTGGAACAAGTACTGGGTCGGCACACTATCCTCGAGCCCGCTCATCTCGAACCGTGAGTATGGCACCAAGCAGATCTTGGACCTCGCACGCAAAGTCCAACAAGAGACAGCCAGTATAAAGCGGAAAGGCACGTTTGGTGGTCCCGATGCTAAGGGTCAATTGGGCAAGCTAGGAGCGGCCGGCGGCAAGATTGCACGAGAGGAGGATATTGGTCTTCTCAGTGCGAAGGTCAAGGAGAAGGTGTTCGGGCTTGGTGGTGTGGAGGAAGCTCCGGGCGGCAATGAGGTGGAGATGAAGAGCTAAACGCGAAAGCGGCGTGACCGTGTATCACGGAATGCGTAAATGACCATGGTATGAATTCGAGGGAAAGCATTGCTTGGTGTTAAGGCGCTATAGAAGGCGTAAGCCTCGGAAACGATACGGCGTTTACACTCGTATGATAGGGTAGCCGAGACTATGATCTCGCACGCATGCTCACGAAGCATTCGATAGATATGAAATGGCAATCATTGAAGTCGAAATCGAAGGCGCGGATATATTGTAAAGAAGCTACAAGTCCACCGACCCATATCCTACATGCAGTATTCCTTTCTATGCACAGACATCCCGTACAATAATGATACATATGACAAATCGCCTCCTCTCACATGCGGGCGATCCCCTCATCTTGCTTCACCACTCTTATTGCTTCTTCGTCTGCTGGGCCTCCTTCTCTGCCTCTGCCTCCGCTTGCCTCAGTTCCTCCTCACTGAACTCAGTCTCCTCTGGTACTTCTTCTGGTCTAGCCCTCAACTCGTCCAGCTGCGCCCGCAACCTATCAGCCTCTTTTCTGTATTTTTTCGCTCCCTTATTGTCCCCCTCATTCAGAAGGGCGTCCGCTCTTGCCGTCGCAAGGGCCACCTTCGCGTTCAACAGCTCTTCCTCCGCGGCCTCAACATCTGTCCTGCAATCACCTGCAATCATCTCCATCTCTTCCGCCTTCTCCTCCTCGCCCCTGAACCGGAACGCATCGCGGCGGTGTTCAGCCGCTTGAGCGGCAAGCTCAGCTTCTTGGAAATTCCTCTCATGGAGCGCGAGTTGTGCTTCCGCGGCGTCGGACGCTAGGTCGTCGAACGCAGGGTCGGTTTCTTGTAGCTCGGCGAGGGCGTTCTCCTTCTGTTCTTGGATGTGTCGAAGCGATGCGGCGGTGGGGAGCTGTGCGCGACGCAGGTCCTTTGCTTCGGCAAGGAGCTCGAAGGCGGAGATGGCGAGGTTCGATTTCTCAGGGTCGGAAGCAGGGAGAGATTCAGCGTGTTGCCAGCGCTGGTAGGCTGTGGATTCGTAGGCTTCGGCGCGGATGGCTTCACGCTCGGCGGGAGGTGCGGTTACTATTGAGCGGAATTGGGACCATCCTGGCATGAAATTGTAGGAAGTGGGTCCTTTGGGTTCGCGCTGGAGTTCGCTTGGAACGGGGAGGGCTTGCAGGTCGGATCTGTGGCTGTTGAAGATCTTCCAGAGGGCCTGGCGCTCAATGATGATGCGCTGGAGTTCTAGGAGGTCTTTTACGTCGACCAGATCCCAGGTCAGGGCCTGTCTCCCGCGGTCCATCTTATCGAGCGCCTGTTCCAGGAGCGGGCGGCTGTCCGATGTAACCAAAAGACTCCGTCCCTTGCCTCTTTCTCGCTCGTGCAGCTCGAAGATATGGTTCAATAGTCGTTGTGACGGGCTTTCCAATTCAATGGCATTGTCCACAATGATAAGTTCGCCCTTTCGCCAACGGTATGAAAGAGCTGTTCGCCATGCTAGATCGTAGACCTTCTTTGGGAGTTCTGTGGAGAAGTCGCGGTGTCGAGGACCGTGCGACAGACCTCCTCCTCTCAACATGGGCGAATTTTTGTCACCCAGACGCGCTCTTCCGGATCCCTTCTGCGGTCGAATCTTCCTTGCGGAGCCTCGTACTTCATGGCGAGTCTTCTTATGGGCAGTACCTAATCGCGTCATGTCTCCCTCGTAGACGACTGCGCGGTGGAGAATGTCTCTGCGGGTGGGAAGGTTGAGGTAGTTTGCAGGATAGCTTTGGAGGCGGAGGGGCTCGAGCGACGGAAACTTGTGGATGGTAGCGAGCACGGATTGCTCCTCGAAGGGCTTGACGGGAACGTATCCATCAGCGGAAGTGGTAATTGAGGACACGGCGGCCTGCGAAGATGTTGACGTCGTTATTGAGCGCGCAAAGGAGGCAGATAGCGGTTTCTGAAGCTGTTAGTTCACGTCTTTCATAGAACAAGATCAGACCAACGGTAACAGCATCCTGCCGTAATGACAGTCTGCTCAATTGATATGAGACGCCGCGCATTGGCGACGCTATCCTGGGGGAAGCCATGCCGGAAGGTGTCGTGCTGCGAGATGGCGGAGCAGGTCGCGGAGGTGTCTCGAGAAAATCCATGGATCCGTGGCCCGTGCACGCGACCCGTTGATTTTCCTCCTTGAGAGCACTGTACCACCGCAACACCTCTCTCCATCAGTCGCCATGGCGCCTGTCAAGCCGTCCGTACGGCAATTTAGCTCCTGTTTCCGATGCGTGCGCGGCGATGTATCGTTCAATGGCGCGCCTCGGCGGTTCTTCTCTTCCTCAGCAGCTGCCCGCGAAGAGCTGCAGACGACATCCTCCTCCACTCCACCACCGCCGCCGCCACCCTCTTCCACCCCGGCAGCCCCTGCGAAAGATGCGGAAGCGCCAAAAGAAACCCCAGAATACATGAAGGAATGGGGTGAATTGGACCCAAACGCGGTAGAATTGAAGCGCGACGAGCGTCGCCTGATCCGAAGAGAAGGAATCCAACCAATTGGTTCTCGGCGTCGCCGTGCCATCATCGCTCGTACAGCGGCTGCGAAGGCCGAGCAGATCCCATTCGAGCAACTCCCGTACCAATGCTTTCAGGAGGCTCGAAAAGTCCTGCTGGCGGACCGCGAAGAGAAGCTGAAGGAAATCAAAACGCAGATTACGAGGATAGAGAATTTGAAGGCGCAAGACCCGGTTGTGAGCGGTGGACAGGTCAAGAAGGAGACGAGAATGAGGAGTATGCAGAATCACCTGAACGAATTGGTCATTCTTGCCGACATTAACGACCCGGTGGTCAAGAAGAAGTTTGAGGATGGAGAGGGTACGTGTGGAGAGATTTCCTAGATGGACAAACAGAGATTAATTGATCGCAGGTGACATGAATAAGCCCATCTATCGCTATCTGGCAGACCAGAAGTGGCGCAAGTACAAGCGTCTCGTCGTCGAACAGCGTATAGAGCAGTTCAACCTCGTTCCGGATCTTTTGCCTACCTTTGATCCTATTGCAGACGTCGACCTTGCCTTCGGTCGAAAGAATGTTCCTATCGGTGACTTCGTCGACTCAGCCGTTAGCGAGAACCCGCCACGCCTTAACGTACAAACTTTTGAGCGAGGCCAGAAGCTGGTAACGGTGGTAATGGTAGATGCTGATGTGCCTATCCCTGAGAAGGATAGTCTCACGTACCGGTGCCACTTCATTGCCTCAAACATTCCCATCGCGCCCGACCAAACGTCCGTTCCGCTGAACCTTCTTCAGCAGCAGTCTCGAAAGACCAAGAATGTGGAGGAGCAAAAGGTAGCGCTGTCCTGGTCCGCCCCGTGGGCTCATAAGGGCGCGCCGTATCACCGCATGGCTATCTTTGTCCTGGAGCAAAAGGATGCGCAGGCGTTGAATATCTCCGAGATCAGAAAGAACGAGAAGAGGGACGGCTTCATCTTGCGAAGTTTCGTTGACAGAATGAAGTTGAAGCCGATTGGCGTGACTTTATTCAGAACCAAGTGGGACGAGAGCATGGAAGGCGTCATGAAGAGAAATGGTTTGAAGGATGAGGTCAATGTTGAATTCAAGCGCAAGAAGATAGAACCGCTACCGTACAAGAGGAGGACGGAACGCATGCGGTAGTTTAAGACAAGTCAGTCGTACGGTAAGCGCAACTGTAAGTGTTCTATAAGTGTACAACACCACATATGTTCAATGTATCATATAATGTTTCGGCGCATTTGCTGAGACTGAATTGCAAGATGTTGTTAGTTAGAGCGAGTGATCGTTTTTTGGGCATCGCTCCTTCCACTGTCGTCCCCAGCGCTTTCCTCCGGACAAGACCCCACCATCAGTAGCAAGTTCCACATCGTCACTTCCTTTCCAGGATCATTCTGCTCTTTGCTTGCATGCACTTCTCCATTTCCGTCCGCTGTTTTCGTCGTACTTTGAGAGCGATCACATTGCTCCATACTCCTGAGACGGCGCTCTGCATCACTCCTTCCTTCATAGCCGGCTCGCACCTTTCAATGTTCCGCATTTCCAACATCAGCAGCAACAAGCCTCGCTATGGTTCCACGGCCTCCAACTCCAGGTGCAGCTACATTCGCGCCTTCCGGCTTTGTGCCCTCACCTCAGACAGTCGCTCTCGCTCTAGCCATCGTGAAAGCAACACCTCCAAGAGCCTCAGCAAGAGGTCAGTTGTCCACCGTTGTCTTTCCGTACAAGCTGATATGCCTAGACTATGTACTTCAACTTCGAACCCATCTCAAGCTTGGGCGAGACGCGATTACCGGGATTGAGCAGAGCCGTTACCTCGATCTCGTTGCATATTGGCAGCAGAGATGCGAGACTGCCGAGATTGAATGCAGAGAGCTCAGCAAAAAGGTCGCTAGCCTCGAGCGCGGTGTCCATTGTCTGGGAAATTTAGCAGCAGACACTCCCGAGGAAGAGGCGCAACTCGCACCCTCGGCTCTCAAGAAGAAAGGACCAACGCCCGCGGCGAAACGGCCAAGGAATACAAGGGCACAGGTAGCAAAGCCAGCTACACCTGACGAGGTACTGGAGGACGACCTACACCTGTTTGAAACACTTGGATGTCGTGAGTTACACCCTCACCGATACAGACGTCTCTAACAGGCCATGGCCAGATGGTATGACAGTCGCGGAGCATTACTGGACCGCCCAGACACTCCTCAGACGACCTGGAGCCAATGTCGATAGCATCTGTGGCAGTGTCGTAGGGATTGCGAGCGCCTTGGGTCAGATCTTCCCCATCATTGCAAAGAACCAGGATCACCTCGCTGTTCGCACAGTTGAGCAATCTCAACTGCGTCACATTGGCAAAGACAAGTCTGAGCTGTCGTGCTTGATGTCCGCATGCGCAAGGGCGTGGACACTAGTCATCGTGGCTCTTGACAAGCTTGAAGAGGATAGCCCAGAATCACGTCGTCCAGGACTAGTAATCTTTGAATGTGTGAAGCTCATCTCTGCAGCTCTGGATGCAATCAGACTGGCTGCGAGACATGCTGCGTGGAAGAAGGGCGGTCGCTCCACTAATGAAACCATTCAGGAGTCTGTTGGCGCCCGCAGCATAGCTCATCTTCTCGCTACGTTCATCGGCCATCTGGGGAAAGACAGTGCAGTCCATCACCGACTCTTTGACGGTATCGCGTATGTCCTATTTGAGCGCGTCGGCGATCAGCTGTACTACTGCACCTTCGAACGTCAGCGTAGTGCTACCATTGAAGAGCGTATCGTGCCGCCATCAGAATCCACGGACCCGCACGAGATTGCTCGTCATGCTACAGATGCCGCAGCCATTCGACTCGAAGTCAAAGCCTTGGTCATCATCTTGGAGAGGGCAATGAGTGTCGCTCCTTTGCATTTGAACGAACAGACTGTGAAGAAGAGCAGGGCTGCGCTCGCTCGAACAGTGAGCCTCAAGAACGTATCGTCTACGAGGATCAGACTGAGCTCGCTTGCACAAGAGCGCTTGCAGAGGACCTTGATCACATGTACATTCGGCCACCAGGTCGACGACGACTTCAAGGATATACTCACGAAACCAGTCAGCATGGGACGTCCTCCGCCGGCACCGAAGATCAAGGATGAGGATGTACCGGAGTGGTACCAGTCACAGGTATGGAGGCTGGTAGGCTGGGAGATCCTTGAAAAGGACGGCGAATGGGTGACTCAAGACATGTGAATATGATGAGAGCTCAAAAAGTGCTTCTTGAAAACCAATAGGTGGTTTACTCGGCGTTCAACCCGCTTCAATGTAGACCAACGCGCTGTACCACCACTCCAATCTATCTAATATTTTTGACTAGTATTACTATACGTAATCATGTTGAGCTAAACGTAGTCCTGACTTCTTCTCTCTTCAAACCGTTCCCATGACCGTGGACGACGCATTGGTTGATCGCGCGGGCGCACCATCTTGTGCGAGATGAATAAGCTTCATAAACAGGTCAGCTTCATGTTTACCTCTCGCTTCACGGGGCGTTCAGGCATCCGATGATTCCAAAAGTCACACACTTGAACCAATAAACGCTATACTGTTCATGTATCAAAGCAGCACTCACCCTACCTTACGAAATACACTAACTCTTCATTCATCCCGACCATGCAGTAGAGATCTCGGTACGAAATAATCCAGCGGTCCGTAAACGCGCTTTCCGCGCAATCTTTGTCTTTATCCGGTTTGGGTGCTACATTCCGTGAACACTGAATTTTGTCCACGTCGACAGAATCCCTCAGTAGGCGTTGCGAGGCCTTCTTTGTCGGAGTACCAATATATATTCATTTTGGGTTGATGAATGACGCCAACTACCGCTACACCAGGTAGACACGACGATCAAGTAGAAATATGCACTATTAAGCCACAATTAACCATTACATATGGTGCCACAAGGCGGATACCTTGGTGATCACCAGCCACTGATTCGTACACTGCGGTTCACATTCCGAGGAACGCTCAACGCCTCCGAAATGCCGATTTTCCGCTCAACGCTTCCAGAATGCCCACTTGCTTCCACTGGGGACCTCTCTCTTGAGATCTTCCTCCGCATCGGGCAAGCTTTGCTCGTCGCCTAGTCTCGGGTTCCTGATTACACAGGCGAAGAAGATCAGGATGGCGGATAAGCAGATACCGGTGATGCAGAGCAAGCGCTGTACGTATTGGTATACCTCGATTGCTGCGTCGCGGTCGGGATCGCCGGGTGGGTGCGTGGCGAGGAGGTTTAGCGGGCTGGCGTACCACATCACCGCTTCGGTCTGATTTGCAATGCGTCCGCTGAGTCTACCGGGGACAACTACTTTGTATTAGCGCAAGCAATGAGCGTTGGGCGGTCAAGATGTACCTTGCGTCCAGATAGCGCCTGAGACGGTGTTTCCCAAGGCAGAGCCAATGTTGTAGCAGGCGAGGTAAATACCAGTAATGACGGCGACGTGTTCGTGCTTGGTGGCCGCCTGGATGCTCGCTTGCGCCGGGTAAGGGAAGAAACCACCGGCGATACCTAGGAGCACTTGTGCGCCGATGATTCCGCTGTGTGTCGAGTCTGACACGCCTCCACGGTAGTGGATGAGTAGACCGAATGCTACCATAAAGAGGCAAGTGCCGAAGAGGATGAACGGTTTCAATTGGCGGACCTTGTACACCACAAGACCAAGCAGCGTACCCGTGATAACTGAAGCGAAACTGTAGAGGGAAGTGATGCGGAGAGCTGACTTGGGAGTTTCGTTGAAACCAACAAGCAGGACTGAGTAGAGGTAGTCGCCTTGACAAGTCCACGCAAAGTTCAGGAATGTTGCGATGCCCAGTGCGCCCCAAACAGAGCGGTCCTTGAACAGATGGAAAGGAATCATGGGGTGCGGCGCGCGCTTCTCCCACATGATCCAGGCGGGGATGCAGACGATGCCGATAACGAGGGGTGCAATGATGTGGCCCTGTCCCCATGTCGCGCTCACGCCTCCTGCGAGAGTAAGAGGCACCAGGATCAGCCCGAAGACAGCAATGAGTAGAATAATCCCGATGACGTCCAATTGCCAGAACAGGGCTATCGCGATCTTCTTGGGCCCATAGATCTGGTATGGCGTCTTGTAGTCGTCCAAAGCACCCGACTTTTTCGCTTTTCGTCCAAGCCACATCAAGGAAACGATCAATGGAAGAGAGGCAACCGGAAATACTATGCACCACATGCCAATGCCCCATCTCCATCCAGCGGCTTTAAGAGTTGCGTCACCAACATCTCCCGAAACCCAGGTATTGATGATGAAGGGTGTTGCAGGAATGTAGGAGAAGAAGAGACGGGATCGAAGGGATGTAGTATCCGCGATGATGACCTCGACGAGGAGTAGAAGAGAAGTATAGCCGACCTGGTATAGGAAGGCGCCTGCAGCAAAGCCCTGGACATTTGTGCAAGATGCCTCTACGATAGTACCTTCAGTGGTGTTAGTAGATGTAGAGCAACACAGACCGCGTTAATCTTACCTATAACGTAGAAGAAGACGGAGATGATGATAAGCTCCACTCGACCGAATACATCTGCAATCTTGGCTGCGGTAGGCTGGACACGTTAGTTTTCATTGAGCCTGCGTATAGAGAACTTCTCACCTGAGCGGCGGCAGCGACAACAGCCTTTACAACGTTGATAGTAGAGAGTAGCGAATGGTTGCCAAAGCCGGAGGTTGCTGTAGGCTGATATGCATAGCGCAGGGTGCCGTCCTAGTCCATCGGTAAGTACATGTTTCATATACATACCGTTCGTAGATCAACATACCAGGCCATAGGCATAGGCGATCAAGAACACCCCAATGAAGATAGCCACGCGGTTCCCAGTAGTGATTTGCTTGCTCAGCGCTTCAATGCGCGCAACACCGGGTGACTGGGTGCCAATGAGAGGCTGGGATGCGCGTTCCTCATAGACTTCCGGGTCTTTGGGTCCATCGCCCTTGCGGGTAGGGCTGTACTCAGACATAATCCAGAGCCGCAGATCGGTTTTCCACGTACCAGGGTAGAGTATTCGACTGACGCCGAATTGATGGGCGGGCGTACTTTATGTGATTGATAAGATAAGATCTGCCAAGCCTAGCCCAGTGCAGGATTCCTTCGGCTTCGGACCCCGTCGGCAGGCTCTCTCATTGAAGTATTGCCGCTAGCTTCCTTTTGCATGACCACTTTCCACGCAAACGGAAGTCCGTCGTGCTTGGAGGCCTCTTAATGCAGCACCGCTCTGAGAAAATTTGACTTCGTTGAGGCCGGCCAAGCGACGAGCTATGCTAGGGTCGTAATCTGATGATCAGTCCATCAGATGAAATTGATTGTCGAATTAAAGAAGGAGAATGTTGCGCCACTCAAGGCGGAGCGTGTCATATTCGGCATCGTTGCATTGGCGTTGCTCGGGCAGACCGACTTGGCCGGCAGGGTCGCATCTTTGCCCGGCACCCATGGATTCACGGAACTGGTACCTGCAGCTGACCAGGCCTGCTTAATAGGGCTCATATATGCGCCGGATCGCTGACTGAAATGTTAGAGATATTGCACAATTCAAGGAAAGACGGTCATGTCTGCTGCTTTGATGGAGTGGTGTCATAAGCTTGAACACAAGCTTCTGCACGGACCCGTTAATCGATGAATACGAAATGCGGCTTCCTTATTCAAGCGCACGCGACATCCTGTACGCCGATATCGCGCTTTACATCCCATCCGTCGTACCTGTGTCATATCCGCTGTCCTCCTGAAATTCAACAAAAGTCGCCATCTTCGTTCGGACATATTCACCATAGACCACTGGGCCTTCATCTCCTTCTACGGGTACAGAACAAGCCTCTCCCGGCTCGAAGAAGAACGGAATACTGAAACGCCCGAAGCGATCATTTGCTGCGTCTGGCTTTGGTGGTGGAGCACGCACACGATGCATGGTCGCCTTGAATCGGGATCCCGAAACACGAGCCATTAAATCTCCGATGTTGACCACAATGGAGCCAGGGATGTACGGCGCGGCAATCCATTCGCCAGCTGCATTGAGTACTTCCAGTCCTCCAGTTGTATCTTGATGCAGCAAGGTAAGGATGCCGCTATCCGTGTGTGGACTGCAGCTTAACCGTGCGGCCTCGTCAGGCCCTGGAAGCGCAGTCTGTGTAACTGGAGGGTAATGCAAGAGACGCAAGGTGCTCAAAGAGTCATCTAACCACGAGTCAAAGAAATCTGTTTCTTTGCCAAGTGGTACTGCAAGCAAAGATAGCAACTTCGAAGCAAGGCTCTGGAGCTCGTTGTACATCTCCTCGAGCCGCTCTTGTTTCGAAAAGATCTGTCTATCTGGCCATACGTTTGGTTCTGAGATGTTTATCTTCTGCGTGCTTGCAGGGATTCTCGTTCCATGGTCTGCTGTAGGGTTGCCTATCTCGAAACCTGCACCATCGACACCGAATCAGTAACAGTTTTGAGGGACATGATAAGTTGTATTGACTTACCTTCCTTCAGATTATCTGGTGTAAGATGAGGCTGCGTGGGGAAATACCTAACGGTATCGATTATCAGTAACGCTTTCATCTATACCTGCTTCTGCATACCCTCTGTAGGTGTTGTAGTGACCTGGACGGAAAGATTTCTTGGCGAGCTTCATCTTCCGATCCTGTGGTAGTGCGAAAAACTCCCGCGTGAGATCGAAAACCTCATCATGATTGAAGCTCAACGGTGCGTTGACAAGATAAGCAAATCCGGTGGTCGCAAACACGTCGTACAGCTTCTGACTCAACTCTGTGGTGTCCTGAGTCGACGCTCCTGAAGCTCCAAGAGCGCTTACGTCAACGACAGGAAGTGAAGAAAAATTGGTCGACATTGTGCGACGGAGGACAGGAGTGTTGATTCAGCATTGACATTGATGGGTAGGATGCATGTATAAGTGACACGCTTGCTGCACGGCCCGGCTTGTGCAACCTTTTTGGGAAGGAAGTCGTGTGTTGATGCGGGGCTCGGAGTACAGGTACCCACAAAATTGGAGCCAGTGTTGCGATAACTCCTCTTCCTGGGTCGAACGGTCTGGTGATTATGTGGGTATGATGCTCATTTTTCTCCGAGTGGCGGAGTAAGTAATCCGTTAACCTGCCGATGCCCCTCTGACCCTTCCTTCTCGAGCATAAACTGAAGAACTATTTCACCCAAGAACTCTGCGTCGTCATCGGCATCAACTCCATCCAGGCCGTCTTGAAGCATTTGAGAAGGCCACTTCCCTTTCCCACCAAACACTTTCATGATCTCGGTGTTCACAAACCGGTTGAACTCGAAATGTCCTTGTAGCGTGAATATCCGGGCAGGATCGTACATGCCTTGTACAGCGCAGTGCTGCGTGGCTCCGAACACCATCCATGACTCGGGAAGTGATTCGAGCGTAGGAATAACGACATGGTCCTGATGTATCATTTGCACACGGAGAGATCCCGGCGTCTTTCTTGAGAAAACGCTGCCGCCTCCTAGCGTCTTGCGGAACCTTTCGTTAAGCCGAATCTCTTTGACGCCTAGCTCATAGCCGTTGGGGTCTTTTTCTACGCGCACCCCGTATTCTCGTAAAAGACTCTGGCATATCAACTGATGCCCAAAACAGCTTCCAAACATTCTGACATGGCGGTGATTCTTGTATACGTCCAGTACGTAATCGTCGAGGCGGCTGATCCACTCATCCGCATCATACGATGCAGCTGCGGACCCTGTAACGAGTATAACGTCGATGTCCGCCAAGGAAGGAGGGTACTCGAATTTTTGGATGTCCCATTCGGTTATCTCTATTGTAAGATCTGGAGTAAACCGGGATGCAGCCGCAACGAGAAGTTCCTGAAACATCACGCCATATGTGCTCCACTTGTGTCGAACAGTGGGCACCGGCGTGTCGGTGTTGAACATTGCTATTCGTAGTTTAGGAGGCATGGTCGTGAATTGGATAAAGTTGGCGGATTGCTGAAGCAGGATACTCTATCTACATTAAATGTTCGCGCAGTGTGACTGGAGATAATGCCCGAATCCGGAGATAGCGCGGCCAAGGACGTAAGTGTCAGCGTCTGATTGGTCACTACCTATGTACTTACGTTTGGGTGGTAGATACCCGGATATCGACGGTATGAGGCTGACAGATAACCTAATAAGACAGCGAAAATCTAAGTCCAAAGCCCTTCGCATGTAATCCAAAGAGTTTGCTAATCTAATTTCAAAGGTGCTCAGTTGGTACCACATGAAAAGCGTGTGGCCGTTGGCTATGAAGCTCGCTTACACTGAAGATTAATCACAAACGAGATCCCTCCTGAGGCTCTGTTGTCTAAGCTGATACGGGTAAGTGCGATCGTTGCACCATGAGTGTCTCCTATGGTACGCATCAAAGCACCAAAATGTTGTATATGTATCCACGTGGAAAAATTTACGTAAATAGCGATGCTTTTCAGTACAGGAAAACCCACTGTCAACATGACCAAAGTTGAGGCCTTTAGGCTACAAAATCAGGGCAAGGGAAACAGAATATATGCCAAGTTGTCCAACAACTATTCTGATTTCGATAGACGCGTTCTCCTAAATTGAGTGCAGTGACGATTCCCGTTCACGCCGCGATGGGATAAAGGTCAAACATCCCCTCACTCTTGATGACCTGAGTACTAGATGCAACCACAACGACATGTATCATCACGTGCGACAAATCAGGCCGAAAGCACGCAATCATGTACGGTCACATCAGCGCCGCATCTGTTACGCAACCGTCATTGGCGAGGTCTAGGTAGCGTGTATGTGGACGACAAGGGTTGGAAGCTGGGAATAGAAGTGGAATGGGTGATGAAGAATTTGACTGCGTAGTTCTCTGTGTTCTGATCTCCCTGCCGCGTTCTAAAATCCTATTCTAAGCATCACCACTCAATAATAACCTCACGTCAAATCATAGCTTTTCCACGAACATTGTTCAACAGCACGTGACGAAAGTGTGGAAAGAGAACATGTACGGTCATTATGCCATTTACGTGTATACAAACGAAGCGCCCGAGGCAGAAACGTGTTCGACTATTCTCGATTCGAGAAATCGGTCGATAAGGTAAAGGCAATCAAGGTTGAGAGTAAAAAAGAGTGCGCAAGGACGTCGAAGCTTTATCATGAGGAAACGGGTGCAGAAGATCTTCGTGGATGTGACCGCATCTGGTTGACGCCTCGAGGGCGAACAGTCAACGACCATTGCGCACTTTCTGTGTGCACGTTAGAGTCGTCCTCGGGTACTAGGGAGTTCGAGCCCCACACCGATCGAAACATGCGAATCGCGTGAACGATCGTGTGATGTTGGGGCGCACCGAAGGATGACGGCGTCTTGCAATCTCAAATTTCGGTCTTGGTTGACTTTTCTCTAGCGAGTGAACGGGCGCATCTCTTATTGCAGAGAATTCGATGCTCATGACGGCAATGAATCTCGATTTCCTCTTGGCCGGCTGCCCGACAGCCGGGCCACCAGAACTTTTGAGTTGCAGAGTGAAGCTGTTGCCCGCTAACGCTTACGGAGACAAGTTAGTGGATTTGAATGGCCGCGGCATACTTACCCCCATGAGCCAAGCTGTACACCAACCTCACGCCGACAAGTGCATCGCTCTTTCCACACCTTCACGCTTATCGAGGTCCTAAATTCCGGGTACTTCCACAACCGAAAGGGAGACCAAATTGCCTTTGTTCTGACATCTACAACCAATAGTCATCGTACTGTAAATCATGAGCAAGTGTGATTCAGCTAACATGAAGTGACTTCACGAACTTTCCCCCTTCAGGTGCATGTGCTTCTGGTTCGTCGTTCGCGCATTGCACCTGTCTCTGTGTAATCCATTTCCTATGTCATTCTTCGGATTTCCCTGGAACAAACACAGGATTCGTTATTCCCGTAGACAGCCGGGGTTTGCATATCCCGATATCACTGATGGCTCCTTTGCTTCGAATGAACTCTTTCGACAGCGCTCCGCGGTCCACTTGGACACATGGCGATCAATACTACCCGCACCCGCAGGGCCGGACCCGTCTCCGCAACCGCTGGATGGTTTGCGCTAACGGTTCGTGATAAAGTTCGCCATCAACGCACATCATACTTTGGGGCAACTTGAATTACTTCTACATAGATCCCTCAATAGAGGCTTCTCCCCGGTTGTCAGCTCGCCGTGGAAGAACAAGGCATGATTCTGATGGCTTTCCTATGGTCCTCCTACGCGCAAGCCTTGCCACTGAGCCATGACTCCAGCAACTCCCATATTCAAACCAGAAAAAATTCCGTATACACCGATGCAACTTATGGTACCTCCACTCAGGGTCGCTTGGCGTATGGCTTGGTGTCTTTCGCCTGCTTGTTCTCTTTGGCCTTCGTCTTGGGTATGTATGCTCCTCATAGAGCATTTTTATACACGAGCTAATCGTCCACAGGGCTTCGTGCGAAGAGCTTTGATAAGAAGAAAGTCAATTTTGCATGGCTCCTTGTCCATCTACAAATTGTGATAGCCCTTGGTCTTGTAATTTCTTCATCGGTTCTAGTAGTCACCTTCGGAACGACAACACAAGAGCAGTGTTTCTCTGCGATTATGGTGTGTGTAGTGTTCTACGCGACCGCAAAGATGTCTCTGTATGTACATTTGATCGTCCTGCTTCAGTTTTATTGTAGCTTACAGCATCAGGTATATGTTTCTTCTCGAGAGAGCCCATGTAGTCCGCGCGCCCTTCATTCGCAAACGCACCGACGACTGGGTTTGGGCTGGAGGGATGTCTTTTGTCGTCGTTGCCTTCGGTGCAATCGCCGTCTGGAGCCTCATCACCCCTCACGCTAAGCTCAGCGCAGAAGACGGACAGTGTCGCATTGGACTAGCAACGGTCCCGGCCTATCTTCTACTGATCTTCGATGCCTTCATAAACGCCTCTCTCACTGTTGTGTTCGTCATCCTCCTTCGACCGGTCTTGAAGTTCCGCGAGCGTACGTCGCCATACTACGATGACGGAAGTACACTACCGTCTGTCAGTCGCTTGCGTAGACTGGTACGGCAGCTGGGGTCCCTGGGCTTCAAAGAGGAGGAAGTACGGGATAATTTCTTCATCAACATTAAGAAGGTGCTATGGAAGAACGTCATCGGCAGCAGCGTATCTTTCATAGCGTCTGCGGCCAACCTAGTTGTCTTCCTCTCCGAGAAGGGCAACCAGCTGGCTTTTGTCTGCCTAGTGGCTTGCATAGCAGATGGTAAGCTCTACACGTTAAATTCTACCAGTTCTCATTGGAATCTAACACATTTTTAGTGACTTGCGGCGTCCTTGTCGTACACTGGCTTACTCTCGGATCGAACGACGAGACCCGCACTCCTCAACGACCTAATCCAAACCATACTCCGTCCCTGTCTTCCTCATCAACGGTTGCCGCCGTTTCCAAACCTAAAAACAAGGTGAAGCTGTCTCAGCCTAAAAGCTGAAAATGATGGTGGCAGTGTTCCTGGGGAGCGAAGCCAGCCTTAACGCGTGGGTTTCACTCTAGAGCCTAGGTTCATCAAGTCCAAATCTGTCACGCTCCGGATATTTGCTTGTGTCGGCCAAGCGTTCAAGCAAACTGACAAAAATCGCTGGCACGTGCATTCCAAACAGCCTCCTTCCCTATATAAATAGTGCCGAAACAAAGGTTCTAGCTAAACTTCTAGCTAAGCACCCGATCTCTCAACTCCAGTATCGAAGCTCTTGAGTTATCGGCACCATGGCGTCTATCCAAGGGAACCTGAACAGCAGGTAAGTCATATCAGCATGCAAGTAGAACATATTGGCGAACGGTGGGCTGGATGTGAGCATGACCATTCGATCTGTCTCCTCTCTTGATGGTCTAGGACTAACTCACTGAACAGCATGTTCAACAATCCACTTTACTCCGATGTCATCATTCGGCATACACATGGCGGCGTTACGAGACAGTACCATGCGCATAAGGCTATTCTCTCTGCTGGATCGCCCTGGTTCTTGGATGTCCTCGCGCACATTCACGTGGGTATACACGGGCCATTGTTGATTCGCGCTAATCCGAACAGAATGGTACGGAGCCGATTGTTATACCCGAAGATGACGATCCTAAGCACTTCGAGGTTGCCCTTCGTTTCGTAAGTAAGCTCCGGGTTTCGTTAGATGCGGCTGGATGTACTTCGGCGCTCTAGTTATACTATTTCTATTTCAGCCTGTGGACATTCACTAATAGGCGTGTTATAGTTGTACACCCGCAAAATCGATGCCGGCGTGATTAGCGAGCCCTCGTCCTCTCTCTCTCGCCCCTACAAGCCGACCGATAGTTCCAGGTATAATCCCTATCGTTTGCGCGTGAAGCGCGCGCTCCAAACCCTCTTGTCGATACACTCCCTCGCCGACAAATACGAGATCGAAGGCCTACAGGCCCACCTTTCTCGGCACATGCCAAACTCGGTTGGGCTTTGCACAACATGGGGACCGCATTTCTCGGGCCACTTACAGCAATTTGTTCAGGAGCATTATCGCGCATGTATTGAGAAGGACTGCATGATGGGTCGGCAGGTTTGCTCGATGATCCTCCAATATGGAGGCGAGCGCTACGTCAAGGATCCGGCTTTTGATGATCTGATGGCGCGGTGGCCGAAGTTCTGCGCTGATATGTTCCGCGAAGCCCGCGACAATGATCGTATCTTTTTCGGCACGCGTCACAATCCGAACACGCCTGTGCGACGCACCGACCTACTCGCAAATGGAATGGAACATTAGAGATCAGGATGACTGGGACGAGCTCTGAACGCTCGGATGTGGTGACGGCGTGTGGAATCCCTGTCATCATATACGTGATACCATAGGTGTGGTTACACGGCGTTGATCCACACGGTTTGAACCAGTACCAATGCACAGATTGGACACATCGTAATGATAGGAGAAAGCTTAAATACGCAATTAGACATATCAGATGCGTACAGATTTCTCTCATCTTCACCGTTGCTTACCCAGGTATCGTCCACGGCAAGGTGCACTAGTGTCACCCTCATCAGCAAACGCTTATAAGCGAGTCTGCGCCTTCCACAACACAAGATTCCTTTCCACTCTTGCTATGCCATCTCATTCCCGTACAATGGCGACTCCTCCAGGAATTGACAGTTCGGAGTAAGTATTAAGCTGTTCGCGCCATCGGAGTAGCCGCTGACTCCTACCTAATAGTCTATTCGACAATCCATTGTTCTCCGACATCAAGATCCGCCAAACGTACGGAAAAGCTACCAGAGAATATCACGCCCACAAGGCCGTACTGTGTGCCGCGTCGCCTTGGTTCAAAAATCTGCTCACGAACATCCACGCAAGTGTGCCAGTAATGCGGGTAACAAGCTATGCTAACGCGGCTTAGGATGGTGGCCCTGGAGTGATAGAGATTCCCGGTGATATTCCTAGCGATTTCAAGGCAATGCTTCAATTTGTAAGTATTTGGGTGCAATGGTACAAACCTTTTACGAATCTTACTGGATGATTTCTTGTTTTAGATGTACACACTTGAGATCGATCTCACGTATCTTGGGCAAGGCGCAGGGCGCATATATAGTCTCCTGGAAATCCACACTTTGGCAGGCAAATATGCAGTCCGTGGCCTACAAGCTCGTTGTAGTGAAGAGAGTCCACCCGCCGAGGATGGAGTGTGGCACGAAGCCTGCGAAATCTGCGGCCCGTTGGAAGCTCTCCACCAACATTACCCCGCCTGCTTCGATAAGAAGTGTACCATGGGCCGACGGATATGCAGATACATACTCAAGAACACCCCTGAGATTATTAAGGAAACCTGGTGCCGCGACTTGCTGAGAAGCTGGCCGCGTTTCGCTCAGGACATGCTTGAAGAAGCGATTGATAATAATGGAGGACGACTGTACTGAGGGTGTAACAGGCGCTGGAACGTCAATCCTTAGGATATGCGCCATGAGGCAGTCTTGAAGGACCCCGCCTTCTGAGTAAGGATGAGGTTGGGGCGGAGCACGGGCAGCGAAGAAGGTTCGTTTCAGTTATTCGCATATTCAAGAGGGCTGTCGGCGTGGCTTGCATCTAATATTTCTAGCTACCATGCTGCATTATGGTGGGCTCGTATAATGTGAAAACTTCGGTCTTTATGACTTGTGCTTCATCTTCCCAAGAAAACCTCACATGCGAGTGGGTATGAATTGCTAGAAAACTCTAATTAAGCGCTTGACGTGTAAAGGTCTCTCACCTTGCCACTATGCTTCACCCAGCTTTTTCTTTACTATTGTACCTTGTCCTTCGCCCACAATACGTGACACCCAGCATGCTATATATTCAAGCTATTCGCCCGCAAGATCGTTTCTTTTGTCGTCTGCTTTGTCCCGTATTCAATTCCCTGCAAAGCACCTCTAGCGCCGATGAGCCTGAAGGTGTTGCCTCTGGCCAGCACAATGGCGACTAACTCAACGGCGTAAGCAAAATGGTATTTGCCGCTGCAATCCAATGACTCACTCCTTCAGTTTCTTCAACAGCCCTTTCCTTTCCGATGTCACCATCCGTCAGGTCAGCAACGGCAAGAAGACCGACTATCACGGTCACAAGGCAGTTCTTTGCGCCCACTCCAGCTTCTTCCTCAAACTGTTCAGCGAGAACCCGGTGAAGGTAAGTGGCTTGCCTGCATTTTGGTAGCGATCTCATTACAGACATTTGTGCATAGCAAGAGAATGGCAACGTCATCGAGCTGCACGACGACGACCCGCTACACTTTCAACGCATGCTGAAGTTCCTCTACACGAGCGTACTCGAAACTCACACCCAGACTAATGCCCTTCACTTGTACACCAATCCGATCGCAATGTACGCCCTGGCTGTCAAATACGGTGTGGAGCAGCTCAAAGTTCGTGCAGTTGCCAAGTTCCCTTCGGATTGGTTCCTTTACCAAAATGTCGATTGGCATGCCGAGGTTGCCGAGGCTCACTACTCCCGTTGCAACGAAGTGGGAGACCAGATGGGCATCGCCATTGCCCGAACCTTCCTGAGGGGCGCCAAGAAGTTCGTCAAGAGCCCCAAATTCCAGGAGACAATCAAGAAGTACCCCGTTCTCGCTGCGGACGTGCTTTCTGTGAGTCCCCTTGCCGAGGGTAAGCTTTGGTAGTTATGGCGACGAGACTGCTGGCATGTGTCTCCTTCAGAGACAACCGAAGACATATGGCTCTCCAATCACTGGCCATATTCGGTGAAAGTCCAAGGTCGATTCATGGAAAAGTCTAGATTTGCACTTATGGTCAATGGCTAGAGATTCGACTTGGTTGCTCCCGGTAGCGAATAGATAAAATCGAGGCAACAATCTCTCGTAAATTCTTGACTAAGGCTATGTATTGCTCAAAGAATTTTCTACAAAGTGAATTAGAAGTGATTGATGATGAGCGGTCACAAAACGCGAACATTTCCCATGTTTGTAAACTTCACCTTCACCGCGTTTGCTCCTGCCTTATTGCTAGCACTAGGCCGAATTGGGTTAGCTAGTCTTGCTCTTGCCGTTCATATCTCGTGCACCCGTACCTTCTTCAACTCAACACTAAAAATATCGTACAACTTGCAGCGAAAAGCCCATCTCGCCAAGATGGCGACGAAGCCTGGATCAGCAGGCACCAGGTTCGTAGGCGGTCCACTTGTATGTGAAATCCACAGTGCTAATGTCTTCTGCTTTGACAGCTTGTTCAACAACCCCACACTCTCCGACGTCAAGATCAAGCAAATCTACGAAGGCAAGGTGCGCGAGTATCATGCTCATAAGCAGATTCTAGCGAGGGGCTCCAAGTTCTTTCTGAACGCGTTCACGGGCAACTTCAAGGTGAGTGCCATGCGTAGAGTGATAGCGATATGCTGACATGAAGGAACAGGAAGCCTCAGGCAATGTGATTGAAGTCCATAATGACGTCCCGGAGCACTTCGAGGCCGCGCTCAAGTTTCTTTACACACAACAATACGACTCAGAGGCCGTTGCCGAACAGGCATTCATCCAGAATGCACAGCGTATTCGTGTTCCGATCGGAATTTTGGTCGTCGCCGACAAATACGACATCGAGCGATTGTCCGGTCTGATCGTGGACGACGTGAAAATCTATCTTCTCACGACCACAAGACTTCCAGTGTTAGTAGCGGCAATCAAAGAATACTATCCGAATTGTCCCAACGCAGGCTCACCAATGGGGATTGCACTCACTACCGTGTTACTGGGACGGCCTGCATCCACGCATACGGAGGAAGTCAAGCTGCTTATTGGTCAGTACCTTGCTTTTGGGGCTGACATGGCGATTCATCTGCACGAATGTGGTAGACTTCGGGTCTAAAGCAATGAAACATGATTGGGTCCACAAAGAGGTTGGGCGCGCGATCGATTTGCTGGAGAGGTGGCTGGGATCTCAAATTGTTTAATCACAATATTTGATGGTATCGGAGAGGATACCGATAGATCAACGTTGAGATCAGCTAAGATGGTCAGGCACAGATAGCTAGTCGAGAATAGGACGGGCCTAGGAGTATGTACACTTAACTTGATCAATACAAGTTTCGTTTGTACAGCGATCAACCATGGTTCCGCCCTTCATTTACTCCCTTCGCCCGAATCGCATATGTGGCTATAAAAGATTTTGTAGAAGAGTTATACGGAAGCTCCACACTTCCTCATGGTACCTGTACCTGATCTAAGTTCTCCAACGACAACTAACAGGCTCTCGTATACTATCCCACGCATTATATTAGAAGGCTGCGAGGCTGCCACCTGACCATTCTGATGCCCTACTGATCTGAACAGCCCCTGTGCATCGAGCAACATGCATATTCTAGGAATGAAACCCTCACCTTATGCGTTGGCATTATCATACTTGTTCTGCTCTGGAAATAAGTAGTCTTCACCACCTGCCGGTGCCACTCTAAGCTCACCTTCCTCAGGAGTTCACTTCTCGGATCAGATGTATATCTGACCCTTCGATCGAGCAATGTTATGACTTAATTGTGCAATCATCGCACACAGTAACTTCAGATACCATATAACATCCGAGAAATTAACACAGGGCTGTATACGAACTAACATAAGGGCACAAATCTTATGAACATATAGTGGTCCGATTGAGTAACCTGCGAAATTTTCCACCCTTGCCGTCAATTTCCATAGTTTCAGTGCCGTCCGATACTCAACCCCAGGTTCAGGCTCGGTTGAGAAGAGTATTTCATCCGTTCGGGGCATGTAGCGGGTAGCCACAGTTCAGCACTGCCAGACCTGGCTACGTTCTTTGCATATTTCACAAGTACTCAGTCGGCCAAGTCTAGGTGAAAAATCTTCCATTTCTTCTGCATCAATTCTCTTGAGTAGTACACAGTTTAGTGTCGCCAATCTCTGGGCCCTGTACTGCTGGTACTGGGCCGAGCTGGTAAAGAGGAGGCAATCATCGGGATCTTGCGTGAATGCCAATTCTCACCCCCCAATTACTTTGTCTCAAGTACTTGAATCGGAACCGCATTTCCTCGCAGCGCACCTCCAGACCACGCAAGCATTATCAAGTCGACGACTTTTGAGGACAATTTGCTTCTCCGATAGTGTTATCGCCTCTTCCTCCGTGCTCTCTTGCCTCAAGCATCAGCCTGGTACTCCCCTTTGCTCTCATACTCGGCTTCCTTTATCATACGCGCAAATTCGGGGATATCCTCGATGAGGCGAAGATACCTTTTCGGTGTGTTCTTCATCCACCTCTTCTCCCAAATATGCGCCCATGTAACAACAAGGCTGCGGAGGCGGAAGTCCTCGTCCCGATCTGCGATAAAGGTCTCGAAAACCAGGTCGACAACGGCTTCAGCGACGCCGATGTCGGACACCTGACAGAATGCCTGCTGCAACTTGGCAAAGGCAGTGTGCGCTAGATTCTTGTCGCCCAACGTCATGGCTCCGTCGTGCACGACGATGTGTAAGACGACGATATTCGCTGAGATAAGGTAATTCCTTCCGGTCCGCGTGTGCTTCATGGTGACATTGAGTGCACCTTCGTCGTTGTTGTCCTCGATCTGGAACTCATAATCCCCGAAATGCCAATGATCCAAGGCCATGTCGATGGCGATTGGGTGTAAATCGCTGGGCTTGAAGATGGCGACGGCGGAATTGTTCGCATCCTGTCAAAATAGTGTCAGATGTTGGCATGACATTGAAGCAAGGTCTAACACACCATGAACTGAGACAACGTGGATGCATGAGTCTTTGCCTTGAATGAGGGCAGCGCCCATTCGTAGCCGTCTGTGTGTCGGAATGTGAAGTCATGCGCCGCGACGTTGTTCGCCTCCAGTAACCGTAACCTATTGATATATTAGCGTGGAAATTGACACAATAGAAGGCGAGGGATACTTGTGGCGCATGACACTCACAGCATTCTGGCGAATGCCGGGCAAATGTTGAGCAGGACGAGTACAACACCTTGCAAAAGCGGTGTCGAAACGGAGCTTCCGGGCAGAAGCTTGGTCAGACATAACAGTTTCCTCAACGGCCGTATCATCCGTATCATTCACGAAAGTGGAGTCCAAAGACATCGCAAGTTGGTACGAGGTGGTGCCGTCAACGGCGCCGTCATCCGCGGTAGCTTTGATGGTGGACATGTCGCGCCAATGGTGGAGATGAAGTTGCGACAGGCGCCAGATCTTGAGAGCGACGGCAAACGGTGAGCGGAGTACGGGACAAAGATATTGCGTGACCGGTTCGCCAGGCAAAGAGGCTGAGTGAGTGAATGGGTGGACAAGTGAATGACGTCGGCATCACTTGTGCAAACGGCCACTCACTACACTTGAACTTTATATGGTATATATAATTATGAAGTCAAGAAGATATCTGAAGAAACTCCGGTGGCGAACCTAGATGGGTGGACGCTATACTGAAAATCTGATAGTCTCCCTCGGGGCGACCTTCTAGGCCAGGTACTGTTGAGGTTCTTCACTTCTTTTTGGGCTTTTACAAGTGTTGCGTTCGAATCACAGCGCCGCCAGATGTATTATTTCTTTTTAATCGACTATTCTTAAATTTCGTATTTTGACTAGACGTGTTTTGACTCGGCGGCTGGGACTGCGCGCTGCAGCCAATACGGAGATAGTGTTACCACAAATAAGCACATAAACACGGGAGAGACGATAGGTCCTAAACATCTATTTCCTTCAATATCATATGTCTTCGATAACACACAAAATCATAGATGGCCATTCTCCTGCCCTTGTTCTGCTGGTATCAGGGAGAGCGAATGAGAAGGTAAGCACCAAGACCCTGCGCTAACGCCCGTCCTCAATCCATGATTATCATCTCAGTGTACATAGTAACAGAACCAAGATAACGCCCTGACTACCGGGTTACAAGCGCTGTTCTCCCTCTCCCAGAGGCCTTCACTTCTTTCTGTAACAGTCTCCCGCCGCATGGCAATGATAGTGGCAAGCCTCTCGGAACTCAGGGTGAGTAGAAACTCTGGACATGATCAGGCTTCCACTGGAATTTGCAGAAAGCTTCGACACAAGGTCCAGCAAGAGCGAGCGTGGCAGTTCCTTCTTACGATCAGTGACCATCTTTTGTATCATGGCGTCAGTGAACTTCAGCGAGACTGTGTCAGATATCAGACGTTTCAAAGGATTGTCTTCGCGTGCGTCTTTGAGCGCTATGTAAATCTGAACAACGTTTTCAAGAAGCACAGATAGATCGTAAATGCTGGTGGTCGTCTCGTCCAGCCACTCGAGTATGCCGTCCATCACCCTGTCTTGGAAATCGGTATCGACGAGCTTGTGACCCAGGAGATATATATCAGTGAGCTTGGTCCATTCGTCGCGGTGTGATGGGTCAAAAGGTCCGAAAGTTACCTCCTTGACTGTTGTCTTTGTATGAAGTCCTTTCGTGTACAGCCATTGTTGGTAGATGCTGAAGGCTTCTGGCTGTGCATCCGGCAACGAAATGTAGGTAGACATTTTGTGGCGAATGTCCATCAGGTACGGTGATCGGCTCAGTAGGTTTTCGTGCACGGTAAAGTCTTTATGCTGGGGCTCATGACCAACACGGATGGTCACGACCTTTGTGCCGAAGCTGTTGAGTTTGAGTTAGCACTGACTTGTCAATTTGCTTCTGCCATACGTACTCAAATATTTGTGCGTGGGGAGAACGCTCGCCTACGCGTGGTATATTCTTCACCGGCGCTTGGGTGCTTCCAGTATTGACCTGGCCGAACTGAGGCGTCGCAGCAGTCAGTGGGCGATGATTTTCTGGCGTACCGAAAGCTTGCCCTTTCCCAAAGAGCGGTTGCGGAGGAACAGAGAAGCCCCGAGCAGAGTTACCAAAGGAGCCGCCACCTTGGTTCGACTCCGCAGCTTTCACACCAGCCGTCATGCTCGCAGGCCAGACTCTCGTGATCGGAGAACTGGAATCCGGCTTGATACCCGGCGCGTCGATTGCTCGCGGTCGCTGGCTGGAGGGAGGAGGTACGGGCGCAGTGGATTGCACTCCTCGCACCGCCGGTGCAGGCGGTTGAACTGGAGCAGGCATCTTGTAGTGGAAGGAAAGAGGTGGCAAGAATGCGTTGTGGAAGACGTAAGTTTGAGTGAGGTGAGGTGAAAGGGAAGGTGCGAGGGTTCAATTACTCACACGTGCGCTGGAGCGAGACGGGCAGGAACGACGGGATAGACCAACATGAGGGAGTGAGACACAATAATTACAAGGTGACCCTTTCATGGTATGCCCGTGCTAGCTTTTGTAACATAAGTGCAGTTATATTTGTGCAACACGACCTGTCTCTCGATTGGACATCTGATCTGTGGATCGAACCGTTAGATATCTCTTGATAAAGATACAATCAACGCGAACGCAACAGTCTTCACAACCTTCCACTCTTCTCATTGATTCTGCCTCCAACCGAATTTTCCCCCACGGGCTGCATCTTCCAATGCCATAACTATATTTTACACAAGAAAGTACGCAATCAGGCGCTCAACGCAAGAAAAACCGCTGTGCCGCAGCCGCGAAAAGACGAACATAGAAAAAAAAAGCGGACGTGCTTGCACAAACGCAGCATCAGAAGCACCAACTGGGTATCGTACAAAGTCATGCCATGAAACATGTACATGTCAGACAGAAAAAAGGGAGACCAAGATAAAAAAAAAATAAAAAAAAAAAAAAGGGAAAGAGGCACTGCCTTCCCGGCCGTGATGTATGCATGTCATGCTCGTTCTCACCCCTTCCTTCTCTTCAAACTTTCTTCCCTCCTCAGATAGATATGCGACCTCATCATCAAAAGAACCCACTAGCCACACTCTCCTTCGGCGTCGCCCAAGCCTCGGGACTGACCATATCGTCGCCATCCTCCGTCGAACTCGCACTGATACTCCTTTCCCTCCCTCTTATCTCGCTGGGTTTAATCTCGCTCGCTCGTGGGGTACTCGCCTCGTTGCTCGCGATGATACCATCGGGACTTGGGGTAGGATAGCTCGGACTTGCTGCGCTGATGAACTTGTTCACCAGCGCGTGTAAGTCGGCGAGATCGCGTTGCAGCGTCGAGACCTGCGCTTCGAGCGTTTTGCGCGCGTGGCGCTCGTGCTGGAGGGATGTTTGCAGCGCGAGGAGCTGGGACTGGATGTCGGCAACTCCTTCCTGAGCGGCCTTCGAGACGGGGAGCTCGTTGACTGCGGAAAGCGGTGGGTGAGTTGGTGAGTCGGGGGCGGGCTTTTCGTCTTCGTATTGCCGGAGGTGCAGCGTGTTGTTGCTGCCCCTGCTGGAGTGGTGCGAGCCCTGGCGCTGGCTCGAGGCGGAGGAGCTCCTGTTGCGGGAGCGCCGGCCTTTGGGCGCGTTCTCGAGGATGATGGTTTGTCGGTTGTTGCGACCTGACATGCGGCGGACGGAGGCGTCGAGCGTGCGCATGTTCTCTTCGAGAAACTTTACTCTGTCTTCGATTGAGACGCGGCGCTCTGGATGGGCTGTGGGGGCTGCGGGCTCTTCTGCAGGCTGTTCTGAGTCCTCGTCATCGGAGAAGTCGCTGCGGAAGTTGCCGAAGTTGAAGGCTTGGACTGGGAGCGGGACCTGCGATGTGTCGTGGTCGTGACTGTGCTGCGTAACTATCGTGGGAGCATGCACGGAAACCGACTTCGTCACAATTTCGTTCAACTCCGGTAGCTCCTCTTGAGCTTCGATGCTGCGCACTGTCTCCACTGTCTGCGCTGTGCGCGGTCGTGGAGTGTTCGTGCTGTACACGCTACCGGAAGCATAACTACTTCGCCAATACCGTATCTCCGCGCTTCGCCTCCGCTCTATAGAAGGTTTGCCCTTCGTGAGTTCGCGCAAGTTGCCTGCACTTCGCGATCTGCGCTTCTCTTGGGCAGATTGGGTCGACTGTCGATCGTGGGGCGGGCTAGACAGAGCGATGCCAATCTCGGGGGAGGGTATGTACTCCCCGGATGGTCTCTCTTCCCAAGCCTCCAGCCGCTTGGTCCCCCCATTCAGGCTCTGCGTTTCCGAGATAGTGTGAGCGTTTGGCAGGGTCGCTCTTCTGCGGCTGAAGTCCGGTGTTGGAGCTTCGAATCTGAGATACTCTTGTGGAGGGCTGACTTCTTGCGGAGCATTTACGTTCATTGGGAATGGGAGGTGTTGGCCCAGGGGATTCATGGGTGTGGGCTCTTCAACATGCAGATCGGAAATCCGTCCGCGACGTATCGCTGGTTTTCTTTCCGAGGAGGCTCTTGTTACCCCGATGTCCTGCTCAGGTTAGATTACTGAAAAAGTACTGAAAGAGAAACATACACTGGCTCGTTGCGGTTGCCGCTGGGTTTGGGACCGTTGTACGTGCTGATCGTCTTCTTCCGACCCTTCCCTGCTCTTGCGACCAAACATTTTTCGGAAGACACTTCGAAGACCACTCTTACGCTTTTTCCTCGTCGAAGCTCGTGTAGGCGTCTCTAAAGCGAGGGGACTTGGGCTCGCAATTGAAATTGGCTCGGTGGCACTTCTCCGATGTCTCTCAGGTGTACTTTGCATGGGAACGACCAACTGCCTTGGAGGTGAATTGCGGATTTCGACCCGTTCTTCAGGTTGATCTTCAGGTTGGACAGAGGCCTGTGGATGAGATTCTGCCTGGACAATGGGCGGGGCTGGTGGAGGCATTTGAGGCGGGTCCGGGATATGCTGTGTTGGGTGGACCACGGGGGTGTCCTGTGGCAGACTTGCAGACAGCGTCCCATGCTTCTCGAATTCCTTTACCTCATCGTCGTTTAGCGGTACGTCCTCGGTAATAGGGATTGGTCCACTGATTTTGAGATTACCCCGGCGTATCGCTTCAGCCTTCCAGCTCGAACGCCGTAGGTGGTTACCTTCGACGCTCATGTTGGGCGTGATTGAGTCGTCTTGTGTGAGCATGTAAGCGAGCTTCTACTCGACAGAGCAGTCACAACCAAGACGATGCAAATAAGAAACTGCTGGGGGCAGCCTCAAGCTGCAGCTCGTTGAAGAAGTTGTACGGTTCTGGCTAGCATTCCATCACGCTAAACAGCTACGTATGGGCGACTAGACATTAGACGGAACTACAAATCCCAGCATGAAGTCGCAGAACGCTTCGTAAAAGGCCACCGGTATGCGCCCCAGCGAAGGCCCCACAGTCGGAAGCGGATTGCGCAACAAATAAGCCGAGGCTAAGAATGTAAAAGAGAGAGTGTGTGGTTGAGCGAACGACGAGATTCTCAACAAGCGAGGGCGAGTCGAACTTTGTGGACGGTGGCGGGAACAAAGTATAACTAAGTATCAAACGCAAGCGTCATGTACAGGGGCGGCGGTGTGGAGGGGCGGGAAGTCATGCCGGACTATGGATGGTGCATAGCGAATTGAGGAGGAAGGCCGCGGGCTTTGAAAGCAGGAGCGGGACAGAGGGGGCAGAGATTATAATAGCACCAGGTTCAGAAAAGGCTAGCAGTCGTGGTCAAACACCCAGATGCGTGGGAGCAAAGGTTGGGATTGCTGCATGCATGTTAGAAAAGGGTCGACAGGCCACGGCCAGCCTCCAAGGTTGAAGCTAGTCGCATGCATGGGCGCAACCCGCCCGCGGGAGGCGAGGTTTAGCGGGCGCGTGCACGCGTTTCAGAGATGAATAGCGGACGTGGTGCGATGAGATGGGCAAGGTGTGGACAGGGAGCGAGGCCTGGCGAAGCCGAAGGCGGTTCGAGGGCGCACACGGGCGTTGCTCTGGCCGTGTTCGCGGACGAATCCAGCAGAGGGTCACGAAAGCAGCCGGGCAGCCGCTGGCACATTCAGATGGCTGGATTGGACCCTGGAGTGCAAGAGATGAAGGTCTCGCGCGTCGATGCGGTCGATTGGCTGGCTGCTGGCGGGCCTCTACTGCAACTGCCTGTAGCGTGCAGCATCGAGCCTCGGGTTTCGCGACGTCGATGGACAAGAGGCCTCTGCTCAGCAACGGCTATCGATAGGAGAGCAACGTGGCTAGCTCGACCCGTTTCGACACGGGCCCTGGGTTGACAAGTCAGTCCTCCCGCTATGCAGCGCCAAAGCATCTCCTGGAGCAAGGCTCGCCCGTTCGTGCTGAGGCCGTGGCTTGCAGCAGAAGAAACTTCGCGCCGTCGACCAGAGCGCATGCTAACGCACTGCTAAGATGGCGCGCAGACAGACTAGATGGTAGCGGCTGGTACCTTTCATGCCAGATCATGTAATATATTGCGAGTGTATTGCACGTTTCGATATCTGGCAGCTGGCAATGCGCCCACAGGGTCACTCCCCGCCGTCCGAGTGTGGATACGAGCTCTGCAGCCAAGTCACGTCGCATGCAGATGCTGTCTCTGTACGCGCACCGATGCGTCTGAAGTATGCATTGCCGCAACTCCGATGGCGGATTCAGCGCTGCAGATGCCAGAGCCTCAGCGTGGGCTGGGCTTCCCAGCCGTGGCAGAGGCGTCCTCCAACAGCATGGTGCAGATGCTCATCCCGCACCCGGTTCGTCCACGTACGTATCTGCCATGTTGGGATACCGCAGGTCCGCATTCTCTTCCAGGAAGTCCATCCACGCCTTGAGGAATTTGCTGCCCCTGCAGTGCACACATGTCAGTTGATTCAACGCGGGGCTGCGATACGTTGCACCAAGCGTGAGGGGGTTGTAGCGCCATGCGCGTCGCTTGGAAAAACAAACCACAACCCCGGGCCGCTTCACATCGCAGCGACACAAAACGGTACGTACCTGCCAACAGTCTCCGAGTCCCCAATAACGCAGAGATGCCTTTTCGGCCGCGTCATGGCCACTGCAAAAGCGTTAGTAACGGCGCTTGTGTACGATCGTCTGCATGGGACGAGATGCACGCGCGGAGCGGAGATTGTGCTTGTCCTGTCTATCTTACCGTTCAGTCTGCGCTTTTCCCCCAGAAATCCAACCTCACCGTCTGCATTGCTGCGGACCAGGCTCACTATAACGGCTTCCTTTTCGCGACCCTGGAACCCGTCCACGGACCCTAGCTCAATGCCTGGATATGCTTCTTTGAGCATTCCAGAAAGCAGCGCCAGCTATACAAGGCATGTCGTCAGTAAACGTATCAATGCGGGGTCACCGTGTGTTCAGGCACCAGATGTTATGCATAATGTTCGCCTTACCTGGGCATTGTATGGGGTAACCACCGCTATATCTTCAGCTTTAACCCCGGCTTCGGTGAGATTGTTGACATGCAGCTTCACAAGTGCCGCTTCCGCCTCGTTGGACTTGCTGTCTCCGAGACTCATGCCTTTGCTGCCCTTCTTGATCTCCTCATCTTCCGTCTTCTCCGGAAAGTCGCCGCCTTGCGTATCTAAGAACACGATAGGTTCGCGGGTATCGTCGCTATCTTCGACTTTGTAAGGAAGATCCCTGAGCAGCCTGTGTTTGACGGCTTCGGCAGCGACAAGTTTCGACTCATATAGTTCCGCTGAGGGAAATTGCATAATGTTCTCATGCATGCGGTATTGAGTTGTTAGCATGCGCTTGATGGAAGGGCCGTGGAGGGCGAGTAGTCTGTCGAACAATGTTGTTTCTAAAGTAATGTTGGATGCCGCCGGCTTTACTGCGTCGACCTTAGCGTCGCCGTTACTTGCGGCACTGTTATCCTTGTCGTCCTTCTTCTTGCTTTCCTTCTTAGCAGCTTTCGCTTCCTTGGAGTTGAGTGACTTGATGGTGGGTGGTAGTTGAAGATGGTCACCTGCAAGCACCAGCTTGGGTGCTTTGACCCAAAGCAGTGGAACCCAGCATTGAGCCTCCAGGGCCTGGCTCGCTTCATCGACTATGACAACGTCAAATTCCTGTCCTTTGAGATGAAAGCCACCAGCTCCATGCAATGTGGCGAGGACGACCTTGCTGCCGCGGATCAAATTGTCGACGCAGCCCCTCTCCCGCTCCCTGTACTCTTTTCGTAACTCTTTCATCTCCGTATAGATCTGTCGTCGTTCCTTCGCATTGCGAGTCTTGCGGATGGAGCCTTGTTTATCATCCATCTCTTTCCGTATGTCCTGTACAAGAGCTGCAGCTTCGGAAGTGCGTGTAAGTACATCTAGGGAGTGGTTCAAAACTGAATGTAGAAGACGTGCGGGATGGCCTAAGCGTATCATGGGCACCTTGTGTGGAGCCAGTCGCTCGACGATGTTGTCTACCGATATGTTCGACGGCCCGCACACCAAGAGACGTAGTTTCTGCTTAAGTAGCTGTAGGATCAGTTCTATAAGTGTATGTGTCTTTCCGGTCCCTGGTGGGCCGTGAATCAAAGCGACCTCGCGAGATGCAAGAGCAAATCTGATAGCCTCCTTTTGACTATTATTCAGGGATGGGTCATTCCATTCAAGCTTATGTAGAGGATCCGAAGGGTCATTGAGGTCTGACGGAAGAGGCGATGGAGAGCCTTGGCCGAACAAGACGCGCATAAAGGGCGTGTATTCTTGATCGGAAAGCTTTTGGAGGTTGCCCATTGTCTGGTTCATCCTCTTGTAGGTGATGTCGTTGGCCAATTTAACGAGCCATAGCTTCCCACCACTGGGAATATCCGCGTCCTCTTTATCAAGGACGATCTCAATATTCTCCCGCCTCACACGAAGGACAACACCTTCGACGCCCTTCTTGGCGAGATCTCGCTTTTCAGACTTCTTCGCACTTCCAGCAGGCTGATCCTGAACAGCAACAATGTCGCCAACCCTAATGCCATGTTCTGGGATGTCTGCGTTTTCGCCTTTGGTCACGACTGCAGGGTCCAGACCGAGCTCGACGACTGTTTTGCCGCCAAGACCAGTGCGTATAGAGGAAACGTTAAGGTTTAGGATGGCCAGCCCTGCGCGGGACAGCGCCGTGGGCGTGTGTGATGATAGAAGCGCATTTGTTTCCGCCAACTCAGCCTGGAGTTCTGCATCCAGAAGAGAAAGCTGCGTCGCCGCAAAAGAAGGGATGTCTGTCGGTTTCGGCATGGTGTCGAGTTGATTCGGCGACGCCGATATCTGAAGTTTAGTTTCGTATCGAGCCGTGCGATGGCGGGGCAGTACAGCGGTTTCAGCACCGTACCGCAGCTTTGGTTTGGCAGGTGCCCCCAAGCTCCAACACGCACTTTGAAGCTCACGGGCCGCGAACGATCATCACAGGGACAGGTCTGCGACGGTGGCTGTTCCTGTTCCCGCAGCTGTCGGTAGATGGCGACATGGCTGCTATACTGTGCGGCTTAAGAGCTGTATCTGGCTGCGGCAAGGACATGACTTCCGGTGAGCGCTGATTGGTCCGTGGCTACGCGTGTATGTGACGCGATTGCGCTTCAGACATGGTGCGTCACAACTCCTGCAGCTCTCATCCTCCTTTTTCGCTTGCTCTTGCCTACCTCCTACCATCCCGCTCTTCGTCCCGATGCGCACCTCGCGTATAGCCCGAGACACATCCAAAGTCCTCGCTGCGACGACTCGTAATCGTCCATTACGTCGAACGCGTGCCGCCACAGATACTCTAAACACGGTCGAGGCTGGTGGTGTCGCAAAGAACGCTACCCGCGAGTCAGAATCAGCTGTTTTCGATGGAGCCGCGCACCCCGACTCGGATTTAAGTTCTGTGCCGGACGATGTTGAATCGGATAGCGGGAAGACGACTGCGAGCCGGAAGAGGAAGAGAGGACAACCTGCGCTTGCCGCTGTAAAGCGGGAGGTCAAGGAGGTTGAGATAACGGCCATTGCGTCGAGAAAAAAGGAGAGCAAACCCAGGAAGGCGCGTCGAGTCCCTGCAAAGAAGATCACTGGGAAGGATGGTACGGGCACTGTTCTCTGAGTACTCCACATGCGCTGATGGTGTACTTCAGGCACCATCAAGATCGAGCCCCCGCCCAATTGGGAAGAAATATATGCCTTGACTAGGGAAATGCGCAATGAGAATGTCGCTCCTGTAGACACGATGGGTTGCGAAAGCCTCGCAGACCGCACTACCTCACCCCGAGATCAGCGATTCCAGACCCTCATTTCTTTGATGCTGTCGAGCCAGACAAAGGATACAGTGACAGCTGTGGCCATAAAAGGTATGCAGGAGCGAATGCCGGGAGGATTTAAGCTTGAATCCGTACTTGTCCTTGAACCGCCGGCACTCAATGCCTTCATCAACAAGGTGGGCTTTCACAATCTCAAGACCAAATACATAAAGCAAGCAGCAGAATTGTTAAGGGACAAGTGGAACTCGGATATTCCCGACACCATCGAGGGATTGACTTCCCTCCCGGGTGTAGGTCCGAAGATGGCATATCTATGCATGAGTGCTGCTTGGGGAAGAGACGAAGGCATTGGTGTTGATGTGCACGTGCACAGAATCACCAACCTCTGGGGCTGGCACAAGACGACAAAGCCCGAGGATACCAGAGCTGCCCTAGAGTCGTGGCTGCCAAAGGAAAAGTGGCATGATATCAACAATCTGCTCGTCGGACTCGGGCAGACGATCTGCCTTCCGGTTGGGAGGAAATGCGGCGACTGTAAGCTTGCTGATCGAGGTTTGTGTCCCTCCGCAGTTGTTGGCAAGAAGACCAAGGTAAAGGAAGAGAAGGTTGTTGTCAAGACCGAGGAAGATGACGCCAATCAAACAGTGAGTGAGACTACAGTAGCGGTTCAGGAGAAGGATATCAAGGCCGAGGAGATTGGGGAGGGTAGGATAGCGGATATCGAGGATATCGGATGTAATGTGCGGTAGACAACCAGCGATTACCGGCATTGCCGCCACAACCCATCCTCTTTGAAGCCCAGGTCTAGCGCCGTATGTCACTGAGAATTGCACTTGTCCGGAAGGTGACATCTAAATTCTTGCAATTCAGGGGAATATATGCGGATCAGCCTTCCAGGTAACGCCCTGCATGGTAAGCTCTGATTGAGGTAGGTGTACCACGAGAGCATAGACAAGGGGCCGTCTGTAGCAGTACGGCTCTATGCTCTCGGGCCGTAGGTAATCCTCGCATCGGTTTCTTACGCTGTCATTTATCAAATGTATCTGCAAATGATTGTCACAGTTGCTGACACTGTAGGCTGAACCCCTAGGCAGGCTTTCGCCACAGTATGAAAACCGACCGTAGAACATCAGGCTTCAATCTCATACAAGTATTGTAGACCGGGTTACCCTAAGTTCTGTGGCCCTATACCGTGCATTCTAACGCTTCAAGCTTGATACAAGAGGTTGGGTCTAGCGCCTAAAGATTCAACCTTTAGTGTCAGCCAACGTGTGTTCTCCATTTTGCTCGCCTTTTAAAATGATATGCAGGTGCCTGTGCTCCACGCGGTTGCATGGGTGCTCCTTCCCTCTTTGCGAGCCTCCCCGTCTAGTTTCCACACACCGCCTCCCCTGTCTGTCACCATACTCCTATTCGCTACCCTTTAACTTTCACTGCCTCGTCAAATTCTCGAGCTCCGTGCATGCGGAGCACCACGGGCTCTCCTGCTGCACTTCCTGGTATAGGCCTGCCGCTTCGGCCCATACGTCACTCTTCAAGCGCAAGCGCAAATACAGACAAGTCAACCACAGAGCCAACCCCGGATAAAGCGCCGACAGACGCACACTCCTCACCCTCCGCCTCCGTTCCCCCTAACAACGTCACTAATTCGATTCTTCAACTTCCACGACAAAGGCAGGCGCGTAAGTTGGCCCCTCCCTCAAAGTTTGACACCCGAGGTATGAGACCCAGCTTGCTTGGATTATATGTTCGTCGAGACTGACATTCATCTCTAGGATGGACGCCGAATGTGCAACCGACAATGTCTGGGCCAGCCCTGGTCACCGTCGGCCGAATGATAACATTCCCTCCCAAGCTTCACTTCCGCAACACCACTTTGTTGAGCCTGTTGCAGAGTCCACCAAGAAGATTATACAAAACGAGGCCGCCGCAGATGATGATCAGCAAGCCGAGAAGATGTCGAACATTGGCTCGAAGCTCTGCGAGGCACGCAAGACTATAGCAGTGAAAGCCTGGCGTGCGCGCTATGCACTGCTTGTCATCTTTGGCTATGCTTGCTGGATGATTCTGACTCTCCTCATGATCGACGCCGCCGTCGTTGGTGTACGCGGTTTACTTATGCCAATACACACATCGATGACGTACCGAATAGGAAGCATCAGATCTCAGCAGTCCTTTCTGCTAGACAAATGCCAGGATCTCCAGGAAGTTCATCTCCACAAGCGGCCTTTTGACACGCATCTCAAATGTCTCACCCGTGCCGCGAACATAGCTCAAGATCATTACGCTGATCTGGCGTATCACTTATCCCCAGTGGTTGCCGAGTCCACGACCAAGTGGGCACAGTCAGAATGCGATAGAATTATATTCTCACCAGTTCCTATCCCACGTACTGGTTGGCACATCCTCTGGAAAACTTTCTCTGATCATGCGGGAGCGGCTCTCTATCGCTGCAAAGACATGGTCGCCGGTTTGGTCAAGGTAAACAGCCGGCGCTCGAAGAGGCCCTTGAGAAGCACGAGGACCGACCTGCGCTCGCTCCCATTAGGCTATCACTTAGATTGCAACGATGTCGAATCTCTCTGTCGCCTATCCTTCCGGTCCCCGACAAGCTTAACGGCACCTGATACTCTCATTGAAGAGGTCAAACTGATGAAGACAAAGCGCGATATTCATCGGATCATCGAAGCATGCCGCCAGGTAAACGCTTTGATTGCGGCAATTAGAGTGTTGATCCCGTGGATGAACTTTCTTGTGCTTGTGCTCACTGTGATCGCCTTGGAGTAGGTGGCCTTTCAACATGTTGCTCTTTCCCCAGTGCTGACCAAGAGATAACAGTACCGTCACGCTCATAGAAGATATCCCGCCTGGGCTTCCTTGGAAAATAATCGGAAGCTTCGCTGCTTACCTTCTGTCAGAGGTCGTGTTCACGTGGATGTATTTCTGGCATCTAGGAATTGCACATGAACAATATCGCTCCAGCACCACCACGACAGCCACCTACGCCAATTTTGGGGCAATTTTTGTGTGCTGTGCGGAGCTTGGTACTACATGGTGGGCACGATCAATCTCCTTCCATCGTCTTCTGTGGGCCTTCCGGGAGGTTCGCACAATCTATTTCGAGACGTCGGAAGAAAGCATTCGAAAGATCGAAATGGATTTCAGCGGCACATCTAAATCCAGTAAAGACGGAAGCACTGCTGAAAAATTGCATGAGGGAGTACTTCTCGACGAGAACGCTGTGGCTGAGGGAGACCGAGCTGACGACACTTCTGAAACCGCTCCCGATCGTTTCGCGTCGTCCGTCTTACACATCTCTCCCAACTCTCCTCTACATGAGGACGTCAAACGCATGCGTGAATATCTGCATCAGAAACAAGCCATGCTGAAGCTGAAGCCCAAGGCACTCCGTCCACACGGGGACACGCTTACGGAATTCGTTGACAACACCTCTCCAAGCCCAAACAGCGATTTGGGATGGACAGTCGTCACCTCTCCGGGAGATGAGACTATCATGCCTCCGATCATGGACGATCAGCATGACGATGATGAGTACAGGGATGCGGCAACTGAAGCCGTCAGCGTCGACGAAGAGGAGACGGTCAAGGATTGTGCAGCGAACAGCGGTTAGAAGTCGAACCTGTCGAAGTGCAGCATGTGAGGCAGTTAGAGCGAAGGGCAGACGCTTTCCAGGTGTGTCAATCGAGATTGCCCTCTCAAGCGGGTTCATTTCGAGTGCTCCGGCATCGATAGAACGGCCAGGATCAGTCAAGACAAGGGCATCGAAGCGTGGGAATGTCCCATGGGCGGCGAGCGACAGGTAGTTGTGATTGCATTTGAGGAATAGGCCTGTGATGCGGAAGCCTTGCGAGAGAGCAACTCCTATCAATTGCATGAGCAAAATCGATGACGCATGCGATATCTTCACTTGAAGAGGAGATGCAGACATAATTCCGCGAAATTTGTTCCGGTGACCTCAACTGAGAGAACAGATGGTTGAACATTCGGTGATGATACAGCGCACATGACTGCGAGCATTCCCGTTCGCACGTAGCACAATTGTAACTACATCATCAATGGACCTGCTCTCTCTATCAATATCTTCTGCACTGTTCAATCGACGTCAGGTGATTACTCCCCACTCTCTCTCGCCCTCTCTGGATTCCTCAACATGTCTTCGTTCCACCTCGCATCCCCACTCTCCTTCACAGGTGCCCACCCCAACTGAATCTGCATGACCTTCTGATCCCAATCCTTCGTAAAACTTCTCACCTTTCCATCTTCAACCTCGAAAATAGCTGCCGCCCACCTGGTTCTCGTTAGCCCACTTTTCCATCCTTCCCATTCGATTCTAATGCGCATCAAGCAAATGAGCTTACCATGTCGCCTTCCTCGGCGGCTCGCTTTTCTCAATCCCCTTGTACGGTTCCCCACAGTGGCTCCCACTCGCCGTGTACCTCAACAGCACGTGCGAGTCTTTCGCCCACGCCTGGTCAAAACGTTCAATCTTTAAATCTGAAACGGATTTCATAACGACGGAGTGCGAGGCGGCGTAGTCCATGGGGGTTTTGCAGCCGGGAAAGGTGGAGGGGGAGTAGAACCAGCTGTCTGGGTGGCAGATGTGGGCGACGGAGTCGGCGCCAGTGTTTTTGGTCGGGGAGTAGGCGATAGACATGTATTCTTTTGCTGTGCGGATGTTTGCCTGGGGGGTTCTTAGTGGTGTGCTTGGGTTACGTATAGCGAGGGTGGGTGTGTGTACTTCTTCCTGAGATGTCTGCTTCGTTGACATGATGGTTGGTGGGTATGTGGAGTCTGACATGATTGCTATTCACTGTTTCGAGAATATCTATTGAGAAAGGCTTTGTTATGTTCCTAGAGGATATAAACAGTTTGGGATGGTCGTGTTGTATGCAGGAGCTCATGAGGTCGCCATGACATCAACGAAGTGGTCTGATTGGCTTTGGTAGCCTAGCGCATAAGATTGAGGCAAGGATCAATGTCTGTAGGCCAATTCAATCATCGTGAAATACTCGTCTCTAGCTCATGTTGTTGTTAAGTAGATTACGAGGAACGACGATAGATCCAAATCATCTCCGAAAGGAGAAGCTCGCCTGATACTGCTTTTAGCGTCGGCTGATACTGCTAACTCAAAACGTCATGAATATGTTCAAAGCAGTATCAGGTGAGATTGGGACATGTTCACATGATATTCACAATAGAACACTAGGGTCATAATTTAGCTGGGATTAGCTATGATTAGAGCAAGAAAGTAGGAATAGGGTTAAACGTAGGATTAGGCTGAAAATAGCATATTGGGATGTGGAATATTTTGAAAAGTATGTCGTAGCAATATCAGCCGACGCTAAAAGCAGTATCAGGCGAGCTGCCCGCACTATCTCCGACGCTAGCATTACTGCGCTCAGCCTACAGACTCCTCCTTTCTGTTCCAATTACCAATGGACCGATTTCAGCATGTAGAGGGGTTTCCTGCAATTAGGGAGTTCCACGTGATCTCGACTGTGCAAACAGAACGAGGGGAATGTCCCCTCCTCAATCTCCCTGGCGGTGAGTGCGGCACGAATCCGACATGAGCTCCGTCCTAACAATCGCAAGAACTGCGGAACCGAATCTATGATCATGTTCTGGACGAGAATAAGTTCAGAGTGTTGCGCAAGCCGAAAATCCTTAAGTCTAAAGACCACATCTTCAAGACGAGCCTTTGGAGCTCACCGGGCCTTGGCCTGACGCAAGTGTGTCGCAGCATCCGCTCGGAGTTCCTGCCATCATATAGGGCTGTGACACTGGGCAATGTGGTGCCGCAAGAGCTCTACGAATACATCGACACCTTTCTTAGGGAGCCAGGCAAGAAGAATGAGGAAGTTATCGGCTCTGTCATCATTGACTTTTGGGCGAACATCTCCTCGTCTCTCGATATCAAGCCCCTACTGCGCCTTCTAAGAAGGGCGACAAACCTTCATGTCGGCACATACGACATCATTCAGCCGGAAGGCTTTGTAGTTGCCGGCCGCACTCCGGTGCCAGATGTTCAGGACATCTTGACTAGCCTCTACGACGTCGTCGACCTAGAAGCGTTCTACAATTACGTCGAAAGAGCGATTATTGCGCTTGAAGTGGAGTCCGACGAGACGAAAGGCGTTGAGATCGTCTTCGAGCTTGGCGCGGACTACTGGGAGGAGTGGATGGGCGTGTGGAGTAAGCCTGACCATGACCCCAGCTATCGCATTCCATTGGAGCTAGGAGACAAGGTTGTGCAGTGGGGAAGGGGATGCGGGATGGAGCTTGACCGAGCTGCGGGAAGTCATTTGACTGTAAACTTTCGCCGTGGACTGCAGGCACTGCCAGCGCCTGTTGGTTGAGAGGACTCGTTGGAGGGTGCCGCGAGTACTTCCGGAGCTGATTATCGGGGTATGAGGGGTGCATGTCCCCAAGCGAGAGCAATGCTCAAGGCGGGCCTACTGACAGGCGAAGGCGTCGCAGACGAAGCTTCCCGTGAAATTCCGCAAGACGGATTCTGACCCTCTATTATCGTGCGACGTGCAACGGAAAGCAATACATGCCAACATCGTCACCTTGAGGGTCGCTTGATATACAATCCTTCTGACGAGAAGTTGTAAAGTAAGAGTATCATATCAACCAAACCTCACTTAAAAATCATTGGAGAACTCAGAAGTGAATGACCCAGTAGGGCTAAAGATAGTATTCGAGCTGGATCCCACCATACATGCATCCCTCGCTTTGGAACCCAATAAATAGCGTAATGACATCGGATATCAGTGCGTACATGATCGTAAAACCAGAGTCGTGCCCCACCCAAATTGCATGACGAGAACGACCGACAGAACGAAAACGCTGAACGCACCAAAAAAAAAAAGCCAAAGCCAAAGCATAAATAATACAGATGATACAAGCCCGATGTGACCTAGAGCGATGGGACCAAGCCTAGTCCTCAATCGCATTCTCATGCTCCTTCCCAATGCTGTTCCACCGATAATCACTGATTTCAAACGAAGGAGTAGCATTCTTGAGCGCCGCGATCTGCGTGTCTCTAAACCTCGCGAACTCCTCGGGGTTCTCCCTTTCCATCCTCTTCAGCTCCTCCGCGTTGTCCACGATATCGTTGAACGCTTTCTCCCATCCGGCACCCTCTGTCATTTCGCGTATTTGCTCGCCACTGTACGTCGCCAAGTGGTTTCGCAAGGCCATGACATGGGGCGGCAGTCCGAGATCGTTCATACTGCCGGACATATTGGCTTGCTCAGAATGCGACGAGGTGGGGCGTGAGGGGTTGATGAATTCAGTGCGAAGGCGGTGACCGAGACGATGGAGACGACCTTCTTCAAGAGTTTGGGCACGCGACGCGAGATTGACATCGGAGTTATGGCGCGAACGAAGGGCTTTCGGTTCGTCATCGTCGGAGTCATGGAAGACATTCTCGGTGGCGCTTGTTGAGATAGTAGGGACGGCGGAGAGTGGTGGCGAAGAGCTGGGGATGGAGCTGGTCGTGGAGGCAGCGTCTGTAGACTGGGACCGGACGCGCGTTTCTGGGTATTCGTCTTCGAAGCGTTTGATCATACCCTGCAGCGTCTGATCGAGGAAGATGAGGCGTCCTGTGACTGTTAGATTTGGACCGCAACTGGAAAGCTTTCCCAGAGACTTACGATATGGTATGTCGTTGCCTGCCTTTGCCTCACGAGCGAGTGCCATCTGCAGCCTTTGTCGTATATTGCGTGCATTTTCCAAGAGATTCTTCGACATGATCTTGGCTCTATGCGATTGCTCCGAATCTGTGGGCTGACTGCTCTTGGGCGTTGCTGTACCACTTGCCGTAAGCGACGTTCTGCGAAGGTCTGATTCCTTTTGTCGGAGACAGTAGCTAAGGGCTTTCGCAACGCCAGTGCCACCGACAATGTAATCCTCATCGGGTGCTGCATCGTCATCTGCCGAAGTCGTACTTGTGTCATCTGCATGTCCAACAAGATGCTGGAGCACGTCGGGTAATACATCATCCCTCGGTGCATTCTGAAGTTCGGGAACTCCCTCAATGTTCTGCATATTGCGAAGACAATATGCGATGACCTGCTTGGCCAGCGCCTTGACAACCTCATTGCTCTCAGGCCCAGGTACATCGACACCCAGGAACACAATGGTCTGCGAGACCTTGGCAGCCAACGTCAGCGAGGCATAGACCGCGGCTGCTTCTTCCTGTTCTTCTTCCGTCGTTGCTGCAGCCAATGCAGCGATCTTGGGATTTCCTTGGACATCGACGTGTGCAATCATTGGGCACTCCGGGATGATTTCTGCAATGCCTATCACATCGGCTTGCGATAGAGATACATCCGTGAGGTGTATCCGCTTTAGCTTCTTGAATTGAGGCATGTACTTCCGTAGAAGGCAGAGCGACAATGAGTTAGAAAATAGATCACGGTTGTGGGAAAGGTCCAAAAAGGTGAAGTTCGGTAGGGTACCCAGAGCCGGGAACAGGATCCTGAGTGACTCTGGCGTCAGGTCGCAGTCGGCGACACTCAAAGCCCACAACGGGCAGTTCTTAGTGAAGCATTCGGAGAGTCGTGATATGGATTCGGTAAGAGTGTTACCACCCAGATCTAATCCTTGACATACTCCGGACTTGATGTAGTGAATAATGTGTCCGATGCCTTCCTCGTCAATACTGTTACCCGCAAGACCCAGACGCTGCACACCGCTGATGATGGCTCCATCAACGACTTTCCTGATGCTTGGCGAGGACAAACCACACTCAGAAAGCAAGAGCTCCTCGAGTTTCGAGCCTCCCAATCGTTCCGAAATGGCTTTGGACATGGTTTCGGCAATGTCCCTAGGGGTAGCCTTCTTATCGCTCGGTAACCCAGGAGAGCCATTAGCTGTCGGAGAAGCCGGCTGAGGTGGGGATGACGGAAACGGTATCATCGATAAGTCCAAGGCCATGAGCGATTTGCACATGTATATGAAGAGAGCAACATGTCTCCAGCCTTCTGCGGTGATCTTGGGGTTGTTCTTAAGAACCAATTTCTTGACGACACCAGAGCGTTCTTCCACGTTTTCGCTTCCCTGCTCTACGTCTCCAGAAGAAGATTTTCTCCTCCTACCAGCTTCTGGAACTTTTGCAGCGAGCAAACCGGCAAGTATGACACGAATCTTCTCATCGTTTAGGTCTGCGTCCTCTAGGAACAGTTTCTTCACTGGGACCACGGCTAGCCAGTCCGAAAGGGTGATCACATCGGCTAGCTGTAAGCGAGAACCAGTCAGATCCAAGCAAGTCACCGTTCCTGGCGCCGAAAGTGCAGCCGCCGAAGGATTTGATAACTGATCGCTGATTCTCTTCAGGATAGGCGTCTCTCTTAATTGACAACATCTGCGGTATATGCGCAAGGGATCTGTGGTAGGTCGGTCCTGGTGCTTAGGCGCCGCTTTGGTAGGAGATTCTAATGCGCCATCAGCATTGATTTCGTCATCTTCCCTGGTGATTTCGAGAGGTATTGATCCGTTCTCCTCGGCCTTTCTGCGTTTCTTCTCTTTCCGTTCTTTCCGTTCGGCTTCGGACCGCTTCTTCTTCTCTTTCTTCTTACTTGGCTCAGCAGTCTCATCATTGACTACGGTGCCCTCTGGATTAGGTGCTTGTTCGTTTCCTACCACTTCCTGTGCAGAACAAACTTTGACCGCACCCAGCCTGTCCTTCTCTTCTGCGACCGACTCTGGGTGCTTCAACGCTTCTCCCTCACCCCGCTCTTTGAGCTTCTTGCGCTTCTGTTTCCGCTCCTCGCTGTCCTCGTCGTCCTTGTACTTCGGACCACCTGCGATTTCGACATCAACGCAGAATGCAACGCGCCGCAGCTTGTTTTGATTGAGTTCTGGGACTAGGCATCGAGCTCGATTCGGATCGATGTTCATGACCTTCCTAGGACAGACGCCGCCATTGGGTACAGCTTTCCCGGACAAGCCACCAACTTGTGACCCTGATGAAAGTCGTCGCAACGCATTTGAGATGAAAGAGCCCTTCGGTTGCTGAGGCACGTACGGCTCGTAGGCAGTATGATTACCATTGGCTGCGGCCTGGATGCCGTTCAACGCGCCGTTGGCAGTCGAAACCACCCCATCTGCGGCATTTTGATTCGCAGATGATCCCTGCGCCTGAACCTGGGTTGTCTGTGCGGGCGAGTTCTGTGAGGAGAATTTAGAGCTTATGCTCGATATCCATGAATTCTTGCGCGAAGTGGTCCTGGGTTCGGGGGGCGTGACACTACCCGGCTGCGGCTTCTCGGAGCTAGCTCGGCCCAACAGCGTCGGACGCTTGGTGGGGATCTTCTGTGCTGGCGTCGGTGTCGATGGTGCGGGAGTCGGATTCGAAGGTGCGGGAGAAAGTGCTGAAGGTTGCTGGACAGCCGGCGCAGCGGACTCCGGACTTTCGCGTTCGTGGTGAGTGCCGTTCTGCGGGAGGCCGCCGTGGGATGACGTCCTGGGGCGAGCGTCTTTGGGCAGGCCTGGCGACGAGGGTGCGTACTGGCGGTGGTGATGATCTGGAGAGCGCACACTGTCAGCGAGGGACATGTTCTTGATGCGCGACGCCGAAAAGAGTGGAGCCGCCGTCCTTCGCTCACCTCGCGTGGAGTGGTGCAGCCACGATACGTCGACGCCGTGAACGTCCTCCATAGCAGGCGACAATGAAGGACGAGTGGCGGGCAATGCTATCTTTGGCGATATGTGAATATAGCCATCGGTAGTCAAAAGAGTAGCCGACAAAGTTGGAGCCGTTCGGAGGAAATGTCAGCGGGGCTCGATGGTAGAGGTTAGCCGAGACGATGGGGGAGTTCCCGGGAAGGTGCTCGCAAAGAGTGGTCGAACCAACGCTGAGTCGCTGCGCTGACTGGACTAGTGCGATGCTGAACAATGTAAGACACGGTAACTGAGATGCGCGCAGCGACTTTAGGACAGCGCTGCGCCAAAAGATGTCTCTACGTTAGATAGCAGACAATTATCACGGATTGCTGCGAGCATCGGACCCTAGTAGTTGAACCCTGGCGATGACGGAAGGCGACAGAAGGTGGAGCCAAAGGCCTCCGGCCCCTCGCTGGATCCGCTCCCGGATCACACCAGCTCGACACACTCGAAAAATGAAGCTGCTGGCTGTCCGAACACCTGCAATCGCTGATTCGTCATCCTTGCCACGCAGCACGACAACCTGCTGACAACTTCCTGTCACTCACGGCTCCCACATCGCAGTATCACACAGTTCGATTACACGCATGAATAACGACCAACGCAACCCACGAATAGAGGGGCTGACTGTATAACAGACTGCGCTATTATCGCGGCTCTCGATCTAGACTGCTGAGTGAATGCCGTAGTGCGCTGGCGCTGACACCTGCATTGTCAGGTATCCAGACGGCAAATTCTCAGGTCACATGCCAAGCGTATCTGCAAAGCACTAATTCACGCAAACGGACGACATGCGCAACTCATTTGAAAATGGGTATCGTGAATCATTCATAGTAGCATCTAGTTCATTCAAAGGCTGCTTAGGTATCCTGGCAGGTACAGTAACCATGTCCCCATGCTTCCCCAGACGCCGTTGAACCTGCTTTTGTCATGAACTGAAGAGAGAAAGGAGCACCAGCTTAAGCCTTGAGCTGCTGGATCTTCTCCTGGACACGCTTCTCCTTCTCGGCCTTGGAGAGCTTGGACGACCTGTACTTGAGGGACTCCTTCTTCCACTCGTCCTTGGACTTCTTGGGCTCGTCGCCATCCTCCTTCTTCCAGGGATCCTCGCGGATCTGCTTGTGGGCATCCTGGTACAGCTCCTCAAGACCGTCGGCCTCGATGTCGTCGTCGATGTAGCCACTGAACTGGGACTTGTAGCGCTCCTCGTCGTCGTCGGCAAGAGTCTCCATGTACTCAGCGACGTGACCGGCGAAGATGTACTTGCGGAGCATCTCGGCATCAAGCTCCTTGGACTCGATGTCGTAACCGGGGAAACGGTTCTCGGAGTGGGGTACGAGGAGACCACCGTCAGAGGCACCCTTCATGGCACCGAAGACACGGGCACCGGTGGAGGTACGGGTAAGACCGACGTCCAGGAAGACCTTGAAGGGGCGGCGCTCCTCACCGTCAACCTCGGCGGCCTCGGTGAGATTGTACTCGCCGTCAGCCTCCTCAACACCCTCGAAAGCCTCGTCGAGCTCGAGCTTCTTCAGGGTGCGGCGGGCGAGCAGAAGACCGGTGGCATAGGCAGCGGACCAGTTGGTAAGACCGTGCTAGGCCATGTTAGAATACGACAGATCTACCGGACGTTTTTGCACATACAGTGATGCCGTAGGGCTTGAGCTCGTGGGCATACGCAGCCATGAAGACCTTGTCACCGCCAATCTCAGAGGTGACGATCTGAGCAACGATGTCGCGGTTGGTGAAGCGGACGACGAGGCGGTACTTGGGCGCATTGTACTTGTTCTTGGCCTGGGTGGTCAAGCGCTTGCGGGCATAGTAGTCGGTCTTGCCCTCGCGGCGGCGCTTGTACTTGACTTGGTACCGCCTGAGACATGTCAGAAATCGCAAAAGAGGGCAAAGAAAACAGAGCTTACGAGAAGTACGCCTTGTTCTTGACGAGCTTAGACTATTTCCCAGAGTCAGCAATTGACGCTTCAAACCCATTTCGAAGCAGCTTGCAAAGACTCCCACACATAACGTCGTCGGCGCACACGACTGCGCAAGCAGGGTGTGACCGAATCATGGATAGGAAGGGCGCATGGCAATTCCAATGGAGCGCCAGCGCGATTGATCGAGGTTAACTTACGAAAGGCATCTTGACGGGAGATGTTGTCTTTGGCTGGGGAAGAAACAGAAGTTCGCTGGGGGATTTATGTGTGCGGTGCTAAGCGAGCCGCGCCAAGTCCATTTTTGGTGTTTCAGCAACGGCGGGAATCGCGAACGTGGGTGGGTGACCAGAAGAACATCGACTTGAAATCTAATAGCAACGCAGAGTATTCGTTCTCTTCTCGCTGAAAGATATTTATCGACTGCAGTGCACCGTGTCCTGCATATCAACAATCGTCTCTTGATACCTTTGAGTGAATTCAAGTTGCAGCCACATATCACCACGGTGTAACGTGGATACATCAAAGCATTGTGTTGGAGAATGCACCAGTGTGACATGAGGTGCTCTACTTTTTGATATAAACAAATGTTTTCCAGATCATATATTAGTCTTATACCAATTGCGTGAATCTGGGGAGCATCTGCACTACCCCAAAGCTGCGATGGTGGCCTGTGCACATTGGACGTAGCTCCTCGACCACAGCATAGCCCCTCCATCGCTCCTAACGACTGCGCATAAGCTACACACGACCACACGCTATCTCACCATTCCTTCACCTTTTGACGTATTGCGGGCAGGATGGCGGAGGTTCCTATCGGTACGGCGAATTGCGCATGCTCAAGTCCATCCAGGCTTTGCTGACGCTCACCAGTCCTCGACGGCGGAACCGGTTTCCTGAAGGCGGGATATGCAGGACAGGTCCGTAAACATTTGCAAGTGTATTGCAAGCTACATATCTAATAGGAGCTCTACAGAACTTTCCCGACCACCAGTACCCATCAATAGTCGGCCGACCGATCCTACGTTCCGAAGAGCGGGATGGAGACATCGTGGTCAAGGACATAATGTGCGGAGATGAGGCAGCGGCGGCCCGATCGATGCTTCAGATCACATATCCTGTACGTCGGTGCTGAGCAATTGCTGAGCGACCTCTCGTCTCTGCTGCGCTGCGCTAACGACGTCTCACCGCCGACAGATGGAAAACGGCATCGTGAAGCGTTGGGATGACATGCAGCACCTCTGGGACTACACCTTTTTCGAGAAGATGCGCTTAGACCCCACGGGCCGCAAGATCCTCCTTACCGAGCCGCCGATGAATCCTCTCAAGAACCGTGAACAGATGTGCGAGGTCATGTTTGAGCGCTACGACTTTGGAGGAGTATATGTGGCTATACAGGCTGTCCTAGCTCTGTACGCTCAAGGTCTCTCCTCGGGAGTGGTGGTAGACTCAGGCGATGGTGTCACGCATATTGTTCCGGTTTATGAAAGCACTGTGCTCAACCACTTGACACGTCGGTTGGATGTGGCTGGTCGCGACGTCACTCGGAATCTGATCGCTCTGCTGCTACGAAGAGGTTACGCTCTCAACCGAACTGCCGACTTCGAGACTGTGCGGCAAATCAAGGAGAAGCTCTGCTACGTCTCGTATGATTTGGAATTGGATCAGCGCCTGAGCGAGGACACCACAGTTTTGGTGGAATCTTACACCCTACCTGACGGTCGCGTCATCCGCGTCGGCAGCGAACGCTTTGAGGCTCCCGAGTGTCTGTTCCAGCCGCACTTGGTGGATGTTGAGCAACCTGGTATCGCCGAATTCCTCTTCAACACTATTCAATCCGCCGACGTCGACGTACGAAGCAGCTTGTACAAGGCTATCGTGCTCAGTGGTGGAAGCAGCATGTATCCTGGCCTCCCTAGTCGTCTGGAGAAGGAGCTAAAACAACTTTGGCTGACCAAGGTGCTGGGTGGAAACCCAGAGCGTTTGAACGTACGTATGCAGTCAACTGGCTTAGCTCATAACTTACGGCACCTCTACAGAAATTCAAGGTACGCATTGAAGACCCACCGAGACGTCGGCATATGGTCTTCCTCGGAGGAGCCGTGCTTGCGAATATTGTAAGTCGCCTTGCGATCCCCTGTGGGACAACAACTAACACGTTGTAGATGGCGGACAAGGAGAACATGTGGATATCAAAACAGGAGTGGCAGGAACAGGGGGCGAGGGCGTTGGAGAAGCTTGGTGCAAGATAACGTAACGATACCCGAAAGCGGGCGCAAGGTAGCATCGAAAACGGAGAACATATCAATGAAGACCATCATCGGACACAAGCCTCAATGGTGGGTCCAACGTAAACCCACGCTTCTAACCATCATCTCTGTGTCCATTGTCCGTCTTGTGGCTTTGCGGCCTTTACCGGTTCCGGTGACATTGGCATTGCCGGACAAACGGCGTTGAATTGTTGCACGAAAACCTGAAACTGATGGATTGTGGATCTGGCAGAGGATCTCTTTGTTTGCGGTAACGATCTAAGGTTCTGAATGCACGAGCTGAGCATTGGAGCAGTGAGTGTGCATACTGCCGCTTGAACGAATGCGTTGGCACCTGCCGAATCGATAGATGTTCCCATTCGGTCGGGGAAAGTGCCACCGAGTGTCTCCGGCGGCTGAAAGAGAGTGCATCGACGGGAGATCGACCACGGGCTTCATGCTGTACCTTGAAGACGCTCGAGCTTTGATTGCAACTACGCGCCTGTGTCTGCTTCACGCCTAGCTTACTGCAAAAACTGCATACCTTCTCAATGGGGCACGATCACCTTTGTCGGCATTTTTCACCTGTCCAATATTATTGCTCCATACGTCCGAAGCTTCTCTGTTTGCAATTGTGAGGACGCCTTCAACGCCTTTGCGGCAATGCTTGGCGCTGGCCTCGCTAAAACTACATAACGAAGGGACGAGATGATACATTCCTCTCAATGCTTGGTACAATTTGGGTGGCGTGAGCGCGCACAAGATCTGGCTGCTACGAAGGAAAATTTGTCGCAGCGATATCGGGTCGCGGCTCGATGTCGCGATGCTGGTGGCCTCATGCACGTAATTCCGGAGGGGTAGCACAGAGAGAGGATGGCTGCGCGTTCTGCGGACGGCAGTGCTGTGAGGGGATAGCTGCAATTTCAGGCAGGATGTGGTGAGCCGTAGCGATCACGATCGTGGACAAGCTCGCTTCAGGCGCCTAACGGCTGGACAATGGAGAGGTTTTGCAGTGCGGGCCGCCACGAGGGACCGAGGAGACGCATGCGGGCAGCAGCCAGTAGGCGGCTCGGGTCGTGCAATGGGCATCATGAGGCTGGCATTTCATCATCATCACCACCACGTTCAGATTCAGGGTGCAGATGTCAGCGCAAACTACGATTGCGGAGAGCGTCAGTAGCGCCCCCAGGGCACGTGAACATCATGGAGCCCTCCCTGGAGAGAGCCGCCGCCGGAAACTCGGCTCCCACGATAGCCAGCGAGGTGCAGGTGCGTCATGGGCCAACAGACAACCACGAGCGAATGCAACGATGCCTCGCTAGCGGGCTCAAACTGCCCCCATCCTGCCGGCCAAGAGACGCAGTAGATGACGATGTCCACTACCGGCTCTGCGAGCCCTCACTGTCCTGGCGCTTAAGTACTGCACCGGTCGCTTCTTCCTCTCTCGCCATGTCGCGATACCGGCTGTGCTCCACATCATCCAACGCTCACGTCTGCCAAGTGCCGCCCTCTTATTAGCTGTACCCATCTCCGCCCACGTTGCAGCTTCGATAGTCACAGACATTGCCTTCTCAGGACCGCTCCGCCGGCACTGTGAGTCCTGTCAGGACACCCCAACGCCTACACACAAAACAGGGTCCACACTGCCTTCTTTCCCGAAAGTAGCGCGACGGCGGCGCACCAGGCGGAAGATCGACTGTCTTGCTGCCGTATCAGTTGCCCTCCAAGATCCAAGCATTCCAGGACCCTCCCGCTGCCAATATATTAGTGTCGCCGCCCGCCTGCACTGCCGGGTCGTCTCATTCACTCGCCTTATCGAGCCTCGTCGCGGGCTTCGTTTGAAACTGTGCTGCGCTGCAGCAGAGGCACTTAAACTTTGTCTTTGCCGGAACAGACCCACTCATCAACGTCATAGCATACCAGAGCCCGGCTGGACTCGCACCACATCTCGGCAACTTCAACCGCTTCAAGTTCCGGCACAGTAAACGTCCTCGAGTTTACCCTGGGTACACCGATAGACTTTTGGAGGACTCTCATGTCATCTCGACCTGACCGCAACATGCCAAGCTCTCACCTCTCACCTAGGATGGACTCACTCAACATCCCCTCCCAGGCTCGCCGTCGTCCACCTCTCGCCCACATGCGTCAATCATCAGGAACTGCTGCAAGCCTGCGTTTGCCCTCGCTACCTCGCTTCCACCCGGCCAACTTTGCATCGCAAGGCTCCAGTGCCGCAGGGACACCCACGACGAACCCAAACTCGCCTCAGCCCCCACTCTCTCCACGGGCCCATCAGAAGCACTATTCTGATATTCAGCGCCAGATGCACTCCTATCAACAGCAACTCATGGCCAACGCAGCTCGACAGGCACGCGGAAACGCAAAGCCCTCTAGCCCGAAGCTCACCCCTCTTGATAGCCCTGGACCTGTCACTCCCATGGAGCTGGAGGGTGCTGGCGGCTATCTCACCGCTGGCATGACCACCAACGATGCAGCGGCTCATGTGGAGAAGCTGATCCGAGACGAGGCCTCCCGTCGTGGCGATATTTCACCTGGACGTACCACTGCTGTTGGAGGTCGGTGACTCACCGGCCAGGAAACATCATGTTCACGCTCACACAAAAAAGAAAAAGACAAGTCTGAACCTTCCGTACACGATCGAAACCGCTAGTAGTACTGTGCCAGATCAAATTTTGGCCTTATGTTGCTCATACTAGGGTAACACAGGGTATCAACTTTCGATCAGACACAGCACGTCACCTCACGTACAATCATCTTCCCGGCGTTAGCGTTTTCATGGATAGCATCACAGGCGTTCTATATCACCAAACCAGCATCACATCATCGGCGACTTCCAGCACGCAAATTTGGATCAACACGAAAAATTACTGCTCATGACGATCTCTCTGCACTAGCTTCACGTATCTTCGGCGAGTGCCTCACGACCATCTTCCAACAAGAGCATGAAAACAGGAGCTGCATAGCGTGCTGAGCTCGTCTCGGCTTCTTTGAAGGCGGGTGTTTTCGAACTGTGGCGTTTCCCCTCATGTCTTTCGTTTGTCGCCAAAACACCCAAGAGCTGGAAGTGTGGGCGTCGACAATCGTTTTACCCTTCTCATTTGATACCACCTATTTCCGATCATTTTTCCCCGCCTGTCCATAGCTAAGTACATAGCGCTCCGCCCTCGGCGTCGAGCAGGACAGATGACGGGTTCGTTGGTCCCAGTTGACCTGCATGTATCCAATTCAATCTCATACATGTCTCGTAAAAGCAGCCCGACTATTGAAATGTGATCCGATGTTCAAACTGGGTGACTTCGTAGTGACCTGAGAGTTACTCAGATGGTCGCGCCTTCCTAAAGCAGGCTCAAGGGTGTAATGTCTCTTGCCGAAACATCCGCTGCCACCGCCACCTCGACGAGACAACAATTTCGATCTTTGCTCAGACTCATCGACGATCCACGCACGGCGCATTGAAAGCATACAACCTTGCAGCATGCTTTCCAACATGCCCTCCTCACCCAGTCATAAGCCCAGTGGCTATGCGAATCCCAATACCGCCCACCGCTCGCTAGCCACACGCAGACGCGAACTCGGCGCCAAACCCTGCGAGATCAGCATCTCGTGTTACCCTCGCTAGACTCTCCGACGCCCCGCTTTCCTCCTTCGCCGCGATCTGCACGACAACAACGAGCCCAACTCACACGCTATCTGCTCTGCCCAACCTTGAGTATACGGTGCGAACGAGGGCGCTGACTCGCCATCGCTGCGATGCTTTCTCATTCTTGCAGCAACACGCCTTGCCGTTGGTCACAGAGCGTGCGATTACGTCGTTGTGCATAGCGCCTCTCCCGCGCCGCTAGCTTGCTGCAGGTGCGGTCCCCGTGCGCGCCCACTATTACCGTCCAAGTGTCACATTCCCAAGTCAGAAATCATTCTTCCAAGGCGCATGAACTGAGAGCGTGCCGCGACCGGGCGGCTTGTCTGGCACAACGATGGCGACCGCTGCTATATTTGCAATGCGCAGCTAGCATGACTGAAGATCAAATGTCATCAAAGGCGCTACATTTAGGTGAGGGTGAATGTTGGTGGCCCTAAGGTTGCCGAAGAGCAAGCTATGCTGATATGGGCGTAGGATGACGCTATTGGATGATGCTGCGCAGCGACCTCACCGTTGAGGGTGCTCCTTCGCGACGCAGGGCTGTCGGATATCTGGTCACTGGGCTTTCTCCGCGATCCATAGGGCTGGCTCATCTCCGCTGCGGTCGAATCTCACGTCTAGCAAAGGGTGGCGGCCACCGACGCAATGCCCATGTTTCCTCCAAGCTTGTAACGGGTACACTCACGGATGTGCACACCGTCTTCTTGTACGCGACGTCTCCACAACTGGTTTTCATGTACACTTTTAGCAGCAACACCCGGCTCCATTCCGTCACCGCCTTCACAAAGCCGCTAGAACAACGCATGTTCCGCCCAACCGCGTACCGACAACTAGGACAGCTAACTTGGAGCCCCCCGCAGGGTCCTCAAGAACCCTAACCCTACACTGTGAAGGATCACAGATATCGATTCACATGTCAATGTGTGATTCGTGGATTGCAAAGAGATATTCGCCGTTGTTCTACTGACTGAGACACCAGTGGGCATTAGCCTTGGGGACATCTCATTCGCTGCTGGGAAACAATTGGCGAGGATTCAAGGCCTGCCACACGCGCTATCGGCGGCAGTGTACGAGGCCAAGATTTTATCAGCATTCCTTCGCCGCCTGTTGCCGTACAGGAGCGAAGAAGGAATCGAAGATGAGCATCGCTAACGCAATTTTGGCCTGCCAGTCGCATCTTGTAAACTTGTGCCGATGAGCACAGAACGAACTTACCAGGCGGATCATCAGACTCTGCTTTCCACCCGGCGGTCTGCCCCGCAACGTCTTTGAGAACGAAGGCACAAGTGCAATGTTGAGAAACGAGCATAGCGGACCACGACTCTGAAGCTTGCCATATTCGAAGGTCCACACAATACGAGCTCATCAGTCATGTACTGTGTCTGTCGTGACCGAGAACATAGGATACCCTACTGAGTCAGATTGGCTTTGCAACCCCACATAATGAATCACATGGTGAATCGAACGATTTGACGTCAAAGACGCAGGCGAATTGCGCGAGAGACGCACTGTCATGGTACAAATGCAAAATGACATCGTCGACGACTAGGTTCAATGGCGCAGTTTAGCCGGCTCGTGAGATGCACGGCAGCGCCTTGTAAGTCACCGGAGGCTAGCCTTGAGAGGTATCGCAGATCACTAGGTTTGAGAGGAGAGGACGAAACAGCTGTGGGTTAAATCTAGGGGCTCATGGTCCAAGTCGGGTTACAGTCCGCGCAGTCACGCTTTGCCGACGGAGGCAGGTGCGTATAAAGTTCAGATACCGGAAAGCTTTTAGAGCTTCGACACTGCCGCCTGTGTATCGAACGATCGTAGTTAACTAAGCGCAAATCAGCTTCTCGTTCTTTGCGTCATCATTTTCGGCTTATGTCGAACAGCTGCTCCAGTGGTTGACCTTCTCTTATGTTCAGAGCACTTTTATCTGCTGTAGCAATCACTTCTTGTGCAGCAACATGGAGACAGTTTCATTCTCCAAGTCGGAGCGAGCTGGCTGCTGAGACAGTGCACTCTGACCGCACAAGCACCTTCTCCAATTACTTGTGGCCCTTGAACAGTGCGAGACTTGACTTACAACAACTGACTCCTAATTCTTGGGTTGGGGCACTCCGAGGGTAAAGTTTCGCGTAATCGCAAGACAAGCCCTTACTAGAGAGAGGGAAAGGTTGTTGTTTCAACAAAGCTGTGTGAGTTCTCCAACGGTTCTTGTCGACCGGTGAATTTCTCTCGTCGTCCGTGACTCCATTACGATCATCTCTCATCGCCACGGCATTCAATCTCATGGTCATGTGTTCTACATTTCATGCAGCCCTAGACTTCAAGAGATATACATACTGGACGAAGGCAGAAGTCGACTTCGACTATTTGGCTTTCAGGCTTTTAAACGGCTGGAGCGCGTGGCCGAAGAAGAAACTTTTCAGAAAAAAATGATTGAGGGAATTCCCGATCTCAAACACTTTGTCGCTATTCCTCCAATGGCGGCAGATCACGAGGGTCCTCATCTGTGGTGAAATGAGGTGGACTCCGCGGAACGCTATGCCACAAATAGCTTAGCCCGTCGGGAATTTATACCGGACGACTATCGTCATTTTTACAAACAACCACGAAAACAATCAACCCAGTGTTTACCATATGCACAAAAACAGCGGAACAATTTCCAGACTGGTGAGGCTTGTACCTTTCGAGGTCACACGCCGCCAATGAAGGTCGTCTTTGGGAGGAAACGCGTGGACAGCTCGAAGCCCAGGCCAGAAAATGCCCAAGCTGAGAGTGAACTGTTGTTTCGCTCACACTCAGATTGCTCCATCGCCAACATTTCCAAGATATTCTGCTGCACATTAGGCTAGGTCAACATAAATCCGCGGCTGCAATGTTCCCTGCTGTAAGCCGTGGGTTTAAGATCCCGAAGCACGAGGACTAGACCACATCTGCTTATGCGATTCCGGTACAACATGGGATTTTTCATCGCATTTCGACTTTCCCACGTCATCTTGGCATGCGATTCTTAAAGATCGGTCGCGATGTTTCCCTGTTTAGGCAACGGGAAGCTCCTATACCTTGTCATTCTTTCCACGTTGGTGTTCACTTCGACGAGAGGGGTAGGGATGATATGACAAAATGATGAGGCTCGTCGAAAGCTCTTTCCCAGCCTCGGAGGTTGTGTTGAGCTATATAATGGTTCTGAGTGCGCCCAGTTGAACCTGCAGCTCGCATCCGCCTCAAGTCAATCCAATCGAGTTAACTCACGATGCTTCGAAACCTTGCCATTCTCGCCTGTAGTGGGCTCGCACTTGCGGCTCCTAAGCCAGCCACCGACATTCCTGCGATCTCGACGAAGGCACCTCGAGGCTCTGAGGCGGGCGCTGCACCAACCCGTGTGAGCCCCGACCCTACTGGACCGACCACACATGGTTCGTACTCTGGCTCAGCGACCACCACGGGAGCAGAACCAGGTCCTACGACTGTACTATTGAAGAACGATGGGCCGCCCGCAGCCCCCACTGGGGACTACTACAACGAGAATGGCAAGCTCGAGGCGCCCTTCCAGCTTCCCTTTACGCCAGGAGGTAATCTGAAATGCTCACTAAAGAATTTGCGGCTTCGGAATGTTTGCCAATCTTGAAGCGTCCATCCCATTATAGCCCCGAGACCAGCACACCATGCTAATGTATTCTACAGGTGGCAAGGGTGTCAATGGAACCAATGCTCCGAGGTACATGGTCGAGAGTGACTACGACTACGCCTCCGTAGTCTTGGGTCTGCACCAGGAGTTCATCGAATTGGATCTCTTCAACCACGGTGTAGCTAAATTTTCGGAGCAAGATTTCCTCGATGCCGGTCTCACTGCTGAGGACCGCACGTTCCTTTCCTACATGGCGACGCAGGAAGCTGATCATGCTACGTTACTCACCAACATGCTGGGTGAATCCGCACCAAAGCAATGTATCTATGACTATCCTTTCACGACTGTGCGTGAGTACATTGACTTCAACATCAAGTTGACGCGATGGGGTGAAAGCGGTAACTGGGGGTTTTTGTCTCACTTGGACTCTCGTGAGGTATCGACCTTGTTAGTTCAAGCTGAAGCGGTCGAGGCGCGTCAGCAAATGATCTTCAGACAATGGTTGGGTCTGCACCCCATGCCTCTCTCCTTCGTCCCTGGTATGTCATCCCATCGTCTCAATGCCCAGGACCAAGCTTATCAAATACAGGCATTCCCCAATCATGGCACTGGACTCTGCTTGCTCCATACATCTCCTCGTGCCCTGAGAACAACACCCGCATTGCCTGGCAGAACTTCCCTCAGCTGACCATCGACAACCTGCCCAACCCAAACAGGTACGTTCATCCACCCATCTCTACTCCTTACACCTTATGGCTAACATACCTAGGGTCTCCCCCAACGACACCAAAACCGACGAAGTAGTCGGCCCCCGTGTCGCCGACCCCTCCGCCTCCAACCTCACCGACTCAGAATCCTGCCTCCACAACACCACCCTCGGCTACGACTGCTCCCCCGCAATCGCCCACAACAGGAGCGAACCGCTCACCTTCCCCGGCCGCAAAGTCTTCCTCTCCTGGGAAGACCCCGGCAAAGCCGTCGGCCCTAACAACAGCTACGTGACCTCCACCTCCGCCGGCGCGCCCAAGTTCGTGGCCTGGCTGAGCCAGATTAACCTCACGTATACCCCGCTGGAGGTGACTGGCCAAAATAAGGGCTGGACGTGGCAGCCGCCGAATGAGGTGTATGTGGGCGATCCGGCGGTCAACGGGACGGTGTTTCTGGCGGTCACGGATAGTGATTTGTACTTGACGCCGTTTAATCTGAGTCTGATCAATCCGCATGTTAATGCTTTGGGGATTATGATTGCGGGGTAGAGGGATTGTATTGCTGAGGGCGATAGAGTGGACGGGGATGAGTGGAGAGCGAATTGTATTGTATGATGACGGACTGCTCGATGGAGAAACGAAGTCATCCTATGTTGACAATAATTAATCTTTGCCTATACTGGAATTTGGAGAACTGTGGCAGGGAATTGCCGCGATATTGCTTCTCGTTCATCTTTGAGACCTCCTATTCGTAGGTAATGATGCTTTTGTGCCCGCGGGAAGGTACGACACCTTTTCTTGAGACCGAATATGACAAGCCACATGTGGAAGACATTTCAGTACAATTGTTAACAACGCAAGTCAGGGAGAAACCCTCTTGTGGTCAAGCGTTCTATATCTCAGCTCCATCAAATCATACCCAGGAATACTCGCTTCCTTCCATACAGCAATCCACAATCCACGCTACTCTCCAGCACATAGCTCAAACAGCCACAAACAGTCACCTTTCGCCACACGCTGTAGCCCTACCCATCTATTTTAATCAATCCAAGCCAGGTCCTCGCCCTCTAAGCCCTCCCCACCTTGAAAGAAAGGATATCATTCTTCCCCACCCTCACCTCATCATTCTCCGCAACCCTCACGCCCCCTCCCTCTCCACATACGCCATCGGCGCATCCCCCATAACCTTCCGATACACATCCCCCACCGTACTCCCCTTCTTCACCAGCACGCAGTCCCTAAACACCGCCGTCGAACTCGCGCTCCCGCTCGTAAAACTACTGATATTCCGCACGGGGAAGACGGGTACCAGCCCGAGGAGGTCTGCCGCGCGGGAGAGGACCTGCACGACGCCTGTGCTGCCGAACCGGTACAGCACCATGTCCTTCAGATTCTCGATCCGCGTGCGGAGTTTCTCGTCTAGTTCTTTGAGGTCTCCGCCTGAGGGATCCCCCGCCTCGATGAGGTCTTCCCGCGTGTCTACGAATTCGCTGCCCTCCGTATATCTGATGAATCCCTGCTTCGCCAGTTTCCTGAGGAACACTTCTGATATTGCAGAGCATAGCACGATGGACTTTGGATCCTGCATCTTTGCGATCTTCGCGATATTTTTATCTGCGTCCGGGTGGTCGATTTTGTTCAGGGCGATGACGGTGGGAAACTTTTCGTCTGTGAAGGCGTTCACGACGCGTTCTATGGTTTCGTTGGACCAGTCTTGGAGGGGCTCTTTGAGGGCTAGGCGGTCGAGACAGCGGGCTACGACGGTGGAGGTGGAGCCGTAGCCTGAGAATTGGTTTTGGAGGGTTTCGACGGCCGTGGCTTTGACGGCGACGTGGCGCCGTTTTATGGAGCCCCTGGGAAGGTGGGCGAGTTAGCTTTGGAGAAGGAGAGGAGGAGAGAGGGAGGAAGGGAGGAAGTACCATTTCTCCATCAGGTTGCCTTGTATCCACCGTACGATCTCGGAGCGGAGCCAGACGATGTCCTGACTGGGGTCGTATCCTCTTGTCGCCTTGCCTGCACAGCATCAGCCAAACCTCCTAGCTCCCGATGCCTCCATATTCTTCTATCCCAACCTGAGCAAAGCAGAAAAACATACCTTCCGCATCCGTCGTCCCACTAACATCCACCACATGCACCAGCGCATCCGCATGTCTCAAGTCGTCCAAGAACCGGTTTCCCAGCCCCTTCCCCATATGCGCTCCTGGTACCAATCCCGCGACATCGAGCAGCTCTATCGGTACGCTTCTCCGCCCATCGACGCAAGAGCCGTAGTTGGGTTTGCATTTGCTCTCCACGCCCACGCGCTTACACGCGCATTCGATCTGCAGGTATCCAATTGCGCGCTGGGGGTCGATGGTCGTGAATCTTTGCGCGCGTCAGTGCCGGCATGTCTGAAAAGATTCGGCGCGGCGTCGTCCTCGAGAAGCGGATGAGCGCTATGCGCCGCGGGGTGGAGGGGTAGCACGATGTTGTACTTACGGGAAGTTTCCTGCTTCTAGTCAGCGTTCAAGTTCTATACACCACAGAAAGTATACGAATGTTCTACGGACCAACTTTTGAAGTGGCATCTGTCAAGCTGCCAGAATTCCATTCTTAGACGGAGCAGTGTGGAAAGATGAGGGGCAGACTGCACCTGTTCAGTGTTGTGGATTTGCCTGACGAGGGCTTGCCAACGAGGCCAATTAAGGGATCGCGAGGCATGGTGCGCTTGTGGGGTCAAATATTATAGCGAGAGGATAAGTCAGTCTCGTGAAGTCCGGTCTGGGAACTTTGCGATAATCCGAGACGCGTGACGCACATCGTATTGTAGTTTTCTTATCGATAGGTGACTAAGCCCTGTCCTGCATAGGGCTGGGGGGGACGCAACTTGGCTCGGTCTCAGTTACTGCGCCCGTGTCTCAGATCCTAAGTGCGGGGAGGGGAACGAGTATGCATATGCCTGACTACATGGTGCAGAAATGTGGCATGGGCGTTCGAATTCCAAGGTTACTTTGACATCAAGTGACATGGATTTATACATCTCGACAGCACAGTCACTTGTGAATAATGGGAGGTAAGCTAACATATGAATTTTACACTGCCCTAATATTATGTACTATGCAAAGTGTACATCATGTTCTAGAAACGCCAGCCAGCTCGTCCAAAGGAGCTGGCAAACTCCGGATGAGATCCCTTAAGACTTGATTACCCGCAAAAAAAAAAGGTCATGCAACAGCCGCTTGCTGCCGTGGATTGCTGATCGTAACAAATCCTCGGGCACTGCACACTAAGCTTACAAAAGGAGGGATCCACCGAAGAGGGAGGAAACCAAGACGACAAGTCCGCACACCGTAGGAGCAAACGAGACAGGGGCAAGAGGACCAGCAGCGGCACCCGTGCTGCTGGATGGGCTCGCGCTGCCACTGCCAGACTCGGAAGCACCGGTAGTAACGGCACCAGAAGCAGCAGGAGCAGTGTCGACGGTATCAGATCCAGCCTCCTGGCTGCCACCCTTGAGGCCAGGGCCCTTGCCAGCACCGCTTTCGAAGTACTCCTTGACGTCAGGCATAGCCGGAAGCTCGTCATCATCAAGATCGACGTCCCAGTTAGCAGACTTGGTGGGGCACTTGGATGGCGAACCGTCCGACTTGTATCCACCGTCACCGGTAGGAGCAGGGGTGTTCGAGAGAGCCTTCTTGAGCGCAGTGAAATCGTCCTTGTCTGTGACCTCAGTGTCGCTCTTGACGGTGACCAATCCGAAGCCCGCGTTGTCCTTTTCCTCAGTGTACTCGTAAACGAGACCACCAGAGTAGACAGGGGTCATCTTGGAAGTGTCATAGAGGGCGCTGACGGCGTTGAAGGTACGTGTGTTCTCCTTGCAACCGTACTCAGAAAGGCTGTTGAAGTCAGTTCATGTCCGGTTGGAGATGCAGGTATTAACTCACAAGAGGGGAATGCTGTAGGAAGAGAAGTTCTTAGCCTTCTGGCTCCAATCGGTCTTCTCGAAGGTATCCGGGTCACACCATGAGTAGTCGTTGAAAGCGAAGAAGTCGCTGCGAGCGCCATCAGGACCGCAGTTCATGTATTGAGCCATCTGCATACGGTTCTCGGCAACATCAGCGGCCGAGTAACCGACAGGGATCTTGCGGTAGTTGCGGGCGTTGATGTATGACCTCATGTCACGGTCAGTGGCCTTGACGTACGGGGCACAGTTGGAGTTCTTGTCGCTGTTGATGACCTCGTTTCCGGAGAAGAACATGAGCGTGTTGTCGTACTTTTGGAACGCATCGATGGTAGCGAAGACGCTCTGGAGGTACGCCTTGTTGTACGACTTGGCGGGCTTGTCACGGTTGATGGAGTAGAAGGGGTTGTTGACGTCCAATGCCAGGTAGATGCCAGCGTCGGAAAGTGCCTGCATGCACTCATCGTGGTCGGCCGAGTTGTCGACGGTGTAGACACGGATGGTGTTCAAGCCAAGCTCCTTGAACTTGGCAACGTCACGCTTGCACGTATCGACATTAGCAATGGGATCTTCGTTGGCAGACGAGCCACCGGGCTGGTAGTCGACACCGCGGATGTAGAAACGCTTTCCGCCGGCGAAAAACGCTGTGGCATGTCAGCAAACAGACTCTCAGAACGCATTGCATTGTGAAACGGACCGTTTCCCTTGACGGAGACAGTAGGCAGCGATGAACCCGAGGCACGCGGTGCGAGCGGACCAGAAGGAGTGGCCGCGGCGCAGGCGGCCATGAGACCCACGGCGATGGCTGAGGTCTTCATTGTGATGATGATGTGATCGAGATATTAAGTGAAACGAGTTGTAGAGGGAGATAAACAAAGTCGTGAGCGAGAGTTTTGAGTATAAAGCAGGCGCGAGCCCGGACAAAAGAGTGTAAGAAGCTGCAATTAGTACAATAGTACGAGAGGCAGTAAGGAAGATGCACGCTGGAAGGTGCAGGCAGGTTGGAGAGCAGAAATAGGAACGACACTGGGGGCGTCGCAGGTTTTAGGGGCACTCTTGCGGTGGGCGTCGCGGATCCTGGCAGGAGCGCGGGTGCAGCGATTGGCTGCTGCCCACATTCCACTCGGAGCACCCCTGCACGCCACCACGGCCAGCAACCAAGCAGCAACCAAGCAGCGGCTGGTGCAAGCTTCGCGCAATCCAAGGCCGCTCAGCGAGGCTTGGACGCCCCCGCCGATCGCCCGCCGCCTGCGACAGCTGTGGAGCTGCACCCGCGCCTGAAACGCGCGCAGCGGTCATTGAGTGCAAATCGATAGCGATCCAAATATGGCCGGCGGTTTGCGTTACCCGCCCGCCGCCCGAAAATCTCCTCAAACCTGCCTCAACAGGGACGCGGTGGAGCTCCCCTTGCACGCAGGTCCCAATCTCGCCATAAGCCTGCGGCCAGTATTACGCACCACCGGGCGACGGGCGAAGGATGACCCTCATCAAACTGCGAAGTGAATATTGGAGACATGTGATGGCAATGATGGAGCTTGCAACTCAACAGTGGTTTATTTACAGCGGTATTAGCATTAGAAAACGACACAGTACATAGACTTTATCCTTCGTCCATCTTCATATCTTTCACAGAGTGTTTGCCGTCACAGAGCAAGCAAGCGCACCTTGGAAGCCCCGGAAGGGCAGCCGGCCTTCTCGACTAGTTGTTCTTGGCTCTGGTGCCAAAGTAGCCACCGAGCACAGCGGCGAGGATGGCAATGATGAGCACGACGATACCCAGCGTCCACCACTTGAGCTTTCGCGCTCGGCGAGCAGACTTGATGCCCTGGTCGAGTTGCTGGTTTGCGTGTGTCGTGTCCTTGTTCACGTCCTCGGTCTGCTCCTCGACCCGTGTCACCTGTTCCTCCTGGTACACGACTTGCTCGTTGAGCTGCTGGAAGAGCAGCGCAAGCTCACCCAGAGTCTTCTCAATGCGCTGGATGTCGTTGTGACGCGCCCGCACAGCTCCGAGCACACTGTTAGCCTGGCCACTGCGGTTGGTCTTGAGCTAGGCGGGTGTCAGCATAATCGACGGACTTCTACATCTAAGTCAGACACCCACAGCTTGTTGAAAGATGCCTTCATCGCCCCAGTCAGCATTGGCCGCCTCTTGGACCTCCGACTCGGTCGCTTCGGGATTGACAATGCGGTACTGTCTCGCAATTGCATCGCGGTACCGCTTGGAGTAGTCTGCCTCTTCCCTCTGGAAATCCTCAAGCTGGCTCTTGAAAGTGCGCTTCAACGATTCCACCTGTGTTCGCTTGAATGAGTTTTGGGGTTCCCGCGCCGCGTCCTTTTCGAGAAACTTGATCTCGTCCTTTATCGATGTGTTCCTGATCTGTGTTTCGGAGACTATGCTCTCTAGCTGGGATGAGGAGCGGTTGTCGGGCGACGACAGCATCCGTTGGTGAATGTTCGCAATCTCAGTGATGTTCGCCGAGAGCTGATTGATCCTGCTCTTCGTGCCATCGATGCGCGCGAGAAAGTCTTGCTGACTCAGTGGTTGCGCGCCGTGCGAAATCGGCTGCTGCGGCGGTTGCGAGTATTGCGACGCCTGCGAGTACTGCGAGTCTTCATGCTGAAGCGGCGGCGCGTTCAGTTCCTTTACCTATTAGCGCGATCGTGTTGTCAATGACTGTGAGCTGCTCACATTGCCGCCGCCGTACGGGTTTGATGCTCCATAACCGCCTGGCGCGCCCTGACCACCGTACGGATTTGACTGCCCATAACCCGATTCTGCTTGGCCGGCACCTTCATAAGGATTACCGCCGTATTGTTGATACCCGGACGACATTGTGCTTGTTACAAGAAGCGTTCAAGGGAGCTCGTTCCGGAGTGCTTAGGAGACCCTGCGGAAGCAACGGAAAGCTCCGTCAGCTAAGATGCCCGGTAAAATTAATCCCCCGCGGAATCGAGATTGAGATTGTACAAAAAGCGATCGGTTTGGTGCCTGGCTGCAACCGATAGACCAAAGTGTTGAGTGGAAGCCGAGATTAAGAGCTTGGACAGTTGAGCGCCGTGGACGACCTGCCTAATTCCCCAGCCTCGCAAAACGTCACTTACCGAGGCGGAGCACGTGCTGAGCTAACCACATGTGGCGGGCCTTGCGCTTCTGCATGCCTCAGGCATGTTGTACCACAATGCAACACCGCAATTGTAATCCCCGGAGTTCACTAAACATACCGACATATCAAATATGCACGCTCACTGTTTCTACCGAGAGAACGCTGTTGTCATTCCCGCTGTCATCCAAGCTATCGGATCGCGATTGCACTACACCTACAGCGCCTCTGTCTCCGATCTTAGCCTTGCGATCGACACAGCATATGCAGCTGATAGTTTCTAGAGCCATTTAGCTGGCGCTCGATTGATTGAGCGGACACTAAATTGAATGCACTATAAGATTTGTCTATCCACCAGTTGTTGGCTGATGGTGCTTACCGGATTAGATGTGAAGCTCCATCATTCTCTTTGCTCGACTTCATCGAGTGTACACATGTGCCTTTTCAGGCCCTACATCTATAATAATACACGAAACTTCATTCCAGATGGGAAGGCCATCGAAAGGTCAAGTGGTCCGTGCAGTGATTTGGCGATAAGATCGATCTGATAAATCCCGAACATCGGACTGAGAGCTCCACGACTTCGTACCAACTGTGCATTGAAGCCCACGACGTAACCTTGTAGAGAGATTCTACTATCCCCAATCCATTGGCACCTATCTCCAAAGTCATCAACTCTTGCAGACGCGCATAAGTTCCGTCGAGCTTCAAAGACTTACAAAACGCGGGGCCCTCCTGTCCACGACTAGCGGCACCAGCTACCGACTCAATTGTGCACGACCTCTATGTACCCAAATTGATTCTCTAATCTGGTCGATCGAGAAGTTTCCAGTTTCACTAAGAAACAATGGCCCACCCCGGCACCCTCCACCTCTACACCAAAAAGCTCACAGCCTTCGAACACACGCCTTCCAATGCATCCTCCCAACCCCAAAACACCCTCATCTGGATCGGCGGCCTGGGCGATGGACCTCTAGGCGTTAAATACCCCTCCGCCATCTCCAAAGCCTTGCCCAAAAACTGGAGTCTCGCAGAAGTCCTCCTCTCCTCCGCATACGATGGCTGGGGCACAGGCAGTCTCGCACGCGACGCCGAGGAGGTAGGAAAGTGCGTAGCATACTTTAAATCCCTACGTCCAAAGGGCAAGGTCGTGCTCATGGGCCATTCAACCGGGTGTCAGGACGCGATGGAGTATCTCGTCGGAGCTGGTAACTCGGAGCGGGAAAGCATCGAGGGCGCGATTCTGCAGGCTGCAGTGAGCGATCGGGAGGGTTACGGTGCTATTGTCGCTGACGATCCATCATTGGAAGAGAGTCTGAAGGAGACTATCGACCTCGCGACAAAATGGGTCGAGGCCGGCGATGGCGACGCCATTCTTCCTAAGAAAGGGAACAAGGTGCTGGAGATGTTTGAGTCGCCGTGTACGGCGTACCGTGCACACTCTCTACTAGCTAAGGGCGGCGACGATGACTACTTCAGCACTGATCTGGAGGATGTGACGTTGAAGGGTACGTTTGGGAAAATTCCGAGCAGGACGAGGATGATGTTCCTTTGGGGGAGTAAGGATCCGTATATTCCTAAGGCTGTGGATCAAGAAGGTACGTTGAAGAGGTGGGCGAGAATTGTTAAGGAGGGAGGAGGGAGTGTGGATGAAGTGAATGGGGGTGTGATTCAGGATGCGACGCATAACTTGAACGATGATTCAGAGGATGTAGTACAGGATCTTGTGGGTAGGGTGATTAGGTATGTTGAGGGGCTCTAGAAATTTTGATTGTTGGAACGGGGCGTGGTTGCACGTCAGAAGGCAGTAGAGTAGCATGTGGTAGACATTACAGTAATTCTCCGCTCAACCAGCACCCCTATACCATGGACATGCCCTTTCAGTGTGGCAATCAACTCCAGTGGAGTACCCCAACAAAAGAAAGTCATTCTACTACCACCGGGAGTGAGTGCTATATACAATAATGTTATAAAATATCGAGCCAAGGGGACCATCAAGTCCGGTCCGCGTTATGTGAGTGACTAATACGCCTGGAAATGCAACACGCTAGTCCACCAAACCCAGCCTATTCACCTTGCGTACCCCAATACAAAAGGAAACCAGCACACCTTTGCGCCTCAGCTACTCCTCCCAAGCAGCTTTCCCAACTTCGACTTTTTCTTATGCCTGTATACAATCAGTCAATTGCCCGTACAACACGCACAGTGCACTTACGAATTATCATCATCATCCTCCGCCGTCTTCACACTGCTCCCATCCCCACCCCTACTCCCCAACCTCTCCCTCTCCCTCTCCCTATCCTTCATTCTATGACTCGAAAAAGGCGTCAACTGCGTAACATGCCTACTCAAACTGCCAATTACCCCCGCATGGCCCGGCTCCGTCTGATCGACTCTAAACAACTCATCCGCAAACGTTCGTCCATCCTCCACCTCGATGCCCAATCCCTGATCATCGCGCCAGCTACCGCCGAGGATGCTACCGTTCTCGGTGGCGGGCCGTGTGTTGCTGCGGGAAGAATGTATGCTGGTTGATTCCGAATGTTCGGAGAGCGCGGAGAAGGTTGAGGGCGCGCGTCCGGAGGCGAATGAGCGACGTCCGGGGAGCTCGCCGCTCGCGTTGGAGTCTGATTCTCCGGGTGAGTGGTCGCGGATGGAGGCTGAATCCGTGCCAGAGAGATCAGGGGAAGTGGCCATGATCGAACTGCTGTTGGCGATCTGTCGGAGGCGAGATTGTGTGTGCTTCGAGGGCCGGTGATGGCTGAACTTGTTGCCTACGATAGCGCCAGCATGGGAGATGAGAGCGCGGATGACATCGCGCTTTAGCTGTAGCACGAGATCAAGGTTTGAGCAAGTCTTGTTCCGGTACTCCAACGTGGGCAGTTTGAATACGAGGTCGTGGATATCTTCGAAGTTGCGGTTGCCTTTACCCTTGTAGCTGAGACAAAGGACCAGACTGGGTATTCGCGCGTATGCAAGAGTCATGTAGTTAGATGCGCGGCTCATCATCTGTGTAAGGTCATCGTTCCGTTGTTTTTGGGTGACCGCTTTCTTGTCGCTAGTGCCGGTTCGATGCAAAGCGAAACGCCTGGGAGTGCGATCGGACTCAACTGTCGATACAGAGAAAGAAGAATTTGAGCGCGAAACGGCAGTGCCTGGTCGAGGCACGTTGGTAGATGAGCCTCCAAGTGGGTTCATGGCTGAGCTGGGATGGAGCGTACGTCGCATCTCAGTAGCAGTCCGTGACTGCGTCTCGCGGAACAAACGAAGATGATGCAAGGTCGGCCGGGTCTTAGACGAGCGTTGCTCTGGCTTAGGCTGGTGGCTGGGCAGGTGTAAAGTCGGCGTGAGGCGTAACTTCAGGCCTTCGACATCCTCGCCATTGGCGGGTAGTTCCATCTTGGGTGTTTTGGCAGATGCGAGGCTACCACTATCGTCGTCTTCATCATCCTCTAGAGCCATGTGCTTAACGAGTAGGGGCGAGAAAGTGCCATTGCCGTTCTCTCCAGATTTATCTTTGATGCCTGGGAAGATATATTCGAAGAGCTTCTTGCCGATCTGCCACTCTAATGCAACTTTGAGTGGGAACAGATTGATTTCGAAGTGGTCCACAACCGGTATACCCGCAATTGCTTCGAGCATGACCCAATGCACCCTGAGCATCTTCGTGTCCTGCCCATCGGAGGAGCTCGGACGGCTAGCTTCAAGATATGGTGAGATCATCTTGGGGTAGATAGCGTTAGGCATAAGATTGAGACCAACAATGTGTTCAATCTCAACCGAATTCAGGTTTGACCCATCGTTGTTGTCTGTGCGATCGAAGAGGGCGTTCTTGATTTGGAACTCGGCAAGCGACGTCTGACCCTCCTGCAAGAGATGCCAGACGATTTCCGAAGCAGTGATGTACCATCTCAGTGTTCCCGTCAGTTCTTTGGCCTGCGCGCGGTCGTCATTTCTTCGTTGTGCGGTCGTGATCGCTTTCATGACAAAGAAGAGCTCATCCTCAAACACAGCTAGATCTTTCTCAACCTCGATGCGGTCATTCCAGCCCTTCTTGTCCAGAAACTTCTCATTGATCTGAAACACGGTCTTGATCTCTTCTAACTGGCGAATGCGCTCTTGAAGACCAATTACGAGATCAGGCGCGCCACTGAGGTTGCTGAAGTCAGATGCAAGCATGATCTTCTCAAGCCTTTCGTTGCGTGTCTTTTCCAGCGGCTCATTGTAGAGTAAAAGATCTATGACGATGATGTACATTGCATAGTACTGACGTGAGTTGCATAGAGCACGGATATGGGGGAAGTCAACCCAGATATGATCGATGCGGCTTTCCATGCTCTTTCGTTTGGAAGCCGAGTCACCACCAGAGACGTCATCGTTGTACTTCAGACGCAATGGATTATACTTATCAAGTCGCATACTGGCCGATGTACGTTCTACCACACGCTGAAAGCCGTACGGATGTGTCTTAAAATCGAACATGACCTCGAAAGGCACCCATGGTGGCCATGCGGTTCCGGCTGGTGCTCCATACGTGCTTCCAGAATACATGTGAATGTCTTCAGAACCGAAGATTTTCGAGTTGGTCACGAAGATCTGTAAACTGTCCATGGAAGCTGTAAATCTTCGCTGAACCAGGCCGGAAACATCGTCCATGACACGATCCTTGTCCATGATCTGGATGACCTTGAGTTGCATACCCTTTGCTGTTACGAGAACAGCCGCTTTTGTGTTCTTGTCGCTTTGGAGTTGAATTTGAGGAGCGATCAAGCGAACGATATACGCGTTTTGAGCGAGATAATCGAGGGAGACGTCGTCCTCGGCGTTGTTCGAAGCGTTGTTCGGACCGGATGACTTGCTTTGGTCCTCTTCGGCGTTGTCGGCCTCAATGAACTTCTTGCCGTCGCTCAAAAGCTGTTCGATTTGACTCTCGATGGTATCTTCCTCGTCCTCTTGAGGCTCCATCGGCCTATGCTCGGGTCCGGGTGTAGACGAGGATTTTCGCAACTTGTCTTGCTCCTCCACTATGTCTAGAATGAACTTGACCGCCCTTCGCGACATGTAGTATACAAAACCACGGCGCTGGCTGACTTGGTGTATGTAACGCAATATGATGTTGCGGAGGGAGTTGTTCCACTTCAAATGCACGTTATGAATGATGAAGCGGTTGTTGAAATCGCTGATATAGTCGGCATGCTGTGCGCCTTCCGAAGGTTTAGCGCCACCCTCTGCTCCATCGTAATCCTCACGTGCTTCGTAGTACTCATCTTCTCCCTCGTCCGCTCCATTTGGTACAGCGTGTCTGTCGCCTGACTTCAATCTTTCGATCAAGCTGTGATGCATCGTATGCAGGAAGTTCATTTTCCTTCTCAGAAACTCGGCATGATTTTGCAAAATGGACAGCTGGTGGCGTAGATCTTCCTGATTCTCGGGTTCGCGAATTATCTTCAGCTCATGATCACCGATGGCGCGTTCGTTGTGCGCTGTTTGCTCTTTTACGCGCTGGATCCGCTGCTCAATGAGGTAGCACTGCACTCGGCGTGGGTCGTTGCGAGCGGACATCACACAGTGATGTGTTGGCTCCTTTCCGAAGGGGCTTGTGCGGTGAGGATCTCCAGATATGTTGTCTGCGTGGTCGGTCTGGCGGAAGTAGGTAAAGCGCGGAGCAAAGGCTAATGGTAGGATCTGCGTTTCTGGGTTATGCTCCGAAGGTAAAACCCATCCCAGTTCCACAAAGTCGTCCATGTCCACCCAGCCCCAATCGTTATCCGGAATGGTAAATTTGGACAAATCTGCTCTGGCGTTCTCTTGATTGTAATCCGCAATCGTCTCGGCGTTGGCATTTTCTACATCATCTTCTGCTGTACCGCCAATTCTTGCCGAAACAGCACGAACGTCGGTCCTTATTAGATCAAGTTGAACCTGATTAATCCGCATACCCGTCGTTTGGTTTTGCTTGCTGTCTTCTTGTGCCTTAGGTGCCTGTACAATGGTCCTGAACTCCTCTCGCCGCTGATGCAAATCGAGCATGAAGCTGTCTAGGCGCGCCTTCAGCCCAGTGGCAGCAACATCACCCCTTCCGTAATCTTCCGCATCTTTATGTTTGTATACATGACTCATATACAATGGCGAAAGTAAAAGGTTGTACTTGATGGTTGCCAGATGTCGGCCAAACTTCTTGCTTGACTTTTCAATTCCTGGCCACAGTGCACCTTGTCTGATAGGCAGAGACATGGCACCTGAGAACATGGACCACCAGTTGTAGAAGTGTGTGAAGAAACGTGGAGTAAGATGGACGCTGTTGTATGTTTTCGAGGGTTCCAGATTACCAACGGACCACTCGCGGTCGTGGGGAGCTGCGATGGCAATAGACATATGAATGTGATGACTTCGGAACCCACGGAACGCATCATACGCCTGTCACAATCAGCAAATGACCAATCTATAACCGTACAACTTTCTCACCTTGCCATCGCTCGGATGAGCATGCGTCGGATGCTTCAAGACAATGTCGTAATGTGGGCTGAACTCGAACGATCTACCACCTCCATCGAGATTCCGCTCAAAGACCAATCCAGCTACCCAGCGGACATTGCCGTTCAGTTTCATGATGGTCTTCTTGAAGATTGCAAGCTGCTTGTAGCTAGAAATGCTAGACGACCCCTCAAAGTGAGTAGTGGGTTGTTCTAATTCGGCTTCTTGACGTGCATAGTGGCCGAGATCTGGTATTGCTAGTACGTAGCTACCGCTGTTGACGGCCAAAAAGTTTCGTGGATCCTCGTCTTCGGCAAGGCTCAGTTGTACGTCATTCTGCCAACACATGACAAACCCTGCGCCATGACCGGTGACCATGTAAGGATCGCGAGAGCCTTGGGTTACATTAGCACCTTTAATTCAACAGGGAAAGACGGCATACCTTTGAGGATTAGGTGAACGTCGCCGTCGCCTTTCCACGACACGTTGATACGCGAATGGAAGGTGAGTCTAATCTTGTCCCAGAAACCGACCCTCTCTGAAGGATCAACAGCAGGCTTGGTGAAATTTTCAATGACCTGCATCATATCCTGTATCGCAGGTTGGTACGATGTGCCCCAAGTGATGCGCGTCGGATGTGACGAGTTGATATCAATCTTCATATCTGAGTATGTCTTGACTGGTGCTACTGTCCGCCGGACGTCGACCTCGAAACCGCCAGTCTTTGCACCGGATGAGGTATGTTCCTCTGGAACCACGACTACTCTACACACTCTCGTAGATTCCATGTCTCTGAACTCTTCTGCAATGACAAAATCAGTCTTCAGAGAAACGCTAGGCAGTCTAGATGACTGCGAAGGTCGCAAAGCTGGGAAATGGAGTAGCGGAAGCGGGTAGTCGCGAAGCTGGATTTTGGCCTCGCCCATGTTCAGCTGTACATGCATCGGGACGAGAAGCGAGTATTGCATGTCAACAGGCATGCCTTTCCCTACCCTGTGTAGGAATTTGGGATACTCCGACAGGGCAAATGAAGGTTTGTCGATGGTGAGATCCAGATCGCTGACGATGAGGCTGCCAAGTGCAGGCCGGTGTGGGATAGCCATGATGGTTTCTTTCGAGTACGCATCATCCGGAACTTCATCGAGACCCCAGAATATCGAGCGTATATCGCCCATGGAGCGAGTCTGACATGTTAGAGCGTGATCGATACGCTTCCTCCATGTCTGAGCATTGAGACGATTGAGTTTCTCGCGTGCTTCTTCAATACTGGTACGCGCTTTGCTGCTGAGGCCAGTATAGCCATCTTTGTCGTAACGCATTGGATGATCCGAACCACGTCTACGCGCAGAATCCGGGGATCCAGGATCGCTCTGGTCTTCAGTCTTACTGCGAAGCGTAGTATCCTTCCTCCGTACCTTACTCCGTCCCCGATGCGTGTGGGCAGACCTAGCGCGCTGGCGAGTATTTCCCCGTCGTTCTTCCTCTTGATGGAGCTTTTTTACCTTCAGGTCAAACGCTTGCTCTCGAGCAAGTCGTTGCTTTTGTTCCATTAGACCATATCGATATATCACTCCCAGCTTCCATTCGAATGAGCCATCCTCAATTTCGAAGAGAACAGCCCGGCTTCGAAGGGAGATCTTCGGCACATGTTTCGGCCCTTCAGGCTCCTTGTTTAGAACATACTTGTTAGAACCGGTCCTAAACCGGAAGTGAAGCTGTTTGATGGTCTTGGCAACGTTGGCAATATTGTCAAATATCTTATGCATAACCAGTTGATGTGGAACGGCGATGCGGATAGCATCTGCAACGATATCAAAGGATTTATCCTCAGTGATTGTGTTTCCATATCTTCTCTTTGACTTGCGATAGTCCATTCGCAAAGATTTGACACTGACGATACGACTCCACACTCGCTTCACATGAGGGCTTTCTGCATATAGCCTCACAAGCCGCGCACGAAGAAACGGATTCGTCCATCTATGTCGGCCAGCCTCGAGACCATAGATGTGTACCATAAGCGGTGGATCTGCCGGCATGTCTGCCTTGAACTGCATGAAATTCGCTTTGACGTCCAAAGTCAGAGCTTCCCGCTTCAGCCCTGTTTCGGGATCGATATCGTCGCCGTCCATTGAAGGTATCTTGAGGTGGTGGGGCGTCCTCGGTGATACTGGGGCTTGCTCTTCCTGTCCAGCAAATGCCACATTGAAGGAGTGCTTCAGTACCATGGTGGCGACACCCATAGCGAAATGCCTGTATAGCGAGTAATGGAAGAACAAACTCTGACAGAAAGAGTGGACGTGGAAAATGGGCCCTTGCTTGTCTGTGGATGTACTCCAAGCGACTTCCATCCGAGGAAAAGCCAGAAACGGATCGGCCTCCCATTGATCGTCAGCTTCCAATACGAAGCCTTCAAAGCCTTGCAAATGGACGGCAAGTCGTCTGCCATCAGTCGGATCACCTGGTTTTCGGGGAGATTTTGGTGAAGACGGCGTTGTCGGTCGTAGGATGTATTCATCCCGATTGACTGTCCGACTTGCGGCCCGCCTGCGGATGGGGCGGGCTTCACTGCCGTCGCCTTTGCTTTGTCGGTACTCTGCAGTCCAAGACTCTAGGTGCAGACCAATACCCCTAGCATGCTTTGACACCTCCGGGTCGACGCCTGCAATTTCGATGTTGAAGTCAGAGCCCTGAAGCTGTATATGAGATAGCCACGAGGGCAATCGTCGTAAGAAGTTCAAACCCCTCTTTCGAGGCCCACCGCGCCTTCGCTGCACGTCTTTTTGGGCTTGAGCCACGATTTGGCGTAGACCTTCGCTGATTTCCGAGCGCACGATGAAGACAGAGAACGTTTGTAAGTTTCCATTGACGACTACAACAGGGTCAGGTGAAGCGCTGAGTTGCATTTTGAGCTCGACATGATCCGTTAACAGCAGGTTGTGCTTGTCGCTAGAAGCGGTCTGGTAATAAAGTCGTTGCGAATTGATGCGGAAAGTTGAACTGATACCATAGTGCAATTCAGCATCGGCCGCATGGGAAGATTCCATGTCCAGTGAAACCGACGAAGACGCTGAGATAAGGAGGTCAAACTCATCAGTATCCTTCTTCGTCGATTCGGTAGGAGGCAAGGTCACGCGAATGACCGGTTCATGAATAGATAGTTTAATGCTGGCTTTGGGCAATAACCTGCGGATCATGCGTCTTCGATCCCGCAATTTATTAGGAGGCTTTCGCCGCATTTCGTAGTTGCGAGTCATGGCAAGTAATATTGGTAGATGTTTAGGGTCAAGGTCGACGGACGGGGACGTGATGACAAGGTTGGCGAACAGTATGTTGGTGTTCCGCTCGGCCACATTCTTGTCTTTAGAGAACTGAATAGTCTTGGAGGGCAGTGTCGTATTGAGCGTCATGGTGGCCATAGGAATGTAGAGAAGGCGTTCGGGGTGACCTTGTCCATCGTCAAGTCCAACTGAGATGGAGATTGCAGCAAGAAGAGCTTGGTGAGCAATGTCATTAGGTGAGAAGTACATAAGATGGGCGGGGCTTCGAGGATCGAGACGAAGTAGGTCGATGCTGACTTCCTTCATGGACATGTTTAGGTACACAGGAGGATCAGAACCTGAGCCAATATTGATGCGCCTAGTCAGGCCGAACAGGCTTATAGCAAACTGGAATTCTTGTATACCGCGAAGGATAGAACTGGCGAATTCGCGCGAGTCGGCTACGGTGCGTACAATTTCTTCTTCGGGGCTTGTAGATTGGCCAAGCTCCCGGAAAGCGTCTCCAAGCGATGTGTTGGACCTTGCGTGCCTAATGGGTGCAGCGGCACGACACTTCTTGGCCCGCTCTACACAGAGCTTGACTTCGTCGTATGGAATGCTCAGCCGACCCAGCTTCAGGGCAATGGAAGCATCACGCAAGCCATCCAGTTCCTTGTACAGCATGCCGTGGACATTGAGTGTGCATTGGTCAAGGATTTCCAAGGACTCCCCGCCCTCCGGAGTGAACAGGATGCTGCGAACGGTGAAGAGCCACTCGGCGGGCCGATGCTCGTTGTTTTGCTTTGGCTTGTGGTGATTGAAGAGGCGACTCCGGTCGACCGTCTTGCGGCGCGTATCCACAGCCATGGTGAAACTGCCGACCTGCAGCGAACCAACGTCTACAATGGCCAGCGTGCTTGTTGTTGCTACCAAGTCCACCATCTTGATCCATTTTATTTTGCGATGCAGACGCTTAATCCGCTCCTTGACATTGGTCAAACGTTCCCAAGTCCGGCTCCTCTGGCTGTCCTCGTCGGCCGTGTCCCCTGTGTCTTCCCCATCCACTGCAATATCTGGCGTCTTCTTCTCGTCCTTCTTGTCTGCCGAACCATTCGCCCATTTTGCCCAAGCGCTCTTTTTCCGCGGTTTGTCGCCCAAAGTTTTCAGATCCACGGTCACAGTAAGTTCGCTAAGTACGATGCTGAGCCACGTGGGCTGCGCAAAGGTCGGACGATGGAGGGTAAGGCCGAGGCCCCGTACTTCGATGCGTAAGCCATCTTTTGGCGTGAAAGCTATTCGGCGGAGCCCAGATACACCTAGTCGTTGGATAGACACACCGGTGACTACGCGAATGAAAGCGAATAGCACAAAGGATAGCAGGTATACCAGCAGGAGCAGCCCCGCGGCAAGCTGGACAGTCGGTAGCACCATTGCGCCTCACCCGGCTTCCATGCGTCTCGCCCAAGGTTATGGTATAGTAATAGCGCGTGAGCACGCGACATGCGTCCGAGGTTCGAGGAGAGACGGCCTGAACATACTCGAGGGTACGGTTACTGTAGGACCAGCATGCGGGCGGAGAAGAGTTGCAGAGGCGGAGATAGGGCGCGAAGAGTGCGGCGGCGTACGGAGCCTCCGGGAAGGCTATGTTTGCACTTTCCCTTCGCCTTAGCACCAGGGGCGAACTCTGTCAAGCGAGTGCGGGCTGCTCATGGGCGTCGTTTGTGGGCTGGGCTCGCTGTGGACACTGTATTGTGCATGCACGTCAGACTGCAGCGGTTGTCCATGCCCAAATTCGCGATCACCCCGGTCGGATGGGCGCTCGGACCATCCGATCGAACCTCAGTTCGACGTCGAATCAACCTACGAAGTACTTCATCACCCGCAATGATCCGAAGTTTATCTGTGAATGCGTTCAAGCCTACAGTGCCATTGAGTATCACTTAACATCAAGCCACTACTAGAGAGCCTTCTAGAAGGAAGGCCCGTCGCCATGGCCCACTAACAACCAACAGCCACTCGGGTCAGGGACGTTAAGACGTACTAATGCAAAGAAAATCGGTGGCTTTGTCCCATGTCACCCCAGGTCACCTACACAAGAACTTCCATCGATAAAATAACCTCGAAGACCCAACGGCTCGTCCCGAGCAATGCCAGTGGCATACTTTGATGTTTCCCACCTTTGCATCGAAGTTCCAATACAAGACAGCACCATATGGATCCAGAAGGAGCAAACTAATAACTCTGTCTCCCAAAATTTCGGAAAGAGATTGTCGTGGCTCAGGTGCTAACGAGTGAGCTCACAAGTAGGAATTGTCACGTCTCCTTCGCCTCACTAGTCAAAGTTGCCTGCTCCCTCCCATTCTGCTTCCACGTCCAATCATCCAAGCTAAGCTCGACACCGTACCAGACTCAACATCCATCCGTTCGTTCTCCCCCCTCCTTGAAGACATTGCACATGGTCTTATGATATCCCTCGGAACCTGGATCCTCTGTACACACTCGTAGAAACACCATCGACCAGCTCCGCTACATGTCGCCAGAATATTGCCAGAACGTCGCCGTGGATCTCCTTCTTTTCGAACTTCCAGGTCCCCACCTCAAGCAGGTACACCGGGGTGCGCCACAGGCAGCGAATGTCTTATCCACCTCACCATAGTCGCTTGACATAGTGCACAATATGAGGACCTTGTTTAGCTGTGGGATGTACGTTGCGGTCCTAAAGTCCGTTACCAGAAACACGTCCTCAGAATATCCGTAGATGAAAAAATCGGAATGCCCCACAGCTTGCGACGCTCCAGTGGGAGACGATTACGTCGTTGTAGATTCGAAAGTTTGACGTAGGAGTCTTCGTGCACCCCTGCTATCTTGACCACGGTGCCATCGGGAAGCTCAGTCGTCTTTTGACCCCAGCGCATATTGCACCAGATGGGCCCGTCGCACACGTGCGGGTAACATTGCCTTCTCCGGTTCGCTCTCATCCTCTCTGTCGTTCTCGGGCTCATTTTCGGTCTCGGTCTCGGTTTCGGTTTCGCTACCGGCATAGCCATCTAGCTCCTGGGACTATGATTTATGGGCGTCCTCGTAGTCTAAATCCGTGGGTCGCACCCGCAATGTACATGACGTTTATCGTGAGAAGTTGGATATTAAGATGAGAAGGGGTTGGTAAGCAGAATCTGACCTGCTGATGTACTCCCAGTGGGGGCATGACAAGACAGGTGAAGGAGCGACCAGAAGTAAGGATTGGCTCCAAGTGAAGTACTGACTGAACGAAGACTGGGTTGTGGCGCTGCAAAGCGCCTGGTAACACTCGCTCGTAGAGCAGTGGTACATCTGTAGCGTCAGCCAGCTTCACATACCTCCAACATCAGAGCAACAACCAGGAGAGATTTGCGCTACTTCTCAGGTTAGTTACGATTTGACAATTGCCTGAAACTCCCAAACTCAGCCCCTCCGAGCACCCTACAGCCCTTCAATCACCCTTGGTAGCAGAACCTCATTATACGCCCACAGTATCGTCGAGAACCCTGCACTAAACGCAGCCCCGGTATACCACGTCGCTCTCCTCCCCTGCAGCGCGTTCTGTCTTGCAATGAACCCTTTCCTCAATTCCTCTCTTGAGACTCTTGAATGCATCAGCCCATGATTCGCAAAATAAGGAAACGCTGTAGTCCCATTCGAACCATTGACCGTCCCAGCTTTTACCATATTCTCAATCGACCCCGAAATGAGAGCCTGCATGCTCTCATCATTATCTTCCTGCGTCCCGATTGCCGTGAACGCAAAGAGATCCTCACCACCTCCAGGCTGATGACCGATCTTCCCAACCTGCGCTGGAAGTGGATACGCAGAATAATTCGACCCGGGAGCACCCGGCAGCGTATTCGTCCAAGAATTAAATCCCTTCAAGCTCGGGTGTTGAACCAGACCAGCATACACACTCGAAAAGCTCAACTTCCCCAGGACCTCTCCCTCCTCCTCATCCAGGTCAAAAACCGCCATCGCAACCGGGCTGGGCTCAAATGCCACCAATAACCTTTTCGCCACTATCTCCGTCTCGTTCCCGTCCCTGTGCTTCACTCGCACGCTTACACCGCTCTCGTTCCTAGAACACCCTACGACGATGCTGTTGTACAGCACATCATCCCCTAAAAGCTCAGCCACGCGCTCATACAGCTCATGCAGATTCCCACTGCTCGGCACCATAGCGCGACTCTGGCCGAGCATCGCCCGCGCCATCACGAGGCCGGATGCTTGCATCACGTACAGCGTAGGCACTTTCAGAAAATCGCCCACGCCCATAACCGTGCTATCCCAGAGTTTCGGCACCGCAGCTTGTAAATCGTACTTTTCCACGAATTCTCCGAAATCCATGACGAGATCTTCGGGTATATCTTCTCCGGCGGAAGGGAAGTTGAAGAAGCCGGGGAGCATGAGGGCGGCGTATTTTTCGCAGAGGGCGAGGTATTTGGACAGGGCGGTCTGGTAGGCTTCGGTGGATGGGGGAGTGTAGGAGGGGACGGGGAGGCCGGTGGTGAAGTCGATGTAGTGGGGGTGAGGGTTTCGAATTGCATGGAGCCGTTTGTGTCTACACCCATCCTGTGCGGGAAAGATGTTGTGTCCAGATATTCCATCCAGGCCTGGACGCCGATGTTGATGGGTTTGCCGGTCTCGGGGTTGCGGTAGACGGTGGTGTGGCCTCCCTTGGGGAGTGATGGTTAGTCTCGCGTGGGAGAAGCTGGGAGAGGATGGCGTACCAATTGACTACTTCTCTCAACAACGGCGACGGTTTTATTGTGGTCGCGCAGCCATACTGCAGCATGGGAGCCTGCTGCTCCACCGCCGACGATGACGACGTCTCGAGTTATGACATCGACAGCGAGTATTGAGAGAACAAACGTGCTTAGTAGAAGAGCAAGGCTTCTGAATATGTGGCCGCGCATGGCTGAATTCCGCAGTACACCTTTGTTCGTTTCTAACCGAATCGCTGAGTAAAATTCGGCCAAAGATGTTTGATCAGACAATGACAGAAATGGAACATGCAACGGTGAATCTGAGTTAATGTTCAAAGATTGAAAAGGCTCACTGCGCAGATCATATCCAACGTCGTGAGATTGAGTCGCTTAGCAATAATCGGTGAGAGAAATCGCCAGTACTATAAACGTGGGACCTGCGCAACACGAAATATAAGATACTGATATGGTAGTAGATGTGGAGGTATGTACATGCGGTCAACTTAGCCTAATGGCGGCTCTCTAGACGGGCTTGGAGATGGAAAACCAAGGAACTTGTGCCCCACAAGCTCGGCGTGAGTATCCTTAGAAAAAGGTCGCGGCTATCATATAGGTAATTACGCAGTAGAGGATGCTGACAGACGCGGGCCCTATCCGCACTGCTCCCGAATTGGTTTTTACGCGTAAACGCAGTGTCGTTAAAGTCATATCTCGTCTATACCCACCCTATAGCTTTTGTCTAAGCCTTTTTATTTTCTGCCGGGACCTCTTCCGGTACATTCCCCTTCCCAACATTATCAAGCGTGATCTCTCCCTTAAAATCACCAGGTGTATGCATGAAATTGGCCCTGAGCGGAGTTACGCTCGTGTATCCCTGTGCAACCGCCCACCCATCGTTCCCTGGCTCGCTCTGCTCCACACTCTCATACACGTCCTTGAAGTGCGGTGACCACTTAAAGTGCTTATGTGCGTATCGTATGTGTCCCCCAACAGGCGTCTCTCTTCCACTGTCACGGCCCGATTCGCCACCAAGCAACTCCTTCCGGCCTAGCTTTTCTTCCTGTTTCCGTATTTGCGCCTCGATATCTGAGGGCGAGTCGTCGCTTTCAGAAGGGACTTCGATGGGTTGGAAACAGGATCCTGACTTCCAAGCGTTTTGCAGCATATTTGTCCAGAGGATCTTCTTTTGCCCAACGTTTTCAACTAGCGGCACGTTAACCGAGTATAGGTGTGTGTCGGGATTCCAAGTATCGAAGAGGTGTTGTATGAGTCGTGCGGAGAGCTCGGATGCTCCTGATATTATCGCCGCATCGTGGTTGCGGTCGAAGAAGGCGTAACTGAGCGCAATGGACTTGTAATTACATACTGCCGCCTCCATAGCTCCGCCAATAGTCCCACTACTCAAGCTGAATACAGCCGTGCTGTTCCTCCCATAGTTTGGTCCCGACACGACCAAGTCTATGGGACCTCTGCTCTTAAAATAATGGAATAGGCCAATTTGGACACAGGATGCGGGCGTGCTGTCGACGAGAACCCATTCTTCGTCTGTGGAGGAGTCAGGAAGAGGACGTGTATGAGTCGTGCCGCTATTGAGGAGGCGACCGTTTTCGCTGCGAAGAGGTAGTGGGCGGAAGTATGTTGGCTTGATAGAGTGGCCGACGAGATGGGCTTTGCCTATCCAAGAGCGCTGCGTATGCGGGAGGACGACGGAGACGGTATGACCATGAGATTGGAGGGTCGAAACTGTCTCTTATCAATTCCAATTCAAGCAGGATAGGGATGAAGCGCAGGTACCTAGCGAATGCACGTATGGCGAGGATTGGTCTGAAGGCGGGCCATCGTCGTTAGTGACCTACGTTTGGTTACGAACGAGATACCGTGGAGTAAGCACCATTGACTCACGAGAATGTGCATGGTGGTTTTCGAGGTTTTCTAGGAAAAGCCGAGGATATTTGTGTCTATGTAGGATTTACAAAGGCGGAGTGGGATGCGGGAGAACATCGACGTGGATTGACGTGGTTAGCTTTCCGAGATCGCTATCGATAGTCGGAATGATTAAGCGCGGGCGCCTATTGGACCACGTGCGAAGGAGCACCCCGGGGCCTGGTCGCTGGTTCACGTCGTGCTATCCTGAACGGATGCTTCAATGTTTGCTTCCGACAGGGCATCACCCATGAAGTCATATCAGGAAGACTTTGAGACGTTGGTGATCAACACGAATGAAGCTGCGGGTATGCGCGTCACCTCAGCCGTTTTGTGGTGCGGTGGGCCATAGCTCCCGCATGCACGCCTGCACGCCTCGGACCCTTCCAACACGTTGCTGACATCGATACTTTATTCCAACACCATGGGAATTTCGACGCTGGGCTTTCTTCAATGAAAAGAAGTAGACACGAGAATAATATAGTCTTGTTCAACAATTATCTATGATTCAGGCATTCACCATCACGGACTCAACAAAGGCCCCTCTCCCGTACAATTCCCCCATTCCTCCTCCATCCGACCTCCGATCACGCAACCCTTGACCATTCCGATATCAATACTCCGGCAATTCAAGGGTTCTGATGTAGAAATGGGCAAAGCAGCGAGTACCACAAGGTCCGATCCGGTCTCATAATGCTGAGGTGCCGGTCGGATCCCCGCTCACTCCCGTTTCTAAGGCGCGATGCCGACGATGTGCCTGACTTTATATGCGAAAGAACCGACCACAAAACTAGTTTCCATTATTCACGCATCAGCTTCTTTATTGTCTTCGATACCCCTTCGCAAGTCTTTCTGTCCACTGTCACTCTCTTTGCACAAAGGAGTTCAAGTATCTGCATTGCATTCCAAGACGACGACAACCAGCCAATAAGATCATATCCTTCCACGTGATATCGAAATGGTCATCAACGTCCCCACCGCCTCTCTGGAAGGCAAGGTCGCCCTCATCACCGGCGCCGGCCGGGGAATTGGTCGCGGCTGCGCCATCGAGCTCGGCAAGCGCGGCGCCTCCGTCGTCGTAAACTACGTCTCCTCCAAGGGTCCCGCAGAAGAAGTCGTCAAAATAATTGAGGGCTTTAACAATGGTGCAAAGGCGATATCTATCCAAGCCGACGTCTCCAAGGTCTCTGAAATTAACCGCCTTTTCGAGGACGCAAAGAAAGCGTTCAAGAAGATTGACATTGTGATGAGCAACTCGGGTACGGAGAGCTGGGATAAGACGGAGGAGATTACGGAGGAGAAGTACGATCATGTTTTCAACTTGAATGCGAGGGCGCAGTTCTTCGTTGGGCAGACGGCGTACAAGCATATTGAGGATAATGGTCGCATAATTCTCATGTCGTCTATTGCCGCCGGTCTTCTGGGTGTGAAGGACCACGCACTGTACAACGCATCTAAGATGGCTGTCATCGGTTTTATCAAGGCGTTTGCAACGGACTTTGGCAAGCGCGGTATTACGGTCAACGGTGTAGCGCCCGGTGGAATCAAAAGCGACATGTTCACGCAGAATGCTTGGCACTATATCCCACACGGTTCGCCTGACTGGCCGGCAGAGAAGATCGAGACTCTGATGGCGAATCACTGCCCATTGGGACGGTGTGCGGTACCAGAGGATGTTGCGAGGGTGGTGGCTTTCTTAGCAAGTGAGGACGGTGGATGGGTAAACGGCCAGGTCATTACTATTTCTGGTGGCTCCTCGCAGTAGAGGATGGTGTTATTAAGGGTCTGGGCGATTTTGCATAACGTAGTATAGAGCACAGTGGCCGAAGGGATGAGTCGGACTTCTGGTGGTAGCACCTCCTGTGAACACCCACAATACATTTTTACATCAGAACTTGAGATACTCATTGTACACTGAGTTACCCTACGGTCTATAATCCTATATGGCACTCACTGACTTTTTGGGTGACTGGCTGACCTTTGATTTTGAGAGAGTCCGGGTTTTTCCTTCGGCCCGGCCTCTGTGGAGGAAAGCAAGGTGTAAGGAGGGGCTTAGGGAAGGATATCTATGGTATGAAATCACAGTAGCCGACATTAAAAACTGCATTTAAATGGTGCCAGATTCTAAGCTCCCTATGTTGAGACATTAGACATTTAGCTATAAGCTTAGTGGCTAATAGTATAGCCTAGGGTGACTTGCTTTATAATACGTGTTTAGGAGTATAATTTAATAATATGTGGCCGTATCTCATGTTGGTACAGAAGCTGGTTCAGTCTTTTGTGTCGGAGCATGATTATATGCACGAGTTTGAAAGTACGCGTGGCGTCCTGACAAGAAACTATTATGACACTTCTGCTAATCTTCTAGATATCGAAGACACCGCCCATCCCCACCCTAACATCCACAAAGTCCGCTCGCCACCCCTTGTATTGACCCAAGCCCCTCTTAATCTCCCTCACCCGCTCAAGTCTCCTCTTCCCTTCTTCCTCCTGCGCCTGCCTAAACGCATCCTCATCGAACTCAAAGTCATCCATGCTACCCACACTTTCCTGTCTCTCCTTTGGCGCAGAGATACCGCGTTGCCGCGACGTGCCCGTGAAAGCCGAGATACCAGACTGTATGACATCTTGGAGCGAGGACGTCTGGCGACCTGAGGCCCGCCTTGCAGTAGGGGCGCTTCCAGAAAGATCGATGTCGTCGAAGTCGTTCGAGTGGTCGTCCATGCCTGGTTGCATGGCGGTGCGCTTGTCCCTCCAGACACCGCGGCGGAGCTCGAAGTTTTCTTCCTCGAGTTCGCGCACCTTAGTCAAAAGCCTGTCACGCTCTTCGTCGACAAGCTCTTGTACGCTGCTGTCTTCGATGTTGCCCAGGTCAGCCTTCCGACGGCGCTGCTCAGCTTCGCGGAGGCGCGCATTCTCGTTGCTTAGGCCGGTCACGCGGGTGCGTAACTCGGCTGCTTCACGCTCGATTTTCTTGTGCTCCTGGAGCCGCGTTTGATTGCGTGCATCATTGTCACGATGAAGCTGCGTGAGTGTCTCGATCTTCCTTTCTAGCAATTCGGCGCGAGATATGGAGTCGGATGCTTTGCGATTGGCGGCGCCCAGCTCGGCCTCGAGCTGAGCAATACGTGTCTGTGCCGAGTCGCGATCAGAGCCTTCCTTGGCCGCCTGCTCCCCTGCCTTCTCCAAGTTGGCCTTAAGGTCTGAGAGCTCGGTTTTGGTAGAACTAGCCTCTTGCTCTGCCTTCTGTAGGGAGGTCTCCAATGTGGATATTCTTGCCTGCAGCTCGCTCTGCTTGCTTGTATGGTCCGCAGCTTGCTTGTTGAGGTTCGAGATTTCCAGCTCTAGCGATTCGATCGTCTCGGATTTGGAGGCAACTTGAGCGTTGAGGTCATCGATCGAGGCAGACTGGTTAGGTGTCGATGCTCTTTTGGTAGACTTTGACGATTGTGATTGCAAATGGGAGAGTTGGCGCTTGAGCGATTCCACTTCCGATTTCTGTTTGGTTTATTAGCAGCCACTCCTATTCCTATGCAATCTACAGTGCACGCAATCAATGTTACTCACCAACTTATCAGCCTCCTTAGCCTTTTCTGCCGCAAGGGCAGCCTCTCCACGTCCCTCTCTCAGCTCCTCAAGCTCTTCCTCGCCCTTCTTCCATCTTGCCTCACCCTGTTCCACTTCCGTTGCGAGCCTCTTATTCTCCTTCTCCAGCTCCTCAATGCGCTGCGCCTGCTCCCTGTAGATATCGCTCGACACCCCTCCTCCAGGTGTAGCGGCAGTCGGTGATGTTGGACCTCCTGCAGAACGGTAGAACGAGGCGGATCGCTGACGCGACTCGACGGCCATGGACGGCTTGCGACCGTGAGAGGGCGTCGTGGAAGACAGCTCGGTAGGCTCGTCGTCTTCGACATCAACAGGGCCGGGTGATGCGCTTGTAGTTTCGGGTGCTTCCGCAGCTTCGGCTTCGGCGGCAGGTTCTTCGGCCTTCTCGTCTGGCGTCTCCGCTGCAGTCGAGGCTTCTGCTTTATCATCCTTCTTCTTTGCGGCACCGCCACCAGCCTTCTTCGCGTTCTTTTTCTTCAATGCTTCATACTGTGCATATTGTGTCAGCATATACGATTTAATATCTTCTCAGCATGATCATTTCAGGCGAAGGGGTTCGTCGTCAGCAGAGCTCCTGTCCGTCGCTGCTATGCGCTCGATGCAATGAGAACCGCTCATACCTTCTTCTTCGCGGCAGCGACCTTAGCAGCTTTCTCCTTGTCTTCGTCGGCCATTGTAAAATTGTATACCAAACTCCTAGGTGTCTACCGGGAGTCGTCTTAGCATGCAAGGTGCCGCTGATAGCTCCGTCGCGGGTCGCTGATGCCAAGTGGAACCCCCAAAACAGACCTAGGCCTAAAGAGGCAAACCTTCATGTGTTCCCGCTCGAGTACACTGTCACGTGACTGTGTATGCCCCTCATTCGTGAACCTCAAGTAGAATATACATATTTCGGTCTCTGCTCTCGAAGATAACCGGCCGAATTGAACAGAGACTTAATATTCATCTAAAGTTACCCGATCATGCCTAGGTCGTCTCACCCTAATATGCATTAGACGCTCAATCTGTCAAATAACAGTTTGCTCTCAGAACGACAGTTTAAGAGGGACAAAGTACAGCACCACCACCATACCGAGGAACATTCCATGATCAGTTCTTAAACTGAGGCGTCTTAACCACTCACCAGTGCATCTACACCGTGTACCAACTCGCTTTGCCCTTTCCCTATATCTCTCCTTCCCCTCCTCACCTCTACTCTCCCCCACGAACCCCCACCTCATAGCCACCGATCACATCATTCCCCTGCATATGCCAATACCCCAGCTCAATGTCACGACGCCCCAAGTTCGCATGGTTAGCTTGAAACTAGCACCTCACGATCCACCTGTTCGAAACATTGTCCTGTAATACTCCACCTGTGATATCAATATATGTATCGGTAGGATTTCAGGGGCACTCGGTAGCATCCTCCGTCTCCAGGCACCTGGAGGCGAATCACGCTCGGAGCCATGTCACCAGGTCAGGCACCAGGCACATATCGATCAACCTGTCGTTATCGCCGCCAATGTAATCTCGCTTCATGCCACACCCCCGCCCACGCCAGAAACGGTATCATGTTCGAGAGTGAGCACGATGCGATGCAACGTCGTCACAAGAGGGGTACAGATGATCACCAAGACGAGATACTCACAAAAATCACAAGCGCAAGACCGCGTATCAAAAGCATTGCTGAATGTGCATATTTCATCTCATTCCCTACCTAATCGCAATCCTCGCTCGCACCTAGATCGACAAAACGAGATCGCGCCTCCCATGCTTCCCAAAGGTGCTCATACACGCTGAAATTGGGCCTGTCCATCGCTGCCCTACTGCAAGAAAGAAAACATAGTCATCGATGAGCGTTCGAGCTCTCTGCGCCCATTGCATGTCAATGGGCGCGTAGGCATAAGAGTATGCCGCAAAGGGGACGTCAAAGAAAGATCAGAAAAGGAGACAAAGGGTATGTGAGTGGTATAAAGCCTCAGCACCGGTCAAGATATTCCAGAAATCCGCTCCGCTTCAACTCATCTAGATACCTGTCCTTCCAGCGTGGTATAAAAAGAAAGGTATTGTGCAAATGAAAGTGGTGTATGTAGTGTGCTGATCCGGTTCACATTCCAAATCGAGAGATGCATCGCAATATGCGCCGTGAAAAGGGTTTCGTAGAGGGCCTCGCTGTCAAAAACTCCGTGTCATGCGAGAGATATTAAGGGAATGGTGGTTGCGCTTGATATGCCATGAAATCGTGCCATCAACGTAGATCCGCGTGTGTGGCGGTCATGTACCAAATGCGTGGGAATGGTGTGTCAATGGAAGGGAGTAGCCATGGACTTGATCGTTGGCATCAAGTCCGAGACGACCCTTTTGATTCTTTGGTTTTCCAAAACTGCATGAGCTTGCTGAGTCGCTTGTGCTTCTTCTTGGATTCCTTCTGGGTGGCTTCCAGCATGCCATACTCTGACTGTGGCCTCGTCTCGATTGACAGCTTGCTCCTCTCGCCAAACGACCCAGTGTTCATCAGACGAGAGAGGCTTGCAATGCTCGAACGCTTGCGGCGACGCGATTCAACATCGCTAGGGGCAGAGCAGAGAGAGGCAGATCGATCACCTTGCTGCCGAGGACTCGGCAACGGGAAGACGCTCTGCATCGCGCTCGTCATTGTGGATCGAGAAGAGCTCAGCGAGGGAACGTCATCGACGGAGACGCGAAGCTCTGGACCTGGTTCTCCAAAGCGTGGTGAAGGCATCGCTTGGTAGTCAGTCATGGACGATGCAGCTGTGCCCAGCCTTTGCGTGTCCAATGAGACCTGGCTAGATCTAAAGTCTGGTGATGAAAAGGATGATGTGAAGGTATCTGGCGTCATCAGGTTCTGTTGTCCGAGGGGAAGAGAAAGGTTCATGACGGTGTGCGTCTCCTTAGTGTCGTCTGTTGAGATCTGAGGCGTGACAGTAGTGTCAGAAGAGTGAGTGAGAGATGAGGTTCGCGGCTCTTCAAAATCTTCTACAATCTCTACCGCATCGGCACCTGTGGAGCGTGTGGTTCCATCAACGCTCAAGACTGAGTCTGGAAGAGCACGTGGAGAACACGGTTCAGATGACTCCTCTCTCCGTGACCTATCATTGCGTTTCAGACTCAGATCATCGTTGAAATTCCAATTGATAGATGAACCATTGTGATGTTCGTCAGTCTCCACAATTTGTATCTTTGGCTCTTCGGGTTCCTCTTGCTCCCCACTTATCGCGGGTTCAGAATGCGTGCTCTTTCCACTGGAGATGGGCGTGTCGTCTTCTGGCTCCTCCTCTTCAAACACATCTGCCATAGTTGATGACGTTGCCGCTGCGGTGCTTCTGAGCTCAAAGGGCACCAATGCTGGTGCGCTCTCAGTCCGCCGGTGGTTCTGGAGGACACCCCCTGCGCTATGCATAGCTCGTCGGTGGGCAGCAAAGCCTCGCTGCGTACGGGCATTCGTACCATTGAACGGCCCAAGCGCTGCGTCTAGATCGATCACGGAATTCATCGTGTCAGAATCTACGCGTTTGAGCTCGCGCGGCTGCCATGATGCGTAATCAGTTTGTGTCTTCTGAACAGTGGCTGTGTCGTCGGCGGGCGACACAATCGTCACTGTATTATCGACGTCGAAGTTGGCTTCGAAATCGAGGTCCTCGGACGCATCAGATTCATCATCCACGGTAGAATGCGGAGGTGGTGTTGAAGCTCTGTCCTTGACCTTTCTGCTGTGTTTTGCTTTTTTAGGAATAATCGAGCTTGCCCACGATTTGACCTTCCTAGGGGCCCTGTTAGATTTCCGCGGCTTGGTCTTGGTACTCTGCTCGCCAGATTCTTCTTCATCGAGCATTGGAGAGGGCAGAGGAGACTCAATGGGAACAGTCAGAGCCGGGTCAGAAACGCTGGAAAGAGCCGGTACAGATGGATCACTGCGTCGCGGCTCAGACCGGAAGAAGCTTCGACGTTTGGCTGGGAGAGATACGTTGTTGGGGGCCGCAATCGCCGTTGGGGAGATTGCAGAGGAAGGACGCTTGCGGTTGGTCACATCATCCCGAGAATTGCTGCGACTACCCAAAATTGCGCCCGCTGTACTAGGCCGAGATTCATCCTCCACAGTGCTAAGCGTAGGGCGACCATTTCTGAACGTCTGCGGGCTCGATGTTCCGGAACTAATAACTGATGACAGACTATTCGTCGCAGAGTGACCTCGCATCGTCGACATGGATGTTTCGGTTTCTGAGGAAATAGTTGAGAGCGGTCGAATGTATTCGACTTTATCGGAAAACCCAACACGTGCCCGGGAGGGAGGTCGCGGCATCTCGTCCGCGTCTTGAAGTGAACCAGCATCTCGCAATGACGGTTGAGACATGGACTTGTTCACAGAATGGCCAAATGCAAACTGTGGACCCTCTGAAGGGGTAACGGGGGCACTACCGGCTCGTGGGTGCGCCGGAGGGTTCATCATCGAGGATAGATCGTGAGAGGATACTGCACCCGAGCGACGATGAGCATGACCACGTCGTCCGGCAGGTGGGCCCGGTCGTAGGGTGTTGTTAGTCGGTGCAGGTAAGACGTCGTCGCCTTTAGTAGGACTGGTGCTCAACAGCGAAGTGCCTCCGGACCGCCCATCTCCACCGATGAACTCGCTCCCACCGCGTCTATGCCCTCCAATCGGTCTCGAAGGAGTTACGGGAGTCGTGGGCAACGCCATAGGAGAGAGTTGTGGTGACGGAGCCGTCGCGACCGGCGCCGATGTTCCGGCTGGGTTGAAACTGAAGTCGGGCAGAGCATTGATCGACTTTCCTCTGGCGTGAGCGGAGCCTCGACGGCCTGTAGGATACGCTTGGAGCGACATTGGGCGCGCATTGGCAGCAGGAACGGGTACTGACGAGGTAGTCTCTGGGTCTCGCATGGGGAAGGAGAAGTCAGGGTTCGGCAGCAGTTCGATGGGACCGGCCTGTGACGGGCGGCGGCGCTGGTATAGCGGTGAGCCGACTTGGGCAGATTGCTGTGTCTGCGTCACCTGCTGTCGTGGCAGCGCGATCTGAGCCATTGTGAAGCAGCTGAAGGCTCCCGAGGGACGCGATCGACTACGGCGGGCAGCTTGACGAGATTAGGGGGATTGTGATGCAACGCTCTGCTTGGCCCTTTCGTGGGGTGTGCGGCTTGCGTTCCAGAGGGCGGTAGTTGCGGGCGCTGTGGTTGGACGGCTTCGTTGTCGAAGTGCTACAAAGGCGGGCACGGCGGAATCGAGACGAAACAGGCGCGCTCGAGGTACAAAGTGCTGACGAGATTACTACGGCGGCAGACTATGGTCAGCACGCAGATTGGAGGAGGCCGTCTCAGCCTCGAGTCGCTCTGGCGGGGGCGCATACAGTATAGGTGGAGTACGAGACGCTATCAGCGTGGATGTCGAGGCAGGTCGGATTGAGTGAAAGCCAGTACACCCAAGGCAAGATTAAGGAATGACGGGAAATGAACGGACAGATACCGCCATCGACTGACAACGTGCCGCGGCCGCTGTCGAGTGCGACTTGGGTTCCAAAGCGGAGAGGGAGGGAGGAGGAGCGGCGAGGGTGGGGAGAATAGCGGTGATGGACCAGGCGGGCAAAGGTGAGAGAGAGGCAAGCGTCGCTTTTGGGAGGAGCGCAATCGACTAGTGAACTGGGGCGCGCCTGCCCTGGTTAGCACGGACACACACCACGCACTGCACGTACCCACATCAACTGCGGTCCATGCTGCTCATCCTTGCTGCAGTCATTTTACATACATGCCTGCTCAGGACAGGCGCCTCATCTTATCTCTCGCTCCTCGAGGACCTGCAGCAGGCAGCGCGGCGACACGGCGGCATGCTCGCCTGCAGTGCATGTCGGATGCTTTCACGTCTCTACGTCCTTCACACTACCTGCTGAGCGATTAAGCTCCAGCGTCTCATCTCGCTCGTCTTAATTCACTCGGCGCTCTAAGCGTCCACGGCTCTCCCGTCATCACGAGGGCAGCTAGCAAATTTCGCCTAGCTGCCCGTCCAGCTCACCAGCGCCTCCAGCTGGTTCGCCCGCCACAGTGTTGACGTCGCTGTCCATCAGCGCAGCCCAGACGGCGTCGTCAGTCTCCCAAGCAGGCATGTCGGGACACCGTCAACGCGCTGTGGTGCGACCCTGCAGCTTATCTTCCGCTGTTCTTCTCTGAGCCTCCACTCGCTGACCACTGACAACACGTCGCCTGGACAAAGAACTGCCATGGCGAACCGTGGCCGCTCCCGGGGACCGCTTCCAATGCCCTCACTCGCTGGGGTCGGCTGCAAGCGATGTGCAGCGGAAATGCTACTGCACCTCTACCATCTCAGATCCTCTTGGCACCTTGCCGCAACCCGTGAACGACGGTCGCCGCGGCTTCAGCCATGGTACTCGCGTGTCGCGGCGGCTGCACCGGTGTGGACATGAACAAGTTGCTTGCGGGAGCCGCATGTCACCAGAACCATGACACCGCATGGCTGACCGACCAAAAGTACCGCCGTTGTTGCTACGGCGTCGGAGGGCTGCATCAGTACATGAAGATTGACAGTGTTTCACCGTGCAGACGAATGCCACCCTAATCCCTTTGGGGACCGCTCATTTGCATGCCATCCGCAGTTCGCGACCAATAAACAACCGAGCCCGCTATGCAGCGCTACCGCAGCCATGCAGGGGTTCTTGATCCTTACCCCGAGCATGAGGCGACCGGCAAGCGTCTGGTTGCCACGCAGAAACAGGATGCGATAGACGAAATGCGGAGAAGATGGCGAAAGAGCATGCTGATCCTGCTGCTTGCGTGATGCGAACCCGATCGCTTCTGAGTATCGACTCTATAACGACCACCTATTTCATTTCATTTCATTTCATACGTGCGCAAAAAGTCGGAGCAAAAATTTGCTGAAATATCATGGAAGCTTCGGTAACCCGGCGAGGCCATTGTCGTGTTTGACCGCTAGGATGCCGCTTCTGCCTCGACACCAACTGTGACGTCTCTTATCGCGCATCGTCCTTCTTGTAGCGGCTTACCAAGAGCCCGAACTTCTCCAAGTAGCGAGTCAGATACCACTGCAGATGTGAGGGCTCCCGCGAGTTCTTACGGTCAAGGTGTTCGGCGCCCTAGCACGCGTTCTAGGCCTGGGTAACACCAGCAAAGCAACATTCCCAAACTTCTGGCTTGCAGCAAGTCGCACAAAGAAATGACCCAGCATGCAGGAGCGTCTCGCCTATTCGAGCCTCTGGAAGTCAAAAAGGGACTCGAGCTCATGCGCCAGGCAATTGAAACGCACGTCGAGATTGAAGCGTACCAGACTTTCGATGCCACCGCTACGTCTGCTCGCAGTGTTACCGCCGTCGCAAGCCGTGTTTGTAGTTCTCAATCAATTTTGAGTGCAAGGGTACATGCTCGCACGAAACAGCAGGTGCATTTCACCAGCAGCCCTGTGATTGAAGATCTTCAGGGACCACGGCAAGCTAATTTGCCAGAGCCGCCGCTGCTCCCGATCCAGTAATTCCAACGCTACGGAAAGGTTCATCTTCATTTTTCTTCTTCAATTCTTTCAAACCGACTCTCCACTCGTCCCGAGTCAGAGGTAATTACATCTGCCAGATCCCGAGCCGTGCTGAAGAGATTTCCGAGCACCGCAAACGTCACACATAACCACGATCTTCGGCTGATGTGGAGACGACGAGGACTTCCTAACCAGAGCGTGCTTAGAATATGTACCACAGTAATCAAACAGTTCGGTTTGTTGAACCATCGTGGCGCATGTGGACCAATTTCCTAAGGCGTTCGCTATAGAGAGGCCTTCAACTTGCGGCTGACCGGCTACAGCAATACCCGCGACAGCTGAACGGCTGCTTCGGCAACCATGGAATGGGAAGCCTGTGCAGAGTAAAGTGTGGGGATCGCCACAACGTTACAAACCTGCTGCTGTGGCAGTGCTACACCCGCCCGGCGCTACAATCACCGGCTCTATGAGCTAACTCTCATTAGGTGTGAACGAGCCACGCGGTGCTTGCGCAGCCAAGGTCCGGCACAACTGGATTTGTTTCTCCTCGGCAGAGTTGGCGTTATTTGCTCACAGAAGCGCCCGAGAGCAGCAACTTGACGTTGGCTGTGGCTGTACCCCTGAATTCGGTAAACAAGGATCTAAAAGGCACGCGCCGGCGCAGACTACGGAACGGAGGCGTCCCCACAACAGAAAAGACAGACTGTCCGAACAACGGAAATTCCGGGAGTTTAATCCGCAGTCACCCTTTGGAAGATGCAAAGTCATCTACCATGCGTGTGCGCGCATATCCTTTTTTTTCCTGGCCTATTCCTATGATGATTTTGGGAAGATTAGTCGTTGCCGGTAAGAGTTGCCAAATTAGACAGGTTGAAGCCATGCAGGGGATAGTGGTTACACCGGCCGCCTGCTACACTGTAGCTCATGCATACTGAAGTCGGTCCGTAGACTGGCTTCGATAATGACTTACTGTGCGAGGAAGTCCTGGCAGTTAACGACAGCGACTCGCCCTTTCGTTTGGCAGTTTTCGGAAAATCGACCTTGGCGAATGATCCAATACGGCAGCTGTCGGTCAATCGGGCCTGATCCTGATTCCTGTTCAGAGAAAGTGTGTTATGGTATAGCATATCTGCGAAGGACCGACTGCAATCCTGGTTTGGTGAAGCTGGCAACCAGCATCTGCTTCGCGTAGCCTGGGTAACCATCCAAAAAACTGACCGGGGTGTCGTAACTCCAAGATTGGCAATTCAGAGGAAATTGTTAATCTTGCCAACGGCCTTCTTGCAAGGCATGTAAGTCACCAAATACAAGACATAAAAAAAATCGCACAGCCACCGCAGGGTCAAAACATATGCTCTTTCCATATTCGTTATTGGCCATGCGTCGGACCCTCCGTGTTCATGACAACACATCCGACTCCCAACCTCCGTTTAGCGCAATCACTCCTGAGAACGGACCTGCATCGTCATATTCCTTTTCCCACGTCTGATCGTAAATCCGGCGCAGCTTTCTGACCCCACGGTCGATTCATAGGCCCAGACCTTCCACACCGGTGTCAGGCGCATGCCTTTTCGAGCTATTCGACAGCCTCCCCGCCATGTGAAGCGAACGGCTACTCCCTCAAGTGGGGAGGGCTGGACTTGACTGGGCCACGCAGCGCGCCTTCTCGAACGTCGACATCAGCCAGCCATCACCCTCCTCAACAAAAGCAATCAGTCTTGCCTGAGATGCTGCACATGCACACCCCTCAGCCGGGAGAGCGCGGACGGTACGCAGTAGTGCACACCAACAGTAATGCTCCGAGCGAATGACATAGTAACAAGCGCAAGCCACAGATGCCGTTTGCGACACGCTCAGAACATGGCTCTGGTTCGGCGGTTGCTCCGCAACGCAGGAATAGGTTCCGAACCAGCCGAATGAGGGCGAGTGCGCACGCCGTTGTGCCCACAACCAAGTCTGCGGGCGAACCGCGCAACCATGGCAGGCATGTCAGGTACAAACCTGATCGAATGGATCGTCATCATTGTCCTCGGACCGACGAGTCAGTTGCCAGAATACGTGCTCTCACGACGCCGACCATTATTTCCGGGGTGTCCGTCGTGGCTCTCTGGTAGCGTGGTGGAAAGCGCACTGATTGGTGTGCGCGAATGAGGTGTTCGACTCGTGGTGGTGGGTGAGGTGAGAGCGCCACATCAGCGCTATCAACATCAGAACAATTGGTATCAGCTCGGATACAATCGTCGATAGGTCAGGTGCCTTCCTCTGTTTGGATACGCTAAGACTGGCTGCTGTACCCCAGACACCGCTGGCCCAACGATGTCAACTACTTTAGCGGATATTCATGTGAACGACACCGGTATATATGCTACGAACTTACAATCAGAGTGTCACGTCTTTGGGTCCGCGGAAGTGGTTCGCGCTACTACCGGCCAGACCAAACCGTCTTCGACTCTCACTACTCTGCATCTAAGCCCTCTCCAGTGGCCATAGGTATCAAGCATCTAGATGCCGCGCTAAGCAATCCCATCAAC